CACTATCCACATTTTCAGCAAAGGCTATCTTTTTTGATCTACTACGAGCACTAGTCAATGGTTTGATTACGTAATCAAACACAATGAATACAAGAGGTACTACTAAGAACAACAACAACATCAACCAATTCGATTTGTCCAATACAAATAATACTTCAGAACACCAACACCCTCAACCCGAGCACAATACATTTTCTTCAATTTCTCTTCCAATTATGAACCCTGATTCAATTCCCGCTGACCATGATTGGCAAAGAACACTCATGTCGGAAGAACAGGAACCAATTTTGAACAGACGCCAAACAGTCGACTCGAACCACCAATCCAACATGTTGAGGAGGGGTTATCATGAAATCCCTTCTAAAAACTTTTCTCATCCAATTCTTAAAACAAGCCAATACTCTGCTCAAACGAACCTTCGAAATACGCTCTTGAATGCATCAGCTCAATTCTCGGGAGAAAACAATCCCATATCAAATAGCAGCACGGAAATAGAATCCATACAACACCAAGAAGAAATGTTTTCAAACCATGACTCATCAGCAGCATCACCGACAAGCACACAATTGTATCCGCAAGAGACATTACTTGAGATGTGTCGGGATTTGGATTTACTTATGAGTGATGTATCTCAAATACCTGATGTGGTACAGGGTAGCAACAGCACAGGATTCGATTCATTACCATCCTCCTCCGTACAACAACAACAACAACCTCTCCTCAGCAGTACTCTCAATAATTATTTCACCAATTTTGGAGTTGACAACGAGACACAATTGAATGAGCAGCAACACAACCAATCTTCTTTCTCAACACGCATGAACAACACTTTTCAACCAACCCCATGACCATTTCAGTATCAGCCTGCATTCATCCCTACACTCTTCCTCGACCAAGGACCTGAGCTCAACACCAACAGATTGTTCTTCGCTCCGTGAGCAACAGCGACAAGGCATTGAAAAAGCATCAGTCCTTGCAGATACCAGTCGTGTAACGAACGCCCCAATCTTTACCAGTCATCAACCTACATCTCTTTCTTCTTTTGATGAATCGGTAGGCGCAACTTTAAAGAGTCATGCCCGTCCCTCTCAGTTGCAGTCATCTTCTGTGCCGCTTGTATCAGCACCAATGACCAGTAGTAACAACCATCATGAAGAAGGCTTTGCATCTTGTGAGGACACTGTTCAAGAGTCCCATCAACAAGTATTATCCTCATCAACAGAGAAAAGAAAGCACCACCACCAACGAAGCTCTTCATCTCCCATCGCAATCATACGAAGCTCTGGATCAAGTCCTTCTTCTTCACCAACCACAACCACAACTACTACCAATTCTACTAGTACTGGTAACAGCAGCAGTAGCAGTAACAACCATACGGACGCCCCTTCTTCCTTTCCTCATAAAGCCTCTCATCATCATCCTCACCGAAAAACTCGTAAACCATCTCCTCTTTTATTGCATCATCAACAACAACAGCAAAACAGTGAGATGATGTTCATGAATAACATGATGAGTAGCACCTTGATCAATCATCATGGTAGCAATAATCTTCTCAATCCTCAAACGACAACTTCTTTGAGGAATGATTTTGAGGCTTTCCATGCGTTGGGACAAAGTGCCACCTCTTCCATGCTCTTTCCTTCATTGAATCCTTCGCCTTCTCAAGGAGTTGTAAATATGAGTAGTACAAACAGCAATGGTAGTAGCCACAACGATACCACCATGAATAACGATACCATCGCAAGCATGAATGACATGCACAACATGGTGATGGATCCAATGACCCTAGCCTCTGCCTTGTTGTCAGGTCAGATTAACCTTACTGCCCTTAATGAAGAGCAGTTAAATACTCTCCGGTTATTGATAAGTCATCCACAACAGCTGTCACCTCAAACTCAACAACAAGTAGGACATTCAGAGAACTATGCTTCCAATAACATGCTTTTCATGAATCCTAACACGCAGGAACTTGTCACAAATACTACAGGTATAGATTCACACATGCATGTACGAAGACACAGCGTTGCAAGTCAAATGTCTCTCGATTCCGTCTACTCTCCAAGCATGAACAATCAGAAAACATTTTCTTCAACCTTAAACGTTCCCTCATCAAACCTTTTCCAGGAGTCGCCAACAACTGCAACCCCTCAAGAAGGTGGTCATTCTCTAGATCCTGCAAGTAGCAACATGCCATCAAATGCAACTGAAATTATTCATTAATCGACAATGCTCTCTCTGGATGTACCTCTTCTCTTGGTCTAAAGCTTGTCAGTGCTGTTGATGCCTCTCCTCCTGTAAATATGAACCATTCTTCCATCATGACAAGTTCACCAAACGGCCGTTCAAGAACTCTTTCTTCGCCTGCCATGTACATGTCTCCAAATCTGTCACCCTCCAGTTCTTCCATGTCATGTTCTTCACCTCAATTCCTACAAGTTGCGAGTAATGATAGCAACAGTACAAGTCAAATGTCGCCAGTCTCCCCACATCAATCAGAACCATTTAATTTTTCATCCTTTAGAGAGCAATATCAACAGCAATTTTCATTGAGCAAGTCAGAATCCTCAATCACTGCTCTTAAAGGTAACTCTGGAAAGCAACACCATCAACGACATAATTCAACGCCTGCAATTACGGTAACAGAATCGAAACCACGAAGTAGAAAAAAGAGTATTGCAAAATCTTCACCTGCAAGCCCACTAATCCACATTCCATCAATTCAAATTCAGGGTGTTGAATCCGCTGCTACCTCAGTTTCTACAGTGACAGCAGCTATTCCCAAAAGAACAAGACGAAATTCCATGTCATCTCTTGATAAAGACAATTCCTCAGTTAGTGGACCCTTAACAAAACAGAACAAAATGCAAAACACCTTAAGCAAAACAATAGTTTTCAACAATTATTATGATGAAATTCAGTTCAAAAAGAAACATGGGCCAAACTGCACTTTCTATAAATTTACTGAGTACAAGTAAGGAATAAAAGGAACAGCTTTGATCGAATTACTTGGAAGGTGGTTGAAGTGAATTGCTTGGGTGTAAAAAATTGCGCAGGAGCTCCAGTTTCGATTGGAGGGATTCAAGAACTGCTGTTTTAAATGTAACTGTCTGTTGCTGGTTTTTGACGGGAAGGCTGAAGGCAAGGGCTAACAGAAAAGCGTCATCTTCAGTACTCACCAAGTCCCTTACTTTCTCAACAGTTCCGGTTAACAAACACGCAATTACATCAGCATGCTCAAATGAAACAATCTTCTCCTTTCCTGTTAAAAACAGGCATCCACACAGAATGTCCAACTTTCCTTGAAGAAACTCTTTCTTAATTTTGTCTTCCTTTTTTTTCATTTCTTGTTTAAATTGTTCTTTCATCTTTTCCTCTTCATGTTTGTGGTATACCTTAATCTTTTCCATTTCTTGTTCATGAAGTCTTTCAAGTTGTTTCACCTTTTTCTGAACCTCCTCCATGCTATTATCCACACACTTTTCAACATTTTCAGAAAGACTTTTGAAATACGGATCATCTATTAACGGAAGCTCAGTGATTACTTGAAACTCCGTTGAATTTAGAACTCTCAATACATTCCTCATACGATTTTGGTACTTTATTCTTTTTCTCTCTATCCACGATGAACTCTGTTTCCATCAACAATCTCTTTCCTTTTTGTTTTTTCTCGTCCGTAACTACTTGATTAAAGGTAACTCTTTCATTGGTTTAAACAGTTTTTGAGAATATTAACCTTCCTCAAACTTTAAACATTCTGATTCATGCTGTGATAAGAAAAAATTAATTGAGGTAAGTGTACTTCGAATCCAGTTGTGTGGCAACAAAAAAAATGGCCACACCTTCACAATCGTTTATTCCCACATCCACCTCAATTCAAGAGATCATTTGGAGCTCTTTGAAAGAGTGTGAAAAACAATTTGGGAATCTTGTTCGCACCACGTGCCAAAGTTCAGGTCAAATCAGTTTTTATTGTGGACAGCAATTTTGTCGTTCAGTGTTTGCAATAGAGTATGAGGGCAAGGCGACTGTGTATCCGAGAGCAATTTTGTCAATTCAATTTTGGCTTCTTTGAAACACCGATGCTCAATAATACATTGTCTTATGTTTGCCAATGTTGAGGAAATTTCTTTTTGGTTCACACTAGATAGTTCTGACAAACATTCCAAAGTATAAATCCCTTTAACCTGCTCATTCACAATCACAAAATCAATAAAATAGCACGTGAAAATGTGTTTCACTTTGTCGTACACTCTTTCTGTGATTAATATTTGGGATTTTGAAAAATTTTGAAGTTCAGATATCATGTTCCTTATCAACGTAACTTCAGGTCCAAAAACACTAAAGCTCAAGCGAACATTCGAACCAATATTTCCCACTGACATGTTTCCATAATTCATTGAAATAGTAACGGTGAAATTTGTAGAGAGATTTTGGTTCAGCTTTTCTAATTCCAAAATGATTTGAAGAGCTGAGCGACACATTTGCGTTTCACAATTTTCGGAAGCATGATCTGGTAAATGAAACACAGCAGTTACTATTCCTCCAACAATCTGGTCTACCATACCACCGTTGTCTTGAATTGCAATGAAGCTAAGGTTGTAATATTTGGCCATGACTCTCGTAAAACTTTCACAGTTGGCCGTACTGAGCGACAGCTTAGAGAAACCATTAATTTCAACTCGCAAAATGCCTAATTCTCTTTTGGAAAAGCCAACTGCAAAGTTCTCACCCTCACAAATATTATGTTTCATAATAGTCATAGGAATGTATTTGTAAAATGATGCAAGTCCATTATTCATAATGGAGAGATTTTGGTGCATTAATCGGATGTCGTAAAATAATGTATTTCTTTGGAGGAAATTAATAGTCTTCAGTAATCTTTGCTTCCATTTCGACATGGTGTTTTTCGAATTTTCAAAGACACTCCCAAATTGAGATATTTTAGCCATGGAGCTTGCAATTTGTTGTAGGGAGAAGCTAATCCTAATGATAATAAGAGAGAGCAGTAGCATTTCTAATGCCAACACTCCTACAAATATTGCGATATTATAAACGCTGCCGCCAATTGCTTCTTCCAAAAATGAAGTTTGCTTGATACCAACCACAATAAACCATTGAAGGTTATATTTGTCACAAAAGGGCATAATTGCAACTTCTAGAGTATCAGGAATGGTGGTTCCGTTGACTGTTGTACCACCAGGAATGATGAAAAATAGAGTGTTGGATGATGTGACAGAAGCGTCAGTCCTATTTGACGGCAATTGAATGGCTGAACATTTAGCTGCAAGTAATACTTCGATCAACTGCTTTTGTACAATGATATTGTACATGGCGTTCACTCTTGTTCCGGCTCCGTGTTGACCCAATATTGTGTTTTTCGCATCCATTATAAAACTGTTATCTAAAATGTTGTTGTTGTAACTTGAAAGGATATCCCATCCGGATCTTGTCGAGTTCAAAAGCTTTGAAATGGTAAGTTCAATTGAAAACTGAATGCTTAATACTCCAAATAAATATTCAGGCTTTTTGTATTGTGGATTGCTGTATGAGTTCACGCTAGGAATGGAAATTAACTTGGGTGAAAATGCAGATTGTATCAAATCATTATTACGTGGATCATTAAGATATGACAGAGAATAATTGCTAAATAGAGGAATACTCAGTGACACAACAGATGCGCCAACATAATTAATCCACGACTCGGTCCATAAAATATCAGTCGCCGAATCGTTGCCTCTGTCAAATGGCAAGTAGTATACTCTTGATTTTGGATTGTATCTAGCATCTTTGGATTTAAAGAATGGAGTAAATGTACTGTTGAGGTATTCTGATAGAGAGCAGTTGTTTGGTGCTAGGATCATATCTTCCTTACTAATTTTAAAATACCTAAACGAGGTCTCTAAGGGATCATAGACCCTTAATGCTAAACCTTTTACCGTTTGATTATATTCTCTAGCTAAATATCTGTCGTCAAATCGAGCATATCTATAGGCATTAGCTCCCACAGTACTAGCGTAAAGAGTGTCAATGGTGTCAATGATCTTTAGCAGCGCTATTTCGTCGTTCAGATTAATTCTATGGACCAGTCGCATCATATGAGAGACCATAGTATTAATATTATCCATAAAATGTTGTATTTCTCCATCGATAAAAACTTGCATTTGAAACCTTTGGAAATCTCTAATATGAGAAAGAACATGTTCTCCACTTGAATACAGCAACACAAATGATGAAGCAATACCAAGAAAAACTTGGAAAATAAATAGCACCACCAAAACATTGGTCACTGTAATGAATTTAGCAAAGAATGACGCGCAATAGGATAATTTACGTCGAGTTGTTGCTCGTCTTCTTTCATCACTATTATTTTCAGATTGTGAACTTTTCAATTCCATTTTCTGTTTCCCACTGCTCTCCGAGTGTTTCACAGAGGAGGGTGTTGGGCTATTGGGAGAGTTGTCGTCGATCATTGTACATTGCTGGTGTGGATGGTGATTGTTGGGAGATGAATTAGCATCTATTGATGCGTATGAGGGCTGTACACAATTAGTTGGCTGTTGAGGATGAATGGAATAAGGTGGAGATAAAGTATCGGTTCTTTGAGAGGAAAGGTTGGCATCCGATGATACGGTCGATAAACTATTACAGCGGTGTTCTAGCTGTTGATCAGAGGAAGGATAAAAGAATAATGATGATTCATAAGATTGATGATGCTGTAAATAATTGCCTTCTTCGCATGGAGATCTATGCCCAATTATGTTCATAAAACCCTTAGTGGTTTGAATATCATTGGCGTTAGGAGTACTGATGATGCTACAATTACGTTCCTGGCTAGTACTTGATGAGGATTTCTCGGTTGTTCTTGTTCCGAGTGGCCACTGTTGGTGCTGCGAGTAGAACGATGAATAGGTCGTTGTAGGAGCAATGTATGGTTTGTTGTCGGAACCATCATCGGCTCGTGTTGTAGAAGAAGAATCTTGAGATTCCAATTCATACATGGGATGAAGTTTTGTCTTTGAGCTAGATCAAGTACACAATATTATTACTTTCAAACGATGAGTCTGAACGTTGTAGTTGTGAGGTCGAACGCGCTTGAAATATTTTTTGATGTGTGTTATTGGTGGACTTTCACCCAAATGGAATTGTCACTTGCCAAAGGCACAAAACGCTAAAAAAGGGATTTCTTATCTCCTGAACAAATAATTCAATGACCTGGCAAGTCTATTTCTTTTTCCTGGATGACGTTTTTCGCGTGTTGGAAGACTTTTTGGATTGCTTTTTTTTCTTTTTCTTTGGTGAATAATCTTGTTCTTCCTCGTCATAGGATTCTTCATCACCATCTATCTCTTCCTCTTCGAATGAAAAATCTTCCTCTTTCTTTTTTCTTTTTTTCTTGGTGGTTTGCTCAGTATCTAGCGAGACAAAATCTTCAAGCACGTTCGAAACTGAATGTAATCGAATCATTTCTTTGACCTCATCAAGTAGCGTTGGACAAATACTCCATCCTTGGTTCTTCACAAGCCGGTCCGACATTTGTATCATCTGAAGTATCGTAAGACCTTTGAACTTGTCTTTTTTAGTAACAACATTCAATCCTCTACTAATTAAATACTTTAGTCCTTCCAATATATTTTTCAATGTTTGACTATTTCTCCATTTCGTAACATTCTCTTCAGTTATTCTCTTTTGATTAATGTTTTCATGCAAATTGAACCACAGTGAAGCAGCTAATGCATGTCCAATATTATAGCCTAATCGAGATGAAAGTACCTGATGAATAGACAGTATGTTATTCTTATAAAAATGTTCAATGTCCCCTTTCCACTGTTCTGTTAAAATATTAACCATTGGATGTATATATGTTTCGTTAAACTCTTCGTCATCATACTCATCCCATTCGGACATGTCGATTAAAAATCGTTGCGTGTGTAATTCTTTAGGAATTTCATTCTCAATGGAATACGTTTTTAACAAGGAAACATAAGATGGATCGTCATACTCAAAAAGATCAATGAATTGTAACCAATCTGGGCAGAATGTGTCTAAGGTATAAAAATTAACAGGTGGCTGGTTCTTGATGAAAGAGCTTAATAGGTAGCTTGCGTCGCGTTTAAAATAGTATTTTTCAACTTTTTCATGCGTAATGAGAGTGACCTGTTTGATTGAATAGGGTGCAGTATTATCGCTGTCAGTACTTCTCTCTTTCGATAACTCGAGTCCAATCGTTTTCCAATCTACCAGCTCTCGTATCTTTCTAAAGGTGGCTGGCTCACACAAAGCAAAGACAATGTGTTGCAAATTCACAAAATATTTGCATAACAAATAAATTAATTCGTTACCGATTCTAATCGAAGGAAGAGTTATTTTCTTGACATGTTTGCCAATGCCAAATTTGTTAAAGCTGTCCAAGAATGAGTGAAAGTAGGTGTGTGAGTATCTTTTGATTTCGAGGCGATAACCATATGTATTGATGATAAAGGCGTTACTATCTTTTGATTGAAGTATAGAAGCATTAAGCTCAGCCTCGTTGGTCCCATCCGTTCGTTCACTTGTGTTCTCCTCCTCACTAGGTTTCTTTTCTGATTCTTGGTGCTTCAGTTTCTCTTCATCGTTTGTATCAACATCTTCTCGCACTTTTGCTAGTAAAGGAGTTAGCATATTAATTCCGAAATGTAAATGTTGAAATAAAGCTGGGCCTTGTTCTTCCAGCACCGTGATCAGGCTTTGTTGCCATGATTTACAAACACGCTGATACAAGAACAAGGTGGGAAGAGGTGCTAGATATTCACTGCAAATCAGTTTGACAATATCCGATGTAATTTCGAGCTCGGTTGCGTTGTCCATTTTTTTGGAAAATCAGTTGATCATAAAGGAACAATTTTGTGCAACTGTTACGAAATTTTGAGTGACACAAGGGCAAGACGCCAAAGACCTGCTTCATGTGAATTATCGAAAAATGTACAGCTGCTTGTTTCACAACCTTCACAAATCCTGGGTCAACAGACAGGAGCAGTCTTCAAAATTTAAATGCAGCTTTCATTCTCATGACCAACAAAATTAAAGGATGCACAATAAATAGCTACACATGAACCTTCTCGAACGCTGTCATCGTCCAAGTTCAACATGCCCAACAAAAAAATGAGCTCTATTCGTTCCGTATATTTGCTATCGACCAATCCTCTCAAACTGCCCGAGTACACCCGTAATTTTGATCGGTACGGAGTGAGAGTCGTCTTGTTTGATCCGAGCGAGTATGCTGATGATCAATGTAAATTAAATTTTTTGTTGAAACATGCTCCACAGGCTATTTGTTTTATTGCTGATCAGATGGATTTGTGGAAGAAAGGACAGTCTGGAGAGAGAGCTAAATTGGAACATTTGGAGTTGGTTGAGAGTTGTACGGAACTGACCGTTTGGCAACTCAATAAGGAGAAGGATGCTATTGTGAAGAAGGTGTACAAGAACACTCAATTGGGTTTTATTGATCTATCGAGAAAAAAGCCTAATTTATTGAGAAGAAGCGTGTTTGGATGGGATGATGTTTTTGTCAATGTTTCCACTGGTATGAGCAACTTGGAACAGATTGAACGCTCAGGTGTGAAAATTTCTAGCAGAGATATGGCAATTTCCGAGTTTATTCGTGAAAGGTATGTTTTGCTATTCTCATGTGTTGTGATATGATTAACACAAAATCCCTCCTGATACACTCAACAGATTTTACTATTCGAAAAGAAGGGATCTTCAATTTACTCCCCAACACGCAGAAAAAACCATTGACTTTAAAAAGAGTGTTCTCCACTACTTTGAAACACATAATCTCTACAACAATGAAAGTACTGCCAAATATAAGGTTACTAATATTTGGAAGACAGTTGCTAATGAGGGTATTGTTCTCAAGTCTGCCATTAATAGAAGACAATACAACTACTTTTCCACATTACTAAATCCTGCCTTGCCACTTGTTAGTAAGAAAGACCCAATTCATGAGACAACCTTCCAGGTTCATGATTGTGGACACTTCCTCATTTTAGAATTAGTATATACTGGATATGAAACAACCGATCTTCATAAATTAGTATATATTACATTTAGAATGATCAGTGAAGCTGTGACCATGATGATTGCTGACATCTTATTCATTCATGCCTTGAAGCAGCAAGGAATTGAATACGATTTTGATTCTCGAAAAATATACCCACTCTATTCGTCATCTAATCTTGACTTTGACAGAGATGGAATTGTGCCAACACTTGAAAAATTGGTTCGAGCCAACGTGGACTATGCTCTTAAAGGAGATGACACCAAATTCAGAGCTATTGCTTCAGAACCTGTCTTAAAGACATTTAAGGATAAATTTGGCCCATTCTTTGTCGAAGACTACAAGTGGAATACCAACAATTATCTCAATATGGAAAGTCGAAAAGAAGAAATTCGGAAATGGTGGGACAGCGTTGAGCACGTGAGAGGCTATATTCCTGACATTAGATTCCTCACCATTGATGAATTCATTTCTCGTATGGAAAAGTATCACAACAAAGATTTATCATTGTTGGACAATGAGTGTATTGTTGATTTGGTGTTTGAAACTGTATGGAATGAGATTGTTAAGCCTGTCTTTGAAAAGGATGATGTTCCACTATTACCAGAAGGAACAAGAAATTATAATGCATTTGTACGATACATGATTGGACAAATGGCCATCTTTTCAGCTTTTAACATTCCAGAGAGAACTATTTATCAAGATGGCTTACTCAAATTCTTGAAGGAAAAGTCCAAAACCAAATCCATTACTATTAATGAAATTGAAAATGCAGTCTCGTTCTATTCTGCATTCGTCGATTTATTGGCCCAAAAGAGCTTGATTACCTTTGATGATGCTTTTACATACAAGGAAATTTATCCAATGGTAAGTTGAAAATGATGATTGTGTGACAGAATATATTAACCATGTTTATGTTTGTATTCTCTATGACCGTACCATTGACTCCTCTTACATGTGTAACAACAGTTCGAACCATGTTATGTATTCTATGACGAGAACAAGACCTACTATGACAGCATTGCCAATGTTTACAAGAAACAATTCCACATTCCTCATCGAATAATTATTTTAGGAAAACCTGGAAGCGGTAAAGGAACGCAATCCCAAATGATTGCAGAGAAGTATGGGTTGATTCACATTTCCACTGGAGATTTGGTAAGAGCTGAGGTCAAGGCTCAAACTGAATTGGGCAAAAAATGTGATGAAATCATGAACACTGGAAAATTGTTACCAGATGAATTGATTAATCCAATCTTCCTGAAGAGAATTTTACAAAAAGATTGTAGAGAAAAGGGTTGGATTTTGGACGGATATCCTCGAACAGATTCCAATCTGCAATTTGTGAGGGATAATCGATTGACTGTGACATGTGTACTCTGCATTGACGTGAGCGATGAGCTTGCCATTGAGAGACAATGTGGTCGTCTCGTAGATCCACAGAGCGGTAAAATTTATCATGCTTCCCTTCTTCCACCATCAGACGATATTAAGGAAAGACTTACTAAACGAGCCACCGACAATGAAGAAAAGGCAAAAATTAGAATGAAAGTGTATCATGAAGAAATGGGCAAGAGTGACAAGTGGTTCTCAGAGGAAATCACTTTCCACGTCGATGGTTCTTTACCTCCCGAAGAAGTCTTCAAACAAATTGAAAAGATCCTCAAGTAATGAATTTGGTGATCATGTTGCCTTTTCTCTTCCGTTTTTATGCACTATTAGCTCTGTTTTATTTCAAAGATGTAACACAAACAAAATACAAATTTAATCACAACTAATTGACAGCCAACTTTTCTCCATTATCGTCCATCTTTCTATAGAAGGATGGCTCCTTGATAATTTCTGGGAATTGTTTGTGAGCTAGTTCAGCCATCTTGGAGCACACTTCTTGAACTTCAGTCTCGTTTCCTTTTGAACACATTCTTCCAATCAATAGCTTGTGTAAATCCTTAATATTAATTGTAAATGTCAATGCATTGCACTTGCAAGACAAATTTTGCATGTTAAAGAATTCTGTGCTCAGCATTTCGGTTTGGGTGTTCTTCTTATCCCAAAATTCCTTATTCTTCTCTCGCAGCTGTAAAAACTCACGAATCATTTCCTTCTGACGAGGAGCGGACTCTCCCTGCACTCTAAACAAACACTCACTCATGGCCAATGTTGCCGATGAAGTCAATCGAGCTACTGAGGCTTCTCTGTGTGCCACTAACTCTTGACAAGTCTCCACTGTACAACCAGCAATTAAAAAGGTTACTGTCGTTCCTGCATAGATACTCAAATGTTTGGCTTCATTGATCATTCGATGATGAAAGTTGGCACTCTCTTCACTTGTTGTGGGTTGATCTTTAAAGCTCAAATAGGTGAGACGTCCCTTGAATTCAGCACTTTGTAAATAATCATCTCCGTGATTGCAGTGCATGGCCTGATAGAGATCAAGAGCTTCGGGAGTTGATTTAGAAACTTCAGTGATGATCACTCCTGGTTTCAACACAAATAATTCATCTTCCACGATACCACCTGATTTTTCAATGATCGTGATGAGTCGTTTTTTAAATTGAGACATTTTTTTGATGGTGAGTGGATCATGAACTTGCCTTGTGTGGAGGGTGAAGAGGTTCATGAGCCAATGGTTACCTTCCAGTGTAGGTTTGAAAATATCCAACCTTAAGCTTCAAAAAACAATTTACAACTCCGCAATGGCAACTTCTGTGATCGGGAGTGTCGTTAAATCAACTGACTTGAAAAGAAATTGAAAGTTGTCAATACTGGTCCACTGGAAATGTGGCACGGAAGCATTGAAACGTTTAATGGACACAACAACAAAGAATGCAACAAAGTCTTACGACTCTCGAGTTTGCTGATGCTGAACCCTCTCTACGAAGAAGTTTTAATAGTTATCCCTGCAGGGATGTAGCGGCTCAATGCTTCTACAAAGAAACAAGCTCCTCTTGAACTTGCAGTCGTGGCTTGGACATGATCAAGAACAAGCCAGTGGAAAATATAATGGGAATTGAATGTGTTTAATTACACACTTTTCATGTACAAGAATGCCTCATATATTTGACATTCATCTTGTTAATAATAAATATCTCTTACTCCTTGAGCAATACTTTCCAAATTCTTTTTAAGACTCTTTCGTTTGGCCTCAGAAGGAATATTCTTTTGTTCTTCCTCAATTCTTCTCCATCCAATTTGTTGTGTTTCTTCATCTGCATAATCGTGTAAATACTCTGCAAGAGTCATGATACTGTTAGGATGACACATGTTTTGAATATCACCCTTCTTGGCAATTTTCATGAATTTTTCACCAGTTCTATTCATTCGATAACATGCAGTGCAGAAGCTTGGCATGTATCCTGTTTCTAACAATTCTCGAATAACCTCATTGGTTGGTCGGTGATCTCCCAATGAAAATTGTCCCATGGAATAATCATCACGTTCATCTTCTTTCTTTTCATAGCCTCCAACAGCAGTGTTAGATCCTGCAGACATTTGTGAAATACCAATTCTCAACAATTCTCTTCTAATTTCAGGAGTTTCTCTGGTCGACAAGATCATGCCAGTATAGGGTACAGCACATCTCAGGACTGCAACCAATTTTTTAAATTGATCGTCATTGACAAGATGTGGCACGTTGATACTAACTTCAGATCCAGAGGCTGGTCTCAATCTTGGAACCGAGATGGTATGTGGACCAGCATTCCAAACGTCGCTCAAGTGATTTGCATGTTGTAACATGGCCAACACTTCAAATCTATAGTCATACAATCCAAATAAGGCTCCAATACCAACATCATCCAAGCCAGTCACAAATGCCTTATCCATGGTTTGCAAACGATCGTAATATTGTCCCTTAGTTCCGAAAGGATGCATTTCCTTATGAGTTTGACGATGATATGTCTCTTGGAAGAGAATATAAGTTCCAACCTTATTGGTGGCCTTGAGTCTTCTAAAATCAGACACGCTTAATTGTGGAATTTCAACATTGATTCTTCTAATATCGCCATGAGGTTCTGTCTTGACATCGGCAGCAACCACGAGTTGTCTTATGAAATCTTCAAATGTGTATTTTGGACTCTCACCACAAAGCATGAGAATTCTTTTGTGTCCTTGTCTTTCCAAAGCCTCTACTTCTCGAATCACTTGTTCATCTGTAAGTGAAGAACGTGGCATTTCCTTGTTGGAACCTCTATATCCACAATACAAGCAACTACCTACACAATAGTTGCTAGTGTAGAGAGGTGCAAACAAGACAATTCGATTTCCATAAATAAGCTCCTTGATGAAGAGAGCAGTTGTATACAAACTATTAAGAATATCTGTCTCTGTTTCTGGAATATTCAATAAGGTTGCAGTATCTTCGAGTGACAATCCTTGAACATATTCATCTTTTGGAATACTTTCACAAGTGTTGGCAGTAGTATCTGTGGAAGTACCGTTGGCTGAATTCTTTTGTTTGTTTCGGAGTAGTGGAGACTTGAGAAGAGCTTGATCTCGGGCTCGTTTCAAAATTCCTCTCACGTGTTCATGATCAAGCGCTTTTTCTTTTGTTTCCTCCATTAATTGATGAAGTAAAGCTTCATCAATAATCTTTGTAGGATCGGGAAGTTGTTTCAAAGTTTCTGGTTCCTTTTCGACGGACCATCTTGCCATCATGGGGCTGTAGGTAGAAAAATTACAAATTCTTGATGTGAGTATAGCACCTGGATTGAGAGATGGTACAATATTGGATTTCGATAAACACATATTGCCGACTGATTGCGTACTAGCAGCAAAAATATGTTTGGGGTTTTTACAGGATAATCCATTCAACACCAAGTGTTGCAGTGCGCCAGTCCTTCTTGTAACACTCTTCATTCTTATCGGGATTTGTGGATGTCTCCAAAAATTGGTGATGATCAATGTTTGTTGTTATGTTTTTTTTGTTTCTGAAGGTCTGTAAATTTGCTCTTTCCGTGCTGATGGACTATTTTGTAAGAATCTTTATCCCTTTTTTAAACCTCAAAAAATTAAAAGAAATTTTAACGTCCAAAATGGTGAAAAAAGAATCAGTAGCGTCTCTTTTAAAAAATACCTTAAAAGAAGAGTGGGTAGATCTCATTGTTGTTGTGTTCTTAAAAGTGTAGAAAGCTAAAATCAAAAAATCGTGTAAAAAGGAAATGAAAGGTCTGAAGACACTTACCCCAATGTGTGTTCGGAATACAACGAAACAGCTGGTCAACAAGTCCATGAACACTGGCTGTGTTACATTGCACGGCGTTCATCCAAATCTCTCCCACCAGCAAGTCCACTTTTCGTCGTGGTTATCAAAATCCAGGCATGGAAATCATCATCACGACCACGATCATCACCATCATGACATGATTTCGGAGGATGAATTATTGCCGACACCAAAGAAAACAATTATCAATATTCGACAACCACCTATTCCTACCTCAGAAATTGAATTTGCCCATGTCGTTTCCGAAGAGTCTGACAACAATATTTCTCAAACAAACAACATTCAATCCGAGTTGTCCTCATTAAAAACTGAGAGAGCAGAAGAACGTAAAAAGCGACGGGAGAGAACTGCCAATTATTTACAGCAACCAGTCGAGGAGAGAATTAAAGTCTTGTCCAAATATTTTGGTCAAGTGCCTCAAATGGGAGTTCCTGTCCAATTGACGCACGATCAGATTGTCAATGTTTTGAATATGGAGAGTTTAGTGGATCAGAGAGCTCTTTTTGACTATGCCAACTCCATTACAGAATCCATCTATGGTAATAAGGTGTATTTTAGAGGAATTATTGAATTCTCGAATGTATGTCAAAAAGATTGTAAATACTGTGGAATAAGAAAACACATGAAAGTCCCTCGATATACCATGCCTAAGGAAGAAATCATTGAACAAGCGGTTTGGGCCTATGAAAATCATTTTGGATCCATCATGTTGCAAAGTGGTGAGCTCAACACGGAGGGAAGAATTGCCATGTTAGAAGAGGTCATTCGTGAAATTAAAAAGAGAACGGGAGGAGGCGGACCGGGTGAGTGGAATAAGGGACTTGGAATTGCTTTGGGAGTTGGAGAGTTGAGTAGAGAATCTTATCAGAGATTGTTCAATGCAGGAGCTCACCGATACTTGCTTCGAATTGAGACCTCAAATCCTGAACTCTACAAAAAATTGCATCCCAATGATTCAAATCATGTATGGGAAGAGCGAAGAGATTGCTTAAAAACACTCATGGATATTGGTTATCAAACAGGTACTGGTGTCATGATTATGATTCCTGGACAATCCGTTGAAGATTTAGCCAGTGATTTGCTATTTTTCCGAGACATTGGAGCAGATATGATTGGAATGGGGCCATATATTGTGCAAGACGACACACCTATTGGAGAAGAATGGATGAAGCTTTATGGGCATCTGAATGAAGAGGAGAAAAAAGAGTACAATAGGAAGCTATTCAGGTTGTCATTGAAAATGACTGCACTTGCAAGAATTCTCATTCCCGAGGCAAATATTTCTGCCACAACGGCCTTGCAAGCAATTAATCCAGCAGGTAGAGAAATTGCCCTCAATTCTGGTGCTAATATGGTCATGCCAATCATTACTCCAACTAAATACAGAGTCAACTATCAACTCTATCAAGGAAAACCGTGCATTGATGATACCAAGGAGGAATGCAAACGATGTCTCACAGACAGAGTGAAATGGTCCAATAAGCATCTCATGCTAGATGAATGGGGAGATCCCATCAGTTACTTTAGAAAGAGACAAATGGAGGTTCCAAATAAGTAAAATTAGAGTTCCATAGTTTTGATACTATTGTTCATCCATGTGCAGAGTAGATAGTCTGTTTTCATTCACCATGGTAGATCGATTTCGAAGAATTACATTGAGTGTTCGTTCTCAGTAACGGAATTCGAAACACTACATCATTCGAATAAGGTAGGTCTGTATTTTCTACTTCCTTTCCCAATTGACTTGTAGCCACAGCAGATTCTCCATCCTTTGTTTGTTCATATTTAATTTTCTCCAATCCCAACTTTAGAATGTATCCCAGCTGATTGGTGGCTAGAATTGTTTTTCCTCCTTCAGATTTTTTATTCGGCAATGAAATTCTTGCATTTCGATGCGTGTGACCAAATCCCCAAAAAGTTATATTCGATCGTTTTTGAAACAAATAAGAAAGATCAGTTCCCATTGCAGTCTCCAACGGTTTTTCATCTTCTAATACTGTATTTTCTAAATAGGGAGCATGGTGCGTGAGTACACAAATCGCATATTCACACGCTTCATCAAATGCCATAGTTTTGAGCTTGTTCACAAAATTTTCATGCATTTGAATAGTATCGTTGATGGTGAGAGTTTTATCACCTTTTTGAATAGTAATAATCATTCAAATGATTTGAAATGGTGTATCGTTCTCTTTGTGGAACGTTTGTCCATAAAGTATCTCCAACTTTTCAGATTGAACACAATGATTGAATGTTTCCATTCATTAATATGAACACATAAAAAACATACCTAGTTTCACAACACCACCTGTTTCAGGACATTGATACAAGTGTTCATCATGACCAAGTTCATGATCGAGAAAGATTAACTTGTCGTTCTTTTGACAAACTTGTGCAATTTTTCTTCGGGTTGCTTCCATTAATGATCATGATCATAAAATTCATGATTCCCAGCCACAACAACAACTCGGTGAAACTTTTCACATTGTTCATTCAAAAACTGTTCATAGATTGGAGAAAAAGGATCTCCAATGTCTCCCAATAAAGCCAACAATGGAGCTTTTGGTGTGATGAATTCAGATCCAATTATCTTTTGGACTTGTTTTCGTTCGTGCTCTAAATGTACATCCGAGGCAATTTGAATTGGTACACCCACGTTCAAACAAAAAGTACTTTTTCCATGGGGTTCTTTGTCTGATGATGATTCTTGTGAGAGTAACGGTGCAGGAATCATTTCGTGTTGTTCTTTTCAGATGCATAAACGAAAGTGAAAACGTCTTTTGGTCAAATAGTTTTGATGGGACTGATAAAACAACAGAACCATGTTGAAGATATCAGATACAATCACTCTCACGAACATTCACATCAACAGCTCAATACAACCAAGAGCCACATAATTTCTCAAAGTGCCAACTGTCACTGCCATCATCCATAAAAAAATGATAGGGCCAAACATATTCCAAACAACAACAACAACCCATCATAACAACAACAACCCTGAGGATGATGATATAGCCAGTGTTACTAGTAATAACAATCATATCATTAACAACAATACTCTCTCGTCCAACTCGATCCCTCATAACAACACCAACATGGATGAAAACAAATCGTGTTTCACTCCGTCCCTTCTTCCCTCTTCACCTTCCAAAGTGCCAACATCAACAACGACATTTATGGACCCATCAACAACAACCACTACTACTACGACTTCTACCTCTTCAACAACAATAACCAACAATATCAAAGACCTTGTACAAGTGGAAGAGAAGGACCAAGAAAATATCCTTCGTCTGGCTGCCCATCCCGAACCACTTCCCGCCACCAACAACAACAATAACAACGATCATCATGATGAACACACACAAAAAGGGAGTCGTACACATGTAGCTGCAAAAACAACAGAAGAGGAGGTTGCATATTCTCCCACACGTGATTTATTGTCTAACAGTAGTAGCATCACGGCTCCTACGAGCAATACGATACCACCACCTTTGAACACAACAAAACCTACACCACTCTCTCCCAGTAAACCCTTATCTAGCCTCATCAATAATTCTCATCATCACCATCATGGCACAACGGAGATGATCACCCCTTCATCAGGTGGTGGCGTTGGCTCTGGAAAAAACGGAAAAGTTGGACTCTCGATCCCTCCTTTGAATTTATCGAGCAATAGACATCATCATCAACATACCCAAAGTGATTTTGGTAGCTCTCGTTCTTCATCCACTAATTCTCAAACACCTCATCATCATAGTGTAACATTTTCCGGATTGCATACATCATCATCAACAGGAAGGCTATCCGAATCGGGAAGACAATCTGATGCTTCTATATCTTCGCCTGGAGATTCTTCCTCTTCATCATCGACCACCTCTACCACATTCTCCCCATTCTCTCAACAACAACAGCAGCAACAGACCCAAACCCATCGATCAAATCAAATTTCTCAGCAACCATCACAGAACAACAATCAGTCCAAATCAAACCCTCCCACACCCCAAAATGGCACTTACAGCTCCTCCTCTTCAGAACCATCATCAGTTTTTACGCCGTCCAATTCGGAAGGAAGAGAATTCTCATCCTCTTCGACAGAGTCTTCCAATGTTACTCCGTTACTGCTGAAACGATATGGCAGTGGCTCGAGTCCAAGCTTTGGAAATACTGGCCACATCATTCATGGACATTACCACAGTCGTCAACAGCAGCAACAAGGAGGACAAGCTCCACACGATCATAGTGTACCAAAAATTCAACAACGGCGTGGCCAATACTTTCCACATGATCGTTTCAAAATTGTCATGAATGATTTCACAATTCAAATCACAGAGAAGAATAATGAAGCAGCCATTGTAGAGGAGTATACAGAGCTCAAATCTTTGGGACGAGGTGGACAAGCTACTGTTTTTTCTGCTCTCGAAAAGTCAACAGGAGAACGAGTAGCTTTGAAAATCATTAATGCTGGTGGAAACTCGGCACAATTATGGAATGAGGTAAGTATATCTTCTTGTGTTTACATTCTTTATATATTTAATTCTTATCAAGTTTAATATTTTGAGAGTAATGAAACATCCGTCAATTATTCCAGTTTGGAGGCTATATGAGACAAAAAACATTTTCAACTCGACCATTGTGTTGACAATGCCAGTTTACATTCATGGAGATTTAACTGGTTTTATCACCAAGTTTGCTCCTCATTGCGAACCAAAAAATCCTTTCACGACTCAGGTAAGTGCAGCTACTCGATTTATTCAGCCTAAGGATTTTTTGGTTCCCATTACTTTTGTATTTATTTATTTTTACATTTATTTTTCTCAGTGTATTATTGACATGGTACTTCAAATCACGGATGCAATCCAATACACACATTCTAAAGGAATCATTCACAGAGATTTGGTAAGTGTTTGAAAATGGAGTGAATTGTACTGACTTTCTGCAAAGAAACCTGACAACCTGTTCATTTCTAGTCTAGAAGTTGATAAAAAGAATAAGAAAGAGATCACTTCATGCAAAGTCACGCTGGGAGATTTTGGTTTATCGAAAAATATTCAGCAGTCCATGGCAGTATCAGTGGTGGGAACGTTTGGTTGGATGAGTCCCGATCATTTAAATGCTACATTTTCTTACAAAACCGATATGTGGAGTTTAGGTTGTATAATATATTATTTAATTAGTCTTGATCAAGCGCTTCTGAACACAAACGCACTGATTAATGAAAATCACAATTCTCACAAAGTGAAAATGGTTGAAAAGATGAAACAGGTAAGTTTTTCGAGATGGATTAAATTATACAACTGTTTACACAATGATGTACAATTGCATAGAGAATGAACTCGATATCGTTGCCTCAGAATTTTGAGCAGTTAATTGACATTGTAGTAAATAAGCTGTTACAAAAGAATCCGGACGATAGAATTTCTTCACATGAATTCTTTTGGGATTATTTAATACCGTGGAGATATCAAATTGATGAGGGCGAACTTACAGAGTTGACAACTAAGAGTGGATATTATAAATGGAGAGGGACATTTGTTACGAAACGAAAAGTAACAGCAGATCAGTTTAAAACTCTGATACAGCTTAGAGATATTCAATATGTCACTCGTATTCTTGGATTTTTTACAAAATTTGATACCATCACCCAACAGGAAGAGATTTTTGTGATACACAAACCGCAAGGAATTAATTTGAAAGAATACTTGGTGCCTTCGAATCCTAGATATGTTTCATTGCATGACAAGCTGGAAATTTTGCTGAAAATAGCGACTTCGATTGAAGAAATTAATAGAAATACCGATATTCAGTTTATTATCAAGTTGGATGCTACCAAGATATTTGTAAGTATTTCGTAAAAAGTTGCAACCAATGATACTCACAATGATTTGAAAACACCAATAGATTGATGATCATGGAGAGGTCATTCTATCAATTTTGGATGCTATTGAAGTGCAGCAACAGCCCATGGAAAAGGATAACATTTATAACTTGTATTTTTTCAGTTTGGATCTTTTGGATGAGTGCAGAGAAATTTATAATTATCCATTCGAAGAAGCCTATGACCTTTGCTATCAACAACATGGCTCTGAGTTTGTGGATTTCCCTAGGTTACTTGTTTTTGTTTTTAACGGATCGATAGTAACTCATCCAAGCAAGTATTCCATGGCCTACGTGTCACAAAAACTTTTTTCTCAACTCTACTCGACTCATCGATTTCCAGCAGATAGATACCCTGATCGAAAAGACAGTGTGACCTCAACTGTGTCTTCGACTACCTCTCCTGTTAGCCTCACTCCTCCAACAGATGCTCCTCTTATCAACATTAGTCAGTCTCCTCCATCTTCAAACCTCTCCATTATTACTCAGACTTTAGAGGCTGAAAGGTTAAGTCCAGAGGAGCAATTTCACTGTTCTCATCAAAAGATCAAGGAAATGATACGAGCCAACTCAGTGAGGCACATTTTGAAAGCATACCACATCGGTAGAGATGGAACAGATAAGAAATGGGCTAAAATTATTAAGGACGAGGAGGAAGACCATGAAGAAACTGTTGAAACCTATGATGAACATGTTTACAACAGTTTGCAAAATTATCAACTGCACTCAGTTACCTCTAGCACCTCGTGCACGGATGTGGGAACATCTAAAAAGAATCCAGAGTTGGTGAACGTATCTATTGAATGTCTTAGTTTCCAACCAAACCTCTTTAGAGATTATTTTAATGGAAAGCAAATGGAGCCTCTCTATTTATATTGGTATCTTATTGACATCAAACAAAAACGAAGAATTTCAGAGACTTTTTGTTGTGATATTAACACAAAGCAAATGAAGCAACTGTTGGGTGACACTGCTGAGGACGACGATCCACTTTCTGTTAAAAGAAGTCGATGTTCAGGCTATGAAGTGGATTCTAGCAACTCTGATATCATGGTATTATTTATTGTATCAAAAACTCTTCAAGGAAACGATTTCATAGATTCTTATATCAAACCATCCAAAAACAAGCTCACGGAAGAAAAATTTTCAAAAGTATTGAATGGATTGTTGCCACAATTACAAAATTTCCAGCAAGATTTTGCTTGGGCCTGTGAGCCATTATTTGATTTTGAAGGAAATCTAATTCTTCCAAAGGAGATTGAAACATTTTATTATATGGATGAAGTTCGAAATGAACACTCCTTCTATGAATTCTTTGAAAAACGAGATGTTAAAAAGGAAAAGATTGTGCCTATGACTTTAAAGCTTCACTGTGAAATGAGTAAGCCATATGAAACAACCCCTGTAACAAAATCTGATAGCCTAACTGAACTGGATGCCAATGTTGATCTCAAAAACACGTCATTTTACTTGAAACAAACAGCAAACACTAATAACGGATCATACATGTGTAAGATGTTCACATTTGCTCCTAACTTTATGAGCTCATTGACAGACAGCAATAATTTATATGTTTATCCTCAGTCTATTACATTTAAGCGGCGATCTTTATTTTTGAGAGACAATATGTCGATTGGAATTATTGTAAAATTTAAGCGAGATGACAAGGAACTGAGCGGAGAAGGCGAGAAAGTATTTATCCGAAAGAATAACAAAACATTTAACGAAGGTTATTCCACCGTTTCTTACCATTGCAGCAGTCCAGAGTTTAATGACGAAATCAAAGTTCAATTACCAGAACATCTTACTTCAAGCGATCACTTCCTCTTCACATTTGTTGATATTGATTGCGACGATGATCAAAAGTCTATGCACGTCATTGGATATGCATCTTTCATGCTTTTAGGAAAACATGGCCTTCTTGCTACACATGGTAAACAAGCACTGATGATTTACAAAAAGCTGCCTCTAAAGAATTATCTGCACGGAATGGAAGAAGGAAAAAAGTCAGGAGAGTTCAAAGTTGATTTCCAAGCAATCTCTACTTTGTATACTACCGATATTAACTTGTATGAATTCTTTTCTGCAACCGAATTGGTCAAAGTTATGAAAAATATTTATGGAGATTCTGTGACTGAAGTCCAAAAGAATATCAATCAAAAATTGAAAAATTTGGAACGAGTAGTAGACTTTAGAAATTTAATCCAATACATGCCACAAATCATGGATGTACTTTTGCTAATGATAACATTGAAGCAATATCCACAGGTACAAATTCAGGCTTTTGATCTTCTAAACTCATATCTTGATGGATTGAAGAAAACTGAGAGGAATACAGGTCAATACATCGAAAGGTATATCAAGGAATCATTTGTGAACAACAAAGAGTCCACTGGATTTTTATTTGAACAACTCTTGAAGAGATTTGTAAGACATTTGGATGACGAACAAAAACAAAGAGCTGAACGAAAGAGTGATGCGTTTACCAACATGTCGGTTTACAATTTGCTTTCCTCTGGAGATGCATTTCTTATCAAATTACCAAATGATAGCTTGCTCATAGAGAATAGTTCTATTTATTTCCAATTAATTGAGAAATCTCTCATTCTCTATATGCACAGTAACAGGCTGTTAAACCAACATCACTCCTCGACGAATCCTTTGAGACATTTAAAGAAAAAGAAGGATGACTTACCAGGACCTTTCACTCAAATTGTAGATTTACTTTCTGAGCTGAGAACTCTCGTTTTAAAGGAATGCAAGTTCAGATATTTGACGACAATGCAAATGGCTAAGGTATTGGTTGCTTCATATGCACAGCTTTTGACTGGAATGTTAAATCTCGTAGATAAGGGCTTCATCATCACAGAAATTGAAATGTTTTTGGATGAATTCTTACCTTCAAAAGATCAACAATTCGAACAATTCCAAGAGCTTAAGAACATATTTTTAAAACAAATCGCAAGCTATGATCATTTACTTGTGTTATGTTTGTCCTATAACGATAGCAACTGCTTGCAATATGTCAAGAAGAATGGAAACTACATTGTTTATCATATGTGTGACAACCATTACATGTCTGGAATATTTATCAAGAGATTCCTTTTAGACACTTTACACAAACAACGAAAGGTTCGAGAAAAAGCTGCACAAACATTTTGCTTCTTGCTTTCCCGACATGAATATGACAGTAGATACCAAACGAAGGACGCAAGACGAAAGATTGCCTCTCTTTACTTCCCATTCATCATTATCATTTGTGATCTTTGGAAAACGTATGAAGAACTCACAAAAGCAGACGCTCCATCGAAAAATCCTAGCTCTGAAAAGAGACCCGAGGCACAAACACTTCTCGTTTGTTTCTTACACATTTTACTCAACACAAGAAAAAAAGTATTTCGTGAATGGTGGAAACAAGAAGTACCAGAAAGAAAACGAACTTTTATCAAGATTTTGTCTTCCATTCCGAAACTCTTCCGATATTCTGACACAAAAACGAGTTATACCTCCAATGACGAAGACTCTATGGATGAAAGTTTTATGACATCCACTCCAAGAAGTAGCAGCTTGAAAGCTCCAATGTCAATTCCAAAAGAACCTCTTTCTCCAAGAGGAACCAAACGTGCGAACACAGTCAAGGACACAGTTGGAAGAAAGAGTTTTGGAATTCCCTTCTCCAAAGATGATAGCCATTATGAAACCAAAAAACCAAGCATGTCACGTTTTTCATCTCCCAATGTCAACAAGCTTGCTCATAGAACATCTGTCAGCATTTTGAGAAGTCAACAATCGAGTTATTCACAACTTTTCCGTGGAGATTCAAAGAAAAAAGCAAGAGAGCAACAAAATCGTTGGAAACGAATTCTCTCGATTCAAGCTAGTATTGCCTCACTGCGAATCATTTCATGGATCTTTGAAGAAGACAAGAACTCAACGGATGATCTCATTTCCGATATCTCTTACATTAAGCTGTTCTTGGAATTCTTCTTTACTCATATGGAAGTCGAACAATCAGAAACAACGTATAACATTGTGTTCCAACTTTTAGCTCTCTTTGTTAAAATTTACAAAATTAATGGATTTTATTACTCGAGAGAGGAGGTTGTGAAAAAAGTGAACGAGTTTGGTACACGATCTCCAGTGGAGACCATGAAAATGTTAGCTCTCTCTTTCACCAAATGGATGAAACTTGTTCAACAAAACGAACCCGTTCCCTTCTCTAATGCTGTGAATCGACAAGCGTCGTATAATTTTACTGTGAAACCTCTCGATCGAACCAAATCATCGGTGGCAACAAAATTCGATGGAACTCTCAACATTTCTGATTTATTGTGGAATATTAAAATTCGATACAAGGAGAGACAATATGTAGAACAATTGAAATCATGGCTAAATAGTCAACCGCCAGATGTGATCACTGCTGTCGAATTTTTGGAAAAGGAATTTGTCAAGTACATGTATCCTGATGATTTTGCTTCCAATAATGAACCAAGTACAAACGCTGAAGAACAGGGAGATGATCAAGAAGATGTGCTGAGTGTTAATTCAGAAGATGGTGGCGAAGAAATTTCTATTTTCCAAGCCTTACGACAACTGTAATCGTGAAAATGTGCCCAAATAAATTCCTTTATTGGCCTTGTGATTGGATTTCGGAGGTGTTTTTCTTCGAATAGGTCTAAGCGAATCAAAGGTAGCTTGCCCGATTCAGTAATTTGCAAATTTCTAGCCTTACTAATTTGGTTTTTTACTAAGCCCGTAGAATGCAAATTCCAAAATAAAATTTGACCATTGTTTTTCTCAAACGCTAACACGAAGAAAAACAACCAACACAACTAGTCAAAATGCTCTCTCGTTACAATCGTGGTTTTAACGATTTCTTTGATGATCCTTTCTTCAGTACTTCCCTCATGCGTCCATGGACTGGAGTAGGTGGTGATATAATGGGAACCCAAATGAGTACCTTCAATCCAGCCACTGATGTCTCTGAAACCGATCGTGCCATTTGTTTAAGATCCAATCTACCAGGGTTGAGAAAGGAAGATATTAGAATTGATGTTGATGATCAGAACAGAACTCTAACCTTCTCTGGTGAAACTCATTCTGAAAAGACCGATGAGAATGAAGTGTATCATAGAACTGAGAGATCCTATGGTAAATTCTCAAGAACCTTCCGTCTTCCACAAAACGTTGATTTGGATAATATTAAGGCAAATATGGATCATGGAGTATTGAAGATTAACATTCCAAAATTGGAGCAACAACAAAAACAAACACGTTCCATTGGAGTTGAGTAAACGTCTTGTGGAGCGCTACCACCTGTGTAGTGAATATTGCTGATATCAGTAAATATTTCTCGTGTTGTTGTGATAACAATGGTCTTTCTGTCCTATTCCAAAAGCAATGAGCGCACAATTCGTAATGATGCTCCTTTTTGCTCACAAATCGAAGACGCATTCCGCCAACAGCCCAGCTCAGAGACATTCAGCTATGAATGTATGATCATGAATGACTATAATTTGTTGAGAATTTTTTCTTTACAAAGATCACTCTCCAAAAATCTTAAATAAGTATCCATAATGGAATCGGCTTCCATATTTCGAATGAGTTCATCAAACAAATGAATCACACTGCCTTCTTTTTCATATCGATTCAGAACTAATTGTTTCATGGTGGATGATGTATTAATTTCTAATGGAGAATTTGAATCTAAATACGTGTCCAGAATCATTCGCGCTAATTTCACTCGTGTTTTGTCATTTTGCGTTTTTTGATAACGTGTGGCATGTTCCCAAAACAATAAACTCTCCACAGCATACAATTTCGCAGCAAATAATTTGAATACCTTTCGATAATCGTTATTGACTAAGACTTGTTCGAGTGTTAATAATTTAGTTGGATCCATCGTGAGAGTTGTGTTTGAATTTCTACTTGGAGAAAAACACAAACATGAAGATGATTCTTTGTTTCTCGAGCGCTTGTTGTTGTTCTTGTTCTTCTTCGAGTCATTGGTTGACTGAGTGGTGTTCGTCCATTCTGCAACAATATTCTTAGCCGTTGGAAAATTCATTTCCAATTCCTTAATATTTGAAACGAGAGAATTATTAGTAGATATTTCTTGACATGACGTAAATCCATCATTCTCCCCTTCCTTAATACTAATCTTTGAAATTTCAGAATCACTCTCTTGTGATAAGGACATCAAGTCAAAAACATTATCACTCGATTTCCCTTCCAAATCCAACAAAATTTCCAACACGTCGGGGACTTGATACGCCGTCGCGTTCAAAAATTGATTGACAATCTTACCCTGAGCGATCACAAAAGTTGCTGCGAGTTGGGTACGTGAGGCTCTCTCAGAAATATTGGAACCAATTTTATAACCCTGAGTAATTGCTATTCGGAAGGTCTCTATGGTTGTCTTGAGAGTGGCTGGTATATCACTCGCTGCACTTGTTTTTACTCCAAATTGTTGATAGTAATAGTTTCCTTCGGGATCAGCCACTCGGAGAAACTTTTTCATCAACTCGCCTCGAGTATGAGAGGCTTTCAATGGAGTAGTATTGTTGTGATGTTCTTCCTTTTCCTGTACGGAACCAGCACTTGAACGTTGTTGATAGGAAGCCTCAGTAGCCTCTTCATAATCAGCTGTTTTCAAAGGATGAGGCATTCCTTCTTCGGAAAAGAATGCATTCGCTTCTTCCTCACTTTCCTGATGAACAAATACAGGTAAACAATTGAATTTGATTAAACTTGAAAGGCTATTGACAATATCAACGATATTTCTCTGACAAAAGACACATCCGAAATATCGGAGAAAAACGAGAAGAACCACATGCTTTTTGGATAATTCAGCAACACTCACGCCAATGTTGGTGTACATTTCAGACAATAGATGATGAGGCAGATGATCCAATCCTTGTACGGAACCACTAGGAGTAGACATGATGGTGGTCCTGTTCGTCGTTGTAGCAGTGGTGATGGTGGTATGGTCGTTGGTTGGATGATTCGAATTGAATGTTGGGGATGGCATTGTGGACATTTGTGAGAGGCAAAGGATGATGTGTCCACCCAATTTTAAACTACGTCGTTTTTTTCTGTTGTTGTGCAGTATGAACTTGCGACTGATGATTCGGAGAGGACATTTTGAATCGTCGTCCGGACTTGAACTTCAAGGACGGAAAGAGTGGGCGATTGTTATTTCACTCACTGAATATGTTTCAATTACAGATCTTTAATCATAAACAGAAAGGGCAGCATGAAGTGGCTACACTTGAAGTACTTGAATCACACAATTCCTAAGATTCATGATCTGTTTATTCTGAATCGTCAGCAGAGTCTGAATCTGTCAGCATTCCATTCTCTCCATTTTCATTGATGGTTTGCTCATTTTCTTCTTCCTCTTCGTCGTCGACAAATTCAACAGTGTCACCACCGAATAAGTTTGCAAAAAGTGTAGTTGCAGATTCTGGAATTTCATTATCAAGGTTGGGTGCCATAAAGTTAACAAGCTCGTTATGCACAGTGTATCGAATGGTTTTTCCCTTTGTCTTTCCACTGTATTGTGCCTTTTTCGTCTTGTTCTTTGAGAGAGCTCTACGGAATGAAATTTCTGATCCTAAACTGGCTCCACCAACTTCAGAAATTAAATCTTTCAGTAACACTTGATAAAAGTCCTTATCATCGAAAATTTCAGAATCAACTTCTAGGCCTGTTTCTTCGTGATATTTCATGTCTCGTTCCCTTTTTCCAAGAACACTCCCTTCAAATTGTTTCAAATGGGTACGGTCAACAAGTTTCTGTTTTTCTTTTGGATTGGACAGTGCGTTTTGTACTTGCTGTATGATTCCAGTGTTGATGACTTTGAGATTTAACTTTGAAGAGCTACCTCCCACGTTTGATTGAATTTTGGTTTTTGTTGCCCATCGTTCAATGGATTCATTTCTGAATTTTTCAATGCTCTTGTTGGACTCATTCAAAACATTCCAAATTCTTTCATAGACATCTCCTTCCTTGTTATTGCTTAAATTATCCTGTAAATACAAGCCATCAATTTTTTGAGAATTCTCTCCAATCATTCCCTTTTCTTTTAACTCACTTTGAAGGGAAAGCATGTCAGCAATCATGTGTACTAAATCTTTTTGCAAGGTTGAAACTCGTTTCGGTATAGACAAGTTTTCAGACTTCTCTGGAATGGCTTCGCCATTTTCCTCCTCACCAGAATTACTATCCTCCTTTTTCTCAATTGGTGATTCGTTTGAAGTATTGTTGCTTCCTAAAATGTCATCTACTGTTTCAACAAAGTCCCAAAAGTGTTCATTTTGAGGGAATCTGTTACAAGCTGTGAGCGGCTTTTGCAACAAGATTCTTATCTTTAACAAGTGATCGTAGAGTAATTTTTGATTTAACACGCTCGTTGCTTTTTTCTTTTCCAAATTTCGAGACTTCTTTAAAGATTCCACATTATCAGTGACATCATTTAAATCTTCGTCCACAATGTCCTGAATTTGTTGCATGATATCCTCTTGGTCCATATTTTCATCGTGTTCGTCGTCATGCTCTTGTTCTTCGTCACTGTCTTGCAATTGTTGAAGTCGTTTAATTTCTTCAAGATAGTCTTCTTGTTCTTTAAGTTCTCTCAAATCATCACCGTCATCAAACAAATCTTCTTTCCGAACGGTGTGACCCTTGTATATACCTTGAGTGAGGGATTCATCCAATGACCTAAGCATGGAAATTCTATTCTGTTCACTCACACCATCATCTGCACTATTTTCATCATCATCATGATACTTGTTTCGAGCTTGTTGATCCTCAAAAGTAGCCTCATCATTCTCAGGATCAATTTCCCTCTTGTTATATCGTTGAGATAATTTATCTAATAATGCCTTTTTCTTTTCCGAGCTCACCGGTTGAGTGCTTGATGATTCCGATGATGGAGTTGTTGTTATTTTTCTCTTCTTCAAGAGTGAAATGGAGTTGTTGAGAGAAGTATTTGTTGTCGATGACTTTGGTTTCATTTTTTTTTTGAATTTCCCTTTTAAGAATGGGCTTGCTTCTCGAGTCAAACCCAGAATCTGTGAATTCCAAAGCACAGTCACTAAACACACACCACAATGTTCATTGGTCATGTACATGATCAGAAAGTGTTACGGAATATTTATTGCAATATAAATTTATCGTTTCGGAGTCACACAAGAACACTTCTCTCCGGACACATCAAGCCAATGTTCATCGTACAAAAAAAAATTTCACTCTGAGCTCGTTCGAGTTTGCCTTGTTGAAATCAAAATGATGAACAACAGTCTGCCTTTCACGCACAACCATCATCTCCTTGATGATGTCATCTGGAATGAATCAAGTACAACGACTACTACTACTCGCAGAAGAAGAACTCAAATGGTCGTACAACATCTCTTTCCAGACTCTTCCTTGAATTCTTCCGTGCTCTCATTGAATATGGAACTGAATCAGTGCTCGGGAAAGCATCAAGAAGAAGAAGAAGAAGAGGATAATCATATCCGATTAGTTCCAAAAGAAGTGTCATTGCCAGTGAAAATTGTAGGAATGGGTCGTTATCTACCTCCTCATGTGGTTCCGAGCAGTACCATTGATGTTTTGTGTGGAAAACCAAAAGGTTTCACTGAGAAGACAACTGGAATTAAAGAGAGAAGGTAAGTAACCACTTGATTTATGAGAACCATATTGAACTATTTTGCATGACAATGTCTTTGTGTGAACATTTATAATAGATGGGCCAACAGTGTCGAACACGTGTTAAAAGTGAGAAAACAGAAATTTGCAAAGAATGTCGATAAATTTCTTTCAAAGGAAGAATTAAACCTTACCTCTGAACAAGCTAAAGAATTGAAAGAAAAGGAAGTCACCATTTCATGGATGGGAGCTCAGGCAGCGTTGGAAGCTTTGAAAAATGCTGGAATGACTACGAATGATATTGATCTCATTGTCAATGCATCTGGAACACCTCAAAGAACGATACCAGGTGAGTGTGTGAATTTGAAAAATTTCAATCCATAGAATATTGTTAATTCCATCATAACTATTCTCTACAATTTGATGAAATGTTAGATACTTCATGTTTTTTACATAAGGAACTTGGTTTGAGTGAGAGTGGAAAACCTTCATTATCCGTTCACTCGACATGTTTATCTTTTATGAGTGCTTTTCATATGTGTGCAGGATTAATTTCAAGTGGAATGTATCAAACGATTTTAATTGTTTCTGCTGAGATTAGTACTGTGGGATTGAATTTTGAGGAAAATCCACGTATGTTTTGAATTTTTTGTAATTTTTTTAAGGAAATTAACAATACAACTACAAATAGATGCTGGAGGATTAATTGGAGATGGTGCAGCTGCTGTAGTATTAACACGATCTAAACCTGGAGAAAAGAGTCAACTCTCAAAATATTTATTTTCTACTTATAGCGACGGAGCTGATTATACATCAATTCGATCTGGAGGAAGTGAATTTCATCCTAATCATGTCTATACACCATCCAATTACATGTATTTTGATATGAATGGAAAAAAGATTTTAGAATTTACTGCATCAAGAATGATTCGAGTCATGGAAGATTATCAACCTGGTCTTTCGAGTGGCAACTTGAAAGATATTGATTGGGTAGTTCCTCATCAGGCGAGTTATGCAGCATTTCACGTGATGGTAGGTGTTATTTTCAAAGTTGAAAACAAGTACTTGATGTAACATATTCGAAATAGTCCGATGTGCTAGGTTGGCCTTCTGAGAAAATTGTAAAAACTTTGGAAAAGTTTGGCAACACAATTTCTGCAAGTATTCCAATGGCTCTTTATGAGGCCATTCAAGATGGAAGAATTAAAAGAGGAGACAATGTTTTTATGATTGGAACTGGAGCAGGCTTAACAACAGGCATGATTACATTCACCTATTAGTGAAAGAGAAACACTACTAGTAGTAACCACCCTGTTACAAGATTGAGATGGTATTTTGAAAATGCCAACCATATAATTATTGTAAACGAATTTTTGAGAATTTTAATTACACACCATTTTAGAGAACATGCTTTATCTGGAACTATAAAACAACATTGCCTTGGTAGATTCATTTTGAAAAGGCTGAATTTGGGTTGTTATTGTTTGATTTTTCCATTGCTCAGCCATCTCTTTGATCTTGGGGTTTTGTTTCTTTAATCTGTTATAAATATCTGTCAGATTTTGCATGGATAACAGATACACCTCGTCAAACAACGTGTCAGGTAACATATCACAGGTGTGAATTTTGAATAGAATTTCTTCGTGGATGGCAACAACATTCGGTAAGTTCAACTCTTCAGCGCCTCCCTCACTTAGATATGTCTCAACAATATAGAGAGCAAGTTGCTTTTTGTGTTTGCATTTCTTATACTTGTCAATTTCTCTGAAAATCGTCACTGATTCAGGACAATAACTTTTCCTGCTGAAATCCAGTAAAATTTCAAACGTCTCTTGTTGGTTCAGAATCATTTCCAACTCATTTTGAAAGGTACACACAGGTTTCGTTCGATCAGTGTGAATGGCATAACACACTGGTAAAAACACTGTAATAAATAGTTCAATGGCTGAATACGTCATAATGATCAATCCTTTTGGAACAATACGATCCAAATAACCAAAATACACCACTTGTTCAGAAGTGACATAACATACAGTGAGTATGAATTGAATGGGAATTAATAACAGTGCTTCCTTCTTCATGTTCCAAGTATCCTTATCCGTTTTAAAGATGAGAATAAAGGCACAAATACATTCCACAACAAAATAAATAAAAAAAAGACTCAAACTCATAAAGGATGGCACAAACGTCGCTGCACATCCTTTAAAGCTAAACATGGATTCTTTCATAAAGATGGGACGTTCTGAAAAGAATGTGTTTTCAATCACACCTGCCCAAAACCATAGATTGACATGAGCAATGACCACTAGGAGCAATAAGAAGGTGCAGATTCCATGACTCGAAAGTAACGAGTGAATCTTGAAATAGAGTCGTTCTCGATCTTTCATCTTGTGAGTTGTTAATAATAATGGAGAATTTGTGTTGTCAAGAATGTTTGAATCTTTCAATTGTCCAGTTGAAACGGTTTGCTTTTCATTGAATTCGCCACCAAGAGTGGACAATGTTCCACTCGGAATTACCACACTTTCTCTCGTTTTACAAAATACAGTGGCATGAACCTTTTCCATCTCTTTAAAATAATTTGCTTTCAATAAATTCACTTTGAACTGAATATACAGTGTCAAGAATCGCATGGCACTTGTGACAGTCATATTCGCTGGTATCACAAAAAAGCAAACACTATACAGTAAACAAGGATAAACCTCTCTACCAGCAATGAAGCGACTTGCCAAACCAAGTACAAAACACACACTATTGACCAAGGTAAAAACCATACCAGCTGAGGTTCGTGCTTTGATATGTGCATTTTGTCGTTTCCAAAACAAACCAAAGGCACATGCAACCACGAGCAGCAAATACATCAATAGGAATATTCCAGTCGAGATGGGAACAAAAATGGTGTCGAAGGGACATTCTCGAGCAGTGCTGTTGAGAGCTGAGGGATCTTTGAAAGGCACACGAGGAAGTGTAAGGATCCATTCTGGACAGGAAGGCAGGCTTTGGGATGGAATTGATGGAGGAGTTTGCTGGGTGGTTGAATTCCGATTGGACTCAGTTTGTGTGTCATGATGTTGTTCAGCTGAAACGTCGTCTAAAGTATACAAACCAAAAGAAATGGTTGCAATTATGAGTGCTGATAACAGATCGAGCACTTGACGTAGATATCGCTGTTGCCAAGTTGAACGAGATTGGAGAAGAGGCTTCGAACTGAAAAGTATGGACATATTTTGTTTGAGCGTTGATGAATTGTTGTCAAATTCCATGATGGAATTGAGAAGGAGATGATAATATCTCTGATTCTTTTGGCAGATGATTCATAGTATAATTATGATTGGTTTTGGAATGCATCATGGATGACGCGGGGATCTCAACAGCAGAGAGGTCATTAAAACAATGATTAACACGTTCTTTTCAGACATCATGTTAAGGACCAAGGGTTATTCCCATCCAAGCACCTTAATAAAACGTATGAGAGTACTATTATGTTCTACTTCTGTCAATAGATGTAGTCTTTACAAACTGGAGGAAATTTTTGAGTTGCCCTTCTTTCATTCATGCTTCCATGTAACCCCAAACAAATACGGATTACGAGAAGACACGTGTCCCTAATTTCATCATCCCGAATTTATTTTTATTAATAATTAAAAAAAATAATCTTCATTCCGTCATTCCGAAGGATTGATTTTTGTAGTACTACAACGATGCTCGGCTTTACTTTAACACGGAGGAGGAAACATCCAAGCTTCGGAGTGAGTACATTCATTTCCGTAGCACTGCTCGTTACGATTTTGGCATATCTTTTGGTTGAGCCATCTCATCAAGGACCAATCGTAGGCATTGATCTTGGCTCGAGATGGTTGAAAGTTGGTATTGCCAAGTCTGGTTCTCCAATTGATTTAGTACTCAACGAACAATCTAAACGCAAAACTTCAAATATCATTGGATTTAGAGGACAAGACAGGTACATCGGAGAAGCTGGATATACCATGGTTGCTCGTTTCCCTGACAAGATGTTGCGTTTTTTAAATTTTGTACTTGGAAAGAGTTATGACTTGGAACTCAAACAGACTTGGAGTCGCTACAATGAATTGAAGGTTCCAGTTACGCTAGTGAAGAATGACGCTCGAGGAACTGTGGATGTCAAATTTTCAAACGATGTTATATATTCACCTGAGGAACTTCTCTCCATGATTTTCTTGTATATCAAACAATTAGCAGATGACGGAAAGAGTGCAGCTGTCACTGATGCCATTGTATCAATTCCACATTTTTTCACAAAGTTGCAACGACAGGCGATTTTGGATGCTGCCGCCATTGCTAATATCAAAATATTAGCATTAATGCACGACCATACTGCCACTGCTTTACAATATGGAATTAAGAGTGCCAAAACCATTAAGGAATTGACCAAACCACGCCATGTCGCCTTGTTCTACGATATTGGCTCAGTTAGTACTACTGTGAGTGTTGCTGAGTATACCCAGAGCAAAGAGAAGACCTCCCTTGGAAACATCAAGGTATTGGGTTTTGCATCTGACGAAAACTTGGGTGGTGTTCATTTTGATAATGTATTGGCAGATTATTTTGCTGAAAAATTCATTGAAAAGTACAAGGCCGATCCTAGAAAGGAAGTTAGACCAGTCACACGACTTGTTGAAGAGTCTCAAAAAATCAAACAAATCCTTAGCGCAAATAATGATGCCTATCTCTCGATTGAAAACTTGTACAATGACCGCGATTTGTCGCTCAGGATTACTAGAGAAGAATTTGAAAAATTGAGCGAACCATTACTCAATAGACTGGCTAAACCTATAACAGCTGCGTTGGCTATGGCCAATTTAACGTTGGATGACATTGATGCTTTTGAAATGTCTGGAGGATCTTCTAGAATTCCAGCAGTTCAAGATAGAATTTCTAAATTTGTAGGATCCAAGTTAACCTTGGGATATAGTCTTAACGCTGATGAAGCAATCGCTATGGGCTCTAGTTTTTATGGTGCCATGCTCTCTCCATCATTCAAGGTTACTGCATTCAAAATTGTTGATATCGTTCCACACAAGGTTGATTTCCTGTTGTCGGGAAATGACAAAGAAATGAACCTTTTCAATCACAAGGATGAAATTGATGCAAAGAAGACAATCACTGTTCCCAGAACGGATGACTTTACAATTACTCTCAAGTACGCTCCAGAATATCTTCCATCTGGTTTCGCAGCTGAACATGCTACCTTTGCCACTTATGAAATCACTGGAGTTGGTAAGGCCATGTCCAATTGGACCTTTGAAGATGAACGTGGAAAGAAGAAGAAGGTTAAGGCAACATTCAAGGTCAACAAGTTTGGTTTGCCTGAATTAGACTCCGTCAATGCCATTCTCGAAGAAACAATTACCGTGAGAGTTGATAACGCCAATGACACCAAAAACGGAAATGAAACAGCAAAGGCCGAACCAGTTTATAAGAAGGACACACGAGTTACAAAGGTCGCTCTCGATGTCAAGCTTATTGACAATTCTGTGATCAAGCCACTCACTCCAGAGCAATTAAAGGCATCTCAAGAAAAGGTGAAACAAGTTGAAGATTTTGAGGCTTTGAAGAGAAGAATTTCTGCAGCAAGAAACAATTTGGAATCTGCGCTATACTCTACCAGAGAGAAGTTGCTTGAGAACGTAGACTATAAGGGCTTTTTCACTCTCAAGGAAAAGGATGACATTAACTCTGTCATTGATGAACTCGAAGTATGGCTCAGTGAGAATGATGACGAAGGAATTGTTGAGCCATCTCGAGTGGATCTCTTTAAATCCAAGCTCAAGACTCTCACCGATTTGACTGACCCCATTCAAGATCGATTGCGTGAGCATAAGGGAAGAAAAGAAGCACTCAAGTATTGTAAGAGTGTTTTCAATGCCACCAGCTATACTATTCACTACATGAGAGAACATCAAAAACATATCACGGAAGAGGAATTGAGCGAGCTTAACCAATTTAACAAGGAAACTGAGATGAACATTACCACCATTCTTGCCAAGCAGGATAGAACTCCACTCTATGAACCACCAACAATTCTTGCAGCAGATATTAAGAAGCAATGTACTAGGGTTTCTGAACGAGCTTTCTTGTTATCAAAGAAGCCCGTTCCAAAACCTGAAAAATCTGCAGCAAACGAAACCACCATACCAGCCACTAATGAAGAGACAAAGACTGAGGAAAGTAGTACTGCAGACTCACAGGAACAATCAGAACGAACAACAGAAGAACAAAAGAAGAAGGATGAATTGTAAACGTGCCACACCTTTTATTTATTAAATCAATTACTAGTTTTGAAAAATTTCCTTAGCCAACTTATCATGCATTCAAAAACATTGACGTTAAAAGTCAACATCTTTGTAAAGCTTGAAACATTTCATCTGTTCAGCATTCTCCAGACATTTTGCAAACGATCTATGTGAAGTATGTGTTGTGACACAATTTTGAAATTGTCTCTTGCAAACAGAAGCAAATAAACAAAGGTGAGCTCTAAACATGGAGTAAGCTTGACTATCCATGGATTGAGCAGTTTCAATTTCACCAAAAGTATCTGCACAATTCATTTCTACAGCACTCCGAACCTTATTTCGAATGATATCCACCGAGTCCGATTCCTCTAATTGCAAATTATTTTTAATGGAACTAATTCGGTTCAAATGAGAAAGAGCTTGAGCTGGTTTTTGAGAAACAACTCTGTCTAATTCTTCGAGGTAATGTGTTGTTGTTTGAATATCCATTCCAATACACTCATTGACTTTTTTCAATTTTGTTATCGACCATTCATCATCTATTTTTTCATCCTGCAAAGGCTTGTTATCTGAAGTATTAGTAGATGATGTTGTCATTGGATCATGTGGTACTTTTATAAACGAGGGTAAACAATAATTCAGTGGATCCGATGGTTTGGTTAACATTTTCAATAAACATCCGACATAAAGCGTATGAAAGCCTCCTTCTACTCCTTTTAATTGCTTTTCTTGTTGAGCACCTCTGAATAATCCAGAGCATGCATCAGGCGAATTATGAGCAAATAAAGAACGAAGATATAAATCCTCATCTCCGGTAATACTATTTGATGATGGCAATGTCGAGGAGGTGTTTTCATACATTTTTTTTAATGGTCTTGATGTAATTTCGATTTTTTCAACTCAAGCAAAGTACAAATGAAAAAGCCATGATCATTCAGCCACAATTTACAAGCAATTACATTCTACAAGAAGATTAAATCATCTCCAAATGAATTTCATCTTTTGACCATTTCCTTTTAAATTCGAAACTTCAAAAAAATGTCATCATCACGCCAACATTTTCAAGACAACACAAATGTCAAATGTTCGAATCGTATCATTTTCCTATGGATCATCCTCTTCTTCATCACACTCTCTACCACATGTTGGATAGTTTTTATATATTCATTCCGAACCAATCATTCCCAAACGAGCTGGAAACAACTCGCCATGGAATGGATCGAACCATATTTCATCTCTTCCACTCCATCACCTCTCTTTTCCAAAATTCTTCAACGAGACAAACATATTCATGAGCGACTGAAACAGAAATTTTACTCACGGAGACAATTCTTGAATCATTTCTCTCAAGATGATTCTTCGACGAGTCGAGAGGGACCATCATCATTGATCCCAACATCCACTCACTCAACTGGTGCTTCTATGGATATTAGCAGCACAACATCATCACGACCTTGGTATTTGAAACAATCCATTATTCAAGTCTTGTCACAAAAAAATCTGAGTTCACTTTGTGAATGTGTGAATTCAACTTCGACTGCTCGATGGATGGCAGAACATTATGAACAACTCAAAAATAAGACCCTTAATCAAGTATTACTTCCTGGAACACATGACTCACTCACCTATGATATTAATTTTTATAATAATCGATCAGCGCTCATGTTTTCCAATGATATTGATTCAATGCTTCTTAAATTATTCAATCTACCCTTTGTTTCAAAACCATTCATGTACATGATTATGGTTCCTTGGGCCAACACTCAGAGTTGTCATGTGACTCAACAATTAATGCATGGAATTCGATATTTTGATATTCGAATTTGTAAAGATGAAAGAGAGCCACTAGTTCAGAATCGATTCAAATCTTGTCACAATTATTTTGGATCCTACATTTCAGAAGTTTTGGAACAAGTAGTGGATTTTTTGACCAACGTTTCACCGTATGAATTTCTCGTATTGGATTTTAATCATTTTTATGGAATGGATGCGGACGATCATGAATTTTTTGCCAATTATATTGCAACTACTCTGAATCATTTACTTGTTCAACCTTCACAATTTGAAATGCAAACGAAATTGGAAAATTTATGGAAAACTTCAAAACGAATCTATGCCTTCTACAGTGAAAATGTCATTCCCAAATCTGTCACAGGTTATCTATGGAACAGCAGCAATATTGATTACGCTTGGGCAGATACAACCAGCATGGATTATCTCAATGAATATAATATTGCTGTTTTGGTGGAGAGACAACAAGTCATGCATCATTTCTTAAATTTACAACTCGTGTTAACTCCAGGCATGATCGATTTTGTGAACGGATTTACCAAACGACCCTATTCTGTGCTAGATCTCTCATATATGGTCGCTCAACAATTACCAAAATGGATTTCTCAAGATTACAACAGTACACTCCTCAACGTGATCACTTGTGATTTTTATCACTTGTTTAATTTCACAGAGGTGGTTATTGCAAGAAATTTTCAGAACTAATAATTACATGATAGGTTCAAAGACGTCCGTATATATTATCAAACCACCAATGACCTGAAAAATCTTTCATGAACGATCGGCTATAATCATGACGCTAGGTCCTATTGAAATCATGAATTTCCAAAATAAAAAAATGGAGGAATCTGAAATTCGCGAACATTCCTCCACAACCAGTCATCATAACCTCGGAGGGTGGTCCTTGCCAGAACACTCGCACTCTTACGGAAATAATGAAGAGAATGATGGACAAAGAGTGTCTGAAAACGCCATCCATGATCATGGCGGAAATTCATCCTTTCGTCATCATCATCATGAATCAAACAAGATGGATACTTCATCCCGAATATTTCCAATCATTCTTTCTACTTTTTTCATCATCATTTGCATGGTCGGAACCATGTTTGGAGCTTTTATTTTTTTCAATATTTGGAAAATTCAAAATCATCATGATGGGCCGTACAATCAGGTTGAAATCTTAATGAACTCTGCACTTGAGAAGATAAGTGCATTGTTTCAGTCCAATACAAACTCGACTTCAAAATCCGTTGGTCCACGTGTTCTAACAGATCCATCTAAATTGTGGCAAAATTGTTCCTATGTTACTAACTTTACACAAAGTAGCCTTCTTTATGATTCTCTATTTCAATATGCTTTAAATACTTCTTCCACTGGAGTGCAATATAATAACTTTTTCAATGATCGATTGCTGTCTCCTGTAATAGGAAAGATAGAGTGTGAAAAAATCATGTATTTTCAATCTCCTGCAGATGTGAAACGTTCGAATTTGGGAATTTTTTATCGTCAAGTCGTGGAAGCCATTGAACAAGAAACAAGAAATTTATTCGTTGAAGGAGTGCATTTGTTTTATCCTATTATGAGCGTCTTTCAAGTGGCTCATGCAGAAAATACGAAATTTGATATTTGTGAAAAAGATGATGCTCTGTTTAAGGAAAGTTTAATCCAGTTGAGGGGAAATAATTCTACATTGTTACAATTGATAGGATCTATTGATTTTCAATCGTGCGAACAATTTTTTTGCCAGCTTGACACACCACAAAACGCAATCATGGATCCATTTAAGGAATATTTAAGCAAGCTCCATTTTCATTCAATTTACACAAACAGCACTGAGAGAATGCATTTTTATAATGATCTCTATACACTCTCTGCAATTACCAATCGATGTCAATATTGCTCTTCACAATCAAATTTCAGACAAAAAACACGTGATTTACAATGTCCTTTCATGATTAATTATCCAACAAGAGCTGCAGAAAGATCTTGTTTGGGAAAGAGAGGTTTTCCAATATTTTACCCTTCATTGGCATTGGATCAATATTTACAATTTTCGGGAAATCCATTTCTATGCTATTGCTATGACTATGATCAATACGCCTCTAGATGCGACACTCTTTCAAATTTTATTTTCCCCTTCTACTTGTTCTTTAAGGAATATTATATTGAGGCGTTTGCAGAAGGTCTTCTTTTTGTAATGGTTTTCACAATTTTAATATTACCACTCTTGTACGAAGTTTTCAAGAGAGGACGATATTTCTATAAGGACATTCAGCTCATGTTAAAACTCTTGTCAGCATTGCCACTTTGGTTCAGTCGATTGGCATTTGTTATCTTTTTAAGTTTACCAGATCCAGAATTATTGTGGGACAAACCAAGCATGATGTTTGTGTTTGAATTAATTAGACATGTTATGGATTCTCTTGGATTTGAATATGTTTTTGTTCCAGTCTTGATATCATGGAATCAATTATATGAAAAGTTGAAACTGTATACCTTACCTCAGAACATGGACTCTCAATCTGTCAAAAACAATGCCGTTCATGATTTCACAAAACCAAAACTATTTAAGAGCTCTATTGTGCTCATCATTTTGAGCTATTCACTCCTAATCGTCAATACTTTGGGTATATTTGTCATTTCCATGATTTTATTAACAAGTCCCAGTGTTTTTTACGAGCAAGAACAACAATCATTTCGTCTAGCAAGTAGCTCAGCAGGTGATGTTTTAATTCCGTTGGTTATTTCATTAGTGGCATTACCACCTGTTTTCACAAATTTAGGATTTATGGTCTTGTCTTTCCTCATTAGCAAGCAAATGCAGAAGGCATCTGATGTCTCGTTTAGAAAAACCAATTACGTTTCCATTTCGACCAAGTATTTTATCATGTCCACGTGTCAATTAATACCAGCCATTCTCTCAGTAGTCACTCTCTATTTTGGATATGACTCAGTGACAGCATTGATTTTCTACATCTCAACTTTTGCAGGTTTTGTACTATCTGATTTATTTGAGATTTATGTCCTGTATTTGTTGCATGATAAGGAAAATCTCAAATTGTTGTATGTGGATGGAATTTGGAAACCCATTTTCTTGAAAGCATGGAATTCATGTCTCAAATTACGAAAAAGCAAGAGGAATGTTTCGAACAATTATGATGAGGCTAATGAGATTCAAATTGAAAAGATTGAAATTCATCAGATGCTGAACGACCCTTCTAATACGACGTCAACTTCTAATACCTATTATTCTCAAATGGACTGAAAAAAGCAAGAAGGTTCATGTGGAAAGTTCAGAATTCTTTTCCAAATGCTTTTCGAACGATGCAAATAATGGTGACCACGTGAGGTATGGCCTTTGAATGTCACAGAACCGAAATATGGAAAACTGAAGACATATCAGTCTTTTATCTTGCAATCTTCACAATGAATTGGAATATAATTTTCTTTTTATTCAATAAATAAATTCTGTGAGGTTTCTCACATACATGTTCTTAATAGTCAGTCTGAGGATTGTATCCGTCCCTTCTACTCTTTGTTTGGAATATTTGAATCACTCCCTTAATGGAAACTACAAGAAGTGTTAAAACAGAAATGGTTCCTGTAGTGGCCCACATGGCAATTGTAGGTGTCAACATGACATCACATTGTGGATATTGGGATAAAAATCTCACACTGAATGGTGACATGACTCCATCCTTCAAAATTTCTTCAGCTGATTGCTCAATAAGATAAATCAAAGTTCCATTAATTGCATGAATCTTATACTTGGATGGAGAAACGACATTAATTCCTGAGCTTTTAAGGCCCTGATAAGGGAAGTGAATAGATGCCACAACACCACTCTCATTAATAAATGGAACAGTATAATTATTGATGAGCGGAAATTCAAGAGTATTAATTTCTGTACGATTTCCAGAATCTCTCACAGTACTATTTGTCAAATATTTGATCATTCCCATGACTTGAATGGAAATTTCAAATCGTTGTGGGTTTGTAAAATTCTTGTAATAGTTAAATTTGAGTTGTGAAAGTTTGACAGGAGGATTAACAGAATTGTCATAGGTAATAATTTCTGGTTCCACATCGAAAATGTTTTCAACTTGAGTACCGTTGTGATAATTCATGTGCTTTGGAGCGAGATACTTGTAGGATGGAATGGATGAAACTGGAAGTTTTGGTGTCATGAACACTTGAACACCATCGGATCCTATAGAATGGCGTTGTGGTGGCATTTGGTTGCACGACAAATAGTGAAACGAGATGAAATTATTTTGGGAATCATAGGATGACACGTGTGAAATTATTGTGGTCATTCAATTTCATTATTTTCAATTATCATAAATAACAATGAGCTCAATTCTCAACCTACCTTGCTTATCAGATGGATTCATTGGAGGCATATCTACAGTAATATATTGATTAAAGATAAAATTGCAATAGGCAACTCCTGGAAACACATAGGTCGTGCAAGAACTCTGACTTTGTTGTAAAAATTCCAAATCAACATGATATTCTTTATAAGGAGGAATATTCAGAATATTGTTATCATCATCGGCCGATACCAAAACTATGGATATCATCATCATCAAGATGACAGCAGCAAATAAAAATCTGCCCAAACTCGGAGGAGCCATTATTGTTTTTTTAAGTGTGTGTTAGAAAATGAAAATCAAAGAGAATGAAAACAAGAGAAAGAAGGAGGTGCAATATCGCAAATGAAAATCTTTCTAGAATGTACAATTGAGCGATAATAGGACGGAAAATGAAAAAATCTGCACCTAGAGAATTGAATCGTTTTTTTTCGGAGTCGCTGGGAGTTTTCTCGGATCATCAGCTACAAACACGAGCTCAACATTTTACATGGAAACCTGTAAAAAATTATTGAATAAAACCATTCACGATGAGAGCATTCAAAGAAGATGAAATTTCATAAGTTACACTTCACCTTCAACTAAACTTTCATAAAAACATTCAAAGGCAAGAACAACAAGACTTCAAATCCAAAAAAAATGAGTTCAACATCAGATATTGAGAAGGAAATTAAAAATATGACCTTGAAGGAAGGTGATAATTGGGCAGATAGCGTCGTTATCCCTTCATCCTCTGTTACTGGTAGGTGTTGGTTCGTAGGTTTGGTAATTCAGGTGTATCGGTGCGTTGGGATTTTGGTGCCTGTGGATTAAATGGATTTTGGTCTTTTATGCGAATGATGATTTCGTGATGATGATGATACAAATTTCAAATGGATTTGGAAACAAATTCCAATGTATTTACATGTGTCATTGATGATGATGATACAATGTACACTTTTCATGAAAATGGTTGTTGTTGTATTTAATATACACATACCAAAAATACGATCATCATCACGATGTGGCTTACCTTCAATACTCGTGTTGATTGACAACATGATGTTCATGACATTACATCATGACATTATCGTGGCTTTGAAATATGAATGACAACACTCGTAGCTGTGGATCTTACCGAGCAACAACATGATCCAAACAATCCACTCTATAGCGAACAAACTACCTTCGAAAGCATGAAACTAAAACCAGAGCTTTTGCAGGGTATTTATTCTACCGGATTCAAAGAACCATCCAATATTCAAGCTAAAACTCTTCCTATCATTCTCGAGCAGTCCATCAACTTGATTGCACAATCTCAAAGTGGTACCGGTAAGACTGCTTGTTTTGGCTTGGGTATGCTTCAACATGTTGACGAAAGCATCGCAGCACCACAAGCCATTTGTATTTGTCCAACTTTTGAATTAGCCACTCAAATTCATGATGTTGTGAACGAACTAGGACAACACACAAAAATTAAATCCTTATTGGTTTCCAAAGGAGATCGATTCAGCGGTGCTATTACTCACCAAATTGTGATTGGTACCCCAGGAAAAGTTGAAGAGTTGATAAGACGAAAAAACATTCCTGTCTCTGCTATCAAGTTGTTCGTTTTGGATGAGGCAGACCAAATGTTAGAAAGTCAACAATTGAAAGATCAAGCCATGATGATTAAAGGGGCCCTTCCAAAGCAATGCCGAGTTTTACTCTTTTCAGCCACCTACCAAGAAGAAGATGACGGAAACCAAGGTAAAAAAGAAGAGGAAAATTCAGCTGAAAAGGAAAAAAAGATTTTAGAATTTGCTGAAAAGATTGTTCCACCACCTGTAAAGTCAATTCTCATTCCAAAGGAAAAGCTCACCCTCAAGCAAATGAAACAATTTGCAGTCAGATGTAAAGATGAAGAAGAAAAAATTAAGCTCATTCAAAATATTTATGAAACCCTAAAGATTGGTCAAAGTATCATTTTCGTCAACCAAAAGGCCTATGCTGACAAGTTGGGAGAAATTCTTAAACAGAGAGATTTCACTGTCAGTGTCACACATGCCAACATGGAAATTGCTGAAAGAAAGAGAGTTTTGGGTGACTTTAGAAAAGGAAAAGCCAAGATTTTGATTACCACAAACGTTTTCTCTCGTGGATTGGACATTTCTACTGTTACACACGTCATTAACTATGACTTGCCTATCATGTTTCAAGAAGATCGAACTAAAAAGCAAGAACCAGACTACGCAACCTACTTGCATCGTATTGGTAGAACAGCAAGATTTGGTAAGAAGGGTTATGCCATCAACTTGGTGAGATCAAGAAGTGATGAAGAGGTTCTCGAGCAAATTAGAAAGTACTTCCAAACTGAAATTGAAGAAATTGACAAGGAAGACATTGATGAAAAAATTAAATAAAACAAGAACGTCAGAGACTATCATCTTGCAACCTTACTTGCATGATCAATTTCCAAAAAAATGAAGCAAAAATCAGATCGCAGAATTCTGGGCCTTCTACCCACTGAATTATTATGCGAGATTTTGAGCAAATTATCTGCGAAAGAAATTTTCAAATTATGCCTCGTTTGTAGGAGTTGGTATGATTGCATTATGCAGGATGAAACTTTTATGAACATTGTTTGGAAAAATGCTTCGGAAAAGCTTGTTCATGATTTTTATTACATGTTCATTCGGAATGATGATGGTAACAACCTATCGTCATCCTCTCTTCGTATTGACATGATCAAAAACGATCAACAATGTAAATTAGTGGATGGAGACTTTATTGACGACGATGATCTCTTTATTAATTCTCCTCTCAAGACAACAACCACATTCAGTAAATTTAAAAAGGAGAGTGTTGTACGGAAAATATTAAGATTATCACCATCAGCAATTCGTTCAAAATTATTTTACATGCACATTACTGAAAATACCAAGAATGCTGCATTAATGAACACATCACTGGTGAAAACCATAGCTGATTTAATTACAAACAAAAGCATCACGATTAGCATGTGGTTTAAATTGCACTCTCATTCAACCGGTGGAGTGTTATTTGGAGTTCAAAATTCACCATTCTCTGTCGGTACTGCTTTTGTGCCGGTTATATATGTTACCAATACTTTAACGCTACGAGCTGGATTTTGGGGAGCACAATTTATGGAATTTTCAGGAATACTCACAGATGACAAGTGGCAGCATGTGGCCTTAACGCAGTCCAAGAACAAATCCACATTGTATTTCAATGGAAAGGTTGTTGGTACAACCATGCCTGATCATGGCACTTTTGATCACCATACTCACAAGCTCTATCACGGACAAATTGGAAGTGGGTTGTGTGATAGGTGGCCTGGAAGCTCCATGAACTATTCTTGTAATTGTTATACGTTTGTTGGAGACATTTCCGAAGTTAATATTTACAGCAAAGAGTTGAATGCTCAGCAAGTAGAGGAAGAAATGATTTGTGCTCATCCCCAACCCTCTCTATTAGCAAGTTGGAGTTTCACAAATGCGGTTCCATCGCAACACTATAAGAACAACGAAGTGGCCACAGTACCATCATGCAACAAATGCTCTGCACCACCTCTCACTGTTATTGGGTCGAGCCACTCGATTTGTTTTGAACACTTGGATTTGTAAATGAACGAGTAAAGGTTGGGTGGGAATTTCAACCGTTATAAAACTTCTCCCGCGTTAGATGAACGTTGGTGTTACCGCCAAAATTTGAAATCTAAATAGCGCCAAAACCTAAAATTCACAACGAGCCAACCAAACAAAAGCCAGGCCTGTCACTTGCCAAACAACATTCTTCAACAAAAAAAAACAAACAAATTTCACACTAACGACTATTCTTAACGAATAATCATCACCCCACTACCATCATCACAAAATGAGAGAAATCGTATCCATCTCCGTCGGTCAATGTGGTAACCAAATCGGTCAAGCCTTCTGGGAAACCATCCGTAACGAGCATTGTCTCAACACTGAAGGTGAATTCACCGGTACTAACTCTGTGCTCAAGGAAAACTTGAGTGTCTACTTCTCTGAAACCCAAAACAACCGCTACGTACCAAGAAGTGTTTTGGTTGATTTAGAATCCTCTGTTTTGGATAATGTAAAATCCTCCAAGAATGGAACTCTCTTCAGACCAGACAACTTTATTGCCTCCGAAGGAAGTGCTGGTAACAATTGGGCCAAGGGACACTACACTGAAGGTGCTGAACTTGCTGATCAAATTATGGATGTGTTGAGAAAGGAAGTTGAACAATGTGAAGCTTTACAAGGATTCCAATTGACTCATTCTCTTGGAGGAGGTACTGGTTCTGGTTTAGGTACTTTACTCTTGTCCAAATTGAAGGAAGATTATCCTGATCGAATGCTTGCTGCCTTCTCTGTCTTGCCATCTCCTAAAATGTCAGATGCTGTGGTTGAACCATACAATGCTACTTTGAGTTTGCATCAATTGATTGAAGCTGCTGATGAAGTGTTTTGTTTGGACAATGAAGCTCTCTTTGATATCTGTACCAAGACTTTGAAGATGCCATCTCCATCCTTTGCTGATTTGAATTCACTTGTTGCTGGTGTCATGTCTGGTGTCACTTGTTCATTGAGATTCCCTGGACAATTGAATTCTGATTTGAGAAAATTGGCTGTCAATTTGATTCCATTCCCTCGTTTGCACTTCTTTGTGGTTGGAACTGCTCCATTGGCTGCTGTTTCCTCACAACAATATCATGCCATGACTGTTTCTGAATTGACTTCTCAAATGTTCAACAAGAAGAACATGATGGCTGCTTGCGATCCAACCATGGGCAAGTATTTGGCTGCTAGTGCTATTTTCAGAGGTCCAGATTTGTCCACTAAGGAAATTGATGATCAAATGGTCAACATGCAACGAAAGTTCTCTCAAAACTTTGTCGAATGGATTCCAAACAATATCAAATCCTCAGTGTGTGATGTTGCTCCAGTCGGTCAAAAGATTTCTGGTACTTTTATTGGTAACTCGACTGCCATTCAAGAAGTCTTTAAGAGAATTGGTACTCAATTCCAACAAATGTACAAGAGAAAGGCTTTCCTTCATACCTATATTGATCAAGGAATGGATGAAATGGAATTTACTGAAGCTGAATCCAATTTGACTGATTTGGTGAGTGAATATCAACAATATCAAGATGCTACCATTGAGGATCAAGTCGATTCCAATGATGCTGAACAAGAACCAATCATGGAATAATTTGAATCTTTAGTGTGCCAATCATGATGATGTTCATCAACTATCAAGTTGGATGTGGCATTTGTCTCTCACTAGGTTTTTGAAAACCAAATGTCCATGACATACCTCTCTCCACAATCGTGGTTGTTACAATTTTTTGACAAATCTTTGAATTGGCCTTTCCTAAGAGTGAATTGATGAACAACTCTAGAGTTTTCATCTTGATGGTTTTAAATCTCTCTCGTCGACTCTCATTACCTTGTACGTAATGAAAGTGTAAATAAATATTGTTATTATTTATCAAATGAATGCAAATCTTTCATGAATTTGAACAATAGCCAGGGTTGCATTTTCAAAATTGCAATAATTATTAACATGATCATTCGTTTCCAAGAATAAATTAAAAAAATGTCTCATCGTAAAGAACGTATTCGGGAAATGGTCTTGTCGTTGAATGCCATGTTTCCCGAAGTGAATTTACAAGTCTTGCATCAAGCAGTGATTGAGAGTGATCTTGATGAGAGTTTGGCAATTGAAAAGGTCTTATTGTATTGTGATTCTCAGAATATAGAAGTGTTGGATGAGAATGCGGCAGAGTCTTTGGTGGATCATGAAGAAAGCAAGGAATTGTCGGAACATGATGAGGAAGAAGAGGAATGTTATGATGATCAAGATCTCGAGGAAGAACAAGTCTATGATGAAGAAATGATTTATGAAGAAGATTTTGGAGATGATTCTGCGTTTGTAGTTGAAGAGCCAACAAGGACTGAAAAGGAAGAAAAAGCTCCAAAGCAGTACTTTAAAATTCTTGGATTTAAAGAATTGTTACAAGATCAAGAAGTTGAAGTGAAACAAGTGGCGGAAACGATTCAACTGAAAAGTACAATTTTTGTGGAAGTATTGTTGAAACATTATCGATGGAATTCAGAAAAATTAATTAGAGATTATGGTGAATATGGAATGAGCTACTTGCTTGAAAAATGTGGATTGAGCAATGATGTGAGTGGAGATCAGAATCAAATTGGCATGTGTGATGCATGTTATTCAGATGATGTCAAGTTATTCTCTTACGATATGTGCGGTCACACCTTTTGTTATAATTGTTGGAAGGATTACATTTCCACTTTTGTAACAGAAAATTCCTTTAATCATTTAAATATCAAGTGTATGGCGTATGGTTGTAAATCCGTATTGACTGAAACCTACATGATGTCTTTCTTGGATCAAGGCAAGGATGCAGAGCTGATCAATCGATTTTACAAGGCCAAAGTGGATTCCTATGTTGCAGATCACTTTCGTTTGAAGTGGTGTCCGAATCCAAAATGCGGACGTGTCATCAAGAAGCTCTGTGACGAGAATTTATTCTATGTACAATGTAAATGTGGAGAAGAGTGTTGCTTCCACTGTGACAAGGAGCCACATTTTCCTTGCCCTTGCAGTGTATATGCCAAGTTTATTGATGATGTTAAGAATGAGACAGCATCTATGCAACTGATCAAAAAGAGTTGTCAGCAGTGTCCCAAATGCAAAACTTATGTTTTTAAGAATGTAGGATGCGATCACATTAACTGTGTATGCGGTAACGAATTTTGCTATCGATGGTATGTTTTCAATTGTAACACTTTTTGCAAGATTATTATGTAATGAATTGACTTTATAGTGGAGGTGACTTTACAGGGTATAGACATGATTATGAAGAATGTATGAAACATGATATTAAGAATGTGGACCTGGATCACGTTGAATTTGAATTTTCTATTGTCGAAACCTTATACCATAAAATTTCTCAACTATGGAAAAAGCATCGAGATTGGTTGGATGAGCAAAAGACATCACAACATTATCAACTCTTAATTGATAACACAAGGATTCACACCGAGTATACGATTTTCTCTGACGACGACTTTAAATTCTTAAACTCAACGTTAAAGACTGTAATTCGTTCCAGAAGATTATTGCGCTCCTGCTACGTTTATGCATTCATGTATTTTGGTTTTGACAAGGTAAAGCTCGAGAAAAAGGCACTTGGTCAATTTAGGAATGACTTTAAAAAAGAAGTTGCAGCCTTAGAAACATATGGATTGTTGTTTGATTCTCATTTACAACGATTGGAAACATTTGTCTCTCAATTATTGGTGAATCTTGACCTCACACTTAACACCAAGCAGAGAGATAAGGCAATTTTCTTAGAAATGACAAACAAGACAAATCTTGTCACCAAAGAACAACAAAACATTGTCGACTTTATTAACAATAGAATGCTCATGAAAGAAATTTCGTATGAATAAACACCAAGGTTGGTTTCATTCACTGTTATTACCATCTCTTGCTTCTAGTAAACAAACTGGAAGGTGATCACGGTCAAATGAAATTACTATCCTTCCTGACGCTTAGTTCTGGTGCTTTTCACACGCAAAAAAACCCAAACACACCCAAAGCTCGATGACTGAAAATGAACAAGAAGTCGGAACAAACCATAATCACGTTTCGCCTCATGCATCTAAAAGCGTAGAAGATATCAACAAAGCATACAATTCTGAGCCATGGTGGTACGATGTTCGAGGTTTCTGTATTCTTACGTTTGCATATCGAAGTACGCTGTGGCATCAATTGAAATTCTTTGGTTCTCATATGGGATCTCATCATTTAGAAGTTGCATGTGGTACAGGAACGTTGTTGAAAATGATTCTCAATTGGAGAACCCGAAAAGGAATGCCCAGTCTTCAACATGTGGTTGGCATTGATTACGCTGAGAACATGTTGGAAGGAGCGAAACATCGTTTTCGTTCAGGCAATAATGATACTAGTAGTGGTAATGACACCACGACTACTTTTGAGTTCTTACGTGTGGATGCCGCTCACATGCCCTTCCCTGATGACCATTTTGAAAGTGTGAATATTGCCAACTCCATGCATTGCTTACCAGATTTTGAAGGGTCTTTGAAAGAAATGGTTCGGGTGCTGAAACCATACAGCTGCAGTCAAAATTCAACCACTCACGAATCGACGACGTCAGCAATTGGAACGTTGACTGGAAATGTTTTACTTGTGCCAACTGGAATATGGCCTTTCAAACAGATTGCAGAGCGAATCAATCGATGGGGTATCGAAAAAGGAATACTTGTGGCTGTGTACACAAAGGAATTTGTTTTGGAAAAGTTGATGCAACAAGGTTTGGAAATTTTGCATTTCCAAGTGCATGGAAATTGTTTAGACTTTGTGGCAAGAAAAAAATGTCCAGTGAATTAATATTCTTGTGATCAGTTATATCCAAACATGAGTGTTGTCACATTGAAATTATTTGTTATTCATTGTCACTGGTTTGTCTTCCACTCCCTTAAACTCTTCCATGAAGCAATACTTCAACTCGTCCGACAATAGTGGTTGAACGAAAATGTTTTCTTTCAAAAAGATTCGAAGTGGATCAGAAAAGTTCTCAGCATCTTGCTTAATTTCCAATAAATGATTTACGTTTTGTTCCATTTTCCCTTCAAACAATAGAGTGTGCATGCCTTTTTTCACATTCATTAATTCAGTTCGCTTTCCAACAAGGTTCTGTAATTTGCTCCAAGATGATGATTTCCATAACTTGGCTCGTTCTAATCGTTGAATAATATTCCACAACATGTAAATACTGTCTTGAAATGCAAAATCAAGTAAATTATTAGAGACAACCTTGACCATTTCATGAAGTCGATTCAAACCCAAATCTTTGAAGAAAACTATTTTCATCCCTCACCAGGAAAACAAAGGTGTGAAGTTTGAATATTAACGATAATACTGCAGTTTGAAAATAGGTACATACATTCTTGAATGAGATCATAGAATAGAGCAGAGGTCAACAAGTCATACAGTCGGTATTCTTCTCGCTGATCTTCATGATATCTGAACGTCCAATTTTCAGCATGAGATATAATTGTATCGCTGTAACTCTCTGTTAATATTTGTAGTTTTCGTTGTACAGATAATGAACAGAGCAGGGTGAAGAAAATTGAAAAGAACTTGGAATTTGTGTAGAATGTGACTGTCTTGTGAATATGAATCTTTTCATCTTCGAGGTTTCCAAAATTTGGTAAAATGTACAATCTATTAAGAGGTTGACAACGAAATACTTGTTGAAAGATCTTTTCAAACTGGATTTACATACCTATCAATGCAGCTCATAGGTGCTAGAGAGCGGTAACTGGCGTCTCCTAACTTTGTTTTTGTGAAGCCCTTTTTCTGTACATTGAAATTAGTGGTATTTAGTCTAAACAGTTTGCTAGGGTGTTGTTCTCTTAATTTTGAAATAAATTCATTACACTTTTTCAAAAAGGCATCTTCGGTTGGTGTGGAAAATACGCTCAAGCCATACGAGAGTGATTTCTCATCAATTTCTACCTGAGTAGCACATGAAAATAAATGATTAATGATTGCTGTAGATTCTGGTCCATTCACAACAATAAATCCAGAATCACCATTACTAATATGTGAAATAATATCTTGTGTGTCAATAAAACTAAAAAGTTCTTCACAAAGTTTTTCTTGCTGTCGTTTGTATTCTTCCTCTATCTGTTTTTGATCAACATGCTGTGAAGTGGTTTCTCCTGAATGACGAGAACTTGGTTGCCGTTGTGAATCGACGTCGATGGATCCTCGAATCAGGTCGCCCTCTTGTGACACGAGAATAAAATCATTTTCAATTTCAGAGAGTGACGTGGTTGGCTTGTGCCTTGAAAGACGTGAAATGGTCTCACCAGATTCAGATACTAATGGAAACATGATGACCTTTCCAGAGAATGCCTTCAGCCATTTAGTTGATTGTTTTTCGTTTGTTCCATTCACTCTACTAAATCCGTTTTGTTTAGAAATGTCCCAATAATTGCAATTCAATCCTAATCCATCTATAATACTTTGATATTTTAAAAATTCGTTCTTTCTCATCGATGGATGCATGACAAAGAGTAAATCAAATTCGTTGGAACTTGATTCAATGTAGTGTGGAGTGATTTGAATACTATTAGATCGAGAATGAATCATGCAATACTCGGTCTCATTTTCATACAATACGTAAAGTTCAATTTTCCAGAGCTTGTCTACAAAGAACGATGCCTTATCGTCGACCACAATATCAAAGGTAACGTCTTGTGTGTCACCAGGATCTACATCTAGAGTCTCTTCAAAATGATCTCTGAATGCTTCAACATTGGTAGCAATCGATCGAACAATTCTTGTCTTTAAATGTGGGTCAATCATGGAGACTCTGACCTTGGCCGATCTTTTCTTCTTTTGACCAAATTTCGAAATGCTCACGTTTCTCACATCGAATCGACATGTACATGATTGTGTTCTTCCAAGAGTATTTGGATATTCGAGATTGTTCAACACAATTGGCAATCCACAAGGAATTGATTTTTCTAGACATCCATCATTTGAGAGTTTTCGTCCCAGCACTGTTACTTGTGAGCTAATTGTCATGACCGATTCTGAACTGATTTTGAAATTAAACTTATCACGAATGGTAGCTCTCTCCCCTGGCCGAAGGCGTGGTAGAAGTGTCTCTTGTGAAGAAATGCTTGGAAACGAGAGTTTGGCTTTCATTGGTGGAAGAGTGAGCTTTCCATTGTTTTCAATAACTATATCTGACAAATAGCAAGGTTCTCCTGGAGAGAAGATGCCGTCATCAACCATTGCATAAACTGCAAAGTCCTTCACAGCAATGTTAAATATGTCATCGCTATATTCGATCACATTGCCATTCTCGTCTGTTACAATAAATAAATGCTTTCCGCTTGAGCGTGAAGAGCCGTTTTGTGAAACAGGAGGAGATGTGCCATCAGCTCCAGATGCTCTGGTCATTATGCATTGTGACGTCGTTATATTGAAATGTAGCATTGATTACAAACAGTTATGAGATATAATACTTAATTATTTGATACAAACCCATTCTTTCCGTTGTATCGTTGATCGTCTAATCGTCCGCATCCAGCATTGCCTCCAAATCCACCTATACCAGGTCTTCCATTAAATCCTGCCTCTCCTGGTTTTCCGCAACTTGTCAGAGCTTTAAATAATATAAAACATTCCTAAAAGATGAATAAAAATTTCAATAAGATCAGATCTATGAATGAATCTAGATGAAATTACATACGCTGTTACTAGACTCAATAACCACATTTCCACCTTGACCACTATTGCCTCCATTTCCGCTGAAAGTAATAACTATATGAATACGTAATGTTGTTAGTTGTGCCACTTACCCTCTTCCAGAGTTGGCTCCTTTTCCACCATTACCACCATCTCCACCTCTTCCATTTTCATTATTTGCTCCACTTCCTCCATTACCTAACAAGTTTGGTGAAAAGTAATTAACAAACAAGAGTTGTAGAAATATTTCACTCACCTCCGTTACCACCATGCCCGCCTATTTCATTAATTGTTGAAACATTTTTTCATTGATGTTTCATATGTTCATATTTTTCATAAGGATACATACCATTGCCTCCGCGTCCTCCGTCTCCACCTCGTGAGTCGACCAATATTGAAACTTGCTCCATACTGTTATTAATTTCCACTTCAATACTTCCACTCATTTTCAATAAATGATCGTCCACAAGAGAAACCTTCAGATAAATGTCAGAGGCATCTTCACCATGAGAACCATTTCCTCCGTCTTGCCCTTCTGTTCCATCCTCTCCGTCACATCCGTTTAATCTTCTTCGATCTATGAATTCTCTTTCATTCAAATCTTTATATCCTGCAATAACTCCCGTTTTACCACTTGTGAAAGTTGAATGTTGTGCCATTAATATTTCATTGTGAATCGCATTGCTCGACTTACTTTGATCCAAATCGGCCATCCTTTCCACTTTTCCCGTTTACTCCACATACTCCTGGTTTTCCACGGCTTGTGATCTGATGGAATGTCGTCAACTTGTTGTCTCTATTCGATGTAGCTTGAAATTGAAAATATTTCACGGTACCATCACATTCCTTTGCATGTCTATCAATTAAATATTTCAATACGTTATATTTGGTAAATAATTCGTCCAATGATTTTTCATATTTTAACGAAAAGTATTCATTGCTATCTGATGATGATGGACAATCTTTTGTTTGATAATGATTCAATAATAATGTCAAATATTGATCGGGAATGGCAGAATTTTTGTTCTTTTGATTTTCATAATATTGTGATCGGTCCAAAACTGGCTGTTCATCATGATTCCTAATATTTTCAGTCATTTCAGGTGAAGATGAATAATTCATAGCTTGTTGATTATTATTTTCGTCGACAACATTGAGCTCCGAAACAGCAGCCTCTTCATTTGAGTTGTCATTTTGGCTCATTTTTTTCTTTTATCATTCTTTTGAGCTTTCCACTAATGCATCCAAAGGTAATGGATGTATCAGCACAACAATTCATTGATTTAGAAAGTATTGCAGTAGAAAATGAATCATTGATTCAAGAGGAGAGATTTGTTCTTTCAAAAAAAATTGATTTCACTTCACCACAGTCAGACCCACACTTTGAAAGAAAACACAGACATGATCACGCAAGCAACTCTATCATCGGAATCGTCATCCTCACAACAACAAGAGGAGGATTCATTGATTGCCAGTGTTGAACAACAATTATCCAATTTAACGATCCATACTCACACTCTTTCCGAGCAGGAAGAACAACTCGTTGAGCTCTCTCAGAAACAATACTTGGCAAACAAATTTGAAGGTGCTTCTCCCAACGTCAAATGGAAAGCTATTTATCACGAACAAGTGCTTGAAGAATTTCCAACACGATACATTCCTCTGGAATATCTTGATGAGTACACTCCTGTGATCGAGGATAATTCACATCTCGTGCCACAACGTTCGCAAAGATGGCGTGAATTACGACAAAATCGATTGACAGCCTCTAACATTAGTCGAGCTTTGGGATTTTTCAATCCAAAGGCTGCAAAAAAACTTGGTCTTTCATTCTCTCAAAATTCAAACGAGTTAACCACAGGGGAAATGTACAAATCATTATTGAGTCGAGAAGAATTGAGAACACTGTTCAAGATGAGTGACGAAGATATTGAGAAATTAAAAAATCCAACATTGAGTGAGGAGTCCTATGATGAGATTGTGAAGAGAGTGTTTACAGAGTGGGGAAGTTTACACGAATTGAATTGTGTTAGCACATTGTTGGAGAGTGACTTGTTGGATAAGGATGTAACATTTTGTGAGACTGGTTTTTATGTCATTACAGAAAAGCGGCTATTGAAAGTCTTTACACAACAAGAATTGGAAGAATATCAATTGAGCTTTGAGAAGATACCTCCTTTGGGTGCTTCGCCTGATGGTCTTTTGAAGAAATTGAGCAATTCCAATGGTTCTAAGAATGATCCATCAGAGACATCCACAGAAGCAGAGGAATACTTTTCGTGTGTTGAAATCAAATGCCCCACTTGCTTTGTTCCAAAATATGTGAAAAAAGGAACACCCATCCCAGCTAAACCTACGTTTAGTTACATTTCCAAGAAACCACACGATGCTGTTCCCGTCTATTACTTGACTCAAATGTACACACAAATGATAGCAACAAACACTCGTCAATGTTATTATTGCAGCTGGACCGCTACAAAGGGCTGTCGTGTATTTAAGGTTGAATTTGACAAAAAGTATGCTCTCGAAATGTTGTTTTGGTTGAGCAAGTATTATCAAGTTGTAAAATACAAGGGAGTGGATATTGCAGACGATTACTTTATCACGTCTGAGAGATATTTGAAATTCTTGGACTGGAGTTTACAAATTGTGAGCAGCATTCCAATGGAGATGGAGATTCCAAAGAGTAAGGTCCATGAAGGACAAGACCCAGAGAGGAAACATATGTTTAACAATTAATGATGTGAGTGTAGTAAATATTGAAATGAGACTAGTACTATAATCCAAACCCTCTCTGTACTACTCTTTTACTTGTTCTAACTTTTCCTTAATGTGACTCAGGGCACTTTCCAAATGATCGTGTTGGATGAGAATGTAATCAGTAACAAACGTGGAAAAGTAAATTACTGCCAACTTGTCAGAATGGCTCAGTAAACTTCCAGTGAGCTTGGACTATTAAAATAATGTTGAACAAAGACGGTCATAATTAAGAAAGAGGAGTCACCCATATGATCATGTGTGTCAAATACCAAAACGCAACAACATACCACTACACCAATTTGTGCCTCATCAAAACCCAATCCTTCACTCGTATGAATCATGACTGGTACAAATTGAAGTTGTTCTGCACTCTCCGTAACAGCAGTACTTTCAATTTCATCCTCTCCAAGTGACAACATTTCAAACACTTGTTCATTTCCCACAATAATGTTTTCGTCCTCAAAAGAAGCCAAAGCAAAGAAATCTCCAATATTCTTGTACTCAAACCACAGAGTGTTTAGCAAATCCTTGATGTGAAATTGATATTGCTTGCTTGAAAGTCTGCACATGAATAATTTAGTATCTAGCGTGGTCAATTCGTCTGCCTCAGCATCATAGCTGTCATCATTTTCAGATGGCTTTTTTCTTAAAAACATTGAAGGTGGTACAAGTTCTTCTTCCTTCACTGATTGGTCGCTATTTTCAACTTTTTTCTGAATTAATTCAACAGCTTTTTCAAAATTCTCCTCCTCTACCAAGAGCAAATCATGGCTCCATAAACTGTGGTAGAAAATTGAAATGTTATTGCTTGACAAAATGCTTGCATAACGATAGATGGATCTTGCTGTTGATTTCTCCAATAGTGCTTTTGAGCTGTTATTTGCATAATCCGATGCATTCTCATGGTTAACTACGGATTTTATCAAAATTCCTCTCCATGTTGAGCCTTGTTCAAGCATGATGGCATCCATATTTAATTGATATGACTGAATGATTTCCTTATATCGTTTTACTTCTTCAAGACTGCTCTCATCCAATATGATGGATATTTCATCAGCAGTTTCAATGAAACTAATAAATCTATCGGGAGAGTCCAACTTGACGAAAAGCGTTTTCAACAAGGCTTTGCTGTAGAAATGGAATTGTTTCCTCTGAATAGAAATTAGAAACAAATTCATTGGAAGAATTTTGAATGTGTCCACAGTCATGATGTGTCTGAATTCAATTGTGGTTGTACGACGTGTATGATTTATTTGCTGCGGCAGCAATGATGACAATGAATGATGATGGCTGAATTCCGAGGAACGGAAACAAATGACTACACGTTTTTTTTGAAATTGTTTCCAATCATGAAAACATCGTTGTGGTGGTGCGCCTTACGGCTTGATAGTTACATACTGTGTACTATTGCCACGCATCGATAGTGGATTTCACTGTTTCCTTGTCTGCTCGGTTCTATCAATGCGTGGCAAAACTGCTGGCTTGCAAAATGTAAATTTAAAACTTTAAAAAAATCCGAGCGTTATTGTCCCACGGAACAAAGTTCATTTGTTAATTTAAATTTATGTGTTGTTGTTGTTGATAATTTCGGTCATGTCTCAATATTTGTATGATTTGTTCTCTTGGTTGATGAGCAAAATTTCGGGATTGCTTCCCTTTAAACTTGCCGTGAATCCGAGCGAAAAAGTGATCAGGGAACAGTTACGAACCCATTCTGTGGCGACCAATAACCAACCATTACAAGATTTGATTGTAGATATTATTTCTCATTTGCCATCATTGGACGAATTTGGAGAACATCATGATCAGGAAGCACATCATCATCAACATCATCCTAACGTGATGGAAATGATTCCTCATCTATTTGAAGGAACCTTTAAAGAAGCTGTTGACTTTTGTAAAAACAATGATCAATTATTATTTGTATATTTACACTCACCCGGACATGATGATAGCTATGAATTTATTCAGCATGTTTTTTGTCGAAAGGAGTTCATTGAATTTGTAAATGCTAATTTTGTAGTTTTCGCGAGCTCTATCAAATCCTCAGAAGGCTTTGCAGTTTCTAATCAAATTCAAGCAACTTCATTTCCTTTCCTTGCCATATTAATGGGAAGCAAAGTATACTGGAAAATGGATGGACTCTCTGAATTGATGACTTCTTCACAACAAAGTGGCATTCATCTCATTGACGCTTTACTTACACAATTAATTAGCGAGCATGAACGATTGGATGCTCAATTAGTCATTCAACGAAATGAAAAACAAATGAGAGAATTCGAACGAAGAGCAAGAGAAGAGCAAGATAGAGCTTATGAGGAATCTTTAAGAATAGACAGAGAAAAAGAAGAAAAAAGGCTTCAAATTGAACGCGAAAAAGAGAGAGCTCTTAATCAATTCAAACTCAAGCTCTTCGAAAACGAGACAAAGCGAAATGAAATCAGACAGAACTTGGTTTTTTATAGCAATGAGCCAAATTATAAGAATATCAAGCTTAAATTGCCCAACGGAACAGAAACACAAAACAAATTTTCACTACACTTAACTTTTGGAGATCTACATAGATTTATTCATGCATATTCAGGCTCATGGCAACCTTCAAGGTTTAGCAAGCTTGAAACTGACTATGAATTGACCCTTAACTCTTTCCCAAAACGACAAATTCCGTTCGATGACTCACAATCTCTTGCTTCCATCGAAGGAAAAGCGTTATTGATCTATGTAAGAGAGTCAGAGCATGACGAGGATGAACAATTTGCTCTTCAACACTCTTTGTAAATGTTTGCACGTGCAATCATTAACAATTCCAAAAAGAAATAAATTATTTTAATATTTTCAGTCGACGAACCTTCTATTTTGCAACAAGAAGGTTTGCCACAAGGTCGACCTTCATGTGATGTTTGCAGAAACCATTTTTAAAAAAAAATGTCATCAAGTGCAGACTCCACGCCCACCAGTAATGATCAACAGGAAACGGAAAGCAACTCAACAACAGAAACACCCACAACAGACGAAGGCGGTGAAAGAAAGATCACTCTTCTTTTCCAAGCTGTGGGTAACGCTCCGATTTTGAAAAAGAAGAAATTCAAGATCAATGCTTCTAGCTCTTTCAATGAAGTGATATATTTTCTTCGGGATAAACTGTTACGAATCAACAATCCAAACCAAAGCCTATTTTTATATTGTGGACAGGCGTTTTGTCCAAATCCTGATGATTTTGTTGGAGATTTATATGATCATTTTAATACGAATAACATGTTAGTGATCAATTATTCTTTGAAAATTGCTTGGGGATAATTGCTATAGTTTTTCCATTCCAATGCAATTACATCACCAATAGTATGACGATTAGCACATGTCATTCACAAGTAGCAATGTCATTTGTTGCATCATGGATATCAATGATGAGCAAGTAAAATGTAAATACATTTCGATTTTAATTTGATAATTAGAGAACAATATTATCATGGCTCACAGATTCAATTTTCAAGTATAGAGCATTTCTTTCGTGTGTGCTATTCACACAGGTCTTTACATTTTCAAGCCATGAAGCAATGCAGCTGTCGAATACAGAACGATTTTCTTCGTACAACTCGGTTGGAATTACAAATTGCAAAATATATGGATCATCCACCAATAGTGAGGAGTGCAAGGAATACCGTTGAAGATTTAAATGATTCAAGCAATGATTTGCCACAAAGTCCGTTTTGTCACTCAACGTGTTAAAGCGAGAGCCATAAAAGAGAATAATTGGATAGTTCAGTAGCAGAGCATTCATCATGGTAGCATCAAACGGAATGAATGAAAGTATGTTGCTTTCAAAGGATTCCTTCAGGAATTTTAAATCAACACTTGTTGAACCTTGAGGGTTTTGTGACTGATGGTCACAATTGCCAAATACTCGTAGACAAATTTCCTTAAATATTTGTTTCGAGAATGCATCAATGTCATTCAACCGATGAGATGACTCTATACATGGAACAGGTGTATTTTCGGCTTCTAAGCAGTCAATATTGACAAACAATCGTTTCTCTATCGGCATTAGTCTTTCGTGTGAAATTATTTGTTCAGCTCTGGTTCGTAATTGCTTCTCATTAATCAAATAGGTGAATGTCATCTCTTCCCAATTCCCTCCCAACAATGTCACAAACTCAATTTTCATCAATCCTAGTCGTGTCGTATGATCTAATGATTGTTGATTCCATTCTTTTGAAAAATCAACTAATAATTGACATAATTTTTCTTCCTTTGCAAACATCATGTAATCCAACAAGACACATTGCCTCAAGCCTAGGGACAAGAAATATAAATCATAAATAAATCGAAGAGAATGTTGTTGGGATGTAGAACTAGCCGGCCGAAACAATTGTTTGAAAAGAGTACAATGTTGAATATCATGAATATATTTCATTCGATCGATTCGCACGGATGGATTTGGTGGTGTTGAATTTAATGATTTGATTGTTGTTGTTGCGCTCGTGAATGAATGGTGTTGAGTTGCCCTGTGAAGACATGACAAAAACTCGATAAATGTTTCCGGTTGACGATCAGATTGTATCATTTTTCTTTTTCAATCGAACCATGATAAATTTCCGATTCACATTTTTCTGTATTTCCTAAATATTCGTTATTCAAAAAGAAGTAACTTTTCATTGTTCAATTCCTTCCTAACTATAATAATGCTGAATTTAATTTAAATATTGAAATTTAATTCAAAAACCTTCAAAAAAAACAACACAAAATTGTTGAAGTGAAAAATTTGAAAAAAAAAATGAGAGGTTTCACACAGTCGCAACAAGAATCCTATGCCGAGCATCAGCTTGACCAAGCAAACAAAGGAAAGATGGGTATCGGTTTTAAAAAGGCCAGTAGCACTACTTCATCTTCGTCCTCGATGCCTCACGGAAAGCACACAATTTTGAATCCAGTGAGTTCTCAGACTTTCCGTGTCCTTCCTTCCAAAACTCAACAACAGGAAAAGTTGAAAAAGTTGTATCCGGCAATTTATGACTTTTTGGTGTATTGTGAATTGGATCAAGTTGCTAAAGTATTTGCAAAGGAAACGCAAATGGTAAGTTTGATTTTTGTAAATATCCACATTCCGATGACATGATCATTCAATGGATGAACATGAAACCATGAATTTTTCATGTTCACTAATTTCATTATATCAGGAAAACTTTACTGAATTGACCATTCCAAAAGTTAAAGAAGTCTATGAAACCTATTTTGCAAATTATGGAATTGATTTTTATGGAGATTACAATTTAGGAGCTGCATTGAAGGCTGCTAAATCTTCAAATACTCACAACAACATGGTTTATCAAAATAATCATGCAATGACTGATGAAGAAGTTCCAGCAGTTGCTAAGAGTGAAAAGAAGTCATCCTCTGATTCTTCTTCACCAAAGAAAAAGTTCAGAAAAACCAAATCTTCTTCATCCTCTTCTTCGGACTCAGACAGTGATGAGGAAATGAAAGATGCCTCTCCAAAAGCTGTCGAAAAGAAGGATGAATCCTCTAGCAGTAGTAGTAGTAGCAGTTCTGATAGCGATAAGAAGACTTCTACAAAACCAGCAATCACAAGAACCAACACAGAAAACCTCAAACCCGCCTCTAAACCTGCTTCAGCCACGAAAGAGTCATCCTCGGATAGTTCCGATAGTTCAAGCGAAGATGACAAGATGAAAGCTAATCAAAACAAAGTCACCACTTCACAACCATCAAAGAAACCAGCTAGTAGCTCTTCTTCCTCGTCCTCTTCGGATGACTCTGATAGTAATCAAAAGAAGAAGAAACAAGTCACTCCTCAGCCAGCAACCACCACTAAATCTAATCTTGCTTCAACCAAGAAAGCAGCAAGCTCGTCCGATGATAGTTCTGATAGTTCGAGTGAAGATGAAAAGAAATCAACCACAACAACAACAGCAACCTCAAAACCATCAACTGCTTTGAAGTCTACACCAGCAGTGGTAGCAACCTCAAAGAAATCTTCCTCAGACGATTCTTCAAGTTCAGATGACAGTAGCGAAGATGAAAAGAAGAAGCCAACTACGATCGCTAAACCAGCAGCTACTGCAGTATCCACAACAACTTCAAAGAAGGTTGAATCTTCCTCTGACAGTTCCGATAGTTCGAGCTCTTCTGAGGATGAAAAGAAACCTGCTACAACCTCCAAGCCCACAACAACAACCACATCAGTGAAAGCAATTCCAGCAACTAAAAAGCAAGACTCTTCATCATCAGAGGATAGTAGTAGCTCGTCGAGCGATGATGAAGCGAAGTCTGTGGCTGCAGTAGTGAAATCAACCCCAACTACCACGACATCCAATGGCACTGCTGCTTCTTCAGATTCTGATAGTTCCGATAGTTCGAGTGCTTCTGAGGAAGAAGAAAAGAAACCAAAACCAACTCCAGTTGTGCTTAAAAAGCAAACAGCACCATATGCTGATTCTTCATCCAGTGATAGTTCAAGTGAGGACGAAAAGAAGCCTGTCGTTAAGCCTACACCATCACCATCGAGCGTTGTCGCCTCCAAGAAGAAGGCTAGCTCAAGTGATGACTCTTCTGATAGCAGTAGTAGCTCTTCAGATGACGAAAAGACAACCAAGCCAGTTCAGAAAACCACACCTGCTGTTTCCAATGCCGGTAAGAAATCATCCTCTTCTTCTTCTTCTTCTGAGGATTCATCAGACAGCTCAGATGACGAGAATACAAAGAAAGCTGCAACCACCACTCAGCCTGCCAAAGCACAGCCTGCCTCGAAACCTGAGACTGTAGCATTATCAACGAAGAAGAAGGATGCATCCTCCTCAGATGACTCTGATAGCAGTAGTAGCTCTAGTGACGACAAGAACTCTGGTTCTATGATGAAGGATGAAGACGAGGAAGATGATTCATCGGATTTGAAGAGAAAGAGAAATGATGAAGAACGTTCATCCACTGCACCCATGCTGAAAAAGACCAAAATTCAAAACAACGATGATGACAATCACTACAATAATGGATCACAAAGTAAGGGAGTTCCATTCCAACGAGTGAAGAGAGACGGTGTTAAATTTGCTGATGAAAGACTTGCTCAAAGAGCTTACAATTTTGGAGCTCATGGTGAAAAAGCCTTAAAAGATTTAGCTCCAACCAGAGGTAAAGATTTTAGAGCTGCCAAGACCAAGAAGAAGAGATCTTACAGAGGTGGACCTATTGATATTCATGCTGTGAGAAGTATCAAATTCAACAATAACAAGTAAATTATTCATTCTCGAGAAGGCAACAATGTATTTTTCATCAGAGGTACCTGGATTTCCATTCAATCGCTAGTATGGTTCAGTTTAGGACCTCCCCAAAAAAATGTCATTTCACAATTTTAACAGCACAACGTGTCTGTTGCTCGTCATCTTTGCAGCAACTTTGACACTTTTTACTGTGGAAACATTTTCACAATCACCATCGGGAACACAACACAATCATGAACCCAGTTTAAAGAAGAAAAAGAATTTCAATGATCATCCAAGTTTTGAATTTGATCCTCATCCATTCCGATATGTTTTTCCCGATTTTTTTGAATGTGATTCCAACGTTACCTCCATTCGAACCTTTCTCGTGGTGTTAACAGGAAAAACCAAAGACAAACAAGAGAAGAGACAACTCATTGAAAAACAAAAATCAAAATTTTCAACCATGTTAGTGAGTAGCATTGAGGAATTGCGAGAACAGCCACATCGAGTGAAGGAGCATGAAGAACAATTTAACAAATTAGTAGATTTGATTTTTAATGTGGATTTAACACCTGCCAAAGTATGTCAATACGTCTATGACACAGTATTTGAATATGACATGAAGAAATTGGGAAAAACAGTGGTGCATTCGAAGGAAGAATATGAGCGAGTGGTGAAAGAGAAGCAACGAGAGAGGGAACAGCGAGGGAAGAGCGCTCAAGAAGGTAAATCAAATAAAGAGAAGAATGAACTGTAGAAACAAGCAACAATTTTTTTCAACAGCTCTGTCCCAGCAAAGAAACGTATGCGGCGGGCTCAAATAAAAATAAAAATTGTTGCTGGGGAGCAGTGGGAATCGAACCCACGGCCTCCTGCACCCAAAGCAGGAATCATACCACTAGACCATGCTCCCATTCGATAATGAATTATATCCATCTAACAAAAATGTTTTCTTTCCTTTTCTTTTGCAGTCGCGTCTGTAAATTCACTGCTTTCAACTAGTACCCCTGTCCGTGAGTCGAAGAAAAGATTCAGTCAGTTTTGCGATAGTAAATTTGAAGCCGCCGCCCCGAAGTGGCCGGTCGCAGTTGGTCAACCGTCTTACAACAAAAAAAAAGCCATAACGCTGTAGTACCTGCTGCTCTTGCTCTCACAAATATCGATCGGAACCTTTAACTCAAAATTAGTTTGCTTCGATGTAAGGTAATCTGCACTGAAACAACAATTTCAACATGTTATAGATGGATTTGTACAAAATAATAATCACAACCGAAGCTGCCACCTGATGATCATTTTTTGAGAAGCACTGTGATGGCTGATCGTATGAAAAGAATATGTAAACCGTTTTGAACGAGTAAAATTAAAGATTATTGCATCTCAAATCTCTTTTATTATTCAAATCGTTTGGTTGAAAAGTGCGCATTGAAATAGTGTTTTGAGCGGGAGAAGTAAGTGTGGATTCATTTTTTTTCATTCGTTGAAACTAAAAAAACCAATTTAGGGCCTTTTTACTGGTTGACCAACTGCGACTCAACCAAAGCGTAGCGTTGGCACAAGTTGCGGCAAGTAAAACTGACTGAATCTTTTCTTCGACTCGCAGACAGGGTACTTTCAACTACAGTTGTGTGAAAAAATTTTTCTGAATTACGTCAATAAATTGGCCCTTTTTAAATATATTTAATCCTTGAACGCTCGAACGTCAGCGAGAAATGTCCATTGCCGATCTGAATTACGCATCTCAGTGTTCCCAAATCAAAGGATCTCTACATTTTGAGACAGTTGGAACGCTAAAACAAATGTCCGTTTGCGCCACCTGGAAGGAACAAGCACATTAACTTGGCCTAAAGCGCACATTTTTTTTAAGTTTGGCATGTGAGGAAATTTAACAACTTGGAAATCTCCGGAGCTGAATAACCTAAACTTTTGTGATTTAAGGACATTATGAATGCATGATGTCATATCTCATCCAAAAAACTAACGCCACTACTCTGTACACCAAAATGAATAATATCAGAATTACTGAATCCAACCAACACGAAGCGAGCAGCAATAAAGAACTGCAACAGGACTATGCATCACTGAAAGCTTTCATTCATGCAAAAGATGTCTATCATCAACAGCTGTCCAATGACGTAAAACGAGATATTCGACATCTCATTACAAAATTGTATCGTCACTTTTCCAACCTCGATGCATACACTTCTACACTTCAACAACTTACTCGTAAACACTTGGCTCTTCATTTCACATGGAACACATTCATCAAGGCAATCCAACAAGAGAATGCAAATCTCACTGCAAATGAAATTGAAACTCTTGGTCGACTCTTCCTTCAACATGGTATCATGGCTCCTTCCATGAAAAAGAAACAGCATGCATTGTCACAACATGAGAAGAATTCCTCTCAATGGGTTCAATCGTTGAAAGAACAAGAAACTCCTCTTCGATTTTTGCAACCCTTTCTTCCACGAATGATTCTATTGGGAGGTGGAGATTGTGGTATTGGATGTGCTAAAAATCTTTCTCAATACTTTTCACTCATCATGATTGATCGCAGTGACACTTACTATGTGAAACCTGCCATGGCTTTTATTTTGGAAGACGCTCAAAAGTATTTGAAACGAGTGTGTTTGCCCATAAAAGATATTATGGAAGATTGTGGAATTTTCATCCAAGGAGAAGTACAACAAGTCACTGAACAGGGAGTTTACTTGACAATCATGCAAAAGGATCATCACTCGGAATGGGATCATCTCTTTGATGAACCACCCAACAAGAATGAAATTGTCTTGTCAAGTGACAACACGATGAAATTAGAGTCTGTGTCTGTGGAAAATTGTCATTATTTAACCTATGATTATTTGGTGGTTGCGACAGGAACTTGTCTTTCTAAAAACACAGCTCTTCCCAAAATGCTTTCTCAAGAAAGTACACGCTCTCCCAACAATCATCCTCAAGATGGAGAGGACATTCAACAGCAAGGTATGACCTGTGTTGAGAATCAAATCTCATTCATTGATGCCTATTCTCCAACCGATATTGTTCATGCCACTCAAATTCTAAACCAATTGACCAATTCTGAAAAAACAGTTCTTCTCGTAGGTGGAGGTTATATTGGAGTTGAATTTGCATGCGCCCTCTCACAGTCGTATCCTCATCTTCAATTTATTCTTGTACAGCGATCACACATGTTGATGAGACCATTCACTCGAGCTCATGAATTCGTATCACGAAAAATTGAAAGCAAATTTCAAAAGAATTTGAAAGTATTATTGAACAGTCAAGTGATTGGACAGAGTCAACCAAAAACATTGATCATTGAGACTCGTCGACAAGCACATGACACGAGTAGTGTTCAACAACAAGAAATTACGTGTTCTCTATGTTTTATGTGTTGTGGATTTAAACCAAATTCAGAAATGATGAAACCAAACTTTTCTCATGCCTTGAATTCCAATGGTTACATTCAAGTGAATTCACATTTTCAAGTATTAAGGTCGAGCCATGCGCATTGTGCATTGTATTACCAAAATATATTTGCATTGGGTGATGTCAACACTTTGGATCAAGACAAGTTATTGATTCATGGCCTCCGACAAGTAGAAGTATTTACACAGATTGCGAAACAAGTCTTGTTGAGGAATTTATTGAGAACTTCAAAGAAGAAGAAGGAGGAGGAGGTTGATGATGAACAACAATTAGTAGACACCACCGAGGACCTTCCTTCCTACATGGAAAATACTCCTCATAAAATCATTTTGATGAGTTCCAAGTTGGGATTTATGATGCGAGGGGAGAAGGTCTTGTTTTCTTCTTCTCTCTTGCCCAAAATGAAACACTTTCTTCAGAAGAAGGTGATTAAAGAATACAAGAAGAAGAAGTAAATAAATGTTCTATTGAATCGGATCCGATTGTTACATGACACTATTTATTGGATTTCATTCTCTCATGAAGTGTTTGTTTATCATCAAGGAGATGATCATCTCTGAGGTGTGTTTCATCTCTCTCAAGATTTGAACTTGAAACCGGCAACGGTTAAAAAAAATTGTAAATAATCAATTTGGGATTCTGGTTTCATCAAGCCTTATTGGACCGAGTCGTTGTTATTGATGGTACTGGTCCGAGCTATTATTCATAATTGAAAGAATTATTATTGTATACAACATACTTCTGTAATGACAAAACATTCCCTAGCTTCCAATCGCTCTACAACCTTGTCAGATGCTTTGAATATTTCGGGAATTTCAGAGCATGCGTTTGGAGAGGACAGGAAGAACCCGCTGAAACGACCTCAATCAGCGCTCTCCACAGGAAGGTCAAAAAGGGCGTGCGATAATTTAGAAGATGACATGTTGTCTATAAAGTCGCTCCATAGCCCAGCGAGACCTGGATCTGCACTTCCTCAAAAATCATCCCGAACCCCCGCAGAAAAAGATCTCTTACACGTTACGAATAGAATTGATACTGATTTGCTCAGCGAGCCGATTAGTTCGAGGTCATCTCATAGAAGTATTCATTCGTCCATGTCAGTTCGTCATGAAAACGACGAACCAAAATCATACATTTATACAATTGCTAAAAAAGCTCCCATAGTGGAGCGACCTGGATCTGCACCCTTATTTAAAAAAGGAAGAGGTGATCTTCGTTCTAAAACACCGTCAGAACATTATAATGAAAGCTTTAACTCGATGGTTAAAAAAGATGAGTCAAATCAAGCAATAAGCAACCCTTGGCACCAAATGCTATCAGCAGAAAACAATCGACCACTGATTCAAACAGTGCTTCATAACTATGCTAGCTCAAGGCCCTCATCATCGGCAAGTCATACAAGCGAAAAACAAAAAACAGATTTCATTAAGAAAAATATGGATGCAATTCATGAAATTGCATTAACTAAGAGTCCAAAAAACAATATCACATCGAGACCTCGCTCCTTTATTCTAGATCACTCGAATGGAGGAGAATCATCCTACTATGACAATCCCTCCATTCCTTTTGAACATGAGGAACTTCGAAAGTCACACTCTTCACTACTCCGAAAATATTCTAAGCGGCAAGGATTACCTAGGAATGTAAACTCTAGAACTGTTTTCAATCCAAACAGTAGTTCCTCGAATGAAATGTCCTTTAAAAATCGTCCACAATCAGCCATGTCACAAATTCGATATACCACTACTCCCCGCCATGTGGAGGTAGTAACAGAGGCCACTGGCTTAATGCGACCTAGATCCGCTTTGAACACAAAATACTCTAAAAAACAAAAGGCTAAACTTTCGGCAAGACCTACCACAGAAGAACCTTTCAAGAAGGCAGCTTTCCTAAATGTTCAGGGGTTTAGCATTAATTCAACAAAAATTGTACATGAAGGTCATTATGAAGAACAAAGAAAATTGCAAAGAGGAGCTCCAAAGCCAACACCACCTGATCATTGTGTCGTGTTGGCAAAACATAACTCTAGGTTTTCCATTGAGCATTAAATTATTGCACGTTCACTCCATGATACCACAAACACTCTCGTAACTTTAACAATCTAAGTGAATGAAAAAATATGAAACTTCATTATCTCTACATTTCTATATTACTAGATATCACGTCTCTGAGTGGTTTAGACAGTTTCCATAACGATCTCTGCTTGTTCTAAATAGTCCTTCATGATTTTAATCCTTTGACGGACACTACTCGACAGATTCAATGATTGTTCTTTTACAGCCAATTGCTCGTTGATGCTATCAATCAGTGCAGCTCTAAAATCGAACATGGATTCCGTGGCTTGATGAAGATAAAATTTGGTATTGCTTGTCATTTGTTTGTAGGCCTTGAACAATATTTCAAAATCGCTCTCATTTCTTGCCGCACGAATCAACAGCTCCAAAGTGTTGAGATCTGGACGGATGGAGAAGCTTTTTGTTGATACTATCTCGTGATAGAAATTCCAAGCAGAGTCTTGACTTTCTGTTGTCAATATACATTGGAGAGCTACGTTAAAGCTCCGCACATCAAGCTTGTTATTTCCCGCTGATAATAATTCAAATAATGAACGAACTTTTCCGCTTCCACCTTCTTTTTGAACGAGCAAGAGCATCAAATGAGCCGCTTGTTCAAAAATACGACATTTCAGATCCGCAAACAAGTCCACAAGTATTTCCACAAATGTTTGAGCAGCCTTCAGACCTAAATTTTGTTTCTGAGCATTCATCAATAGAAAGCAAGCATGTCTGTTCATGTGGTGATTTCTGGAATGCATGTGCACTTTTGTTTGAAATTGTTGGAAATTAATCTTTGCTAGCACATTCTTCAAAATGACAAGTCCAAGGCCATGGTCCATCTCTTTGGTAAAGAGAGCATCTCTTATATGGTCTAACTTTCCCTCTTCCCTTTGTTCCACATATTGAGTTACAAATGACTCATCTGGATGAAGAATATGAAGTAAATCAAACGCATCCATGTATCCCACCATTCGTTGAATCATATGACTAAAGGTTCGAATGGTTGGTGTAATTCCCTTGTCCAAGAGCTGCAATATTACTCGAGCTGCCTTATTCCAATCCTGAAATCGAGTATAAAAGAGAACTAAATGTTCGTACACTTTTGGTGTATACTCATCTCGATGTCTATCTACGACTTTTAATACGTCTAACAATTGTTTTTCATCTTCTGTTCTAGCAGCATAATAGAACACTATGGATCCAATTAAATGGTCTTCCATATTAATACCATCTTGTTTCATGTGTTGCATGATTAATGGCAGACAATCTTGTCCTACAAGAATCATACCCTCAATTAATACCTTATAGGTCACAACAGTTGGACGAATGGAAAGTTCTTTCATCCTTTTAAACGTGTCCAAAGCAGAGTCAAATTGGCGATTGGAGCACAGGTGCTTGATGATTGTAGTAAATGTGATAGCATTTAAAAAACCAGCATATTTTCCATCCTCGTTAAAGTCATCCACTAGGATTTGGAAATATTTGAGCATGGTTGGTAATTTGTTTGTTAAACCATAAATGTTAATCAAGGTATTCAACGTGATACCATCAAATTCTACTTTTTCGTCGTTCAATAACTGCAAAGCTCTTTCAATGCATGTTTGGATGTAATCGTCTGTGTAATTACTTTTCAAGTTGGGAAGACACATGGTTGCGATTGTTTTCAGCAACACATTTCCCGTTGCAGCTGTAATTTTCTTCATTTGCGTTGCAAGAGCCAAGGCTTTTTCAAAATCGCCCATAATGGAATAGGCATTAATTAATGCATGATGGAAATAGTATTTTTCAGAGTTTGTTGTGGAATGGAGAAGCGCGCTTTCATAAATTTCTAAACATTTCTTTTCGTTTCTAGTGTGTGAAAAAATAACAAGCAAGCAATAATACATTTCAGCACTCAACGAGATATTGTTTGCTAGCAATTGCTCATATACGTATTCAGCTTCTCTTGAGCTGGAAATGTCAAAGGCAGATTCCTGAGTCAGACGAGCATATAAATATAAAAACCTTACGGACACGTAGGCAAATGTTCCTGCGTTGGCTACATCTCCATGCAAGTTCCAAAAGTGTGAAACAAAATTCAAATAGAGCGAAAAGTAATGATGCAAAGGTTGTAACGGGTGGAGAGGTGTTACCTCGAAATGTTCCACAAAGCTTACAATAAAATTGCCGCTCAAGCTTCGAATGAACGCTTGATCCACAGTTGGGTCTGCTTTGGCCATGTCGAAAAACTCCACAGCTAGAATCGAAAGCCTCGCTGCAGTATTAATTAGTGCAACCGAACGCGAGACATGAGTCAATAACGAATGAATAGTGACGAATAAAGGAGCTCCCTTAAGTATTGCTTTGCTTCTCTTCAGTAGGTTGAAATGTATTGTCATGTTGTCTGCATAAATTTCGTATAAATAATCTAGTTGGTCCATTTCAATGAGCACGGACGTAAGCGTGTTATACAATGTACATATAGATGTTGGATGAGACATGTATTTATGAATCAAGGGTTTTAGCTGGTTCTCAAAGTACTTTTTCAGGCCATAAAAATCTGAAGAATGTTTAAACATTTTGACTCGTAATGCCAAAATAAAAACAAAAACATCTACATTATTATAATGCACAAAATTATAGCTATTGGCAATGATTAGATCAATACACTTCGAGCACGTAGTAAACATTTCTTTAGTGTTAAATCCGTGATAATATTCTTTGTGCTTGGCAATACTATTTCCTTTTCTCTCAATACTCAATGCCACGTCCCGTATATACCGTGCGGAAATGATTGGATGCTTGCTGCTCTTGGTTGCAATATCCAGTAGAGGAGGTATATATTGAATTTGATTGACACGAATGAGTGCATCAAATATATCCGCCTTATTTTCTAAAGGTTGTTTTTGAAACGCTTTTTCAACACGCGCTAAAACATGCTCGTCAATGGTGGTGGGTGGCAAGCGCATAACTTGTTGTACGCTCATTCCAGGAAACAATAATTCGACGTAGCCAAGAAGGTGCTTGGGTATGACGCTGGTTGCTGATGATTTTTGCTGTGTGGTTGTGTGGTTTTCTGATGCTTGAATGTTTTGTTTAGGAATGTTGTTTGAATTTGGGAATAGGCTTTGATGATACCACGCTACTGACGAGAAAGAAGGAGTCGATAATGAACCATTATTCATGATTTTAGGTATCAGTACCGATGATGATTCTGAAAGAAGGTTCAACCTCGGAGAGTGGTTCGTCTTGATGGCGTGGTGATTCTTTCCCAACACATCCAAAAATTTTCGTTTCCACATTTTTTTTGATAGGACATCCAAGCTAATCTACGAGAAGTGAAAACAAACAAAATAGGTACTTTGAGAACCAAGATACGTATTTGCTCTCACATGGTTTTTGTAACTGCTTAAATTTGAGCGAACAGCTCTTTACGAAATTAAGAGTGACACACAGTGGTTAACCCGAGCCAAAATACTCCAGCGAGTTTGTTGGCGAGTTGGCGAGGGTCAACGTTTCTTGATGCATCATTTGAGTGCTTTTGTTTATGTACTTTATTGCACAACAACTCTTGCCTCAATTCCAACCGAGAGAGTGTATGCCTTGTAAAGCTTTAGGCAGATCCGCCCGGAATTGCATAACGATTTTTGGCAAAATACAAATAGTACATGCAGAACATTTGCAACTCGTGAGAACAACAATATTTGGATGAAACATGATAATAAGGGACTGATAAATGGCAGCAACAACAACAACCGATGAAACTTGAAAATAAGGTACTACTCAATAACGAGCCATGAGGGGCAGAAGTATGGAACGGATCACGATTACGAGCGGGTGGGTGATGAATACAGTGATACTTCTTCTGATGAAGAGTCAGATGAGTCCTAGGAAATGGCATCATTGGTTCGTATTGAATCTCTCAAAAGGGCATCATTGGTTCGGAAGGCTTGCTGTTGTTCATTATCATCACCAACCAACCCAAACGATAGAAAATATTTATTATTATTAAGAATATTTTAAAAAAAATAATTCATCATGAACAACCAGAGTCGTGAGGAGAATAATTCAAACAACCCTCGTTTCACCTCCTCCCATCATCCATTCCTTCAACCTATATTCCCACCAAATCCCAATCTTTTCACTCAATTATATCCAATCATTCCACCATTTCCTCCAAGAATTTCAGAGCAAACATCAACAAAGGACCAAGAATCACCCAAGTTGGAACATGTTGACAAGTCATCGGTTACCAATATCAACCCCATCAAATCACCCAATCCTACCAGAGAAATTGAAAAAGCCTTTCAAAATTCAAAGAGAGTCTTGGCGATAAAGAAGCAACTACAAATGATATACAAGCATCCTTATCAAAAACGTTCCATGATGGAACGTATTGATAAATGGTGTAAATTGAAAGGCGTTGGTGGTTTTGATGGTTTCTCTATCCCTCCATACATACCAATGGCGCAAATTAAATTTTCGCCATGTGAACATATTTTGAGTAATCATTATAAGTGTGAGGAAGAAAGAGCAAAGAAGAAGATTGCTTTTCATTGGCAGAGATTGGAAGTATTGAAAGACGTATCTACTGTTGATAAATTTGGAGACTTATTAAGGACTGCTTATTTGGAGCGTGGAATTAGTATTGAATCTCTCTCTCGATCAAGGAAAAGCATACGCAACCCAAAAACATTACATGTTATTATTTTTAAAATAATTCAATATGGAATGGAGTAAGATTGGTACTTTCTTTTTTGATAGATCTATCAACTCATTAAAGAAAAAGTACAAGAAATTGAAAAGAAAGATTAATCGTGCCAGAATGGAAGGAGTGTATGACGTTTCAGATGTAACAAATTTTATTAAGATTTTGTAATAATGGTCAGAATTGGTCTATGTTTCTGGAAAAGAATGAATGATCTATAATTTCCAGAAACATGGACCAATTCTGACCATTATCACACAATGATTATGAAAATTGGTCAATTAAGTCCATCCAAACCTTTACCATTAAGACAAGCACAACCATCATCGAACAAGTCCAATGTATCAACGACTCCAGGAGAACTTATTCACATTCGGAAGAGGATTTAATTGTGACATCCTTGCGGAAGGGAATGAATTTGGAACAAATGAGGGCCCTTTCAAACATGCAGCCGCAGCAAACAGCCATTCAGCCAGGATAGTCCTCGCTGCCGAAATTATTTTCAGATGCAATCAACAGAATCCTTTGGCATTTGCTTCTGGTTTTTCAATTTGTTGTTTGTGATAGGTAATTCCTCCAATGGTGATATGTGCGTTGGATTGTTTGTTTTTGAAATTTTGTAGCATGTTGTGTGGTTGATGTGTTCTGTTCCATTGCTGCTCCTATTTATCAAATTCCACAATGTCATTATTCGAATATTGTTTCAATTTGAATTCTTTTGTAAGTAAAACTTCAATACCAGGTATATTCAAATTAAACAATAGAGTATGAATGGTTGGAGCTTTATATTCAGTATCTGAAAGCATGGCAAAAGTGTGACATGCTCTTTCAAATTCACCAATAACAATATAATTAATATGTTCTGGTGATGAGAAGCAACAATAATACTCATATGGTAATCTTGTGGATTGATCTTTCTCTTTGTTGAATTGTAAGCCAACAATTAAGGCACTTAAAAAATTATTGAGAGCATTCAAGAAATTTTCAGCGTTCAGATTGGTGTTGGAGCCACAATATTGTCGAGCCACTCCATAAAAATTCTCGATCATATATTCTTGCAGTTGAAAAGGCAAAAATACTCTGTTGTTGGGTGATGATTGAACTCTATACATTGTCAAACACAAACCGATCATTAATAACAACAATAATGGATAATGACAATTTATCTACCTTGAAGTCGAACTATAAATTGACTCATCTTCGATGTCAGTATTGTTATGATTTGTTTCTTTTTCTTTGAGGAAGATGCGAGCGATTCCACAAAGCTCTTTTGTTATGAACATTTGTTTGACATCATCTTCATTCATAATCTTGTTTTTACGTGAAATCTTTGGTTTGGATTATCATTTTCGGGTTGCATTCGAAAAGAAATCACTGCTTTGATGATGGATTTTGGAAGTGCAAATGACATGATCTCTTCATCATCAAATAAAAGACTTTAGAACAAGCTATCTGATAGCATTTTCTTCAAAAATACGAATTACTGAATTGATGTCTGATGGTGTGAATTTTATATCGGTAAGATAGTCATAGAGAAGATGAAGATCAGAATTCGTTTCGTGGATGTATGTTGATGTGGTTGTTTAGCTCCACATTTGAATTCATTTCGGTCAAGGATAACATGCCAAAGCTTGTTCGGAATTGTTGTTGTTTTGCATTTTTATTGTTAAAAATTTTATTCGTTTTAAAGCCAAAAACAACCGCCAAAATCCATACACATCCGGATTCTGGAGGATTCTGGATTTCCACAAAGTTTGGGAAGTCAGCAGGAGCTGGCAGCCGTCCTTTTCGGCTGTTTGCTGCAGGTTTGAAAGGGCCCTCGAACAAATTTACCGAGATTACTTTAAACACCGAACATTTCAGTCGCTGAAAAATAAGGTTCAACGGTTAAGAAAAAGGCAACTCTATCACAAACAGCAACCAACAAAGAAGAGGTTGAATAAGAGAAAAATGGTTCTCAATTCCACTGTTTCAACTGTTTCAAAGGAGTTAAGAAAACCGTTTGTTCTTATGTCGAGTAATTTTCTCAGCCTTGACAGCAGATATTAAATTGAACGCAGGACTTTGTTAAGGCTGAGAAAATTACTCGACATAAGAACAAACAAGCAGCAGAAAAGGAATCCAAAGAGGCTGCCCGAAAGGCCAAAAACAAATTTCTTAAAGATGTTCAAAAAGGAAAGAAGGAAATTACTGATGAGGAATTGAACGAAAGATTTAATCCCAAGCATTTTGCTCGACAACCATGTGAATTCGAAATGAAAGGACGAAGCAATCAACATCCATATCAGTCGTTCAAGGTGAAAGACATTTCATTATCACAGGAAGGAGTGTTGTTAAAACCTACCTTTTTTAAAGGAAATGAAAGTGCATGTCCTTCCAAGAAATCTAAGGATCATCTTTTGAAATTTTATTATCCTACAAGAGCACGAAAGATGTTAAAGGAAGAGATTGGTATGTATATATATGTATTTCGATTTTACTTACATGCATGTGATTTGAATCTCTTATATGAATGTGATTGATTCATGTGATTGGAACTTTTCTGAATTCTAATTTTTCCATGATTGCCCAAACAAGACAACAAAAAATTTTCACACGAGACAACCTTTGTACGAGAAAGAGGAAGATATTTTGTTTGCCTTCCAGTCCGTTATCACAAAGCTTTAACTCGACAAGAATTCCAACGGTTTGAATATGACACGATATTTCTCAAGGACTGCCCATAACCTTCTCAAAATGAACTCAGAAAGGAATACATTACATTGGATCCAGGTGTTCGATGCTTCATGTATGGTTATGATAGTAATGAAGACGCGTTGGAGTTTGCCGCTCAAGAAGAAAACACTATACTCTTTTCCCTCTCTCTAAAGCAAGATCAGCTCAGGTCGGAAATTGCCAAGAACAAATTTCTAAAATACAATTCTCGGCAGGAACGAAAATTTTATAAGGGTTTAAGAAAAGCCTTAAAAAAGAAGATTAGAAGACTGGAAAGCAAAATTAGAAATAAGGTGAATGATATGCATAACAAAATCATTGACTATTTAACATTCCACTATTCTGAAATTATAATACCTGAATTTAATGTCAAGGCTATGATTGCTAGAAAACAAAAACAAAGGAAGCGTCAAGGAAAAGAGGATACTTCGTGTCAAGGACAAGAAGGTTATACTAATGGCCAAACGGAGAATATGGATGTGCGAACAGAACCTCTTGTTGCATCGTCTTCACCATTCGAAGGATGGGAATCAAGGGACACCACCACAAGTGAAACCACCACCAACACTTCCGAATGGGTTGGAAGAAAAATTACTAGAAAAACTGTTCGCCAAATGTTGCGATTTAGACACTATGATTGTCGAATGAAACTCTTGCAAAAGGCAGAAATGCGTGGATGCAAGGTACATGTTATCACAGAACAATATACATCGAAAACGTGAGGAAATTGTTCAGTGATCAAGGAAGACCTTTATGGAAGCAAATGGTTTCATTGTAATCATTGTCACTTCCACATCCCTCGTGACGGTAATGGAGCAAGAAATATTTTGATCAAGAATTACCATCATTTATTACATTGGTAAGTTGAAGAGACAACTAAAATGATTCATCATTCGGGCCATAGATCTATATAATAATAACAATGTGATTATCATTCTGTCAAGATGATAATTCCGTCTCTCGTGTGAGAGATGAGTATGTGATCGGAGCACTTTAAAACACCAAAAAATCATTGTTATCATTGATGGAGTATGGTGTGCTCTCCGAGAGTAAGTTGTTGTTGTTGTTCATTATTTTTAACGCGTGTGACTTTTTAATTTTGTAAAGAGCTTTGTTTCCAATTCAAAAAAACTCTGCCTCATGATCCTAGCTTACTAACGTTAATCGTCAGCCTTAATCTCACTCTTCCAATTTACTATAGCTAATATTGCGTACGAGCTAAGAACGGTTTTGTTTGCGTAATATCATTCTCTCCCGAATACTTAAGCATAACATTTTCAAGAATGAAAACTCACCATCATTGCAACGGATCCAATCAAAGGAGGAGCTCATTCTTTCATATTACAATCATAATAATAATGACCATTCTGGTCTCTCTTTCAGACTGGAAAGCTAGCAGCGGTAAAGTTTATGGTTCGGACGCCATTTTCCTCAATACCGAGCAAACATACATTCGAGATACCATCATGAAATCCTCTATTGATATATTCTCATCAGCGTTGAATATTACCGGGGTTGGTATTGAGAAGAACATTGTTCGGAATCTTGGTTCCATTGAGCGAGTATCAATTTACGACTACTCCACCTCAGTGGTTGGAAATCACAAAGCTCCCTCGAAATTAGAGACGTTTCAATTCACCAACAGCACAGCTTTAGCAAAAACAATAGACTATGCCATTGGTGTTGGAAACTATGCTTCTATCGGAATCGCTTTGCTTATTTTACTAATTGTACAAATTTTGTTTTGGGTGATAACATCTTGTTATGCAACATGGTCCATGTGTTGCTGTAAACCCAGTAAAAAAGATAGGGAGCGCAGAATGCAAGATCACGCGAAATGGGCCTTGGACCATAAGAAGAAAAAACGAGTGACCACATGCTGTCGAGTGTTTTTATTAGTCTTAGTGATTTTTAACATTTTGGCTGTACTGTAAGTAATTCTCTATCTCCTTTGGTGGTTATTCACAGTTCAAAAGTGTATGGTTTTTGTTTGCATTTCAGACCAATATTCTGTTCAGCAAGCTGTTTAATCAAGGTTTAATGATGTACAATGAGGTGGAGTCTCTTGCACAAGATGTGTTGGGGTTTGCAGGAAATATACCAACTACCATTGATCTAATTGAACAAAGCGTCAGTAGTTTAAAAACAAACATTTTGAACAAGCTACCCAGCGATGAAAAAAAGCAATCATGGTCCACCTGCCTTTCAGACATGATATCTTTGATTCCTGATTTTTCCACAACAACACAAGAGGTGGACACACTCAACTCGTACATTAATTCACACCTCAAAACTCCTCTCACCCCTCTCAAGCTGTCCATCTCGGGGTAAAATCTTCTATACTGGCCATTTCCGATACTGATATTCCAGAACTGCTCAACAGACTCTCGAGCGCTGAGTCGGTCATGACATCTGTGAACTTTGATCCCTTACTTACATCGATGACCTCGTCACAAACAACTCTCCAACAGATTAGCTACATTGCTTCAATTAAGAATTCTTTACAAATCATTTCACAAGAAAGATCGAGTACATTGACAGATACCTTCCTTTCAACTCTTGCCTACAATCTACAAAACTACAACACCGACCCCAACGTTGCCACTCAAACTTTGGCCTCACAACTCTCTACCATGTCAACATCTTTGTCACGCATCAAAGATAGTAATTTCAATCAAGCGTTAGATTATTTAAATATGTTGAACACTTCTCTCAGCTTTGTAACCGCCTCCAATTCGTTAATTGCTGTTATCAATGGTTTAGAAAGTGCTTTGAGTGTACTCGATTCGCCTCTTAGCAGTTCAGTTGCTCGTATTGACCTTCTCGATAATTCTCTGTTTTCAACTATTCCCAACACTTTGACGTCCATCAAGCAGAATGTAAGCAACTTCAATCAGTCCATTGCTACTATTCCTTCTTTGCAAATCATTGTTGAAACAATGGACGTTGTAACCTCTTTTGTTAAATTGTTCAATGGAACCAATTGCATTGACTCCATTCTGGCTGACTTGTCGGTTATTAATGCTACCATAATCGAAATCCCTCTTGGGGCAATACAATCCCAGTATAGAAGTGTAAAGGATGGAGTAATTTCAAAAACAAATGGACGATTGACCACATTGTTCAATGATTTGCACACCGCTCTCTTGTCCTCGCTTCCAAACGTCACTCAACAAGTGAATTCGTTTTATAATTCCAAGCTTGATTATGGACCCTCGGTTAATATTTCTGACTTGTGGACCTTGGTTCCCCTTAAAACATTTAGAACTCTGAACAGCTCTCTAAACCTTCAAGACTTACTTGCTTTGTACACTCGTTTTGATACCACACGCAACAGTCTCATGGATTTCTCAACTCTCTCTCGCGACTTGTCTCCTCTCAACAGCTCTGTGGAAGCTTTTGATTTAAATCTAACCAGAACAGTTATATCAACTCTCCAGTCGGCACCATCGACATGTGCTGGAAGCACGCATGCTTCGTGTACAGGTTTAAGCAACACCATGCCTTATCTTTCAACCCTTGTTTCAAATCTCAGACAGACCATCTCTGGTATACCATCTCTTTCAGTCGCAAACAGTTCATTATCCTCGGCAGAAAGCTTAATTGCATCCACTCTCTCTCCTCTGAGCACCATCAAATCTCTCATTGTTCAATTGAGAGCTTTGAAAAATTCGTTCAGGTTCAGTCAAGCTAGAACCTTATTGTCAAGTGACTTTATCCCTTCTATCCGTCAAGTAACAAGCACAGTGCCATTCCAGACAATTGTGGATTCTCTTGATTCCTGTCAAAACAGTTTAAACTCCCTCGATATGACGACCTTGTCGTCCCAGATATCTGCACTTAGCCCAACGTTTAACAGCCTTAACAGCATGGACGTTTCGTCTTATATGAATAATCTGAACACTGAAACGATTAATAGCGCCCTTAACTTTGATTCCATGTTTTCATCTGTAAAGAGCTTGGTGAACGGACTTAACATTGAAAGCTATACATGGTATGTGGATGAAGCTAATCATCAGCTCAACGATATTTTCCTTCCAGACCTGTTTACTGCTGACGGATATCGACTTTTAGCCGTTGTGGTTTTCATTTCTCTGATCTTATTTCTGCCTTGGCTTGCTGTTTTTCCCGTTTGCTTTCCAAAGTGCCCTTCTGTGTTGTTAATTGTTTCCCTGATCATGAGCTTATTCATTTTGCTGTCATGCATTGTGGTTGCACTGTTGCTTCCATTGAATATAGCACTTGTAGACACTTGCGATAGGGTTGAGGAATATGCTTTTCTTGCATTGCAAGAATTTGGTGGTAGCTCCCTCAATCAATCGATAGGTTTTTCACAAGAATTCATGGGATTCAAGTTGAATGTATCTATCGTTCCAACCACCACCATCAAGTCATATTTTGAATCACAGTGTGAAAATGATGTGATCAATTCCACTTTAACTCAAGTGGAATCTGTTGCACAATCACTGCCAAGCTTTGCTATGGAATATCTCAAAAAGTTTTTAGGTTCATTAGTTGTGAGAGATGAATTTGTGAATTTCATCAAAAACTCTTTGCAGACCACTGTAAACAATGTCTTTGATGAAGTTAGACCCATAGCCACTGTTCTGTCGTGCGCACGTGTCAATTCTTATTATAGACATGGTAGAAATTTAGTTTGTCAGGATATTGCTGGATTTTTAGCTAACTTTTGGTTTTTGTTTGCACTGCTAGCCTTACTGTTTTTGTTTGATACTTACTGCTTCACAATCATGTATATTGTCTTTAGAACGCAATGGTATGATAGAAAAGCATCAGTGGTTCAGGCTCAACAGTTCACACAGGACGAAGCAGCTCTTAAAGAAGCAAGATTAGCAAAGTTGAGATCCTATTCAACTCCTCGACGATTTAGTAAAATCAGAAAAGCAGAAAATATAGAGTTGGAAGATGTGTAATGAAAAGGCCAACGTGTTTGAAATCGTAACTCTTTGTTGTTGCTATGAAATAAAGCTTTATCCACAATTGTTTCCACAACTACAAAATTTTCAAATAAAATTAGTGTTCCATGCATTCTTTATATTTAGACAACTCTTGTGAACATTGTCTCAATCCGCTCACTCCAGCCAATCGATCACCCTTTTGTGTTTTAATTGATCGAGAGGAAAAACAATTAAAAAAGTTTTCAGCGACTTCCTTGCACTGCAAGATGTTCCGGAGTTGGCATGACCATCCCAAAAATTTTGAAACAATTATTATTGATAAATTACCTGTTGTTTATATGTTGGGAAATAGCTTGGCAATGTGATGCTTTCAATTTCTTTCCGAATTTCTTGTTCCGATAAAGTAGCCATTTTTTTCTCGCTTACCAAACTGCAGTCGCTGATTTAACAATGACTGTGCAATTTACTTTTCGAAAGGAGCCAATTTGAGTTTTGGAGAAATATTCATCGCTTGTAATTCCTGAATGAGTAATTTGAAGGCATAAGGCATTGGTAATAGAGACATATTTTGCTTTGATTTACAATAATTGCAATATCCCATATATCCAATCATACCACAACCTTCACAAACATGAACCTTATATTCGTCACTCGACAACATTAACCGTTCCAATAAAAGAGCACTTGCTCCATAACCAATCAAACAATCTCTCTCCATTTCTCCCAATCTCAAACCACCTTCTTTAGATCTACCTTCCAATGGTTGTCTTGTCAAAATTCTGACAGGTCCTTTGGAACGAGCGTGCATCTTGTCCAAGACCATGTGTTTCAATCTTTGATAATACACAGGTCCGAAATAAATATAACATGCCATGGTCTCTCCAGTGATTCCACTTGTGAGAATATCCTTTCCACAATATGAAAAACCATGTCGAATGAGTGTTTTACCAATATCTTCAACTCGATCACCTCCAAATGCAGTTCCATAGCCTTGTCTTCCGTCGAGAACGCCCGCCTTGCCACAAATTAATTCAATCATTTTACCGACAGTCATACGAGATGGGAAACCATGAGGATTCATAATCATGTCAGGGCATATTCCTTGATCATTGAATGGCATGTCCTGTTGATCCACAATGATACCACAGACTCCCTTCTGACCGTGACGAGATGAAAATTTGTCTCCCAATTCAGCCCTACGTGTTTGTCTTAATAAATATTTCACATAATAACCACCTCGATCATGATTGGGAGTAATGAGTACTTGATCGACATAGACACTACATGGGCCCTTATAGAAGGATGGAGAGGGTTTGTACTGTTGTTGAATTTGTTGCTGTTGCATTTGTTGTTGTTGATTCATTGATCCTAAAATGTCTTGACTGCTCTGGGTTGCAACAATAAATCGATTCACATACATGTCACCAGGGTAAATTCTCTCACCAACAGCACTCAAACCATCAGCATCCAGTCTCTGATACGATTTCAGACGTTTGGAATCGAGAGCACTCTCTACACCATTATTAGCAGTGCTCACAATGGCTTGAAGGGGTGGAGGTTGTAACACATCTTCAGCTCCATTAGGGTGTTTCTTCAATTCAGTCACATATTTCTTCAGATAAATACAACGTCCATAACCTCTGTCGATGGATGCCTTATTCACAACAACAGCATCTTCAATGTCATAACCACTGTATGACATGACAGCAATGGTTGCATTTTGACCTCCGTTCAATTTTTCAAATTGAATCAATTCAATTGTACGAGTCTTGACCATGGGTTTTTGTGGATAAACGAGTAAGAGTAACAGTGTATCTAAACGATTGAATTGATTGTATGCAATGGCACCCATGGCCTGTTTACCCATAGCACATTGATAAGTGTTACGAGGTGACTGATTGTGATGAGGATATGGAACTAGGCCTGCACAAACTCCCAAAATTGTGAATGGCTCGATTTCAAAGTGAGTAGTCTCTGGTTTGATATCTTCTTCTCTGAAAACAATATTAGAGTTGTTCTCTTCGTTCACATCAAGATATTCAATGAGCCCTTCTTTCAAAAAGTCATCCCATGTACGAATACCTTCTGCCAACTCATTGAGATGTTTTTGAGTGACTTTGAGCTTGGAATTTTCTACAATAATTACTGGTCGACACACTCTACCTCCATCACTTGCAATATAGATGGCTTTGTGGAGATCATTCTTGAAAATGGAAACGAATTCGTGAATTTTACCTGCTCTTCTCAACATTCTAAATAATTTCGTGAATTGAGATGGGAATCTGTGAATACCTAGGATGAGACCGTTCAAAAAAACTACATAACTACTTGGATGGTTCAATTCTTCTCCACTGATTAAGTTAATATCTTCAACTCCTAAATTATAAGCTAATCGAATAATAGGTTCTTCTTCATCATCGGTAGTGACGTGAGTGAGAAGAGCCAAGTTTTTAACGAGACCACATCCTTCACCTTCAGGTGTATCGCTCGGGCACAACAAACCCCATTGTGAAGGTTGTAAAGCTCGCGGACCTGAAACTTTTCTTGTCTTTTCAAATTGAGAACTGATTCTTGTCATCATACCTAATGCAGCAATAAATGAGAGACGGCTCAATACGTGTGTAACACCTGCCCGTTCCATCTTGAATCTTTGCACGTTCCAGTTACCTGAAGAGATGGAGTTTTTGAGACCTTCAGTAATCTTACTGCTATTGGTACTGAAAATTGATGCAATATCCTCGTGAGGTGTTGATATCGTTCTCCTTCCTCGCCTTCCAGTTTTCTTTTCTAATGTCTTTTTAATCTCATCATTAAATTTTTTAAATAAATCTTCAAATAAGAGAGATAGTAATTGACCTGCCATTTCCAATCTCTTGTTACCATAGTAATCCTTATCGTCGATATTGCTGGCGTCATGAATTGCATCAATCATTCTCTTGAGCATGATTGCAAAATATACAATTTTCATTTTAAAATTGAATTTGTAAACTGGAATGTGACATAAAATAATATTTGATAAAATTTCTCTTGTTTCTTCCGTCTTGGACTTGTTTTTTCTAAAGTCTGAAGGTTTCAAATATCGAGACATCCATTCGACAGCTTGATCTGCAGAAAAAACTCCCTCTCTAATACATTCTTCAAAAGAGGGACCTAACGCGTCAATATATTTTCTGTCGCTTCCAACAAGCTGAATAATTTCTTGGTCACTTTCGACACCCATTGCCTTCAATGCAATAATTATTGGTACGTCTTTAGTAAAACTGTTATGATCCAAATAAAATCTCTCATGCTTGATGATGATGTTAGTTTTTGATTTTCTGTAATGTGTAGATCCGGTCACAGAGGCCATTACTTGTTTGTCTTTATCCAAATCTATAATAATTCTGTTCTTTGATAATTGTTCTTGAATGAGACAAACTTTTTCTACTCCCTTTACAACAAAATAGCCACCAGGATCAAGTGGACATTCTCCCAACTTGGCCAACTCTTTTTCATCTTTGCCAAAGAGAACACATCTATCACATTGAAGCATAATTGGCATTCTTCCAATGGGTAACTCCTCAGACTTGATTAAAACTTCATTTCCAACCACTTGCGGATACTCAATATTAACAATGATATCAGCATCATAGGTTAAATCTCTCAATCTACACAATTGAGGAGTTAACTCTATAGAATCTGCAACCTCATCTAACCTAGGCTTGGCAATATAAATGTCATTATATTTAATATAGAATCTATCATCGGTATCGGGTGTTATCATATTATTGGCCTGTACTATCTTTTTAATATCTACATTGATAAAATAGTTGAATGAATCGATGTGTTGTCTGAACAAGCCTTTCACTTTCATAAAGGCAGGCAACAGCCTCCACTTATCTTCCACTTGTTTTATAGGTTCCGTTATTTTACTTGGATTTCCATAGAGAAGGTCATGAAGAGAAGATGATTCTGTTTGATTGGCCGATGATGATGATGAATTTGTTGTTGTTGTTGATGTTTCACTTGCTGGCAGAGCACTCAAAGACCCATCTTGTTGTTGTTGTCCGGCTCGTCCTTTCAAAAACATTTTTTTTGAATCGAAAAGAAAATTCAATTCAACAAATGCATTGCGAGTAAACTCGATTGGCTTGAAGCTGTACAGAGGAGCAAATCTGCTCTTTGAATTGAACAATTACTACTGACAATTTATTTGAAATTATCTACAGAGAGACAAATGTGATAAACTCCTCTCTCAATTGAATCAAAATTTGAACATGCTTTTTGTTGAACATGTTCTTTTTCACCTTTGAATACATCCTCAAACAAATTGAGAATGTTCAAGAGGCACATAATGTATTTGTATTCGAATACAAATACAAGCAATATCATGCAAACAGCTCCATCAGTTTAACGCTACCAACCACAGAAACCTCAATGTCATGTTATTTACAATTGTACATCACCAAATTCATATACTATGTACATTTTCTCAATGTTATTACATCATCATTGAATTGTTGTTGTTTTGAAATGATGTAGAGTTGCCTTGTTCAATTGGAACATTGTTAGCTCCTTGAGCAGCACTAGTGTTGTTATTGACAGCAAGGGCGTTTTTCATCTTGTTCGACTTTTGAATTCTATTCGACGATTTCTTTGAAATTTTTGTTGAGTAATCATGAAATTTCAAGAAACCACTGGTACCATAGTAAAAGTTTGCTGGATTGAGTTTGGTGTTGAAGAAGCCCTTAGTAGTGTTTGATTGAGCACTGGAAGAAGTTTGACTCGTATTGGTTGAGAAGGCATCCATCATCAAGTGATTTTGTTGAGACGACGATGAGAAATTCTTCTTAGTATTGTTGTTAGCATTTGTGGTGACATTAGAGGCGATCATAGTTGTTGTGGTTGTGGTGGTGGTATTCGAAGCAGTAGCAGCAGTAGAGGTAGAAGGAGGTAGTACATGCATTTGTTGTTGTGGAATAATGGGTTGTTGTTGCTGTGATGGAGAAGAGGATGATCCCATCACTTGTTGCAAACCTCCGCCACCATTGTTATTATTACTGCAATTCACTGCACCTCCTCGTGGTGAGAGTTGATTCATTAACACCATACTACCACCAGTGGTCGTATTCGATGGTGGTACCACGACCTGAGATGAAGGAGGAGACAATTGTGAAGTTGCATTGTTCATGGCAGATGCTGCCATCATGATATTTGCAGCAGCAGGCATGTTATGAAGAGATGGAGGTGCTTGTGCAGTCATCATCATGGGTGGACACATCTTTTTGGCGTTCAGTAAAACTCCCAAAATGGAAGCTCCATTGTTGTTGTTATTAGAAGTTGAATGAAAGAGAGTAGTAGGTGTTGTGTTCATGCCCATTGAATTTAAAGGAATGGGTTGTTGTGGAGTGGAAATTACACTACCACCTGGAAGTTGGAGAGGATTAGTACTATTCAAAGTATTGACAGCAGTCGCCACAGTATTAACACCGCCAGACATGATCATCATGGTATTTGGTGCCGATGAGGATGCTGTCATGGCTGACATTTCAGTCAAGGACTCGACCATTTGCATGTTATTTTGAATGACTTGATAGGGAGTATGAGTTTCACATTCAAAAACATCGTGTGGTGTTGCTTGTTGTGTCGAGTTATCATGTTGCAACCAAGGAATGGCATTTCCATTGTTGGTACCAGTGTTGGTGTTTGAAGTTAAAAAGTCCAAGTCAGCAGGAGAATTCAGTAATCCATTCACACTCGTTGGTGTATTTACACTCGTCAAGAAGATGGAGCTCGAACTCGTTTTGATTCTATCCACTTGTTTATCAAATAAGTGGTGATTCGAAGTGTTATGATTGAATCCGTTGTTGTGATTATTCATGATATCATCGTGAGGATTACTGTTATTGGTACCACCAATGATTAACCCAAATCCACCCGAAGTACTTGGAGAGAGTGTTGGAGTGGAAAGAAGGAAATTAGCACTTGCAGTGGTTGGTGTTGTGGCAGATGATAATTCAAACGTATCCATACGATGATGATGTTCATCCATTGAGTTGTAGAGTGGTTGAGAAGACTGTGAAGCTCCTGTCGAGGCTGAGGTAGCATTTATATAGGAAGTGAGTTGATTCAAAAGTGCTGTGGTTGGAGTGGTTGCTGTTGCGGGTGTTGTCGAGGTGTTCAAGTTCAACAAGTCATCCTCGTGATGATGATGATGATGCTGTTGTTTATTCAACTCTTGCACGAGTCCATTCAAGTCATCCAATGGAATGGGAGATGAGGTGGAAAGTGTTGTAGCTGTAGTGGGTTGTTTTGGAGAAGCCTTGTTAGGTCGAATGATGAGTGTAGGTGGTTCTGGAATGAAAAAATCATTGTTGGACGAACCCAAAGTGTTGTTGTGGTTGGAAGAATTTTCCGGATGGTGAGTCATCATGGTGGTTGTTTTGACCAAGATTCAAAGCAAAGTGTAGTAGAGAGTGGTTGGTGTTGTTTCAGGGTGCAGATGCTGTTGATTCACAACACACGTGAAGAGTTTTTGTTTGGTTGTTGTTATTATAATGTGTTTCGAGTCAGCTCAGTGGTTGATTGGCAGCAGGACTAATCACAGAGAAGTAGTTGGTTTTGTTTTTTTGTTTGAAAGCGAGTTTGACAGGGACGAGTGTTCGCCTTTTTCATACAAGACGAACCCCAAAGTAAAAGTTGCCTTGCGTTGCTTTGCAGAGAGAGAAAGGAAAGCAAGATCGAGGAATAGAAAGTGCTGTCATTTCGTGATGAGTATCGCTGTTTCACTCAACTGAAAATGGAGTATATTGTATTTTCCTTGAATTCTTTTCGATGGCTTTGTGTGCAACAAGGGAATTGGTGGCCTCTTGAAATCATATTCATGGTTTTATGTTTCCAATAGAGAAATTCATGAGAGCTCTCTCAAACTACAGAAACTGTAGCAACGTCCTGTAATATATGTTTGACCAATAATCACCAGAGCTATGAGACAATCGCTCACTCCCTTAGATTGGAATGAGAAGTGAAGGGTGCCCTTCTGTGATCAGCTGTTTCGCCATTGAGTTCTTCATGATGTTTCGACACCTGTTCTCATTGTCTGTTGATGGATTCTACTGAACTCTCAAATCATTCTATAATTATTGTACACCAAATGTGGTCTATTCAAACAATTCTTGACCAAATCCAAATCTTTGAAAATGTATTGCAGGAGATAGTATTTAACGACTTCTTGAGGTGTCATAATAGCAATGGTTCCTTTGGAAAGCGAACCCTGTGATGGTCGTTGTTGTTGTTCTTGAAGTTTCTTCTTATCAAGCTCTCCCTTCACCTTGTACACAATTTTCCTAAATATAATATTATGGCTCGTATGATCGAAAATGTATTGAGAAATTGCCTTAGCTGAGGGTAGTTGCAATGATACTGTTGATGGTACATTGGAATGAGTGTCTTGCGTCGAATTTAGAATCAATTTCGTATGAGCATGATGACTATTCATTGCCTCTTGAACCACTTTCATAGCACTCTCTGCACATTCATCAATAGCATTCCATACCTCATCGTTGAATCTTCTCAATTCTTGCTTTTCTTTCTCAGTGTTTAAGAATGGGAGAAAATCATCAACACTATCGTCCAACACTAATTTCCAAACGTGAGAAGGAGATGGGTTCGAATCGGTAATGAGTTGTTTCTTTTTGTGAAGTTCAGAATACCAATGGGTTTTGAGTTTGTACATTTCTCCTGATTGTTTGTGCCTCAATACCACTCCTTCAATTCCATGTAATTCATTGACTTTGGTTTTCAATTCTTCAAAGGTGTGAATGATAATAGTAGATGTGTTTGATGGTTGTGTGTTCAATATGGTTGAATGGAGATGACCTCCATTGAAGATGCATTTCACATACGGAATGTTAAATTTCTCACACAACTCACACATCTCTTCATAGGGCATGTAGCTTCCATGACAAGTAGATCGTATGGCAATAAGTGTGAGAAATGTTTCAGAGTATTCAACTACTACCATGTTTTGTTTGGAATAGAATTCAAAGATGGGAGTGAGACCTTGATTCATGGTATACTCACAAAATTCCAAATATTGAATACTATTCTTTTCATTGTGTGTGTTAGAATTCCTTGATTCGCGTTGAGCTTTCACAAACAAATCTGCTTCATTTGTTACATTATTGAAATAACCTCGTTTTGTTCGAAATACAATGTTATTGTTGACATAAATTGGCATGACCATGGAGCCATCTAATTTTTCCAAGACTAGAAAAATGTCTAACAAGTTAATCGATTTAGAATGAGTATTGAATCTGGATTCTAAAGTTTGAATGGATGACTCTTCATTTTCGTCCACTAAATATTTCAATATTCCATTCATAGCACGTTCAAATAATGATTTCATTGACACGTGCATGAAAAGTTTCATCACTTACAATTAAAGAATTTATGTAAACATCGGCTCACTAATTTTCCACTCGATTTTTCAAAAGTTAAGCCTCTAATTTCTCTTCTAATTTTTCTTCTTTGCAATTCTTCGTCCGATATCATGGATGAATGAGATGATTCGATGAGTGGAGGAAATGTTGTGCTCTTCACTCTTCCATAACAATAAAACAGATATTCGTCTTGTTCCATAAATTTAAAGTCATCCGTGTCGGTGCCAATAGCTTCAACCACTTGTGAGAGGTGAGTAATCGATGGAAAGAGAGAGCTTTGTTTGTTTGTTTCTGATGATGAAACTAGTTCGGAATTAGAGTAGTCGACAATCATTTTCGTGGTGACAATTTTTTCTCAAGTTCTTTAGTTTTCACCGAGTTTGTTTCAATGTGCAATCTTGAATTAACATGGAGTGAAATTTCAAACATGCATTATCCTCAAGTTCATTGTATACAGAATTTTGGTGACGGGTGTCGTGTGAGTTGGTGTACCTTCAACTTTACATTTTGTTCTAAAAAATGGCCACTCAACATCAGCAAAGACATATCATCATTGTAGGAGGTGGATATTCGGGTATCAGTCTCATTCAATCCATTCGTGAATATGAAAGCAAAAAACTGAGTAGTACTGCTAATGCAAATCCTTCCGTACCACTTTACATTACTCTTATCAGCAATGAAGATTTCTGTAGTAGACCCAATTTATTTTTCCGATTTAAATTTTTGCAAGCCTCTCCTTCTTCAAAATTGCTGGATTATCATGGTGGTATACATTTGCATGATTCAAGCAATTCCGATAGTAATACCACTGATTTATCAAAAAATTTCATTCAAAAATATAATATCAATCAAGTGATATTGAATAGTGTGGTTACAAGCGTAAATGCAAACGAAAAAACAATTAAATATAAAAGAAATGACGGAGATGACAAGGAAATAGAGTTGAAATATGACGATTTATGTTTGTGTTTGGGAGGTAGAGCTCATGTCGTAGAGTATCCTGTAACATTCTCCTTGCCAGAAGAACGCTCTGTAACATTTCCAAAACTAGAGTTTGAAAACATTTCTAAGAAGTATCACATTCATACAGGTGTTCCAAATTATATTTACGTGAGAAACGTTGAAGAGGTGGAATTGGTTTACAACATTATGAGGCAATTATATAGCTATTATACCACTACAAATACTCAAAGTTCGGAGCATAACCGAATTGTTGTGATTGGAAGTGGAACTCTTTCATTGGATATTGTGAGCCATATTATAGAAGGGTATGAGGCCATTGAGAAACAATTACAAACTACAACAACTAGTTCAACATCACAACCATCATTTTGGGATGTTACTCAGCCATCTCTGCTTCCTAAAATAACAATAATTTCGAGAAGTCAACACATTGGTAAATCTCTATTGAAAGACGACCGTGCATGTGAAATGCTTACCAATTTAGTGAAACAAAAATACTCTAAATATATTGAAATTGAGTTGAACAGTGAGATTGAAAGCATTCATGCTGATTCAACCTCCACTGAAGAGAAGAAGGGAATGGCTACCTCTGTTGCTATCGTCTCTAAAAGTAGAACAGACAATGAGCAGCACACTAAGAGGATTATTCCATGCTCATGCATCATTCAGGCCGTTGGTGTTAAAAGCGAAACTGATCTTGCTGAGAAACATCTCAATGCCTATATCGGAGCGAATGGCGGAATAACAGTGAACGAGCATTTTCAAGTCATGACCTTGCATGAAAATGTTTTGACCACAGTACCCAATGTATACAGCATTGGTGACTGTGCAGAGATTCCATTGAGTGAATTGATCGATGTCAGTACTCATGGTAATTCGAGTAGAGCTGTTTGGAAGAATTGGACAAGTGCTCGGGAACAAGCCATATTGTGCTCGCACTACTTGGTAGACCAAAATAGTGGAGGAATTGAAGACACCCAGCATCAATATGGTATGAAAACAAAGCTCTTCTTCAGCCAAACACCAAAATTCTTTGGCCTTTTTATCTCATGTCTTGGTCATTACGAAATATCTACAGAGAACTCAACAGATTTGTCCACATTTGCCACCTATTATTCACCCCAACCATTACTTGACAATAACAATATTTACATGAAGTTAGTATTTAAAAAGAGCAAGAAACAAGTAGAACCCAACCATGAACAACAACTCAAATTAATTGGTGCTCTCCTCATTGGTCCCACGATGAACGAATACAAATTAGGCGTACATTTTCTTCAACTTCTCAAAGAAGATGTGTATTTACCTCAATCCTTGGTGGAGTCTAAACAAATTCTACAAAACATGTCGTTCAACATGAACATGTGGAATCGATTGTTACAACTTGTAAGATCTAAAAGCCATGGAAGCAGTCATCATACGGTACCATTCGAAACCAAAGAGGAAATTGAAAAAGTGCTGACTGAATTGAATCAACTTGGTTCTACTGCTGCCAGCAATGCTACTGTTAAAAAGCCGTCATCGATCACACCTGGAGCTAAAAAGTTTGTCAACCCTCTGGAAAAGAAGAAGGCAGCAGCTGCAGCAACACAACAGGTTTCCCCATCAAGCAACAGTACAACCAAGGACCAAACTGAAGATTCCTTGTCCAAGCAAATGGATGAATTAACCCTTTCTCACACCAAGAAGGAGGTACAAGAGTAAAAACAAATATAGTCAATACACACAATTGTTCCTCTGTCATGCAAGTGATCGAATTAATTGAATTGATGCAATGAAACAAATTTAAAAAAATACTTGAACGAGAGAAACTGCATTTGTTGAAAATATTACACACTTAACTGCGCATTTGATTCTTCTAATTTGATTCATCATTCACAATATTAGCATCAAAAACATTGTAAATATATATCATAACAACTCTCATATAATGACTTCTCCAACAATTTCCTCACATTCCTCACTCGCAGCATCGTATCAATTTATTTCCGATCGCCACATTCCTTCTCTCCTTTTTCAAATGAAAACTCTTCCTCATAATCACAAGTATCATTCCAATATTAATTTATTGCAATCGGCCATGTCATCTTCGTCTTTATCAACAATGAATCGTGCGACAAGTACTACTACGGAAGAATCACATGAGCCACTTACTTGTCATCACATCAACTCCTCTTTGGATTTCTATCCCAATCAAACCAATCCCTTAAAATTATTAAAAACACATCCATCACTCATTTATCGATTGCATTTAGCTAAGGTGATTGATGAACCACATTTGGGTCATTCAGGTTGTGTCAATTCCGTTGCATGGATACCCCCAGAAGATTGTTTTCATTGTGCCTCGTCGTTGGGAGCCAGTCATTATTTGGGCAATGAGGACATGAGTAATATGGATTCTCTTCTCATTTCAGGAAGTGATGATTGTTGTATCAAAATATGGAACTCTCACTCCTCGGAATGTAAATGGACTATTTCAACTCCACACACTGGAAATATATTTTGTGTCAAATGGTTTCCTCATTGTAATTTAGATCGTATCATATCAAGTGCCGCAGACTCAAAGATTTGCATTTACGAGCACGGTAGACATACAAGAACTATTAAGGAGCACATGGGAATGGTCCATCGAGTATGTATTGAGAATTCATCTCCTCACGTCTTTATAAGCATTTCTCAAGATGGTTATGTGAAATTGTTTGATTTGAGACAACCAACTCATGAACATGTGAATTTGTTACATTTACAAACAGGTGGTGGTAGTAGTACTACTGGTACTAATTCTCGCCTTGTAAGGTTCAGCAGTTCCTCAGCAGCATCCATTGACATTAATAGTATTGACATGAATCCAAGAAATAGCAATGAAATCATTTTGGGATGTGATGATCCTTTCGTGAGATTATTCGATCGTAGAAAAATCATGACTTCGAGTAGCAGTGATACCACTACCATCAGCAGCAACAGAGATCAAGTGATTGAAGCATCCACTGTACAAAAATACTGTCCTGCTGGATTGTTGCCAAGTAATGACTCTTCTCAACGACCACACAGTCGAATACCTCTGCACGTCACTGGTGTTCGATTTAACAAGTACGGTGATGAAATTGTTGCCACCTATAGTGGTGATCATATTTATTTATTTGACAAGTGTGCCCATACTCGTAGCACAGCAGAGAATAGTCCAGTCATTGCTGCTGATGCTAAAATGTCTTATATAGGTCACTGTAACATTCGAACAGTCAAAGAAGTGAATTTCTTTGGTGAATGCTCCGAGTATATTCTTTCTGGTAGTGATTGTGGACATGTGTTTGTGTGGGATAAACACACGGGATGTATTATTAATGTCATTAAGGGAGATTCTCATGTTGTGAATTGTTTAGCACCTCATCCAATCTATCCAGGAGTATTGGCAACGAGTGGTATTGAACACAATATTAAACTCTTTGAGATGGGAGTGTTGGACTATATGGACGATAACCCAGAAACGAGTTGCTATGAGAAGAATATTGCATTTAGAGATGCCAACAAGATGAGTTCCATGTGGACCGATGAGGAGCATGAAGAGGAGCCTCACGCTGTGAGCACGAGTAGTACTAGTAGCAGCAGTAGTACTAGCACTAGTTCTAAGCATGATCGTGTGTCTCGTCTGATCAGTGAAAATGAACGAAAAACAAGAGAGGGTCATTCGAGTTTGATTTTACCTGCGAGTATGGTCTTTAATTTGATGCAATTGTTGGCTTCACAATCTGATGAAGAGGACGAGGAAGAGAATACTGGAAGAACATCCACAACGAATACAACAAATGCGGGTCAACAGCAGCAACAAAGGAGAAGAAGAAGAGCACAAGAAATCTTTCAATTATTGGAAGAGCTTGGAGGACATGATTCTAGCGGTGAGGAAGAGAATGAGAATCAGGAAGAAGAAGAAGAATCTCGTACCACAACTCGCAGTTGCAGAACCATGTAATGAATTAAGAGTGGACAACAATGTTTTTACACACGCATTGAAATAAATGCCAAATCGAAAGAACTTTGGGTACAACTCTTGTGTTGGAATTGAATACAAAAAATTCCCTGAATGTCAACTCATTCCACACGTGCACACAAAACTTCCTCACCGTTATCCTCATCAGCAAAGGCTGTTCGGAATGAACCACAGTGTGATTGTGCTAGTATGAGTACTTCATCTTCCGATGATGACCATGTTGCAGAGTTGATGAACAAGAACATTTCATCATTATCACCAAATAACAGCAACAACAGATCTGCCATCATTATGGAGCCATCATCATCCTCTTCATTGTCGTTTTTCCATCAATTCAAAATGTATCTTCATAGAAGAATCATGTCCGAGACTAGAACTGTGCGAGCCTTTCAAGAATTCTTTGGCGTCGTGCAAGTAAATACGAATACTACAACTACGAACATGACCACGAATACATCCCTACCATCATCTAATGAATCACAGCAAGTAGGATCAAAACCAACATTTAAATATTCAAAATTTTGGTATTACCTCTTTTTATGGAGTAGTGAATTGGGAAATGAAGGAATGTTCGCCTCCTTTCTTCCATTCATATTTTGGCATATTGACCAACATTTAGGAATTCGTATCATGATTGCATGGGCACTTTCATTTGGAATAGGTCAATATCTGAAAGATTTATTTGAGCTTCCTAGGCCTCAATTAGACTCAAGATTGGAATCTTGTTATGAGAATGAATTTGGATTTCCGTCCACACATGCAAGTGGTTCAACTGTACTTGCTATTTCTTTCTTTGGCTATTTCCTCAAATATTATTCATTTGAAAATGCACCATATTTAAAATATGTATTCATTATTGCGATGGTTGCATGGATTGTTTTATGTTGTATGAGTCGATTATACTTGGGAGTTCACTCCCTTACTGATATCTATGGAGGATTATTAATTGGATCATTTGTATTATTTATTTGTCACAAATATGTGTATGTGTACTTGGAACCGTTTTTCTTGATGGATTTGAATATGAGTAGCGACAATACCACAAACCTTGGAGACCTCATAACAAGTAGAAGCGCATTCATAACCCCTCTATTTATTGTTGCATTCACAGTGGGTATCATGACTTTCTATAGCACATCATTGAGAAAAGGTAAGGTAGTTGATAATTTCGAATTAGTTCACAACTTTAATTTAAAAGGCAATCCATGGCGATCGTCATATGGAGACACAGGAAGAGTATTCGGAGCATTTTGTGGAGCTTTACTGGGTATTTGGTGTGTCATTGTATTGAAAAAACCACAATACGTTTGTGAAAGAATATTACATGGTATAAATCATTCCATTCAAGATAATAACGAAATGGGATTCTTGCAAATGCTATTTTCAACCCCACCCTCTCTGATGCCATACGTGTCATCTCCAACACAGCATGTGTTGTATCCACAAGTACGGCTTCTCGAATTGCATATTCAAGATTGGGCAAAGATTGCATGGACAAGCGTTGTTGGAATTGTGTGGCTATTGATGAATAAGGAAATTACAAAAGTGGTCGTTTTTCGGTTACTCAAGACGTTTTATCTTCCAGAGAGAGAAACTAAGAACATGAAAGAGCTCATGCACTCACGATATGATGTCGAAATACCCGTGATTTTGACAGCATATACAATGATTGGATTTACTGCTACATGTCTCAACACGTTATTTGTTATTGGAGTTCAATAAAGTACTGAGTGTGAAGTATTGGACTCGACGAATGGCAAGAAAAGAAACAAGGAGAGCAAAATAAATTTTTTTTGCAAACAAAAAATGAATCGCCTTTCTCAAACATCTCGCTTCTCATTTCTGTTGAGAACATTACACCAACAACAACAAGCCTTGTCTTTCCATACTGCTCTCAACTTTAATCGTATAGGCTCAATTTTTGATGTCCCATCAGAAGATAGTAAATCCGATGATAATGCCATTTTCAAGTCTCTTACCAAAACAATTGATGAGGGAGTTATTCCTTCTCAACATCAACCACAGGGAAGACGTGCTCAAAAAGCAAACAAACAACAGAATCAACAACTCAACGCTGGTAGCAAAATTATGAGACATATTTTCGAAGAATTACAGAATAGTGAGGCCCAACAACAACAACAAGCTGCATCATCAACCTCGGATTCCACAGTAGACAAACATGCTTTTGATAGTTTTTTATTTGGTGATTCAAAGGCAGACATGAGCTCTCTTCAATCTCTCATGCAACAACAAGGAACAGCCAACATAGCTGAAGAGTATTTCTGTGGTGAAAAGATAGCTCATCAAGACCCTGTTACGAAAGAACAATTCATTAAAGGAAAAGTAAAACTAATTTCCGAAGCACTTGCAAAGGTTTCAGCAGAACAAATTGAAGCCTTGTCGAGCCAGACTTTGAAAATGGTGGAATTGTTGCGAGGCACGAAAGAAAACTCTGAAGTTAGCGAAATTGAAAAAGTTTTTCTCTCTATCGAAAAACCAACAAGCACTGATTTTAACTTGATGGCTAAAGCATATTCTAAGGATGTTAGCCAACGTGTTGGCTTGAAGCATGCTCTTGACAAACAATTACAGAGTCCTCAATCATTTGGAAGTGTATTAATGCAAGCATTTGCAAAATTAGGAGAGGTTGAAAACATGCAACAGCTTGTGGATGACGGTACTGTGAATAGGGATGCTATTGCATACATATTCTTACTCAAGAATTTGAAAGAGGCCAGAGCTAGCTTTGAAGTTCTTAAACAATTTTACGAATCTGTTCCACAAGAAATGAAAGAAGAGGGATCATTTATTTATGAAAGTCTGAAGAGAGAGGAACAGATTCATAGTATGGAACAAGTTCTAATGAAAGAGGGACCTCCATTAGAATCCACTTATTTCAACCCATACGTAACACCAGTGTATGGTTTCAATAGACCTTATCCTAAGAAGTAGTTCATTGTGTTTCATGATGTTGGGATTGATAAATGAATCAATGATTGTTGTGATCGTTTGTTTCTTTTCTTCAGAGAACCAACCTCACAAAAAATGCCAAATCCACAACCCTTGCCAGTGCCCAAAGTGAAGCCGCTTCCTCAAGTCAATCGCAACAACAACATTGTAACACGGGATCATCAAAATTCTTCATTGAAAAGCTCGCCATCATTATCAAACACCACTACCCTAAATACTGTATCGGATCATTTCACAAGATCCTTGTCCTCATCCACATCACTACATACCAACGCTACTGCTTCATCGAGCGTAGCAAGCGGGAGTTCAACACTCGGTTCGTCATCCTCACTCCATCATCATCATCACTCGCTCAGTACTAGTTCTTCCAACAGCAGCACCCCTGCTATCACACCATCGTTCCATACTGTTTCTCAAAATACAATCATTGGCGAATATTTATCAGCTCAGGATGTGATCGATGAATTAAAGCTGGATCAGTTTGGTGATAATCCCCTTGTGAATGAACTAAGTTATTTCTATGATTTAATTGATGATGAAGAAGACGATTATGGAGAATACATCCCTGCTTTTGTGAAAAATAGTCATCAACCTATGACATCATCGAGTAGTGAAACGGATCAACAACAACAATGGAGTGCTGCCTCCAATTTGGAACTTGAATCTAAAATTGATGAAAAGCTACTGATGAACCAATTAACCAGTTTCAATGAACAAGAAAGATTAACAGGAGTTAGAGATTTAAAGTTGCTGGTCAAGTATAAACAAGAATTCGCGATATTTATTTTACCTCAATTATTCTCAATATATGGAAGCACGTTGGAAGATGAAGATCACATCAAACAAAACTATGAAAAGAACTCTGCATTCCAAATTCTGCAGGTTATCACATACATCAGTGATCAATACCAAAATCAATGTAAATCCGAATATTCAAATCATTTTTATAACATGCTACATATTTTGGCAAAACGACAAATACCAAGATACATTTCAAACAAATTTGTATTGAAGTATTACATCAAACTATTATATATTTTCATGCCAAGTTATTATATGGCTACTAGTGGTACATCTAGCAGCAATAGCACAAACAATGTTGCAAAGAAAATCCCAAATACTAATGTCGATCAAGAATCAACATCATTACGCCGTCATGACGATTTGTATGAATTTAACAACATTTCATTTCCGAATTATATCAAATTCATCACGTTGAATTCAGTTCTATTCAATGCATGCTATTATCCGTTTCTTTTAAAGAGTCTACAACTTACGGATATAGAATTGAATACAGATGAAGTGAAATGCATATTGCAATATTTTTATGAAGCGTTTATCATGAGCGTTGGAAAAAGTGACAGTTCTATTTCTAACAATGCCAAAAAGAATGTGGACGAGGTCAATAGTGGCAACATTAAAATCAATAGCAGCACCAAGCAGATCTTACCTTCTGCTAGTAGTGTTGCTGCCATCAAATATCCTCGCAAATATATTTTGCAAAGCTTGAGTGATGTCATTCTATGCATTACTACGTATCACACCAAAAATTTCGATTCTGTAATGGAACACATCAAATGCCGTTTCAATCACCCAATTATTATTTTACATACCCTATATAGCATGAATAAGAAAGTATTTAAAACTAATTTTGGCTCCTTATTCGAAACATTCAACGATATTGTAAACAAATATATTGTGAATTTGACTGAATTTGATATATCAGAACAGTGTGTAATTTACTATTACTTGTATAATATTTTAAGTGAATTGGTGAAAAATATGAATGTCAATGTAACAGACACATCTGGCGTTGCCTCCACGAACAGTGTTTTCAAATTATTCTCCATTCTTCACAAATACTATTTCAACAATATTTACATCAAGTCTATTTCCATTCAAAATTTTATTAATCATAGAATCTCACATGAATACAGGGACACTTCGTCGACAATTTCATTGCAGTCCATTAGCGAGACATTGTTTCACTTAATCTATACTTGTATTGACAAATTCAACAGCCATATTAACACAGCAAGTGGAAATGGAAATCAAGGTGGTTCCGACACAAGTTTCACTCATTCCATGAATCAATCATTGTTGAGCATAATTTTAAATTATTACACTCATACACCAACGAGCTGCAGTAGTGGCATGATTAAGGACAACGGTATTTCTGCATCATCTTTTATGCTCAACAATAGATATTACATTCAATCACTCTATCGCTTATTGAAACTGAATACTAAAACTTGTTATTCGTTCCAACCAAGTAACCTTGATCATGAAGAGAGCATTGAAAATATTTTACAACCATTAGTGGAAGAGTTGAAACTCCTTTATTGCATTGAAGAAGTAGTGGACGACAACCTGTTGTCAAATCCAATCATTGAATTTATCATTAAGGAATTGAATCACCTCTCTTCCTCGTCATCCAAGTAAGAGTTCGCATCACGAAGAAGATCGTGAAGGAAAACTCTGATTCAGCAGTAGCCATTTGTTCGTGAACGTTGTTGCTCTTCCTTTCCAAATCTGAATTGGAACCCCAACACCAAACACACAGCAAAAACAATTTTAAAATTAAAAAAAATATTTCAACGATCACACACAAAGCTTATCTTGATTAAAAACTCTCGGGTCACGAGATCATTTGCAACAACAACACAAATTGCTAAACATAGTGTAGTTTACCTCAACACACAACACCATCATAACTCGACATCAATTTTCTATTTTCGTTTTAATACGAAACAATACCACTCAACAACAACAACAACGCCTGATCCACTCTCTAAACCGCAAATCTCACTCAGAAAATGTTAGAAGCAATATTCGGTAAAAAGAAAACACCAAAAGAACTCCTCCGTGAATATAAACGTAACATTGAACGAACCATCCGACAAATGGAACGAGAGCGAGTAAAATTACAAAATCAAGAAAAGAAGCTCATCAATGACATGCGAAGAATGGCCAGACAAAATCAAATGGACACAGTTAAAATTATGGCCAAAGATCTTGTTCGCACCCGAAAGCACGTGACTAAAATGCACAAAATGCAGGCTCAATTACAAGCTATTTCTCTCAAATTGACGACGCTCAACTCGACTAATGAAATGACACAAGCCATGAAAGGAATGACAAAAACAATGACAAGAATGAACAAACAATTGAATCTACCTGAAATGCAAAAGATTATGCAAGAATTTATGAAACAAAATGAAATGATGGATATGAAAGAAGAAATGATGAACGATATGGTTGACGATGTGATGGAAGACGATGAAGCTGAAGGTGAAGAAGAAGAATTAGTCACTCAAGTGTTAGATGAAATTGGTTTGGATATGAGCGGAAAGATGGGAAAAACACCAAATTCAAAACTTCTCGAAGAGGAAAATGTAGGAGCAACAGCTGAAGATGATGATCTGCAACAACGTTTAGAGAATTTGAGAAAGAATTAAGCGCAATCACAGATCTTTGATCATGACAACAATCATGATTTTGTCCATAATTTATGTATAAAACAAACAATATTTTTGTCACAAGATTTGCCGATAACTTTTACAAACTAGTTCACGAAAGTCAGCTCAATTGGTGGCCGTCCTCTTCCTGAAGATTGCTCCAAGTATTCGGTCTAGCAATGATTTGGTATGTTCTTCTTCGTACTTGGCGTTGAATCTTCGAATCATCAAGTTGAACATGCTTCCATAGAACAACACAATCACAGTACTTGTCAATGTAATAACGTTGTAAGGCATACTGAAATCTGGCGTTGGAAGATTGATGAGTAGACTGTCACTGTAGTAGTAATAGAGGTCATTGGGGTTTTCATTACTCGAGTGAATAATTATTGCACTTGACAAGTCAAATCCTCTATTAGCATCAGGAGCATGTTCAGTATATTTTAAATAAGTCTTTTCAAACTCAATGGACACCTGGATAGAAGTTGACGAACCGCTTTGACCTCGGCTTTTCCTAATAAATGACGTCAAGTTGAAGCATAAATTCATGACAAATGGATTCACTCTATCTTTTTGTGGTAAAATATTCATGCTTTTGATCATGTGATTCTTGTGAGCTTGATCAATAGACTGGCCATCAATTTTCAAAGTATGTATAAATGTTTTAAAGTACCATGGTATGACGTCATAGAGGCAATAATTTTCCTTTTCCAAACCAGTGTCGCTGTTATTGAATATTTCAATGTTGGTAATGAGCTTGTTATCAAGCTGATATCTCATAACGTGAACACGAGATGGAACTACTTGTTCAAAACCACTCTTAATATTATTCACATTGTATATATTGAGATTGAGTGGATGAGCATGATCACTCCCAGTATCATTCATTTCATTCACTATTCGTTTCAATAAATAATTATTGGTGGTACTGATAGAAATTGTTTTGTCAGCTGGAGAATTTGTAGCGATTTTCTGCGTGTCTTGCAGCTCGTTGTCGGCACCATTTACATAAATATGGCTGTTTCCATAGGGTATTTGTAATTTGGTCTTTTTAAACGTAATAAACTTGAAGTTTTCGTATTCATTTCCTTCATTATATTTAATCACTCGAAATACGTTCATGAATATGCCCCTTCTTGTAATATCCAATACCAAGCTCACATAATCGCTATCGAATAATAGTTTAGGTATCAATAGCGCACTGATTCCTCTATTTCCTCTATACGGTAATATAGATTTGAATGGAGTTAAATTTTCTGTACACACTGTCTCTTCACTCAGCGTTCCATAGATAGTAGTTGTCGAATGGTCATTCTTTCCAATATCATGGTTCATAAAATTAACAATTCCACTGTCATAGACTCTTCGAGAATCAAAAGTTAAAAAATTAATGCTGGCACAAAACAGACCGCTCAATTCATTGACAAGGTAATCCCATTTATGTTTGATGTTGCTACTCGTTGTTTGGTTAGAATTGTTAAATTGGGCTTTTACAGTCAAACCACTTGGTGGCATTGAAATAAATGGTGATTCATTGTGATCATTTTCACTACCATCCGTGGAATACTTTCTTTTCAGTAAGCCCCAATCCCGATAGTGGTATCTACCTCTTGTCATTGTGACTTGTAAATTCTTCAAATCATACTTGTCTAAAATATACGGATATAAATTAGATTGAGAGAATGAAACATCATCATCATGACGACCTGCCGATTCACGATGAAACTGATTCATTGAAAAATGATAAATTAAATATTTTGTATCGAGTGATTTTGTAATGCTAATATATTCATCATAGGAAGAAGATCCGGAAACCCATGAATGCCTACTACTCAATAAAACAACCATACAACCCATAATCAATGTTGTTGCCATTTTCAATGCAAACTGAGCCAACCTCCGTGTAGAGGCTATCTGTTGCTTGGAATGTGTTACCGATGAAGGATGATGACGATCACCATAGGGCTGATGAGATTGCAACCACAAGGACATTTTTAATTTAAAAAAAAAATGGCTAAAAACAAATCCAAAACGAAATCGAGTGCTCTTGTGATTCCAACCTCTGCTCCTCATGCCAAATCGGCATCTCAGCCCGCAACAACAAATGGATCATCATCCTCTGGAAGTAATAATAATGGGGCGGAACCGCTTTTAATGAGACTATGCAAGCATTGTTGTGAGGATTACAGTCAGGCTGTAGATCCGAATCGAATCAAGAAGACTTTTGCTTCTTTCAAGAGCAGTAGTAGTGGAGATGATGCGTCTTGTCATCATGCCCCAAAATGCAGTACATGCAAACAATTACAATCTACTGTTGAAGATGATGATTTGTTTTTGAATTGTTTCAATGGACTATTCTATTGCCCAAAGCATGCCTTTCAGAAAAAGAATACCCAACACGGAGGTGGTATTATCATCAATATTTCAACTCTGAAAAGTATTTGTTTATCATGTCCAAGTAGCACGGACATTGGATTTACACGAACAAAGAGCGTTTTTCATTTGAAACAACCAAATGATGAGCATATCAATCGATTTGTGAATGTTTTAAAATACGTAAAGAGTCAAGTTGAGACCTGTTTTGGATCAGAATCTATTTATACGAAGTCATTGAAGATGGAATTAGAAACTGCACCCCCACGAGATTATCAAATGATTCAAGCACTGCAAATTTTATCACAGACTATTGCCGCTAAATCTGCCGCCAGTCAATCAGATACAGATGCCAAATGGAATATTCAGAATAATCAATACTTGAGCACAATGAGAGGTTTATATAATTTGGGTAATACTTGCTTTTTCAACAGCACCATGCAAGCATTGACTCATACGCACACATTGGCATCTTTTTATTTGAATCTTAGTGCTGTTTATCCTACTCTGAATATACCAAAGAAGATTACATTTACTGACGCCAAGTCTCTGTCTTTTGCATTGACCTTGTTTTACAACTCAATTTACAAACTACCACAACAGCAAAAAGGCGAATTATTTGTGCCATACAATCCTAGCAAATTATTTGAGGCTATTTGTGATAAGTTTCCATTATTTAGAGGATACGGACAACACGATGCAACTGAATTGTTGAGATTTGTGTGTTCACATGTGAGAGATGAATATATTGACGATTTTAAGAAAAAGAATGCTGCTACAACTACCAACTCTAATGACTCCCAGAACGAAACTACAGAAACCTCTAGTGCAAGCACAACTGTGACATCAATTCAACCACCTCCAACAGTGATTGATGACTGTTTCAAAATCATTCTCAATAGCTCAGTATTTTGCAGTCACTGTGGTCATGTGAGCACTATTAAAGAAATGGCGCACGATTTGAGCATTCCAATTCCCAAAACTAAGGAGAACTTGTACTTGCACTTTAAAGAGTTATTTGAGCGAGAAAAGAAGACGTTTGAGCAGCATGCTATGGCCAATGGTAGTGACGACTCAAGCAGTACTGCTGCCACTTCTACGACGAACTCAATGATGCTAAACCCAGAAGAAGTATTGAGCACAATACCTCAACAGATGAACGGCGTTCACTTGGCTCATTGTCTTTGGGGATTTGTGACTCATGACTTACTCGAGGGTGACGACGGCTATCGATGCGAAAAATGTTCACATTTGATTGACGAAAATAATGAGGAAAAGACCTCCAGTAATGCATCCACCAATTCCAGTGATGTCGCCACAAGTTCTGAAACCTCGAACCATACAGGTACCACCTCTCCTACAACCGCTGACAACAACAGTAGTGCAAGTAACAAGCCAAAATACACCCTCAGAAATGCTTGCAAACAATTTTCCATTGCTCAATTGCCTCAAGTGCTCACAATTCATCTCAAGAGATTTGTGTCCATGCATCAAATGCTTCGAAAAAAGAAGAGATCCATTCTTGATGATTATCTCATGAGCACAGGAGCTCATTCATTTATGAAAGATAATGCTCAAATCATCTTCCCAACCTCCATTGATATGGCACCATATATCCATCCGTCACATCGTCAAGATGAAGAGAATAAGCAAACTGTTTACGATTTGTATGCCATTGTAGAGCACAGTGGTACCATGCACGGTGGACACTATGTCGCCTATGTCAAACAACTCATTATCGATGGTGGGCAACAATTCAAGAGAGGAGATTGGTTCTACATTAGTGACTCACACGTGAAGAAGGTCGTGAGTGAGAAACAAGTTCTCGAAGAGGCCAGACCTTATTTATTATTCTATGAGAAACGTAGAAAATAACACAAGAGTGAGTAAATTATTTATTTTCATATCTATTTAACTCCATGTCTTGTTTCAATCCCTATTGATTATCTCATGATGAACGGCAACAAATACAAGGCAATGATGTTGATTCTCAATATTTGAGCAAGTTTTTATAATTCCCGCCTTTGCACTACATGATTTGTATGTTGTTACATGGATTCGATACATCAAGAAAAATGAGCTCATCATCAACAAATGGACTTTCATCAGCCTCTTCAGCATACAACGTTGGATTGGTTTCGGGCTCATCCTTTCTCAATCACTCAGTAATTTATGAAAACTTTTCTTTGCAGGGCTCATCAAACAACAAATTTCATGCTCCAATTTGTCAACAATGGCACAGAAAGTATCCATTGCTTGCAATTTCTAAGGCTAACGGAGTTGTGTCAGTGTATGATGATCATGGAGAAAAGTTGGAACGAGTCAACTTGTCTCGCTCTTCGAATTGTACAGCACTCGCGTGGCATCCCTCCAAATTTATTCTGTGCACGGGTTGGAAAGATGGAGCTCTATTGATCTACAATGATAAGGATCACAATCAAAAAGAAGTAGAAATTGAGGAACATGGAAAAATTTGCGCTTTGAAATGGACACCCGATGGTGAACGATTAATTTCGACACATCAAGTAAGTTGTCAGGAATTAATGTCTGCATGTTACATGAATCGTTGGTCGGCTTTCTTGAACTTATTTAGGACGGAACAATCGGCGTATGGAAATATGAAGGTGGAAAGTTAAAGCATGTTGTGAACTATGAAAATCCAGGATCATGCGTCGAGTCAGCAGATCAAATTGTCTTCAAAACAAACAGGGATCCAACAACCGAATTGTCATGGATTTTCTTTTTACCTGTCTTGGCTGGGCAAGGATCCAAGGTTGTCGTAGGAGTTGCCGACGACCTTAATGAAACTACTCACAAATCTGCCAGTGGAGTTCGAGTTGACACTCTACATGACACTGGTATTCAATTTAATGGATCTCAAATCTGCTCGTTACTGTTCCACAGAGAAAAGTCTAATCTTGTGCTCTTGACGGATACTGCATTGCTTGTCGTTTACAAAATTAATGCGTCCATCACTAAGCCCAATGAAATTGGAATGAAACAAGTCATGAGAACCAAAATCAGTATATCCAATGGTTCCGGTACTACAATTAAAACTCTGTGGGTTGGATCTGGAGCAATTGCTACCATTACCAGCAATGAAAATATGATTCGAGTGTGGAACTTAGAAACAGACGAAAATACAACACTCATGCTCTCTCCAAACAATGACGGCGAAATTATACTTTCATTTTCTTTCAATCCTCAAAAACGAGCAATTGTTGGAGGTACCAGTTTAGGACGATTGGTGTTTTGGACATTCACAGGAAACCAAAAAGCAAGAGATCAGTGGGAAAAATATGGAGAATATCAAGTTCCAAGCAAACAACCTGTAAGAATGGTTCAATGGGGTCATGGTGAGCGAGTTCTGTGCTATGTCTGTGGAGAAAATAATGATATTGAAATTTTACAAGAAAATAACTTCCAGAGGAGAATGAAGAATAGTACAGTGGCCATACAAAACTCGTTGACTTCTGTAATCATTGGAAGATGTTTAAATAACGAAGAAAAGATACCGCCTCTAACCATCAAAACAGGAATTAATATTAGAAACTTTGATCATACAGAGACCCATTTAGTGGTTTCAAACAATTCAGTGATTGAATTATTTGAACACAAAGGCAAGGATCTCGTCAAAAAGTCAGAAACCTTTGAAATTCCATCTATTTGTGTTGGATTGCATTCTGAAAGCATTTTTGTTCCAACAGATGGATCAGCCAATTCGAACCCAAGAATAGAGGTTTACAGTTTTAAAGGAGTGAAAAAGCAAACATTACAACTCTCAGAAGAAGAAGGCATTCCTACTTCGATCGATGTGCAAGGTGATTTCATAACAATTGCTACCAATACCAATCATGTGAGAATGTGGCATGTACTTGGACGAGAGGCAAAACCAGTTTCAGTGTCAAAGAAAGTGTTCGATAACAATGAGAACGACCAATCCGAAAAAACCTACATTTCATCTGTAAAGTGTAACTGCAATGGAACCATGTTGGCATTGTTGGGAAAGATCAAGACAGAAGGTGAGATTGATTTATTGACACCTAGCACCAAGCTCTATGTCTACGATTTTGAGCATGACCGTTTACAGAGCTTTGATTTTGAAACCAAATTTAAGGGTGGAACACCAACTTCTGTATTTTGGGATTTGAGCGAACCAAATTTGCTCTCTGTAGAATTGAAAAATTCTGACAATGAGGTTTACATTTGTACTCTGTTTGCCACCCAGGAGCATGGTACACTCTTTCAAGATTATTTCAAAATTGACAGAAATGCACAATCGCTTGTTGGTCAAAGTGTTCCTAACCTTTTCTTTGTGAAGAATGACGCCTCTGGCTCAAACGGAGAGCTCTTTGAGAAGAGAGCCATGAAAGACTTTGAAGGAATTGATGAAGACCAATTGTCTTCCAAAACAAAGAGAGCTCTCTTGAACTTTAGCTTTTATCTCAACATTGGATCCATGGAAGAAGCTTACAAATCTGTCAAACAAATTGAATCAAAATCTTCTATTTGGTACAACATGGCCAAGATGTGTGTCAAAACTCGCAAAATGGAAATCTCTGAAATTTGTCTGGGCAACATGAAGAATGCTTTGGCGGCAAAGGCGCTACGAAAGGTGAAAGACAGTGAGCCCAACGAACCACTTGCATGGATTGCAACATTAGCGATTCAGCTAGGTATGATCGATGAAGCTGAAAAACTCTATGCAGAGTGTGAGAGGAATGATCTTCTCAACGAAATGTATCAATCTATTGGACAATGGGAAAAGGCTCTTGAAGTTGCCAAAACAAAAGATAGAATTCATTTGAAAACAACCTACTACAAGTATGCAAGATATTTGGAACAAGAAATTGGTGATTTGAAATTAGCAGAGAAATTCTACGAATTATCAAATACTCACAAATATGAAGTACCACGAATGTATTACAATGCAGCCGACATGACAAGTCTACAAAACTATATTCTCACTCGACCTGAGGACAAGGAGTTGAACAGATGGTGGGCCCAATACTGTGAAGGTAATACTGACTATGAGGAGGCTCTTAAATATTACATTCAATCCAATGATTTCCTATCTCAAGTGAGAATGTATTGTTTCATTGGAAACTTAAAGATGGCAGCTGATATTGTGAAAAAGTCTCAAGACAAGTCTGCTGCTTACTACTTTGCAAAGCAGTTGGAACACGAAAAGGATAACAAAAAGCTATTGGATCATGCCATCAAGTATTACAAATTTGCGGGATGTTTCAATGAAGCTGTGAGAGTGGCCAAGTTATTGGGTAATGACAATGAAGCATTGAACCTTTCATTGCAATCTTCGAATGAAAAGCTCATGATTGACGTTGCACACTACTTTGAATCCACAGGACAAACAGATAAGGCAGTGTTGTTGTATCAAAAAGGTGGTAATCTTTCTCGTGCCATCGATTTGTGTTTCAAGCATCAATTATTTGATACTCTTTCTACGATTGCTGACAATATTTTCAACGACAAATCCGATAGTGACGATCCAGAAGTGTTCATGAAATGTGGTCAATTCTTTATTGAACATTCCCAATTTGAAAGAGCTGTACAAATGTATATTCGGGCCAAGGAATACGAGTTGGCTTTAGAATTATGTATCAAGAAGAATGTCAAGCTCACAGAAGAAATGGCAGATCAAATGTCTCCTCCTTCAGAGGAAATTCCAACTTCCTCGTCGTTAACTTCTTCCAACAGTAGTAGTAGTCTCACATCCATGAGCAATAATGAAAGCACCACAACCAACACGAACACTTCGCCTGAGAATGAAGAAACCAATGAAAAGATTCTTCTCCTACGAAAGATTGCCAAAGTTGCATCCATTCAAGGCAGCTATGCGATTGCAACCAAGAAGTATGTTCAAGCTGGTGACAAGTTGAAAGCCATGAAAGTTCTCATCAAGTCTGGAGATACCGAAAAGATTATGCTCTTTGCTGTACTGAGTAGACAAAAACAATTGTACATATTAGCTGCTAATTATTTACAAAGCTTAGACTGGCATAACGAGCCTGAGATTATCAAATCTATCATTTCTTTCTACACAAAGGCAAAAGCATGGAAATTCCTTTCAAGTTTCTTTGAAACATGCTCTCAAGTGGAAATTGACGAATACAGAGATTACGAAAAAGCATTGGATGCTCTCCGAGAATCAGTCAAGTATTTAACCAAAGAAATTAAGCAAAACAAGAAGAGCAATCCAAATTATGATTTGCGATTGAAACAGCTTAATCAAAAGATTTTCTACATTGAAAAATTCATTTTGGCCAAATCCCTCATGAATTTGAAAACGAATGAGGTCCAATTTGTTTCCATTTGTAGAGAGTTGATCAACAATGTGAACAATTTAGAAGAAGAAAGTGTGATTGAAATCGACGAGGCCATACGAGTGGGAGACGTTTTTGCCATTCTCATTGAATATCATTTGCAAACATTGAATGACCCCAATGCTGCCTACAAGTTAATTTTGGAAATGAAACAAAAAGACATCACCCTAAATTATTTCCTTGATGAAGAAATGATCAAGTCCATTTGTAAACATGTTGGTGTCGATTTCAATGAAGTCATGCCGCCAGAAGACAATCATTCTACTAGAACCGGTGAGGATGAAGATATTCAAGAAGAAATTGAGGAGGATTAATTTATTTCAGAGACCAAACACATATGCTTTAGCAACATAAACTCCACTACCTCCATAATTCTCGGTCTATTGCCGAATTTTGTATGATATTAATAATAAAATACAATAACGTTAAAGTGTCAGAATTAAGGCATGAATAGGTGATGAATTCCACACAAGAATTGCGATGATCACGAAAATTTAGATGCATGTTATCCAATCAATTAATCCCAATGTGAATACGTACAAATTCAAATTTAACAAATTGTGCCTCCACAGGCTTTGTATTTTCATTCGAGTCGAAGATGTTCACTCTCTCCACTACACTGCTTAGTCCACAAATGTCATATAAATAATCTCCTGAACGTTGCTCAATTTCTGCGTCAACTACCTTTGTATATGAAACTCCATCACTGGAAACATGAATTTGTATATGTTTTGGATTTTGATTATTTTCTCCGTGAATGAAAATTCCCACTCTTTTCACTTGTGACAATTTTTGTAATTTAATAATGAAATGTTGTGGTACTGCATTGTCAAAAGTGCATGGAAAAGAGATTATTATTGTTAAGACATGTTCAATAAAACAAGTAATGCAACAGGTTGTTGATGAAAAGAAGCGGTAAGAGTATTGTTATATTCTTTTCGTGCTCATTCCGAAAATTCAAAACATACAAGGAGCCAAATTGTGAGAGAACCACACCAAACATGGGTCTCTATTCATCAAATTCAAACATCGGGATTCGTGATGGTATTGTGAGGAGAAGGATTCAATGCATCCTCCATTATCAGGCATGGCGAGGTTCTTCATTTTTTTATGTTGTTGATGGAATTGAAATCTGAAACTACCTTTAACACATTACCTTGTGGTTGAAAACAATCTTTTATATTAGATTCCATTCAAAAGAATTCTTCAGAGAGTTTCATTGCTTACGCGCTTTCTTTGACCTTGCTTCAGGCCAAATGCTGTGAGGAAAGCAAGAAAAAATTTTCATTGTAAAATCCAAAACCCAGGTTGACCATAATTTTTGAATTTTTTCGTTGAAAAAAATACAGCAACTTCGTCGCCACAATCGTTTCCTCTCACAATGAGCGTCGCCAAACCAGAAGTTAAACTTTTCGGAAAATGGTCCTTCAGCAACATTGAAGTTAAGGATCTTTCATTGAAGGATTACATTGCTTCCACTCCAGATCATGCTCAATACTTGCCACACAGTGCTGGTAGATACAACGTCAAGAGATTCAGAAAGCAACACTGCCCAGTTGTTGAGAGACTTGTCAACTCAATGATGATGCACGGTAGAAACAATGGTAAGAAATTGTTGGCCGTCAGAGTTGTTAAGCACGCCTTTGAATTGATCCACATCATGACCAAGGAAAATCCAATCCAAGTCTTGGTTGATGCTGTTCAAAACGGTGGTCCACGTGAAGACTCTACCAGAATTGGTACTGCTGGTGTTGTCAGAAGACAAGCTGTCGACGTTTCTCCATTGAGAAGAGTCAACGTTGCTATCTACTTGATCACTCAAGGAGCAAGAGAAGCTTCTTTCAGAACCATCAAGTCTTTGGCTGAATGTTTGGCTGACGAAATCATCAACTGTGCTAAGCTCTCACCAAACTCCTATGCCGTCAAAAAGAAGGATGAAGTCGAAAGAGTCTCCAAGGCTAACCGTTAAAACCTCGTTGTTGCTCCAAGCAATTGTGCTTTTTTACCTATAATAAAGAAAATATTAAATATTCATATCAATGTGTACTTGGTGAAAGAAAACGAAGAGAGAAACCAAAACGATCCCTCTAACCTGTCAATCGTCAACACACATTATCCACATACTCCAAAAAAATGGATCCAAGCATGGCCTCTATTCCGCAATCACAACAAAGCATTGATCATCATATGCAACATCACACTCAAGGAAATATGAGTACACAACAACAGCCATCACAAATGGGAGGTGACGAATTCGGTTACACATTATTAAATTATGATACGCCTAAAATTCCTCATCTTCTCCAAACTGCTCAACTCGATGTCAAACCAATCCTCTCATCAAATATAGGTATTTTAGAAGGACTTTCAAAGCCAGCAACCAATGCTCAAACCCTCTTGAATTTATCATCAACCTCATTGCCGACCTTGTTTCTGTGCGGAACAGAAAATCAAACACCAAGCATGATCAATGCACAGCAACAACCCATGCTTCCAAAAAATGGTTTGCTTTTTGGTAGAATCGATCCATCGACCAAACAACCCCTCCCTCTCAAATTACAAAATATTGAAGAACATGTGAGATATATTGAATGGCTACCAAAAGATCCGAGACGTATTGTTGTAGCCATGAATGCAGAATTGGGTATTGTCGTTCTCAATCCAGAATTGGATGAAATTCAAGAAATTGACACATTTCCAAAATTCCATCAAGACACCATTCGACAATTTGCAATTAATCCAATCAATCAATCTCTCGTCATTAGTGGTGGATTTGATGAAAAAGTTTTTGTCACAGACATTAGCAAGCTCGTTGATGACATTCAGAGTAATCAAATGAAATCTGAAAATTCCGTCTATTTGTGTCAAGATGTGGTCTCGAGTGTGAGATTTCATCCTTCGGATTCGAATGTTGCAAGTGCTACCACCGATCAAGGTGTCTTACACGTCTTTGATGTAAGAACTGGTAACACCTCAAAACCAGCATTTGTGTACGATACTGGAAAAATTGAATTATTTACTCATACCTATTTGGATGATTTCACAGTTTGTTTGGGATATGGAGACGGTCAAATTCAAGTCCATGACATTAGAACTGGAAGATCTCTACTGAATATTGTAGATAAGTGTTTGAGCGTGGTTGGAGATTTCCATTATGAACCCAGCAAGAGATTATTGATCTCACTCGGAATGCCCAAGTTTTCCTTGTATCAAGTGACAGCATCTTCGTTTGAGGTACTTCATGCAGCATCTCCAACATCCTATCAGAACAATACTACCAACCCAATTGGACCTACTGTGACTCATGGAACCTTTATTCCACAAACTTCTCAATTTTTGACCACAGATAATTTTGGAATGATTTCACTTTATGATTTGTAAATATACACAATGCACACGTGTGTGTGTATTCATGTTTGTTGAGACCATTGCATCTTATCATGAACATTAGGTAATGACAAGAAGAAATTATTTTCTTGTACTAAGTATTATTGTAAATTTTGATATTAAATGTCATTGCGATGATGAAGAGACATTTTTCTGAATTCAATTCATTGTACAGCATTTACAGTATTTTGAAATGTTCATAATTGGTGTGAAAAAGGTTAAAATTTGGTTCATTATTGACCCATTCTATAATTATTCAACTTGTTGGTAAATATCCATTTATTCTCCATTTACACCTCCAATTGTTCGACGAATTGTTACTTCTCATCTGCACCTGCAACTGGCGCTTTTGGTTTTGCAGCCAGAAAAAATGTCTCAAGATAACACAACTCCTCTCACCCAGCACATACCGCTGAGCCACAACAACATCAACCGGAGATGAGCAATAGCGGAGGAGGCAGCGGCGGCTTGCTCATAGCCTCGAGCCCTTCTCTGTCCAATGTTGTTTCAGTGAACGGAGAAGAGGATAAGAAGGCTTTACTCAATTCTAGTCATGTTCAATCCAAACACCATCATCATCATAAACACTCTCACCACCGTCATCATCATCACCATGACGATAACCATTCACATCATCATCATAGCGATGATGAGGAAGAGGATATTACTGACCAAACTCATCAACTCATCAATAACAACCATACAACCACGAGAACTAGTGATGATACGGAACAAGCAAGTCCATCTTCCAGCATTGAAGTACCCATTCTAAAACTTGATGATGAAACACTCCGTAAAATTTATTTATCAAAATCCAGACCTTTGTGGAAAGAGCCTGATTTTGTAAAATTAGTGATTATGATTACAATGGTGTTTTTAATGTTTTTGGGAGAAATCCAAGTGGGAATTATTGCAGAATCATTGACCTTATTGGCTGATGCCTTTCACATGTTAAGTGATGGTATTTCATTAGTTGTAGGAGCTGCCTGCATTTGGTTGGCAAAGAAGAGTGCAACCAACAACATGACTTATGGATTTGGACGTGCAGAGACATTGGGAGGACTTATTAACGCAGTGTTTTTAGTGAGTGTGGTCTTGTATGTGATTATGGAGAGTATTCAACGATTTTTCATTCCAGAGAGAATTGAAAATCCTTTATTGGTGTTGTGTGTAGGAGGAGCTGGTTTATTGGTGAATTTGGTAGGTTTTAATTGTAATTTTCAAAATGCATGAATTTGAATAACTTTGGTCTGCGGTTTCATCGTTCTCGTACTAATCGGAATCGTTGAATTTCCAAATTCCATATTTACTTTGATTTAATGATGCCAAAACTGCAAACAGATTGGACTTGTCATGTTCTGTGGTCACCATCCTCATCCTGGGCATGACCACGACCATGGACACGGTCACGGTCATCACCACGGTCATTCACATGGCAGTCATGATGAGCACCATTCTCATGACGAAGAAGAACATTCCCATGATCATGCACACGACCATGACCACTCGCACGACCATGAATTGCATGATGTTCATGCATCTTCTTCTTCACCTCATCAAGAAAAACCAAAACCCTCTAAACAACACCATCACCGTTCTGAGAACATTTTTGGTGTATTTTTGCACATTTTAGGAGATTTCTTAGGTTCCATTGCAGTCATGATTTCTGCCGGACTCTTAATGATTTTCGATAAGCCAGATGACCAAGGAAATTATACCACTAAATGGGTTCTCTACGTTGACCCTATTCTAAGCTTAATTATGAGCTGCATTATTCTATTCACAGCAGTTCCATTACTCAAATCGACAAGTAGAACCTTATTGCAATCTGTTCCAGCCAATGTGAAAATTACAGACTTGAAGGAAAAGATCATGAAAATTGAAGGTGTCATCTCGTGTCACGAGCTTCACGTTTGGCAATTCGTTGGAAAGAAATCAATTGCTAGTGTGCACGTTTTGACCTCACAAAATAGCAAAGGTTTCATGAAAATTGCTCGACAAATTCAAAACATTTTCCACAAGCATGACATTCACTCATCGACGATTCAACCTGAATTTACTGGAAATGTAATTTCCAGAGAAAACAGTAATCAAGAAGACTTAACTCAACCATGTCGTCTTATTTGCAACAAGTCATGTTATGAGCAATTTTGCTGTGCACCCGATGTGAAAGACTTGGATGTATCAAATAAGGTATAAGTGTGACGAGAATAAATTGCTGTAAATAATTATTGATTGTAAAAGAATTGCATTTGGAATTTCATCAAGATGTAGTTAATATCTGAAATTAATAATTTAATTGAGTGAATAATAATGGTTGTTACACTTTGATATCTTCCTGGAACACAGCAGTCCACAAATTAATTGAAGATAAAGTCATACAAGACAGTTTGGGCTTGTTTTGGACGAGTCATTGGTACCATGCTATTGAAATTTAAATAGAATCCATGGTGAAAACAAATGGGTGTGATTTTTGAGTGTGTGAAACAAACACAACAACCATCAACAACAAATACTTACTGTCCAGCTCCCTTAATCGTCTTAAAGGTCATGGTGGTTGATCCAGCGCTCCAAATTTGATAAAAACCAGCCACTTGTTTCTCCATCATCCATGACTGATAGGGTTTAACAATTTGTCCATTCATCACATTCATCAATGCATAAATACCATTCTGAGAACCCAATGAATTCACAGCAAGATCACAGTCACCCGAATAGAACAATCCTCGAATGCCATTCGACAATAATTCCTGATAAAATGGAATCATACTATCATAGGTTCGATTATAAAAACTATTCACAACATTGTTACACATTTGCCAACGATGATCTTGTGGAATGAGAGGTGAAGCATGAAGTGCCATTTTCACTTCATTCAAATTAAACCAATATTCTTGTGGTTTATAGGCAAGACATGGAGCACCACTTCCCACTCGTGCACTCAGAGTAAATAAGGGATGAATGGAAGATGATGATCCTTGTTTTTGAGTCAATGCTTTCATCCATCCATTACTCTTCATGGTTTCCAAAAATGATGCATTTTCTTCCTTCTCATTATTGGAAGCAAAAGGTCCAACATCTCCAACACAATTGGCATAAATATCATATGGATTCACACCTACAATGGAAGTATAATATTGTGAAATGACATTGGAACATTCTGGTAAATTTTGAAACTTGTAAAAATCTCCCTTGCATTTGGAGAGACCATCTTCATACGAGGATTTGGAAATTAATGAATGTTGATACATAAAGATTGGAACCGAGTTGGTATCTTCACGATCATCCATGATACCATTTGCAACAATGAAACCTTTCAAGTTGAATTTGAATGGAAATTGATTGTGTTGATTGGCACGTAAAACAGCTACGGCAGTAGTTGGACCACTATAGATATTGGTGTGAATGGTTATATTAAATAATTTAAATAATTCCAAAAATGGTAATTAATTATTATTGACATCGTTCAATTCGTCATGTTTTAAAAAATTCACATTCCATACAAATGATTAATAATAATAATAATAACAACACTTACTAATGTCCTCCATAAGATTCTGCAGCAATATAAAATGGATTTTTCAAATATTGTGGAAATAATTCCGAAAAGAAAATGGCCAAAAATTGCAACACATCATTCGCTGATTTTACATCATTCCAAACATGATCATTCTTATTGGTAGTAAAACTATATCCAACTTCAAAAGGAGATTCTAAATAAATAATATTTGCTCTCTTATTCCAAGCATGATCGTTGGATCTCAAAGTTTTTCCGTCATCATTGAGAAGAAATGGACCATGTTCGGTTACGAAACCATCCAAACTACTACAACCTGTGTGTGATTTTGTATGGAATGGTATGGTTGATGAATTCGAGAATTAGTGAATGATGAAAAAATTCAAAATTTACAAAAAATCATATATGATGATGATGAAAAATGTCATTCCATTATTGAATATATGCATTTCAAAATGATGATACTCACCTGGACCACCATTCATCCATAACACCACTGGATCTTCACTCGATGACGCACTTTGTGATTCCACAAACCAATAAAACAAAAATCTCTTTTCAGTACTATTCGTACTCACTGGAACGTAACCTGAATATTGAGCGAATGAAATGGGACCATTGAAACCAGGGAGAGAAGTGATACGTTGAGGAGGAGAAGATGTTGTTACTGCTGTTGTTGCATGAGTGTGGTCTACGAGAAGAGTAGAACAACAACAGAAGAACAAGATGCCAACAAGAAGCACGAGAGTGAATTTCATTGTTTTTTTTGAAGACAATGTTGTTGGAGTGAATGGTTGTGGAAATGCGGAGGAGAAATGGGAGTCGGAGTTTGGAAAGATGTTACTCCGAGTGGTGGTGGCGGCTTGGTCTTTAGAGTTTTCATCATGGCCCAACATGTTGCCACTGGTTAACGTTATCAATGGTTATCCTATTGAGATGATGATATCGTTATTCCTCGCTCAGCTCTTCATTTCTTTCCTTTCAGAAAACAAATCCCGCCTTTGAAGTTTTAAAAAATTTCTTTCAACAACAACAACTCGAGGCGATGGAATTGAGAAGTTCATCTTCGACAACATTAAATAATGGCACGACCACAACTACAATTCGAGAAGATATTAGGAGAGTTATTATAGAAACATCGGAGAGAGGATTAATTCATACATCCAAATGGCTCGGAGAGCAAGTAATATCACTTCCGATAGAGACTTTGAACTCGGTACAAACTTGTAAAACAATCACGACAAATACTATTCAACCAAACGAACAAATATTATATGATCATTTTGTTTTTGCTAAAACATTATTTGAATCCAAAGAATATGCTCGTTGTTCGTTTATATTACAAAAACAAACAAAACCTTTCACAGATGAATTATCCAAAAATTCGAAAGGATTATCATCATTTTGCAAAAAGTGTCTCTTTCTAGAATATTATTCGCTGTTTTTATCGGGTGAGCAAATGAAAGAACAGGAGGTATTGGAATATAGTTTAAATAATTCTTCCACCTCGACTACTGCTGGTGTTGGTGCTTCCGCAAATGCTCATCATCAAATGATTCATCAGCAACGGACCCAGCAAAAACACCACAACCAAACTCAAAACAAATATTTACGGACACTTCTTGCTGATTTGAAAGTGTTACACAACCTAGATCAAATGGACTCGTACCTGTATTACATTTTCGGAATTGTACTCAAAGAAATGGAGATGAAAATTAAGGCTTTAGATTGTTTTATCAAAAGTGTAAATTATGAACCTTTAATGTGGGGAAGTTGGATGGAAATTGTTTACATTTTAATCGATTTAATGCAAGACACGACACAAAACGATAACAATCAAGCAGGTCTTCTTCCAGCTACTTTTAAAAAATTTAAGAGCAATACAAAACAACATTGGATGATGAAGATGTTCAAATCTCGGCTGCAATTAGAGACGCTTTCCAATCAAGGAAGTTTCACTCAACTCGACTATGAAGAGACGACAAACAATGAAAATCAAACCTACAATCTCATTCAAGAACTATCCTCTCAGTTCCCATATTCCAATTATTTATTTTCTCAACTTGCCATGCTCAGTTACCATCAACAAGATTTCCAACAGGCACAAGAGTATTTTGAACACATCAAAAAGAATGACCCTTATCGATTGGAATGTCTAGATACCTACTCTAATATTTTGTACGTACGAGAAGAAAAGTCAAGTTTAAGCAAATTGGCTCATCAACTTCACTCGATTGACAAGTACCGTGTTGAGACATGTTGTGTCATTGGAAATTACTATAGCTTACGAGGGGAACATGAAAAGGCAGTATTGTATTTTAAGCGAGCTCTCTCATTGGATCCCAAATATTTATCAGCATGGACGCTCATGGGCCACGAATATATTGAAATGAAAAACACCAAAGCAGCAGTGAATGCCTACAGAAGCGCTGTTGAAATTCAATCGACAGACTATAGAGCTTGGTATGGATTAGGACAAACATATGAAATGCTTGACATGTCTGATTATGCTCTCTATTATTATAGCAAGTCGTGCAGCTTGAGACCATACGACGGAAGAATGTGGGCAGCTCTTGCCAATTGCTATGAATCGTTGGAACAGTACGATGATGCTCTCAAATGTTATCAACGTGCATTCGATAATAGAGGAGAACAATTAAGCACTCTATTGAAAATGGCAAATATCTACCGGAGATTGGATCAAAATGATCGAGCTGTGGAATTATATTTGAAATGTTTGGGTCATTCTCCCAGTAATAATGTTGACGAAGATAATGATCAACAACTACTCTCAACACAACTTCATCAACAATTAAGCTCGGCCGATGAGGCAGGAATTTTATTGTTCCTTGCTGACTATTATTATGAAGCGGCTCAACACGATGAACAATTTATTGAAAATGTGAAACAATATTGTATGTTATTAATGGACGATCGGTTCACTGGACTTCCTGAGAGAGATTCTGCAACTCAATTATTGCATTCCTTAAACGGAGGAGGAAGTCTCAATAACACCATGGCAACTACGTCCTCTCATCGTTCCACACTATTGGGTCAGGATTCACTATTGATGTCTCGAGATCAGCAACAACAACAACAATCAAGAATATTCGGTGGTGGCGTACTCAACCCACAAGACTATTCCATTGGTGGAAGTGACGCTTTGAATTTCTTGCAGTAGATGTTAACAAGCGTGTTGACAACAGTCACGAAGGCTTTGGAACAAGCTAAAAGCATTGTCGAAAGTGGTACCGGTTGCACTCCCACCTGGCAAGACATCACAAACATTCCAAACATGCATTCACGTGTTCGCTGTAACAAGTACATGTTATTGAGAGTCAAAAATACACACACAATTAACACTTTTATTGAGTGATCCAAATCTTTTTGTATTCATCTGGAATGTCTGTGACACACTTCTTATAAAGATCTGGTGACTCGTCAAACACGCTCTTAATAATCTTGAATTTGCCATTCAACGTCCAGTACGAGAAAAAGTAAAATAATTTAGGATATCGATCAAAAAAGTTTTTGTACGTGTGTCTCACTTGTTCTGAATGATTCTCCTTCTTCTCTGTGATAAATCTGTAATTAATAGAAATGTGTTTTTGCTTTCCTTCTGAGAAGTTCTTTTCAATATCCTGTAAATCTGTTAGCGATGGTAAGCCTTCATCCGCAATTTGTCGTATCTTTTCTGACCACTCTTTCATCTTTTTATCATCCTTAGGTTTGTCTTTTTTTTTTCTTTTTTTTTTCGATGGTGAAGATCCAACATCGGAAGATGAATTGTCTTCCATGCCCGCAGCTTCAACAATGGATGATAAATTTCGTTTTGTAGAAGATCCATCAATACGAGCGTTAGACAAATAACTCTCATTAAAGCGATCCACATCAACATTAGCACAAAACTGCATAAAATATGGATAGATTTGCTGATGACGTTGTTCCAAAGTCATGAATTTTGCATCTTCAAAAACTCTGTCCAACAATTGAGCCCATTTACTTTCTTGAGAAGTCTTCGGAAGGGTTTCTTCTGCATCGGTTGAAGTGACTATCTGAGGAGACGATGGAGTCGTGGTTGTATCAAATGAGGGAACTGGTAAAAAACCGTTCATAAGGGACATGTCGCTTGTTGTTTGCATTTTTTTTTGGAGTGTTTTTTTTTAAAACTTTACAACAATTTTTTTTCCTCCTTTTTTTGTACTTTTTTTCATTTTTGAAAAAAAACTTTATGGATATCGACGCAGCGTCATCAATGAGATTCAACCAAGAAACAACAGAGGCAACAAGTTGCAACGTTTTGGTTGTTAAATGTTTTTTTAGAAAACCATTCCAATCGAAATTAGAATAACTACAAGAATGAATAATTGTTTTGATATCAAGGTCCATTGGGAGAGTCTTCGTTCACTTGCTTGATTCACACGACTTGTTTTTGGTTGAGAAGAGTGCACTCCACTACTAAACTCGTGTTTCACACTAGCGGATGGCAGTAATGGTACTGGAGGAGAAGGAGGTGCAACTTGTCGTTCAATGGTGATGGTTGCTGTTGCAACGGATTCAATTTCCTTCAAAATCACACTGTATCGAAAAGTTGCCTTATTGGAAAGTGTCATTCGAAAAGTGACTTGATTTCTCTGTAAATTCATATCGGCTTGGCCTCCAGTGCCAGAAAAAACTGCTAGTAGTTGGACTCGACCTCTCATAGAGCTTGGAAATGAAGGGGAATTGAAAAGATCTTGTTCTGTTAATGTTAAATTATTGACATGAAATGGAATGGTAAATGTCAAATCGTTGACCAAAGGTAATTCAAACGATGTCACATTTAACTTGCCAATATTTGGAAAATACGTCGAATATACACTCGTATTGCTATGATCATAGACCATTTGTTTGGGAATGACCACTGCTTCAATCATTCTCTTCGCGTTCGTACTCACATTCTGAGAATACGAATTGTTAGTGAATTGAAATCTTTGTGCTGCATAGAGATGTGCAATTTGAATTCGACCATTTCCATTCAATAAGGCATTGGAAAACTTGTTGTATGCAATAACCATCATCTCTTGTTCATTGACACCAACATAGGAATTCAACGTCGAATTCGTAATGGTATTTCCAATCAAGAAAAAACTTCCATTCACTGGTGCAATGTACATGCCCCATCGTGCACTCGATAACAATGTATTTCCAGCAAAGACAATATTTGAAATTTCACGCCCAGTAATTCGAAACGAGTCCAAACATGCATCCATGATTAAATTATCCAAAAACATGATATTTTGTACACTTCCTGCATAACGAGAGTTTTGATTGTCCACTCCCATGGCTGGTAATGTGTTATTGGGATGACATTTTCCATGTAATCCATAAACACCTGGTCTCACTATGGTATTTCTTCGAACCATGACATGTTGAGCAGTTGAAGTATTATACGACGATTCAGAAGCAATCCACACACCAGAGCCAGCAGCCTTCTCAATCGTGTTATCTTCAATAATGATCGAATCTCCGCCAATAACAGTCATGCCACGTCCCCAACGATTGGATTTGACTCGATTCGAACGATAAATTAAATTACCACAATTTCGTGTCAAACGACGAAGGGTGTCCATGTCTGGTGCTGTTTTTGGTAAATACGTGACACATGCAATGCCATCATCTCCTGAATTTTCAATCATGTTGTTTTCAATGAGAATATCACGAGAACCTGCAGTCATGTGAATACCATCAGCAAAGGTATAATTCAGGCTATTGTTGGTTATCGTTCCATTAAAACATCCATATATGAAAATTCCACCCACTCCATGAATCTTTCGTGAGTCATCATTAAATTGTTTAATGGAATTTTTTGTGTGTTTTCACAAAGTTTTGAAATGCATCATCCACCCAGTTGTAAGACGAAATGTCAACAAGTGAACAAACAAGTTAAAGAGTTTCACACTCGAATGAATCCTTTACAACATTCCACTTACATGTGTATCATCATAGACATATCCCTCTCCTGGTAATGGTTGTGTCCAAATTCGATCCACACTGAAATTACTTGCTCTATTGCAATACACAGTCGAAGGTTGTGGTGTCGTTCTTCGTTCTTGTGCCACTGAGGTCAATCTTAAATTTGCAATTTGGACATTGGCACCAATCATTTGAATGGCAGTTGCATTCTCATTCGAACCATGTAACCATGACGAGTATCCATCTCCATACATGAGAACAGAATCTACAAGAATCATGCCATGATGAACAAATGGCCATGTACTGGATGGAATGTAGACCGATTTGGATGAACGTTTCGCTTCGGAAAGAGCCTTGTGAATGGCAGCGGTATTGTCAGTCTTACCATCTGGAAGAGCTCCAAAATCCAAAATGTTCAATGAATGGTTGAATGAGCATGAGGCGATTTGAGACAGACACAAATAAACCACAAGATGGGTCCATAGAAGTGCAAAAAGTACTAAGAGAGGTGAATGGAAGGCTTTCATGAGAGAGTTGATCGAATTGTGTGTGAATGAAGTGTTTGTTTTTTTTCCATGAGAGGCGAAATATCCACGAGATCTTGTATTCTGTTGATGGATGAAATTGTCGTTCACAATTTTCAACTATCATTATTCCCATTAACTTTTAGTTTCCTCTCCGCTTTCCTTGCACTAGAAGAAAACGAGTGGAAAAAAACAACAGAAAAAAATGATGCCACAACACTCTGCTTTATCCTACAACGGAACGTCCTCAGCTCCAATGATGACGACTCAAAGAAGTCAAAACGGAAGAGGAATGAACTCCGGAATGAATACAAATAGTGGTGTTGGTGCCGGCAATACATCATCATCATCGGTATCATCACAGCATCAACATCATGATCACTTTGCAAGAGAAGTCTTACAACGTGTCATTGCAGATGCTTGTAGATATCATGGATTTCATGCCATCAAGAGCAGTGCTAGTGATTTTTTGATTGATCTTATGCAAAGTTTAATTCAAAATATTGCTTCTTCAAGTGTTGAATACAGTACTCATTGCGGAAGAACGGAAGTGAATGTTTTTGATGTAGAGAGGGCTCTTAAGCATCGTATGAACATCGGAGTGAATGATTTACTTTCTTTTATGAACGTTTTACAGGATAAATCGCAGGATGATTCTGTTGATTTGGCTACTTTTGAATTTGGTACGTAGTGGCTATTATGAATTTTTATTCTTATCGATTGTTTGATTTTAATCGTTATCCTCATCAAACTTTTATCATTTCCGAATTGAATTTTTATATTGTTTCATTTACATATTAATCTTTAGACATTCCTGATATTCCAAAAGCGACATCATCGAGTCTCATGTCATGCCCACAAACACATTTTCATTTACTCTATAAAAACAAAGGCAAGACGATCATGTTTGATGAAGAAGAGGAAGAAGAACACGAAAGACAAATTCAACTTATTGAGCAACAAAAACCCAAGTTTTTACCATCACTACCTCCAAAGCATACATTTAGATTTACGCCAATTATGAATAAGAGAACAAGAGACCAATATAAAATTCAGCTTGAAAAAACAAGACAAAGAAGACATATTGAGGAGTCCCTCACTCGTTTGCACGAAGCTGAGCTTATTCAAGTACATGATTATCTCGAACAACAGCAAAAAGAACTTCAACATGTGGATCATGCTATTATTCCTCACGACCAAACTGCACTGATAAAAACCAAGAAGAAGACCATCGTGCAAAAGAACGATGTTTTATTGCATTTGGACAAGAAACCAGCAAGTCTTGCTGGACAAAGGAAAAAGAAGCCGGAAGACGAGCAAGCAATGCCAAATCAAGCAGAAGAAGAAGAAGGAGAGATGGAAGATATCACACAAGACGAAACTGCTACCACTGTCGTCAATCCATATTTGCAAATTGAAAAACAAAGAGTATCTTTGGCTGTACAGAGAAACGTGACTCAAAGCACAACAAACCCAATCAATGTGAGTCGACTGACATCCATTTTGTCAACCCCAAAAAAGAGTCACACTACCAAAAAACCATTTATTTCCATGATAACCAGAGACGACAGTGCTGAGGTACAAGCATCAAAATTATTGAAAAGTGGTGCTATTGCAAATCAACTCGCATCTACATCGAATGATGAAGATTTGGATATTAGCTCAGAAGTGATTCCAACCAAACAAAAGAAATCTCTTGGAGTCATTGAGCCAGCTTCCATCAGAGCATCCACCAATGACAGTTCCCTCATGCCTCCTCCTTCCAATCCAATCTCTCAATTTGCTCCTTCACAAATGAATCTTTCATCATCAACCACCAACCCAACATCCTCTGCAGGAAATAGTTTCCAACTCTCCTCTTCATTTGGTACTATAGAGCCAATTTCCCAACCACCTAGTAGTACGTCTGTACCATCGTCATCTGATATTGGAAATTCGAGCTCTTCAACGAACAATGTGGCAAACAGTGGAGATGACGACGAATTTGAAGAAGTTGAGGCTGGTGAGCCCAATTCAAAAAAGTTCAAATTTTAACTCTAGGATTAAATTATATTGTTACACCTTTGGTGGCTTCCATGATCAGATTGAGATCTATTTGTTCAAAACAATCATGCTTCAAAGATTTAAAGAAGGTACAAGAGTATTCTCAAATGCCTTTGAGTAGTGACAGTGGGAAAGGTCTGACAGATTGCTTTTGAATAGCAGTTACTGGTAGATTCGTGTAGATTCATCTCAAGAAATTTTCACTCTAGAAATACGCACATCGATGAAGTAGTAAACCAAAGTACTTGTACCAATCCACTTTTTGAATCATTTTCACAGAGTAGGACTTTCGAGAAGGTTGTTGAAGTATTTTAAACAATCCAGGAACAGTTTCATCAAATTCAACATGTCTCTCATTAAAAGTAGTGACTTGATCGTCCATCCACAACACAGAGGATACCACCACTTCATGATTAAAGATCATCTCTTCCGCTAAATATTCATTCGTAAGTTGAGATCTTGTTTCATTAAATGTATTCAGCCACCAATGAATCACTTCATACAAGAATGGAATTTCAAACGTGGGATCCTCTTTGATTTTGTTCATTAATTTTCGTTCACAGGCATCTTTAAAGAGAATTGAAAATCTTAATAATTTGGGATCTGTGAGAGGTGTCTTTTCAACAGCATCTTTTGGAAATAAATAAATTTTACCATTCAAATAGTTCCGAGACATGTCAAATACATTCTTTCTCGCTACCGAATCCACTCCTAAATTATATTCACCCAATGTGGAATTTATAGTTCCTCCATAAATGACAATTTTCTTCACATGTTGGAACAAGTCTGGTGTTTTGGTCATTTCATTCAGAGTTCGAGAGAGAGTTGTCAATGGGCCTAATATCAAAAACGAGATGGGTAATTGGTTATTACCTTCATTGTTATTATTATTATTCATGGAAATGTTTTCAAAAATATTCACAGTTTCTTCAACGACCACGTCAGAATTTAAAAATGTAATATTCACATCAAATCTACCCGTTCGATTTTTCAACACATTCTCTACAAAATCATGTAATAAATTTCGTTTGGTAGAGAGTGCTTCTCGTTTGGAAAATTCTTGTTGTTGTGAATTTTGAAATTCAATGCCTTTCATTAACATGGTTCGATTCAACAACCCATTCGATCGACTCGGTCTATACTCTCTCCTCTTATTAAAATACATTTTCCAAATATCGGAAATGTTATAAACTGTTTTCTCAAACGTCGAGTCCTGTAACTTTTTCAAAAATGTTAATTCTTCTCCAGTGTCTCCATTTAAATTTTGTAAATCACTCGAAGTGGTCACGACACTTTTAATACTTCCAATTTTCGATTGTCGAATACAAAGTGCCATGGAAATGAAATGATTGACAGAAATATCGGTATGAATGATCCACGGAGAAGTATTCTCAAGTTTATAAATGGAAACTTCATTGAGATTATACAAAATTCCAACAATGGAGAGAATAAAGATGGAAGAGAGACCGATCGCGAGAAGTACTAATTGTTGAGTGTGTTGTTTCATGATGACAAGGATGATGAGAATATTTTTTTACAAATATATAATGGTTCGTAAATTTTTTATTATTATAATCCTCGGTCGTTGGTGAAGTGTGTGTTTTTATTCTATCATGGTTCGAACATTTATTTCGCATACGGATGATCTTGAAATTTCGCTTCTCTGAGTGTGTTCAATAAACATTTGAATTTGAGAAAAAAAAATTTGCAAAAAAAAATATTCAACAAGGAGTTCAACAAATTTGTGTCAAGTTATCAAATCAACAAATTCGCTTCCCAATAACAACAACAACAACTTGTATCATCGGATCCGATTAGAATACATCTCATCAGAATATATTCCCATACACCAACGATATGAAGAGAAATTCTCAACAATTCCGTTCTAAAACTAGTAATTCTAGAAATCAAGGCTCCAAGTCTTTTTCATCAAAAAAACATTTAAAATCCAAATTAGAAAACATTCTTGCAAGTCGAAAGAAGAGAAAAACGAAAGAAGATGTTGATGAAATTCATTCCGACATTGAAGAAGAGGAAAATTTTGAAGTCTCTCCTGAACAATTATTGAAAAATCAGAAAGAGGAAGAAGAGGAACATTTAATTCGAGATGCGAGTGAAGTAGCACCTCAAGAAGAAGACTCGGAATTGACTGTTGATGAAAAGAGAGTGTTGAATGCAAAACAATTTTTAGAAAATTTGAAAGTTTATGAAGAAGATAAGGAAGAAGAAGAGGATTTTAAGAGAAGAATGGATGGAGAGGATCCAATTGCTCAAGCTTTGAAACGAGAGGCTGTAAGTAGTTTCATTTTCGAAAAAAACACGTTAATCCAACATAACGCTGATATCCATTGGTTGTACATTCTATAGTTAAAAGCTAAAAAACAAATTCCTTCCATGTATCACCAATATTTAGAGGAAATGGATTTTACAGAACCCTCTCGAGTCACATTTTTGAAAGGTCACAAAAAAACTCCAACTTGTATTGTGTTAAATAATAGTGGCAGTAACTCTCAACTTCGAGCGTTTACAGGAGCTAAGGATGGATGCATTATTCATTGGGATTTTACAACTCAAAAGAAAATTTCAATTACGAAAAAGGCACATGATAATTGTGAGATTTTGTGTTGTGCATTAAGCTTTGATGGAAGTATTCTGGCAACTGGTGGAAGAGACAACAAGGTTCGACTGTGGGACACGAAAACCATGAAACCCATTGATGTTTTTGAAGGACATTTTAAACCTGTCACTTGTCTTGCATTTCAAATGGGTCACCAATCCAACGTGCATTCATCTTCGAATAACTCTTCATATGCTTTTCAATTATACAGTGGATCTCTTGATAGAACTGTTAAAGTGTGGGACGCAAGAGATTTAACTTTTATTGATACATTATACGGACATGAAAGTGAAGTTCAAGGAATTGACACAATGATCACTCCACATGCAGTGAGTTGTGGTAGTGATGCCTCTCTTCGATATTGGAAAGTAGAAGATGAAACTCAATTAATTTTTAAAAACTCTGCAAGCAAATATTCTGTTGACTGTGTGAAAATGTTGAGAGAAAATACCTATGTGAGTGGTTCACAAGATGGATCTGTGAGCATGTGGCTTAAAACTAAGAAGAAACCAATTGTTCATTTCGAGAAGGCTCACGGTGGAGAATGGATTAGTTCTGTGGGTGCATTACGATTTTCTGATGTGGTTGCCACTGGATCATGTGATGGATATCTAAAATTATGGAGATGTGATCCCAATGCCAAGATTTTGCAATTGAAAAATAACATTCCTTTGAAAGGATTTGTGAATGGCATTGATTTTTCATCGAATGGTCAATTTTTGACTGCATGTATAGGTCAGGAACATCGTTTAGGAAGATGGTTCAAAAAGAATTCTTCTCCGAATGATTCCACAGAGAGTGTGAAAAATGGAATTGCTCTTGTCACCTTGTTGAGTGATGAAATGTTGGAAAAGGCACAACAAGGCAATGGAGTTTCTAAAAGGCGAAATGGTTTTCAAAACGGTCGTAATGCCTCGGAGGAGGAAGAGGAGGAATATACTGATTTGGCTCATGATGAAGAAGCTGGTGATGAGGATCACTTTTTTCTCTAATTGTTGTTAAAATTGTCAATGTTATTAGGACCACATTAAAAAGTTGTGCATTGTGAAAAATACTACCTTCATTTACTATATGGCTTTGATGTAAATTGGTGTGTGAACAAAATGTTTTGTTTCAAGATGATTGGGGAAAACAATCATAATGAAATTGCAAAAGAAACGGTGTGAATACCATCTTCATTTATATGAACATCCAACAGAGCGCCAAAGCAAACAAGAGGGCCATCTTATTATCTGAATGATACATTAAGGTATACGCAAGAATTGAGCCACAGACCACGATACGAAAAAGTTTTCTTTTCCATCTTTTTAAACGATGAAAACGGTGAGACATCGTTGTGGAATGACATTGATCGTAAGGACTAGCCCGTCCATGTAACACAGAGGATTCGTTCTGGGTGTTTGATCGATTTCGACGAGATTCGTGTTCATACTTGGTTTGCCACTTTTTCATTCCCGAAAGGAATTTAAAGAGCTTTCGTTTTGGAATGGAATTTAAATGATCATGACTGTACCATGAGGATGAAGTGAAGGGATGATTCTGATGTTCATGTTGCTTTTCATTGTTTGGATTTTGATTATTGTCGTAACGCCCACAAGAGAATGGATAGTAATTGGGTTGATGATAATACTCTCTGTGCGTGCCCCATTTCGAACAATGGCTCCACCATGATGGTTTGCTGTTCATGTTATTTTGTGTTGAGAAGAATGCTTTTTGTGTTGTGACAATGGATGTCATAGAGTTGGCAGACCACGAGTGACGGACCAACATCACCTTGGATTGTTGCAACAAGGGTTGACTTGCTTTCGAGAGAACAGATTGGAACATTTTGTTTGTGGGATTGAAATTGGAACGAGAGGAATTTTCACATGCTTAAATAACATCTCCATTTGTCCGAAATGATTGGATGTTCATGTGCGTTCAATCAAATAGAAATTTTATGAAGGGTTCACCATTGAAATCCATTGTGATCACACCGATTCGAGCATAATTCGAATGTGGTTGGTTGATACGTGAGAATACGTTTATTCTTCGTCTTCCATATCTGAAAAAGGTTCAGAAATATCAGAAATTGCGCTAATTGCTTCGTCGTTTTCATCCTCGTCCTCTTGGCTTTTGTTCATTGGTTCTTCTTCATATTTCACATAGTATGATTTTCCTTGTTGAATTCGCTTACTTTCTTCATTCTGTAAAAAGCGTTTCAGTATCTCAGTAATTTCTTTTGATTTGACAGATGCTATTTGAGCACACTCCAAAATTTGATCTTTCGTCAATGCCAATCCACCTCCTTTCTGAATGGCACACAATTCTTTATGAGCATTTAAGGCAATTGTCATGAAACCTTCTGCAATCATTTCCTCCTTTTTGCCTGGATCCACAACAAATAGCGTACAATGTTCATGATAAAAGAATGCAAACGAAGTGCAAATAGGAATGTGATGAACGCTTAATGGGACTGGTTGTCGATCTTGCACGGTGTGAACAATGACTCGATCTCCTTCAATGGTTACCTCTGGTCTTCTGAAATGCAATAAAGATGCAATGGCTGCCAAGTGACAACAGTCAAAAACATTTCCGTCATCCTGCAAAATGTGAATATCCACTCGTAAACTCCAAACTTTTCTTCCTGCAATAATACATAATGCTTCGGTATCAATGGCTCGAGAACCACGAAGTGAACGATCAATGACTCGTCCAATTTCAATGCATAATTCTCGTTGTTGTGAAGTTTGTTTTGTACCCACAGGTCGAGCACCCACAGTACTAAAATCCGCATGAAAAGTTAAAAATCCTTCATTGGGCCTATCAAGATAGGGCTCCACTACTGAGCATGAAACGACTCCCAATGCAATTGTATTTCCGATAGAGACTTGCACTTGTCCCGATTGAACAGAAGAATCACTAGTATTATTATTATCCGTAGCGTTTGGTAATATAAATTCAATACTTCTATAATCGTATAAATCACGTCCATCCACTCGTAAAATTGTGGTATTGAGTTGAGAGGATTTTGTTCCAAGAGTCTTCCGATACGAATCTCCACCTAGAGCACCACTACTACCATCTAATTTATTCTCCTTCTCAATCATGAGTGTTGAGAGAATGAAATTTCTCTCATTATTCGAGAGCATGGAAGGCTTTGAGGAGGGAAGCATTTTTTTATTTGAATCCTCATCATGATGCTCGTTCATTCAATGATACTTTTGAAGATTTCAATTGTTTTTTCATCTTGTTGGAAAACCATTGAATGTGTTTTAAACATCATCATCCTAAGAGAGGATAAAATAATTCAAAGGATGCAAAATGGGATTGGATGCCAATGAAATTGATTTCTTTCGATACCACAAGGAAAAGATTGAATCGTGCTGGAAAAAAAGAGTCGTCGAGTATACTCGAGAAGAAGCATTTCATTGACCTTGTTCCATCATGTCCTCTCCAAGCAAAGAAGGCTCAACAAGAAAACGATTGATTGAACTCTCATGGATTCCTGATCGGAAAGTGGATGCAGATGAGGATTGTGATATTTGTATCCTCATGAAAAACAGTCCTTGCGAAAAGGATTTTGAAATTTTACGACATCATGAATCTCTTTCCGACACTCAAGTCAATGAAGCCTTTGATAAATTCAGTCAATGTGTTGAAAAGCATTTGGATTTATTTTCCAAACGACATGATGAGATTGCAGCAAAATTGGAGCCGTTTTTTGAAGAGCAGACAAGGCTCGAGCAAAGTTCAAAAAATAAATGAAAAGGCTTTAACTGCTTTTCGGGATCAACTTACACGGCATCATCCGAAACATATTCATCATCACAATTTCGGATTGAATTTTAAAAATTAACAATTAGAAAACAATAATTTGAACACTCCTTTTAATTTACGACATTAATTGAAACACGAAATTAATTTTGTCGGGATTGATTAGATTCATATTGTATAAAATCCACAATGCCTCCATCTAAGAAGAAAACATCAACCGATTCTCAAAAAAAGGCCTCTTCTTCGCAATTAAAAATTACAGATTTTGTAAATAATAGGAATGAGACTACAACGACATTGGATAGTACTAAGCAAGAAGTAACCCACAACGATCAAATAGGAGCTGCCTCAAGCTCTTCCAATACCAATTCCTCCTCATTACTGTCTCTTATAGAGGGAGGTTTTTCTTCGTTATTGACAAACATAACTCCCATCAGCAACAACAGACAAGAAGAGCCTATTTTCGAAACAAATATTTCTCACACTCTTGAAACTGCACATCAATCTTCAAAGCATGCTCCATTCCATATGGAAGATGAGTACGACGCAAGCGAACCCTCAGGTGCACACATTCATCAATACATTGACGAAGTTCTGGAGCAGCACAAGAATGACATGCCTCAGACCGAAGATCAACTCAAAAATTTAGATATTGGCAAATTTATTGAAGGGGTATTTCCTTCTCAGGCTTCCACTGCAGCAACACAGGCGCCAACACAAGTTCAAACTGCCATGCAAATTTGTGACATATTCAGAGAGCCCGAGACAAACCAAAGCACAGAATTGTTAAAAAAAGCCACAAGTTCTCTGCTACATCAGCAACATTTTGAAAGTGATGATGAAGATGAAGACAGTAGGAGCGTAGTATCACAGGTAGCAAGCATTTCAGGAAGCAGCGAGGTTGAAACAGGTTACAGTGAAGATAATTTTGATGAAATATATGGAGCAGATGACGGCGAAGAGGACTATGAATTTTTGGATGACATTCTCAAAGGAATACTAAAAAGAAAAAAACGAAAAGAAAAAGGGATTTTAAAACCTAAGAAAACTAGAAAGTCAAAGGATGACATGGTTCCCAAGGAGGTCAAAGAAATGATGGGAGAAGCGAACTTGCAATTCATATACAGAGATTTTACAAAGGCTGTCCAAATTCTGTTGGAAGTCATTAGAATTTGTCCAAATATTGCCGATCCGTATCACACTCTTGGGCTTATTTATGAAGAGCTTGGAATTATGGACAAGGCAATTGAATTTTACCTTATTGCTGGTTTACTACTTCCAACCAATCTAGATTTTTGGAGGCGGCTCACAGAATTATCAATCTCTCACAACAAACTGCAACTGGCTGCCTATTGTCTCAAAAGAATTATTTTATTGGATCCTAAAAACTATAATGCTAGAATCGAACAGTGTGGACTTTATATGAAGATGAATCAACCAACACGGGCCATCAGTGGATACAAATCGCTTCTCAAGCAATTTCCAGGCGATAAACCAGTAGTGATTGCACTTGCAAAAGTTTACTATGAACTCAAGTATATCTTCAACGCCATTGAGCTATTAGAAAAAACAATATCACAAAATGAACAGCATGCAGACCTAACTTTGGTAAACATGTTGGCAGAATTGTACATGAGTGAGGGTTGGTTTAACAAAGCCGTAACTCTTATTGAGAGAATTAGCCTTTTGCAAAATTGTCCAATTGAAATTTTACCACCTGACATTTCTTCAAAATATGCCATTTGTCAAACATATTTAGGAAAGCTTGAGAAAGTAGAATACATATTCAACGATATTCTAAAGTTCAACGTGTCAGACTTCGGAGATTTATTCTTTAACATTGCAGAAACGTACTATGTCGTCAACGAATACCAAAAGGCGCAATATGTATACAGTTTACTGATGACCAGTGAAAATTACAACAAACCATCCATATGGCTCAGAATAGCGGAGTGTCTTAAGACTCTGAAATACTTTGAGGAAGCAATCAAGTATGGAGAAATGGTACTTGATGAATTGCCTGACAATGTGGAAGCAAGAATACTATTAAGCGAGGTTTATAAAGACATTGGCGACGTAGAAAAGGCAATAGAAGTTCTAGAAGCGTCAGGAAATGCCTTAGCTAAAAAGGATTTGGCATCCCTGAAAAAACAATTGCATCACATTAGTGAGCCAAACCAAGAATATAATGACAGAACGAACGAAAGCGACAACGAAACTGCAAATGAGGACAGCGAATTGGACGAAGAACAGGAACAAGATCCTGATTACAATCCTGAACAACATGAGTCAAGCGATGAAGACATGAATTTATCAGATGATATAAAAGATGAAGACATCCCTCAAGTCCCAGAACAAAACAGAAAAGAAAAGGTGAAAGATATTCGAATTATGGTCAAAAAAGCATGGATTTTACACACTACAGGACAGCACGAGGAATTTATAAAGACGGCCCTTCCAGTAGTTTTAAGTATATTAGATCTCGACAAAGAGGAACCAGAACCAGAAAAGAAAACCAAATTCAAGAAAAAGAACATTGTGCTTAAATACGATATTGGCCTCAAGAGAAGAAGAAGGAAGAGGAATCTACAGGAGACCAAAGAAGATGGATGGACTTGGACCGAAGCCCTCAATGCCATTGGAGATCATAATTTATATACATTGATTGTGACGTTGAGCAAAACATTGTCCTACTGTCAACACTATGAAGATTGTTTAAGAATATTGGCAGTCCTACTAGCGAGCAAAACAAAGAAACGATTTAACTTCAAAACACCAGAAGAGAGGCATAGAAAAATCCAAAACCTGAGATATTTATACGTGGCAGTTTCATACAATAGCGGTTATTACAAACGAGCCTATAATGCCATCCGTCCAATCATTTCTGACAAACCATACAGTATTCCCCTGTTAAATTTGTTCAACAAAATTACCACAAGAGTCGGAAACATTCTCGCTAATCATTGGTTTATGGTTCGACTGTTGGACAAGCATCCTCAATCAGTACCGCTAATGCTTCTCGTTGGCCACAACTGTGCCATGAGTGGCAGCTACAAACTTGCAATAGCAGAATACTTTAGAGCTTATAGGTTTATGCCAAACGAACCAATCATCAGCTTGTGCCTTGGATTGAATTATTTAAATTTGGTGATGAACAGAAGAACAGCAAATAGACATTTACACGTCATGCAAGCTTTTACGTTCCTATACAGGTATTTTGATTTGACTGAGGGTTCACAAGAAGCTCACTTCAACATTGCTCGTGCCTATCATCAACTGCGACTGTACCATCTTGCAACACCCTACTATAAGAAGGTTCTCGAACTTTCTGATGCAGGCAATATTGATCCAGAATCAGATTTAAAACGAGAAGCTGCCTATAATCTTTGCTTAATTTATAGAGAGTCTGGTTCAACTCCTCTTGTGGAATATTTAGTTGACAAGTATTTGACAGTTTGAAAGTAAACTCAACCACTCACAGTTTTGGAGAGAAATCTGCGCTACCATTGCTAGCATGTCAAAACATACTGTTGTCTTCTATTTGGAATAATTAGCATCATGAATGTTGTCATTTATTGGCACAATTATTCGACGACGTCAGAAGAATAAATGTTGTCCTTTAGGTTCATGTTGAAAATGAATACACCTTTCGTTTCAAAATCAGATATGAATCTTCCCCAACACAAAAAACCTTTCATGATTCTAAAAAAAAATGGGTAAAAACGAAGGCCAACGAAAACCAAAATCTCAGAAGGGAGCAATCACATCAAGCCAAGCTGCTTCGATTGTTTCATCATCGGGTAGTAGCACGATGGGATTCGGAAGCTCTCTGATGGCAGCCTTCAATAAGAAAGCTGGTGTTGGATCATCATCAGCAGCCACCTCATCCGTCGATTCTTCATCTAGTCTTGATCCAACGGTTCAATCCTATTTAAAACATTTGAACAAGAGAGATCCAACAACCAGAAGCAAGGCTTTGCAATCACTCACACAATACATTTCGGAAAAAGCAGACGAAGAGCAAATCTCCATCTGCAAACAATTACTTGCAAATATGGAAGATGTGTTTAAACGTATTGCTGTTCTCGATCTTGACAGAAAAGTACGACTCCATTTGTTCGTGTTGTGGAAATTGATTGTTCAAAAAGTTGGTAAACAACTAGGACATTACATTAAGAAATTAATGCCATATTGGTTGATGGAAATGGTCGGAATTGATGACAAGGATGTTTCCAAGGCTGCTGTCAGCGCCTTTCATCAAGCTTTTGCAGCCGACAAAAGAGATGCAGCTATTTTATATTGTGACACTGAAATTATGAGTGTATTGTTTGAAAATTTCAATCAGACTGTGGAATCATTGAGTTTAAGTGAAACGGAACAACAAAGCATTACTAAAGAAGAAGCAGAAGAGAGGTATTCCCGATTTATTACAAGCTCAATTCTCATGCTTAACAAGATGATTGATCTTTCAATGCAACCAAAAAAGGATGACACTGGGCAACAACAGACAGTGACGCTCGATGAATCATATTCTAAAATTTTCCGTTCCAAGAACTTTTGGAAATTCTTAGGAATCAAATCTTATAACAATATCAGAGAGGCAATGAGTAGACTTTCTATTACCTTATTGAAGAATGACTTGTTGTCAAAAGATGACACAGAGGTGATGGAACATATTGTACCATTTATTGCTCCAATATTTATTGGATGTTTTAATCAACAACCATTGGAACGAACCACTCTCGACTCGTTGATTTTATTTTTACAAAAATTTGCACCTGAATGCTGGACCCATGTGAATATTTGGAAACAAACCTTTCCTCGATTTTTCTCCTTCTTGAGAGACCCACCAAATCCTTCAACAAACTATTCTGTTGTGTTACCTTTTGTCTCCATGCTCAACACTGATGTGTATGGAGCTGAAAAATCAGTCAAATTTGTGTCAGATCTATTTGAAAATATTTGGACCGGATTTGAAAAGGTTTCTTCGTCGACCAAACAAAGTACAAAAGCAGACAAAGACGCAATTATTGACACTCTTTGTGACTGTATTATTTACATCACATTGCAACTAGACAAGTACGCAAAGGAAGATAGCAAAGCTGAAGTATTGACTTTGGCAAGAAACACTCTAGTGAAGACATGCACATACTACCTGTCAAACTCATGCACTGTTAATTTTGGAAAGTACCTCACGACTGCTATTGGAAAATTACAATCAAAAACCGAACTTTCAGATTACATGTCCCAATTCTGGACCCAAACGACAGAGTTCTGTTTGGCCAATTTAGATAAGATTGACATGGTCTCTATTGAAATTTTCATTTCTAGATGTTCCAAAGCAGACAATACCGACCACATTTTGAACCTTGCGAACACCTTATTCCAAAAGTCAATGAAAACTGGTCAGATTGGGGTTGCCTCTGCTATTGCATTCGCTAACAACTCGGTGTTATCGAGTGCCTTGTTTGAAGAAAGCTTGGAAACACTCTGGCAAATCAATCAACAAAACGAGCACGTTCAACAATTGACAGGCTTGTATTTCACACAATTTCCAGATCAATTCAACAAGTTGGAAAAGCTCCTTGAGCAAGACATCAAGTCAATGTCTAGCTCTGCCTCACTTTTCCCATTCCTTCGATCCTTGTATTCTGAAGACAGCAACTTTAACCAAACAAGTTTGTCTTTAGAAAAATCCCTTCTTGCCAGAAAAGATTTAGATAGCATTGAGCATTTAACCGGTCACAAACTTTTCACATCCAAGCAAGAACTCCGAACTCTTTTAACATCTATCATTGATCAACACCAAGATACTGAAGAGAGAGCTGTTGAATTTATCATGGCTACTCCAGGAGAATTCAGCGTCGATATTAATGTCTTGCTATCCTTATTCAAAGCGTCTCATTATGATGTGCTTTTCCAACTTCTCTCTCCAAAGAAAGAGCATTTCGAGGAAGAGGAAATGGCCGAACTTGAAGAAGACGGGGAAGAAGCACACAAGGAAGAAGAATTCAAGAGCGTTGTCACGGATGAAATGAAGAATGAACTTTTCGAAAAGATTTCATCTTACCTCAAAGAGGCTCTCACCACACATCCAACCTTAACGAACGACATGTTGTTGGAGCAATTCTTGAAACTCATGGAAATTTCTGGCACTAAAAACTTTGGTGATTCTGTTCTTTTGAACACTACCAACGATCAAGTGTGGTCTTTCATTAGAGGTAAATGCGCCTCCAATCTCAAGCCAATTATTATTGGAAACGAAGTTATTTGGAACAATACCAAAACTACCAATTTGAATGAGCTTGAAAAGTCCGTCTTCATGTACAGCAGATTAATATGTGTGGCATTGGATTTTGTTGACACCGTTTACAAGAATGATGTCAACACGCGAGAAAACAGATGGGAATGGCTACTCCAAGAAGTTCTCCATTCCTACTACTTTGAATTCCTTTTCAATGATTACACTAAAAACTTGATTAATGAATTCCTTTCCAACGTACAAAAGAAGGATGGATTGAATATTGAATTTTGTAATTACTTGGCACAGAGACACGAACTAGAACTTTTGAAAATTTATGTCTCTATGAATTCTGCAAGTGTCTCTCAATTGGATTGCAATCGGTTGCTCTTTGGCTCATTAGAAAATGTCAATCAAGTCATTGAAGACAAAAACAAGTCGAGTACTTTTTATGAAATTGCTGATTCTCTCTTTGACAATGATACCAATCTCGCCAATCTCAATATTGACTCTGAGAAAGTTACTGAATGGCTTCTTGGCTGTATTAGTATCAGTAGCACTTTGGATCAATTGCAAAATCAAAGCGAATACGACCACCTTAATTTGATTAAGGTTCAAGCAGCATTGTCGATCATGTACTGTCGATTGAAAATGAGTTCAAGTTCTGAACAAACTGATGAAGAAATTACTGTGGATTCCATTATTGACTTTGCAAAAGAATTTTATGAAATGATCAAACAGAAAAATCCAACTCAAATGAGCATTATTGTTTCGAATCTATTGATCAATGCATACACCACAACGAGCAATATTATAAGCGATCATTCCTTTGTTGAGGAATTTATTCTAAGTAATCTGCAACAAATCTCATTGGAAGATCATTTTGAGCTGTTAGACAAAATTGTTCATTTGGCTGCCTCCGTTGCTCAGAAAAATAAGAATATCAAGATTGTAAGACAATTAATTGATACATTCTTGTTGTTGAACAGACAATCGAAAATTCTATCCATGCAATACCCAATTGTCATGGAGAGACTCATTACTAGAACTTCAAAATATTTGAAACCTCTTCAACTTGCTCTCAAATACTCAGAAATCAAATTAGATCCAACACTCATTCCTGAAATTGTGGATATTATTGAATGTAGTCCAATCACAAATGCAAAAATTGTTTCCGTTGATTTGTTGCTACTCACAGATTATCATAACGATATTGATCGAATTATTGACTTTATGGAACGTATGAAGAGTCATATTTCTGAACATTTCAATTCCATTTTGAAAGAAAGCGCAGTTCGTAACAAGCATTTGACTCAATTTGCACACCTCTACTCTGAATACAGTAATGATAATAATAATGAACTGCCCTATCTCCTTGCATGGTACTATATTTTATCATTGACAGAAAATTCAATTCTTTCACAACAAAGTGACTCGGATTTATTCACCAAACTCAAAGAGAATCAAATGTATGCTCCAGTATTGAGTTTATTGACATGTTTCTTATATAGTGGTGAAGATACCATGCTTTCATTGGAATTTAGAGAGTTTTGTGATGATTTAATGTACAAATTTTCAAAGGTACTACCTCTCTTTGTTCGAACATGGTTCAATGATTGTAATGATACCATTGCTATTGATTGGATTCAAAAGAGATTTTTGGAAGTTTATAGTCCTGCAATTGTGAAAGAAGAAATTTCAAAAATTAAGAAATCAGATGCTCTCACCAAATCGTTGGGTGCAAAAATCTCAATGGGCAATCAAATTATTGCAAAATATGAGCAAGATGAAGTAGTGTTAAAACTCACGATCAAGATTCCAGATTTGTATCCTCTCAAAGCTCTTCAAATTGAATCGGATGAACACTCAGCTGTGAATGAGAGCAAGTATAGAAAGTGGATCTTGAAAATGACAACCATGCTCTTCAGTCAAGTCACGAGCAATGGTGTCTCTGATGTACTCATGTTGTGGAAAGATAACTTGGAAAAGTACTTTTCTGGAGTTGAACCATGTCCAATTTGTTACTCGGTGGTGTCAGGACGAGATCATCAATTGCCAAAAATCGAATGCAAGGTGTGTCACAACAAATTCCATGGTGCTTGTTTGTATCGTTGGTTCTCCACGAGTGGAAACCAGTCGTGCCCAATGTGTCGTTCAGTTGGCCAATTTAAATAAAGCTAAAATTTGACGTCTTTCTTGTTTCCTCCAACAACCAAGACCCAAACGTAACAGCAGTGACCTTAACTGCATTCCCTTTTCCGATCAGAGATGAATTGCTGGAAATAATCCTTCGCCTGTTGTGTCAAAGCAGTTAGTGAAGAAATGTGTAAGTTTCATACAAGACTATGCCGACTCGAAAGCAAGTTCAATGTACACAATATTTATTCGTCATCTTCTTCGCTGCCTTCTTCATCTTCGTCCTCATCCTTCTTCTTAGCTGCCTTCTTAGGTGTTGCTGGTTTTAACTTCTTAGATTGTTCTTCATAAGGCTTTTTCTCTTCCTTGGACATGGACTTCCACATTTCAGACAACTTTTTCTTGACCTCTGAGGCCTTTAAGCTGGAATCACTCTTTTTGACTTCATCAGTCTTTTCGGTACAGAAAAGAGCATAGGCTGTTGGTGTCTTCTTTGGAGTTTCTTCACCTCCTTCCTCGTCGTCCTTTTTGGCTTTCTTGGAAGACTCTCCTTTGGTTGCTCTCTTTCTCTTTGTAGCACTACTATCATATTCCTCTCCGTTTGCTTCAGCCTTAGCCTTCTTGTGCATGGTGTTGTACTTTTCCTTGGTTTGTTCATCGGCTTCCTTCCATTCAGAAGACAAAATCTTTTTAATTTCACTTTGCTTCTTTCCTTCGTTTTCCTTCTTTACTCTTTCCATGTTATCTTTGTGATGATGTTTGAGAATGATGTACGAAGTAAAATATATTTTCAAAGACGCGGTCATTCATTGAAGGTGTAAAAACAATGATGGTGATGAATGGGTTGGGTATCCACAACAGCAAGAAGGAACATGAATCATTTGTTGGACCCGCAGTGTTGTTCAGGGGTGGTCGGGTGATACAAATCATTTGATGAATTACAACAAATTTGTCCAAAGAGAGATCCAAGATTGAAAAAGTGAATGATAAAAATTAATGATCGAATTCCAAAAATCAAATAATCGTACGGATGATAACCTACCTTGGCAATAGAGAGCATATGCTGTAGGCACCTTCTGCTTTGGCTTTTCATCATCTGAGCCTTCTGCTTGCTTCTTTGGTGGCATATTGAATCGGTGTGCTGAGAAAAAATTTTTTAAAAATGATTTTTGTTCCCTGGCTTGCGCTTGGCTTGTGTATGGCGCCAAAACTCGTGCAAAAGGCTTTTCGTAACGGCTGTCAATCACACTCTCCTTTTTCAATTCACACACATTAATTAGGTTGACAAACATCGTTGCTTCTTAGAATTTATTGTTGCTTTTGCTTTGGAGGAAGCTTGTAGATTCTGATTTGAGCGAGAATGTTCTTGGCAACATTGGTGTGTTTGTAGACATCTCCGTGGAAGGCAGAGGTCACATCACGACCAAGGTAGCTCTTCAAGATGGCTTCACCACCTGGGTGTTCATGCATAAAGTTTGTCACATCATGAACTACATTGTCAATGATGACCAATGACTTTTCCTTCTTATCCTTTTCGAAATCTTCCCAAGTTTTGGTTGGTAATTCTTCAATTGGAGTACCCCAATCGTAAAGCTTCTTTTCTTCATCGAGATTTTTCTGCATCATGATAATCTTACCCTTCTCATAGTGAATTGGATCGCAACGTTTAAGGTCAAAGGTCCATCCAATCAAAGATAATGTATAAATGATCCACTTTCCAGGATCATAATGATACCAACGAACACCATTTCTGTAATCATAGGCAAAAGTGTGATGGAAATTGTGATAACCTTCACCGAATGTGAATAAACTGACAAGGTAAGAGTCTTTAGCGGTGTGATCATCGTTGAATGTACTGACTCCCCATGAGTGAGCTAAACTGTTAATAAAGAAGGTACAGTGTTGAAGGAATGTCTTGGACAAAACTCCAGCAATGAAAAAGCCACCATACCAATCGCCCCATCCAAAACCTGCAATGCACATTGGAATGATATAACCTAAAAGTAAAGCCAAAGCTGGATAATTATCGTGATGGAATTTGATGACAGGATCAGCCAATAAATCCTTAGCATTGGTAGTGTCAACTTCTCTCTTCCACAACAACCAACCCATATGAGCAAAGAAGAATGAGTTCTTAATATTGTAAGGGTCTCTATCAGTGTCGACATATTGATGGTGTCTTCTGTGATCGGCACTCCAGCTCACAACGCTACCTTGGAACGCAGAAGTACCCAAAAGCATGAAAAAGACTCTGGTTGGCCAGTTTGCAGAGCAACTTCTGTGAGCGAAAATTCTGTGATATCCAGCAGTGATACCAATTCCTGCGACATAATATCCAATGAAAGAAAGAAGATAGGTCTTCCAATTCCATGCAGCAGTCAAGACGCCATAAACTGATCCAACCAATGATCCAATCAAATAGATGGTAATGAACCAGTCAATATTTCTCAAATCCACTTCATTCTCAAAAGTGGTAGAGAGAGCAGAGAAGAAGCTAGTACCTCCAATCTTTTCCAAATTCTTACCAAACTTTTCACGGAGAGCACTCTTGGCCTTATTCCAGTTGTAGTTTGGAACCAAATTTGTCAATTTTTCCTTCAAGCTTTGAGTAATAGCACCACCGTTCTTCTTCTTATTCCACTTGAGCTTGATTCTGTAGGAATGGTTTGCATAATTTGTCAAGAACTCAATAATGGATGGAAAGTGAGTAATTCTATTCTTCTTGGCGTCAGCATCATTTACTTTCATGAAGGTTGAGTTGATCAAGTGATAGGCAATGAGAGGAGCGACATAGAATTTAATCAAGCCCCACAATCCAACAAAGTAAAGCATAAGACTGAAGAATGCAGCAGCAAAAGCATAGAGAACGACAGCATTAATGACAATGCTTCTCTTACTTTCAAAATAAATATTGGCTCTGAACCATTCAATAATTGAAGACAAGAACCATAAAGGACTCTTCAACATGAAAACCAAAGTCTTCATGATAAAGCCTTCATCTTCTTCAGCGGTAGAGTTTGGTCCATTAGTCATTGTTTCTTGTTGTTCTTGGCTCGTCTTGTTGTACAAGGTCTTGAAAGTCTCAAAAGGATACAACAATGGCAACATGCAAATCACACCAACCAAATCGTTGACCCATACAGGCATGGTACGGTGATTGAAGAATCTATTCTCACTGCATGCATAGGCAACACCCATCAAGCCTGTAGCAGATAAACCAATGAAAATCCAACTCACAGGCAACAAATACCAAGGAAATTGAGCAGCAGCGAAAATACCCAAAGTGAGTAAGCCGATGGTCATGATGACTTGACTCCAAGCCTTTCTGCTGCTCAATTGAAACACATCAGAATCTTGCAAGAGATGTTTGATTTCATCCCATGAGAAGGAGCTCTCTTCGGTCTGTAATGCGTTTTGTTGTTGTTGTGGTTGATTCGGAGTTGACAAAGACTCGGCAACCGAAACACCACCTGCGGTCATTATGTGAAAAGAATTTGTTTGGCTGATGGTGGAGTTTTTTTTTTTGAATATTCTCCAACAAAATGCGTTGTCTTGAAAATAAAATTTGGTCCGGTTGAATGTTTTCACCTGGAAAGGCAGATTTTCGATTTGTGCCACCTTACCCATGTTGAAGCATCAATTTTCCTAAGTCCCAAATGGTCCGTCTTGTTTCATGAGATAGGTCGTTATGGAATTTATTGTATTCACATGTTTTCATCATCAAAGACCTATTTCCCATGCATGATTCAATCTTGTCATATTGGTGTTGAAGAGTATTTGAGCCAATAATTCGCAGACAATTCTGCCAACAGGGATCGTTCACAGCAAAAAAATGTTCGAAATGCTCAAAAAACACAAACCCCTCACAGCCTTGAGTGCTTTGGCTGTGGTAGGCTTTGTTTATTCCGTTAAAATTTTGATAGATGATTCCCAAACGAAATGGAGAAGGCATGAAGGAATATTCAAAGACAGAGATAGATTGAACTTGAGAAGAATTGCGAACAACATGCCTCCTCTTTCCGATGACGATTTCAAAGACCCTAAAATAAAAGAAGAGTGGCTAGAATATAAAAAGAGAAATAATATTAAATATTAAATTGATATTCATGCATGATTGAACGAATACAACCATACAATTTTTTGGGAATTTGGGATTGAATTTAATTTATAATTGCCCAACGTCGACAATAACAACCATGGATTGTAAATGCGCTGAATAATTTTACTTTAAGAAATTGCAAGACACTTTTCATACAAGCAGCAATAACAACAGTATTGAAATTTTTGAACTTGTTATTTGGTGAGGGTATAAATGTACATGCCTACTTCGGAATCTACAGAGACATCTACAGATTTGCATTGACTAGTATCAAAAGCTAATAACAATTCTTGTTCTCGCTCTTCCTCTGTTTCAGGTTCTAATGAATAATCATATTGGCTAAATACAATCCATTTACATGTTGGTTTCAACAATCGGAGTACTTGCTTTTGAACAACTTTCACATTTTGTACTCCCTTATCAAGTTCTCCTTCTAGATAGGCAGCTTCATCTTCTTCCATGTACAACGAGTCAAGAACTGCCTTATCAATGACCAAATCAAAAGAACTCTCTTTCAATGATTCCATGTTTTTAATATCCATTGTCACGAATTGGATCGAGTTGTCTTCTCCAAGTACCTCGCTCGAATATTGTCTCATCATGTTACCGACTTGCTCTGCAATGTCTGTGCACACAATGTTCGTAAAACCCATTTTGTAAATTTCGAAGGGAAGTCTTGAAATTCCATTTCCCAAGATTAAAATTTGTGAATTCTTCTTAAGTGACTTCAAAAGAGGTTGTAAATGAGGTTTCACCACACTAAATGGCCCATACCAATCTCTATTGAGGTATTTGTCATTTTCAATGAAATCAGAAATTTTCAATTGTGGATTTGATTTCTTCTTTTCTGTGTATTCTGAATAAAGTTTTGAATAAAGTCTTTGGATTACAATTTACAATGTAATTAATGTATTCATAATATACACATCAAATACATATTCTTTCTACTCGGAAATTTACCTACCTTTCCCAAAATTGTGGGGAATGCAACTCAATTTGTTCACCTCCATCGTTTGACATCTTTCTTAAATTTTCCATGTAAGATATTACGCTTTCTTTAGCGTCCTCTAATAATAATTCTTTCTCTTCCAACGTTATTGATTTGGAATTATATCTCGCAATATAATCTTTAAATATTTCTCTCATCATGTTATTTGTTTCCTTGCGTTGGGAAGGAGGATAACATGCCTGATGTAATTTATAAATCATTCTGTAGAGTGGAAACCAAACAGGTATTGTTTTTTTACTCTCTCCGAACAGCTTGACAGAATAATATCTTCGGAGATGTTGTTGTGCAGAGTTGAAGGCCATTAAATTCTTTACGTGCATTTTTTTTAATGCTCAGAGCCTTGTTTTGCATAAAAAACAGAATTACAGGAATTACATGATTTAAGGTTTACAATTTATAACGTGTACATGAAATTAATGAGCACCAATTTTCTTTTGGAATTCCTTAATTTCATTATCATAGTCCACCCATTCAGGAATAATTCTCTTTGCACTGGCCAATTTGTGTTCCTTGGTCATTGGATTGTTACATAAATCAATGGTTTTAGCTTTTGTCTTACTTTCTTCGGAACACCAAGTTTCACACCATAACCATTCTTGAGGAAGTGAACGAATGGGCACATTATGTTGAGCATAGTTTGGAAGATCTTGATCCAAATTCGATAAGCTATTAGGATCTCGAGCGAGATTGTCATAGACCATTCTGAATTGATCACCATGATAGTTTCTTCTGAATAAATCAATATCCACCACATAAAGTGCAGAGATGTGATATGGTTTGCCTCCAAGATGATTCGACCAATATCCACTCTTCCAGAATCTGTAACCTTCCATCTCTTTTCTCGAGTCACAGAATGGTGTGTATGCCAATGCTTTTCCTTGCATATCGAGATCAAAGAACAACTCGGACATGTCTGTTCTACAGACTTGATCAGCATCAACGAAAATAATTTTGTGAACTTCTTGCAGAGGGAACAGTACATCGAGGAAGAGCACCTTGTAGGCCCAAATCAAACGTTGCTTTGTTTGTTGCTTGTGTAACCAATGAGGCCATTGATAACTAATCAAACCATATTCGAAATTGTATGCCTTTGCATATTCTGGTAAAAATTGTTTAAACGATGGTGACAAGAATTGTTTCAGGAACCAAAATTTGACTTTGACTCCACTTCTTTTCAAATGTTTTCTCACAGAGAGAATCATAATTTTGAGTAATCTTTCATACATGATTCCTGATGCCAATGAAAAGATGTGAATGGTCTTTTTGCCGTCCGAAGAAGAAGCAGATTTTGTGAGCCATGAGGACCAACTGGATTGCTCTTCATCCATATGTGGATCTTGAGCCAATAAATCCTCATTTTCCATTCCTTCGTTTCGTTTCACAACTACCCTAGCAAATGGAGCATCAAACGAGTGAACAGAAATGTGGAAATTTTCAGTATCAGCTGGTCCATATCCATCCGATGTTTGAAGTTCTTCTTGATAATAAAAGTCCACTTGTTTCGTATATTGGATGGAATAAATTTTAGAGTGTCTGCCGTGTGGTAACTTGACACGATAGATGTTTGGTGTAGAAGCTCGTAATTGGAAGTATCCAAAGTTTGCCATGACCAATGTTGTGTCATCCACTCGGTCAGAACTTGTTCCATGTTTGTGAACAAGTTGCAACTGTAGTCCTCGAACAGGTCTGCCATTGTCATCGATACAGGTTCCAGATGCAACGAAATATTCAAGTTGGAAGCGAGCATAACACTTGCTTAGAACACATTCATCCAGCTTCAAATTGTCCAAGTCTTCTTTTGCATAGGTGCTGTCTACGAGCCACGATTCTGGTACGTCCATCCAAAGTGTAAAAATTCGGCCCTTCACGTCACCATGCTTGGCCGTAAATTCAGCCATGCTTGAATTGGACAAGACAAAGGTATAATAGCTTTGAAGAGGAAGATTCGACGTTTCCAGATCTGGATTCAAATGAATGATAATTTCAATGTGATCACCAAACTTTTCCTTAAGGAACTTGATCATTGGAGTGAACTTTTGAGCCTGTTTGGAAAGTGGATTCAAAATTGCAATAAGTTTGAGATCTCCACTATTGTTTGTCTTTAAGGTAGTTGCATCATTTGCTTGAATATAATTCATATCCTGTCTATGGTATCGATTAAACACTTTGAATGCAGAAGAAACACCGAAAAAGATATCACTAATAAAATCACTGGTCACCAGAGCAGGATCCATGTTGGCATAATCGTTTTCTTCCAGAATCTTCTTCATGGATGGATTGGTGCTTTCATAGGCGCCTAAAATCTCAAAGTCTTTGGTGCTAAACTCTCCATCGAGTGTAATGGTTCTTCCATTCATGGAAATGATACCAGTTTCATCGCTAGAGAAATATTTGGCACAGAATTGCTTGTGAGTTAATTTTGTGTTTTGTGTCTCATAGGCAGGTGAGTATATGCTGTGGAACTTGTGGTGAGTATTCAACAATTTCTTGTCTGCATTCAGGAAGCCAATTCTTGTTTCCTTGTCATGTTTCAAAAATTCAATTGCAGCATTGATAAGTGATGATGAATCTCGTGATGCTGAGAGACAAATGAGATGGGTTTGCTTAACAATTCCTTCACCCTCAGGATTTTGGAGCATGTCAATTTCGTTCAATTCATCGAGCGCCACTAAGCCATATCTCTGTTTTTGGAAAATGTCAGTGTTGAATTTGTCGAATCCTTTGTAGTGGTCTATAATTTTTTCGAGTAAATTCTTGTCTGTGTCCACAATAATATTCTCTCGGATGAGGTTTTTAACACTCTCGTATTGATCTCTGACGCCCTTAAGAACAAGTTGATCTCCTGTCATATCTGGTTCATCGGATTGAACGACAGCTCCGTTCACCAACAATATTGGAGCTTCTTTCACATTAAAGCCCATCTCTGTGAAGAGCTTGTATCTATTGAGTAAATCGGATTGTTTTGAAAGCTTTACAGAGCCAAAGTATCTCTTTTGAAGGTCGTCAACAAATTGTATGTTAAAAGAATCTCTGTCCAAAAATTCTCTCAAAATTGGGAATATGGCTCTGTTTTCTTTTGTCATTCTCTCGAATAATGAGATGGCATGTAAAGAAAGATCGTCAATAATGCCAGATGGAGGTGTCGTTGAGGAGCCCAATAAATCAACATCCACAAAAGAGGAAGTTACTTTTGGAATAAATAGGGCACCAATTCGAATGGGATAACCTCTGTTCATAATGTTACCTAAAATATAAAGCAGTTGGCTGACACTCTTTTGGGTACTGGCAGGATCAATAATGAAAACGGCATTGAACAAATTTCTCTTAACAAATCGCATTTGGCCATACATGGTGTTATAGAGCATGGTGTTGAGCTCTCTTGGAAAGTTATGATAACCCTCTCCTTCAATGTTGTTGAACCAATGGATTTCTTTTTCCAGGTTTTTGGAAAGTTTGAATCGAAGATCTCTATTGGGAGAACCAGAATTATAAAACAGAGCATTAATGGAGTTCTTGCTTTGGAAGAGGTTCGAAGAGAGCAACTTGACAAATTTTGTTTCTTTAGCAATTGCTTCGAACAGAGAGAAGACAGAAAGCTTTGATAAATCCAATTCTAATCCATTCAAGAACATAGCATTTCGTCTGATTACCTCCTGAGGATTGTTAGGATTTCGAGTCTTGAAAACATGTTCATATCTAGAGAGTTGAGATTGCACCTTTTCTTTAAATTCGTCGTCAAATGCAGTGTTCTTTAGCTCTTTCAAATAACTTGGGAAATTTTGTGCAATATTTTGTAGCAGATCCAACTTGGAATCAAATGAAGATTCTGCCATAATTTTTGTTAAAGCTTGAATACCAAAATATTTCATTTCCCATACTTTAAGTTTTTCCGATTTTGAGTCTTTTTGTTGGAGATGTAGCTTGAGAGTGTCCAAATCATGAGAAAGGTGAGAATAATTTTTCTTCAGCTTGTTAAAATTAACACCTCTAAAGAAGGTGTCGTTTCCACTAACAACATCGTCATCAGCAGTTTGTTTGTACTCCATATTTTTGATTTGTAACTCGACACCATAACCCCTAATAGATAATAATTGGTTATGCGAATGGTCTTCTTCCTTCATGTATGTTTCCTTCACTGTTTCCTCTTGATCAATTACGCCATCTTGGGTTAATCGAACCAGCCTCAATACAAAAGGAATGCTATCAGAAGAAATATATTTTTGTACAGCCATGCAGCCATCTTTTGTCGAAATGTCAGCAAAAAGGAAATTAATTTTCTTTTGACCCATTGTGTTAAATGTATGATCTAGATATTCAATGCTCTCTTCCGACTTTTCTACTGGAATATTCAAGTTGGTAGTGGAGATGTTAATGCTCTTTGTGTATTGAACTTTAACTCTGGGCGAATAGTGTCTCGTATCTAGAGCAAAATCGAGAAGTGACGCCTCTCCATTTGAAAAATTCAACTTCTTTGCCAAATCCAGCACAAAACTTTTGTCTTGACGATCCACATTCTCACACGGAATGGAATGTAAAAACGAAATTCTCTTTTCAGGTAATTTATCAGCAACAAACTCACTATCATCCAATACCATGTTGCTCACAAATAAATTTGAAACAAAGATAAACTTACAAAGCTTCCAACAATAATGGAGTCTCCTTCCATGTAGCTTTCACTTCAATATCCAATCGACTATGCAATAATGATCCCGAAGTTGCAATTTCATGACTTGCAAAAACTATTTCATTGCAACAGGCAATCATCATTAAAACTGATGCTATTGTAGCCACCAGAAGACCGATCCGAATGTTTGTTGTTGGTGTGAATAAATAAGTGTGGTCTTGATGAGCCATTTTTTTCAAGCTTAAAGTAGCCAGGCCTGGTTCCGAACACGTATTTGAAAAAAATATGAAATAGAGAATAACATAAGAAAATGGTCCATAGAAACACGGGTTGTGGTCGAAGGTTTCAATTGTTATACTTTATCATAGACTATTTAAAATTGTAAATGGTGAGCAAAATCCGCCAAAATTTACAACACAAAAAAAACAATATCGTTTCCCATCACACTCAAGTACTTTGAAAAAATAATTGATATTTGTACTACCAATGAAGCTCAAGAAATTCATGTTGAGGTATTATCCTCCCGGAATAATATTAGAGTATGAAAGATCAAATGGAAAGGAAGGAACTAAAACCATTGATTTATTGGGATTGAATGAGAGGTAAGCATTTTTCGGAAGTGGTTGTAGCATTCCGAGGCTAAATTGTATGATGATGATGACGTTCATTCATAATTTGAATTGGATACCTATTGTGTGTTTCTTGTATTTCAATGTTGTTGCATGAATTTATTCAGATCCGACATTAACTCTGTTGCTGAAGATATTGTAGCAAGAGAGCCCTTAATTCCAAGTAGCAAAACCGAACAAGTGAGGCAATTAGTGGACAGTAAGTATCTATCCAGTAGATCGGATCCGTTGTAAAAGACTGACATGTTTTTGAAACACTTTACTTGTTTACAAATAGAATTGGTCCAAAAGATCTCATCGTACAAGTGCCGAAAATTCAAAGAAGAGAAGTCTCTGCAAGCACACATGCTTCCATTAACAAATTGTGCATTCAACAAGTCCGGTGATAAGTTTATTACGGGAAGTTATGATAGAACATGCAAGATTTGGGACACACAAACTGGAGATGAATTGAAAACTCTTGAAGGACACAAAAACGTTGTTTACGCTATTGCCTTTAACAATCCATTCGGAGACAAGATTGTTACTGGGTCTTTTGATAAAACATGCAAGTTGTGGGATACAGAAAGTGGCGAATGTTTGTATACACTGAAAGGTCACGAGTCTGAAATTGTTTGTGTTTCCTTCAATCCTGACAGTAGCTTAATTGCGACTGCATCGATTGATACCACAGCCAAAGTTTGGGACGTGGAGACTGGAAGAGAAATCTATTCTTTGTTGGGGCACAATAAGGAAATTATTAGCATGAGCTTTAACAATGCTGGAAATTTCATTGTGACTGGATCTTTTGACAACACGGTTCGAGTTTGGGATGTGAGAAGTTCAGAATGTGTATTTAATTTCCATGGACACGAATGTGAGGTTTCTGCAACACAATTCAACTTTACTGGAGACACAGTGGCATCGAGCTCCATTGATAAGACTAGCAAATTGTGGAGTCTCCACACTGGTACTTGTGTTCGAACACTCACGGGACACAACGATGAGGTTATTGACATTGCGTTCAATCCAACTGGAAATAAGGTTGCCACAGCCTCTCAAGACTGCTCAGCCAGAATTTACGACACCTTCACGGGAGAATGTTTGGCAACCATGTACGGACACCATGCCGAAATTTCAAAGGTATCGTTCAATCCTCAAGGAAATATGATTATCACTGCATCCAACGACAAGACATGCAGGCTGTGGGACGCAAAGACAGGAAATTGTTTACAAGTTTTGAGAGGTCACAAGGATGAAGTTTTCAGTTGCGCATTTAATTATGAAGGAGACACAATTATTACAGGATCAAAAGATAACACTTGCAAAATTTACAGAGCCACCGACGAAGAATTAAAATAAGATGAATAATTAATGTTACTGTTCATTCTTGTCTTCTGAATCTTTTTCTTGCTCACTCATTAATATCGAAATGAGTTGAGATTTTTCTTCATAAAATTGCTCATCTTCTTTTTCCCTTTCAGGTTGGAATTCTTTTAAATAGTTAATCAGTTTTTCTCTATTCAGACGTATAATATCCTTCACTTGTGCAGATTTGTGTGGATTTGCAATGAAAACCTTAAACACATGGAAAGCTTCGAATTGAATATTCTTTCTCTTGTCGAGTAGTAAGTTCATCATTAATTTCAGGTTGTTTTTGTCATTGATGTATCTGCTCATGACATTAAAATTCGATCTGTCAAGTATTATTTCACCAAGAGTCTGCAAGTGGCGAAATATTTGTTGTGTGACATATATTATAGAATTCAACCAACTGAAATCTTTGAATTTTACAATTACTTACTTTGAGTGACTGCCTTTTCGTGACATAGTTCTTTGAATTCAACAGATTGTTATATTCTCCAAAGAATTTTTCAAAATTGTTTTCCAGGAACTCTGCAACTATTGCTTTATGCCTTGAAGTCAACAATTCCTTGAACGTTACAAATGCATCACTCTGCATCTCAAAGTTACTGTTGTCCACGTAAATGAATAGCTTGTACACCTCGTCACAACTGAGCATCTTTCTTGTTAAAATCTCATGCTTAAAACATTCACGTAGCATACTTCCGCATAAAAGAGAGACTTCACTCTTCTCATAGCTGTTGTATAAAATAGTGAAAGATGTTGTAATTTCGGAGGACGTGGTTGATTCAATATGTGTTAATTTTCAAATTTCACACACCATAGTCAAAATGAGATAGAACATACCCGTGAAGTAATATTGTCAAGATTTGAGCATGTTCACAAATATAATCAACAGTGGTATACCGTCCATTCATTTGAAGCTTAACTAAAAAGTTAAATATGATCATTCCATCTTTTCTGGACTATAGGATTTGTATCCATTAATTAATAGTTACATTGACGATTGAACCATATAGGAATGTTCATTCACAAAAACAAGGTGAGTTTTGTTTTTTACAATGTCATGCATTACTTACTTCAAAATCCAAATGTTCCAAGTATTGTACAAGTAACAACAGAAAATCAGTGTCATAGGCCTCTTTTGCAATATCATTAATATCCGATTTTTTCGGTTCTTCCTTCTCTACTGCTGCTGTATTACCAAGAAGTAATTGTTTAATTCCGGAAAGGACTTTTCCGCAATCTTCGGCTGCCTATAAAATTCAAGATTGTGTTCCGCAATAACATGATTCATCAATAATTTCATGAACATGTTTTACATGATCATCATCATCATCATGTAAATATTCGAGTTACAACACACATCAAAAATAGAAATGATTATTGTACATTGTATCATCATCATCATTATATTTACTTTTTGCTGTTTTGAATCTTTTGTAGTTGTTAATTCTGGATCTCGTGCGATCACCTTCAAACACTCGACTGCATCTCTAACCAATTCTTTGGGAGCCTTCTTTCCCGTGAGAAGGCCAAGCCCTTTCATAATAATTGACATTTTTTCGGAGAGTGTGTTTGTTTGGAATGAATTGTTGGCCAATCACAATAATAAAAACAATTAATGTTATGGACTTGTTTTTTGCAAGTTTATTACAGCAAGACTTGTGATGGAGTTGTCACTTTGTTGATGATGGGTACCCGACGCATGCATGGGCAATATAAGGAACCTCAAATGCTTGTCAAATGAACACAGGCGTACAAGGGATGAATAGAAAAAATTGCCATGCATGCGAATGATGACTTGTCGCCAAAAAAGAGCATTTGTTGACTTTTGAAATTTTGTAATGGCACTGTCCAATCACAGGCAAGTTGCTTGATGCCAATTCGTTGACAGATTGTGTCTAATCTCATCCTAATAATAATAATTGTTCATCAACAGCTGTTGTACTACCTATGTTGTGTTGTTGCAGCTTGCTTTTGTTGCTGCATCAATTGAGCATGCCCACTATGAATATCACCAAACATTTTGGAACATCGAATAGAAGCATCCTCAATGGCTTTCCGTTTTGCATCAAGAATTGCTTTTCCTCGAGAATCACCCGAAGCGGTTCCATAACCGAGTTGTTCATGAGAATTGTAGGAATCATAGACGAGTTTTGCAATGACACTCACACCTGCCGTGAAAACAATCATGGAGGCTTGCTCGGATTTAATTTCTTCTTCATCAACAAAATCAACATTGATGTCTTTAATGACCAATTCTAAATGGTATCGTTCAAAGTGCCGATACATGTCGGATTCAGTTTTCAGGTGTTGTTGATGCTTTCGGGAGGAAATATCATCATGATGATTATTTGTTTGCATCGTGGTGGTTGGAATTGAATAATTTGCCGATGGAGAAGAAGAATGGATCATGGTATTTCGTAATTGATGATCAACAACAACGATGATTGTTTTCAAACAGTTTTTTCAAATGAAACTCACCTTCTCGAAAGGTGTTTGAAGATGTGAGTCATCGTTCGTCGGAGCATTCCTTTCCATTTTTTTATGGAATTTTTTAACTTCGAGTTTCCTTACTTGCTTTTTTTATTTTCACAAACATATTTAATTTCCTCAACACGCTCCAAGTACGATCTGTAAAACGTGTCTGCGATATGAAGGAAGGGTTGCTCCACGTTGCCGTCATCCGTGTTGGTGGAGGTAAGGAAAAAATCAAGATTGCATTCTTTGGCAAATTCCTCGCCTTGTGATTGTGTGACCTTTTCCAAGTTGTGCATGTCAACCTTATTTCCAACGAGCACTCCAATGAGAGACTTGTCATGTTTTTTCATGCTCGTGTTGCTTGTTCGCACGCTCTTACAAAGTCGATACCATTTACTTAAGTTTCCAAAGGTTTCTGGATTGGTAATGTCATACACAATGATAAAAGCATTGATTCCATCAATCTTGATGTTGGCATGTTCCATTCATGCATACGAATAGTGTTATTTTCAGAAAATCATGTAAAAGTTATCTTGCTTGAATTTTAGTCCCCAAACAAAAATCGGAACCTACATATTCATTATAACACTGCTCGTATATTGAAGATCCACTAATATCGAACAAGTACAATTCCACCTGATGATCCTTAGAGATTGCTACTTGGTCATTGGTTACCACTGGAACATCAATAGTTTTTGTATACAAATCCGATCCGATGGTCATTAAATATTGGTTTGGGAATGTTCTCTCTTTGAACATTTTGATGAGAGACGTCTTTCCGACTGTACAGTCTCCCACAATTCCGACCTTGCATCTCAGTTTGACCATAGTTCTGCTCGAATGGTTGGCTTTTTTATTTTGTGAGTATTGTATTTTTGGGCGGGCTCGTTGGGCACAACGAGATTGGAATTTTCATTTGCTGGGGCGATTTTGTCACAAAGCTCCCGTTTAAAAGTTACATTCTGTCACAGAATATCGAACGACAACTCTTTCAATTTATTTGATATGGAAACCATACCAACTTTTAAAGTATTCTACTGTATGAATCAGAAATATCCCTTGATTGTGGATGAATGCTCAAAAGAAGTTCTAAAGCAGAAAGCTTGCAGTGTTGTTCAGCAAATTGCAAGTCATGTTCTCCCATGACCAACCCAAAAACGTTGGTTTGTTCTCGTACTGGTAGTTGAGTGGCAAGAGCAGCTTGTTTGGCATTAATGTTTCCAGAGTAGAGAGCAGAAGCAATAACCACAGATCCTGTAACCTCAACCATTGCATTCAAAATCACCAATGCCGCCGGTGACATTCGATCGAATAAATATTTCACACTCAATGTCTTGTTATATAATCGTATGCCTTCAGAAGTGGTGTAGTGTTCAATAAATTTTTTACGTGCATCTTCTTGTGTTGCATCAGCAGCAAAACTACTATTTTCATCGAGAACTACAAGTTTTGTATCAAATTCCTTGTTAAACCAATCCACGAGAGGATCCCAATGCTCCTTAATTGCTTGTTTAATTTTGTCGTCTGTCATTCCTTGTCGTAAACAAACAAATTCTCCATCAAAAAATCCATGAATAGTGTTTTTCATGTTGAAACTGACTTCAAAGTTTGTCTCACGTTTTACATCTTCAATTCTACACACCAACTCTGTGATTGGAAGAGTGGCAGGTCTTACATATTCAGTTTGTAATTCCCATTCACCTGCAACGATATTTCCCAATTCTTGAGTTGGAACTGTAACAACCTTGTTGGTGGTGGTTCTTAATAATTGTTCCTGACCAATTCTAATTCTGAATTCTTTTTTTCTTTCTTTGGTTGTTGTTTCTTCAAGGTAAATTCTTCTATAAAATTTCTTATTCAATTCATCGTATGAAATTATTGGTAATTGACTACTCGAGAGGTTTTCATGATCGTCCATTTCTAAGAGTGACTGGGTGGCTTTTCTTTTATGCTCCTCAATTTGTTCTTGGGTAGGGTCAAGCTCTGGATTATTCAACAACTCTTCCACTAGCTCAAAAACTCTTCTTTCCTTTTCGACATCTCTTCCTTGTAGTTCATCTTCATTCTCTCTCGGTTTTCTATTTCTCAACGCCTCCAAGAATTCATCGGGAGAAAGGTTGCTATAATCAAACTCAGGATCGGGAATAAACTCTCCAACTGCATTCTTATTAATTTTGCGTTTGGTATTTTCTTCTGTTACAGGTGTGTCCATGCTTTGTCTCAACTCTTTCAAAACTTGTAACTCTTCGGGAGTAAATTCAATCTTTTCAAAAAATCGACTCGATTGATGAAATGAACGAACATGTTGTTGATATTCTGAACAGAAATTTTGCCTAGATGATGAATTTACCATCATCTTTGTGGAAGCTGCAAACATGATGGATGAAAATTTCTTGCTCATCGCCATAGTTTTGCTCTCGAAATTTGAAAACGATTTCTTGCAAAGCCGGCTAGCCATTTTTTTAAACAAATAAAAAAATATTGATGATTCGGTGAATGAATAACAATTTAAAATAATTATGACATAGTTTTTAGGATGATGATTTTTAAATTGAAATTTCAGAACCTCATGTGTTGAGAATTGGATTGACAAATATGGACAAGAATTATTTATATTGATCATTGATAGCCAAATGAACAGTTTGATAAGACATGAAAGGAGTAGGCGGAATATCAAGATCTTGTTGTAATTTCAATTTAGCCTTTGAAACCATCTTAAACGTTGAACACACAATCTCCAAGCATTATCTCCGCCATAAATGATGAAAATGTAATTCAAATCATCCTCTACGACTAGATCTCACGACCTTTTAATTGAGACTCATCTCGAATTTATATATACATCCATGATGCCCACTGAGAGAGAGAGAATCCATAAATTCAACCGTGAATGTTTTACGATGAATATCCGAGCTGGCCATCTTTCCTTTATGATCAAAAACAAAAAACCATTTAGAATTGAACACTTATTTGCAATACTGAGCAGATATCATAGAGATCTTAACCACCACACCACTACAATACATTTATCAGACAGGCCATGGTCAGCAAAGTTCAACCTGTTGTGGGAGAAGCAACAACAACACTCGCAGAACAAGAGAGCCAACATCACCACAAAAGTACTCTTTCCAAGCAGCAGCAACATGAGATTTTCTCAACTTCTGGGGATTCCTATGAAGAACTTTCAGATCAACCAAAGAAGCAACGTCCTTTTGTATTGAGAGCATTATTGAGCGTGAGATTATTCTTGATTGTGGTCATTACTTCAGTAGTGATCATGACTGCCATCTCCATTTGGGTTGCAGCATTTGTTGTGAATGAACAAACGGCTATGGAACAAGTGAATGTCATCATTTCGAATATGAATGAAAAGATTGCGTCTTTCATGAATAGTCAACTCTTACCCGCGAAACTCGTTTCGAAACAAATGGTTGCTGATTACCATAACTCTAAAATTGATTTGGAACCAAGCATTCAGCCGTATCTCTTCTCTAAGGTCAAATTGTTTGGTGTTACAAATACGAACTTGTGTTTAGGAGAGAAGGGAAACAATATACTCTATGCATACAGTATGAACGCAGATAATTCTCTCGTTTATGGAGTCAAGTTACAACAAGGTACTACACTTACCATCTACAAAGCCAATAATGAAACTGGTGTAGTGAACTTTAATGCTGTCGCCCTCAATGTGACCTACTTTGTTGACAAGACGGATTACTATCAGGAATCCTTGCGTATTTTTCGAGATTTCTCAGAAGAGGGCGGATTTGGTGACGTGTATAAGGTAATTGGAGGAGGACCCCAAAGCACATTTTGGTCAACACCTGTTTACAATAGAACAGAACTCGCTAATGGTAACAAGACACGTGTTGGAATTGCCAAAGTCAACGTTTCTCTCGTGTACATTGCTCAATTTTTGAAAACAGTCAAAGTTCTTGAACGAGGTTATGTCATCATTTCAGAATTTTCCAACAACTACGTGATTGGAAGTAGCTTGAATATTCCAGGAATTGATGACAAGAGAATTAAGGCAACTGATATCACAACACGAGATGCAGGTAGTGTCATGACAAAATTTTTGAGTACGAACGCAAACTCTTTGGAACCTGTTATCACATCAATTGAGAGCAATGGAACCAAATACTTGGTCTCATCAACGCCTTACGTTTTGTCTAACCTTAAATGGAGAATGACTCTCGTGTTTGAAGAAAATGAAATCAAGAAGGGGATTATTACATCCAGCTTTGTCATTCTTGGTGTGACTCTCGGCGTGACAACTCTTGGTGTGCTTATTAGCGTAACTATTGGTTGGATTGTTACCAATCCATTTATTAACCTCCAAGAAGATTTCAGAAAGATTGAAGTACTGGATTTATCCAATATCAAGGAACGAAGTGCTCTCTTTAGTGAGGCTAAAAGTATCTACTCAAGTCTCAACGAAACTGTGCGATGGTTAAGCGAATTTAAAGCATTTTTACCAGATTCTGTTCTCAATCAACTTGAAAATGCCAAACTTCAAGCTCAAGACGTACATGTAGGCCAAGTGATGGCCACAGCAAAAGACACAAAGAAGGAAAAGCAAAATGCCCTTGAAAAAGGAGAGGAGCATTCAAGCGTGAATTCTAGCTCACACAAAATGGAATCCAGTCTAGGAACAGCGTATAACATGAAGCCATCCAAGGACTTGTTTAAATTGGGTCTATCTCCAAAGGATTTGGTTTCTCTTGTTCACGTCACCATACCAAACTTGAACGAGGCAAACTATTCATTTGAATCACTGAGTAGCATCATTTCGAAATGTTTAGTTTCAGTTTCTACAATTTGCAAAACATGCAGAGCTGACTTGCAAATACGAAGCTATGACGAGTTTATGATTGTTTTTCACGATAAGACGCCATGTGTGACAGCTCTAGAAACATGTTTAAAGTTAAAAGTGGTTCTTGATTCCTTAAATGACTACCTTGCAAAGGAAGCAATGACTCCTCTTCAAGTTTGCATGGGCGTGGCGAGTGGAGCCTGTGTGTTAGGAAATGTTGGAAATAAGCAGGTAAGGATTCGTGATGTAATCATGAGTGCTCAATCTATTAATTAACTGCAATGATATTTGTACAATCATGTTCACTTTAGATGCGATATTTTGCACAAGTAGGAGAGATTGTTGCTCGTGCTAAAAACTTGACCGTACTGGGAGCGTTGGGCAATGTATCCCTCATTGTTGACAAGCATACTTTCAAACAAACCAAAGACGTGTTTGTTTTTAGGCCTGTAGATCGAATCATGAATTCCTCTAAAAACACAATTGAATCCGTGTATCAATGTATTCGAAAAAGTGAGGTATCGAATGACGAGTGGATGTATGAACTTGAACACAAGACTCAAAACACGAAACATGAGGCCTTTGCCAATCATTTCGCAAAACTTTTCAATGATGAAAATCAAGAATTGCCACCACAGGAAGTCAACGAAGTGAAAGAGTACTTATTGAATGCATGTCAGCTCTCACCCACTGATCCAGTTTTGCAAAAAATCTCCAAGCTCATCGGCATTTCTTCACAACAGCAATTATCAACCTATTATTCACAAGTGTCTACCTCTGTATTGAATTACGTGCAAGGAAAAGCCGTCAAGTTGGAGTAAGCCTAATACTATGTAAATTAAATACAATAAATAAAAACAAAATTAAAAAAAATTGTCGATACCAAAACTGCAAGCACAATAATTGCACATAATTAAAAATGTTGGTCGTGGGAGTCAATTCAGGAACATCTGTCGATTCCATTGATGTTGCAATTTGTAAAGTGAGTGATCATGAACAAAATTTCACCACTCAAATTTCAGAACACATCATTCCCATTCCTCGTCTGCAATTAATAGCTTTCGGATCAATCCCATGGGAATCACACGTACGCCAGCGAATTTTCCATTTAATGAGATCCCAACAGTTGAGTGCCAAAGATTTTTGTGAGATGAACGTTGTGATTGGAGAAGCATTCAAAAGTGCCATTGAAAAAGTTTTACTCGATCATGATATTGATGTGAAATTGATACAAGTCATTGGCTCGCATGGTCAAACGATTTATCATCAAGTGGAGAGCAATGCTTTAAGGAAGGATCAAGGAAATAGTCAAGCAACAACAGATCTAGTTTGTGAAAACATTTCATCATCCTCATATCGGATGATTAAATCCACACTTCAACTTGGAGATCCATCGTGCATGGCTCGATTAGGAATACCAGTGATTAGTAACTTTAGAGTGAATGACGTTGCATTGGGAGGACAAGGAGCTCCTCTCACGTCATTGTTTGATTTTCTATTGTTGAGACATCCAACGAAATGGAGAGCAATTCAGGTAAGTCAAGTGACCAATTGGAGAATGAATGAATGGAGGATTGATCCAACTCAATTGTTTTCATGTAATCATGGCTCATCCACTCTATTGAAATATATATATATATATCATCATATGAAACATATGAAATGTACTCGCACACAGAATATTGGTGGAATTGGAAATGTGACCTTTGTACCTCCTCTAAATTTCTCAATCGACACCCAAGACGCATCTTCTCTTGTGGTTTCATTCGATACTGGTCCAGGAAATGCTCTCATTGATGATTGTGTGAGAATTGTTACAAAAGGAATCTCCCAAATGGATCTCGACGGGAAAATGGCTAGCTCTGGAACTCGAAATGAAACATTATTTAACCATCTTTGTGAATTCTACAAGCCCTATTTTGAAATGCCATACCCAAAAACAAGTGGCAGAGAATTATTTGGACACGATCAAGTCCAACAATTTATTGAACAAATACATCCCAATGAAGATTATAGTATGGATCCATCGATGGCAAATTCCCTAGTTGCAACCTTTACAGATCTCACGGCATATAGTATCACTCGTGCATATTCTCTCGTTATTTCCAACTTGAAAATTCAAACCAATAATTTTGAAGTGGTCGTGGCAGGAGGAGGTCAACATAATCCTCATCTCATGAAACGACTCTCTGAAATGCTCTCTCAAGAATTTGGTGAGAGTCCAAACTCCATTCGAATTCTCTCTCATGAACAATTAGATTCCTCACAAGCATTGAATAGTAATGCGAAAGAAGCCATGTTATTTGCCTTGTTGGCATATTTACATGAACAGGGACGAGTGGCAAACCTTCCATCGGTGACTGGAGCTTTAAGGGCATGCATGTTGGGCTCAAAAACACCTGCTTTGTAGATGGGCATGACACTACTGACGCGGAATGATGAACCACCATCCAACAATCTCTCAATGAAAATGTTTGGATCCATCAGTTGGCATCTACGATTGTGGTTGGATCTCTCTCTTGAAATGTACTTTAAGGTCATGATCGTAGAGATGCATCTCTTGAATTCTCCATATTTATTATTGTGGAGTACCTTTGGGCTTCAAAATGTATGAATGAACAATAATATCGTTGTTGTTGTTGGATGAGAGGGATCCCTATGACGGATATCGTTGTTGTTGTTGTTGCTGTTGTTGGGAAGGTCCAGAGCTCGAGCGAGCGTTGAAAAAATGTCTTCCTCATCAGCGTTGGATGCTTCCGAAGGCACACATAGCAACATTCAGGTGGTGTGCCGTTTCAGGCCGATGAATCATCTTGAAAAGCAAATAGATGCGAGAGAGGCAGTTGAGATTCAAGCAGACACTTGTAAATTAACGGTAAGTAATCTTAGCTTTGATAAGGCATCAATGATAATGATAACGGCAATCATTTTCTCGCATTTATGATAGAATAAGCTCGGAAAGCACGAGTTCACGTTTGATCATATATTTAAGAGTAATACCAAGCAAATTGAGATTTTCAATTGTGTGGGGCGACCGACCGTTGAAGGTAAGGCTTTTTTTAAAGGTAACAACTTGATGAACGTATACTCTGATTGAGGATAGATATTTTCAAAGGGTACAATGTAAGTTTATAATACCGGCATGACACGTTAAGGTAATTGTTCTTGACATCATTAGAGTACGATTTTTGTGTATGGTCAAACCGGATCAGGTAGGTGGTCACAACAGTACATGACACGTAACACGGAAATTGGCAAATTGTACTACCAATTTTCCTAACAATATTTGATAACAACACTAACTAGGAAAGAGTTACACAATGATGGGCCCGAATGAGGAGTTGAAGGGATACTGTACAGATTCGAATCTGAAAGGGTTGATACCTAGAATAGTGGAAAATATTTTTGAAAAAGTAGAAAATTCTGACCCAGATATTGAATTTACAATTCAAGTGTCGTATATTGAAATTTATCTAGAGAAAATAAGAGATTTATTAGATCGTACGTAATGAATTTTCACTTTATCGTATGCGTGAACGTTTACTATACATCAGCAACTCAACAAAATTTAAAAATTAAAGAGGACAAAGAGAGTGGACGAGGTGTATATATTAAGGGAGCTACTGAGGAGTATGTGACAAGTATCGAAGAAGTGTTTGCTCTACTAAAACTTGGAGCTGGCAATAGAGTAGTATCTTCAACAAGTAAGTGTGACCATCACTTGGATGAAATAGATTGAGCTCAACATTTTCTTGCCTTTATTACACGTCTTTAGGAATGAACGACGAAAGCTCTCGCTCTCACAGTATTTTCATTTTAACAATCGGCCAAAAGCATTTGGTTAATTTAGATTCTAAAAGTGGTAAATTATTTTTGGTGGATTTAGCAGGAAGCGAAAAAGTGAAAAAGACAGGAGCTTCAGGTCAAACGTTAGAAGAAGCAAAAAATATCAACAAGTCTCTTTCTACCCTTGGAATGGTAATTAACGCTTTGACCGATGGTGTGGTAAGTTGTCATTCAAGGCTAATTTTTATGTGTTTGACTCTCTCTAGTCAAAATACGTACCTTACCGAGACTCCAAGCTAACAAGACTCCTCCAAGATAGTTTGGGAGGCAACTCACGAACAACCCTAATTATTAACTGCTCACTCAGCGCGTATAACGAAGATGAGACGCTATCAACTCTCCGATTTGGATTCAGGTAAGTGTTAATTTTACTTTTCACCAAAATTGACCTTCGCATAAAGAGCCAAAAACATCAAGAACAAGCCAAAGGTCAACAGAGAGTTGTCAGCGAAAGAGTTACAAAAGTTACTTGATAAAGCTAAAGAAGAAATTAAGGATCTCAAGAATTACATAACTGGATTAGAAGAAGAGTTAAAAATATACAAGAAAGGAGGTATGAAAGCGACAACTCCTGTTGTAGATACAGAGAATTCTTCAACAAACTCTGAATCTGAGATGAAGAGACAAGAGTTAGAAGCTAAATTGAATGAAATTCTTCCAACAATTTCTCGATATAGAGGTAGGTTGTCTTTGAAACATTTTGTTTGAGAAATACATTGATTGTTTCACACGCTATTTGCTTGACAGAAAAATGTTTGATTTTGGAAAGAGAACTTGCCGAGGAGAAGAGTGAGAGGAATAAAGTCGCCGAAGAAATTTCCCAGCTCAAGGATGAAATTAATCAAGGAAAAGAAGAAAATAATGCCCTAGAGGAATCTCTGATAAGTATGAAGCAACAATTAAAACAAAAAGCTGAGTATTTGGTAGAGATTGAGAGCTCTAGAAATGATTTACAAAAGCTAATTCAGTTAAAGAGTAATGAGTGTCAAGAGCTTCAAAACGTTATTAAGGAAGAACGTAACACTAAGGAATATCAACTTAAAGAAATGGAATCAGACCTTAACTCAACAAAACAACAAAGCGAGAACTACATGAAGCAGTTAAATGAAACAAAGATTCAACTGCTCACTCTCCAGGCACAACAAGAAGAGGATCCTTCTTTAGAGCACATTATGCAATTTTTAGAAAAGAAATACAGAAGAGTACGAAATCAAGCTAAACGAGCCAGAGCTGCATCACAAGATGTTTCCATGAAAAAGAGTAATTCTGCCAATATTTTGAGAAAAGTTAAAAAAGATCTTTTGAGTATCAAGAACGATTTAGAGGATGATACTGAATCAGATGATGATGACGAAGAAGAGGAGGAAGACTCAGAGCAAGAACAGGAAGAAGAGACAGAAATTCAACACAATGAAATTGTCAAATTGAGTACTGAGAATGTAAAATCTTCTCAAACTCCTCAGCTTGCCACCATTGAAACACAAACCGAGTTAAACAGCCCTGAAGAAGAATATTTTGAATTCCCAGCCAACATCAATGCCATTCCAAATGAAATGATAATAGATAACTCTGCAGATCAGAAACAGTTACTGGAAGCACTAGAAAAAGTTAGGATATTAGAGGCAGAAGTGAAAAAGATTTCAAACGAACGAGATGCCCTCTTGGGAGACTTGTCTAACCGTGTGCAGAAGGTCATCGAATTGGAGATGCTATTAGACGATGTTTCTGACAAGTATAATACTCTCTCGAGCCACAATATTATTCGAAAATACACGAAAAAGATTGAATTTTTGGAGAATAATGTCGCATCGATTACAGCCTCATTCCAAGAGTTGTACTCTGAAAATGACGAGTTAAAACACAACATTAATTTGGCAGAAAAGAAGGTCAAGATGAAGGATGAAAGAATTACTGAGCTCACCAATCAATTACTGGAGCAGAGTCAAAAAAGCAAGAAAGATGCCGATGCATTTGTCGAGGAACGCTCCAAACTGAACGACATTATTACAGCGCTTCGATATGAAAACGAGGTGTTGAAAAATGCACAAGTGGGGGCTGTGACTCTCTCATCACTTACGTCGTTGTCAGAAAATGAAGCAACAACATCAACGTCGAAAGTGAGGCGTCCTGTTCGTGGCAGAGGAGGAGCGTTTATCGTCAAGAAGAAAACCGACGAAGATGAATATTTTTCGTCACCAGGTTCCACGAACGAGCTGGATATTGAGGTAGAAAGCCAATCCTCCAAATATGCAACGATGAGGAGTAAAAACCCACCAACTCATCTCTCATCCTCTCACCATACAAAGAAATCGGGATTTAGTCTTCGAGATTTATTCTTTGGTGCAAAATCAAAATCAGAGACACCAAATTCAGAGCAGCTTAATCACACACTTGATGACGGCAATGATTAAACGTTTCACACGATTTCCCAATAATATAATATTTGTGATGACAACCTTTCTCACTTCCTTTTCAAGATATGCACTTTGAGACAAATGATGACACACAAAAAACAAAGACTTTATTAATTATTTTCTATTGCTTTCATACAATGCCAACAAGTCATCATCTTCAGTTGATAATAACAGTTCAACTTGGTGCTCCTTTTTTTGTTTTGGTTCTTCTGCCTTTGGCTTTTTTGCTGAGGGCTCAGTAGTCGTGGTTGAAATTGCAGTGTCAGTGCCTGTGCTATCCAATGATGTTTTTGAGGTGTCTGCTATTGTGGAGTCGGTAGTGGCAGTTGTAGTGGACTCTGGAGAGCGTTCACTCGACTTGGGTGTGGATGATTCTTCCTCGGCTGCTTTTCTCTTTTGAGCCTTGTTTCTTTTAAGGAATAACTTTTTCTTCTCCTTCGAAAGCACAAAATCTGGAACTTGACTTCTCTTAATAGGTTTAATGACTGGTTTCTCCATGGAATCATTCTTGTCAGGCCAATCAAGTAACATTCGTTCAAATTCCTGTAATTGAGGTGAGAGATCTACTACTGCTTCTCCTGGTTTTGGCTTTTTATATTCCATGCCTATAAAGAAGTGTGACGAATATAAATTATTCGCTGGTTGGTGGTTGTGGAAATAATCAGGATATACGTGAATGGTTAGAGAGGGTACAGTTTCAAGTTTTTGAATAAAAAATCTGATTTTAGACTGAATGAAACCAGTCCATTTAAGGTGATCAACCTCGTTCGATGTATTAATTTCAATTTGAATGTAATGATTATATCTCACAAAGAAATCTGTCTCTTCAAAGAGTGTTTCCCAACTCTCCAAGCCATTCTCAGCTTTCTGTGCAACTTCTGCGCTTCTTTCAAACTCACTGGTCATATCTTTAAAAGTGGTTTTTGAAACGTTAAATGTAGAATTCATACAAGGGTAGGCAGGTGTGATAATTGGCATTAAGTGTTGTTTATCTCTTGGATATAGCTTTGGATTCCAAACCTTAAATCCATAACTGCCTTCTTCGATAGGTTTCAACAATACGGGTACTTTGCTCCAAGGCCATTGACTATAAATAACGAAAAATTTAGAGAGAAGGGTTGAGGGAGCAGCATTGGGGTACATTTGACAAATTTTAGCAACTAAAATTGCATATGCAACACCTCCAAGATAACCCACAATGTTTCCGTACACAGCTCGTCGTGAAGCCCACAACTTTATACATCTCAGGGTGGTAATGAATGATTCCTTATTGGGCACTAGATTCAAAATTTCATCGGCCACACGAGGACCGTTCAAGCTACGTTGAGTTTCGTCGTCGACTTCTTTAAGGTTGCTTTCTTCAAGAATGTTCAAATCTGGAGGAATATTGTTTCTTGAAAGTCTGGCAAACAACAAGTCAATTTCCACTCCATCAAACGACATGGTAATCAATGGCACATAGGCATCAGGAACAGCCTAAATCATAATGATTACTATTTTGAATATTGATGTGAAATAAACACGAAAACCTACTTTTAACTCTGTAATTTCTGGTCTTTCTTTTAAAATATCATACAAATCTGTAAAACAATGATGTTTTTCAATCATATTCGGAACAATGCATAACCTATCATGAGGGAAGGATTTGGTTACGACGAAAATATAACGTCTACATTGCTACATGTTCAAGAACTTACGTATCAATATCAGCACCAGGACCATGCACACCAAGACGGAACGAACCAAACGTGACCAATTTTGAACCTGCTTCGGCAACTAGATCCTCTGATAATCCCTGTTGACAATAGTTAGTTTGGCGATATTTAGCACACGTTAGTATTATCCAGATACGTACCTGTTTGAGACACACTTTTTTAACCCATATCTTGATGAGTCCGTCCAACTTGGCAAGAACTTCAAATCTCTTTCTATTCTCTTCATCGGATGGAAATCTATTTTCTTTTCTTAAAATTTGAATAATCTTTTCAGTATTTTCCAAATCTTTTTGTGTCGGAAAGGCTGAGGAAACAATGCTGCTCTCCATTTCTCAAGATGATTATGATGAAATAAATTAAATCTCGATTTCAAAATATTTAGAAGACGTTATATTGCTCGGAATTTCTTCAATGTATATTTGGAAAAAGAATCCAATCACTATGTAATAATAACAACCAAAAGGGTGATATGCTCTATGATTGAAAGTGAAGGCTTGGTTGCAAAAAATACACTGAGAACGATTTTATAACAGACAAATCAGGAATATTTTTTTGATGAATTGTTCAAACTCAACCTCCAACATTAAAAATGAAAAACGAGAATTTGTTGAGTTCGCTGGCCATGATGGGCTCTTCTGATCGGAGTCTCTCATCGTCATCATCATTGGACAGTACCACATCCAATCAACATGAATTCTGGTTTACATTTTCATCCACATCCGACGTTATTTATCCAAATGCATTTAGTCCGGAAATGTATAATTTATTTATAATGATTGTTTACATGTTCTTGTTGTATTGGGTTTATAGGTTGCTCAAAACAACTCTTTCCAATTCGTATCTGTTGTATGTGATTCGTTCAGGAGCATTTAATATTGTGAATGTAAGTTAGAAAGATGATCGGAAGTTATTATTGGATCTCCATCATGAAATTTTTGATTGTATCATGAACGACAACGATCATTCACATTGTTGCAAATGATGATATGCAAATCTTAAAAAATCCGTGTAATTCTCACAAAAAACAACATGTTTATGATGACAACCACTAGATTGCTAATTTTGAGAACATTGAAAACATGTGGGGAGAAGGAAATATTCGTTCCTATGTTCAAGCATTATTTAGTGGATCCATTGCTTCTCCGGTACATCCTGTAAAGAGAGTGAATGGAACAGTGCACCTGAAGAAAAATACTTTTGCATGTTTTTCTAAAGAGGAAAATGGCAAGAAACTCCACGGTGTTAAATTTCAGTTGGATGCTCTTGTCAAGTCGAGTGTTCAGTTGTTCTGGGGAGTTTCAGAATTGGCTTTCAAGAAGAAAATTTTACAACCTTTCAAAGATAATTTCGAAAAGCTTGTGAAAAATCAAAACACAGAAAAGGCTGAAGCTTTACATGAAGGAACCTCTGTCGAGGAACATCATAATGAAGACGAGGAAAATATCATGACAAGAGGGTTACTAGACGTTGAAGAACACCAATTAGAGGATATTACAACTAATTCTGAGGAGACAATTGATATGAACGGATTACTCACCTATGATGAGTACGTTGAAAAAAGCGATCTTGTATTTATTGAAAAAGCTTTAGGACAAACATTTGAGATGCCATCGGATGACATGTTTGAATCCAATGTCTCAGACAATTATTTCACATCGGTGGTAGTGAGACAACCTCCTACTGCAAACAATGACACTCAAGAAAATCCAGAACAGCAACAAGAACAAGCAAACCCGGAAATTACAAACACAGAAGAAGAGAGAATTGGAAATCAGCTCACTCAAGATCTGTTGGCTGACGAAGATGAAAGAATTTCCTCAGATTCAAAGCTTCCACTCGTAATTGTGATCAAGCCAACGTTACAAGCTCTAGACAGCCTAAAACGATATGACGATGAAAATATAGAGACAGATTATGACAGAGAACTGTATTGTTTGTATGTCATTTGTAATTTTAATAGATACGAGAATGCAGAAGAAGGTGTATATTACCGAGGAAATGTTGTAAAGATTTTCGCTCAGACTGAATCTGAATTATTTGAATTAGAAGAGGTCTATGGAGCAGATGAGAATGACGAAAACGAAGTCGAAGAATGTATTGTGTGCTTTTCTGAACCAAGAGAAGTTATTCTGCTGCCCTGCAAGCACAAGTGTGTCTGTCATGAATGCTTTAGTAGGATTGACAAGTGTCCTATTTGTAGATGCAATGTGCGAAGCTACATTTCTGAGAATACATCAACAGAATCAACTCAACCCGCTACAACAAACAATGAGAGCGTGTAATACAGGTACTATTATTATCAATAGCATGGTTTAATTTTAAGTTGGCTAAAGTTGGACGTTGTTGTTACTTGTTTGACGTAATGAAACTGTAAATGGACTTGTACAAATCATCTGGCATTTCGTATTCTAATGGAATTTCAGCCTCTGGCATTAATTCATCGTTCATCTCATAGACCAGATTGTAGTTGGAGGATAGATCTTGCCTGAGCTCGTCTTCTATCATGGCGACACGGTTTTTCGCGTAATCCAGGTTTTCGTCGTCACTAATCTTGTTGAGGGCATTTTCAAACGAATTCATTGAAACAGGTTTGATGTAAATGCAATACGAGCTGATTTGAGCTTCGCTGAAAATCATTTTCAATTGTTGAACTCCTTTAAGGTTTGCGAATATGATGCAAACCTTGTCTTTTTCTAGGATGGAATCAATTTCACTTTTTGCATTTCCATAGTAATCGTTCCCTATCTGTACAATTTCGTAGAAATAATTCTCTTTCATTAGTTGTTTCATCTCATCGTTCGAAGGAACAAAGAAATGATGTATTCCTTCAATTTCGTCCACTCGAGGTTTCCTCGTTGTATATCCCACCGCTCGCTCAACGTCATGAGGGAAAGTAGCTTGAATTTTGATAGCAAAATTACTTGCAGAGGTGACAGCTCCTGAAAATACTAAAACTTTCTTTGGCTTGTTTGATTTTGTTTCAACCTTTGCCAGTTTTGTAAAGTATTCTTTTGCAAAAGAATAGACATCATCGGGCTGATAAATTAGCGTCGTGTTCATAAAATCGAAGAGTATTTGATGCAACAGAGGGTGATCTCTGATGTATCGGTTATGTTCCTGTAAATACTTTTCTTTCTTGACCTCTATCATACATTTTTCTTGAAAATCAATGGAACTACTATTAGGAGAAGCGTGTTTAAGGACCTGTCTTGGAGAGTTTGATACGGTTGAAATTAATTCTCTCATGATGGATACAAATTGTTCCCGAGTAGCCTTATTTTCAATGCCAATCTTTTGATCGAATACTTCTTTAATCGATGCAGCAGAAATGGATAAGTTAGAGAGTTGGAGTAATTCCCGAACTTCCTCGAAATTGATCATTTCTCGTTCTTCTTGCAGCGATTTGTACGTATCAAACATTTTCTCAAACTGTTCCCGATACAATAATTCAGGCGAGAGAGGTCGCTCCATGTCCTCTTCATGCTCTGTTGGAGCACGATCGTTGAAATGAATGGCATCTTGGCTGTTTTGAGGAGATATCATTTTTTTGTATGTCGTGTTTTTTGAAAAACTGTAAATTAGACTTCCATTTTAGGAGGTGGTGTATATTGCCCAAGAAATAATTGTTGTGAACATTCATAACGTTGGTGAGAAAATTGAACCACTCTATATACTCCTTTTCAATAAAATACACTGCTACTCGTTCCAACTGTATCTTCCTTCTCAAAGCTCATGGACAAGGTAAATATGTGCGAGGTGTGACTTTTGAGTTGATTCAGAGTACTCTCAAAGGTTTGAGTGAACTTGTTCATGCTTCGATGGTAAGTGTCGTCATGAGCAGTGTTTCTTGCAATTTCGGAGGATTGAGCAAGCCGTTCACGTCTATGTTCAAAGGTTTGATAATTGGTGAGTGCCACTTGTTCAGTCGCCAGTCCCTCTGCAACGTTATTCGAAATGGCTAAAGAGAATTGATTCATGTACTTGGAAAAGAGATTACAGCACGTGAGAAGTTTGTTGAGACATTTGAAGGCGTCAGTGGATGAGACGAGACAACCGTTGAGCGAGGAGTCGAGAAATTGTTCGTGACTTTTCAATACCTCGTCAAGAGTGGTCGCTTGCTTAATTTTACGCTCCATTTCGACATAATTCTTTTCCACGACCTCTATCAAGGCATACGATAAGAAATGTTGAATAAAGTGAATCATCTTGTGTCTCAATGCATAGAATGAGGCAAAACTTTTCCCCAATTTCAACTCCTTGGAGAATTTGTGATTGGACCATGTATTGCAGAGACATCTTTCCGTATACTTGAAGCAAAATATATGCCTAAAAAGAATTTGGTACTTGGTCAAATTCTTTCTGTTAATGAGGAGTGTCATTGGCCATTCGACATTGTACTCGAGACAAAAGGCTTCGTATCCTTCAATTGCCGCTGATTCTTGTAATTGTTGCTGCTCCAACAGTGCTGCATCTAATCGATTCGAAGAAGAGAGTTGCTTGATAATGCTTAAAAAGCTTGCCAAATTCAGTGGTTTTAAACTACAAGAAAGAGCATCTCTATATTCATCATTGGGAATGGAGCATGTTCTGGCAGCAAAATCAATCGAGGATTGAAGTTTCGAGAGTGAAACTTCTGTGCTCTTCTTTGCAAGCTCATTCTCTTGCTCTGCTGTGTCCATGAAATGCACAAAGAAATCTCCGTGGTCGAACAGAAAATAGTGTTTGAGAGAATGGAGACGATCCAATAACTTGACCTTTCCAAAGAAGTAATCTATAATTTGTTTACATGCACTTGCATACGCCTCTTCCAGTATAGATAGTGCTTTTCCGTCAACAAAATTAATCTTGTCTACAATCTTCTTTTCAAATTTTTGTCCACATTCACTCAACAAGCTCAAATATCTTCCACATGCCAGAACTTTGTCACTAATTTTTGAGAGGAAGAATGGAACTTCCCTCGTTATACTGTATTTTGACTCCCAATAGCTTGAATTAAAATCTCTAACGAGCTGTTCCTTCACAATTTGTTTGTTTTCCTCAATGAAAAATTCTCCAAAAACATCCTCAATTTCTCCTTTAAATATCCAGCTTTCAATCATTTCAAAATAAGGAGCACACGACTTGCTTAAAATAAAGTTAAAAAGCTTTTGAGTTTTGTCATCTGTACTAATAGATTTAGAAATTCGTTGTATGATGTTAATTAGTGATCCTCCTTTAGCGTTTTCTTTTGTGATTTCTTCAATTAGTCTGTCAAGAATATCCATGGTTTTCCATGCTCCGCTTTGCAAATGATAATACAGTTTTTGAAGGTTGACTTGATCCTGTTTGAATAACAAGTCTAATTGGTTAATGAACATCATGTACTCTTTTTCAAGAGATCGTAAAGCAGAGCAAAAGGCTTGACAGACAACTCCATTTTCGTAACTAGCTCTTTTGTCGAAAAAATTGCAAACTCTTGCATGCTTTTCACATAAAGGTAGTATTCTATTTACCAAATCCGTTAGAGAGGAATCTATCACACAATTCAGAGAATATTTGAACGAGTCAATGGTTTTATCCATCAAGAGCGTTCCATTTTCAGACATTAATTGATCGTGATCATGTTCCGACACACATTTGATATATTTTCCTTCAAACCCCATCAAGCAATTGAATAATTCCTCAATGATCATGTACTCTTGAACTTTGGATGGTAAATTTTCTAATGTGTTGGTGTTTGAGAAATTTGTGGAATTGTGTTGCTGTACAACATCGGGATGTTTCTTCAGAAAGTCATGAGATAAGAATTGTCGAGTTTTCAGCCATTCTGGTTCTTCTGGATGTAAAGTAGAAGACAAATGATTATTATTCGGTTGTTGAGATGCCATGTCGGTAGAAGAAGATGTAGATCCTCCGAGTTTTGGAGAAGCCTCTTGCTGAGAATGTGTCGAGAGCATTTTTTGAGTGATTTCAAGAATTTGGAGTGGCGCCAAAGTTTCTTTGTATTCTTTAAGTTATCGTCTATCGAAACTAAGTCCTTTCAGTAATTGCTCATCCCATTACTCGAAGGAATTATAAATGATTTGGGAATGATCGTCAAGCAACACTCAGCTTCAACCAATGAAACAGTTTTCTGTAGGTCCGGCATCAAAAAATGCTTTCGTTGCACCATCGAGCTTCACCAAAGAAACTCGGAAATTCCCTATTCTTCTCGCATCATCATCATTTGTTGCAAAGGTTCTTGCCATTTAGTAAAAACATTTCAATCATTGACGGGAGATTCATTCAACATCAACAGGCTGCATTATTTCATTACAAGCAGGAAAATGTAAAATCATCATCATCAGAACTAGATGATAATTCCACCAACAATAACAACAGCAAATTGAATACAATACTGGCACCTAGTTATGAACCACAAAATGTAGAGAAAGATTGGTATGGATGGTGGGAAGAAAAGGGCCTCTTCAAAGAAAATTCTCAAGGCTCAACGTCTGCTCCGAGTTACACCATCTTACTTCCTCCTCCGAATGTTACTGGTAGTTTACATATTGGCCATGCTCTGACAGCCTCCATTCAAGATTCCTTATGTCGATACAAAAAGATGAACGGTTATAATGTGTTGTGGGTGCCCGGTGTAGACCATGCTGGAATTTCAACACAGGTTGCAGTAGAGAAGAAAATTGCAAAGGAGGAAGGAAAAACAAGACACGATTTGGGACGAGAGGAATTTTTGAAAAGAGTTTGGCAATGGAAAGAGGAATATGGAAATAGAATTGACCAACAAATGAAAGCGATGGGCTCCATGACGGATTGGAGTCGAAAAGTATTCACAATGGATACACAATTTTCAAACGCTGTTTTGGAATGCTTTGTGAGATTGGCTCGAGATGGCTTAATTTACAGAGACGCAAAATTAGTGAACTGGTGTCCCCAGCTCAATACAGCCATTTCAGATATTGAAGTAGATTACTTGTCGTTAAAAAAAAAGACAAAAGTAATGGTTCCTAGTTGTGAAGAAAAATCGTTTGACTTTGGAGTCATGCACACGTTCAAATATCCTGTAGTTTCCAGTGTTGGAAGCAAGGACATTGTTGGATATATTAATGTGAGCACAACACGATTGGAAACCATGTTAGGAGACACTGCTGTAGCCATTCATCCACAAGATGAGAGATTTAAAAAATTCCACAATCATTTCATTTTACATCCTTTCGTTCCAGAGAGAACAATTCCTATAATATGTGACGACAAATTGGTTAACATGGAGGTCGGAACAGGTGCTGTAAAAATTACTCCTGCTCATTCCTTTGACGATTTTGATTGTGGAAAACGAAATAATTTGGAATTTATTACCATTTTAAATAAGGATGGAACCTTGAATGACCAAGTACCTCAAGAGTTTACTGGAAAAAATCGCTTTGTAGTTCGACAATTACTTGTTGAGAAATTGAAGGAATTGGATTTATTCATCTCTGAAGAGGATCACGAAATGGAGCTACCAATTTGTTCCAGATCAAAAGATATTCTTGAGCCCATGTTGTTGAATCAATGGTTTGTAAAATGTGACACATTGGCCAAGAGAGCTTTGGATCTTGTGAACAATGACGAAATTTTAATTCATCCATCATATCACAAACAAACCTGGAATAATTGGTTACAAAACATTCATGATTGGTGTATTTCAAGACAATTGTGGTGGGGTCATAGAATTCCTGCCTTTAAAATTGTCTCACCCGATATGACATCCATTCTTCAAGCAATCTCTACGAAAAATCTCGGCAATACTAGATCATTTATTTTTGAACGATCCACCCAAGATCCATCCATTGTCGGAAATGTATGGATTGTCGCTCACGACGAAAAGGAAGCGAATGAAATACTTCATCGATATTTGCCCAACACCAATTGTATATTGGAACAAGATGAAGATGTTCTCGACACTTGGTTCTCATCAGGTCTTTATCCACTGGCAGCATTTGGCTGGCCAAGTAAGGACGAACGAGTTCAGAATGATTTGCAACGTCGCTATCCGAGCTCAGTCATGGAGACTGGTAGCGACATTTTGTTTTTCTGGGTAGCAAGAATGGTCATGTTGTGTTCATACCTCTCTGACTCGAAAGAAAAACCTTTTCGTGAAATTTATTTGCATTCCATGGTCAGAGACAGACAAGGAAGAAAAATGTCAAAAAGTCTTGGAAACGTGATTGACCCTATTGACATGATTCATGGAACTTCACTTGATGATTTACGGAAGGGTGTCGAGAAAAATACTAATATTACCAAGCAAGAAATGAAGAAAGCTCTACAGGGCATACAACAAGAGTTTCCAAACGGAATTCCACAGTGTGGTACCGATGCTCTTCGATTTACGCTCATTCAATACACACAACAAGGCAGACAAATTAATTTAGACATTATGCGTGCCCAAGCTAATAGACATTTGTGCAACAAAATTTGGCAGTCTGCAAAATTTTGCTTTTCACATTTTGAAAGATTCAACTACACGACTGATGGCAATGATGTTGACATGGTCACCACTTTACTCAAATCGTTTGAGTCATTGGATTCACAGTCGACTCAACTCGTACAGAATCAATGGATTTTGTTGAAACTTGGAGATACGATCGAGACAATGCGACAATCCATCGATAACTTTTTATTCAGCGATGCTTGCAATTCAATCTATCAGTTTTTCCTTTATCAATTTTGTGATTATTACTTGGAAATGATCAAACCTATTTTGTACAGCTCCAAGACCATGACACCACTCATTGAGAACACACTACACACTCTCAATTATTGCCTCATTATCATCCTTAAATTATTACATCCCTATATGCCTTTTATTACTGAAGAACTGTTCCATTGTTGTCCTTTGAATGGTACTAACAATGCACTCTATTTTTCAACACAACACAATGAGAGCTATGTCCCTTCGAAGAGCATTCTCGAATGTCCATATCCAACATCATTCACAAAGGAAAATTTGAAAAGTCTAATTGGTGGATCAGAAAACAGAAAGGCCGTGATTGAAGATAAATTCGAAAAGCTCTTCCAAATTGTTCAACAACTCAGATCCATGAAACAAAATCTTCAACTACCTTCAAAAACAGAACTCGTTGCTTACATTTTCCAACATGGATCAGCACTTGGATTCTCCATGGATGATCACGAATGCAAGCTTGTCAAAACTCTCTCCAAATTCAACACAATCGAATTCATCTCTGAAGAACAATCCAAACAACATTCTCATCGGCTAGTTCTCACCACCACAGCCGTCACAACTCCTCAAGGTACCATCATGACTCAACTTGTACTTCCAGAAGAATTCCAATTGGAAAAGGAGATTGACAAGTGGCAAAAGAAGGTGCAACATCTTGCTACTATCAAGTCCAAATATCTGAAACAAATGCATCCTAATCTACCGTCGGACGTGAAGCAACAACTCGAAGAAAAGCTCGCTCAAAATGAAATTGAGACTCTTAAAGTACAAGAGACTTGCTCTCAATTGGAGGCTCTTCTTAAGGAATATAAGAAATAACCCTTTCTAATACAAAATGGCCAAAATTGATAAATCATGAACATTTGATGTTCCACATCAATTGACCTTACCATGATTGACCATAGGATGACTACTATCTCAATTGAGTAATATATCAGCCCGCCAAAAGTTACGAATGCCTCTCAAATTTAAAAAAATTGTTTCAACGGCGGATTAGGTGGTAACACTTTGACCAGATAGATCATCATTACACGTGTAGCCATGTTTTTCCAATCGAGGTATAACAACAATAATTATGAGGAAGACTCTGAAGATGAACTTGATGTTGGAGGCGGATCTTCAGCACTTATTGGAAATCCCTATGATTCGTTGATTGAGGAGGAAGAAGAAGCCTTGAATCAAGTACAACAACCATCTGACTCACAAAAACGTCAATCGTTACTGAACAACTCTCATCACAGCACAGGATCAACCATTGAAAAATCCAAAGATGATACAACCACTCTTGCTCTCTCGAAATTAAATTCGAGCACCAACAACAACAGTAAGCCTAATAACAATACAAACACATCTGTACGAGCCAGTCCTCATCATTCATCACTCTTCTCGAAACATCATTCCGAGGGTTATCTTGAAATGACATCATCAAATAAGGAAAATCAAAAAGAAAATTATAAATTTGAAGATCGAAAAGTTTTCGAAAGGGACCCGTTCGAAGTTCATTCCACACGCAGTGACAGATCGAACAAAAACCCATTACCATTTGGCGGTCATTCCAACCTTACAAGACATGACTCTGATGACGAGTTGCTTGATTTTCAAAAGAATCAAGGAGAAATCGAACGACCAAGGTTTGTACTTATTTTGTTAGTGGTTTAAATCTAACTCGGCTGGTTCATGTAGAAGTGCCAGACCTTCGTCGGCAGGCACCAGACCATCAAGCGCAGGTTCAATGAAATCAAAACCTCAATACAAATTATCGAGTATACCTCATCCCAAGAATTTTCCAATTGCGTCTTCAAGAAGTACGAATAGTGTGCTCGACAAGAATGGATTATCCAAGAAACAAGTAGTTCAAAACTACTTGTCCAATGTAAACAAACACATGAAAAAGAGAACCATTCCTTCGAATTTTTACAAAGATCCGGAAGGAATGTATATGGATTTACAAGAGCTTCGACAAGAAATTGCAATTCTTCGAAAGGACAATCAAAATTTGAAAACCCTTGCTCAAAAATCAGAAGCAGACAGCATTCGAAAACAGAAACAAGTAGAAGAATTGCTTCGGGCACACGCTCTCGTCGAAACCAAAGGCACCAGATATGAAAATTTATTCAAAGAGGTTAATGTAAGTTTAATGTGAACCACTCAACCCTCACGTCACATTATTATTAGCTCGTTAAAAGTCTTAAATCTAGAATTCGAGAACTTGAAAAAGCTCTAGGCGAAAAGGAAACAGAATTTCAAAGAATCAAGCTTGACTCTCGATACACACGGGTGAGAGAATTAGAGACAGAATTAAAAGCGTACTATACTGAATCAAGGCGTTTGCAAAAAGTAGTAGAAGATTTAGAACAAGAACGATCAGCCATGCAAGATCTCGAAGACGAGAATGACAAAATGAACAAACAAAATTTAAAACTTCGAGAATTAATTGTTAAAATGAAACAGGTTCAAGATTATTACAAGGAACAAAATGTACATTTATCTGAAGAGAATAGACATTTACACGACAACAATGGAATAAGCTCTGAACTTTCGATGAGAGAGCATCAAATCGAGGAGTTGACCACGAAATTGAAAGAATTGCAACAAAAACTGGACGACTCTTACCAAACCAATTCAGAGTTAAAAGTATCGAACAGCGAGTTGCAAAGAATAAGCGACGAAATACAATTTCAAAGCAACATCACCAAAAAAGAAAATTCAGAGCTTAAAAACAAACTTGAAGAGTTGCGAACCAATTTTGAAAGTCAACTCGAAGATCAGAAACGACAAGTTGAGCTTTTAAAACGAGAAAAGGAAAATATGTGTAAAGAAAACGAGTTGCAAACTCAATCCTCACAAATCTTGCGATCGAGTGTGGCCAGTTTTGAACATCAAGTGGCTGATAAGGAACGAGAGATTCAATTCTTGAAAGCACAATTGAAAGAGAAACACGATTTGGTCGATTCACGAAATCTCGAAATTCTCAATTTAAGAAATCAATGTGAAGAAAAAGATTCGGAAATTTCACAACTTCAAACCAAGATGAAGGAGTTGCGAAAGGCCAACAAAGTTCTACTCGATGAAATTTCTGTATTGAAAGATCAACAAGCACAGCAGCACAATGTGAGTGCAGTCATGACACCAGTTCCTTATCCGTATCCACCAATTGTCTTACCAAGCAATGACAATACGATTTCTTCCTATCCACCACCCATTGGAATACCTAATGGCACACAGGAAATTACCACGCCTCAACAACAATCTCAACTCACTTCTTCTTATGGTGAAATTGAAGAAAATTTCGATGTAGGAGGAAATTATTCATTTGATGATGAGCAGCAGCAAACAGAACAGGACAACCTCTCGATTTATGACCATGCAGCAACACAAATGCAATTACTCGCCAGAGGATTCATTGCTCGAAGGCAATTCAAAGAATTGAAAGAACAAGCTATGCAAAAGACTAAAGAACCACCTGTCAAAACGACAGAAGTGAAAACTGAAAATTCATCACCTGTTACCGATCAAGTGAAATCAGAAAATCCACAAAGCTCGGATGGTTCTCAAAAACAGCAAACCAATACTAAGGAAGAAGTGAACAGTCATAACACCCTTGCTGCTAACCCTTCGAACAATCTCTCAACCCAAAACTCGACAGTAGTGGAAGAGACTTTTGAAGAACCTCAACACTCTTCATATGATGAATTTGGTGGATCCATGGATGAGCATTTTGACAGCTCGTACGTTCAAGAAGAGCCCATTAATTTTGATGATGACTATGATGACCGAGGTTTCATGGAAGATGATTTTGGGTTGGACACCTCTCAACAGCACTCGTATGAAGATTGGTAACTATATTTCTGAGCTCGGTATTCGTGAAGAGACACACCTCAACAAAACTTGGAATAAAAATATATTAGAAATTAAAATATAAAAGTGAGTGATCTGAATGACCTGTAGTAGTAGTAGTGTGAAGAGTTGTTGTAGAGAGAGTATGACAATCCAAGCTCATTGTTGATCAGACTCGTTAGAACATGCATGTTCAGTATAACCACGGTTGAACCATTCTTTTCTTGCCTTTTTGTGAACTTCAATCGATCTGACTTGACGAACGAAAGGATTATAGCCATCGGTCATGATATAATTGTAAACCACTGATGACCACGATTCATAATATCCTAGAGTATCATAAAACTCTGGTGCAATTTTTCTCAACAATGGAAGTCTGTTCATTCAAGCAATAATGAGTTCAATATGTGTTATTCTCAAAATGAATGTCATCAACAAGTATACTCACCTGGAACATGGAATTCTTGGAAAATCATGATGCTCATTATGATAACCCACATTAAACATGAACCAATTGGCAGGTCCATAATAACTATATGTTTCTTGTCCTGGCTCTGTCAACCAATGTTCTGACAAAAAGTGACCACTCAATGGATGCAAACCCAAACCCAATAAACTTGTCAATACACAATAAATCAAAGCCCTATAACCCCAAAAATAGACCAATAATCCATCAAAGGTAAATGAAACAGCCATATTCAACAATTCCCATGCATTTGGAGAACGTGGAGCCACCAACAATGGTTTCACACCATAAACAATTCCAATGAAAATCATGTGAAGAAGTTTTAAGAATTTCGATCGAACATATTTTCCCTCCAATCGTGTGGTAATATCGACATCATATAATGGAACACCCAAATACCAATGATGATCACTGTGATATCTCTTAAAGGTCATGGCTGAAGGAATTCCCATTGGAAGATTTGCAAATATGGCAAAATAATAATTGTGCTCGAGTTTATCAAAGCACATTCTGTGTGTGTTTGTGTGTGTCAGGTTCACAACATTTGGAAAATCATTTATGATGAGCGATTGAATATCATATTCCATTAACAATTTTGGGTTTGGAACAACATGTGTGGAACATGGTTCAACGAACATTTGGAAATGTTCCACGCATACAAAAAAATATTTACAAAAAAAAATCAACCCGAATGGAATCAAATCATATCAAATCAAATCAAATCAAATCACACACACACACTTGAACCAACTTACCCATGAGTAATTTCATGAATAGCAACAGTCAATGATTGAGTAAAAGCTCCACCAATCAACCAAGCCGTTGGTACCATAATATACCACGCTTGATCCTTCACCAAATAACAAATCAACAAGTGAATCAACACAAAAGCAATGACTTGATATTTGGTTTGATAATCCACACCAAATAATTTTTCAATTTGTGGATACTTTTTCAAAATTTCATACTTTCTTCGGAGATGAGGTTCTTCTTGGGTATCCCAATAAAAATCCTCTCGATTTAATAATTCTTTCGGAATGGGTTTGCATTCTTGTGGAATACGTTGAACGGCTGGTTCGTTACTTGTTTGGTTGATTTGTTTGGAAGCAGCACTGGTAGCTTTCATGATGATGTTAGAATCTCTTGTGATGAAGTGGTTGTTGGCTGTGATGGTTGAACAAATAATAGTAGTAACAGTCGTACGAGTGAGAATAGTCGTATACGAGAAACGAATGGAGAAGGATAGTTCAATGGTTTTAAAATAGTTTTTATATAATGTTAGGTATACGGTGATAGAATCAATTAAGTAGCAACGTCTTGAAATGGAAAAAAGTTGATTCAAGTAACCCTATTGATGATGAGCACACGTTTCGTCTGTCTATAGATTTATATCTGCAGCAGTCGTTGTCGTTGCAGCGCTTCTTTGTGAGAGAGAGGTATCTATGTGTTTCAATGAACAACAACAACCACTCGGAAACCGTTGATGAGGGATTTTCTTTTGGTGTGAAAAAAGCAAAAATTTGAGTGGTTGACCGTTTTGATTGCCATTGAGGGACTAATCGGTCGTCCATAGATTGGCGGACTTTTTTATATTTGCGCTCTGGGTGGACTGAGAGCAAGGGCATGACGCTGAGTTTCCAAATGAGCAACTGGAAACAAGTGTGAATTTGCTGGTTCAATTATGTTGTCGTTGTGCTATTTCCAACGTAATTGGATGTCGAGTTGGTGTGACATTGTTTCTAACCTTTAGCACAAGTCCTTTTCTACATTCATTTGACATTGAGAAGTCCTTTTTGAATGTTATTTTACTCTCAAATTCTTTCATGTGTGCCATAATTGCATCTACAGTAATATATTATACAACCATGAGCTTGACATTTGGAGTACACTCATGGGTGATGACAACATAACAACAATAATAGTGTATCAATGCGATGATTAAGAATTCAAATTCATTCACCTTACAAAGTCTTCAAATATGCATTTTCATACTTGTACCAGTCTTCATCCTTGTTGGCATAATTTTCATCATCCAAATAGCCAAGTCCTTTGAACGCTTTAAAGTATGGCACTTCACCAACAACACGTTCCTTCTCATCGAGAATCTTCTTTGTCCAGAATTTACTTGCCAGAGTTTTATCAAGCTTGGCAGCTCTAAAACCAATGTTGTGTTTGCAAATCTCCAATGTTCCGCCGTTCATACTGATATTGGTTCTAATCTTTTGTCTGTATTCTCCTAGCTTGGCATCTTTCGTGAAAGGTTTTGGATAGTAAGACAAATGTTCTCGAAGCTCGGCAAATTCTTCACATTCATCCATGAGAGCACCAGTTCGATCTTTTCCGCTCTTACAATTGTAATGAATTTGTTCTCCAATAATGAATGATAGCAAGATGACACGAACTGGAATGGCATATGGATCTCCCACTTTCACTTCATCCGATTCCATAATACCTTGATTAAACTTTTCGTGTTGTTTGGCATGATAAAGACTTTTAAGAGAGCCAAAGAGCTCATACATGTCTCGCTCCAAGTTGCAGAATTCATAGTATTCTTGCCAGTGAGGAATGGGTGGAATTTGTGGTTGAGTTGCTCTCACATTTGAAACACTTGAAAACAAGCTCTTGAGGAAATGTTGCTCAAGTTCAATAAGCTCATCATAACATTGTTCCCATTTTTGATCGATATCATGAATCTTGTCAATCATCGAGTCCATGTCATTCACTAAAAACATAATGTCTTTCAAATACGTAAACTCAACAGAAGTAATGTCATCAAACTTTGGCAACCATTTCTCGTTAATTCTCTTTTCAAGTTCTTTTTGTTTCTTTTGCAAGTCAAATTCAAGAGGTGTCAACTCTCGGATCGCAGCTGCATGTTTGTCTCGCATGACAGTGTAGACATTATTGATTCGAATGAGCTTGTTCACAAGAGCTTGAACGTACATGGTTCCATCTCTAGAGTTGTTGAATATTCCTGTTATGTACTCCATGATTGAGCCTCGGATTGCATTCTTGTATTCTCCAAGAGCAATCATGAAACGCTGAACTTTCTTCTCAAATTGTCGAATTCCAAATTGGCGACAATTCACAGATCTTTGAATGCCAACACCACATTTGAAAGTCTTGATAATCACATTCACACCAAAGTTAAGAAGACATGGCTCATGGAAAACAATAGGCATGTCAATTGGAGGAAGTCTGTCATACAAATCTACAAGAACAGATGGAACAAGATTATTTTGAAGAACGTAATAAATGGCTCCCTGATGTTCCATGACCTGACGATCCTCTCTGTTTTGCACAAATGATGGAGTCAAAAGACTGACCGATGTGAAAGGAACCTTCAACGGTTCTCCTCTCTTCTTGAGTAATTCTAACTCTTCTCGTGTGAATCTTTTAACGTGGTTCACAGCGAGAGCTTTGAGCATTGTTTTGGCATTTTCCACTGCAATTGCTTGTCGTTGCTTTTTGTCTTGGAGTTTGTAGGCTGGGAACGATCCTGATCTCATCATTTCCAAGATGACTCTTCCTCCTTTGAGGTAAACTGTCTTGTAAGGATTAATGAGACCATCTCTTCGTCTGTCTCTGGATGTGGCTAAGCCTTCGTTCGAAAATGAATATGAATCAAACAATTTGTTAATTGGTATTTGCACAGAATAGGACAGAGAAACCTCTTGCTTATTGGCTGAAAGATCACTCTTGTCGAAAGCAATGTCAACAGCTCTGTTCTTGACATAGTACAATTCTTGAACCATGATTTTTCTTGGCTTTGAACTCATCGTGTATCCAAAGCTGGTTCTGAAGGCAGCAAATACATCATTGAGAGTACTCTTGAAGAATGTCGTCATCGCTTGAAGGTTGCTGACATCCTTGTCAGACATTCTCATCTTATTCTTCAAAAGATTGACCATTTCTAAATTGGACTCGAGAATGAGTTTGAGCAATTGTCTCTTGAACGAGAGCACCAAATGATCAATTCGTTTTTTCGAATCGGTCAAATCTATTTCATCAAAAGGAGATGGAGAAAGCTCGCTACAGAAATATGTGAAAATCTTGTGTGATTGAGCGAAGCGTGAAAATGCATTCTTTCCAATATTATTGCATTCGGTTTCAATGATACGATATTTGAGGTCAGGGAAGGTAATCTTGACTTCTTGGATCAATTCAAGAATATATCGTTGCGCAACCGATAATAATAAATCTCCATAGGTCTGAACATGATATCTTTGAGTTGTCAAGTAAACCTCCTCTGCAATATATCGAGTAAAACTCAACTCGTTTGTTTCATAGCCTAAAATCTTTTGAGTCTTGTCAAGTTGGAATGGTTTCGTCGTTTGGGTGGCGTCGTATAACATCTTTGATATAATTACCCAGAAGTTGAGAGCCATTCGTCTTGGTCGAACTGAGAACTGATTAGGATTGAGTGGGGGAGGTACATTCTTTTTACGCTCTTCCTCAAGCATTTCCAGCTCCTTTCTTTTTCGCTCTTCCTCTTCCTGTAACAATCTTCGTTTTCGTTCTTCTTCTTCGAGTTGTTGCTGTAAAAAGAGTTCGTATTGGGTCCAATCTTGCGGGTCCTCTGTTATAGTTACATAATTTACAAATTCAACATTGTTGTTTCCTTTGATTCGGTTGTTGAGTACGTCCTTGTAGTTGTTGCATTTTTCTTCATTACTCAAGTACTTCTCCACCATATTCCAGTAAAAGTTGTTAGGTGCTCCTTCCTCAAATTCAGAAACATCAATTTCTGAGTCATCATTCTTCAATTTATCAAGAATAACTCGTCTAGCTTTTTTCATCCATTCATTAAATTGATATCGAATATTATTTTCCATTTCGGTTGCGGTAAAATCTGTAATTTCTGGAACTGGAGAATTGCTCACCACTGATACCCATCTGGTGTCAAGCTTTGGAGGATTGTCCAAATTAACATTATTTGCAAATGCAGGATCGAATGCAGTCAAGGAATATTGAATGACACTACTGTAGGGATAAAATTGTTCATACTTGATCGCTAGACCAGGATCATTTCGCTTATGAACGTCAAAAACGAATGGATCAAGGTATGGAATCAAGTCGGAGGTTTGATTCACTGTCATTGACAAGTTGTAAGTTCCAGGTAGTGGAAAATAAACTTCCACTTCATATTCACCATTTTGCAAATCGTTAATTGTGACTCTATTCTTGACATTAGCAATTTTCTCTCCATCCTCTGACGTGAAGGAAAACACTGGATAAAATTTATCTCCACCTCTGTTGCAGTAATTTCCGAATTGATCACGTGCATAGATCTTGAACTTGATCTTTTGACCCTCTACGAAAGGTCCTTGCATTTGTTCATATTCGTCTACAACTTCACAATTCTTGCCATATGCTTCTCCAGGAACAACACGAATTGGCCTAATAGTTGGGTGTGTTAATCGTTCCTTTCCGTCAAGTCTGATGTCGAGGTCATACTTGCCAATAATTTCAGGTACGTAATCAACCTTATAGATGCCATTTCCTAGATCAGTAACTATTCCTTCTACAGTTGCTTCTGGATCATCATCCTTTTCTTTAATTCGTCTCAATGTAACAGTGAAATGATCTCCTCCAATTTGCAAATCATTGCCATGTTGATCACGTGCAATAATTTCAAAAGTGTTCAACTTGGCAACAATTGCTGTCTGCGAGCCTCTTCCTCTTACAACACATTGTTCGGGATCGATCATTTCAATACCACCATCAATAGATACAAGTTCTTGATTCACTGGTTTAATGTCGAGTTTGGCTCCCACCTTTAACTTGTTGAATCGATCGAGAAGGTTCGATGCCTTGTTGTTCACAACAACTGGCTTTTGTTGCTTTTGAGTAAGGTTTTGTTCTTCATCTCCTGGTTGTGAGAAATTGAAATTCAATTTGATGTCAATATTCTTTTGTTCCAATCTCTTGAACTCTTGCTCAACTTTGTCGAGCCTGGCCCTAGAAAATTGGATTCCAGACTTGGATAGATCTTGAATTCTTTTCGATGCATCTATCTTTCCTGAACGCCACAAAAAGTGAGCCAGTGCATGAATGCAATGGACAACTTTGGTAATGTTTTTTCTCTCCCACAGATCTGAAATAAGGAATATTGGAATACGTGGTGTTATTTCGTGCTATAGCTACATACCTGGAATGGAAAATTGGTAAAATCTTGGAAAGTTAATTTTGTCACAACAATCTTGGAAATTATTAATGTTATCGGTTGCCATCATGAATGCTAAAGGGCTATTCATTTTGACGTTTTTGTGGAAATTTTTCATAGTTCCCTTGTCGCTGAACACTTCGGCCAATCGGCACAAAATTGTACCATCTCGCAATTGATCAAAGAAATCAATATTTCTAGCTTCTGCCTTCTCCAAATTGGATGATGATTTGGAATAATTGTAGCCTTGTTTCAACTCTTCGGAGACCTGCTCATCGTCTAAATCCTCAAAGAAAATTTGCTCGTCGAGCATATCCTCAATCCATCTCTTGGCTATATATATTTGCCACGATTATGTCATGATTTTAAAATCATAATGGTTGTAACAGGAATGTATTGAAAAATAGCACAATTACCTTCTTCTTGTCTTAATAAAAACTCATAAGCTCTAAATCCCGAGATGGTATTCTGTATATCGGATCGTCCTTCATCTCCAATGCCTTGAAAAGTTGGTCTTTGATAGGTCGACCATGCCTTTGACGCTTTTTTCAAAATTTCCTTTTCATGATCCGTTAAGTGATCGCCTTGCTGTTGTTGTGGAGCATTTGTTGTTGTTGATCCGACCCCAACGACACCACTCTCAGTGTTATTGTTCTTTAACCGATTTCCTAACGCTGGTACAGGTGGTCTCTGATTCGTATGGCTTGTATTGTTCGTGGAGGTTGAAGTTGTCGATGATGTTGGTGCTGTTGGGTTCTTGTTCTGAGAAGGAGGTATTGGACGCATTTTTTCAGGTTGCTGTTGATGGATGAAACGCCCTCGTGAAACGTTTTCTTTTTGCATTCCAATTCATTTTTGGGTACTGAGGATTTGTCATGGATTGAACTCCTTTTTGAATTCGAGAAGGTGCCGCTTCAATTTGATTGACAGTGGGTTCATGAATATGGTAGTTATTTTAAAAAAGTACTAGTTGAAGACAATTCTCAACATGTCAACAACTAAGACGCTTCAGATGATTAGGAAGTTTGCCTCCTTACTCAACTACGATAAAAAAAGTGAAAAAAATCCATTACGCGAGAAGGAATGAAAGGCTCCTCCAACACATCCTCACAAGACTTTTTATTCAAGAGAATTCAAAAGGAATTGGTGTTGTTCAACTCGGACGTACCTCCCTACTGTTCGGCATGTCCAGAATCTGAAAAGAATCTTAAAAAGTGGAAGGCTTGGATAGAAGGTCCAAAAGGAACAGTCTATGAAGGAGGTAAATTCGAACTCTCTATCGTTTTCCCTGATGATTATCCTTTTAAAGGTAAGTAGGTGATAAAACAACGTTGGTCGCATTTCCTCTTCGTGGTATGAATTCATGAATATATTACAACACATTAGCACCCTCCATTAAATTCATAACCAAGATTTATCATTGTAACATTTCAAAGAAAGGCAATATCTGTGTAGATACGTTGAAGGATGCATGGAATCCTTCTCTCACCATTTCCAAAGTGTTGTTGAGTATTGTGAGTTTATTGAGTGGTAAGTATGGTCGACCATTCGATCAAGCATTGGAATCACCTGTTTGAAACAGAACCAAATCCTGATGATCCATTAGAACCTAAAATTGCCAAAGAGTTTAAAGAAAATCGTCAGAGTCATGACCTCACCGCCACCAAATGGACACAAATGTATGCCAGATCAAATGTGGAATAGTTTCTTATCAAACTTTCCTTGAAAGACAAGATCAACCAAAAAACATAAAAAAATGCACCTTTCTCATCTGCTCCGATTTTTGCTTGTTGTTGGAGGATGTAGTTTTCTCTTCTCTGTGTTTGTACCTCTCTTATTGGTGAAACCACCGTCGATATCGGATCAAGGAAGGAGTGAGTTGTTGAAAAGAGCTGATACGAACAGTGCTCGGAAAGTTATTGAAGAGTATCGGAAAGAACATCAATTACCCAATTATTTTGATCGATATTTAACAACGTGGAATTTTAATGATTTATTGGAGGACTATGTGGACTTTCACGAAAAGCACACGAGAGAATTTTGTCAGCCTGCTGATGATGAATTATCATCATCCAAAAAGAAGGTGGGAATTTTGGTATTTAGACCATGGCAGAGTAGTGGTTTGGCCAATGTCATGATTGGACTGACATCAAGTTTCATGTTGTCACTCCTTTCGGGCCGATTATTCTTCATTAATTGGTACGGCCATTATTATTGTAATATTCATGCGAAAAATCTTTTTCAAAAACCACACCCAAGATACAATTGGTGGTATGAAGACTTTTTGACGGATTCAAATGTGAATGAGTGCGCTCGAAATTATCCAACTCTCAAGATACCCACACTGTTTGATGATTCTCTGAAAAATTATTATGGAAATTTAGAATTGACGCACAGAGCAAGAGAATCCGACTACATGTTTGAGTTATTGAAGTGTTTAAATATTACTGAAGAATTTGACCGAATGGGTCCAATTATTGAGATTACTAGTAATCAATACTTTTTACCACTCCTCTATCAATTTAATCCTTATCATTCTGCTCTCCTACATTTAATGTTTCGTGATGCTGACATGTTTGGACCACTTTCAAGATTTCTATACCATCCTCTTCCATCCATTCAACAAAAAATTGACAAGTATCTTGAAGAACATGATATTTACAGTTCACCACATTTATTGGAAAATAGAAGACAAGGCAACACAGTCATGTATGGCATTCAAATACGACGAAATGAAAATGAAAAGCAAATGGACTGGTTTAGAGAAAAACATGAAAAGTATTTCTGGCAAGCATGCCGACAAGAATTACTATCCAAACACAATCAATTATTTCCCAATCAAGATTACAAGATTATGGTCATTTCTGACAATATTACTGTTGTGGATCATGCAAAGATGGAATTTGGTCACGACAAAATTCTCCATTACGAAGAACAAAAGCTTACCTTCACCAGAGATAGTGAAAGTATCGTCGGTGCCCTCATTGATGCATGGCTCTTCTCTCATAGTCAAGGATTTGTTGTGAGTAAGCATAGTACTTTTGGTAATTTGGGTCATGGAAGAGCCTCCATCAAACCATTCATTGTCTATCATTACAATCATGGAGAAAATTGTGCTTGGTTTAAACCTCACACAAGTGAACCAGAATTTCATTGGTATGGACGGCATCGAGAAATTTCGTCATGTCGAGGAGTGGCCATGAAGAGAAAAGAATTGAAGCCTTAACATCAATGAGACACATCTTGGTATCATAGGTGTCATGTTGGTGTGACGTCTAGACGATCTCCACTCACTAGTAGTCTAGATCCACACCTTTCTTGCTTTTGAAAGCTTTCATCATGATGGCGCGAGAGTGAACTCGTAACAAAAAAATGTCATCCAAGTTGGATATTCATTCCACTCTCACGCTCAATGACGGAACTAAAATTCCCTTGTATGTGCTCGCCATTTAAATGGTTTTGAACATTTGTTTGACCAATTTTTCCAAATTCAATTCATTGAATGAAATTACATTGAATTTCAATATTAATATATAATTGAATACCACCACGTGTCTTGCTTGATCATCACACAACATTCCTCAAGGATTGGTCTCGGAACATGGAAATCCGAACCACAAAAAGTGAAACAAGCCGTTATTGCAGCCATTGAATGTGGTTATCGACACATTGATTGTGCCGAGCTCTATGGCAATGAAAAAGAAATTGGTGAAGCACTTCAAGATGTCCTTGATCGAGGAGTTGTAACGAGACAAGATTTGTGGATTACATCAAAATTGTGGAATACTCATCGACGACCTGAACATGTTCGACCTGCTCTTGAAAAGACTCTTTCAGAATTGAGAATGTATGTTTGTGTGTGTTTTATATTATTTGAATGTTGGTTCATGTTTTCTTCTATATCGCCATTGGTTGCATTGACACAAATGTCACTGAATATGATTCATATTCACTCCACATAGTACTTATTTGGATCAATATTTAATTCACTGGCCTTTAGCATTCCAATATGCTGGAAATGAATTGAAAGACTATTCCTGTATTGTTCCAAAAGATGAAAAAACTCAAGTTGTGAAATTAGATTTCGTTCCCATTCGTGACACTTGGCGTGAAATGGAGCAATTGGTGAAAGATGGCAAAGTCAAGTCCATTGGTGTCTCCAATTTCAGTGTGAGTGATGTTTCAGCTCTACTTTCAGAACCTGGCATTTCCATCAAACCAGCTGTGAATCAAATTGAAGTGAATCCCTATTTTCCTAATTCGAGACTCATCGAAACCATGAAATCATCTCTCTTTGGTGGAATTCAAATTGTTGCCTATTGTCCATTAGGAAGAGGTGCCGTATTGGAAGACGCCATCATTCAAGAATTGGCTCAGAACTATAAACGAAGTCCTTCACAGATTATTTTGAGATGGGGTCTTCAGCGGGGTGTGGTTCTACTCCCAAAAAGTACAACTCCTGAAAGAATTAAGGAAAATATTCAACTTTTTGATTTTGAACTCTCTGAAGAGGATGTGAAGAGAATTACCAACGAGTTGGGAAAGAAGAGAAAGAGAAGCGTGGATCCTATTGGGTCATGGGGAATTTCTGTTTTTGAGGATTAATGCTGGTGATGAAAAATTGAAAATCATTCTTGCAATGATGAATCTATAAATTTATAAATCATTGAAATTCTCACAGCAATGTCACATTCACACTAAAAGTATTCACACAACAGTAAAGACTAAATTTATACATAAATTTCAGTTAATAAACAGGTGTGACATGTCACTTAAATAGAACCAATGTTCAACTAACAACAAATGCGAATTAAATCATTTGTGAATTGTTACAAGTAAGGAACAATCCTAACAATCAAGCGAACGGAATCAACAGAATTTGTGTCATTCCCTTTACCACTCAATTTCTGACTTGTCATACGAAATGAACTTTCCATTCTGAGAGAAATCGGCTGCATGAATAATCTCCAACAAATCACTAGCTGCCATTTCTGGTGTACGATGTTTTTTTGGATCCATTGGCTCCCCAAAGAAATTCTTGGTCATGTCTGTATATACCATTCCAGGATGCAACAATAACGTGAAGGCTTTCTTTTCCTTCTCCAATTCAAGAGCCAAGTTCTTGGTGGCCATATTGAGAGCAGCCTTAGAACAACGATAAGGATAGGCCCCTCCCGATCGATTATCTCCAACACTTGCTACTCGAGTCGATATTTGAGCGAAAATTCCATGTCTAGAAGTTAAAGATTCTCCCCGATGAGATGCCTTCACATACGATTTCAAATATTTACAAACGAGCATGGGTCCAACACAATTGACCTTATAACTATATAACATGGACTCCATGGAAAGATCCTCCAATTGCCGTATTGAAGAGTCCAAATAACCTGCATTGTTAATCAATAAATTAATATACTGAATAGACTTGGGTATGGAGGAAGGCAGAGACTGAACGGATTTCTCATCGGAAACATCCAACGTTAGGATTGGCACTCGTTCCGAGCCATACTCTTCTTGTAAGGCTTTCAACTCATATGCTTCATGTGGGTTTCTTGCAGTGGCCATCACCACTTGATACTTGTATTGGGACAATAACAGTTTTACAAACGCTAAACCAATTCCTTTGTTGGCGCCAGTCACGAGGGCCACACGAGGTTGTTGTGTTTGGGACATTTTTATGTGTTTATTTTAACTATTCTTGGAAATTTCCATCGATTCATCAAATAAAAATAATGTTAAAAGCATTGACAATTCATGAAGAGAAGAGGATGGAAGTAATGCAATTTTTAAAGCTGTTACTTCAACTGTTTGTCTTGGTTATGTTTGTGAAAACAAAATCAAGTGTAAAGGTTCCATTCATCGTAGTGTAATTCCAATTTCATAAAGATGGTTATCAAAAGAGCAGATATCTCACCTGTCAACCTTAGTCGCGCTCTAACACTCCGATTCATCATGGTGGCAAAGTCTTTTGACATCTTTTCATTACACTTTCAAAAAATGTCTAAAACACCACCGAGTCCATCCACAGCCGAACCTCTCTATGCATTGCCAGGAAATGATGCATGTTGTGATTGCGGAATGAAAGGTTTGTATTTTACATCCATTTTGTAGGAGAAATAGTACTGGTGATGATGATCATGATGGTGTATGAAAACTACTTGGTATCTCGTCTCGATCGGAATTTACTACCTATACTACTGCTATTCGTTTGGAAATTATGATTGTCATTCATCACGATGGTCATCCATTGATGATACAATGAAACAATTTGTTGACATGGTATCTTGCTGCTACTCTTGTCTCTCTTTAACACACAATGAATGATATATACACACACACACTCTCTCTCACGTCATGATTACTCGACACCACACACGCACTCTCTGTCAACCACACTTTTTCCAAACCACTTTTCAATGATTCAAATTTGAAAACAACAACAGCTCCGAGATGGGCCAGTATTAATTTAGGAATTTTAATTTGTATCCATTGTTCTGGAGTTCATCGTAAATTAGGAACTCACATTTCTCAAGTGAGATCCACCACATTGGATCATTTACCTTCAGAGACCATTGAATCCATGAAGCGACTCGGAGGTAATTCAAAAATCAATGAATATTATGAAGCAAAACCTCTAAAGAATTATCCAAAACCTACCGATGAGACAGATCCACTCTATCGAGAGGAATACATTCGAGCGAAATATGAATTTAAATATTTTGCATTGGATCGAGATGTAATGAATAGTGGTATATTGGATTGGGAAAATTTGAAACCTGTGCATTCTCCAGAGTGTTTGGAAAGTAATGATAAAGATGGAGGTTCTTCGACAGCAAAACCGTCAAGAAAGAGCTCTCTGTACAAGTCATTGAAAAAATTGTCAACTTCAATGAGTAAGGGAATGGTGGAATTTATTGGAATGTTGTCCATTCATGTCAAGGAAGGTAGAAATCTCATTTCGTGTGATGTGAATGGTTTTAGTGATCCATATTTGATTGTGGGATGTGGACCATCTCTTGAGGATCGATCAAATATCTATCCTGGTCAAATTGTAAAGACAAGGTAAGGCATTGTTTTTATTATAATGAGGTGACCAAATCATGATTGTAATTTTTGAACCATGACAAATTGTACACAATTTTGCACGCCTCTATTGTTGTGAAATTGGATTTACAATGTTGTTGTGAAATTGAATTTATTATTGGAACATGTCATTATCATATTGTTGTGAATAATTTATTGGAATGATAAATACATCGTGATGATACGACAATTAATCCTTGGATATTTTTCACTCGACCCACAAACAGTACCAAACTCAAAACTCTTAATCCAGTTTGGAATGAAACCATCACGACATGTGTTTGTGACATTAAAACCGATGTACTCCATATCGAATGCATGGATTGGGATCGAGTGAGTGAAGATGACGCAATGGGACACTTCTCCATTACTCTAGGCAATTTATTTGGTGCCAATGATGCAACGAATGGCGTCACTAAAATTTGTACATTGCAAGGCGTAAAATCTGGAGAGATTGAAATTGAAGTGAAATTTATCAATTTGAAGTAATAAATCTGGTGTTGCGAGAAGACTTTGTTTTCTCTTGTTGTGTGTGTGCAGTTGACTTGTCAATCGAACGTTTTTCTGGTGCTTCACAAAGAGTTTACAAAAATCTATCCAATCAGAAAAATCACAAGTCGTCCAATCACCAAGCATTTGCAACAATCTGTGCTCACTCCTTTGGTTTCATTCCAATGTTCTGTTCATCATTCTTCCACACAATGTTGGATTGGAGCGTCCCGGTGATGTTGTATTTCTTGAACTGAGGTTGTGTTTTTATTCTTTCATCTTCCGCTCCACAGAGAAGGCAAATTCCTTTCACCATTGTCTAGACCTACGATTGCATCCATTCATTCTCTCATCATCAATGATCGATTGGTCATGAATGCTACTTCTAGGTTCAAGTCAGGCCAGAAAGAATGAATGAATGTGTCCTTCATCATCCACTCTCAACCACCGATTTAAATTTTCAAGTTTAAAAAATGAAAAGAGTTCGCGAGACATCAAACGCGGCTTCTTCCTCTGCTGACGCTCAAACAACAGGAGAGCAACCCAAGACGAAACAAGCAAAGACTACGACTCCTACTCTACAGCAACAACAGCCAACAACCGCACAAGCACAACAACAACAACAAAGTTCAACATCGTAAGTACCTGATTGTGGACAAAGCTTAAAGGTCAATTTGTGCTTAGAGTACAAGATGCGCTTGCTTATTTGGATCTGGTGAAGAAAACATATGCTAGCGAGCCTCATGTTTATTCTAGATTCTTGGAAATTATGAAGGAGTTCAAAAATCATGTGTAAGTATACAAGTCCTACGTTCTGATTGTGCCAACGAATACTTGATTTTTTGATAAATTGAAATTAATCATCATAATTCTGTTTTTTTGTGTACGTGAATTCTGACGGCAATGAAACACAACAACAACAATCAAATCACAATACCACAATCAATAACACCTCATTGGACGGTACCATCATCATGGTACACGAACACGACTTTTGATGACGTTTTTACAATTTACAATTATGAATGATGATATTATTGCGATACACGCCACCAAATTTATTATGATGAAACGTTATACATAATATTTGAACAATAGAATTGATACACCAGGCGTTATTCAGAAAGTATCAGAATTATTCAAGAATCATTCACATCTCATTCTAGGATTTAATTCTTTCCTTCCACCTGGATACAAGATTGTGCTGGAAAACAATGACCAAAGCATGAATGCAGCAGAGACTCAGCAGACATCGCCAACACCTTCCAATGCTTCACAAAGTATTATCCAAGGCAAAAAGAAAAAGAGATCTACATCGCCACCTCCCACTGCTGTGGGAGCTCCTCCACCCAAATCTAATGACAGAAGCATTGATTTTGATCAAGCCATTTCCTATGTTACCAAAATCAAGAAGAGATTTGCTGACAGCCCACAAACATACAAAGCATTTTTGGACATTTTGCACAACTACCAGAAGGAACAAACAACCATCAAGAAGGTGTATGAACAAGTTTCCGAGTTATTCAAGGATCATCAAGATTTGTTGGGTGAATTTGCTCAATTCCTTCCAATGCCAGATCAGTCAAAGAAGGCAAGAAAAGCTGCAAAGAAGGTTTGTATTTTAACTCGTGTCTTGCCAAATATTCATTTTGACATTATCACGATGACAGGGTACACCACCACAAGCAATATCCGGTCCAGCCGCAATATCAGATGAGAAGAAGCGAAGAACAGCTAGAACCACATCCAAACCTAAGCAACATGAGGACTTTGAGTATGAAGGTAAACATCATCTACATAATGATTCACACAATTTACACATACACATAACACCTAATTTTTCTTTGGATGAAACCAACGCAGAACCTCCACGCTTTTTTGTACAACTACGGGAAAGATTGGGTGATTATGAATACAACCAAATACTGAAGTGTATCAACATGTACACTTCCGACATTATTGACAGAAGTTCCTTGCTTGACATGATTAGTGAGAGTGAAGCTCTCAGAAAGAATGCAGATTTGTTTAAAAAGTTGAAGAAACTAATTTCTACAAATTCAATAGGTCAGATCATCCAATCATCACACACACTCACACACATGATTCACACTTCATTCTCTCTCAAACGTAAATTCACTTTTTTATTTTGAATTGTAATACTTACTAACTTTGTTTTATATATGACATGCTTTTATGAACAAACAGATGAGAGCTTGCTTAAGAGAGAAAAGGTTGTTCCTACCGATAGCAAATCATCCATTTATGGACCAAGTTACCGAGTTTTAAATAAGACTGTAAGTTGTTGAACAAGTGATGTTTGTGGAAAGGTTCCAATTATTTACTTGTATGAACCACTAAATCCCATGTGGACTTCTTCCTATTGAATCTACACAAATTGAAATACAATCATTGCAACGACACAGTATCCTGAACCAATATGCTCCGAGAGAACTGAATTATGCAATCAGGTATTGAATGATGAGTTTGTATCAGTTCCTGCAGGTAGCGAGGAAAGTAGGGATATTCAAAAGAAGAGTCAATTCGATGAAATTATTTTCCAATGTGAAGATGATAGAACCGAGCTTGATATTGTAATTGAACAAAATGAATCAACAATCAAATTCTTGGCTTATTACGCTGAGAAAATCAAAAACAACGAAGAACTTGCCTTTAACTATGAAGACATGAAGGACATTCATAGAGCAAGTATTAACAGAATCTATGCAGAGAAAGGTTCCGAAGTGCTTGAAGGACTTCGAAGAAATCCAGCTGTAGCGATTCCTCTTGTTTACAGAAGATTAAAACAAAAAGATGAGGAATGGAAAAAGGCAAGAAAGGAACTGAATAGATTCTGGAACGATATTTACCAAAAGAATTTCCAAAAGGCCATGGAAAGCCAATACAACGTCTTCAAACAAAACGAAAAGAAGAAGCTCAAACCCAAAGAGATACTCAGAGAAGTCAAAGAAAGACATGAGTATTGCCGACCAATGATATTTGAATTCCCAGATAGAAAAATTCATGACGATATTTATTATTTGCTTATCAATTTAACGAATGATTTGACTCCAGAGGAGGTCAGAGATATTAACATGTTATGGAAGGACTTCCTTATCCCATTCCTAGACTTGCAATCAACCGACTATGCCAAATCGGAAAAGTATGATGCTGTATTGAAAGAAGTGCCTGAGGGAGAACAGCCAAACTCGACACCCACTTGCTATTTTGTGGATTTATTCGAGCAAGACATTCCATCAGGAGATGGCACCAGTGCTGAATTTCCACCAATTGTCGAACAACAAATTAGCAAGCATGATAACAGATATAGAAACAATGTATTCTATGGCAATTCATTCTTCATGATATTCTTCCGCTATTATTGCGCTCTTTACGAAAAGCTTTACAGAGCAAAGCTGGCCAGCAAGAGAACAGCTCGAATGAGACAAAAGACGGTTGATACGGCTACAATCCTCAAAGAACACGATACTCTCCTCGAAAAGAGCAGCTTCAACAATGAAAAGAAGGAAAAGGAGAAGGAGAAGGTAATTGAAGAAATGGCCTCCAAGACCAATGGCGGTGATCACATGGAAATTGACTCGGACGTTAACAAGGTTGCAGACGACATTTATTCACAATTCTTGATAGTCATGATCAAATTCTTGAATGGCCTGGGAACATCTCAATCCTATGATGACGATTGCAGAAAACTTCTCGATCATGATTCATATGCCGTCTTTACATTTGATAGAGTTTTTGTCGAGTTCCAAAAGCACGTTTACTCCATGATGACCGACCATAGAGATTCTTGCTGTGAATTTTTACAATTATTCAAGTACGAAATGCAAAGAGTGAATAGGTTCCTTGACAACTCGTACCGTTTGAATGCTCAAAAACTAGTTGGTGATGAAGTGTGTTATGTATTAGAATACAGCAAGAGAAGTCAAAAATCGAGAATTGATGAAATTGACCCTCCTGAAGTTGACCTAGAAAAGATGGAAGCAGAAGAAAAGGCTCTGTGCTACGTACAAGAATTCTTGTTGTCTTCTCCTCCACCGGAATTGGCACACAAGAATAAGATCTTCCTTCAGAGAAACAAGAAAGCTAGTGTCGATCCACAAAGCATCATTGTTAGAAACAGACTAGAATGTAAAATATGTATAGCCACTTTCAAACTCTATTTTGTGGAAGACACTGAGGATTTCTTGTTCCGTAAGAGTAAGAAAGAGTCGAAACAGTCCAAACAAAACAGGGCAGAAAGGTGGAACAAAATTTGTGACCAACTTTTTGACAATTTACCAAAATCATATGGAAACTCAACACCAGAACAACAACCCTCAACAGCAATGGAAACCTCTAATGATTAATCTTCCTCTGCCAAAATTCCATTCTCTTAAAATACAACAATAAACCCACTAGCTCTCATTTAGGACTCTGAAAACTACAATATTACTGTCCATCTCAAACAGCAGTGAGCCCATTTTGTCAAAGTCTTGCTGATAGATGATTGTCTTTGGCTCATTACTTCCAGCGCCAAAAACAACCGTTAATTATTAAAATCAAAAAAAACTGTCACTACTCAAAAAAAACTCTTCACATGCCAAAATACACACCAACCAAAGAGGACACGAGATCACCACTCTCTCCTCACAACAACAACAACAACAATGGTAAATCCCCCAAATCACCATCGAACATTACCAAGCAACCCAACCGAGCCAGTTTTGCCACTCCACAATACTTTCCTCAAAAGATTTCCAAATTTTCTCCAAAATCAGCAAGCAAAGCTGCCATCACGAGTGCTGGCAAGAAGAAGAAATTCAACTTTGACAATCCAAAAGTCAAAAAGCTTTTGGATAAACTCTCAAAAAAGAACAACTCTCAAGAAGGAAGCGGAGTAGAATCCTCAAATTTGAATCGTCTAAAACGACTCTTATTCAGAAAGAAGAACAAACAAGCTCTTCAGAAAGACAAGGAAAACATGGAAACCGAATACACATTCACTGAATGTTCCGATGATGCCAATTCGTTATATTTTGGAACCGAGATGAGCAGTGAAGGAGAGCTTTCAGAAGAAGAACTCGATTTAACCTATGGTCTCGATCACTTGGACAATGGTATCATGATGTCTCCTCCCACGAAAAGACCATCTGCATTGGCAGCTTCATCTCGATCTTCCATTGCTTTCACAGGTTCTAACAGTGAGAGAAGGCCTGGTCTCTCCCTTCAACACTTGTTTACAAAGAGAAGAGAAGAACAAAAGAGAGCTGAAGAAATTATCGACAAGTTTGACATTAAGAAACAATTAGAGTCAGAAATGAGCGTTGCTGATACCATCTTTGGTAAATGGCAACGAGAGAATGTTCAATAATCAATTCTCAACAACAAGAAGAATTTAGAGTCTCTATGGTTCTAGTATTGACAAGAACCAGCAATCTATTGGTCTTTCTACATTGATCCTTGATTGATGAAGGTGTACTTTATCAATGATGACCACTACTAGAGGTTTTTCATTCTCGAGAAGAGCCACACACACATATATTCCATCCTCATCACCAATACAATGCTACAATACACTCCTATTTTGTCATGCATGATTCTCTTCTTTTACTTCCTTCACTTCTATGATTAAGGAAGGATTTCGTTCCAAATAACTTTCAACATTTTGTGAGAGTTTTTCAACTTTCTTTATCATTACTCCAAGCCTATTCTTCATGATATTTACATTACTTTGTACAGATTCCAACCATAATCCACTCGCTTCTGCTTCCTTATCCAATTGATGTTTCATGTTTTCAAATTCCTCTCGAAAGTGATCCTCTAAAGGATCATCAATTTCAAATTCAAAGCAAAATCGTTCAAGAGCCTCAAGTCGTTCCTCAATATTGTATTTGTCTTTGGGTTGAATCGAGAATGAATCGGAATGATCATCATCACCATCAATAATGGAAGCATTGGATTGGCTTGTCGTGATCAGAGATCTACTCATCATTGCTTGATGCATCTTCTCGGAATGATAATAAGAATCACCACTCAAAGGCTTGTCTTTCATTTCGGAAATTGGTTCATCTTTCTTAATTGAACGGGATTGAATTTCTTGAGGTTCATGGTTCGTTTGGTTGTTAGGATTGGAACCATCATTACTCGTAGTATTCAGTGTAGAATGAGTATTGGAAACAAAATTATTGAACACACTACTATAATTCAATCGTTTCCTAGTGATCATTTAAAGTTGGTTGCAAGCCTCTTCTTTGCTCAATATCGCACAAATGGTCAAAACTCTGTGATACTATAGTTCTGCAAAGTAATTCAATTTTTTGAACTTTTTGAATGAGGTTTTAAAGAATTTCAATCTTGTTATAAAAAGTACAATCATTCAACAAATGCTTTCAATCTAATATCAACATCATCATCATCATGCATCTTTGTTTTGCATTCATGAATTTTCATTCAGCCAATCAAAAAAATGTTTAAAGCCAGCACCACGGCACTCACGCGAGGCTCTTCTTCTCTCGTGTATTCATCATACTATCGGAATTTGTTTTATTCACGAGTATGGCATCGGTTCATGTTTAAATCAAAGAGTTGGATATGGAGGCATGGAGGAGTTGCAAAAGCCACCGAAGAAGTCATTTCTGCTTTTTATCCTCATTTAGAAGAATTATCAAAGAAGTGTGGAAGAGATTTGTTGTTGCCTTGGTTCATGTCCATTTCTCAATCCATTTCATTGGGTGGATTTTCCGAGAATAATCGAGTGAAGGAGATTTATTTCCATGGTGCGGATTACTTTAAATCATTATGGAATCATATCGATCGAGCAAAGAAGAGAGTATTTATTGATTGTTATACAATTTCAACAGACCAAACAGGAGATAAGACGCTAGTAAAGCTTATTGAAGCAGCACATCGAGGAGTTGAGGTTATATTGACTGTGGATGCCTTCGGAAGTTATCATATTGATTTTGAGAAGGAAGATTTAATCCAAGAATTAAAAGATGCAGGTGGAAAAGTGTTAAAATTTAATGAAAAGGATTTAAAGCTTATATATTTCTTTTTGAGACATCCAAGCAGGTCTCCCACACTGAGAAATCACAAAAAAGTGTGTGTGATTGATGATAAAATTGGCCTCATTGGAGGAATGAATATTGAAAATAGATACTCAAATCCTTTTGACAGACAAATGTATACTGAAGAACAATTAGAGAGGGAAATTACTGCAGAGGAAGGTGATAGAGGTGTTTTAGATGTGCCACCCGATGAAAACTTACTTGATGAATTGGACGAATATATTGAAAAGGGAAGATCCAACACGACCGATTTTAATGTACTCTTGTCTGGAATTGGAGATATGCGTGATTTACACTGTATGGTGGACGGACCGTGTGTATCTTACTTGACACTTTCTCTATTGTTTAGTTTGGAGCAATCGAATTCTAAATATGGTAAAGCATTAGCTTTGAATTTCCCTAAGGAGGATATTTGTACTGCCGACAGAGAATTTGAGCCAGAGTCATTGCAGGATTTCATTGAAGAGGCAGACGTACCAAAAGATATCAATCGTATGGAGTTTTCAAAGCAAGCCACAACAGCACAACAAACATCTTCAAATTCCATGAGCGAAGAACGAAGATTTTCTCAAGTTTTATTTTCAGATCCCAAAAAGCACAAAACTGCTCTGTATAAGAATATTTGTAATGTGATTAAGAATTCCACAAGTCATTGCTACATTTCTACGCCATACTTCTATCCTCCTGAGAGATTACGAGAGGCTTTAATAACTGCAAGGAAAAATGGCTGTGACGTGAGGCTATTAACATGTGGACGAAGTGACGTGCCAGGAATGAGGTACATAAGTACCTATATTTATGAAGATTATTTAAAACATGGTATAAGGGTTTATGAATATTTTGGCAAGACCCTCCATGCCAAATACATGACGATTGACGGATTTTTCACATCCATGGGCTCGTACAATCTTGACAAAATGAGTCTCGAAACAAATCTCGAAGTAGGAATTCAACACTATGACATTAAATTGGCTAAAGAGCTCGAAAAAGACTTTAAGCGAGAGTTGGAAGTCTCAAAAGAAATATTGCTTGAGGATTGGGAAAGGAGGCCCTTCAAACTGAAAATGATGGGATTTATTTGGTATTGGATTTATGAGCTGTTTGGACCAGAAGGAAAGTTGACATTCAAAAAGTGGGTTTTCAACAGTCATAAATAACAACTAATCCTTGGTTCGAGCTTTGCAATTATTTGTGTGTTACTATTTTAGAAAAGATTTTAATTTAAAAGAAAGGTCATTTAATGAAAAGGTTGTAATTAAGAAGAAAGGTCCATCAAATTTGGTGTTGATCGATCCTTCTCAATTGCTTCTTGATTTTGAACCTCATCATACTCGAATGCAATCTTAAAAACATCAGAGTAATAATCCACAAAATGCACTTTCACTCCTTCCGTAATTGTTTTATCCAGCTCGTCCCAATCTCTCCTGTTTCCTGCGGGCATAATGACCTGAGAAATTCCAGATCGTTTAGCAGCAATGACTTTTTCTTTCACTCCTCCAATTGTAAGAACTTTTCCTGTGATGGTCAACTCTCCAGTCATGGCAAGGTTATGCTTGACTGGCTTGTTCAATGCCAGGGACAATAATGAAGTAACCATGGTCACACCAGCAGATGGACCATCCTTTGGAGTAGCTCCTTCTGGAATGTGCATGTGAATATGTGTCTTTCTAAAGTAATCATTCTTTGGATCGATGCTGTAGAGATGATTCTTGGCATAGGTGTATGCAATGGATGTTGATTCTTTCATGACATCACCCATTTGACCTGTACATTTTAGAGATCCACTAGGAGGAGAGGGTGGTAATGGAGGGGAGGTTGTTGTTGCAGTTGTGCTGTCAGAGGATGTTGGAGCGTTGATAATCTCAGGTTCACTATACATCTTGTCTGCTACTGTTTCAATGTACAAGGTTGATCCTCCCATACTCGTCCAAGCAAGACCCATGGTGACACCTACAGGAGTTGTTAAATAATATCGATCAGATGTAAAGACTGGCTTTCCAACATATTCTTCCAAATCAGAATCTTTCAAATGGAAAATTGATGGTCTTTTTTGTGAAGTATCCTTTGCAATTTTTAGAGCTACTTTTCGACAAATCATTTCAATATGTTTTTCCAGGTTTCGAACACCAGCCTCTCTGCAATGTTCCTTAATGAGTTTCTCAATGAGAGAATCATCCAGAGTTAAGAGAGGTTTCTTGGTTTTTTTAGAAAGAAGACCAGTTTCTTCAACCTTCTTTGGAAGTAAATAATTTTTGGTAATGTGAAGTTTCTCATCCAAGACATAACCACTCAAACGAAGTACTTCCATTCTATCTAGAAGTGGACCTGGTATGGTGTCAAGAACGTTTGCTGTACAAATAAATAAAACATTACTGAGATCATAGGGAACGTCTAAATAGTGATCTACAAATGAATGATTTTGTTCGGGATCGAGCACTTCTAGCAATGCACTTGCTGGATCTCCTTGATGACTTCTACCCAATTTGTCAATTTCATCAATCATGATTACAGGATTGCTTGATTTGGCCAATTTCATGATATTAATCAGTTTACCTGGAATGGATCCAATGTAGGTTCTTCTGTGACCCTTAATTTCGCTCACATCGGTCAAGCCACCAACACTAAATCTATGGAATTCTCGATTGAGAGAAGCGGCAATCGATTTACCAATACTTGTCTTTATGTGGGTAAATGTGGGAAAAAGTGTGGAATGACAAAATGATAATCATACGATAATGATGATTTACATCAATGGTCGACACGTTCCATTGGATTCGTGATTCATTGCGATGTTAAAAAATCATATTTCTCATTTCATGTCACTTACCTTACCAACACCTGGAGGTCCAACAAGACACACAATTTTACCTTTCAGAGTATTCTTCAGTTTTCCGACTGCAATAAATTCTAAAATTCTTTCTTTAACCTTTTGTAAGCCATAGTGGTCTCGGTCGAGAATTTTGGCTGCACTTGCCAAATCAAAGTTTTCCTTAGAAAAGGATTGCCATGGAAGGCATGTCAACCAATCTAAATAATTTCTCACATTCGTGTATTCACTCGAGTGAGGATCGAGTGTTGAGAATTTGTTCAATTCGTCATCGAGTGTAGTTTTGATAATATCTGGTACGTTCTTCTTTTTGATTTCTTCGGCGAGAGAGCTGAATTTTTTGAACAACTCTTCTTTAGCATCCTTCTCCAATCCGAGCTCTTGTTTGATAATTTTCAATTGCTCAGTCAGATATAATTTACGTTGTTGCTTGTTGAGCTTTTCTTCGAGATTCTTTTGAATTTTTTCTTGAATCTTTTTCGTTTCAACCTCTGCTTTCAGAATTTCGAGAGATTTTACAAGTCGTTCTCGAATGTCTTGTGTTTGTAAAACATCTTGCAACTTGTCAGCATCATGTGATGATAAGATGGCTGCAATGTCACTCAATTCAGCTGGATCTGTATGATCCAACTGTTCCAGAATCATATTCAATTGCTCTCTTTGCACGGGGTCCAAACGAGATAAAAATTGCTTGATTTGACTGAAAATTTCCATCACATGTGCCTTAATACCAGGATCATTCTTGTCAACCTTCTTTGTTGGAAGTTCCTCAATTTTGGCTGACACTCTCTTTGCTTCTGGAACAGAGCCAGTAATTTTAATTCGACGGATGGCTGCAAAAACAACAGATGCACCACCTCTTGCAGGCACCACTCGTGTCACTTTGGCCAATGTACCCACTTGTTCCACGTCTTTAAGGGATGTAATATTTTGCAATTGATCTCTCTTATCAGAGTCTTTGACCAAGAAGAGACCAACAAGTTTATCATGAAATCCACTTTCCAACATGGACTGAATGAATTTCATGTCTGTGATGAATATTGGAATGATGGTTCCTGGAAATGCAGGTTTCTTATAGAGAGGAACAACTTCCACAACAGGAGGTGTTGGAGTAGCGAAAAAGCTTGCAATGGATTGTTCTGCTGGCTTTACCGGTTGTAGCTTGTTGTTGTTGCTTTGAGAGGAGTGTTGTTCGGGATGAACCACTTCCTTATTCTCTTGTTCCATTTCGTTTTCAAAGAGTTTTTCAATTTCCTTCTCGTGTTCGGCATCATCAATGACATCTTCATGAGTCGTTGCTGCTGCCGGTTCTTGATCCTCCTTTTTCTTTTTAGAAGAGGCTTCATAATCATCAAATCTACGATTAATTTCACTGGTTTTATCTTCCTCCTTGGTCTTGTCCTCTTCTTCCTTTGAAGGCTTCTTCTTTTTGGAATGATGCGAGTCAGAGTGGTTATCATCATCATCATTATTTCCTGGCTTGTTTGAAGCGAGTCGTACTAGACATGATGTTGAAAATGATTGCTTTAAGCTTGATGATTCGGGATTTAGGCTTTTCAATTGGAACATGTGATGGTTGAATTTAGTGTGAAGATTTGTGCCAATAGTGTTGTTATGACCACTAGCGGTTGAGGAGGAATGGATAGGATTGTTATTACTACTACTATTACTACTGCTGGTCATGGTAAAAGGAGGATGGTGCGCCGTGTATATTTTGAAGGATCTTGAAATTACATTCTGGTTACTGTTGCTGCCGATGAGCAAGCCATGTTTCCTGCTGATGGATGTAAATCGCTTCATCACTGCAACCCAGAAATTCTTCAATAAATGATTATCACAGGTATCGGAATTGCAAAATCCACACAAACGGAAGGATGCTTTTTTTATCAATCAAAATTGCTGCTTGATCATCCTTTTGCTTTTTGCATTAGAAGATGACGAGTTGCAATTCTTGTTCTGCTGAGTCCGATATGTGTGGGCTGCAAACCACATTTCTGTTAAATCTTCTGTTTTGCACAACAACAGTAGCAACCCTTTGAAAAACAAAATATTTTCCAGCCTCTTGAAAACAAAGAACAGAAAAAAAATTATCCGATGAGACGGAATCGAACCGCCGACCACAGGATGACTTGCTTGCTACAGTCCCATGCTCTACCAGCTGAGCTATCATCGGTTTACGGTAACTAATTCATTATCACATTTTTGAACTAACCGATTTAGCATTCTTAGGTGGTTTCTGAAAATTTGCTTCTTTTCAAAAGCATAATTACTGTACATAGATTTATTTGTTACTTCTTTTCAAAATTTCGAATGACTTCCAACACAGTTGATGTTCTACTCGTTCGTGTTGGTGAATTGGTTGGAGAATCAGTTGTTGTTGGTGAAGTTCTTGAGGATGACGACTGCGAAGAATTAAATCTACTTTTCAAATCATTCACAGAAACAGAAGGTGTTACAATGGGTGATGCTGTTGTTGCCTTTCCAAGCAAATTGGAACTACTCCCATTAAGGTGACCACTACTACCACTTTTTGTATCCATTCTAAAAGACTGCGAGCTATTATTACTACTCGCAGATTGTTGTTGCCCAACCCTTGGAGAGGATTGCAGAGGAGTACGTGACACGGCTTCATGATTCACTCCTGTTTTGGATCGAAATGAAGAAGTAGCAGCAGCAGCAGAGGGCACAACTCCCGATGGTTCCGTCATGATGTCTCTCAACTTTTGATACTTGTCATTTAAAAACTGTTCATAATGCAACAAGTGTTGAATTTGAGAATCGAATAATTGTTTCAATTGCAAGAGAGTAGCTTGTTTGTGTTCTGTGCCATTATTACTCTCTAAAAGATCCAATTCTCGAAATGCATATTCCATTTCTCGTTTGATGTCGAGGACCTGTTTTGGATAAATTTGATTTTTCAATTGATCTAATTCAGTTAATGAAGAAGAAGTCGGGTCATGGGCGAATCGAGAGACTGAAAAGGATTGTTGAATACCTCTGGAAATATTTTCTAACAATTTCACTTCCAATTCTCTGACTTTTCGTTCCGTCTCAATTTCTAATAATTTGATATAGGACTCTTCCATAACTTGTCGTTGTGACTTTCCACTTTCTACCAGTTCTAAATATTCCATTGGTTTTTTGAAAATTTCACTCAGCTCTTCATTGTTCTTTTGAGCTTCATTTTCCAAAGTTTGAATGTAATTGGAAATGATCCTTCGCCGACACTGTGATTGAGCATCTTCCATCTCTTTCAATACTAATTGAACGGGTCCGGTTTTTGCGTAAATTTGTTTGTTATACTCTTCGAGACCTGTGAGTGCCTTACTCACAATATTCTTATCGGAGAGTAACAAATTGATATCTGTGGTTGGAATGTGTGTGGGTAATGAGAAGTTTGAATTTTTCCTACTAACAGATCCATTCTGCAATTCTGAATCAAGATCATCCTGAAGAGATGCATCTGCTTGCTGTGAGAGGAAAGTTTTTCGTGTGAAATAATCGATAGCTCCCATGAGTATGGTTTCAATTTCAACAACTTCAGGGCTCTTGATTAACAGAGTCGAGTCAAATATTGGCTCTGGTTGTTTTAACACAATGCTCAATAACTCTCCATTCGCTGAAAAGGTCACAATATTTGAAAATAAAGTACTAAATATGATACACTTATCTTTGGGATGAATGAGACATAGACTCTTGTCGTCAATACCCAAAATATTTTCTTTCCAATGGTTATTGGTGGTCGAGAACGAGTCATTCTCACTATTTCCTTCTTTCTTTGTTGTGTCTTGTGAGGATTGAACATGATACAAATTAAATCTGAAAAATGGATGTTGTGAACATAAATTCACAAATTCACATTGAGCATCCATGGTATTGAGATGTTTGTGTCGTTGCAATCGAGTCACAAATTTTTTCTTCATCTTTGTCTTGAGTTTTGAACTTGATTGAATTTCACTGTAAATATAGGGAGGAACGAGAGGTTCAAATTTTGAAACATCCTCACAATCAAGATAGGATTTCATGTCTCTATTTTCAGCAATCACTGAGAGAGCGACAAGTTTTGATAAATCATTTCTTTGAGGTCTATCTTCGATATTGTATGACAGTTTTCCATTCATGACACGTTCCTTACTCTGTTGTGATCATGGATTTTCAATTTTTTAAATGGAATATTATCAGTAGTAGTAGTAGTTTGATTTGGATCACACAATTTGATATTCCATTTCATTCCAAATTTTCCACGATGCACATGTTCACAAAGGTCACCAATTTTCTTTCACAAAAATTCGCGAGCAACAACATACCTCATTATAAGTGAGTGACAAGGTCAATGTATTCAATTTTAAATCCATTTTCTTTTCCAATAGTAACCCAATGGTAAAATTATACTTTTTAGCAAGTCTCAATTTACACTTGTCATCCAAAATAACATGTTGTTCTCTCAATGTCAATGAAGGTTTTAACCATTGATTTGTTTTTTCATCTTTTACAGAAAAGTCATCCATGAATTCTCTTTTTATCATGAAAGAATTTGCAATTTCTTGTGTAATTTGATTCACAGTTTTCAATTCAAGAATATCCACTGATTTTGCAAATTGTTGATCAATATCGAATTGAACTTGAGTTTTCTTTTTGAGAAACACACATTCTATGGTGCACTTTTAAAATGTGAAACCAATCAATCAATGGAACCACGTGAACAATTGTGATGAATGGACAGAATTTCATACTTACTGATCCTTTTAATTTCAAATCATTAAAAGTGAGTCCATAATTAAAAATCCAGTCACCTCTCGAACACGAGTTGTTGCTATTATTCATGTCTCCTCTCACTACGAACGTGGCATACTTTTCTTTGAAGGCTGCTAATGGATCCGAATGGCTCGATGATGACAAGTGACTCGCGACATCAAATCCGAGCAATGGCAACACTTTTTCATGAACAAAATTTTGCAAAGTATCACTTGGAAAACATATCAATTGTGTCGAGTGTTGTGATATCGATTGTTGTTGTTGGAGCGAGGTGTATTGTTTTTCATATTTGAGTTGAACGGTGAGTGTGGATTTGTGTTTGATCTTGATACTCGGTGCAGTGGTGGGAGAGGAGCGATTAGAAGAAGGAGAAGAGGATGAGTCGCCCGACGATGATGATGTGTTGTTGTTCTTGGCGACTGCTTTTCGGATAAAGTCCAAGGGTGGCATTTGTTCTGTGTGTGGAATTTTTTTAATGACATGAAACAACAAGTCGTGTTTTCTGGTAGAGTGTGAGGAAGAAGGATAATGAGACAATCAGGGAAATAAGAGATTTTAATCAAATTGTCAGGTTCAAAGTGATTCGGAATTGGCGAAACGTTTTTAATTAAAGGTCAAGTACGTCAGCAACATTCAAGAAGTAGAAAAAAATGTATTACATTCTGAAAACGCCAAATTGTGTTGGTTGTTCAATTGGAGCATTTTCACATGCACTCAAACTCAAACCAATCACTCTTCTTGTGTCACGTGGATCAATAACACCATCATCCCACAATCTAGCACTTGAATAATATGGATGGCCTTCATGTTCATACTTGGCTCTAATACCGTTCTTAAATGTCTCAATTTCACTTTCTGGAACTTCTTTACCGCTTCTCTTCAGACCTTCTTGTCTCACTTGAGAGAGAACAGAAGCAGCTTGTTCACCACCCATGACAGAAATTCTTGAATTGGGCCACATGTACAAAAATCTTGGGTTGTAAGCTCTTCCACACATTCCATAATTACCTGCACCAAAACTACCACCAATCAAAACTGTAATCTTTGGAACTTTTGCATTGGCAACAGCCATCACCATCTTAGCACCATCTTTTGCAATACCACCATTTTCATATTGTTTACCAACCATGAAACCAGTAATGTTTTGAAGGAAGAGAAGTGGAATACCTCTCTGGCAACACAACTCAATAAAGTGAGCTCCCTTTTGAGCAGATGAAGAGAACAAAATTCCATTGTTGGCAACAATACCTACTGGCTTGCCATAAATTTTGGCAAAGCCACTCACCAATGTTGTACCATATAATTGCTTGAATTCATCAAATCGACTTCCATCAACAATACGTGCAATAATATCTCTGATGTCAAAATTCTTTCTACCATCGCGAGGAATGATACCCAAAATATCGTCAGCACTGTATTTTGGTTCTTCAAATTCAGTAGGAATTTGATTTCTGTTGCTATTATTTTGTCCCAAAAAGTCCTTCTTCTTCATGTTCAAATTTGCAACAATTCTTCTTGTTAAATAAATAGCTTCTGTTTCATCATTGGCATAATAATCGGTGACACCACTTTGTCTACAGTGAACATCAGCACCACCCAATTCCTCATCAGTCACTTCCTCACCAGTTGCTGCCTTAACCAATGGTGGACCACCCAAATAAATAGTACCATTTCCTTTCACAATAATACTTTCATCAGCCATGGCAGGAACATAGGCACCACCAGCAGTACATTTGCCCATAACAACTGCAATTTGAGGAATACCTTTAGCACTCATTTGAGCTTGATTATAGAAAATTCTACCAAAGTGCATCTTATCTGGGAACACGTCGGCTTGATATTCCAAGTTAGCACCACCGCTGTCAGCCACATAGATACATGGCAAATTGTTTTGTTCAGCAATTTCTTGTGCTCTTAAATGTTTCTTGACAGTGATTGGATAGTAGGTACCTCCTTTCACAGTAGCGTCATTGGCAACAATCACACACAACTGATCATGAATTTTACCAATACCAGTAATAATACCACCTGCTGGTACTTCATCCTTTCCATATAATTGATAGCCAGCTAATTGACTGAACTCAAGGAATGGAGATCCATCATCGAGCATTCGATTAATACGATCTCGGACCAAAAGCTTATTTCTATCAGTATGCATCTTTCTGTACTTTTCACCGCCTCCCAACTTTATCTTTTCAATGACATTCTTCAAATCATTGACACCTGTAATATTGTGAGCATAGTTCTGTTTAAATTCAGAGTCGCGTTGAATATTGTTTGGAAGGACGTTGTGTGTGGTCTCTGCACTTGTAATACTATGATAAAATCTATGATGATGGGATGTTGTGGTTGATGATGAGAGAGCAGCAACAGACAACTTGCCCGATGAAGAGACACCGTTGCGCAAGGACGATGATGAAGCCAATAATTTGGCACGAGTTTGCTGGAGCATTTTTTTTGTAAAGTTCGGCTCAGTCCTAAGCCACCACTCAATGATTATCATGCAGTTTTGATTGAAGAGCAGGAACAATTCTATGTTAATCATTGACCGATTTGAATGATCATAGGTCCTGCCTCCACGTTTCTTTATCGAAAACAAGAGGAGTAGTCGACGACAAATTGATAGAGCAAGAAAAAATTTGCAATAGTGATGATGGCAAGAAATGTGTTGCTTTTGAGTGGAGGTTCCACTCGGAGGTTGTTGTTTTTGCAGCATCATTATCAACATTCTCATCCAATGGAAATAACAATAGTGATGGGAAGAATGATGAAATCAAGGGTTGGGTCTTGGATCAAGTCGACTTGTCGTTCTGAAAATTTTAATAACCAACACTGCCGTGCTTTTTCTTCCAAGATAACAACTTCGGAGCAAACTGTTTCATCATCAAAATCACCTGCAACATCATTGGACAGTGAAAAGGAGTATTCAAAGATCGGAAATTCTAATGACAACAACAAGGGAGGAGCTCGTTCCGTAAACATCATTGAAAAATTATTAACATCCCAAAATCAACAAGAACTTAACAATAATTTATTAACGATATGTAATCAAAGTGATATTACAGAAGAAAGATTGACTGCTGTACTATATCAGAATAATATTATTCAAAAATTTGGGCCATCCTCTCTGTTGATTTTAATGCAATTTTATGCGAAAAAAGGAAATGCTCCGAAAGTGAAAGAATTGTTTCAACTCATTGCAAATCCTGATGATGACATGAAAAAGTCATTGGTTCATTTATTGGCATTGGCAGGAAGCTCTTTGAAATCCAAATCTACCACTCAAGGCTCTCTTAATCCGAAAACAGCAACCAATCTCATGAAATCAATTCCCTCTAATTTACAAATTGCACACAAGAGAAGCATTTCAGAGCTTAAAGAAGTAGAGGACGCTCTAAAAAAGAAGAAGGATTGTGTGTCATATACTCACAGTGTTGTGATTGATGCTATGGCTCTCAGAGGAAGCATGACTCAAGCAGAAAAGTATTTTCAAGATATTCAACATGTTAACACTGAGGTTCTTAATTCCATGATGGATGGCTGGATTCGAATGCTGAAAACATCAGATACGCAAGATGGTGCTCAGCTACGCCTGGTCAAGGAAAGAGTACAATATTATTTCAACTTGTTCGATATCTACAAAGTTAATAGAGACTCCAGGACATATGTATATTTATTGAAATGTCAGTTTTTGGAGCTTCAAGTTGAAGGCAAAGCCGAAACGATGAACTCGATCCATGAAAGTATTGAAAGAATGGTTAAAACGGACCGTATCGTTCCAGATTCATATTTCATTTCTACATTTATTGCAAGGTTGTCTACCATTCCTGCAAAAGCAAAGATCAAGAAATTGTATTACATTTACAAAAATTTTCTAGGCAAAGCTACACAAAGTGACACCTCTAAATTGTCACTGTTACAAATTTTAGCTGGTGCAAAGTGTATTCCAGAAGCCTTATCTCTATTTGAACAAGTCAAAAACAATTCTTCCTCTCCACAAAGAACCCAATACTACGATACAATGATCACCATGTTTATAGAGAGTAGTGATTTTGAACCTGCCTTTGTTCTCTTTGAAGAAATGGTGCGAAAGAAAATACCACGATCAGAAAATACCTACCTCTCATTAATTTCACATTTCAGCAAGCTCTCTGACCATAAAACAGTAACCAAATTTTACGATGCAATGGTCAAGGAGGGTATAAAACCCAACGAAGAAATTTTGGGTCATGTCATTACAAGTCTCATGTACACCAAAAGTAAGGAAGAGGCTCTCAAGATTGTCCAACTCGCAGAGCAAGAGAACAAAATTACATCCAGTAATTGTACTTCATTCATTAGAGCATACGGATATCTTGGTGCACTCGAGAGAGCAGAGAGCGTATTTAAAATGTTCAAAGATACCAAACAATTGAGAGTCTACAATGAAATGCTTTATACCTATGTTTGGCTATTGTGTGTGGAAGATGCCATCACTCTCTATTTAAACTTTCCAATGAAGGGAGACATTTTTACCTATGAAACCTTAATAGAGGCATTGGGTATGGTTCGCGAATATGATGCCATTCTGGACACACACCAAATCATGCTTCAGCTTAACATTATTCCATCATACAAGTATTACGATCAATTGATATCCATATTAACCAAAGAGACTCCGAGTGAAAGCGTCAAGCAATTTCTTGGCACACTTCCCACTGAAATGTCACGTTTCAAAATTGAAAATGTCGAACAACTCATATTGAAAATTCTCTTCTAAACACATCAATGATGTGCGTGAGCAGTTGTAATTGTTAGCTCAAAGTAAAGGGTCCTTGAGATCATTCACGTTCAATTTTTTAAATTTTTTCAAAACAAAAAATGTCGCACACAAGCACCTCCAAGAAGTATCGCAATGTACCGAATAAATTACCTCCACAGATTCAAGCATTATTTGCTCCGGGACCTCCACTGATCCAACTTCCTGCTATTGATGAAAGGAGAAGGAAGCGATCAAAGCACTCGGAATTAACCGGAATTTCTGGTTGTGTTGATAAATTTGAACAAGAAGAAGTACAATATGATGCCGAAGGACAAAAGATTCGGACCACAAAATATGAAATGCCTGAATCAAGAAGAAAACGAAAAGAGAGAATAAAAAGAGAAAACGCTGAAAAAGCAGAGAAGGAATTGAGAAAAGCCTTGCAGAGTTGGGATCCGAACAATGATACAAAAGCAACTTCGGAACCTTTCAATACTTTATTTATTGCCAAGATGAATTATGAAACTACAGAGGAAACACTCAGAAATGCGTTCAGTAAATTTGGTCCAATCAAAGCAGTGCGAGTAGTGAGAGATTCCAGCACTGGCAAATCCCGAGGTTATGCCTTTATTGAATTTGAAAAGCATGAAGACATGAGAGATGCCTATAATCGAGGTGATGGAATGGAAATTGATCAGTGGAGAGTAATGGTTGATGTGGAGCGTGGCAGAACTGTAAAAGATTGGAAACCGAGACGATTAGGAGGAGGTTTAGGTAATTCTAGAGAGCCACTTCCACCAGTTGTTGAAGAAAAACAAGAAGAACGTCCCCATGACTCTGGATTTCGTAGAGGTGGAAGAGGTGGCTTCAGAGGAGGAAGAGGTGGAGGTGGATTTCGTAGGGGCTATGACAGAGGTGGCGATGATCATCGAAGAGATCGAGGTTACAAGAGAAACTATGACGATAGGTAGAAGAGTGTTTTTAACGAGACTCAATTTTTGTTTTTTACACAAGCTCAAAGGTAGGTATAATTCATTATTGTTAACAAATTATTATTCACATGAGGTATGTGGTAAGAGTTATTTATTTCACCTTACTGTTAATAACCACAAATTAAAGATTATTTTTGAAATCGATCAACAAAATGACTCAAGCATCACATTTTTGAATTGTTCTCCCTAATAATCTTTTCGAGAAATGCAATGATCTTTTCAGTTATTTGATTAACAGCCTCCTTAGCAGATGTATTATCATCAATCATAATAATACTACTGACAAACAAAATATTAGCATCTGTCAAAGGATTCACAACCTTATTGAAATCAGATTGTTTTTTCTTGAGGCATAATTGATAATTACCAATTTTTAAAAAAGCTCCAGAGCCTTCTTTTTTCTTCAAATCTGAAGGTTTTTTTCTAATCTGGACCAAATCATAATCATCCATTGAGCAAATGTCAAATGATGGTGCTGCGCCTGAGGTTCTCATGTCATAAAAGTGAACAATTTTAAGAGTGACTTCAAACGACTTGGCCAGTTGTGTCATTTCAACCTTTTGCGTGTCCTTAGATTGATCGAGTTGCCGTTGTATCTTTTGTTGCCATCCATTAGCTCCTCCCAAGTCTTTGGCCTTACATTGCGTCTTGTAAAGCTGATGCACATTGGTTCCACTATCTCCTCTTAGTGTTTGCTTAATAGTCTCGAGTATGGGTTTGAATGAGACTTTTTGGGAACCAGTGAGAACAAGTATGATAATATAATTATGCCACACATCGATGAGAGTTTCAATACATGTCAATGTAACATGATGCAACGTGTTTGAAAAGAGTTCCTTTTCTTCCTCTCTACATTGATATATGGCCAACAGGAGCATCATAATCACAAGTGAGGCTTCACGTCCTGCTTTCTGGAAATAATGTTCAGTAATATAATGAATCACATGAAGCTTGTTGATGAGAACTGGATCCATCTTTTCTCTTTCCTCCTTCTTCTTTAAAGTTGATAACGCTTGATAAAGAGGATTCATGAAATTATTCACAAATTCTAATTGTGTCATTGAGGTCTCGGATGCCAATTCTTCCAACATTTTCCCATAATTTCGTTGTGCATGAGAAGTGCGAATGGTGGTAACGTCTGTCTTTGGACGGGAGATGTAAATACATTCAAAGATCAATGAAAAACAATCTTCTTTCAAATCTTGAGACATTTCAATCCATTGTTGCATGGCATTCATAGTTGTGTCTTCTTTGAAATATTTACCAAATTCCAACTTTAAAAGATCCATTGAAGATAAATCTCTTCCACGGCAATTCAAAGTACTGAAAATAACAAACTCATTTTCACCTTCTGTTCTAACTAAATTTCAGAGGGAAATCCTATCTCAGCCGCAAAAATCCTGTTTCAACCGGATGCCAAAGGATTCTGTTGATTGCATCCGAAAATAATTTCGGCAGCGAGGACTATCCTGGCTGAATGGCTGTTTGCTGCGGCTGCAGGTTTGAAAGGGCCCTCATTCTTAAATTTCTTTTTCAAGAAATATCTGGTACAAAGTAGATTTTTAGCGATTTGGCGTGTGGATTGTGAATAAATAATTTCCTTCTGTTCCAAGTCATCCAAATATTCATTAAACTTGTTCTTTTTTGTAATCTGATCAGAAATGTTCTTAAAAAATTCACCGTCAACGAGGTACTTGTTGAAGAAAATGTTGTCACTTGAAACTTGGCGATCATTTTCAATCAAAATTCGTTCTTGTTGCTTGTGCCAGGATTTTTCTGATCTCAAGTAACGATTAATATCTGTTGCCGCTGCATGTGCAGGATCAATGAGAGAACGTAGAGCTGTAAAAATGATACAGAGTGAAATTAATCTCTGCTGTCCGTCAATAATCGACTCGAGTGTATATGGTGTGAGATTGTCCTTAAGAAGCCGAGAAGTGTTTTTCAACAATATGTTTCCCAAGAAATATCTTCGATCTTGTCGATCCAAAGCTTCTGAAATATCTTGACACAACTTGATCACATCTTCAGGTTCCCATTCATAGGGTCTTTGAATCGGTGGGATGACATATAAAAATTTGCTAAATATTTCGCTAATACTTTCGCATGTGCATTGGAATGCGTTCGTTGGCATTGGAATTGGTATCGCCTTTGGTTTAGCGCTTGAAGAGGATGATGTAATTGAGGAGGATGAGGAACCAACGACATTGGTTGAATTTAGCACAGAACTTGACGCCAATGAGGATGAACCTTTGGATGTACGTTTCTTCTTGGTCGAAGATTCAGTTGGAGATGCTTGTGGAAGCATAGCTTGACGATCATCATTTTCTTCATCATATTTGGCAGTAATGTTTTTGGTTTTTTCTGGAGGTGGAGTCTTTCTCTTTCCTGTCGATGAAGGTGAGGGTTGTGGTGATGATGAACTGGGGGTGGATGTCCCTTAGGTTTGCTTTTTCTTCTTGGGTGTGGTGGTTTGCTTTGGAGCCATTTTTTTGAGCGAGTGTCAAAATGTTCGCTTGTGTTGAGAAATTAAATGATGAAAGATGACGTGAATGATGAAGTGTTTGAATTGTGACCACAAGTCGTCAATACAACAACTCGTCATCGTTGAAACCAATGATGCTCTAAAAGATGACAGCCAACGCATGATGCGTAGATGTGTGACCACTTGTCATAACTCGTCATCTTTGAAAAACAGTTACCTTCACCGTAGATACCTATGTCTTTACTTGGATGTGTCAAGTCTTTGAATAAATAGGTGGTTTTATTGAGTGAAATAAATATTGTGCTCATGAAACACCACTCTGAAATGTTACTCCAAAACAGCCAAAACAGCTTCACCTTGAACCAAATCTCCAACACTATAAGGTAAACTCTTAATAACACCATCTTTTGGTGCAACAATCTTGTGTTCCATCTTCATGGCCTCCATGACGAGGATAGTATCTCCCTTGACAATCTTGTCGCCTTCCTTGGCCATAACAGCTGTGACTTTTCCAGGCATTGGACTCTTTAAGGATCCCATGTGAGCTCCTCCCTTTTGTTCAAATGCAGCCAAAACTGGGACAATTTCATATCGTTGACCATCTCTGGTGAAAATGTAAATGGTCTTTTGGTCATTACTGAATGCAAGAGTACTGTGGAACTTTCTATCATCAACAAATGCAACAATTTCCTTTGTTGTGGCATCGTAGGCTCCACTCACAACATGAGTATTGTTTCCAATTTTCATGACAAACTTAGTTGTTGAGGTTGGATCCCACAAGTGTTCAACACTCACTGAAACCACTTGATCCTTATTGTATGGATGGTGGAACTCAAAGTTCTCATCATGGTTATGATTGAATCTCAGACCTTTGAGAAGATCAAATGGATCGCTTGATCGAGTTGTGTGACGGTCATTTCTAACAATTAAGGAGAGAGTAGCCAACAAGAAGATGGAATCATCAATCGTCTTTTCTGGGAAAAGCTCATTGTAATACTTTTGAATAAAGTGAGTCTCCAATTCAACATTTCTAAATCTTTGATTGGTAGCCAATCTCTTCAAAAATTCAATGTTTGTTGTCAATCCAGAAATATGATATCTGTTCAAGCATGAAACCAATTTACGGAGAGCCAATTCTCTATTTTCTCCCCAAACCACAAGTTTTGCAATCATTGGGTCATAATAAATAGAAACCTCATCGCCTTGTCTCACTCCAGTTTCAACTCTAACTTCACCCTCAACTTCCTCAGGAGGACTCAAATAACGTAATGTACCAGTTCCAGGCAAGAAATTGTTTTCTGGGTTTTCAGCATAAATACGAGCTTCAAATGAGTGACCTCGTCTCTTCAAATCTTTCTGGAGTAAAGGTAATCTATTGCCTGATGCAACTTCAATTTGCCATTCGACTAAATCTTGTCCTGTAATCATTTCAGTCACAGGGTGCTCAACTTGAAGTCGTGTATTCATTTCCATAAAGTAATATTTCTGGTCATCATTGTCCATGATAAATTCAACAGTACCAGCACCAACATAGCCGACAGCACGAGCGGCATCTACAGCACTTTCACCCATGGCCTTTCTGACAGCATCGTCCAATCCTGGTGCAGGTGCTTCTTCAATAATCTTTTGATGTCTTCTCTGAACAGAGCAATCTCTTTCAAAGAGATAGACACAATTTCCGAGAGTATCTGCAAAAACTTGAATTTCAATGTGACGAGGAGTTTGAATATATTTCTCAATCAATACCCGGTCATCACCAAAGGATGCTTTCGATTCACGTTTTGCCGAAGACAAAGCTTCTTTGAATTCCTTTTCACTCTTGGCCAATTTCATTCCCTTTCCTCCTCCTCCCATCACTGCTTTAATCAAAACTGGAAAGCCAATCTTCTTTGCCTCTTCTAACAATTTCTCTTCTCCCTGTTCATCACCATGATAGCCCGGAACGACTGGAACCTTGGCCTTTTCCATAATTTTCTTACTTTCACTCTTTGAGCCCATCGCAATGATTGCTCCTTCAGGTGGTCCAATAAACACAATTCTATTCTTTGCACAAAGGCTAGCAAAATTGGCGTTTTCAGAGAGGAAACCATAACCTGGATGAATGGCTTGAGCTCCACTCTTCTTGGCAATTTCAATAATCTTCTCACCCAATAGATAGGATCGGCTAGATTCAGGTGGACCTAACAAGTAGGCTTCATCAGCCATTGCTACATGCATGGAATTGGCATCGGCTTCACTATACACTGCAACCGTTTGAATACCGAGCTTTTTAGCTGTTTTAATCACTCTGCAGGCAATTTCACCTCTGTTGGCGATGAGAATCTTATCAAAGAGTGGTTTCTTGACTTCTTCTCTTGTTACAGATTGATTGGTATGGTAGGATGAAGAGATGGGTTGTGTTCTTGATAAGCCACGAACAAGCAACGCAGAGGCATGAGAAGAATTTACGTTCATCATCATCATGGAGCGAGAGGATGATGAAAATAAACAATTCTTGGTTGTGCCATGACGATCATGCATCGTACTTGTCGAGTAGTGCAACTTGGCTCCGGAAGTTGTTGTTGTGTGTGATGAATTTGTTGAAATGCTTCTGGAGGCAGAGGTAACAGATTTTCTAATCATTTTTGATGATTTCATTTTTTTTGTAACGTCGGGCTCAGCAAAGTCTGAAAAAGAGCCAAAATTTGAAAGAGAGTTTGTTGGTACGTGTTTAGATTTGTTCAACTTATGGTTCTTGCGATTCGTCTCCTCAGGATGGAGGCAGAAAGAGGTATTGGTAAAATTTACGTTGATTAAAAAAAATATTTCTACTATGAACTATCAATCATCATTGTTTCTTCATTCCCGAATGATTCATTCATGAACCCGTTGTTGCAACAAGAATAACCAATGATATAATGGAAGAGCGATTACACTTATTGAACATTTTTCAAGAACAGACTGCCCAATATTTTGATAAAATTTATCATCAAATAACAGTCCCAATACTCATGAATAGCATTAATAATTCCAATACGGAAATTACCATATGCAAAATTAAATTATTGATCCGAACTTGGAGATCTCTTTATAAACTAAGAAAAAAACAAGACAAGGAACAATGTTATTTCACGTGGTGTCCCATGATGATGATGAGTAAACAAATGGCACAGGAAGAACCAAATACCCTGTTACAAAAACAAGCGCTCACGACTTTTAAAAAGAAATTTAAAAAAACAATTGTAAATGAATTGGAAAAGAATGAAGAAATGAGAAGGAAACAAAACATGGTGGACAAGTTACGGAAAATTGACTACTATGATCGAAAGAATCAACAATCCAAGTGGTCCACACTGTATGCTGTTGAGCACGATGCGTCAACTTCTGGAATGGAACTCAGATTTTTTGATTTGGAAAATGTTGAGAAGGAAATTCATGAAATGGTGCAAACATTCAATGATTTCAACCACAAGTCACAAAAAGTTCACAAGTTGGAATGGGATGAGCCTCTATTTATTACAAGTAGAATTTCTCAAGTCTATTCTGCACCGTTTGAATTGTCATCCTCTCAAAAAACATCGAAAAGAAAGATCGCACCACCATCCATATCTTGTTTGGAAAATTGTAAATATTTCGTTCCTGATACGAACGTAGATGCTTCTAATTTATTTGAAGAGGAAAAGGTAACGATCGACCGTATCATGCTAACTAGCTGTCTAGACATGGAAATGTTGAAAAAATTACGTCAAATTAATGCAGAAACTCCAGTAATAGCCAAAGACGCGGACGATGAATCAACAAGAGCCAGTGGTTCTGTATTTATTAGGGTACCGATACAGGTGAGTGGTGAGGATCATATGGAAGATAAGTCTTCCAAAATAAGACCCATTCTATTTCAGAGCAAGTTACAGCAGTTAAGAGAAGCAATATTGAGGCATGAGTGAGCACGTAATTAGGTTCCATGTAGAATAGGGCGAAATAAAACCTTGTAAACACAAAATCAATGTCACACAACACTCCAGAGGCAAGGCATGAATGTGTGCACTCAAAGTTCATCCTTAAACATGTGATTCACAAAATATTTGCATTCTGCATGTCCCACACAAAGAATTTCAACCACACAAATATACGACTGACCGTTGACAGCTTGTCTATAATAATCAACCACTTGATCGAGAGTATCAAACTGCGAGTCAGTACTCTGGTGTTGCAACATGACTTCCAAATGTTCGTCTAAAACATTTACAAATTCTGGAAGTGACGTGTAGGAGGGGTGAGTAAATTCCATGTTCCAAACAGGAATGACCAGATCCAATCGTCGATCTCCATTCACACTTTCAGTCTCCATACGCAATAGAGTATACCCAGGTTCAGAGCTTGTTTCTGAATATTGTTCAAAGGTGTTGTGACTGTTCAGGGTGTCGCTCATGAGGGCATTCTTAGATGGTGATTTCATATTCCTTCCTGGAGTGGAATCATTTTGTGATCGCTTTCGCTTTTGTTGACGTTCAATTTGGATATCATTGATGATACACTTGACAATGATAATTTGGTTTTCCTCAAAAACTAGAGTTGATGGAATCTCGAATAATTCCTTGAAATAAATCCACTTGACAGTCGGGTGTGCTTTTTTGAAAGACTCCAAATCTTGATATTCTGGTAGTGGATATTCGCGTGATACTCCATGCATGTCAAAATCGCTGATTGAACAATCCATATATTTCCTAATTATTTTCCTTGTCTTATTTCGCCATGAAAATATTGCTTCAACTTGTGTTTTCATGTCGTTCGAGTGTTCAACAATGGAGAAAAATCCTGAACCTTTCAAGTACTCTTCTGTAAAGAAATGAGTTACAAATGTACTTTCCAAGAAGATAAACTTGTCCGAGTCGTCCTCGATCGATGTTGAAATTTGTTTCACACGGAGATCACTGATAAAAATTACTTGCCCTACTTGCACCGAATCTAATAAACTCTTCCTGGAATTTGTGAACAATTTTACAGACATCATTTGTACTGAACTAGGGTCTACCAATGTCAAGTATTTGTACTGAGAAAATTGAGAATGAAATTTTTCTCTTCGATAGGGTCCAACATTCACAACTACTCCTAGAATATTGACAGTTGTGTCAGAGAGTGAGAGTTCCATAATTTCATTAATCGTTGACACAGGAAATGATAAAGGTGCAAACTCCTTGATATCTTCCAACTGTTTGGGATCAATTTTTTGAATTGGCTGCTCTGTTTTGGATGAATTAATCGAAATTTCATTCTTAAACTTGACAGTAAATACTCCTGAATCAAAAAATTGCTTCACTCGGTAGTCATTAACAATGATAATGTCTCCAACATTCAATTCTGCGTATGAATGTAAAGCAAGATCATTCCATATGGTAACAGGCACACCTTTTGGTGTTGACTTGTCTGTGATCAAGAGCGTATAAAACATTGGATATGATTTCTCTTCATAGGTCTTTCCATAATATCGAATTTTCGATTTTTTGTAAATTCTAGCAAAAAATGAATTTCTTTTAGAACTTGCAATAATTTCTGCCAATTGACAAGTTTCATCAGGTGTTGGATCTTCGAGTGACTAGTCAAAAAATTAATTTAAATTAATAAATGGTCAGTTGAGTTCCAAACCGTCAAAGTTGGCCAAAATGAAAACTTACAATTTGTGGAACTGTTCCAGTAAACATTTCAAAATCAAAATTATCATCATCCAGTAAGGGCATGTAATATCCTCTTTCGGACATTATGGGACGAATATTTCCCTTTTCTTCATCTAAAATTTCAGTAAAATCATCCAGAGAATATTCCAAGTTATTTTGTGAAACCACTTCTAATGAGTGAATAAAGATTGTTCGTTTTTGCTTTCCTTTCACTTTTTCATCCATTAAAACTTTAAATTTTGTGATTCGAATAAGAGTATGTTCTTTAATCTGAGACTGTATGATCATTGAATTCATCACGGGAGAGAGAATGATGATTAAAGCCATGGTACCATCCGTCACAGTTAATTCAAACGCATCTTTGGGAATGAAGGAATGGGTGAGACTCTGAAAGGAATTTGTGGTTGGTTGATTCGAAACTCCAATGTCATCGGAAGTGTTGGATGTTTTATCATGAAACATGTGAATATCAGCGAGATGAAGAAAATGGGAATCAATATGAACTGGTGGTGTGATGATCGGAACCATATACACGTAATTAATACAACACAATCAGTAAGCCAAAAATTCGGAACATTTACGTTTTCAACAAATCACCTACATCTTTTGATTCTCAGCACTACACATTCCACGTTCAAAGTTCTCTCATGGGGATCTCGAACCGAGGAAAGCAAAGTCAGGCCATCCATTGCTGATTCTGTGATCATTTTTTTGTGAACAATGGAATCAAACAACAATACGAGAGTTGACAACAATTTTTTTTGATTTGTTTATTTGAAAGGCGCCAACATTTCATGTCTAATGAGCAAATAAACGATCAAATGCTTCTTGGTAGCGCATTCTTGCTTCGTCAGCAATTGAAATTCTTGATTGCTTATCCTGATCAAGAAAAACATTAATGTCTGGTTTGAGCATGTGAGACATGTCCAGTGCGCTTTTTTGATAATAGAGTGAATGAACAAGTAATACATCTTCCTCATTAAGTTGGTTCACAATCTCTTGATTGTTGAGAGCTCTGGAAAGAGTGTCTGCTACCATTGAGTATGATTGTGACATGTCGAAATTTGAAAATTTTCTACAACACACCAAGCAATAATGAATGAGATGTTTCACTGCATTAATATTCAAATGAGTGAAAGAGGTTCTATAAATTTCTTCGGATAACCAATAGGTGCATCGTTCAATAAAAATTCGTACCGTATATTCGAAGGGTGTTTTCATGTTCGGATAATTAAGGAATGTGGGATCTTCTAGACAGCTCTGACACCAGGCAAAGTTCAAAATTGCGATATGTAAACTGTTGTTGCAGCAGTGATACATTCCATTAGCCAATACCAACCAAAACATTCTAAATCTTTGAGATTGTTTCTTAATTTCTCCTTCCAAAACTTGGGAAAAAGTGTTCTCATCATTCAATATGGCTCTTTTTTGTAAAAACTCTTGAATTGCCGAGTCAGAAACCTGTACATGCTCTTCTCTTAGCTTTTTAAGAGCCTTTTTTACCAAATACAAGCAAAATGCATTTAAAAAGGTCCTATGTCTTGGATCCTTAGTTTGTTGTAATTCTACCACGACCGATGCAAAAAATGTTTTCGTGTCAATGAAACGCTGATCGATCAAATAATATGGGTTGATGCTCTTAGTGGCCGCTTGTGTTTCTTGGAGTAATAATTGATACTTGTTGTTAAGTTCGTAGTACATGATTTGTTGTTGAGTAAGATCTTGTTCTCGTAATTCTTTGAGACATGAAAACAATTGTGGTGATTGAGGGATGAAATCGAGTAGAAATGCATTTTGGTAGAGTCTGGCTTCGGATGAATTGGGATCTTGTTCCAGCTTTTGTATCACTTGTTTCAAAACTTGTAAAAGTGTAGAGTTTGCATTGGCTTCTAAATCTCCTTGTTCTGCATTCCTATAGAACATGTTGACTATTGAAGAAGTCCAATTTCTCTTTTGTTTCAAATGCTTGTATGTTAGCTGAAGTTCAGACATTGAGTGACTTCTTTTTTCGGCATATTCAATCGCTTTCATGCTTTGAGCTGTTTTACTCACTGCCAAATACTCATTGTATATTCTGAGGGAATAAATAAAGGCCTTATTCATTTGATCCGAAGGAACTTGTGAGTTTTTGTGAATGAAATGGGCCCATTCGTTTCGAATGGCTTTCAGTTTCTTTAGATAATGAGATGCTTCATTTCTCAGGACAGGATGGCGCTTCATGGTTATTGATAGATTTGTAAAGTCTAAATCTTGAAACTTGGAAGATTTTTCAGATTGTGTTCGAATATTGAGAATCCAAAACAGCTTTCTACTGGTTCGAATAATGTGATGAAATATTCTAGTCAGCATGTCAATGTCGTTTAGATCAAAAGGTACAATTGTGGATCCTCTTTCATGCCGAGGTGGAGAGAGAATAGCTTGATCCTGTTCAGAAATGGCATAAGAACTGAACTGTATATCATTTGGTTCAGAGCTAACGTATTGCTGGATAGACTCAGGCAAATAATTATTATTATTACTGGTATTAGACATGTCGAGAGTGCAATTGTTGTTCTCCGTTGTAGTGTTGACGTTTTGAAAAGCATCAAAGGCTTGAATATTCAACAACTCACACAAACTCGGAATGATCTCTGCTTCAAAGATATCTTCATCTACGGATTGGAAGTCATCACGTTGGTATTTGAGAAGTGTTGAAGCAGCTTGTTGTTTGGTGAAACTATTACCAAAATCCTGATAGCATAAAAGCCGTACCAAATCATTGGCTTTGCCCAAAAACACGGGAAATAAATTTTCGGGAGTGATCAAAAACTCATATTGGAATAGTTTCCCCAACTCACGGCACAAGGGATTTTTACGAGAGTCGAAAGGACTCATTGGAGAGAAAGGAACTGAGCGGTCGATGCCACTGTTGATCGAGGAGTGGTAATGATCAAAATTTGAGATGGGTGTTTGTGGTTGCAACATTTTTTTTGATTTTTGGAGATAAGCGGCATGAGGGAGAGAATTGTAATTCTGCATCAGAATTCCCAAGTGTTCATGATTTCTTGATTTTGTAGTATTCTTAGTGGTGCTTTCCATTAATTACACTGAGGAATTAGTTGTAGCTCTTGAGAGTGAATGACATGCACATTAACCACACAGCATTGGTTACTGACATTTCATCATCTCATTGTATTTCGCGTTCTGCAACTGTCGGATACAATTTTCCAACTTGTCGTTCCACAACATTACGGAATGGCATCCACTGGTGATCAGTAATGATAATGAAATTGCAGCAACCGCAGTTTCTATATGCAAGATTATGTTCCGGAGCTGAACTAATCGATAAAGAAACATATATGAAACTTTACGACCACTATCGATGGAATGATAGAAGAACTCAAGACGTGAAAAGATTCAAATATGCAGAAAAGGTTGCCACACAAAGTAATATTTATTCGGAGCCAAGAGCAACAAACGACATTAGAGCTGCAGATAACAACCCAAATATCAAGACAATGACAGAGACGTCTATTATCCGAGCCATTAAATTTTGTACAAGAAGAAGCTTAACATGTAGGATATCAAAAGGTTTTAGATGCACACCTTTAGTGGTTTCAGCTGCAATTTTGTCACCAATTGTAACACCCACACAACATTTGGTCAAATTTACATCTATTAAAACCTTGAAGGACTGCCAACATTATTTGGTAGATAATTGGGAGCAAACCAAAGAGGGACAGTTGTTATTAGAAGAAGAGTATGATGAATTGTTTTTGGATGGTGCTTTTTCCATAGATGCAAGGTTTGCATTACCAAAGGATTTATTAGGAAGATTAGAATCTTCAAAATTTTCAATTGTCGGAATGTTTTCATATTATAACAAATCTGTTATTGCTTGCACGTTGTTTGAATAGACATAGTTCGCCAGTGGGTTTCACCAGTGAAGTGTCCTTCTATGACCTTACAAAATATGTATTGAAAGGCTTCGTTGAATGCAGATTCTCGTTGCAGCGCTCCAAAAATAACAAAAAAAAATTAATCATTATTGGCTCTTCTTGCCGCACAACGTTCTGCGCTGCTGTGAGTTCCGAAAGTCATAGTGTTGCATCATCGGTGATGACAATCAGAACATTTGACAATTTTATTAATATTATTGTTTGATATTATTATTAGTCCTTCGGTTGAGTTGTTGTTTAATTGCCACTGAAAATTCCGATACCTGATTCTCGCGTTGGTTTCAAGCAAATATGAGTGTTGAAATTTCGTCATCTTTCCACGTGATAATAATTTTGGATACTTTTCAAAAGAGGGATGATAGTTTGCTTGCAAAATTTCGCAACAAAATTACGGAGCCTTTTTGTCCAGAAAATAGAGACCCACGATCGTTGCTTTCTCACAATCTCAAACAATTATTAGGACTCTATGACTTACAAACACGATGGAGCCGATTATTCACGAGTGTACATTTTCTATTTATACAACGAAATGATATCCAATCTCAGCTGAACTTTGCAACCAATGCAATGACAATGAATGGAAGGGTGAGCCTGTACTGCTACGATTACAAAAGAAACTTGCATTGTATCTATGAAAGAGTTTCAAATATGGTTTCGCATGAGGACGAACTTTTACTCGAAAATTGCTTATCCACTTGTCATGACAGCTTTTTACAATATTTCAGCGTCCTCAAAGATAGCTCTCAAACCTATCACTTGCTTAGAAAATTTTACAGGAACCTAGAAGAAATTGTTTATAGCCAATACAGAGGACATCCTTCCTCAAGTATCTTAAAATCGATTGCATCTCAAGTGATGAGTGCAATTCCAGTTATATCTCGATTGATGGGACGCACATTTCATGAGAAGTTTATTCAGCTCAATTTCGCCAAAGGTGACAATGGACCATGTATTCAAGTAATTCAACAATATTGTAATTTTAAGATTATTATCACGGAAATTTTATTAAGAGATATCATGGTTTCTGATTTTGGATTCGATTGTATCAAGATTCGAATTGATCCATTGGTCTTTTTCAGACAACGACTTAATCAAGTTTATTACGACTTTATGTTGCAACAAATGCGAAAAGTTTATGAAAGAGATTACAACAGAAAAAAGGCAAAGAAGGCCCTTAAAAGAAGCGCCACACTGAACAAGAGTCAGAACGACAAGAAAGAATTCATCAAATATTCAACAAGAACATCAAAAATTAATTTCAAATGTTTCAAATTTTGGTACAATCAGTGATAGAAAACGAAAGTGCTGTAAATGTTGCAATAGAAAACGTATTTTTCAACAGAAATTTGAGAGTGTGTGGCAATAATTTCGAGAAACAGGTCCTGTTTGTTGGTTAAGATGACCACAATAACAGCCTCATTCCTCGCACGCATTGTGGTCACCACCTTAATGGCTTCCAATGAAATATCGAAAGGAGAATTTCGCAATTCAGTGAGTGATAATATTAAAAAAAAGAAGCACATTTTCGGAAAATTACATTTAAGAACCAAAAAAAATTCATGGCGAAAAGGAAACAAAAACAAGGTCAACTCTCTCCTCGTGGACAGCAGCAACACCATCATCGGAAGCATGCACCTAGCCTCACTCTTGATGAGTTTATCAGAGTGACTTCTCCAACCAAGGAGGAAAGCGAAGGGGATGATTTGTTGAACAATACTCAATCGAAGGACCTCCTAAATCATGATCAGCAAGAAAACCACTCGAGAAATACAGCCATTGGTTCTAGTACTGACGAAGAAATATTGCAACAACAACAAGGGGATGGCCACGATCAACAATTACATCATCACAACAAGCAACCATCAAATAATTCAAAAATAATTCTACAAATGGACAACTCACTGTTAGAGCGAGAGCCAAAAAAGGAACATCCAAATGAGGAGCATACTGATGTTCAAATCAAAGTTGTTGCAGAAGAAGATACACATCCTAAACCCTCATATGACGACTTGTCTCACAAGGTTGAGGAATATGGACATCAAGAAATGATGGATGGAGTACAAGCCTCAAACTCTGAAATTTTACAAGAGTCTCAAGAAACTTTTGAAAGAGTGAAACAAATCGTGGGTGCTGACGTTCAGGAGAGTCCTCGTGATATAGACGAAGGAAAGGAAGAACATTTAGAGCGTAATGACGGTAATTCCTCAACCCGATCAATTCGGACCTCAAACACCAATCTTGTAGAAGAGAAACAAAAAGGTGAGACATCTTCCGAGGTGTCACTTGAAAAACAAACATCATCTTCCGAGAGTGCCATTTCCTCCATTGCGAAAAAAGTTGTGGGAACACTTCCAATCAGAAGAAACTCCATTGGCAAGAAAGATCTTTCACACATTACTAAAATGACGCTCATTACTGATCGCCCAACCAACACAACCATTTGCTCTTGTCTGTTGACACTTGCAAAACCAATTACTCATGAAGAGCTTCTCAGCAGATTAAGGAAACGTGTCCTTTCCAAATATCCAAGATTTAGATCCATTGTCAGTCACGATTATCAAAGCTTCCTTGAATATGAAAATATTGATCTTGAAAAGCATGTTCGCTATTTGAGAGTACCTAAGAGTGGCATCAAGGAATATACAGCACAAGAAGAGAAGGCACTCCTTCAAGAATTTCTAGGTAAAATCTCAATGGAACCCTTAGATTTTTCCAAGCCATTATGGGAGCTTATCGTGATTGATAATTGTCCGGCTTTGGGTTACCTTTTAATGTTCCGAATGCATCATGCCATGGGAGATGGAACCAGTTTGCTCATGTTTCTTTCTCAGTTTTGTGACCAAGGAGAAGAGCACTTCAAGCTTGAAATTTTTGCGATCAAAGACCGTTTCTTGGCCAAAGCAGTCAGCAAATTAGAATCAGTTCCCGTCATTGGATTGATCGTGAGATTTTTCAAATTCCTATTATTTTTATTCGGATTGTTTTTAGTGTTTATCAAATGGATGAAGCTCTTAATTCTCAATGGTCAAGATAGAAGCGTTTTCAAAACGGCCATATCCACAGAAAAGAGAGTGGGCTGGTCTAAACCATTTGACGTGTCCGACATCAAACATGTTGGAAAAACTTTTAACAATGCTACTGTGAATGATGTTGTACTAAATTCACTTTCTGGAGCGTTAATGAGATTTACTGAGAGAAGAACAGACAAAGAGTCGGCAAAAAGAGTGACCTTCTCAATGCCTGTCAATATTCGAATGAGCAATGACGAGTTTGAAAAATTGTCCAACAAATTTGGCTTTATACTTGTACCTGTGGACTTGAAAACACGAGATCCTGTTGCGAGACTCCGCTATGTGAAGAAAGTGACTGACAAGACTAAAAGTCTTCCCGAACCATTCTTTACCTATAATTTTGCCAAGCTCACGTACATTTTGCCCGCAGAAATAGTTTTCTTTTTGGTAGCTTTCTTATCCAAGTGGATCACATGCGTATTCACCAATGTTGTTGGATCGAGTACAGAATTAAGCGCAGACTCTATTCCAGTGACAGAAATTGTGACATTTGCTCCATCTCCAGTTGGAGTTGGTCTGGCATTTGCTGTCTCATCTTACAATGGAAAACTCTGCCTTAGTGCCATCTCAGACGTGTTGACAGTCTCGGATCCAATGGAACTGATCACAGATTTTGAAAATGACTTGGAACAAATTATTGCCATCTCCAAAAGTAATGAGCTTGGCAATCGTTGAATGAATGAACACGTTCATACCGAGTTGATTTTTTGACAGTGCCATCACAATGAAAAATGCAATGGTCCACACACAATAAAGCAACACGTTCTCTGCAGAGTGAAATAAATTTTAATAAAAATGAATGACGATGAGGAGGCAAACAAACAGCAGGGCTCCGCGAGCATGGATGACCTAAGCAAGAAGCGTCATCACGAAGAGGAGGAAGATGAAGAAGAGGAGGACGAAGGAGATTCCTCCAATAATGAGGAGGATGATGAAGATGATTCAGATGTTGAACGTAGAAAAGCGGAATACGAGAAAATGAGGCAAGAAAGAATCAATAGAAATCAGCAATTATTAGAAACACTCGGACTGAAACAAACGATTGTAGGTATTGATGTATTTTCTTAAGCTAATTATCATGAATCGGAATCATATCAACATGATCAACATATCATCATCAACAACAACAGGCTCTTTCTCTTACACCCACCAAACCTTCCAATAACAGTCAAGTCTTTGATGAAAGTGGTGCAGACATGGCCTCACCGAAAAAGACCAAAAAGCGCAAGAAGGAACCACCTGAAACGAGTAGAACATCCTCACGAATTTCAACCAACAAGAGAAAATCTAGCTACAAGGAACAAGAGGAGATGGGTGGTAAAAAGCTGGAGGAGGAAATTCTTGCACTTGTGATAAAGAGAGCTAAAGGAAGAATGCAACAAGCCAAATTCTTATCGGAGCTTCATAAACGATTTCCGAAAGAAATAATGATGGAGAAGCTTGAAAATTTACCAAAGCCCTCTGCAGAATCTGTAGAATACATCAATGAGTTTCTAGTACCAATATTATATAATGTAACATATGAGGATGACGAATATTTAGCATACTTGTGTGCTGGCCCAGAAAAGGCCGTCAAAAACTTGGTACTTGCTTTTAATGCTGCTGTAGTCTCGAATTATACCATGAATTTTTCTCTCCTTATTTCAGTATTTACAAATATTACAAGCAGAAGCAAGAAATTATTAGTTTTGCAAACCATCGACTTGTACTCTGTTATTGACAGCACTGACGTCCCAGTCTATGAATTTCTGTATTTATTGAGAAATATTGTGCTTTCAGACACTCCTGGAAAACGAACAAATGAATGGTTTTCCAAGAAGAAGAGTCGAGAAACCATGGCAGGCGTACTAGGCGGTATTTTAACAAGGTTACAAAACGAAACAGACAGAAAGTCGGAATGCTACTCCCTATTTATTGAAGTGTGTGCAATTCTTTCTCGTGACAAGCTTACCTCGCAAATTGTTAAAGATACCCTCAAATCATCTCAACTAATTTCTGTGTTAGAAATGCAAATTAATGCTCCCACACTTCCTAAAGACGTTCTTACCTCTGTTTATCTTTGCTCTCATATTCCTCTTGCCAATGACAAAGAAGAAAAGAAATTATTGAAGTTGGCCAAACAGAATAGAAGCCTCTTTCAAGACACCATTCCAGACAATCCATGGATTGACTTTTCTTTCATTGAGGATTTACTAAATTCTTCCACGAATAGATATGTAGCATTGGGAGTTTTGGCGTTTGATGGATGCTACGATGTTTTGGATGCCACTTTTTACACACTCAAAAATTTACTGACCTCAGAAGAAGTGGCAAATGCTATCGAAAACGTGAACGATACTGAAATCAAAACCATTTATTTGGATCTAGTTGAGAAAGTTAAACACTACAAAGAAGAGGACGATGAAGAAGAGGGAGAGGAACCAAAGGAAGAGTCACAAGAGTAGAATCATGCTACAAAGGTAATCCTCTGAATGACATTTATATTAATCTATTCTTCCGTAACAAATCCTTTGTTTCCTGATTCAATTCCAACCCTTGTTGTTTCATGTGTTTCACCAATTTCAGTACTTGGTTTTGGTCGTTGCCATACATGGCAAATCTAATTAAAATATTGTAGGTTTGCTCGTTGGCACCAAGCTGCAGTTGTTGCATATCCTTCAGCACTATTACAGTATTTGATTTATCTTTGATATCTGCAAAATACCGAAGTAGAAAATTCATCACGTTCTGATTTAACGAAAAGAAGCACTCTTGTTCTAAAAATTTGGAAAGTTCTTTTGGTGAAGCTCTTTCAAACTCAAGAGCATATCTTTTCATGATTGAATAAACGTCCAGTCCGATACTAGACAATGAGAGGGTACTTTCCACTTGTTGTACCTCCTTCTGCTTTCCGTAGCCATGTAGAACGTCCAAAACTCTGATAATTAAATTTTCCAATTGACTTGATGATTTTGACAATTCCTCTTCATTTGTTTCAAAAGGATTATCAAATAACGTGGTAAAAACTGGCTCTTCCTGCTCAGTGGTACTAAAGGACTTGGTTCCTTCAAGCCACGTAATCTTTTCAATACATTTTGCAATGTCTTCTAAATGTGATAACAGTGTTTCCACCCAAACATCTCTTTCTTCAGCCTTTGTAAAATCCACACCTTGATCCAAATGAGAGTGAATCAAAGATATCATAGTTGAAATATTGTTCTCTTCCTTTTTAATTAATGATCGTCTATCATCGGAAGAGCTTGTTTTGTAGGAACGTAATTGGCTTTTTGAATTCAAAATTGTTGTTGCTGATGGATTATGATGAGTGGTGATTGGATGGGCATATTGAGTGCTACCTATTATTTTAGTAATTTCACGATGATGATGACGGAGATTACTCTTGGAACAAAAACATGTCATGCTGAAATTTCTCTTGCAAGAAGGATGTAATTCAAAATCCCTACCATGACTACCAATGCTGCAGACTGGTAGGTAATTTCCGCTCTCCAAATAAAGCACATTTCTCGTTGTTTCTTGATGGTTTCCATGATGGCGTATGAATTTCCGTGATGTTGCCGGCAACCAAGAACTTTTCATTTTTTTCTTCACAATTTTTCAAATTTACAATCCGAAAGAATGGTTGTTGAAACACAAAAACACACAAGGGGAGTGACGCAACCCGTGAGGCTCAAATTTTTCATGACAGCAGTCTCAACCTAAGATGTTAAACGAGATTGCTGTTACCAAACGGATCATGCCTCAACAACATTAGAGTCTTATTCATTGTGTTAATTTATAGTGATTCTTTTCCTGTCAAACAACAAGAGCTGGTCCGAAGGCTCACTGGCTCACTTTTTTTCATTTTGTTCGGTCTTTGGGAATGAAACACAGCAGAACGTCCTCAATTTTATTTCAACATTTGGTTCGTTCGCATGCAACCTGATAATTTTTAGAGAGAACCGCCAAAAAAAATGAATCAAATGCCGCTGGGTTTTGCACCGCAACCGCCACGAAACCATTTTCAAAGTGAAAGTTCTCATCCTTTCATTCCGACGACGACGACCACAACAGGCTCGACATCATTCCCACACTCGAACTTGGTGTCTACATTGAATGATCATCCTTCCTCAACGATGCATGCTCCTTCGATACATTATTCGTCCACATCGACAGCAATTCCCTATTATCATCAGCAACAACAATTCCATCATTCCTTTCCTGTTGGGGTCTCTAGTCAAAATAATTGTGAAATGAACCATCCGACTCGAAATCATTATGGATATTCTGTACAGTATTATTATCCTCAACAAGGAACGTCTCAACAGCACCAACATTTACACACCCAACCACCTTCGTGGTCATCGTCCTCGACAGCTCTTGCTTATCGAACGCCGACCACAACAGTCATGCATTCGGACCGAACAAATCCACCACCGAATTTATCGAATGCTCAACAAGTTGAAACAGTGAATCAAGTTGTGATGCCTTCTTCAATTCAACAATATCATTATTCAAAGATCCCACAAATTCCAACTAATTCTTCCTCACAACCACCATCACAACCAATGAACAACATGGTTAATAATTATCATCATGAAGCAAAGCCTGTGGTAGTATTGAATACTGAACCGAATGTGAAAAATGGATATTACATGTCACAACAACCCATTTCACAACCCATTCCACATACTACACCTTCAACATGTAATTTCACAACGAGCCAATATTCAACAGTCAGTAATCAGCAACAAAAAAAGAACAATACGAATTCAGATAGTGTGACACTCTCAAAAATTAGTAACCATTTCGTTCGCACAACACAAGCATCCTCTGGTGTGTCATCAACTCAACAACAACCTTATCAATCGAGCATGACACAACGATCCTCAATTTCTCAACCTATCAATGACTATGATAGTACAGTTTCGAAAAGCTCGTTCATGTCTCGATTGAAAACAATCAAACCTATCAAGAAACCTGTGACAAATACCCGTTCTGAGATTGATAATCATCATAACGAATACATACGTTCTATATTTCATGAAACATTTAACAAGGTGGATTATCATCATCGTTCATTGACTAGAAACAAGAGTGTGACACCTCAATTATGTGAAACTCTTCACAGAAACGCGTTATTAAGAAATTATGAGGAAAATCAATCTTGTAGTCAACAACCACCACCACCAGTGAGTAGTAGTAGTAGTCAAAATTCCCAAACTCATCTGTCCAGCATACGCTCTTCTATACCAACTCCAATGGTACCACAAATTCCATCTCAATCCATCTCCATCGAAACTCCACAAGCGGCAATATCATATTCAGAGAGACAAGTACCCATATCACAAGCGACAATATCATATTCAGAGAGACCCAAAGTACATCAAATGTCCAATGTTCAAACAATGTTGACTCACAATTCTGTTCAGCAACAATTGAAATCCGTGTCACCACTCCCATCTCAAGCAGTAACAACAACCACCGAGTCAGGAACATTTCACAACATTTTTGTGGATTCACAACGAAATGCTATCCATGACCTTAATACTAGTTCACAACGAAATACTCAAACTGGACACCTTAATTCATCATCTTCTGTCCATAGCACCTCCTTTAATCATCAACCAGTGAACAACACCATCAACAACAACATCCATCACACTGACCTTTCTAGTGCTCTCATGAATCATTCTCAAATGTCCAATACTTGTTTTAGAAAACCAAATCATCGTCTCTCTCAGCAACATCTCATGGCCCCACCACCTTCACCACTCATTTCTAGGTCCTTTTCCTCAACGAACAACTTGATGATTGCAACAACTAGTATCACTCCACATGCATCACCGAAAGAACAAGTGATGATCACAAATTCTTCTCAACTTTTATCCGTGTCACCTTATCCCTCTTCGAATGAAATAATTGTTTTTAATTCTTCTCCTCAAACACCGAAAACGATTCATTCCACTCAGCATCAAGTTCACAACATGGACTCGTTATCATCTCATCAATTGCAACAGAAAACTCCTCTTCAACCCATTCCACTCAATTTCCAATCCATTATTCCAGGATCCTTGTCACCTTCTCCTCCAAAACAATCGTTCTCTCCTACTGTGAGTGGTGGAACTATTGAGGATCAAAGAATTCGTCATTCTCAAAGAATATCGTCGCCTGCTGTCACAAGTCAGCAAGTCGATTCACACAACCAGGTTCAACATGAACAACACTATTCAACCATTATGATTCCTACTCCTCCATTGACCACCACGACGACTGTCTTGCCACAAGAATATGGTATGATTGAAAACACTGTTTCAGGAATGGAACATTTTCATCAGCATGCTCAACGACATCATTCAATGATCAATGACAATATTAAGGCCACATTGGAAACGTGTCCCAACACTTTCAATCATGCCACTACTACTACTCGTAATGGTGTGGAGTTGAATAATGCTACTACTACTACTCGTCATGGTATAGAGTCGAATTCACAGTTGAATCAAGCTCGAGATGCGACATGTCATCCCAACTTTTCATCCACTTGTGTGACACTCTCATCGAATGGTATCATTGCACAACAACAGCCAATGGATCAAGTTGGATCTTGTCGTCTTTTGAATCATGCACTTCCATCATCCATTTCAACCATGCCAGCGTGTGAAATGAATCATGAAATTTCGAACACTCATACTCGTGCAAGTGACATGCATGACCTACCTTCATCGTCATTACTCGTAGCATCACAACAAATACCTTTAAATTCTGAAAGATTATCGACATTTGTTGAACTTGAATCGAGAATGAGTCATCCACCTGTTGAAAATCATCACACCACTACCAATACTAGTACTACAAGATTACAGATGAATTCCAATCGAATTTGTGATGGTTCTTTCACACCACCAATTCCTGATGAACAAGATGTGCAAGTCATTTCTGACACAAATAGTCAAGACGAACAAGATTATGGTGAATTGTTCTTCAAGAATGAAAAATATAGACAAGCATTAAGATTGGAATTGAGGGAATTAAGAACACTTGTACATGGCATTTCAGAAAATTCTACAAGGAATCTTTCCATTTCCAAAAATTACAAGAATCGAGCTTATCGATCCAGTTGGATCAACAAGACCAAAGAAGGACCTGTAATTTTTCTCAAAAGAGATGGTCATTATTTGAAAAGGTGTAAATGGATCAAACAATTGCAAAGAAGAACATTGGATTCTGGAAATGGTAACTCTTCAAAATTGTTGACAGCAGCAACATCCTCAACAACACCTTCGACACCAGTTCATTCCAAGTCACGACAGTCATTTCATCATCATGGAAAACGACCGAATTCAGAATTCTCTACGACCACACCTTTGCCTTCACCCATGGTGAGTCCAATTGTTGCCAATGCCTCTGCTGTACAACGATTGAGTCTTCACGATATGGATGGTGATGAAGATGTCCCTCTTTTAAACCAGTTAACGAGATTGGATAATCCAAACACAACGGACTCTTGGGTTGAATTTGATTTATTATTGGAGGTACCTGATGGTTCATCAACATCGACTCCATCCAAACAACAGAAAAAACCCAATAATGAATTGTCTGACATGTTGAAAGGTTATTTCTAAGTCATGGTAAAACTTTAGGTACAAATCAAGGCAAACATTGGAATGTACATGTGTTGGCACATGGATGACTACAATGAACATGAGCCTGATGTAGATAACAATTATTGCGACTACAATGGAAAGTTTTTGACTTGTTGTTGACAATATTTCCACCCGAAAGATCTTTTATTTACAATGTTGACGTTGATACTCGGTTCTCATTTCTCGTGCTTGTTTTCGTGTCCATGTTTTTCGGTACTTGTCCAACTCGTCTGGAGGCATGTAGGTCAGTACTTCTCCCTTCTCTTGCATTTGTTTGGGATGTACAAAGGTTTCTCGGGAAGTTGTAGCAAAATAATATTCATCGGCTGACTTTTCTCTATTCTGGACTGGATGATTGTAAAAATCAAGAGCTGGCTGATGACCTGGGAATGAGGATTTAAGAAGATCATTTTCTCCTGCGGATGCAACAGCTTTCGCTTTAAACGAGTGGATATTAAGGCCCGAGGGTATCTTTTGTGTGGCGTTTGGCTGAGGCTGTTGAGAGGAGGGTATTGATGATGAAGAGCTACCACCACTGATTGAATTTTGCAAAGAATGTTCCGTACTGTACATGGTTTGAAACGAGTCGTGTTTGCTTCCGAGTAATCTCGGAGGACAGTACTTCTCACTAAACTGTTGATCCCATTGTTCTTCGTTGTAGTTATGAATTTTAACCTTGTAGTTGTACGTTCCACTCGCCATATGGGTTGTTGTTGTTGATTCTTTTTGGATGATGATGGTAATGAGAATTGTAGAGAGAGAAATCTCTCGGGAGTTGATGATGATTTTACACGAACGGGAGAGATGAACTGGGAGCTATAATACACGAGTAATAATTGAATGCAAAACTCGTTCTTCCGAGTGGTTGTGGTAGTCTTTGATTACTAGCAATCAAAAGGTATTCAAATTTTTTTTAAGGCCATGAGTTAACGAAACATTTAACCGCCAAAAAAGTGTTAAAACTACTGTAACGTTAAACGTTCATTTCAAAAAAAATGTCGTTTTTTTATAAGGGAAAATCGCCAATGGATGAAATTCCAGTTCATGAAATGACAAAATATAATCAAGCTCAAACAACAATACGACGATATATAACGAATGAAACATTGCAACGAAAGAAGAGACGTAAGAAAAAAGATTCGCAACATCATCATTTGCATCGGAATATCGGAACACAACGTTGGAATTTTATTCGAGCAGATTCGGAGCAATCCATTGATCCAACGGCTGGAAAAGGAGTAGACAACACAAGCATGAATTCTTCCGATGGCAATACACGAGTTTTACATAAAAAATCATTTCGTAAGAAGAAGCATCCCAAGACTATCATTCAGCTCAAACAAGAACGAATCAAAAAGAATGAAACCATGTTTAAGGAGATCGAAAGCTCAATTCGAGATCAAATTAAGGATGATGATCTGGACAGTGCAATTGCAATACTTAAAGACCAGAGATTTGCCTCATCTAACCGTGATGTAACCAGCCTACTTGCCAAGCGACTAGATGATCAAGCTGATAAACGCATAAACGAAACAGTTGGAGTGGAATCTTTTCGTCAAAAAGATAACAAAGGAAAGAAAGAGCCTGCCATTTCAGCAAACAATGAAAAGCAACCAAGCAGCATACCGTCTTTGCCGAATTTGTATCAGGGTAAATCCTCAAACAAGAAGGCTACTTCCTCCAAAGACAGGAGGTCCAACATTTCACACTTGGACAATCTCGAAGAAGAATCTGACGATCCTTTCCATGACTTGTTTAATCGTGACACCGATTTTGTCACGGATGACATGATTCCCGCATATCAAACCATTCACCCATTAGAGTTGGAAATGAAGGAAACGATAGATTTTCCATCAGACTTGTTGGAGGGTGACGAAGAGCTCTACATCGAAGACTCAGATTACATTGATTACAAGAAGAGATTAACGGAAGGCTATGATTCAGATTCAGATCACGAAAAATTAGTTGCAGAGGAGCTGGACGAAAAGGCTAAATATCGACAAAAAGCACACAACTTTACAGCCATGTGGTTTTTGCCACCGTCACAATGGACCTCAAATGCGACAGATGAAAAAAAGAAGAAGAAAGACAAGCAACTTCACTCTGAACAAGTATTGAATCAGCAGTTGCAAGATCTTTCCAGTTCCAAACTTTTCAAATCCTTTCTCGTGAAATCGAATGCATCTGTGCCGAATTGGTTGAAAAATGTGAACGTTTCTAAAAATCAAATGGAGCATGAAAAGAGTGCTGCAGTAATACCAGCGATTATTAAGAGCCTTCACAATGATAGTGTGGTATTGTAGAGTTGATGATGGCTGTATTATTTTCTATTTTCAGAAAACCACTTGGCCCATAGTTCTGTAACCTCAAAAGCAAAGAATGCACCAGGATCTACGTGACCCAGTACACGGTCACCCAGGTAGCGTGCTCTACCCCGTTTTGCCAACATTTCTTTGGTTGAAAGCATTGCCTTGTTAGCAATTTCTGATATGTTTTGGGAGAAGTGAGTGTTGTCCAATGTATGGCCGATGTCTAGTTCTTTAAGAAACTCACTGATAGGAATGAGAGTATCAAGAAGAGTTTTATCACCAGCTTTGGTGTCTCCTAACTCCATCATTCCCTGCGTCGTGACAATCACGAAAATAAAATTGGGTAGCCATGTTAATAGCTATTTTCGAAAGCACAATAGTGAAAAATAACTTACCTGCACCCCATCCTGGAAAGCTTTAACATGTCTCTTATCAATATCTCCTGGTGATTCTCGTAATGAACGAGCATACTTTAAGAAAAACATGGATACAATTGCGCCACTGCTTCCTCCTGCTTTGTGTATTGAGGTTCCAATACCATAAAACAGTGCTTGAAGGCTGTTGATGGATTTACTAGTTTTCAAAATATCTGTTCTAATGTGCTTGGCCGCTCGTTTCATGGAGTCACCAAAATCTCCATCTCCTACAGCACTGTCTCAATAGTCATGACCAAATGGATTGCGTGTATGATTTCACACAACAAATTCAAATAAATGACATACAGGAGTATTCAAGAAACGCCACAATGAAAGACGTAAATTCTTGTTACCACTTACCTATCCAATTCATTGTAGTATTGATATCTCGAATCAATGTGATCACATACAATTTCTAACAATTTGATAAAATCCTCAATTATCTTTCTATCGGTCGTATGATAAACCTCGTCAGTTGTGCCCATTGACGCCTCATGAAATGAGTCTACAGTCAAGTACGACACATCACGACAAGAGTCTTTGGAATCATGATCTAGTATGCTTAATTTAAAACATTCTGGCCAAAACAATGAATCTGTTTTCCAATCTAATAATTCTAAAATTTTGTCATGGTCACTTGTTCCCAAATTCAATAATGTTAAAGAAACTCCATGCATCTAATGAATAAAAGGTACACAAGAATGACAAACAAACTCACTCATGTATCTGAAAAAAATCATTTGTCACTACTTACGTTAAGAGCTGTCATAAATGTACCAACATAAAGTCTCTCCAGTACGATATTACATTGCTGTAAAATTGTTACTACAATTTTTACAATATTATACATCTCCAATAGAGTTGTTGAGCCTGAATTTCAAGTGGTAACAACGAAATTCGTGTTTTTCAATGAACGACCCATTTGTACACGTACCTAAATTATTGACCATCAAGGCACATTTCTTTGCATCAGAAGAGACATTTGTGGACTTGTGTTCAAGAGAAATTAATTGTAGAATCATTGTTTGAGAAATTTCTAATGCTGCATTTTCTCTTGGATATTCCAATCTCGAAACACCCTTTTCTCCATGAATTCCTAAACCCAACTCGTACACTGCATCACTATCCTTCAAGTCATAAAGTGGTTCTTGATGTCCAGGTAAAGTAATACTATTCAATCCAACTCCAATACTTCGTATAAAGGGTTTCTCAAACTTAATTTCATCCACAGAAGATGGAGACATTAACTCAAATGATTTCATAACATTAACAATTTCGTCCAGAGAATAATTATTGTCTGCCATCGCTCCACACAACTTGTGTACAAACACCGTACCTGCAACTCCTCTCTGATGTGTGACGTCTGTATTGAAATCATGAATTCCATAATAAAATTGCACAAAAAATCACAACACATACCATCTCCGACAACAATCATTTCAACACGATAATCATTTTGCAATGCCATCTCTCTAGCCAATCTAAAATTTAAAATATCACCAGTATAATTTTTCACAATCAATAAACACCCCTTTCCGTTTTCCTTGTTGGTTTTTGTTACAGCTTGAATGGCTCTATAGATTTGAGAAGTAGAAGGAGAAGTAAAGACTGCTCCACACACTGCAGCAGTAAGCATTCCTTTTGCAACAAAAGATTCGTGAGAAGGAGAATGACCACTTCCACCACCCGAAATGAGAGAAACATGTTTCGTATTATCATGAATTTTCCGCAACAATATGGTATCTACAGTTGTTGAGGAGGAGGAGTCTTGATCATCCGATCTCTGTGTTGTTTTAATTAATTCAAGTTGATTTGGAAATATGAGAGCCAAGCCTTCAAGAGCATTCCGAACCGAATTGAGATGCGAAGGTTGATCCAGTAATAATTTTTGCATTTTTTAATGATTTTTATTATTCCTTGAAAATACACAATTATCATGATCAAATTTACGAAATAATGTTCTTCTCACTACTGGGATACTTGGTATCAAACATGTCGGTTCAAAGATCTAAGCAAATAATTTTTATTGTAAATCCCAACAAAAAATGAAAGTCACTCTCGGCAACCCAAACCTTCCAAAAGACGTTATTGTGAATGAAGTTGCTCATTCCAAGCCTCTCTCCATCTTCCAGGAAGACGTATCAGAAATTAGAAAAGCAACCAATGTTTCCACATCTCGTACTCCTGTGTATGCTTTGAGCGGAAAATCATTGTATCCTAAACACTACTTTGGATTTTTACAGAATTTGAAGCAAGTTTGGGCTCCAAGAGCCACCTCTGCCGGATTCTGGGGTGTTACTCTCGGTTTCTGGGCATGGTATGCTCTTATTCCACAAAGGTGAGTGTTCATGGTGGCTCGTGATTCAGCTAACGAACGAGATGATGATGACGATGCGACTTGAAACTTTTGTTATGCGGATGATGATGATGGGAATAATGATAATTAATTTTGAATGAATTGATGATTGGAACACCCACATTTATGAATGTATGATAATGATTGGATGAATGGTGTATGGCACATACAAAACAACAACACACATTTTCAATTCTTGATGATATTTATATCCAAACCAAACATATTTCTTACGACGCTACGATCCGTACAACAACAAATGTTATCATCAACCATTGTTACAGCAACATGGTTTTGAGAAGAATTTTCCTCGGAGAACATCCAGAGGATTAAGAAATGCTAGCACATTGGTTTTCAAATATTACAATCATATATTATTTAATAAGAGATGGACTTTAGCAGTCTAGTTTAATGGTATTTCTATAAAACAACACGAACTAAATTTTGAATTGTGTACATTGGGTATAAACAAAACCTCTTTACATCACAGACGAATTAGTACCATCATCCTAATTCACAAGTCTTGGGAGCGAACTGTGGGATTGAGAAACTACTATTGTTCTTCCTTGCTCTTCTTTTTCGTCAACCATCTTACTTTGACCTTTTCGTAAGGTTTGTCCAATCTCTTGACTCGAATCACAGAGAAGGGAACTGTCAGCGCCATTGTGGCAAACGAATCTTTTGGCTCGGCATCCTATGGCATATTAGCAACACGGTGAAAATGTTTGAAATGTGAGCTTTTCGAAAGAAATCATTGAAACAAACCTTGGCATGAATAATAAGAGTATTCTTGTCCGAGTCGAATTGAACCTTTTTGATCATGCACGAATAACCACCAGTAGGTTTGTTTCCAGATGAGACATAGACCAATACATGGCTATCAAAGGAGGTGTGAGTTTCGACTTCCTTCTTGATTCCAACACTAGGACAATCCTTGGCACTGTTGATGTGGTGATGTGATTGAATTATGAAAATTCAAGATGAAATAAATATCAACAAAATGTTATTTTGCCAAACGGAAATCATGTGGAAAATCGTTCGTGTTGTATTCGTCCATTGTTACAAATTATCATCATTTTCCAAGATCCAAATATTGAATCATCAATTATTTTCATCTGTAAGAACAACACACCACCATCAACACTTACGACTGCAACAATATTGCATCTCTGAAATCCTTTTGTCCGTAAATTCCAGTCTGAACCACTTCAAATTCTACTTCAATTTTCGATTGATCCGATGTTGATGGTGTGGAAGTGGTTGCCGAAGATGACATTTTTTAAGCTGAGAAGAATTGGAGGACAACATCACTCACCCAACAAGTCTTTTCGAAAACTATTTCCCCCTTTCACTTTTATTGTTAATTATTTAATTTAGCCTCCTTCAACGATCACAAAGTTCATTTTGTAATAGAGATTTCGCTCGTTATTGTGTTCATTTCATGAACAGTTTACAATAAAGGTTCCGCGTGCTTAAAATCTCGGCTAATAATGTTCGAAAAAACAACTTTCAAAAAATGTCTCAAATACCTCTGCACAAGATTGTACTTTACAACAATGGACTCTGTTCCTTCGAGCGAAGAACCACAGATCCCATTCGAGGAGATCAAGAACTCACGCTCTTCTTCAAAAATTCCAACGACAAGGACATTACCAAGTCCATTAGTTTCTCCACGATACCCGTCTCCTCTTCGGGAGATTCCAATAACAAGAGTTCTGTATCCAGTGTTTCCTATCAAAACACGGTGGAAAAAACCGATCAACTCAATATTTCCATTCCTCAACATGATCCCTTGACCGGAATGTTGAGAGAATTGAAAGGAGCTTCCATTACTTTGGCTTTTCACGGCGGTAGCTCAGATGTTTCGGGCGTCTTGCTTGGTGTTGAGGATTTAATGGATCCCCTCACCAAAGTCAGCGTTCCATCGGTGGCCCTTTATACGAAAACGTGTACCATTCAGAATTTCATCTTGTCCAATATTGCGGGAATCAAATTCAATGACCCGAATATTCAGGCTGATGTTCAGCACAGTCTAGAATCTTATATTAGCCAAAGAAATAAGGATCTTTTTAAGTTGACTGTTTTTACAAAGGGTGAGAATGATTATTTAGTGCAAGCCAATTATGATTTAATGTCTCAACCTTGGTCTCCAACATATCGATTCAAATTTCAACATGTCCCTAACACTACTTCAAGTGATATTAGTTGTACGGATCAATATACAAAGGGCATGTTAGATTGTTTGGCAATTATCAAGAATGATCAAGAAGAGGACTATTCCAATGTGCAGCTTATCTTGGTCACTGGTTCTCCACCGTTGAGCTCGAATTCATTGGCCACTTCTGGAAGTTTGAACATTTCTATTGTGAATGCCAAGTCTGGAAGTACCTTTTCGATGCAAGTCAACCCCTCCACACTCGTCGATGAAGTGAAGCGACGTATTCAACTCTCTCAAAACATGTCATACAGTCGGATCAAATTATTCTTTGCTGGCAAGTCATTAGAAGAAGGAAGAATGATGAGCGATTACAACATCCAAAACGAGAGTCGCATTCATTTGAAAGAAGAATCGAGTAGTGAAACAGAGGATTCTTCTTCAGATGGCACTAGAAGCAGCGGTGACTCCAATTCACTCAAATCCTTCCGAATGGCAGATTCATCCAATTTATCCTTCTTTCCCATTGAATATCCCATTACTGTGAAACGCAATCAGCAAGCCATGATCTCCTTCCTGAAGAAACAAGTTGATGTGAAAAAGGTACTACTTTTTAATGAAAGTATCAAGACTGGAAATCCATTGAATGCTGTCATGTTTCAAAACACCACAGGATTTGTTTTGGAACCAGGAAGTATCATCTTCCGAGATGAGAATGAGAATGTGGTTGGAGAGTCGGCCCTTAATCAAATGTGGAATCAAGATGAAGCGTTATTACCAATTTCACTCCAGTTGGCCATTGAGGTCAAGAAGGATTTCAATACAAGCCAAACCGAGTATCATCAAATCATGATTAAGAATGGATCCATTTCATTGTACAAGTACAAGAAACAAACAGCAAGCTATGATTTTGATAATAAGAGTCCGTACAAGTATGAAGAAGTTTTTGTGGATCACATGTTTGTTGATGGTTGGGATTTAGAGAGCACCGAAGGATTTACCAATGCTGAACCTGTTGATGTTACCGATCGATATTATCGTTTTAGTGGTCAATTATTGGCCAATGAAAAGAAAAAGTTCCTAGTCACTGAAAAGGCCATCAAGGTCGACACGATCGACCTTACATCCATCTCGTCAGAGGTGTTACAAAAACATTCGAAATATATTCAAGATCCATCGGTATTGCAAGCATTGAGAGAATCGATCGAGTTGAGACAAGAAGCAGATTCCATTATGAGTAGAATTTACAAGACTGAATCAGACATTCGAGAAGTGAAAGATGATCAACAACGTATTAGAAGTAATATCGAAGTAGTGAAGAGTAATAATCAACAACAAATGAAATACATTACCGAGTTGTCAAGGAAGGACGATGAGCTTGTGGAATTGTATAATCTCAAGAAGAAGTTGGAAGAAGAAAAGAATAATATTAATAAGAAGCAAAAACAAGTGGTCATGTCTATCGCCTACAATGCCGATATTGTATTGGAAGAGAAAAAGTGAAATAAATGAACAACTCAAGCAGCCTTAATCAAGAATTGACATGAGGAGATGGTAGTTTGGATAAAAAGCAACAGCCCGCCCGCCAGTTAAAGAAATTTGGCAACTCATTTTTCGAAATGACATCTGACAAGGGCCAATCTGCTGAACTTGCCGATTGACAACCGTTTCTTCGTCCCTAAAACAATAGCGTTATTATTGATTCACATTTCTTCACTCGCATTATTAAATGGGCAACAACGTTGGTGGAAGTGGTATGTTCATTAACATTTCATTTTAACCATATTGTGTTCCAATCCACATCTTGATTTTGAAAATAATTATTTAATCATGATGACCAATCATCAATTTCATCATTGATCCAAAATCACCAAACCAACATCCCAAACCAATATTCAAAAACAAACAACAATGGAATGACATAAAAGTCTCTCGAAGTGATCTCGGACTTAAACCATGGTACATGCTCTATGAAATTGAACAAACTCTCAACACTGGCGATTTAGTCTTGTTTAGTACCAGATCCACACCTGGTCGTTTATTTCGCTTTCATACCAACAGCAAATATTGTCATGTCGGAATCATTGTCAAAATTCCCAAAAGTGACAAGTCCAATTACTCAGAAAGTGAGAGTTCATTAATTCAAGGAAAACCACCGAGTGCCGAACACATCTATGTATTGGAACCTCAAGTAGATTATGAACAATTTTTGGATTTGTCCTTGTTGCCTGCTGCTGCTTTGAATTCAACCATTTCATCAAAATCGAGTACAAGTACCAATGATTTAACACAAGGATCATCCATCATGTCCTCTTCAACGTTCAAAATCAAAGTGAGAGCAAGTATGATACGATTGAGTTCAAAATTATATTCTGGATATTATGATTTAGTTTCAGTGAGAAAATTGAAATATTTGAATGGTAAAAAAGGTTCAGATTTGATTCATTCTCAACTCTTTGATTTACTTTTCAATAGAGATTTGGAACGAAAGGATCCTCTGAATGATCTTGCAAATATTTTGGAAAGTGAATTTACATTTTCCATGCATCCACATTATTTTAATCACTTTTTTCGAGAGAGTTTGTTTGAGAATGGTTTGATTTTTGCGTCACCCCCTGAAGATCGTCAATTATTGATCAGTGCCAATTTCACTGCTCTCATGTATGACAAGTTGGGAATTTTCAAAATGGAAAATTCGAGTATCATTTCAAAATTCACACCTTTTCACTTTTCAGAAGATTCTTCTTACAAGTTACCTTTTAATAAGCAATTAGTGATGGGATTAGAAGATCCCATGTACATTTATTTAGATTATGAAGTATTTGCTGATCAGTTACGAGTTGAAAACAAGACACTCCCTCTCAAAGTTACTGATTTTCCAATTTCTGACAAAATTGTGAGAAATCGACTCTCTCTCAATTGGAATGAATCATTGATTTCCACTCTCAGAAGTGGTGATTTGATTTTCACACAAGAAGAATCAAGTGTAGGTCGAGCTGTTCGTCGCGTCTGGAATGGTTCTCTATATTCTCGAGTTGGAGTCATCATTCGTATTCAAGGTCAATTCTTTGTTTATGACATTGCACCCTATTATTTGAGTCAGGAAGAAGCAAAAACTCCAAATTGTAAAATATTGGAAGGTCGAGTGCAGGTAAGAGTTCATCATTGGTTGGTTTGTTTATATATTAATAGAGAGATTTATATTTTTTCATTATATTTATATATTATTCATTATATAATGATTCAATGGAATATTCACACACACGTTTGTTCGTTCGTTCGTTGCAACAATTCGTGTTCACTATTTTTTGGAATTGTGTTGAATATGTTTGATTCAATGAAATATAGAGTTTACATTCATATTTGGCCAGTATTCCATTCATTCGAGTGGCAGTTCGAAAATTAGAAAGTGAAAGTACCAATGTATCCATGAGAATGCAAGAGAAGCGTGTCCATGTCTCTCTTCAATTAGAACAAACCAATGAATGTCTCATGAATAAGAGAATACGAGAACTCTTTGAAAATATTGATGGAACTTTTATTCCGCGAATTCGATTTGACGTTTCCAACGTCTTTTCGTGTGTGTTTGTACTTCTCATGCTCAAACAACTGAGATTGATTAATGTGAGCGATAATCCAATTGATTTATTGACATACACTCCAACACATTTATTGGACTTTAAAAAGTTGAATGGGGATTACAAATTGGGTGATGAAATGATCTTGTTGAATGCAGAAATTTTAATCAATCAACATAAAGTGTAGTGGAAGGGACTCTCTAGTAAATGTGTCATGGTCATATATTAGATCCGTTGTTTTTTTAAAAGGACTATTGACATACCCAACACATTGTCACCTTGCCCAAAACATCGGTGTTGAGTGGTAATTTTGTATGGTTGAACGAAGACATGTCCCAAAGTCTGAATAAAACTGAATTAAAATTAACGAATATTGCTGTCATGATCACAGCAGTGGTTTGTTCTTGAATACAGAAAAACATACTGCAACTATTTGGGTAACTTGAGTGTATTTCAAGATACAGAGATCTGTCCTGATTCCAATGTTTCGAATCGATCATGAAATACACTCAAGTTACCCTTTTAATGATAAAACGCTCAGTTCCGAAAAATAGAAAGGTGCTGCTGTCGGTTTCTATGGTTGACAAGATATCTCACAAATACACCATGGTTGTATAAGTCCACACAAAATATTTTCCCGCTCAAACAAAGTACAACAATATCAAAAAAAATGTCATCAGGGTACGACAAGCGTTTCGAATGGTTGTTTGAGAAAATTGCAGATGCGTTTCATATGGACAAGGAAACGATTGCAAGTGTCGGAAGATCGAAAGAGAACACCGAATTGATCGGCTCCTTCCTGGATGGAGTCGGAAATTCAAAATGTTTATTATGGTTCTTTTTCAGCCAAGGTGTGAACGACTTTTCCGATTTTGATGAAACTTTAACAGCAAGTTCAGCGAATACATACTCGAAAGCTCAAACAGTAATTTCTTTCGGAACTGTGGATACAGAGAGCACGGTTGCATCCATCAAATCACCTAGAAGCTCTTCGGACGGACCTGTCTTTTTAGTATCAACGGATTTTAATGCCAACCCTTTAATTAATAATGCTATTTGTATTTATTTTGTGAAAGAAGAAATCACAACCAACATCACCATGAATAATATTGAGGACATTGCAATGGGAGTAATATCAGGAAGCAAAGGTCTCATGAAGGAACTCAAGGACAGACTGGAAAATCTGTATGTTCCCCAGCTAAGGAAACAAAGTGACTGGGGAGAATTGTCACAATCGAATGACAAGAAAGAAGAAATCATTGAATTTTTAGAAAATGTAGAAAAATTTGTACAGAATGTGAGTGAAGCAAAAATTGCCCTTGAATCCTCAATACGATTGGAACCACCAAAGAAATTTTCCTCTATTGAATCCAAACCAAAATCCTTTTTGAAAACTGCTTTGAACAGGACCGACGTGATTTCCTCGTTCGAAGAAGCAGTGTCAACGTGGATGGGAGACATTGATGCTCTTCTCAATGAAGTGACAGCAGTGCGAGAGGAGGACGATGAGAGTGGACCTGCAGCAGAACTCGATTATTGGAAATCAAGAATGGCCAAATTTAACAGTATTACAGATCAACTGAGAGGAAAAGTCTGTAAAACTGTTCTGAGTGTTCTTAAAGCCAAAAAATCACCAATACTGGCAGGTTGGAAGAATATTGACATGAGAATTACGGACGCTGCTAATGAAGCCAAAGACAATGTAAAATACTTGTACATACTAGAGAAATTCAGTGAACCACTATACAAGAGTGACCCAGTGCAAATGATTAATACGTTACCCGCTCTCATCAACGCCATCAAGATGATGCAAAGGTAAGTAGTAACAGAAATCGAACAGGAATATTTTTTTAACACTCAGAAAAAATGTTTCCCCACCTTCCACTTTTGAATTCAAAACCACAAACGTTATATCATCAGTATTGCACGCTATTACAACACTTCCGAGAGAATGACGGCCTTGTTCGTTAAAATTACCAATCAAATGATTATTTGCTCGAAAAAGTATTTAATGAAGGATGGCCGTCTGTGGGAACAAGACACTGAAAAATTAATAGAAAAATTCAAAGCTTGCATTGATTTGAATGAAGCCTATCAGCACTATTATCGGAAAACTAAGAGCGAGCTACAACTCAATCCTTTCGGAAAGCAATTTGATTTTAGTGAGAGCGCAATTTTCGGAAAATTCGATCAATTTTGTTGGAGGATTCAAAAACTCATCGATTTATTTACAACATTTAATCAATTTTCCTATCTACAAAAGAGTACAATTGAAGGTCTGGAACCAATTTTGAAACAATTTAACAAGATCATCACTGTATTGAAGAGAAAGAAATATGACTTTTTAGATTATCGGAAAACTGTAAGTGAAATATTGTAAAACAACACTGTTACCAATCATAACAATCTAGATTTTTGATAACGACTATGTAGAATTTAACAATGATATTACCAAGCTGGAATTGGAGTTAATGACCTTCATCAACAACAGTTTTTCCGACGCTAGAACGACACGTCACTCATTGGAACTGCTAGAGCAGTTCAAGAAAGTGCTCAAGCAAGAAAACTTACAACGAATACTGGAGGAGAAATACAAAGCCATTTTCAACAACTACAGCAAAGATGTCGAGATGATAAAAAATATTTATGAAGAGAAAAGTAAAAGACCAACATTACCAAGAAATGCACCACCAATTGCAGGAAACATTGCTTGGTCGAGACAATTGATGCGAAGGCTTGAAGAACCTATGGAATTGTTCAAAAAAACTCCTGCCATTCTCGATTTAAAAGATTCCAAAAAAACAATCAAGTTGTACAACAAGATTGGAAGAGCATTAATTGGATTTGAGTCGTTATGGATGGAAAAATTTGATGACGCTCTGGAAACTGCTCGAGAAGGTCTTTTAGCAACAGTTCTTGTTGAACAAGGAAACCAACTATACGTTAATTTTGATAGCGACTTGAAAATGTTAATGAACGAGGTAAAATATCTTCAGATCATGGAATTAGATTTACCTGAATCAGCAACCAGTATATTTAACCAGCAAGAGAGACTGCTGTATTTGGAAGAAGGCCTCAAGTTCATGGTCAAAGAATATTACCGTGTGATGGGAATGCAAGATGAACTCTACAAGGGAATATTGAGGCCCATGATAAAAACTCTTGATGAAAAGATAAGACTCGGAAAAACCACCATAACCTGGCTCTCTGTTAGAGTGGATAGCTATATTGAGGATGTTATGAAATTCATCAAAACAATGGAAGAAACACTTGAAAAAGCCAATGACATTTTAACATTCAGACTCAAGGCAAATATTGATTCCATTACCAAAACTTATTTGATATCATTCACTCATGAGGTGAGATCCATTCAACAATTTCTGAGCGACAATGAGAAATTTTCCAAGCAAATGGCTTTGGACATTGACATTAAGAATCAAGAAATTGAATCAGCAGCCTCAGATCTGATCTCGATCATCACATTCAAATATACAGACGAAGAAAAATATCAAGTTGCAAAGGATTGTAGAACATTTAAAATTTATTTCGAAGAAAGAATGCTCGAAGCAGTTTCCAATTGCTTGCGGAACTCTGTGAAGCATTTGAAGGACAAAATTAGTCAAGATAAGAGATCCAATGCCAAACCTGTTTTCAATGTACAGCTTGCGTTATCGATACCAAACATTGTATTACAACCAAGTCTTGAAGAGATACAAAAATGTGTCAATAAGTGTGCTAGAGTAATGTTAGAATCAACTCAACACATTTTCAAATGGAGCCAAGACAAATCGAAGGAAAGAAAGAATATCTTTTCTCAAATTGGAGAAGATAAGACAACTATCAAAGGATTTTTGCAGCTCACTGGTGCTATTGCCGGGCTTTCTAGTAAGCTCAACGTGTTTATTGCAAAATTCCAGCAGTATGACTTTTTGTGGAAACAAGATCGATCTGAATCGATTTCTTCATTTGTTGAAGGAGCATCATCGGGAGCGTTTGATGATGAAAAGAAAGTTCCACCCTCACTTGAGGACTTTGAAAAGAAAATCAAATACTTTTCAGATCTGGAAAAGGAGCTTCAAGAACTGGATCAATACCATCAAGAAGGATCTTTATTGGTTGATTTGAAGCCAATCAAGACAGCTCTTACAGTGGAAGCATCACAATGGAAATTTTCATATGGTCAAGCATTGAACTTGAAAGCAAAGGCTGAAATGGAAAGTTTATTAACCTACATGGAAGAAACCACAAATAACCTAAAAAGAGATGTCTCTGATATCGAAGGAATTAACAATGTCATGAACGTATTGAATGACCTTCGAGAAAGAGAAAGCTCATTCGACTTGGCCATTAAGCCAATCAATGAAGCTTATGAAATTTTGAAATTATACAATATCAAGATTTCAAAGGAAGAATTGGAGCAAGTGGAGGATAACGGTTTGGAATTCAAGTGGAAGGCTCTCATTGCTCTTTCAAGAGAAGTCATGTCGAAATTCCAAAAAATTGGACCTGGGTTCAGGAGAGATCTGGAACAGAAAGTTAAAGCCTTCAAGACTGAGGTTTCAGAATTTAAAAAGCTTTACGACGAACAAGGTCCAATGGAAAAAGGAATCAATCCTAGAGTGGCAAAAGCCAGATTAACATCATTTAAGAGCGCCTTCGATGAAAAGATGAGAAAGTGGAAAACTTACTCCATGGGAGAACGGTTATTCAAAATGAAAGAAACTGAGTATCCAGATTTGGTTAAAATTAGCAAAGAATTGGATTGGCTCTCTGGATTGTATGATCTATACACCGAAGTGATTGTCACAGTGAATAGCTTTGAAGACATCATGTGGAATGAGATTGATATTGACGAAATGTCAAATGTGTTGAACAATTTTAATGTCAGATGTAAGAATATGCATCCAGCACTCAGAAAATGGGACGCATACATTGAATTGAAAGACACAATTGAGAATTTCCTGAATACGTTACCCTTGTTGGAAAAACTAAATCAACCATGTGTCACACAGCGTCATTGGAAGCAAATTTCTGATTTGTGTAAGAGATCTCTCGACTACAAGAATCCTGAATTTAAAATTAGAGACATTATTGAAGCCAAGTTGGTAGATCACAAAGATGACATTGAAGAAATTGTAAATGCAGCTAACAGAGAGTTAAACGTGGAGAAGAAGCTAGAAGAAATCAAAGAAGAATGGAAGTTGAAAAAGTTTGTGTTAGGAGACTTCAAGAATCGAGGAAAACTAGTTCTCAAAGATACACAAGATTTAATGCAAAGCATTGAAGACACTCAACTTGCTCTTTCGACACTATTAGGTGATCTCTACAATGAGCCATTCAAGCCCGAAATTCAACAATGGATGGTCAAATTATCTGTTACACAAAGCGTTGTCGATGATTGGTTGCAGATTCAGTCATTATGGATTTACATGTTTTATGTATTTACGGGAGGAGATATTGGTAGAGAGTTACCACATGTGTTTAAAAGATTCCAAAATGTTGACAAGTCTTGGGTGAAAATCATGTCAACAGCAGAGTCAGAACCTAATGTTATCAAGCTTTGTTATCATGACGAGATGCTCAGAGATTTGTTGCCTCATTTGAAAACACTTCTAGAAAAATGTCAACGAGATCTTTCAGGATATTTGGAAAAGAAGAGAATGCTATTTCCAAGATTTTATTTCTTGTCTGATAAGCAAATTTTAGAAATTTTGGGACAAGGAAGCGATCCATCATCAATCCAAAAACATTTACTCAGTATTTTCTCCAATATTGCTGAAGTGGAGTTTGACTCGAGACAAAAGAATCATATCATTGCCATGAAATCATATGAAGGAGAATATGTACCGCTCGTTGAGCCTGTAATTTGTGAGGATAACATTGAAGTATGGCTCAACAGACTTGTTTCAGCCATGCAAGAAACCGTTCATGAATTGGCCAGAAATATGAGCTCGACACTACTTTCAGATCTCGCTGTCGTCGAAAACAATTCTTTTGGTAGAGACAAGCTCACCAAGTTTATTGGTGACATTCCTTGCTCACAGCTTGCCCTCCTTGGACTTCAATTGTTGTGGACTTGGGACAGTGAGATGGCTATTCGAAATTCACGAGATCGAACATCAATGGCGAATGCTAAAAAGAAGTTTGAGACCATTTTTAACCATTTGGTCACTCTCACCACAAATCCAAAGCTCACAGCTCTTCAAAGAACGAGATTAGAAACTCTCATTACCATTCATATCCACCAAGTAGAAATATTCCAAGAGCTATTCAAGAAGAAGGTTAAAAATGTGAATGACTTTGAATGGACTAAAAGAACGAGATTCTACTGGAAAGCAGAGCAAGACAAGTGCGTCATTTCTATCACAGATGTTGACTTTGAATATTGCAATGAATATCTTGGATGTACAGAAAGATTGGTCATTACTCAATTAACAGACAGAATTTATATTTCGTGTGCACAAGCAATGGGAATGTTTTTGGGTGGAGCACCAGCTGGTCCAGCCGGTACTGGTAAAACAGAAACAACCAAAGATATGGGAAGAACCATGGGCAAATATTTCATTACCATCAATTGTTCGGATCAAGGTTCTGTGCACTCAATGGGCACAACGTTCAAAGGTATTGCTCAAAGTGGTGCCTGGTGTGGTTTTGATGAAATTAACAGAGTCAAGCTTGAAGTGTTGAGTGTTGTCGCTGCTCAGGTTGCCTGCATTTTCGATGCCATGAGAAATCGAGCATCCAAGTTTACCTTTACCGATGGTTCTGAACTTGTACTCGATCCAACATGTGCATGTTTTATCACATTCAATCCAGGTTATGCTGGTCGTACTGAACTACCAGAAAACATGAAAGCATTGTTTAGAACCATTGCAGTGGTTCAACCTGACAGAAGAATTATTATGAAAGTCCGATTGGCTGCATCAGGATTTTTAGAAAATCAACCTCTGTCTAAGAAATTTGACATGTTGTACAAACTATGTGAACAACAATTGTCCAACCAAAATCACTATGACTTTGGTTTGAGAAATATCTTGTCTGTTCTTAGAACGTGTGGAGTTTCACTACGATCAGAAAGTTCATCCGGTGAAAAGGGTGGTAATGAAGTGAAAAAAGATGAAACCAAAGTACTCATGAGAGTTTTGCAAGATATGAACAATTCCAAACTTGTCGATGAAGACTCTACCTTGTTCAAAGAATTGTTAAAAGACTTGTTTCCCAATGAAACATGTAACGATGCTCCAGATGCTGCCATGAGTGAGGCCATCGACTCGGTGATTGAAAAGCATGGACTTGTTAATCACTCGCCTTGGAAATTGAAAATTTTGCAACTCTACGAACAATACAAGGTGCGTCATGGTCTTTGTTGCATGGGTCCGAGTGGTTCAGGTAAAAGTGCTGCAATCAATGTACTTTGTGAAGCTCTTGGAAAAATTGGTATTCAAACCAAAATTAAGAAGATGAATCCAAAATCAATCACTTCAGAACAAATGTTTGGTACTCTTGATAAAGGAACCAACGATTGGACCGATGGTATATTTACATCTCTGTGGAGAGAAACTATGGACAAGAAGAAGGAATATTCCTGGATTCTGCTTGATGGACCTGTCGACACGATTTGGATTGAAAATTTGAATACTGTGTTGGATGATACCAAATCGTTGACACTTGCCAATGGTGATCGATTGAATATGCCAAAAACTTTGAAATTAGTATTTGAAGTCGGTAGCTTGGATAATGCCTCTCCTGCCACCGTTTCCAGAATGGGTATGGTTTATATTGGCTCTACTATACTTGGATGGGAACCTATCTTCCTCTCATGGATTAAGAAGCATAACAAGCGTTCAAACAATGAAATTGAAAAGCTCACAAACCTTTTCAACAAACATGTCACTGACATTCTCACGTTCATTGAGAATGAATGCTCTCCATCAATGTTTATTGGAAATTCCAACATTGTGGCTACAACATTGAAAATCTTGGACGGCATGTTCACAAACTTTACTCGAAAATCCTTTACTGATTCTATGATTGAGAAGCTTTTTATTTTCTCAGTCATATGGGGAATTGGAGGCACCTTGGAGAGTTCGGATCGAATTAAGTTTCATACCTTCCTCGAAAAAGATTGTAAATTGTCAATTCCTTCTCTAGACTCGGGAGACACGATCTATGAATTTACCATGGATGAAAATGGAGACTGGAGAAATTGGAAGTTCAACGTTCCACATTGGAAATATCCAACCGATTATGAGCCACTCTTCAACAGTATTTTAATTCCTACAGTGGATAATGTAAGAACTGACTTTTTGATTCAACTCATGGCCAAGCAAGAGCATTCCGTCCTTCTTATTGGTACCAGTGGTACCGCCAAAACAGTCACCATTAAGAAGTATCTCAATGAATTAGACAAGAACAAGTTCAAAAACAAGTTAATCTCATTCTCGAGCGCCACTACACCTGGTATTGTACAAAATTCAATCTTTACCTCTCTCGAAAAGCGATTGAGTAACAAGGTGTTTGGTCCTCCTCTTGGCAGAAAAATGTTTATTTTTATTGATGATATTAACATGCCAGAAATCAATGAATGGGGCGATCAAATCACTAATGAAATTGTGAGACAAGTTATTGAGGATGGTGGATTCTATTCTCTCGACTCTAATAATCAATGGTTAAAGATTGTAGATGTGCAATTTTTGGCTGCTATGAATCAACCTGGTCTTGGAAAGAATGACATTCCAGATCGATTGAAACGACATTTTGCTATTTTCAATCTGACGGTTCCATCCACAAAATCGATCGATCACATATTTACAACCATTATTGAAGGTCATTACTGCAAAGCAAGAGGTTTCTCTGATGAAGTCATGCAATGTGCTTCTACCTTGCCAGAGCTTACAAGAAAGTTATGGATGCAAACCAAAGAAAAGATGCTTCCAACACCAAACAAGTTCCACTATGTTTTTAACTTGAGAGATTTGAGCAGAATTTTCCAAGGGTTGTTACTTGGTAAGAGTGAAGTTATTCAAAACCATTTAGATTTGCTTCATTTGTGGAGACACGAAGCCGATCGAGTGCTTCATGATAAATTCATCGAAGATGCAGATCGTGAATGGTTCCAAAATACATCCAAAGGACTCTTAAAGGAACACTACGGAGAAGACATTGCTAGAGCTGTAAAATCAAAACTTTTTGTCGACTTTTTGAGAAAGGCCGAAAGTCATGACGAAAATGTTGTTAGCATGGATGACATGGACTATGAAGCTCCACCACCAGAGGATGATCCAAAGATTTATGAACCTGTAGACGATTATGTACTTCTCTATAATCGACTGGATGAGTTGCTAAACAAGTACAATGAAAAACATAAGAAAGAGCCTTTGGATATTGTACTATTTGATTTTGCGATTTTACACATTACAAGAATTTCAAGAATTATTCGAAGTGAAAGAGGAAATGCATTGTTAGTTGGAGTTGGAGGTAGTGGAAAACAATCGCTAACCAAGTTAGCTTCCTATATTGCAGGTTACAAAACCTTTAAAATTCAAGTAACAAAGAATTATCACATTCAAGCTCTTCTCGACGACTTGAAAAAGCTATACAAGATTGCGGTGTTGGAATCTCCAGTGACTTTCATATTCACCGATAACGATATTAAGGATGAACAATTTTTGGAGTATATCAACATGATGCTTACCTCAGGAGATATTCCAGGTCTTTTCACAAAAGAAGAACGAGAAATGATGATTGGAGAGCTGAGACCAATTGCTATCAAAAGCGATCCATCATTTATGGCAACTCCAGAAAATTTATTTAACTTCTTCATTGATCGAGCGAGAGACAATTTACACATGGTTCTATGCTTCTCTCCCATCGGAGATCAATTCAGAAACAGATCGAGAAAATTCCCTGGAATTATTAGTGGATGTACCATTGATTGGTTTGATCCTTGGCCAAAAGAAGCCCTTAAAGCAACAGCTGACAAGTTTATCGGCAATTTTGATTTAGCTACCACTGACAGCATCAAGAACAGTTTGGTTCTTTTCATGAAAGATTTGCACTACAGTGTGAATGAACTCACCGTAGAATATTTGAACAAGTACCGACGAAATACCTACGTAACTCCAAAGACATACCTTTCTTTCCTTAACATTTATAGAAAGATTTATGTTGAAAAATTACAAGAAATTGAAAAGAAGAGTAATAACATTTCGAAAGGCCTCGAAAAGTTACAGCAAGCAAAAGAAGACGTACGAGAGAAAGGAAAGGAGTTGGAACAAAAAGAAAGGGAGCTGCAAATTGCTCAAGCAAGCGCCCAAGTGTTGGTTGATAAGGTACAAAAAGAAACAAAGGCAGCAGAAGAACAAGGACGAGAAATCCAAAAGAGAAAAGAAAAACAAGAAAAAGAAGTGAAAATTGTTCAAAAGGAGCGAGATGAAGTTACACACGATCTCAAGAATGCTGAACCTCACCTTCAAGCTGCAGAAAGAGCGTTGGATAAAATTACTAGCGCTTCTTTGAGTAAGATTAAAAAGTATCAGACACCACCAGAACCAATCATGAGAGTGATGGACACCATTCTCATCTTCAGAGGCCTTCCAATTGACAAGACTGAAATTGAAGAACGCTCTACAGACCCAAAGAACCCAAGAAAGATTTTGAAACCATCTTGGAGATATGCCAAAGAAATGATGAACAATATCAACTTTATGCAAAGTTTGTTAAAGTTTGACAAAGATTCGATTAGTGACGAGCAAGTTGAATTAGTTGCACCTTACATGGATGATCCAACCCTGACAGTGGAAAATGTGTTAAACTCATCAGAAGCTGCTGCTAGTCTTTGGGAATGGGTACAATCCATGGTCAATTATCATAACATTGCCAAAGTTGTCGACCCAAAGAGAAGAAAAGTCGAAGAAGCAGAAACCAAATTGCAAATAGCTCAAGCTCAACTCAAGGAAATGGTAGACGAGTATGAAGAAAAGCAAAAAGAACTCAGAGAGCTCAATAGACAACTTGAAGAGGCTCTTAACCACAAGAAACAATTGGAAGACGATGCTCTTCAAACCAGAAAAAGAATGGAAGCCGCTGAAGCATTAATTCATGGCTTATCATCCGAAGAAGAGAGATGGAGAAAAGATCAAAAGCAATTCCAATTAGACATTCATAATTTAATTGGAGATATTGCCCTGGCTTCTGTGTTTTTGACGTATTCAGGACCATTCAATCAAGAATTCAGAAGTACCATCGTCGAGCAGTTGTGCTTTGCCGAATTTAAAAACAGAGGTATTCCATTTTCCGAAAAAGTTAATGTTATTGATTTCATTACACACCCAACCACAATTGGCGAATGGAGATTGCAAGGATTGCCAAACGATGACTACTCCACACAAAACGCCATCATTGTCACGACAGGCTCAAGATATCCTTTATTGATTGATCCTCAAGGTCAAGGTAAAGAATGGATCAAACACAAGGAAGCAAACGACCTTGTTATCACCACCCTTTCTGCAGATAATCTGAAAGAAGATTTAGAAAAATGTGTTGCTACTGGTCGACCACTTCTCATCGAAGATATTGGAGAAGAACTTGATCCAATATTGGATTCTGTTCTCGATATGCAACTCATTAAAAAAGGTAAACGCCCAAAGATTAAGATTGGAGAGAATGAGGTACCTTATAATGAAAACTTTAGATTGTACATTACGACCAAATTACCAAATCCTAGATATACCCCAGAAATGTTTGCAAAGGTTTCAGTCATTGACTTTACAGTCACTGCTATTGGTTTGGAAGATCAATTATTAGCAATTGTTATTAACAAGGAAATGATTGAATTGGAAGAGAAACGAACTTCACTACTCAACGATATCCAAGAATGTAACGAAATTATGGAACAATGTGAAAAGGAATTGCTTGAAAAGCTCAGTGAAAATCGTGAAAAGAGTTTAGTCGACGATACTGAGTTGATTGATATCCTCACAAAAACGAAAGAAAAGAACAGAACTATCAAGGAAAAACTCATGATCAGTGAGGAGACTAATAGAAGTATTCAGGAAGCAAGAGAAGAATTTAGACCTGTAGCCAACAGAGGAAGTATTATGTACTTTGTGATCACAGAGCTCAGTCTTATCAATTGCATGTATCAAGTCAGTCTCAGTCAATTTATCAAACTTTTCATTCAAGCTATCGATGAGTCAGAAAAGGACAGGAATAATAAGGTGAGAATTGACAACATTATTAATTATTCCACCTTCTTTATCTACAAATACGTACAGAGAGGTCTATATGAAAAGCACAGAATAGTTTTTGCATTGCTTCTCGCTCTCAAGATTGACTTGAAAAAGCCCAAGTCTAAAGGAAAGGGAATCACCATGAAAGAATTCAATTGCTTGATTAGAGCTGGTAATGCTCTTCAGAAGAGTGACGCACCAAAAATTCCATTTTCTTGGATTGAAGACAAAACATGGCTGAATATTTTCAGCTTGACCAAAGCTGACATTCCTGAATTCAGAAATATTCATCTCCAAATTGAAAACAACGAGGACCAATGGAAGAAATTCTACTTTTCTGCAAGCCCTGAAAATGAGGCAATTCCTGACTTCTCCTCTCTCAGTACCTTCCATAGATTATTGCTCATAAGATGTATTCGTATGGATAGGACCATGAATGCATGCTCATCCTATATCATTGACACGCTTGGACAACAATTTGTCGATTCAATTTCGTTGAATTTGGAAGAAACATGGAAAGAATCATCACCCATTACACCAATTGTTTGTTTACTATCTCAAGGCTCTGATTTGACTGGATCCATTGAAAAACTTGCACAACATTTGAAAATGACCATCGACAGAGTTTCCATGGGACAAGGTCAGAAAGAGAAGGCTCAAGAATTGATCAAGAATGCCATTGCAAATGGAGGTTGGGTTCTTCTACAAAACTGTCACCTCGGTATTGACTATCTCGAAATTCTAGAAAAGACACTCATGGACCTATCCAAGGAAGATTACAGTGACAAGTCATTCAGAGTTTGGATAACAACCGAGCCCACTCCTTTATTCCCAATCAACCTCTTACAAATGTCAATTAAGGTCACAGACGAGCCACCTACAGGTATTAGAGCAGGTCTGGCTAAAGCTTACAATTGGCTCACTCAAGAAGCTCTCGGTGAAGTTCCTGAAAATCGAAAATTGATTTACAGTACATGTTTTCTTCACTCGGTACTCATTGAAAGAAAAAAGTTTGGCCCTCTTGGCTGGTGTGTACCCTATGAATTCAATCAATCCGATTTGGAATGCTCTCTTCATTTCTTAATCAATTACCTTAATGAAAATGACATCAAAAAGATCCAATGGAATACTATTCGATACATGATTTGTGATGTACAATATGGAGGAAGAGTGACAGATGCCTACGATTCAATTCTCCTGAGCAAGTACGGAAACAAATTCTATGGACAACATGTCTTCTCAAAGGACTTTACCTTTTACTGCGACCGTGAAAAACAAAAAGTGTATGAAATTCCCGAAAAGGCCAAGATTGATGACTATCGAAAGTACATTCATGAAACTTTACCACTCTTTGATCCGCCAGAAGTTTTTGGTTTGCATCAAAATGCAGAAATTGTTCACAATGAACAAAAAACAAACTTTGTGTTGAGCACTATTCAAGGTATTCAGCCAAAAGAATCTGCTGCAGGAAGTGGTGAAACACGAGAAGACATTGTCTTGAAGGATGTGAAAAGTTATTTGGAGAAAATTCCCGAAGAATATGACAGTAAGGAACTCAAGAAATACTTTAAGAAAATCGAGAATTCTAAAAAGGATAGTGGTGGTGCCAATAATCCAATGGTTATTTTCTTGAAACAAGAAATTGATCGCATGAAAATTGTGTTAAAACTTGTCCGTAGACATTTACAAGATTTGAAACTTGCCATTGCTGGTACCATTGTCATGAGTGCAGAGCTTCAAAATATTTTCGATTCGCTCTATGATGCAAAAGTTCCTCAACCATGGCAAAAAGTTTCATGGGAATCCCATAAATTGGGTGTTTGGATTGAACAATTACAGAAACGACATGAACAATTTATGAGTTGGTTACAAAAAGGTCAACCCAAACTCTTTTGGATTTCTGGGTTTTTCAACATTGCTGGATTTTTAACAGCCGTGAAACAAGAATCGACTCGTAAACATGCTGGATGGTCACTCGAATCTGTTTCTCTCAAGACTGAAATTACAAGCAAAGACGCTCTCAAAGATAGTTTCAATGCACCCGAAGATGCTGAAGGAGTCTTTGTTTATGGCTTGTATTTGGAAGGAGCAATTTGGGATCGAAAAGCGAAACAACTTTCCGATGTTCCTTCTTCCGAGTTGAGTCTTGTTCATGAATTGCCAATTATTCATCTCTCAGCCATCTCATCCATGCAAGGTAGTGATATGGGACCGAAAGAGTATGTGTGTCCAGTGTACAAGAATCCAGATCGTACTCATAGAAATTACATTTTCGATTTGCATTTGAAAACGAGTGAAGATCCAAGCAAGTGGACACTGAGAGGAGTAGCAGCTCTATGTTCTAAAGTGTAATAAAGTGCCAATACAGTTTTGAAAATCTAAATAATAATAATTAACAATTTCATAAACGCACAATGATTTCATAAATAATTCGGAAGTGTGGTGATGATGCTAGGCAACATGCTGGGTGATGAAGACAATTTGAATTTTTTGGGATTTAAAAAAAAATATCATCACCCTCATCAAACCACCACACAGCAATCATCATGATGATGGACGACACACAAGTTCTCAACTATATTGACCAACACGGAAGCATTCAAAACTCGGTCGAGTATGCCCACAGTGTAAATGTGGATCATCAACAATTGTATGGTATCATCAATAGTTTAACTCTTTCTGAAATTTTAGCCTTTGAAAAGAAGGAATGCGTTAAAGCTTCTCCAACTGGTGAAGGCTTGGAAATTATTCAATTGGGACAATCTCCTGAAATTAAATTGGTAACTCTTCTCATCAACTCTCCTGATGGCGTTGATGTTTCAATTTTGAAGGAAAAATTGGGTGCTTCTTTCGATAGCGCTGTGATGAACTCTAGAAAGAATCAATGGGTAACTCAGGAAAAAGGATCCACAATCATGAAGAAGGCCGACACTATTACTCAAATTCCGGATGACGCTGCTTTGAAGCAATTGAAGATTGTTACAGAAAAATTTGTTTTCACAGAATTGGACAAGGTGAAAGGAAAGAACTTGGAAGAGTTGAAATTAATTGAATACGCAAATTTGAACGTCAAGGATGATACAGATCCAAACTATACTCAATCAAAGCAACAACTCATTGACCAAGGAAAGTTCTTGAGCTCTGCTGCCTTTTCTCAACTAAAATCGAGAAAGCTCGTTAAAGTGGACACTATCAAATACTTTTATGTTACAAAGGGTCCAAAATTCTCAGTTCAACGACAAAAACAAGAGACCGATTTGACAAGTGATTTGCTTGCTACTGGAAATTGGGAATCAGCATCCTTCAAGCCATACAACTTTAAAGCTCATGGTAAGAGAAGTGAAAATGGTTATCTTCATACTTTGTTGAAGGTCAGAACTGAATTCCGAAAGGTTTTCCTTGAACTTGGATTTGAAGAAATGACCACCAATAACTTTGTTGAGAGCTCTTTTTGGAATTTCGATGCCTTGTTCCAACCTCAACAACACCCTGCTCGTGACGCTCACGACACCTTCTTCTTGGAATATCCAAAAGAATGTATCTCTTTACCAACTGATGGATATGTTGAAACAGTTCAAAAGACTCATGAAAATGGAGGATTTGGTTCTATTGGATATCGATACGATTGGAAGATTGAGGAAGCAAAGAAAAATCTTCTTCGTACACACACCACTGCTGTCAGTAGTCGTTATTTAAGAGATCTCGGTAAAGAGTTACAAAGTGGAGTGCCCTTCAGACCAAGAAAATTCTTCTCCATTGATCGGGTTTTCCGTAATGAAACTCCTGATGCTACTCACTTGTGTGAATTCCATCAAATCGAAGGAATGGTTATTGATAAGAATTTAACATTGGGTGATATGATTGGACTTTTCGAGCAATTCTTTGCAAAGATTGGTATCACTGATATCAAATTCAAGCCAGCTTACAATCCTTACACCGAACCATCCATGGAAATTTTCAGTAATCACCCAGTAAGAGGATTGGTAGAAGTCGGTAACTCGGGTATGTTCAGACCAGAAATGCTTCTTCCAATGGGCATCCCTGAAGATGTCACAGTTTTGGCTTGGGGTCTCTCGTTGGAAAGACCAACCATGATCAAGTATCGTGTTTCAAACATTAGAGATTTGGTTGGGCATGAGGTTGACTTGCGACAAGTCCAAAAGAATCCAATTTGCAGACTCAACAAGTAAACCACTCTTTTATTACATTGATCCACAACAATTGCCAAACATTTGGAATTATTTAAGCCTGCTCGGCGTGATTGACAAATTGCTCAATGTTTTGGAGCGCATGGGAGTATTGATCTCGTATTGCTTGCTCAGGATCATCATTTCATCCGAGTTGGAAAAGGTACCTCTGGCTTCAAGAACAAAGAGTAATACATCATAATCCAATTGCAAAAACATCATGGATTGAAGCAATACTCGCTGTAGATCTAACACCTTACTAGAAATCAATTCATAGATGACATCGACTTTGTAGTCAACATCCTGTACACTCTCTTCTGTCAATGTCAATTCCCCCAAATGCTTTCCTAAATTCGGAATGCAACAATATTGAGAAGGATTCTCTGAGGCCTTTGTAAATACTTCTTTCAATGCTTTGGTGTAGTTTGCCGAGTTCATGTCCGTGCTGGTGGCTGTTCGTATTCTTTCATACTCAATTTCGCACTCTGTAGAGAGAGCATTAAAGGTTTGTTTCAATCTGCCAACAGGACCACTGCTCAACGCAGAAGCAATGACATACACTGCGTAGAAATTTCCAACTCTATAACAGCATGACGCTAACTTGATCAAGTATTCCAACACTTGTACTCGCTTACTTTTTTCTTGCTCTTGAATGACCAAACTTGCAAACCACGTGGAATAACGATTGAAAATGTCAATATTGTCCAATATATTGGGAGACAGATATTTTCGTCGACTCTTAGTCCAATTAGCACCAATTAACTCTTGAGGTTCAATCGTCAAGAAAAATTTTCCAAAAAGATAGCTCAAGTGCAAACTCATTAATTCCACACCAATGTCGAAAATTGTGACAAGTGGCTTTGAATGCTTTTTCTGGCGAGCGGTTACTATTGGTTCCATCAGCATGTTTTCCAGTGTGCGTAATGTAGTGGAGTGGGACTCACTTACACTACCATTCATGATCCATCCCACTATTGATTCCTTCTCCTTGCATGAAGAGGTCTGGAGAAACCTTAAAGTTTCACCAATAATCTTCTTGTGAATTTGATAACCACCTGTTTCAAATTGTGAATATTTTAGGTAGTATTTCGAAAGCCATACTTTTAACAGCAACACCGCAGTGGTGTGAATATTTACAAATGGATCACTGTTGGGTGACTGTTGCTCACAGGATGGCGTTTTTTCAATCAAGTACTGAATGCACGTTAGAAATTCCAGAGAAGATATTCCTAGACTCTGGTACATTAAGCATAGTTTATCCAGCGGTTTTTCACTCTTACTGGAAATACTATGATCGACATATTTCATTACTGTTTCAAAACGTGTAGGCATGGCCATGTCAGTTTCTAAAAGATTTGAGGATAGGATTGAGGAATAGCCATTGAGCTCTTTCAGATTCATTGTTGATAGACATTCACTAAGCAAACTTTCTACATCCCATTCACTTAGAGCTTGTAAAATCTCTTCCTCTTCATCACTGTTATTACTCAAGACTGTTTCTGGAGTTAGATAATAAGGAAATTCAATTCTTGCCATTTCATCAATTGAAGTACTGCCATCCAATTCATTTATCCACCTTGTTAACACCTCATGGTTGATGTTGCTACAATATTTTCGTAATTTGCAGTTCAGTATTGAGGTTTTTTCATGGTTATGATTGCTCTTCGCAGCCAGATCCAACTTTTTCATTTCCTGGTCCAATACAGATGCACTTTTTTCCAAATCATGTTCCCGTAAATATTTCTCAAACAATCGGAGAAGAATTTTCTTCTTGATCATTCCGGAATTTCTTAAATTTAGTAAAGGTTGTTCTTGCTCTGTCCGTGTATTTTTCATGTCTTCAGATCTATCAAGCGTATTACTGCTGAAAGTATTCACTCTCGTCGGTGAGAAGAAATGATTAAGGGGTTTAAAACGTTTCTCCTTTTCATCCTTTTGTTGCATTTTTTTTAAAAAACCAATTTCAGATGTTAAGGAATTTACAATTGAATAATAATTAATTAAAATAATTTCAATGTCCTTGCATTATTCCTCTCTTACTCAATAACAAGCTTTATGAAATTATTTAATACAAAGCTCGTTGTTTTGAAAGGGATTGTATTTCCTACGCACATAAAAAAAATGCCTGCAAGCCTCGCTGTTTCAAATATCGCTTGGGAACTCCATCAAGATGATCAAGCTTTGGATTTTCTAAAGGAGAAAGGAGTTGGATTACTTGAAGTTGCTCCAACAAAGATTATTCCTGAATGGATTGATTTCACTCCGGAGGGTAAGTTTGAAAGTTAGTAGTGTATTTTTGGCCATCATCATGAATGATCGGAAATGATTTTAATGATAATCCAAAATTGGGCAATTCATCACCATCTTTCAATGAAAATCAATAACTTCTCTCGTATTCATTCAGCATGGGGAAACTTTAAAAAGAAGATTCTAGACAAGGGTTTACGAGTGTCATCCTTCCAAGCTCTTTCTTTCAAAAAGAATGATTTGGAAATTTTCCATACAGATGAGTCACGAAAAGCATACGTTGATCATACAAAATTTGTGATTGATTTGGCCTATGAACTTGTGAAGGAGCCAAATAGTGTTGCTAAGAGTGTTCGCCTCGTTTTTGGATCACCAAAAACTAGAGATCCTAGAGGAAAGACCTACGAAGAATGTTTGCAAATTGCTACTGTTTTTTTTAGAGAACTTGGAGAATATTGCCTGAATAAGCACAAAGAATTGGGACTGGAACCAACATCAGATGGAGTGCCAGCGGTTTGTGTATGCCTTGAACCAAATCCAAAAGATTATAGCTGTTTCTTTGGTTATAATATTGAACAAGCGTCACAAATTGTTCGTGAAACTAATAATTTGGGTTTCAGACTTCATTTGGATACAGCTTGTTTGACAATGGCTGGAGATGATTTGTACAGTGCTATTAAGGATAATGCTGACATTGTTCAACATTTTCATGTCAGTGAACCCATGTTAGCAAAATTCCATGAAGTTAAATGTCAACATACCCGAGCTGCACAAGCTCTTAAAGAAATTGGATACAACAAGGTCGTGTCTATTGAAATGAGATCGAATGGAGATGACTCTCTCAAAGAATTAGGTGTGGCTATTGATTTTGTGAAAAATACCTACAAGGAAGTTCTTGGATTGTAAATGTTGCGAAAAACCTTATTTTAATTTATTTAAATTATTTAAATTGTGATCATAATTAAATTAATTTATTGCACTTATCAACCATAAATAATAATAGGACAATGGCAGAAAGGTTGTTGTTCATTGAAACTAACAAAAAGCATATCTATTGCTTGTTCTTGGATTTCTCGTTATTGACATAATTAACGATTTGGTTCAAAACATTGCTCGCATTATCAATGTAGCCATCAACATCACTTCCAAAAAGCTTGGCATGTTTGGTCTTTAAATTATAAGAAAAATCAATCACATTCTCGTTCATTGGATTCTTAAGCTTATCAGCCTTTTCCGAAAAGAGAGCCTTCACAAAGGCAGAGGTATGAAGAGGTTGAGGGAACATGTTGACCACTCGAATCTCAGATCCTTGATGTTGCTTATTGTATTTCAACACTGTTTGAATGTCATCATACAATCTCTCAACATTGTACCATTGGAAGCTCGTATTAGGATTGATTTGATTCAAGTTATTATCATGCATTAAATCATAAATATAATTCTTTGCCAAATTTGGACCAAACAATGCTGGCAATCTCAAAATGACATGATTTTCAAACTTGGATGCCACCCACTTTTCCAAATACAATCTATTCTTTCCATAGGCATGATTATCAAGAGTAGAACAATCAAAATCTTCATCCTTGTCACTCAACACTGGATACACATCAATGGTTGAAATCAACACAAAAGTTTGACATTTGACTCCATCAAGACATGAAATGATATCATTGATGGCTTGCAAATCTTGTTCAGGTTCCTTATTGGCAATCCATTTCTTTGTGTGATATTAACAGTCATGTGTGTTTGTGTGTACACACCAAATGTTTCATGTTGTACACACGACAGTCCAATGTGTGTACACAAAATATTTCACGATGAATGAAAATATGAAAATTATATGATGATCGGAACAAAGAATACAACATTGTTGTGTGATGAAAACCTCCACATGTGTGAGGATCATATGAATACATACCTTTGCAGGACATGCAGCACTCACAATCAAATCATATTCCTTTCCTTTTAATTCTTTTAAATTCTTTGAATTGTAAACGTCTTGAAAAGTAGATTCGGATTTGGCATGAATGTTGGATCCGACGAATCTAAGAAATTTTTGATGATGATTGTGATTTAGAGAGACAATGGTCAGAGACGATAAATTTATCATTGCTTTGTATGCAAAACCTACCCAGTGTAACCTAAGAGAGCAGATTTCATTTTTTTTGTATGTTGTATTTTGTGTTGTATCAAGTGGCATGTGACACCTCTGTCATGAACTTGATGTTCCATTCTCTCTTCGAGTAAGTGGAATGTTGGCAGATGTTTGTAGAACCACCTTAAATGAAGAATTTTCAAATGATCATCAAGTTTCAATGGAGAGTGAATCTTTCATCATTCACAATTGCATTCGCTCTACTAATCAAAATCACATGACATCCCTTAACAAAAAGTAGTGGAAAACTTCTCTGTTTTGGGATGTAAGTTCGGACAGCTCGCTTTCGATTACGAGGTTTTCGATTGGTAATTCCTTTTTCTTTATCCAGTGTTTTCTGTTTCTTGTAAATGGTTTCTACTTGGTAATATTCTTCATCCACATTAAGGAGAATCTTAATGTCCCGTTCATTCAAGTGTGAATAAGAAAATTACAATATTCAATAATTAATAATATTAAATACTCAACAGTGTTCAGTGTCACCACGTACCAAATTAAAGAATTTGTCAAATCCTGAAAGAGTTCCAAACAATGTTGAGTAATGTTGATCATGATGCCGTCCCATTCTCACACGAACCATTACTCTTGATTTGTTCACAAAACAATCATATAATAATTGGTAGGGATGATCTTTTTGAGAATATTTTCTCTCTAAAAAGTATTCGTAGGTTTCATTCGGTTGCAACGGAGGTAGTTCATCAAGCCTGGGTTTTCTTTCCATGATTGAATTGCTCACAGGTTGAGAGGTTGCTATAGACTCGTTCATTGAAGTATTATTGGTGGTTTTCAAAGTAAATTCAATTTCGGAATTTGAAGTTTTGTCTTGACCGAAATCATTAGAACCACTTGGTTGTGGTTCGGATTTGTTATTATCACTTGTGCTCCTAGTGGAAGAATTTGTTTGATTGGATTTCTGATTTGTAGGACGAGCCAATAATTGATTCAATTTCAGTGCAGAAAATGTTTTATAAGGTTTTACATTGGTTATGGGAGGTTGAATCGAGGAATCATTGAGAATTTGAAGAGGATCAAAATCAGAAGAGAGAAATATATTCATCGGTTTGGGTGGATTCCGATGATCGGAATGAAGTTGTGTGTGATCAGTGTTGGACATTATTATTACATTATTAATGGAAACATATTATTAAACATCATCACAGAGTCTCATAAAAAAGGATGATCATGAAATTATTTTTTTTTAATTTGAAAATAATTCATCTTGAAAAAGTTTAATATTTACTTAAACCCATGCTGACATTGCCAATCCAATATCTTTTTTCAAACCAATCCACAAATCCACCTCTCGTTCACTGTACAAATTAAAAAATTGTTTGCATGTTCGAGCTAATCTTAATAAGGTGAAAGGATCTTCAATAAATTCCATAATGGTAATCCAATAGTCATCAATCAAGAATTCTCTATTATTCACTGTAGTTATTGAAGGTTCATTGGACAATGGCGGTTTCTCAAATAAAGATGCAATTACGTTCTTTGAATTGTACTTTTCTAGTATTTCATTAAATAGGTAAATGGTGTTTGAATATTTTCTTTTCCATTTTTCTTCTCTTGTCTCATTGGCATACAAGGTAAAATATTTCACCTTCTTTTGTTTTGGTTCTAACAATTTGGGCTTATTCATGAATATATTAAAGCAATGATCGAGCAAGGAAGTTGGTATTTCAGTTGAGTGATTACATAATTGACTCAACTCGGCAATATTCACACGACGACGGTAGTAATAATGTATTCCAAAAAACATGTAATCACCATCATAATACTTTTCCCATAAATTAGAGAGCTTATGAAGAGACGTATTCAAAGGAGGATATACATGTTCTTTGTTTTCCATTCCCAAATATCGAGCGAATTTCTCTTCGAATCTATGCGAATGATTACTAAAGCTAGTAATGTGAAAATGGCCAAATTTGGATAACTGTTCATCAACAAAATCAGCAGCTGTATCTAATAATTGATACAGATTTCTTTGTTTCTTCGTTTCCTGATCATCCTCATCCTCCTCTTTGTAGTTGTTTTCGTTTTCAATCACCTCCAACGATTCGGGTAACGTTGCAACTATTCAAGTAAATGATTAAAGTGGCATTATTGGATTCAAACTATACCTTTTTGCAATATCGGAGCATTCGCAAGCAACTCTTCCACTATTAATAAGATAACATTTTCAAATGGGTTTTTACAGAACAATATATGTGTAAATAATAATAAAGATTATTTACATACATTGCTTGTGTGCGGTCCGATAATTTACTAACAGATAATTTTCATCCCAACCCATGATGTTGTTGAATTAAATGAAATTTTAATATTTTTTTAATGTTTATCAGAAGCCAGTAATTCCAGTAAATACAACTAATGAGTGTCACAGCTGTTGGTTGGACGATCGTTCATGGAAAGCGTGTGAAGATTGTATCATTCATACGATCAAGTGAAAACCAGATCCTGACACCACTGGAATATAGTTGTCAATTACTTTTCAGTACTGTACAAATCTTGAAGGTCACTTGTTCCTTAAACAATGTTCTCCAGACCATGACGACGATAGTTTCTGATTCTCTCAACAATGGTAACCAGAAGAATTCTTTTACAACACTTATAAATCTCAGACAATCCCATGAATATTAAAGCTGCAAGCAACACTATAATCCAATCAAAAGCAGGAATCATGGTCTGATGAAATATGTTCGAGTTGACCCATGGAATATAAACAGTGGAAATAGTCGTCACAGCTCCAAATAGTACAAAGAAATGTAATAGTCTACTATTGTAAAAACCATCCAAAAAGAACGGTCTTCTGGAATTTCTACAATTATAGGCATGTAACAAGAGTAAAACGGTGGAAGTCACAAACGTTATGGTTTGGGCTTCTTGCAGCGGTACGTTCATAGCTTTGGTTGCTATGAGAAAACTTGCCAATGAAAGCAATCCCATCAATGATCCAAAAAAGAAAATATCAATAATAGTTTCTGGTGCAAAAAGTTTACCACTATATGACTTGGTCATTATTCCTTTACGTGGTTTTTCATTTCCCAAACCAAATGCAGGACCTATGGTTGTTCAATATTCATGTACGAACGTATCACAATGTGACAAACAACTTACCAGTTCCAGTAATCATATTAAGCCATAAAATTTGAATAGAATTCAATGGAGGTTTCAATCCAATTAACAAGCTAACTACCAACAAAATCGTTTCTGAAACATTTCCTGCCAGCAAGTGGCTCACAAATTTTCGAATATTTTCAAACATGTGTCGTCCCTCTTTAACAGCAACCACAATGGTTGAGAAGTTATCATCGGTTAATACTATATCTGCACAATCCTTGACGACATCACTTCCTGACTTTCCCATTGCAATACCAACATCAGCAGCCTTAATGGATGGACAATCATTAATTCCGTCTCCACACATTACAGTTCCTCTTTTTCTCTGATGTAGAGCATGAATCATTCGTTCCTTACTTTCTGGTGAGCATCTGGAAATAATGATTGGTAACTCTTTCAAGTTACGTAGCTCTTCATCGGTCAATGCATCAAAATCATGAGCATTCATGGCGATTTGATTGGATTGAGGTGATGCCAATAGTTCAGGAGTGACCATTCCAACTTGTTTGGCAATGGCGACGGCTGTAGCTTTGTGATCACCTGTGATCATTCTCACAGTAATTCCTGCTTGGTGACAAATACTGATGGATTCTTTCACACCTTGTCTTGGAGGATCTTGAATACCGACCAGTCCAACAAAAATTAAATCTTTTTCTACTTGAGACCTTTCATAGTAATTGGTGTCCGTCGTGGAAGATGTAATCGTCAACAATGGCCTCTTTTCATCTTTGGGATTCTCTTCCTGAGTTTTCTCATGTTCCAAAGTATTTTCAGAGGTTGTTGCATTGGTTGAATTGGACAGTAAATGGGGTAAATGCTCTCGTTTTCGAAATGCTAATGCAAGGACACGTAGTCCTTTTTTTGCCAATAGCTCGTTTTGTCGTCTCAAATGGTCTAAATACCGTTGTGTGACGGGAGCTACAGTTTGTTTCGAATCCTCATTGCTGCTATCATGATTGGTGACAGACCATTGATTCACTCCAACATGTTTTTCACTTGTGTAATAGTGTGTGGAAAAATTGAGTACGTGCTCTGGCGCACCCTTAACAAAAATATATTCATCGTCTTCCATCCTATCATCATTGTTAGTTTCAATGGTTTCAGTTTCCTCTCCTGTTGATTGTTTTCTTTTGGACCTTTTCGTATAAATAACACTCATTCTTTTCAAATTACTGTCAAACGGATATTCCTGAAAGAGTGTAAACAGCTGAGTGGAATCATACTCTTGTAATTCTTCTTCGATACTGGTCGCTTCAGTGGAAGAATCTGAGCGTTCCAAATGCTTCTTTCCCAATCCATACTGTTGAGCAAGAGTCATCAATGCTATTTCGGTAGGATCTCCAACATAGAGCTCTTCTTCCTCACTTCCAGGTTCTCCACTCTTCAATGGTTTTAATTCATGGGGTGAAGTTTTTCCAATCTTCTTCTTCTTAAATTCTTTCACTCTTTTGAAAATATTTCCTCGTTTCTTTCGTTTTGAAGTAGTTGTTGTGACCTCAACATTTCCTTTCGATAGACTACAGCCATTGCACATGGATGAAATCATGAGAAAGGTTTTTAACAAATCATTTTCTTGGTTAATGTAATCGGTTGTTACAATTGTTGGTTGAGCTTGCGAGAGAGTATCCATTTGATCTTGCCTTTGTTTTAATCCTATATCGACCAACACCAATGGAGATGAAGAGGTCAATTTTGGGGTTGTCTTGGCAGGAACAGCAGCAGATGCAGTCTCCATTGCAGAATTGGTCACATTGTTGCTTGTCGAAGAAGTGTGTGCAGCTTGTAAGGTTTTAGTAACCTCTTTCATTTCGATATCATCTCCCAAAATTTGAAAAACCATATCATTGGAGAGAATACATTCTTTTACTGCCATAACACCTTCAGATATGGTTCCTGTTTTGTCGCTGCAAATGTCTGTCACATTTCCAAGAGTTTCAATGGAATCCAATTTTCGAACAATGGCATGCTGTTTGGCCATTCTCATGACTCCAATGGTCATAGTTAGGGTGAGAACTGGACTCAAACCTTCAGGAATAATTGCAATAGCAGTACTAGAGTTCACAAAGGGTTTGAAACGTCCATGTAAAAACCTTTAAAAGAAACTTACCTCACTCCAACAGTCAACGCATCAGGAAACAATGGCATTGATTTATGCAGATAAGCAGCCAATATTACCAATCCTGTGCAAATTGCACCAGCTGTGCACATCAAGAGTTGTAAACAGTATCAAATAGAATCAGAGTTGTAAACATCATAGAGTCCACAGAAATTAAAAAATTACTTTGCACATACCAATGACCAAAACTAATCCCAGTAAAGCCATTCTTTTTTGTAATTTTGATCTTTGTCGTGTATGCTTGGAAATAGATTGAGCAATGGCACCAATTTCTGTTTGCATACCAATTGCAGCTACAACAGCTCGACCTTTTCCTCTTGTCACTGTTGTACCACTGAAGACCATGTTAATTCGGTCTCCTACATCGACCACTGGTTGTTTTCCATGATGAGGTTTGCCTTCAGAGGCGGAAAGAACCGAGAAGGATGGTCTTGTAAGAGAAAATATTGAAGTTCTATTAGTTGCATCAAACGATGTGTTTGGAACGCCTCCATCGTTAACACTCTTTCGAGCATCAGTGGTGGTTGGTGTTTCTGCAATACTACTTCTTCTTGAGGTTGGCCATCTCTTCTTCTTTTTTGAGGCTTGAGGAACAGTAATTCTTGCACTTTCCTTATTCTGTGCAAAGATGACATTGGCATTCTTTTTCACTGGTTCGGATTCTCCTGTTAAAATTGCTTCCATACATTCTAATTGAGCTGTATAGATGAGTCGACAATCAGCAGGTACATGATCACCTTCGTCCAACATGATGACATCTCCCAATGTAAGTTGATGAGATGGAATTTCACTGTGTGTTCCGCTTCGAACCACTTTGGTAAAGGTGTGTTGCATACGTTTTAGTTTTTGCATGGACTTTTCAGATCGATATTCTTGTAAGACACCAATAATGATATTTAACACAATAATAAATGCAACCACGCCTCCATCCACCCATTCAGTGACTGCAAATGAAATCACCATAGCAACTGCAAGAATTAAATTCATAAAAGTGAATAAATGAAACGCCAACAGTTTCCATAAATTAATTCCACCTTGACTCTTCAATTCATTTCTTCCAAATAGTTGAATTCTTTCCTGTGCCTGTGTTGTAGAGAGTCCGTGCTCTGCATTGGTATGAAACTGTGTAGTCACCTCTTTGATGGAAAGTGTATGAGGTGGAGGCAAGACATTTTTGTCCTGTAATGTCAAGAGAAATTCTCTTTCATCGTCGATAGGTGTGTGAGGTTCCTTTTGAGTGACGCTACTAGTACCAGTGAAAGCATGAGCTTGTGTCATTGCTTGGGCAGGTTGAAAAGGGGCTGATTCATTCTGATTTAAATCCATAGAAATTAATTCGGAATCATCCAAGTTTTTCTTGGTCGGTTGAAATTGTGGTGAATTTGAATGGATTGTCAAAGGATTTGTAACGGTGGCGATCACGTGATCATTCTGTTGCCCACAACTAGTAGTACCGCTAGTTGTTGTTCCATTGCTATTACTTGTTTTGCCATTGTTATTGCTGGTGTTGGAAGAATCAATGGTATCATCACCTTGCTGATGGGAATGAGAACAATTCATTCACAAACACAGTGTGATGTCGTGTTTTTAAAATTCTATAAATGATATGTTAGTTCAAACTCGAAAATCGACAACATTGATTTCAACAGATTTGTCTAAATATACAGAATTTCCAAATTTAATGATTATCAACAAATTGTGACGCGTATTGAACAGCCTTGCACTGTATGAAATAATTTGGAAATTCTGCATTTTGAGCCAAATTACTCAATTGTTGGCAAATGAATTTCAATAATTGAATTTTATCATCGGACAATATTGTAGTAGAAACATTGTTATTTTGTAGCAGGTAGAGATCTAAATCTTTAATGATCACCTCCAAGGAATTAACGAATTACAAGTAAGTACACAGTCCACAATGTGTATTTTTCTTTCAAGTCATTTTTATTGAATAGAATTTGCTGTGATTCTACATTGGTAATAATTAAAACTAACTAGGGTTTGTAACTCGTCAAACATCCATCCTTTCGAAAAGGATTGGTGTTTGAGGGATTTTCTGCATATTTTGTCATTAGGATTAGTCGAATCCTGAAGTTTCATGACAGGCTGAGGATTTGTCTGGGCCCTCGGGTTGATTTTTCATTATTTTTTTCTATAAGATAAGGTTTTAAGGGTTAAAGAATTTTTTGTCGAACATTTAGTGTTTATGGTTCTTCTTTTTAATGGTAATGTCTCAAAGTGAGTTCAGTTTTTATTACAACGACTAGCCTTTTGATTTTTTACAAATCTTTTGACTTTGCCAACATGATACTCATTGTTTAAATTGGTTTTCTAGCCATTTAACCAATAATTGCTCCTTTTCATCGTATAACTGCAAGTCTGTGCTGGTGGAATGAGCTCTTCTGCTTCTCTTTTCTCTGAAATTCTCCCAGATTACCTTCAAATCCGATTTTGATATTTCTAATTCCATAACAGCATCGGACTGGAAATACTTGTCCAACGCAATTTCCCACCATTTCATTTCTGAGGATTGGGGCTTTTCAATACCAAGAACAGCCAGAACCTTCCCTCCAATCTTAGAGAATGCCATGGATAGAGTGTTTGCAACAAGTATGTTGTCCATGCTTTCCTTCAATTTTGCCATTTCCTGCTTCAAGGCTTGTATTTCACTTTGATGTTCCTTTCTCAAGGCTTCAATTTCCATTTGATGTTCCTTCTTCATGGTTGCCATTTCCTCCTTCAAGGTTTGTATTTCGATTTGATGTTCCTTCTTCATGGTTGCCATGAAATCCTTCATCTCTTTAATCAAGGAGACATGTTCAACCTTTTCAACTTGAATGGCTTCTTTAACTTCTGATAGAGCCTTCTCTTTCTCCTTTTTTTCATTTTCAACGTTAGCTAATAAAACTTGATTTAAGGCAAAGGATTGGAGATGGAAACTGGATCCTGACTTTGTAGCATACTCTGCACCTGCATCAAAATTAGAACCATCATCCGGAATAATTCTGAACAAATTGTTCTTTTTTTCTTCTAGAGTGGCCTTTGTAACTCTTTGTCTGTTTGTTAATTCAAACAGAGTGGCCTTGTTGTTGTGGTTTGTTTGAGATGATGATGCTTTTGCGGGATGATTTTTCATGATAATAAGGCTATTTTTTTGAGAAGATTAAAATTAAAATTTTTTATTAAGTAGTTTCAACTGTTTTCAGTTGATATATTAATCTCAAATTTAAAAAATGCAACCGTGTCTTCATCATGCCAGCCTACAACGACAGCAATAAGGGAACCTGTCTTTTTTGACATTGACTGTTCTATGACAGGTCTCTCCCTGTGCATGGACGGTCTCAAATGATGTATAGTGTTGGTTCGAGAAATTATACATCTCCAATTTGTTGTTCATCTTCATTGATGATTGGAATTAAGGGAGGAGGAGCTCAAATTTCTTAACAATTCTCGCCCATTGATCCTCGATTTGCAGCGAATATCATTGATTTGGGAATGTCAAGACAAAGAAGCTCAACACGGATAGTATTTATGTGCTGCCCTAAAAGGTGTCTCAGCTATTGTGATGACCTAAGGGATTCAAGCAGCTTTGTCAACTGGTGTGCAATTAATCTTGAGATCAGTTTTCATAAAGTACTTTTTGCTGGTGAACAACAAAGAAAAAAAATGCGCATCCGATGCACGGGGCAGGTGAAACATGTTTCTGATCATGTGATCGTGCTGTTGGTCGTAGTGGTTGCATCACTCCAGTTTTTATTGCATGAGAATAGTGATTTCTCTCATTCCGTGTTGGTTCAGGCTCAACAACTATCACCAACGATGAGATCAGCAGTTCATGAATCATTTAATAATTACAAAGAGCAAGTGGATCGTATTATTCAAACTCTCACTCTTGGTTCCGAGAAAGGAAAGATCTATAACTTGCTGGCCTATATTGCTGATACATATGGAGGAAGATTGGTCGGATCTAAAGCCTACGATTTGGCAGCTAAGGAATTTGTCCGTAATATGAAACAAGACGGTTTTGATAATATTCAATTACAACCTGTTTTCAATGTAACTCATTGGGAACGAGGAGATGTTGAAGAGTTACAAATGTTAGAGCCTCGTTTCATTCGCAGAATGGAAGTAATGGCTCTCGGAACTTCTCCAGGTGGTTACATTGAGAAGGGAGAGGTGGTGGTTGTGCGTAATTTTGATGAGCTTGAGAGAACCAATGTACGAGGAAAGATTGTATTGTTTAATATGAAATGGAATGGATATGGAAATACAGTGATTTATCGCAGTCGAGGACCAGCAGAAGCAGCCAAGAGAGGAGCTCTTGCATGTTTAGTGAGATCAGTAACTCCATTCAGTATCTACTCGGCACATACAGGAGTGACGAATTTTGAGGAGAATGGTCCTAAAATTATGGCCGCTACCATTACTGTGGAAGATGCTGAAATGATTGATCGCATGACGAGTCGTGGCCAGCGTGTAGTGTTGAGCTTGAGGTTGAATTGCCAAAACTATCCTCCAATCACTTCATATAATATTATTGGAGAAATAACAGGTTCAACCAAACCCAATGAAGTCATTGTTGTGGGTGGACATTTTGATTCGTGGGATGTTGGAGGTACAGGCGCAATGGATGATTTGGGTAAGTAAGGCAATATGTCGATTGATAACACGAGATGTATTTATTGGACTAATGATGAATTGTTCTTCTCGGAGCTAGGAGGAATTATGGTATTCTATGGAGGAATTAAAACACTGATCAAATTAGGAATGAGACCTAAGAGAACCATAAGGTACGATTTTTAACACAATCCCTTATTTATTTTTAACATGTTTGTAATTATGAACAAAACTACCCGTTTCTTGTTTACTGATCCATACAATCAATTGAAATTGTTCAATGATAAATGGAAACAAATATCAGACTGGTTGGCTATTCTGCAGAGGAATTTGGAGGTGGAAGATTTGGAGGTATGAGCTATGTGGAACACTATCGTGACCAGCTTAAAGATCATCTCTTAGGTGTCGAGTCTGATGGTGGGCCATTTAGACCATTGGGCTTTGAGTTTACTGGAGGACCAAGAGGAATGAGTCTTGTTCATCAAATTGCAACAACTTTACTTTCCTCAATTAATTCTACGAGAATTGTGACTGGTAAGTGTTGTGGCTTGATTTTCGGCATGCTGACAACGTTTTATGATCAACATTTTGGTATTCATAATCGGCTACTCTTACCAAATGCAAACCAATAGGTGGAGGAGGAGCTGACGTTAATCCTTTAAGAGAAGTTGCTGGCATTCCAACCATGTCACCCAATGTGGATGACCAAGATAGATATTTCTGGTTCCATCATACAAGAGCAGACACCATGACTGTACTGAATTCAGATGACTTGGATTTGCTGTCTGCATCACTTACATCCATGATCTATGTTATTGCTGACATGGATGAACGATTCCCAAGAGATTAATAAAAATCAACATGTTCTTACATTACCCAAGAATCTGTTTCATTATGAACACTGAAGTCGAATCAGTAAGCCACAGAATTCAAAATTGATGACTGCATGAAATGTCTTTTATTTCATTATTGATAAATAATTTTTTTCTCAATGAAATCCACATGTGGTGACTGACACCTTACTGAACAAACACTAACCAGCCAATGAAAATATAATACAAAATGACAGGATACATGCTCAAAAGTTTCCTCTTTGGTTTGACACTGTGAGTAAGCACAAGTGTCGAGGTGATGCAACACCAAATCACACAACACAACACCACAAAGAATCTAATTGTGAATGATTCAAGGAAAATAAAAGCCACACTACACAACACGAGAGGAAAGACACAATAGCCCAAAACACAAACGCTCTGGAAGAAACTAATCGTACCGCCCAATAATTGGCCATTCAATGTAACAATACCACTTCCGAGCCAAATTATAACGAAAACTCCACCAAAAACGGCTCCTTTTTGTGTTTCTTTTGCACTAAATCCTAACGTAAAAGCAAGAACAATACATAAAAGTAAAGGTCCCCATAAATCCCAATTTCGTAATTCTCGTTGTATTTTCTGCTCATCACGAACCGGAACTAGAACAAGAGCAATTTTTCTTCCAATATTCGTTAAATCTCTCATGATCGTCTTGTAAATGGGTTCATCAATTGTATCCGTTGTATCATCATAATCATCCTTGTGTATATTTGCAGTATTATTATTTGTTCCCGATGATGAATTATTCTCTAAAAGTGGATTATTTTGTCTCTCTAGCTCTGAGATGGCTGATGTGGCAAACGGATCATCATCATGTTGGAGAGCAAATGGATCCGATGTGGAAGAAGACGTTTGGGGCTGCATTTTTTTTTTAATTTTTTTCGTGATTTCTTCCAATCATTTAGAAGAACACTTTCTTGTCAACTGAATATAGAATGAAATGGCCAAAGTGAATGAAAAATTCCAACAGTCATCTGCACGAACGATATTACCAAAGTTATGACATCCTGTCAGATCTGAATCAATCCATTTCAATGATCCATTTTTAATGAGACGACAATTTGTTAATTCTTACATTAAGGTCATTCTCTTGTACAGTATTGTTGTTGTCTTGAATTTCTTCTTCAGGTTGTTGCATTAAATATTCAAGTGATTGATTTGCAATTTGTACTAGTGCCTTACTCAACATGGTGGCTGTGAAGGAGTGATCAGGTTGAATGGCCAGTGCCTTGTGATAATATTCAATGGCTGTGTGTAAATTTGAACTGCCACTATATTGCTGTAAATGATAGGTCAATCCAATAGCAGAATAGATGGATGCATTCTTTGGCTGTAATCCAATACATTTCTTGTAATAGGCAAGAGCCAAATCGTATTGTTTCAATTTTCGGTAAGTGTTGGCAAGGTTGAACATGATGGGTTCCCACATTTGGACCACAATGTTGTTTTCAGTGTCAACAAAGTGAGAAGTATATTGTGAATGAGAAATTTCTCTTGAAAAATTTGGAGTATCGTCTTTCTTGGGATTGAGTCGAAGAGCATTTTCAAAATGTTGTTTAGCATCTTCATAGAGTTTCCACTTGTAACTGATCATGCCCAATTCGTTGTGAACGAGTGGATCGGTTGGGCAAATACTTAATGCTTGTTGAATAAATTTCTGAGCGAGTGTGAGATTGTTTGTTTTCATGTGTTCCATTCCAATGTAGAGAGGAGGTAAGTGACTTCCTGTGAATAGTCGATAAGCGGTTCTGTAGGCAGCCATTGCTTGATCAGGCTCGTTCTGTATGTGGTGTTGTTGTTGTTGTATTTGTTTGTATGGAATTAAAAAATATGCTCGCTCACTTCATCTTGTTGTGCACACTACTTACATCATTTGAAAAGCAATGTCCAATGCCAAGCCATGCTTCCAAAAAGTGAGGGTTTTGATTTGTTGCTTTTCTGTTAATTTTTTGTTTGAATGTGTACGTACAATTACAACACCATTGTTTCGTCGAGAAATGTACAAACATTATTTATAAAAAAGGGTAAAACAACAACAAAATAACAACAGAACTGTACTTACGTAAAATACGATCGAGCTGAAGCGAACTTCTTGATGGAATAATAATAACAAGCCACAGCGAACCACGACACTGCTGATTCCTTATAGTCGTCCACTAATTTGTGTGACAAGGAAAATAATTCACTCTTCTTATTGAGCTCTACCAGAGTTAAAATATGGATTGGTAAACATGCTTGATTATAAGGATCTTCCTCTATTATCTGTTTTGTAATTTCATATGCTTGGTTAAATCGTTGAGAATAAAAGTATCGTTCTGCCTCGCTACATCGAACATCATGGTTTTTCGACAAATTATATTCTACACTTAATTTTCTTAATGCTTGTTTGCTATTGTCATTAATATAGCAAAATCTATCAATTTTGGATGTATAAAAGTATTTGATCCATTGGTCTTCCTGTGAAAAATTAATTTGGTTGAGTAACGCAGCTTGGTCTTGATTGTTCAACAGATTTTTCTCTACCAATTTTTCAAAGGCTTCATAAAAGTTGGGATCATAAATTAATGTTTGTGTGTACCAGTGTATGGCTCTAGCCTTATTATCCAACATATCGAACGCTTTGCCTCGTAAAAAGCACAAACTTGCAATGTACTGATGGGAATATTTTTAGTGATGTGAATTTTGAGTTCCATGGTTGTCAATAGTGATATTTAAATGATGCAATACATTAGCCAAAATAATAATAAAAATAATAATAATTATAAAAATAAATAGAAACAATTGGAATGTTGGGCGTTCAAAAAGAATGTAAGTTATTGAAAAAAATCCAAATAAATCCTACCTGTTGAGCTCCTTCTCTATGGTGTAATACTTGCTCAAATTCCATATCATTATCTCCAAAAAGACTCAAAATTTCCAACCAATCATCACACTTTTCCAAACATTTTGCAGCCAAAAAGAAGCATTCCATCGGAGCTCTTTGAGAGAAGTTTGTAAATGATGATGTTAACAAGTGTAATGCTCGTTTAAATTGTCCTGCTTTAAAGTATGCTTTGGACAATAAATAGATGGCTTCAATCTCCCGTGTAGAATAAATTTCATAGAGAGGAATGGATGGATCTTCGGAATTGAGACTCCAATCCTTTTTATTCTGAAAGGTGAGGTGATATAATTTATCGGCATGGAAAATTGCATTCTTGTATTCTTCTTGTTGTTCCATGAAAAAGATTACCTTGTTCTTGATGGAGTCCAGAATGAACGCAGGAGTTTGATCTTGAGACATTTTTTTGTTGGCGCCAATGTTCAACGCTCCGACCAAGAAATATTTCGCTGTTTAAAATATTTTAATCTTGTGTGGTCGTAGTGCAGTGGTTAGCATATCTGATTCCCATTCAGAAGACCTGGATTCGACTTCCGGCGATCACAAATTATAATTTTTGCAGGATCACTAATTTGTTTCTTGTAAAGCTCAATTCTTAATTTTTGAAAAGATCAATAAAAGACCGTATGTATGATACATTACATACATACCTTTATTCCAAGTTCATTTTCGTATCCTCTTCTCATAGATCCGTTTCATCCACATGGTGACCATATTTGACTCGTCAAACAAGCCACCCGTCAGTTCTTCCCATGATGGTGGATTTTCGAGCTTGTTTGGTTTAAAATCACAAGTTTGATCTTCATCTCCAATAATTTCATCATCATCTTGGAGTGATGCAAAATCGGGTTGCAAGGCTCATTTTATTCTGACCTAACTTGGAACTTTCTTTGAATTTGTAGAAAAAAAAATAGTGTGATCTTCTCTCACTATACTTCCTTCATCACTACATCAACAACAACTTTGCAAATTTTCAAATAACATTTTCTCGGATCCGAACTGTTCTCATGGCAAAGATGAAAAAGGCAAAATCTGGAAATTCCAACGAACCTCCCCGAACCACTCATAACAATTCCTCTTCCAAACTCCATCATAAAAACGATGCTCTTGATGATATTGAACGTTGTTGTCAGAATTTATCAAATTCAAAGTTAATTGCTCTTCTCAGTTTTCATAAACGATATTTACAAGATGAATTGGAATGTAACGAGTTAGATGAAAAATTGATCGAATCACAGAAGAAATCAAAGCAATTTTCATTGAAAGGCAAGCTGGATGCATTGAAAGATATTTATGAAATGTTTCCGCATATTCCTGTATCTAGAATTAACGTGATTTATGATGAAGTATGTGATGGACGTGTGGATGGCTTGATTGATGTCTTGCTTGGTCTGGATCCGAATGAAGTTCAATTTACGGATGATCTTCCCGAGGAGAGTCAACAAGAGACTGTTAGTAGTAGTCATAGGTTTGGTCTTCCACCACAACAATCACAAATAGAATTGTTCAAGAAGAGATGGGATTTGTCACAATACATTTCATTCGATATCGATCCAAATATTACAGAACTTGAAATTGATTATTTAACTGCTGTGAAGATGAGAAATTTGGCATTCCAAGAATATGGCTTTGAAGAAGAAGAGGAAACTCATAGTCAACAAGACGCCTCTGTGAACTTGGATGAAATGCCAGAACACGAGAGAGAATTTTACTTGGAAATGAAACAAAAAAAGGAGCAATTGAAAAAAGAACGTCAATTCATTATTGCCAAGATGAAAGAAGCAAAACGAGCAAGAAATGTAAAAATTTATTGTGCTGGTGAAGAAGAACATTTAGCCAAAAACACATCCGAATTGAAGAGGTACATGTTTACGAGAAGTATTGAATTCGATCTTGAAGCAGAATATATTCATTTTAGAATTGTTGAATCACAATTCCATCGATTGTTGTAAGTAGGGCTTGTGTGAATGGATTCGAGTCTAATGACCATTTGCAAAATGAACATTTTTTAATATGAAATACGAATGAACGAATGAACGAATGAACGACGAACGAATGAACCAATATCTGACACTTTTTGAAACTGCACCATTGTGACAATGACCACATAGAGCGCGATACATGTACACTACTCAAATGATTCCGTATCAACTCCAACAAGTGGAATATATTGTGAATCCAGAAATTGTTAGGAATTTTTACAATTACAAAAAGGAACTTGCCAAAAAACACAACTTTTTATACGAGTCAATGAATTGCTATTTACTATTTCATGGAACTTCCGAAACGAATATGGAGAACATTTTAAAGACAAACTTTTTATTGAGCAAGGTGGGCTCTTCTACAGATATGGGATTTTATGGTAAAGGTTTTTACTTTAGTGAGTCACCTCTCATGTCCATGTAAGTAGTTATTGCGTAAATATGGTGAGTTTATAAGCATCATGTGTCCTACGTTGATACCATACATACACGTCACGACTGCACAGATCTTATTCAAGAGGTAATCCTTATCTGTTAGTTTGTTTGGTGATGGTGGGAAAAGCATTCCATATGACAACTGTGCAAACTGGTAGACCATTGGAAAGTGGTTATGACAGTCACGTTTCACCAGATGGTAAGTTGTTGAGAAACCTGTGAAATGAGATACAATGCCTAAACTTTTAACATTGCTCATTCGTACAAAAACAAAAGGCTGTTCTGAGGGTATGTTGTTTTTTTTAATAATTAATATTTATTATTTAACTCGCTTTTTTGCAGTCATTATTTTCAATCCTCATCAGGGTAAGTTTTTGTGTTGTAGTTGTCACTTGTTTCAACAACAAATTGCAATACCAAGTCATTCCAATGTACAAGGTGAAATGGCAAAATATTGGAGGTGCTAATTATGGACATTATTGAGTGTGACGTGTTCCTCCATATATTGTAAAATTGTGACAAATGTGTGATTGTAAAAATTGCAACTCTGCTGACATAAAAATAATTATTATATTAATACTGCCTTAATCATAACTATTAATCACAAAGATAAATAGAATCCATTGAGGCAACACCTGAGGCCACTCCTCCATCTTGAAAAGTCGCTAATTTGGTTCTCAACAAGTAGCCGGCATGACTGTTCTTCAACTCTTCCTTACCATCGCCCAAAAAGATTCCATAAATACCAAGCTCACTAATACAGTCACCAGAAGAAACTTGTCCCTGTCTTATAATGTCCTTTTTGTGAAGTTGAGGTTTGATTTTTCTCATTAAAATATAGGTATACTTGATGGCTGCATATTGTTCATGATTGGGATGATTCAGAAGAATGTCCAAATAATTTTTCATGGTCTCTCCGTAGACAAGATTACCTCCTCCCTCTCGTTGTGGCTTTAGCACATAATCATCCGAGTGTTCAAATGCATCCCTAATAAACTCAATCGATTGTGTATCTTCCAATGAGTAAATTCCTGTAAACACTTGTTTCACAGATTGTGCCTCTTGCTTACTCAAAAACTTTTCCAACACTGCATCATCATACATGATTTGCTGAATCTTTTTAGTGCCAACCAATTGCACGCCCACAGAAGGACACTTGATGGCCGCGCATGCCTCAATCATTCTTCTCACTTCCCACTCACCCTCCGTTGGATAATCATCAGGAGTGTAACCCGATCTAAAGTAGACCACACTCACCAAATGTTGTTTCTCAACTAATAGTAGAGGTTGATGGGTTGCAGCATCATCCCGAATCAACTCAACATTTCCAATCAATTCCTTCATACTTCTTCTCAATACAAACACTCCATACTTTTCCAAAAGCATGTGCTCATAGGGTTTCTGATCTCCGATATTTCTCTCTCCATCCTGAACCACAAACAAGATGAAATAGGGCCCTGTTCGTTGTTGAGAGAATTCTTGATGAGTGGTTCCATTCAAACCATGATTGTTCAAAAAGGTTTGATGAGCCAACTGCATCACGTTCACGATATTCTCAAGAGATGGATTGGGTTGAAGAGGTGCTTCTGGATAATCACTCGCAAGCCATGTTCTATATTGTTGAAGATAGGAATGTAGTTTATGAGTAGTTGCTCCGAGAGCTCCAAACGCAGATGAAATGGTATTAAGCTCTACTTGTTGAGGAATGTGTTCTCCACTCTTTTCATCCACGTGAAGCATGTAATCGGATCGGTGAATGGCTAGCTGATAGCTGGAACGAGTGTTGGGAATGGTTTCATTGTAAATTTGAAGAAGGCGTTTGACAAAATCATCATATTGTGCGACTTGATTCAAGGATTGATTGATGAATTCAGAATCTCTACTCATTCCTTTGTGTTCATGAATGAGTTGATGATTGGGTCATTGGGATGATGATTATTCCGTCCATCATCGGGTTGGAATTTTAATTCGGAATTGTCATCATCATCATCATTACGGAAATTCATGTTTGTCCAAATCATATCATGCACACAGCAATAATTTCAATCAATCATTGAGAAGTAAAAACTCAATTCTATACATACGATCAACAAGAGTATTCAATAAAGGAGCAATAGTAACTACTTTATCGAATGCTTTTCTCGGAATTGGTGTTGGTGTGAGAGTGAAAGGAATGGGATCCGACTGAAAGGAAGCTCCTCGTTGACTCTTTAGAATAAATCCGTTACAAATGGCCCAGCTCTGAGCGAGTTCAATTAACGCATGTTTGTTTTTCAAGTTGTTGGATATCATGATGTGCGTATTCGATAATTGCTGTCAATTTTTTGTATGAATGAAATTAATTTTAATTATTGATTTCAACAAAGACACCTGTTGTCGAAGAAGAATTCTACGCATGCGGGCGCTGTTTATTTCGTCGGAAGGTGATCGTTTGGACTTAATTAAAAGGATGATTTTATTTGGGTGTGAAATAAACCCTGAAACACTCAGATGCTTGAAATATCTATGCTATGGTGATGCATTGGAAATATTAATCTTTCATTCATTAATAATAAACTTGAATCTTGTTCAATAAATAAACATTTTGAAATTATTTGAACTTGAGAATATCCAATTTCTTATCAAAGTTGGATTCTGGCGTGCTCAAGTGAAGTTCAAGTTTGAGGTCAATAGTTTCATCATCTTCTTGGAGAGCATTGTCAAAGTATTCGTCATCCCTGTCCGATTCGTCATCGTCCATTGGATGCTCCCAGTGAGGCTTTTCCAATCCTAAAACAATAAGTCCATCCTCTTTCATCTTGTACAAGAGCCAAAACATGGCCGATGCACCAGCAATCTTTGCAAGCAGAACCTCTCTCTTTGGTGGTTCAGGTAAAATTTCGTCCAATTCTTCAAACTCGGTCTTTTTGTGATTGCTATTGTTATTGTGTTTTTCTTCGTGATGATGTGCCGATCCGTTTTGTTTGTTATTATTGCAAGAAAAATTACGTGATGATTGTTGATTCATGTGTTGAATAACACTGCTCAGAGACATGTTCTGTTTTGGAGCAGCGGATTGGAAAGCCTTCTTCACAAAGAAATGGCTATGCACGAGACCCACAGGTCTGGCCAACAGGGTTCTATTGCTGAACATGAGTATTTTTTAATAAAAATGAAAATTGAATTCAAATCATCATGATGATCGTTCTTCTCCTCAGAGAAGAATGATTAATCCCTTCCGAAGGAGATGGTAACATCAACCTAATCAAATGAATGGAAGATTCTATAAACCACAGATCATAGTATCGATAGAAGAGAGATGTTTGTAATTACAGACCCAATTGGCGCCCAAATTGTAGATTAAAAATTTATGAAAAAAACCGTTAGGGTTAGAAAAAAAATTCAAAACGACGAAATACAGCAGCACCTTTATAATTTTTGAGAGATGTCTTCAAATCAGATATCGGGAGAAGACCGTAATAATGCCATCATCATTCAAAGGCTACGGGCAGAAAATGAAACCTATCAGAGAAATTTTGACAATGTAAGTTATTGCAAGGTTCTTTGAAAGTTTTAATCAATTTCAAATAACAATCGGGGTTAATCATTGATAATGATCTCTCCTGTGTTTACGGAATTAACCCATGAATATGAATTCATAAATAACAAGTTAAAACGAGAGTATTTGGATTTATATAATCAAAACAATGAGCAACATTTGAGGTGGAAAACACAACTTGAGAAAAAGTCCAAAGAGTTTGAATCGCTACGGAATCAGTTTGACAGGGATACACAAGAATTGCAACAATTGAAAATGAAATTAATGGAAGAATTGGAATTACGACAACGACTCGAAAGAGAAATTGATGAGAATGACAAATTCAGAGAAATGTACTCTGAATTGCGGCGTGAATATGAAATGGTCAAGAATGAACTCACTCAAAAATTGAAAATGTCAGAGAAGCGATATGACGAGTTGAAAACAGATTATGAAGACAAAATTCAAGAATTGGTCATGCAGCTCAATGATCAGACCATACAAATTAAAACTTCTAAAGAGGCTATTCAAATCAAGAAACTCGAAGAAGAAAAGGAAGAGTTCTCAATTCACATCCAAAAGCTGTTAAAAGAATTGTCAGATGTTCGAGAGGAGAAAGCTCAAGCCGTTGCAGCCAAAGAACAAGCAAATTTGATGAATACTCAACGATACTCTGAATTGCTTTCAAAATGTCGTAATTTCGAAACTCAAAACGACAGGCTCCAAAAGAAGTGTGAGCGTTTGCAATCTGAGCTGGAAGAAGTGACACGAAACAATGATCGAATGCATGATCAGATTTTAAAGCTCGAAAAGGATTTAACAACGGCAAAGAGTAAGCTCGAAGAGACAGAAAAACAATTCGCCCAAGAGCGTAATAGTATGAAAGCGAACCAAATTCAAAGAGAACGAGAATATGAGAGGGATAGAAATGTTTGGGCCAACAAATTAAGTGAGGCCAATAAGAGAATTGAAGATTTGCAACAAACCAAACAAGATCTCATCAATCAATCCTACGACATTCATATCAAGGAAAATGAGCGCCTTCATGAAGCTCTTCGAAAAGAAACTGAAAAGTACTTGCAACTGGAAGTAGAGAAGAATGAACTGAAACAAGAATTGATGGCAAAAGAGAAAAAATCACAGCAAGATTTGCAAGAAGCTGGTTACGAAATCACACGGCTACGAAAAGAATTTGAAGCTTGTAAAGCGGAAACCCAGTCGTTTAAGGACGAACGTGACTATCAAACTGATAAGAACGCTCATTTACTCAAAGTAGTAGCCGACTTGAAATTGGATATGGACTCTTTGAAACAAAAGTACCAAGACTCTTCACTGAGAATTGAAAAATTATCCAAAGATTATTCTTCTGCAAAAGATATTGCAAAGAAATATGCTTCGAAATGTTCCAAAATTAAGGAAGCTTACAGGTCTAAAATTTATTCTCTTCAAAAACAAATTGAAGAATTGAATGACCAATTGCTACAATCAGAAGCCTCTCTCACGAATATGCAACAAAACTTTATTTCAGAACGACAACAATTACAACGAAAATGTTTTGATTTGGAGAGGGAACGAGATCGATTCAAAATTCTAAGCTCGCAAGTAGTAGAGAATGTTCTGTAATTTACAGCCCAAACCTTGAATTTCTCACTCCAAACCATACTATACCCTATCAAACACTACCCAAATACTAAGCTCTAGGTTCTACCAGATGAATGACAATAATTAAAAATACAATTGAAAATAAATTTTATGAAATGTAATAATAAACGATTAACAGAAATTATTCATTGTTGGTACAACAATTGTCACCATAATAAGGATGCAAAACCTTAAAAGTCATCATCTTCGTCTTGATCTAATCGAGAATACTCAGCTTTTGGTTCTTCTTCCTTCTCTGTGAGCCATTTAGGTTCAATTCCTCTCATGTACAACAAGAAAATATAGGCACATCCAACAATAATTCCACCTGCACCAGGTAAAGCCGAAATGACAGTAAAGCAAACAAATATACTCAACACAATGACAACAATTCCTCTCACTAAAAAGTTTTTGTGATAAATATTGAGAATTGGAACTTTTCGTTGGAAGGTTGGAATGGGAACTTCAAGAAATGGAAGGATCAATCCATAGAGTGCACAGTAAATAGCTGTATATATGTGTATGTATGTGTGCATGTGAGCATGTCACAAGAGAGATGTCCATTGGTCATTCATGGCCATGATGAAATACATGTTGTATGGATTCATTCATTCATCATTGGCAACATCCAATACCAAAATAATAATTTCATAATTTCATATATACACCATGTATGAATTCATCCATGAACAACACCTACCCACATATAAATTGAAAATATTATCATCCAAAAATTTAGCTCCTGATTTCAAGAAATAAATCAAGAATAATCCAACCGATGCAATCAGAGCCACTATTTTTCCAAAAATTAATTTCCGTATATATATCATATTCAAGAATTTCAATATCAAATCATTTTAGAATAATTTCAAACAGAATGATCTCTCTCCATGTTTTCATACCAAATATCAATACACACATACATAGACAAACACCGAGTGACACAAATCGCATGTAGGGTTCAACATTGGGAATGAAGGAGGTCCACTCTCCGATACGATTCCGAGCTCGTTTCCACATCAGGCCGATGGCTTTTTCGGCCACCTTCTCAGCAAATTCTTCACTGACGTTCGTGAGCATTTTTTTTTAATTGGTTTACGAGTTCTTCAAAAATGATATGACAGTTGACAGCTTATGAAATTTTGCTGTTTTCAAAATGGTGGGAAATGTGAAAGAGGTCAAAACAATGAAAATCAATTTCAATAATTTACTTTTTGTGTAAAAGTATGCTCTCAAAAATGTTGGGTAGGAGTATGGCGACAACTCTCTCTCTATGTGTGGAAAGAGTAAATAATATTCGAATGTGTGTGAATGTCGTTTTGAAAAATGGTATTGAATCAAAAACTATACCAAAAGAGCTGCCATGATTGGAAGATGATCGGATGCATTTCTTCCTGTATTTTTACATTGCACTTCTGTGATGGCTCTAAAATCCAAAACTTGAATGTTCGGAGAAACAAATATGTAATCTGTACATTTGCCTTGTATCTTTTGAGGATACGACAAGGAATCTAAAGAAACGTTTGTGTCAGAAGTAGTGGTGGTGGTGGTGGTGGAATTAGTGGTATCAGAATTGAGGGCGGTATAACGAGAAGATGATCCATTTCCATTCAAACCTACAAAGGTTGGATGATGGGCTGGATCCACACTGATCAGCTTAAATGATTCTTCTTCGTCGTCTGAATCACAATTTGAGCCGTCACTCGCCGTGTCATCGTCAGAATTAGAATCATCCATGTTTTTAGCTCCCAAATCGACTCCAGTGCTCAGTAAATGGACTGCATTCGAGTCAGGTAAGCAATTTAAATTTCCCATCACAATACACGGTCGTTGAACAATTTGATTTTCTTCGTCCTTGTCACAGGTTAAATTTTCAATGTATTCCCGAATGAGATATGCCGAGTTTCTCCTAGCTTCCACACCAATATCCCAATGAGTATTGAAGACATGGAATGAGTTTCGTTTTGATGACGATTTGATATTTCTAAATTTGCACCAAGTACAAAGTCTTGGAGCCACAGCATCCCAGCTTCTGCTTCCTTTCGTTGAAGGTGTATAACTATACCAAAAACAGCCTTGGTCTAACAGCTCAATCTTTTCAGCATTATAAAAGATTGTGATGTATTCTCCGGAATATTCATTCGTATTGTGATTATAATTCTGTCCGAGACCAAACCATAAATATTGTGAACGCTCTTGTCTTTCGTTCAATAATGTAAATAAATCAAGAATTTGATGTTGAAGACCATCCTGAATAGCAATGATATCTGCCTTGCTCTCCAAAATGATATTCGTTATTGTTTCTTTTCTATTCTTCCATTGGTCAATTCCATCAAAAACAGAATCTCTCCTAATACTAAAAGACATGACTGTAATTTCATTTGGTATATTCATTGTTTGACTTTCAAGTGATTCCTCATTGACTGCTTCCTGCGAAGATTTAGTGTTGTATCCGGGAGCAATGGGTGATGAATTGTTACTCATTCCCAACATGTTACCATTCACCACTAAATTCAAATGAAGTGTTGTTGGGTTATTGGGTGTTGATGAAGAAGCACTTAATGATTGATGTTTGGAAGCGTTCTTTGGAGGAAGAGTTCCAATGTGTCCATTTGGTGGATTATTTCCCATGATGATGATGTGTGTGGTTATTGATGATGTGGGCGAGAATGATACGTTGATGGTTAATATATTTTGGAGCGAGTAAGAAGAAAAATCGGTAATAATGATGAACCGATGATGATTCCAGTTGGCCAAGAATAAATTAATTGAAAAGTGGGAATTTGATGTTGATAGTAGTGATGCAACAACGATTTTAAAAGTTCTATTGTTGTATATATAGTTCGGAGATGGTGAACTGATGATACTCGGGTTGGTTGGGATCCCAAGTTATTCAACAAAGAAAGAAGAAGAGGTAATTATCTCAACAAGAACCTCTTTGCAGAGTGAGGGAAGAAATTACAACAGAGCTTGTGAGGCCCGGGAAACAACAAGCAGGTAATTTTTTGATGAAGATTTTTGAATGAAGAGATTATGGGTGGTGTTTCAAACGCCAATTCTGGATCCGTAATACACATGGATTCTTCTAAACAGGTCTTGAGATGTTGAATAACCATCAACTTCGAATGATGATATGTGAAACACCTTGGCATGATCTATCTTTTGGATAAACTTCAACTAGCCGTTACAAATTAAAATTTTAAAAAATCAAAAGAAATGCTTTCTCTTGGTTCCTCAGACTCTAATGAAGAACAAGCTCACCTCACCTTTCCTTCGCATCATCATCATGAAGAGTTAACAGGCCCAACAGAACAACAACGAGTGATTGTTGATTTTGAAGAATTTGAATCCTCCAAAGAGAATATCCTTCCACTCAAGTCTGGACGTCGAGCTGTGGATTTGAGAAGAGTTTTTGGAACGTTGAATCGTTCTTCTTCCTCTCCATCATTGAGAGGAGTTCTCAAAGAACGGAAAGATTTCATGACTGGTACGAGTTCTTCTTCTTCTTCTTCGTCAGGATCATCTTCCGAAATGATGATGATGATGAATTCTTCCAATCTTTCCTCCCGAATGAATCATTCTCCCATCTTTATGATGAATTCATTACTCAATTCCTTCCCAACCACTTGTTCCATTACTAGTAGCAGCAGCAGCAACATGATGATGATGACTGATGATTCACAAATTCTTCCCAATACTTGCAATCCTATTGATGAAGAAGAAGGGGAGGATGTGCAGGAGGATGCTACTGCAATTCCTGAAACATTTTCAAGCCTTACTCAAAACTCTTCATCATCCACTAGTAGTAGTAATAATAATAATTTTACCAATTCCTCTCCAATCACTACTACCAACCACACAACCAACACTACTCATTCCAATAATAATAACAATCCTGGAAATCGTCCCTTCTTTTGTTTCAACCACTTGATCCGTAAAGTGTGCTATGAAAATCATAACATGAAACCCAAACTGAATCAAGAACGTAAACATTATGAAAAGAGAATATCCTCTACGGCACTGGCCAATCATTTGGATCCTCTCAGTGTCTGGCTCGAATACATTGAATGGATTGAGAAGAATTATCCAACCCTTAACAAGTCCTCTCAATATGTTCCGACTCTACAAGCTTGTACCAAATATGTTCTCCTTTCCTCTCAACAACAGCATCAAGATCCTTCTTCTTCATCGAGCAGCTCTCTTTTAGAACGATACAGAGAGGATGAACGATATTTACAAGTGTGGTTGAAATATGCAGATCAGTGTTTGGATCCCATTGATGTCTTTACCTTTCTCGAGACGAAGAAGATTGGACTCTCTCATTCCGAGTTGTACATTCGATGGGCAACGGTATTGGAAGATCGAAAAGATTTGAAAGCAGCGGATGCTGTGCTTGAGAAGGGTAAACATCGAGGAGCACAACCCATGAAGGCACTGGAAACATTTCATACGGGAGTGAAGGCACGATTCATGAAGAGTATTCTCAATCGAGGAGGATTGAGCACAACTACTGCTACTACTACTAGTACTAGTACTACTACTGGACAAGTGACAGCATCGACAAATCAGAATGCTCAAGGAAATGCCGTGAATGTAAATAATAATGAGAATGGTGGAATTGGACAACGAGCTCCATTTCATCCATTATCGAAAAAACCTTCCTCTATTCGACCCACGACAGCCAAACCTCCAACCATGATGAAACCCATGAAAATGAAAATGAATAATCCAAGTTTGGCTCAAAAGAATTCACCCCTCAATAATTTTGTAGTGTATGACGAGTCGGTGAATCATGCTGAGAAGTTGGCACATGCAGCCACGACAAGAACATTACCATTTCAGATACAGAGAGATCATTGTAACTCTGCTGTGCCATCACAAGTATTGCCACGTACATTACCAAGCGAGCAAGAGGCAGAAAAAGAGAATAACGAGAGACCTGATAAGTGGACGAATTATTCAAATCCTCAATTTGTGACACAAGATGTGGATGATCTCACTACTTTCATGCTCACACCTCCACCTCAAGTGAGCAACGCAGTGAGTAAGCCTGCTTGTCATTTCTCGATATTTGTCGATGAAGAATTTAAATAAAACATTTCATGTTTTCAACTGCAGCCATCAACTACCCGATTCTTCATCAAATTTCTACTAAGCCCACTTACAACCCAATTACCTTTTAACAGTTGCTAATGAAAAAAAGATTTAATAAATTTGGGCACAAGTGCCAATAAATAATAAAGGGCGGCTGGGAAAGCGTTAATTCTGTACATGCTTGGATTTGAGATCGGTCACATTTGGTAGTTTTGTAGAGGAAGGCAACTCTGTTGTCGGCGAAGACAAACTTTGTGAGCGAGCTGACTCGGCATTTGTGATGGTGCTTTTTGGATTCTGCACAAACAAATGAGTTCCGTAAAACACCAAGAAGGTTCCTATTGCATGAAGCCACGTAAAGGTATTTCCAAAATAGAAAATACTAAACAATAAGCTCACAAACTTTCTAATGGTAATGGTCAATGTCGTTGTGAGCGAATTTGTTTGAGCTGTCAATCTATAGACACCCTTAATGCAAACAATTTGTGTCAACACGCTCAAAAGCATGTACCAATACAAAATTGGAAATTTCTGCATGGTTTCAAAATTTTCCACTAGATCATCTTTAAAGAAAATAAAACAAGGAATGGAGAGAAGATGCGAATAGAAAATATTCTCATTCTCATCACTGGTTCCATATTTCGAGTATCCATACGATTGTAAATTTCCTAATAGTCCAGTAGAAAATTGACTCGCCGTAAGTAGTATCAAACCCATGACCCAAGCAGTTCCGACAATTTCTTGTCCAAATACAATAGATTCACTCTTGTTGGATGCAACCACAGCAATAAATATTCCGATGGTAATCATCAGAACAGAAATAATCTTTTCTTTTGGTTGTGATTTACCAAAGAGTAAAATTCCAATCAATAAATTCATCAACAAGGAACTGCTTCGGAAGATGGTGTGTAAAATAATAGAAATATGATATTTGAATACTAAATTATTTACAACGGATTGGAAAAAGAATAAAAACACCAGTATAGAATAGAACCAGAGAGGAATGGCTCTCTTCTTTAAAGATTTTGTTTCCCAGTCAATATTATGCCGTAACGATTCAAGAGAAATAAATATGAATTGAATCAGAGTGAGTAGAGGTCCCATCTTTGAGTCCAAATTCAAAATCATTTCCAAGACAATCACATTTAGAACACATCCCGACATGATCATGGCTACTGATGACAGTGGACTATTCGGGTCCAGGATTGATTTTGCGTATTGAGTAAGCTGTTCCAGCATCATTTTTTTTGAGCAAAAAAGGTCCCTGATCAGGCTTAACAAGAGACCAACCTTTGAGCTTTTCTTCGTGCTGAGCGCTTTGAAGAAACTCACACAAATATTCGAAATCACGGAATGGTGACTACCATGGGTTTATTAATACGCCTTGGCAATCAGTCATTACATGTGGAAATCTAAAACACAAACATTAAATTCTTCCGTTAATGAATTGGAGAAGCAAGCTGCAACTCGGTCACCAGTTGAATTCCAACAAACTTCAAAAATGCTGCCAGTACCACGATAAGTCTTTACAAGCTTTCCATCGTGTACAGACCAAATGTGCAAGAATCGATCAAAAGAACCACTGGCCAAGTATTTACCATCAGGGCTAAATGCAACAGAATAGACTGGATCTGTGTGTTTTGTGAGAGAGTGCAGACATTTTCCAACATTAGGATCCCATAACTTGATGGTAGCATCAAACGAGGCGCTCGCCAAAACCATATTCCTATTGGGATAATCTGTTCCTGGTCCTGTAGGACTCCATTTGATTGTGTAAATTTCCTTAGTGTGCTCCCTCAAATCAAAAACACATCGTTGTGAAGCTGTTGATCCAAATGACCAAATCTTTGCTGTGAAATCGTCAGAGCACGATGCTAAAAGGCTTCCATTTGGACTCCATCGAATGGCATTCACTTCATCTTCGTGACCGGCAAATGTTCTAATTGGATCCTTAGTACCTAACTCATAAACATAAATCATGCGATCGGTTGAGCATGTTGCAAAAGAAGTATTATTTCTCCAATCAACATCCAAGGTAGGGGCTGTGTGATGAGCAAATTGTTGTTTTACAGTACCTGTTTCAATATCCCAAACAATGGCAGTGTTATCAACAGATCCAGACAATAAATAATTGCCTTGCTTATTCCATTTCAAGGAAAATATTGGTCCCTTATGTTGATCTAATACAGCCTTGAGTTGACCATCAGCTGTCCAAATTCTAGCTTTTCCATCGTAGGATCCAGTGGCAAGTTTCTTTCCGTCTGCGCTCCAGTCCAATGTAGTGACATCTTTTGTAGATACATGGATGTTTTCAAAGACAGGATCACCATGATTTAACACGATGGGTTGAGATGGAGCAGCTTGGGCTCCTACCTCGTTCTTAACTAATTCCCAAATCCTAGCAGTTGAATCTCCCGAACCAGATGCTAAAACGTTGCTACGAACAGGATTCCAAGCACAAATAAATACTTCATGGGTGTGACCTTTCAATTTCGTGACCTGACTTTCATCAATTACAATGGGCAGTTGTTGATCTTCTGTTGTTGTTGCTGATGGAGTTACACCCGACTGTACAGCTCCACCACTGTTGGCCATGGTGTGTACGACTTCCTCTTCATCTTGCATGGCGTGTGAGTCACGTGCGGAAGCAGTGGTGGCTGCTGTGGTTGTGGCTGCTCCAGAGGATGGTGTTGTGGTGGTTTGTTTTGATTTTTTCGAAGGTCTCCCACTGCCATTTCGTGCACTTCCCGCGGCCTTCTCAGCATTAGAATTCTTTCGTCTGCCTGTTGTTGTAGATGAAGGTGTTGAAGTGGTAGTTGTTGTTGTTGTTAGAGAAGAAGTGGTTCCTACGTTTGAAAGAGAAGACGAAGATATCGAGGATGCAATTTGTGTGGATGATTTGGATCGATTGGGTGTAGCCGTGGCACTAGTTGTTGTTGTGGTGGATGATGCGATGGAGTCTGGAATGGTTCTTGCAAAAAGCTTTTCTTTTGGAACGTCGGGTAGTAGCATTTCAAAAACGGTATCATAATTCACTTGCTCCGTCTTGTTTTTGATTCTCGTTTCAATCTCTAGAAATTGTACACCTTTCTGAATGAAAGATATGAGAACACCAGGAGGTATTTCTGAGCCTCTAAAACCACAATTTTGAACTCCACTTTCATTGGCAAAGGAGAACGCCGTATGTTTGAAACCTGATTCTTGGAGGTATCTGTAAATCATAAAGTTAACTTCATCACTGGTAAGATTACGGAAGGACATGATGATGATCTTAGGTTTGTTGATCTATTTTAAATGATATTGTTGTGTGGATGATGACGAAGGCTCGATGATGGTGGTCGAATTGAAAAATATGCTGCAGTGATGATGCGTGTCGTGATAAATAGATCTTTTAGAGGAGTATTTGGATATTATTCAATTGAATAATAATAATTAAAAGAGTCCTATGATGGTGATTGAAATTATTTAACTGTGTGGATATACTCGGATATTTAAAAAAACAATAACAACGGCGACGAGAAGAAGATTGTGGTGTTAAAATCTCTCTCAATCTTACTCCAAGATAAATTCCGTTATTATAATATATAATTTGAGAGTTGATTTGACTTGCAGAATATTCTATCTTTACAGAAATGTCTCAGAACAAGCCTTGTTGATTGGATATTGGTGCGTGTGCGTATACAACACGTTGATGATTGGTCCAAGATGAAGAAGATTCGAAATTTTTTTTTAATTAACATAAAAAATTGCAAATTTGGAATGTTGTTGTAACGTTTTTCTGGCTCGTCCCAGATCTAAAAGGCTCACAAGACCTGTCTTCTTGCTCATTAAATTCAATTGAATTCATTGAATGTTTCACATCTCACAAGTCCTGCTCTCCTAAAAGAACTCCTAAAAAATTGACATCACAACTCTCATCAACGACATTTTCATCATCTTTCGTTTCACACATTATTATTATTGGAAATATCATCAAAAACAACAACAATAATAATAACAACAATTAATTGGATACAATCACCATGAAAATCTTGTTGTTATTGCTGTTTTTTCAATGTTGTTGTTGTCTGTGGATGAGCCTTTTCCCGACAATGAACGTACAGGCACACCAACAACAAGTTGATTGGAGTTCTCTCACGTCCTCTCAACTCCATGCTCTTCCTCCGAGTGTTTTTCAAACAGCAAGTGCGTTCAATATTTCTCAAATTCCTCCAAACGCTTGCAATGGATTTCGTTCCGATCAATTAAATCAGTTAAATGGTGCAGCCTGTTCTGGTTTTCAATCTCTGGATTGTTTTATGAATATTACTTCAGAAGCCTTCTCAGGTATTTCATCCGATTGTTTAATTAATATTCCACCCTCAACGATACAAGTATTAAATTCTGAACAATTGAGCCAAATTCCTGCCAATTCCATGACTGGACTCACAACAACACAACTCTCAGTTTTAAATCCACAAACGTGTACGGGATTTTCAGCAGCTCAAATTTCCAATCTTCCCTCATCACCCATGTTTGATACTTGCCATGGATTTAGTGAGGGATGTTTCTTGAATTTACCTTTAACGAGTTTGAATGGAATGACCTATTCATGTCTATCTTCCATTCCGAAAATGACTTTAATTTATATGGATGCTACACGTTTTGCAGCACTCTCCATGGACACAGTTTCAAGTTTCAAAGCAGATCTATTTCAATTGTTTTCTGGAGAGACGTGTGCTGGTTTCAATGACAAGTCACTCTCTGGAATTCCCTATGATACATGTCGAGTGTTTACAGAGACTTGTTTGTCATACATGACGCCACAGGCCTTTCAAGGAATACAACCATTGTGTTTGAGAAGTATTCCGAGAAGGAGTTTGAGAGGTCTCGATGCTGCTCGTATTCAAATGCTACCTAATGTTGCACTTACCTTAGTGAGTCCAGACCAATTGAGTGAGCTCTATATTTATCGAAGAAGTGATTTATTGAATGGTCTTACCTTGTCACAAGCTCAATCCATTTCATCCAATACAATTTCTGTGCTCAAGTCCATGTTTCTGAATGGAGACTTGTTGGCCTATGACAATTTGCCTCAAGATTTTAGAAGAATGACTTGGCTGCACTTGAGCTCGACAGCTACAGCCTATACGAATACAAGAATCACTTCGAACGCCATTGTACAAATGCCAACATTTACGTTTGTTGGATTTTTAGGAATTCAAATTCAACAATTACCAGGTAATATCTTTCAAAATGCCACCGATGGGCAAATAAGCGCTTTTGATTGTGAGGCTCTCAGTGGTTTATCAGCTACACAAATTTCATTCATGTCACCTCGTTTGATGTGCATTGTGCAGCCCAATTTGTTTGAAAGCTGTGTGAAATTGAGCTCAATTATTGGCGTCACTATTACGCAATTTAACGAGTCGTTGGCTTGTGGCCAATTGTCATTGTCATGCCCTCAATTCCATGCTCTTTCCAAATCGCAATATGATTTCTTGATTTCCATGAATCAGACTAGTCAACTTATTGACTCGTGTGGACCCAATGTTTACAGTTCTGGCCCATCGATCCAACCTCATCCATCACATTCTTATGCCACTCGCTGTACTGTATTTTCGTGTGGATTGTTTGTTTGGATTCTTCTCATTTCCTTTATTTCCTTTTATTTATTAAATTAATAAATTGACATTCGTGTTTAGTGAATGAATTCCTTTAGTAAATTTCAATGTTTTATTTTCAGAATATGTGCTCAAACAGTTGTGACTTGAATAGATTCATTGGTGTGCTGTGCATGCTCTTCATCGTCATATGGAAGAGTTAAAGAGAGCGACTCACAAAATCGAGCAATAATGTTCCACAGGTATCCAATAAAGAATGATTCTGATTCAGCATCCTCAGAGAACTGAGATGTAAAGAATGGAATCATTTTCAAGTGTTGCTCTGCCTTACTCATGGTCCAAAATTGAGATGCCTTTAAAATGTTTTCCATATAAGTTTCTGAACTCCAATTTCTCGTTTCTTTTTGTGACAAGTCAAGATATTCCTCAAATGCGTCAGTAGAACTATTCAAATCCAAAGGAGAAAGATGTGACGTTGCTGTCATGGATGCAATTTTAGGATCGCTACTTGTTGTCGCCGGTGAAACTTTCCCAAGCTCAATATTTACAATATTTGAAATTTGTAAATCAAAATACTCTATAATAATCTTTAAGTTGTGAATAAAATCTCGAAAAATTCCAAGGTCTTCGAGTTTTTTGACCACTCGTCGTTGATACAGTAACTCATACACGAGTCTTAAATTTTTTCGCAAACCGCCTTCCTTATTGGTTGTGAGTATACAATTAATAGTCTCTAATACAAGCTTCAACAGTGATAAATAGGTTTCTTTTTCTTCAGTATTATCTGAAAGACTCACTTTTTCATACTTGATGGTTAATAATCTTGTAAGAGTGACCATTCTTTGTGCTGTATAGGTATGAATATTCGAGAAATACGGACCAGAATTTGATATAATGGCCAAACAAAAACTATTCAAGTACATGTCCTTTTGGTGTGTAATATTATAATGAACGAGTGAAATTAAAACCGCAACAATTAAACTTCCAAGTCGAATCTCATCTAAAATTCTCTCTGTAAACCATGGAACCGAAGGAATGACTTGTTTGTGAGTATTAATTACAAATAATGAGTCTTGGGTCAGCAAGGTGAGAACGATCAATAATGTGTACACGTGATTAGCTCTCTCTGTTTTGGAATTGTAAATTTTGTGAAGAAGTGGAAGTAATATGGTTTCAGGATCTCCTCTCGAAAGAACAAACTCTCTAAACGACTTGTTTTCATGTAACAGTGCATAGGTCAACACAGTACATTCTTCTTCTTCAAAGTCTCGCACAAGTGATGTATACAATTTTTCAAATGACATTCCAGCTTCGGTCACATCTTTACTCGGTTGATATTCTAAAGAAGTGTAATCTGAAAAGTTCCATAATTTGTGAGAGCTGAGAGAGTCGTCCGAGTTTTGCAAATTAGAAAAGAGAGTAAGATATGGATTTGTGATGGAGCTATCGTTCTTACGATAGAAAATTAAGAGTAATAAATTCATAATGCTTCTTCGTCCCAGTAGCTCTGGAAGCATTTCACTTAGCCGTTCGCTGTATTCCATTTCTTTGGTTTCTTTGTAAAAAAGATTTCTATACGCATTGTAAGGAAGGTACAAAAGGGAGGTTGCTGTTTCTCCAAGTTTGGAAAATATTTTCTGCAAGGTCGAACGAATGGATATTTGGAATGGAGAGGCTTCTTTTTTTGATAATCGATATACTATATGATTCTGAAGGAGTGTGTGAATCAGCCTATTGGGATTAAATGATAAACAATTGGATTTAAAATGTTTTCTGGTTTTCATGATGTGAATGGCTTCCTCCAAGAACACATTGTGCTCTCTTCCAGATTCCTTAATTTTTCCAATAATTTCATTTTCTTCTTCCATTTCGTTCATTACTCCTCCATAGAGAGAGGTGCTAAACAAAACTAGTAGACAGTTCATGACTTCCAAATGCAATAAATAGTTGTGAATGGTAACTCTAGATTCGCTCAAAAACAAGAGAGTAGATTCCATGAACACTCTAACAACCAATGGAGAAGAAATTCTCTTATTGGGTTCAATTTCATATTCAGGATTTGCCTCTTCATCAATGTAGCAATAATTTTCATAAATGTTTGGAGAGAGTTTAAATCCTGGAGGTAAATGATTCAAATGTGCCTTGAGAAAATCGGCATTATTTTCACAATCCATGATAATTCGATGAATTAAAAACCTGAAAATCACCAATGCATTGCAAGTGACCAGAATTGATTCTCGATCTACGGTTGTTGAAGACTCGTCATTATTTTCTTCAGACTGTCCAGCATTGACTCTATTAAGTAGCCATTGTGATAACGTCAGCATGAATGAAACCAGTGACCCGGTGTTCAAATTATTTGTTTCTAAATTTTTGAATAATAAATTCAGTTTCGTTAAAATATGTAAACGGTGATTATATTACCCAGAATGAGCACATAATGATACAAACATGTTATATTCAATGAAATAAATTTCAATCTTATAACTGTATATACATACGCATCAATGATCCATATTTAAATAAATGTTTTTCCAAAATTTCTGGATGAAGCAAAGACAGAGGGAAATAATCTCCAACATTTAAAACCGATGATGAAGAAACGGCACGAGCTACTTTTCCAATTGAAGATATACTCTCGGATGTGGATTGTTCCGAAATGATAGCCTGGGAAATGGATAAAAGAGAAGAAGAAGCAAACTTATTCCAGAATTCATCGTGATCCCGAATAGGCTCTGCACCACACAACTCATTCAGAAAATCATTTTGTCCAATTGAATTGCCAACTGCTGAAGAGAATTTTGTTCCCATATTGATTTGACTATTGTTGTGATGATATAATGATGATGAAAAACACACGTATATATATATTCAATTCACAAGTTTCTTGATAAATGTAATGAGATGTAATTAGATGAAATTTTCCATGTAATGTCCAACAACAGTATCGTGGGCCAATTGGTAAGATCCGAAAGCTTTCGGAAGTTCCTCCTCGTTTTAACGACACAATTTTTTTGTACAAACGACACACGAAGGAGATGACCGTTGGGCAAACGCATGACTTGGCTCAATGGATTGTTGCGGAATATTCTTCTCTCAGCAGAGTGTGATTCTGGTTTTTGAGATGGAAATCCACAATAAATAGTGTGTATTGTATTGTTATTCACATTGTAAGACACTGAGGCTACATATGGATGCCATTATTTCACAATATTGATTTCATATGATTTAATAAAACAAGCCTTCCAAATGGTTTCTCTCTCCATCGTTAATTCCATAAAGATAGGGACTTTTCTTGAGAATGTCACACAATGGTGTGGCGGGACATCCTCTAGGCAGAAACAAGTATCTCAAATTCCTCAGTTTTGGAGTTGAGGCCAACACTTGAACCTCCTCAACACTCAAAGGTTGCCCTCTCATGTTGAGATAGGTTAAATTCTCAAGCTGTGAAAACTCTCCAAAGAAATTCATGATGAAATCATTCTTCTTATTTGTGCACGTGAGATGAGTGAGTCGTGCCATGACCGGGTGAGAAGCAAATTGTTGAATCTTTTCCGGTGAGACCCAGTCAATGTTTGGTAAATACAGTACTTCTAAATACTTTAAATGGTCGAGAGACTGTAAAATACTATCCATGGAAATTCCATCGTTTCCAGCAAAGTCCAGAACTTTGAGTTTGGGAAATGCTTTTGACAGTTCTAACAAAGTACTCGAAGTAAGAGTTCCTTGTCCGGACACATTCAAAGCAGTGAGATTTTTCAAGTACTTGCTCGTGATCAATGGCATGAAATTTGTGACTTTTGTGTATCCAATCCTGAGTGTTTCTAATTGTGATAAATTTTCGCAATTGGTCAACAATGTCAACCCATGATTTGAAAATAAGCAGCAGCAATTCATATCAAGAGATTTCAATGATGAAATATTCTTACAGGAGATGAATTGTTCAAACTCTGCATCCGAGCTTGGTGAAAATAAAAGGCTCCTACTTTTTTTCATTGGTCCGTTGAAAATTGCAATAATTTCACGAATGGAGACGGCAGTTAAAACACGCCCAAACTTAAATTCTTCAAGATTTGATAAATTTTTACACGTTGCCAAATATTCGATACCTTCTGTTGGAATGTTATTTTCTTGTAAATTGAGTGAGATAAGATTGTTAAATACTGAACTATGTTCAATGTATTTCACTCCATCGAATGAAATGTCATTTCCATACAAATCAAGAGCGGTTAATTGTTTAAGGGTTGTACTTTGTGAAATCTCATACAGTCCAGCATCTCCAATCTTGCAGGTCAACAATTGTAAATCTCTCAAATTTGACAGGTAGGGAGATGAACAAATTCGTTTCACACACTCTTTTCCAAGGATTTGATTCATGCGTAAACATGTTAAATTGGAAAACAGTGGGTTTGATACAATTAATGAAATAGATTTGTCGTGTATACGTGCAGAGAAGAGATCAAGATGCGTTAAATTTTTTAAATTCTGACAATTGATCATCCCTTTCACAATAGAATCATCAAAGTACCTCTTATCCAATTGTAATTTTTGTAAATTCGGAAAACAATTTAAATATGTATCCAATCTCTGAAGTGAACAACACGAATCATCATCAAACACATCAATTAGATCCATATCTTTTGATAATTGAGACAATTCTCGTCCTCCACAAATTCTCAACGATTTTACATGTTGAAAATATCCCTTCTCACAACATTCTATAAAGCTCCTCGTTCTGTAAACATTATTATCCAAAAAGACTTTCAATTCATTCACGGATGAGAAAGAATTTCTCGTAACAATACGATCGGAATGTTTACAAACCAAACGAAATACTCTATACATCCAAACATAATCGAAATGAATGAATATTTGACAATGAAAGACTTCCTCAGGTATTTCGCAAAACGCAGGAACCCGGAATGATGAAGTTATTATTACTGAAGACATTTTTTAAAGTTGTGAGCTCTATCCACACCAACTCGCTACCTGTTCCTTTGGGACTAACCAGAGATCTGGTGTCTAAATAAAGCTCGATGCATTTTTTAAAGTTGATCAAAGAGACTAGTGTCGCCAAAGTAAAAACAATGTTTCAAATCTCAATTTTAATATGGGCAAATGGACTTGTCGAGTTTGAGGATACTTTTCGAGTGTCAGTGGTTATGTATTGAGAAAGGAATTCCTTCAATTCTTCGTTCGAGTGAATAGTCGCTCCCTTACTGGAAAGAATGGGTCGATTCTCAAAAAACTTTGAATTCTCAACGTCTTTCGATTCCAAAAGATCTGAAATTTCTCTGAGAATGCACTCTTTGAATTGATCCATAGTAATGAGACTTTTCACAGTAAAGACTCTTTTTTGATTCAACGGAAGAATGGTTAATTTGATAATCACGGTTGGTGCTGACTGGATATCTGTTAACGAAGAAGAATCGAGCGGTGATTTCGAAAGAACAAGTTCTTGAGGTTGTGAAAGAGATCTTTTCGACCTATGATGATGAACGTCCATGGTAGGTGTTAAGGAAGAGGGTGAAGTAGAGGTTGAGGTGATGGTTCGAGCATGATTCCCTTGTTTTTGCTTGTTTAGATAATATCTTGTCAAGACTTGATTCACTTCTCTGATGAGTTTTTTCTTGTGTCCCAATTTTACCATTTTCAACTTTTTATAAAGTTGTTCCATTTTCTTTTGTTGAAGTTCCAAATGGGGTGGTTGGAAGTCTTCAGATATTTCTTGTCGTGAGGAAAGGTTTGTTGAGTTGTTGTTGTTGTTGCTGTTGCTTGTATGGATGAACGGTATATTTGAGGAGGAAGAAGGCTCGTCATGATTAGGATCTCTATGCTCAAAAACTTCCTTTTTTAGAATTCGTAGATCAGTTCCCTTAATATCATGTTTTTTAATTTGATCCACGTATTCAGGTAATTCCAATTTCAGTTGAAAGAATGCAATGGTTTGTTGAGAAGTCCATCTTCGTAATGGAACTGTTTCAATAAATGTCAATAAATTGTCATGATCCTCTTCTGCATTGAATGAATCATCCTCTAAGATTATGGAATCACCACTGATTTCTCTACCATAAGAAGAAGAGTTGTTCTTTGCTGAAGGAGAACCCAATATAGTTGGCGATGATGATGGAGAATGTTGTTTCGATTCTTTTCGTTTGAAAAGTTTTGAAAAAAAACCATTACTTGGAGAGGAGGTTAATACTGTGGTGGATGAAGATGAAGAAGACACCGATGAGGAGGATGAATTCGTACTGATACCAGAAGGAGAGGAATCTCCGGCTTCACTACTGATGTTTTTGTTGTTCGATGATCTTGATACATCTGGTTGTTTTTCTTGATAGGATGATGATGAATGAGAGGATGAAAGAGTGAAGGAGTTTGGTTTATGATTCAAACTCTGCTCAATCACTTTGGTCAGAACAAAATGTTCAAATTCGTCTGAAGCCTTAAATTCCTTAAAGGATTCGTTTTGGAGTTGTAACCGAACTTCAAATTCGAGTTCTTTAAACATTTGAGATGTATTCCACCAGTTGTATGTGGTTGAAGAGTTAGTTGAGGATTGGGAGATGAGAGCCGATAATTCAAAATTGTTGTTGTTGTTGTTAAGCTGATCATGATCATTGGAGGTTATCATGGTGATGGGAGAAGAACCCAAAGATCCATCTCCACTGCTCACCATCGAGTGAGTGTGCAAAAGCGCTTCGGGAGAAGAGAAGGAGGATGAATGAAAAGTAGGTGGGGTTGAGAAGGAGGGCATGGATTCTGTTGAGTTTGTCATTTGGGAATGAAAACTTGAAGGTGTTGGAGAAAAGGAAATGCTATGACTATTAGGGCTGCTGCCAATGATCAAGCTCTCATGAAGACTGGGAGAGGACATGTAGAGTGAGGATGAATCATTCCATGAAGAATGCTTGATTGCACTATTCCAGGATTGTGAGCTTGTTGTACTCGAGTTGGTCGTGTTGCTTTTTTGCTGCCCGAGTTGATGCGTTAAAAATCGATCCATTCTCTCAAGGGCATGAACTTTGGCAGCTCGACCCACGTTTAGCTCACTCACAGCACCACTCACCAAGAATTGCTTTCGAATTTGTTGCAAGCTTTCTTCGATCGATTGTGTGTGATGAGGAGGTATCTTTTTCAGAGCATTCAACTGCAACAGGAATTCCAAGCTTTCTTCACAACGTTTCTTTTTCAAAAATTGAAGAAATACTTGAGATGCTTCTTCATCTTGAATGTATTGAGACAAGGTAAAATACTTGTCCACATTAATCACTCGTGGAGTGCGTGGAGGTAGAGGATGAGATTGGTCTTCTTGAACGGAAGGAGAGGGAGATTGTGGATTTGTAGTTGTTGATTTGGTTAGCTGTAAGGGTGGAAGTTTGAAAGGTTCTGGTTTTGGATTCGAGAGTTGTGTCGACGAGGATTTTTTAGTGCCCGAAATTTGTGAAAATTCTTTGGACGGAGAATGGCTCACGGCGTCAAGGCGGTTTTGAATTGTGTTGTCAACTTGGAATGAAGAAACAGACGAAAAATCCGTTGTGTTAAAAGAGGCTGATGAGGCCGTTTTGGAAATTTTGGATTTCGGATGAATGACAGCACCACTGGATGGCTGCATCAATCCCTTTTGATTACTGTTTTTGCTTTGAGTGAATAACATGATGACGTCGATGATGACAGTTTAAAGATGTTGGTTGACAGTGTTGATTTTGGTTGTATCGATTAGTGCCTCCAGTTATGGAAATGATAGACGGAGTGTGAAATCTTTTGTGCTGCAGAGTACTCTCTCAAAAACACTGCGTTGTCACCTAATCGGTTGTGGTTCTATTTGTTTTGGACAAACTTCTTATTGAGTGGCATTCAACGACAATTTTTGCAGCAACGGAGCCTTTGCATTTAATTTTGCCGTATTTGGACAAATTTAAGTGATTGCAACGAAATTCAGAGTTTTACCTGATGCAACAGAATATTCTGCTTTAGCACATTTCAGAGTGAAGTATTCTTGCTCATGTTTTGGAATGAGTTGGTGGGCTATGTGAAAAACGTTCATATTACTACTGTCCAGCCAAAGTACAGCTGTTGGAAGAGGCTCTACCTATTTTTCAAAATGTTACATCTTGAAGAAAGAATTCTCTTTCTCAACCCTGACAAAAGCAGTTATATAAACACACAGCGCATATCAATTGAATACATGATTGTCCTTCGTGTTTGGATGATTTAATCTCAACCACCGTTGTTTGTGTATTTCGGTCACGAATATCATGTTCTGAACAGCCAGGCATTCCTCAATCACCAAAACTCGTTCATGATCATTTCACTCTCTCATGCGCTTGGTTCCATGAAGCGTTGTGAAAAGTCTAAAGAGTTCACTTTGTGCATCGGCATCTCCTTGATTCGCCGATTGTTGATACCATTCAATGGCTTTTGAATAATCTTTTTCAACGCCCTTTCCATTTTCATACATCCATCCCACACTATATTGTGCCTCTGCATGACCTTGATTAGCCGCTTGTTCATACCATGCAAATGCTTTGGAATTGTCTTGTACTACTCCTTCTCCATTTTCATACATGCAACCCAAGTTAAATTGTGAAATCATGTCTCCTTGATTTGCAGCTTTTTCATACCATTCAAAAGCTTTGGAATAATTTTGCTCCACTCCTTTACCGTTTTCATACATATAAGCCAAGTTAAATTGTGAAATTACGTCTCCTTGAGTGGCTGCTTGAAGATAGTATTCAAATGCTTTAGTGTCATTGGGTAAGGTTCCTTTTCCATGTTCATACATTTGTCCTAAGTTACATTGAGCTCGAGCATTACCTTGATGAGCAGCTTGACGATACCATTCAAAAGCTTTGAATTCGTGTTGTTCAATACCTTCTCCACCCTTTTCAAAAATTAATCCCAAATTAAATTGTGCTTCCTCATGTCCTTGAGTGGCAGCAAGTTCATACCATTCTACAGCTTTTAAAGAATTTTGTTCAATACCTTTTCCATTCATGTACATGCATCCAAGTTTAAATTGTGAATCACTGTGTCCTTGTGTTGCAGCTTGTTGATACTCTTCAAATGCTTTGGAATAATTGGGCTCCACACGACAGGCTCCATATTCATATATTCGGCCCAATTGATATTGTGCTTGAACGTTTCCGAGATTGGCTAGTGTTTGAAAATATTTCAATGCATTTTCATCATCCTCTAGTTTCAATACAATATTCTCTGTGAAAACCTGTGCTCGGATTTAACGAAAGTTCGTTCGTTGGAGGCTGCGGTCGTTCTTCGTCTGTGAGATCCGTTTCCATTTTTTTGTTTTAGAAGACTTTTGCCTCTTGATCAACAGAAACAAAATCTGATTAAAAGCGTTGGCAAGCAATTGGCATGACAAACATTTCAAGCTGGTATTTTGTGAAGATGTCAACGGTTAGATGTATTAATTTCAAAGTGTCATCATTGTTTTTTTGACAGTATTGTTTCAAAATTTGTCTCAAAAGCTTATTTCTTCTTCTTTGAGTCTCCTGAACCACTCGATGCTGATTGACCACCATTACTCTCTCTATTCTTTTCATCAATAATCTTTTGTTGAATATCAGGTGTGACAAGACGGTGAGTAAAGTATTCCATACTGCATTCACCCTTTCCTTGAGTTAAACTTCTCAAAATTGTTGTGTAACCGAACATTTCCGATAGTGGAACTTCTGCCCAAATAGTCCAAGATGCATCGCTTGCACTTCTTTCAGAGTTTGTAACTTGACCACGTCTTTGATTAATGCTTCCCAAAACTTCACCTTGGAATTCTTCTGGAACAACAATTTCAACCTTCATGATAGGTTCAAGAATAGCTGGTCTTGCCTTGTCGAAAGCTTGTTTGAAAGCTTGAACGCAAGCAATTCTAAAGGCCAATTCAGAAGAGTCGACAGGGTGAGTATTACCGTCACTCAAAATTGCCTTAACTCCCCATACAGGACATCCAATGAGTGGTCCCTTCACAACAGCTTCACGGAATCCCTTTTCACAACCAGCAATGTAACTTGGTGTGATGGCATTACCAATAATACGGTTTTCAAACACGAACTTTTCTGGAATATCTGCCATTTCGCTGTCATCCATTGGCTCAATGTGTCCAATAACCTTAGCATATTGACCAGCACCACCGCTTTGCTTCTTGTGAGTATAGTTATATTCTCCTCGCGATTGAATGGTCTCACGATACGCAACGTATGGCTTACCAACAACGACCTCACAATCAAACTCACGTTTCATTCTTTCAACATAGATATCCAAGTGCAATTCACCCATACCACTGATAATGGTTTGGTTACCCTCTGGATCGAATGTGACCTTAAATGTTGGATCTTCACGTTGGAATTTGCTCAAAGCCTTTGCAAATACAGCTTCCTTAGTACGTTCCTTGATTTGAACAGACTTGGAAACGACTGGTTCGGGAATGTACATGGTTTCCAAAGTGAACTTGTTCTTTACGTTGGAAATAAATGTGTCACCACTAGCACAATCAACACCAAAGAGAGCACAAATTTCACCTGGACCAATTTCTGAAATGTCTTCCATTTCATTGGCGTGCATTCTGACCAATCTTGGAACCTTGACCTTTTCACCAGTTCTAACATTAATAATAGATGTACTCTTCTTCAAAGAACCTTGATAAACTCTAATGTAGGTCAATTGTCCGTATTTTCCTTCCTCCAATTTGAAGGCCAAACCAATAAATGGCTTTGAACTGTCAGCATGAATTCTTGTTTTTCTTTCAGATTCAGGAACGCCTTGTTTATCATCAGAGCAGTCAATAGCATAGTTAGGAACTTGGGCAGGATTTGGCAAGTAACGAACAACACCATTCAACAAGGCTTGAACTCCAGTATTCTTCTTAGCGCTACCCATAAAAACAGGAGCAAATTTGTTGGCAATTGTAACTCTACGAATGACTGTGTGAATGAAGTCGACAGTAATTTCAGCATCATCCAAATACTTTTCAGCAAATTCGTCATCCACTTCTGCCAATCTTTCAAACAATTCATTTCTCTTGGCCTGTGCTTCTTCCAAATACCTTTGAGGAACTTCCTTCACAACTATTTTCTCACCATTGTCACCTTCAAAATAGAGAGCCTTCATCTCAATAATATCAATCACACCTTGCAAGTTATCCTCCAAGCCCATTGGAATTTGAACAGCTGCTGCGTTCAATTTTAATTTGTCTCTCACTTGTTGAATGACACGATTTGGATTTGCACCCAAACGATCCAACTTGTTAATGAAACACAATCTAGGAACACCATATCTCTTCATTTGTCGATCCACAGTCAACGATTGAGACTGAACACCACTCACACTACACAAAATTAAAATGGCACCATCCAAAACTCTCAATGCTCTTTCAACCTCAATGGTAAAATCAACGTGTCCCGGAGTATCAATAATGTTGATATGGTGATCTTCCCATTTGCAGTGAGTAGCAGCACTTTGAATAGTAATACCCTTTTCTCTTTCAAGGTCCATCGAGTCCATGGTAGCACCAACTCCATCGGTTCCTTTTACTTCGTGGATTTCCTTGATACGTCCTGTATAGTACAGAATGCGTTCAGTGAGTGTTGTTTTACCCGAGTCAATGTGAGCCGAAATACCAATGTTACGGAGTTTAGCTAAACTTAAAAGTTGCTCTTTTGATAAATTCTCCAATACCGAAGCATCATTGGTATCAATTAATTCCATTCGGTTTACGGAGAGTTTTTGAGAGAAGCCTCTTTTATGTGTTGTTGAGTTCAGCACTACTTGAGCGGTAGTAGTTTTAGGCTGTTGATGATGACTCAAAGCAGAACGAAGGGATGAAGAGGCTTGGCGGAGGAGGGTCTTTTTCATTTTTTTTCTTCAAAAAACAACAAAATTTTGATTGAACAACAAACCTCTCAACACCTCTCTACGAAATAATTAGGGTGACACATAGTGGTTACCCTTCAACTCGAGCTAACTTACAAACTCACAGCAGCTAGAGTTTTGGTGTTGGAATAGAGTATCGCTTCATCTTCACATCCTAGACACCCAGAAACCATTGCCTAAAGTCGCTCCTGAACCAAATGATGATGATGAACAATACTTTGAAACCATTACTTGTTATAAATGGCGTCTTGCAATTACGATCTTAGTAGCAGGAATATTAGCTTTTTTACTTTACAAAGGTTTATCGACCATTACTCTATTCATTTTATATGGTTCTCGCCTTCTTACACCCGATTATGGAGAAATGCTCAATCGAACTTTTATCTCATCCAAAATAGAAATGAATTTTGCACCCGAGCTTAATTCCATCCAGGAGGAAATGTTTCATGAATTCAATTCAACTCTCTACAAACTTCATCATTGTAGTCTAAGATCCAAGGTTTTATTTTATGGGGAGAGCGGAATTGGAAAGACCACGGTAATGAGGGCTGCTCTGCAACGATTCCATCCAAATCCTTTTATATATATTGATCTAGAAGCTGAATTATCATGGAAATATTTAGCTCAAAGTTTAGGTATTTCCCCTTGGAACGAAAAACATTCGCTAAAGGACTTGATATACAATACGATTGTAAGCTATACAACGAGATACAAAGAGAACCTGATTAATAACTGTCCCGTATTAATTCTGGATTCGGCAAACAGAAAACCAAACATTACTAACCAGATTATTCAATTTCTAAGAAACGAACCAACTTCAACAATTGCCTTAGTAGTGTTGTCTTCATATAGAAATTACCACATGATAAACAACGCAGGAAGAAGAGTCAAACAGATAGAGTTATTAGAAGCCTCCAAATCTTTTGGTGTTAGCTTCTTGAGAGGAAAGGAAATTCCGGAACATCTGATTGAGGGAATTTTAGAAAGAACTGGTCAGAAACCACTCTATCTTCAAACAGCTGTGGAATTATATAAGGATAGACAAACCAATACTGAAGAGTTTCTCCAGATGCTTAAGCACGAAATTTTTAATATCATCTATGACTTTTTTGTGAGATTGTCTTTGCCTTATCAACATGCAATATACGATCTGGCAAACCTTTTGATTAATTCACCAAATACAATGCTTGAAGAGGACATATGGCTATCATTTTTAGAAACAAGCCATCCGAGTCTGACCTCCAACAAACATATCACCTTATTATTTAATGCCAACTTAATAAGAATGTCAGGACGTGCCATCTACTTCCAAAACAAGGCAACAGAAAATTATTTTAAAAAGAACATTCATCAACTTTGTAAAACGGTTAGCAGAAGAAAACCAACTCTTAAGTGCACCAATTAAATTTCAAGGTATCACATTGTTTTTTGATATTCCTGCAACTCATTTGTTTGTGGATTGAACAATATGTTTAATAGACAATAATTCATGGTACGTGCTACTAGAGATGAGTTGACAGCGCATACTGTGGTGTTCGTTTTACAATTAAGGTGACCTCTTAATTTTGTTTGTGTTTATCATTTATTGAAACTACTACAAGCCAAACTAGCATTGCTCATTTTACGAGCAAGCTTAGACTGTTCATGCACAAAACCAATGATTTGATTGTAGTTTTGAAGCAACTTGTCATCCACTTCTGACCACAAAAAATCAGTATGTCCATACTCTGGTTCCACTAAAATTCGACATTGTTTGAAAGCACCATGATGACAGGAAGTGTTGTGGTCATTGTTCTTGCCTTCCATACTGCAATTCTTACTTGTCATCTCATTTAGTGAAGAGCAAGTGTCACATCCAAATTGTTTCAAGCTCTCTTCAAAATCAACAACATTATCTTTGGCACCAAGGCATACCATAATAGGTGGTACATAGTTGGACGTCGAGGAGGAGGATGAGGAATTTGTGTCATGACTGCTAATAGTGGCTCCCATATCATGCTCTCCAGAATGATACATCTCTTTCCATTTTGCAAGCATGGAATCAATGGGGTAGACTTCTTGATCATTAAATTTCCTTAAACATCCACCAGTTCTCAACATGTTAAACCAATGAGTGACATTATTCACAGATGTACAACCGAGAGGTATATTCTTGAACCATTCGCCCTTCATTGGATCATTTGGGAGAGGTTTTTGTTGAATATTTAACCATCTCAATGCACGTTCTCCCATATATCCAATAAAGTTTTTAGGGAGTAAGAGTTGTGAAAAGGCCACACCCACAACAAATTCACGGTCTCCAAAGAAAAACCTTGGAATTTTCATGAGACCTCTCAGAATGAGACCATTTGGATTCTTCTTCAAGAAACATGCAGGTGAAATTCCAACAATGGCAAACAGGTAATTCTTATAATGTTCAAGCTCAGGCAAACTGAGAGCTGCAAACAATTGACCTGCGCCTTGTGACATGCCCATCCAACAAATCTTGTCCTGTCCAGTTGCGTGCCTCACAAAATCAATCATGGCTGGCATGTCATAATAAATAATTTCGTCAATTGAAAATTTCCAAAAATCAACTTCGTCATGCAATCGAGAAACCAAATGTTGTTGACCAAACCATGAAGTTCGATTATTTCCAAGCCAAACATCAAATCCTCTGCGTGCCAATTGAAATGCCAAAGAGTCTTTATGAAGGCACCAAACAGTCATACTCTCCAATAAACCATGTTGCAAAAATACGACTGGTTTTTGTTTATGCAATTCACGATCGTGGAGTAATTCTTCAAGTTGTTGAGCCGATTTGCAATAATTGATGGTTGAGGGATGAAGAGTATGTGATGTTGATGTTGCTGCTGCTGCTGCTGGAGGATGAGAACCCGAAACAGATTTGTCTTGTTGTTGTTGTTGTGGATCGGATACTACTTCAGTATGAGCCTCCTCTTCCTCTTCCACTTGGACTTCTCCCTTATACATAATTCTTAGTAGCTGTAATCGACAGCCGTCCTTCGTTTTACAGGTAAATACTTTACATTCAAAACCATCAGTTCGGTTAATGAGATGTTCCGTAAAGCTCTTTCCCTTCTCATATACGGTACTATCCAATACGGAATAGAGGTATTTACGACACGTATTAGCAAAGGCTGTCCATAATATACACAGAGAAATGAATAATAAAAGTAAATGTTGAAGGAGGGACATGTTGGTGAATGAGTAGAGGAGAAGACTCCATCCCGAGAAGGGAGAAAGTGAGGAGAAGGAGACGGGTGTGGATGAATTGAATTGGAACATCATAGCGGAGAGGAGAAGAAGGGCTGAAGTGATGAGGATGAAGATGATGATAAGGATGGAGGTGGAAATGGTCGTTTTTGATGTTGTTGTTGTTGTTGGTTGGTAAAAACTACTCTTTGATTTACTACACAGCGAATGATGATTTGATTACTACTATTATATATTCAGAATGATTAGAATAATAATTATAACTACAAGGTATGTGTTGGGAATGATCCGGACCACGTGTGTTGTTGTTGAAAACGAAAATTTAACGGTAAAAAAGATGACGACAATTATTTGAAATCGCAAAGAATGCAACAATGAATGACTTTTGGTGTCTGCAACAGGAGAAGGATGAAAATATGGATCAACAAAATACTGCTTCTTTCGTTTGAACACAGAGCCCGACTGTGTGTGACGCACTTGTTGCTGTTGGGTGAGATTGAGCTGTGTGAGCGGAAAACGAAGGAAAATTTTTTTGTTTTGATAGTTTGGGTGACGGGCTGAATCTGGAGGAAAACGTTTGAACCTTCGAACATCGAAAAGGTCGCGTCACTTGCACAACAACAACGGCTACCGACCTCAATGCACTTCCTCTAAAGAAATTAGCTTGGAAAATTCAAATTGTTCTCTTTTACAATCATTGGATAACAGCCTAAAAATGATGAAAGGTGGTGACCGAATGCAATGTATTTGGGCATTTACTTGAAACAAATATTAAGCATTTCAGGTACATGTAAAACCTTTTCTCTAATTTTTCCCATCTTTTGACCTTCATTCACTTCGAACTGTTCCAATTTCTTGTATTGACCAAAATTAACATATGAAATGTTCTTTTCTTGGAGCTTGGATACAAGCTTTGTATGAGCATCATTTTTGGAGCGAGACAGGGCTCCTGAAGAAAAGTCATTCGTTATACTCTCAACAGTCTCCTCAGCATCATAAATATTGGACAAAATAACACCAGAGGGACCACGTTTCAGCCAACCACAAACATATACTCCACCAATGGAATGCTTGGTTTGAGGGTTCACAACTCTACCATGCTCATTGACAACAACTCCTTTTTTGAGATCGAATGGAATTTCAGGATCGACGTTCACACTCTTGTATCCAATGCTCTTGAACACTAAATCACATTCAATTTCTTCGAAAATACCAGTTCCAACAGCCTTTGGTTCAAGATCTCCATTAGGATCTTTCTCTAGCTTGGTAATTTCGAATTTAATAGATCCAATGCGAGATGGATCATCCTTTTTCGGTAAAAATTCCACAGGACTTCTGAAAAACACAAGCTCGACCAATTTTGTGTTATCAGGTAAGCTTGGTTTTACCACTGCTGTTTGTAATAGTTGTATCAAACGTTGTTTAACTCGTCCTTCCTTATGCAATTGCTCCTTAGAGATTTCATCCAAATACTCGTCTTGTATTTGTGTAGGATCTGCATAGAGGCAATTAAGTTTGATCAATTCTCTCAATTCTTTTGTGGTGGCTGCTATTTGAACAGGTCCTCTTCTTCCTACCACTAAAATATGCTTCAAATTGCTATTAAAATTCTCCAACACATGCATTGCTTGAGAGGTGACATCATAGGGTTTGAGTGTTGACACAGGTCGCGCCAATATTCTCGCCACATCGAGTGCGACATTACCTTGGCCAATAATGACTGCATTCTTTGAACTTTGTACAAGGTTTTTGAATTTTTCAGCCGTATGCTCTTTGGTGTGAGATGGCAAACCATTGTACCACGCGACAAATTCTCTAGCACTTTCAACCCCTTGCAAATCTTCACCCTTGATGCCAAGAGTTCTTTCACTTTCTGCTCCGTACGATAGAACGACCACATCGAATAATTCTTGCAACTCTTTCAGCCTGACATCTTTTCCGAGTGACACATTTCCAATAAATTGAACTCGTGGATCGGAAGCCACTTGATCAAAATCGTTTTGAACATTCTTGACTTCAGGATGATCTGGAGCAACACCATATCTCACCAAACCATAGGGTGTTGGCAATCGTTCAATAATTGTGATGTTTACTGGCTCATTCCCGAAAATTGACTGACACTCCTTTCCCAACAACTGTTTGGCCGTATAAAAACCAGCTGGGCCGCTTCCAACCACACAAACACTCAAGTTTCTTGTGTTGCTGTTGAAAAATGCATTGTGTCCTGTTTCATACGAGGAAGTTAGTATGTGTTTTTTGATTGGATGACACTTGTGATTCTTTGATGCAGACAGACAATAGGAAGATAATGATGATGATGCATAGGAACGAGCAAAATGACGACGAAGCATTTTTTTGTGTGTGGTTGTTGCGACTGAAGGATTGTGGTTGGCTCATCAAGCGCACTTGGAAATACAATCGGAGCCGACAAAAGTCCTCAATCGGAATGATCCATGAGACATTTCTTTGGTTTGGACAGCATTCAGGAACCTTGAGAGAAGACATGGCAAAAGAACGTGCAACTTGAGACATTTGCTAAGGACACCTCTTCAACAGCAGTCTACTCTGATATCTGAAAGGCAAGGCAACATTCTCTAGCACAATTATTTCACACCACCACCAACAACACCTTGTCTTCTTTCATCAGACGAAGTCTTTACAGAGAGAGACGATCAGGGAACAGAGCTTCAAGATGATATTGCTGTCATCATTGCAACAAGCTCCTTGTCATCCTTGTCATCCGAGTTTTCTCTTCCATACACATTGCTGACCGTTCACCTATTATACAATCTTGGAGTTATAATAATAAATAGAATTAATTCGTTCATATCTTTAGCACTAGGGAAATATATTATAATATTCTTCTTTGATGTGTTGTTGTTGTTGGTTACATTTGATGAATGATTTCTTGTACATGATTTGCGAGTTGTATGTAGTGAAGGAAAATTCAGCTAGAGATAACCAGCTTCATACAACATCATCATCATGGTTATACAAAATCATCCAGGATATGCGTGCACACAATAGTTTGTGCACATTATTGCTCGGATGAGTCATTGTTTTCTTCAGTGGTCTTAGAGCCGTTAGCTTCATCAGAATCTGATTTCATATGGCTTTCAATTTCTCTATCCAATTCTTCCTTGGTCTTTGGTTTCTTGACTTCCTTCTTGCCTCCCTTCTTACGACCACCTCCTCTTCCACCTCTGCCACCTCCTCTGGTAGATCCTCCTCTACCACCTCTTCCACCCTTGTTGTTGGTTTTCTTGGTGATACCCTTGACGGAGGATGACTTTTCATGGACTTGACTGAATCTTTCAGAGAGTGAAAGAGATTTCTTAACAACTTCTCGCTTGCCACCATCAGATCTGATGACAATATCAGAAGACTCTCTTGATGATGATTTGTTATCCCTTCTACCTCTGCCTGATGATGATGAACCTCTTCCACGTTTTGGTGCGACCATTTTTTTTTGTTTGTAATCTGTGATAACGCTGGCTTGTTTGAATGTTCTACCTTAAGTTATCTGAAGCTGAATTAATTTTGAATGAAGGACAGCATCAACATGTTACTATCTTACGGACCTATATAATAGTGTTGTTTGTGGTGCGTTTTGTAACGTGGAGCATAAAATTCAAAACAACCTCTGTTCATTCTTTCTACCGGCACTGCCTCGGTAGAAATCCTTTCAAAAAAGCAATTTCTGTTAAAGACATGAATGAAATTATTCTTTATTACAAATCATCTCCACCTTGCTTGAGTCTTCTCTTACTTGGTGCTTTTGATACACCTCGTGGCGTTCTCATGGATTGATCGTCTGAAGGCGTCGTTGCAGATCCTTCTACGGGAGAAGCCAACGAATCACGGGGAGTCGATGAAACACTATTGACACGATCGTTCATGTCACCACCACCTCCACTAGCTTCATTGGTCTTTTCAATTTCCAATTTTTGAATCAAATTCACAGCACTCTGAGCTGCAGCCTTCTTCTTCTTATTGGCTGAAACACCCTTTTTAAATCCAGAACCATCAATTAATGAATCGAGTGTCTTATCCAAAACTCCCTTCTCTTCAGCAGAGGTTTGTGCAGAGTCTGCAGAACTGCCAGTAGCATTGTCCTCACCCACAGATGATCGCTGAGTGCCACTATTCTCTGTTGGAGATGAGAGAGCGGCATCTCCTGTGGTTGCTTTGGGTTTTCTTGGAAATCCAACATGTTCCTGTTCTTCCTTCTTCTTTCGTGAGGAGGCAACTTTTTGTTGACGTTCCTTGTCCTTTGCTTCCTTTTCGAGTTTCTTTCGTTCAATTTCACGTTTTCTCAAAATTTCACTATATGCAAATTTAAAGTCAGAAATAAAGGTATTCATGGAAGAGAAGAAGGATTCTGGAGTGAACTTCTTTGGATCCTCTGCAAAGAATACTTGAAGCTTTTCAATTTGATTTTGCATTTCCTTAATTTGCGATTCAAAATATTCGACCTTTTCAGAGGCATAGTCCAAAAAGTCAACCATGACTTCTCGGAATCGATCCTCCTCATTATTCATATCTGACTTTTCAATTTCACGTCCAACAAAATTCACACCTGTTTTCATTTCACTCAATTCAGCATTAATTCCCTGAATGGAAACTCTCTCAGAAGCTTGCAATGCAGCAAGTTCTTCATGGAAATTAATCACTTCTGGATGATGTTTCTCTAAAAATTGTACAATATAATCCAACATGTTCATTTTGGCTCCAGTAGCTTTGGTATCTTTCAATTTGGAGAGAGCACTCATTTGGAAACCATGAACGGCCTTCTTGTTACCATTGATAAAGTTACCCACAGCCAAAATCACTTGCAGAATACGTTGTAGTTTCTTGGATTGTTGTAATTGTTTGCAGCTCGTAATGACACTCTCAATATCGGGTTCAATCGATGCCACCGATGCAGGGAATCGAGATTTAATGAGCCAACACTCCAAACGTTCCTCGAGTCTGGGAATGTCCATGACCTTGGTCAAGAATTGTTCGGTCGTTCCCAAATTATTGAAATCATCGTGATAATCGGAGAGAGCTTGTCGTTCATCGGGAGTTGGTACCATGTCTTTGAGAGCTTTGATATTCTCTGGTGCTAAAACACCTTCATTCATTCTCAGAATGGCATGTTTGATTTGATCATGTTCCAAACGCATGGAACCCAATACAATGGCCGAGTTTTGAGCCTTCTTTGGATCAATGAGAGTGACCTTCTCAGGTTTCTTGGCAGTACTACTCTCCAACACAATGGATTCCTTCTTGGCAAAGAGTTTTTCCAATTCGGATTGTTCCAACTCAATGCCTTCGAGTCCTGTCACGATATCTTTCTTAATCCAGATGGAATCTTTCAATTGATTATTCGCAACCTTATTCCAGAAAACACCTTTCATGGCTGCTGTACTCTTGTAAGTGGGAAGTTTTGGAGGAACGTAACCTGGAGGAATGGCACCCATACCTGGAACCATGGGAATACCACCCATGCCTGGAGGCATTGGAATACCACCAGGTGGAGGAGGTATGCCACCCATGCCTGGAGGAGGAGGTATGCCACCCATGCCTGGAGGTGGAGGTATGCCACCCATACCAGGTGGAGGAGGCACACCACCCATGCCTGGAGGTGGAGGAGGAACAGAGCCATCGAAACCACCTGGAACGGGTGGAAGAGGAATGGAGGTTGAACCTTCTCCAGAACCATCATTAGTGGTGTTGGTGGTAGGAGGAGGAACGTTCGTTGTAATACTGCTACTAGAATTGGACAAATCTCCATTATTGGAGGAGGAGGAGTCAACGCTACCTGAACCACTACCTGAACCACTACCTGAACCACCTGAACCACCACCACCCGATTGTAATTGTTTTTCTAATTGTTTGGCCTTATAGGTCATAAATTTCAACTCAGTCTCTAACTTTTTCATGTGTTTCTTGAGTTCATCAGGAGCTTGAACTGTCTCAAGATCAAAACCATTTTTAGGTTTTACCTTGACAAGAAATTCTTCAGCATCTTTGAGGAATTCTTCTTGTAAATCGTTGGGATCCATATTTTCAATGGATTTTTGGAAGACTTGTTTGGTCTCTTTGGATGTCAAGCTAATGAATTTTTCAATGACTTTTTCATCAATTTTACCAGTCTTTAACATTTCTGCAAGTTTGAGGAATCGAGTTTCGAGTTGAGTAATTTTACGTTGTTGAGTTTCGACACGATCTGCTAATTGCAATTCTCGTACACTCACTTCTTCAACTCCTCCTTCTTCATTGAATGCAACTGCTTTCTTGATCATGTTCAATAAAGTTTGCATGTTCTTTGACTTTTCCTTTTCATTCGACTTGCCAGAAACAATTAAAAAGTATTGAAGCATTTTCACAAAATAATCAAAAGCTTCTGAACCAGAAAGTTGAACTCGAATCAATTTGAGAATTTGCATTGGATCTTCCAGAGAGTCAATATCAACATCTTCTTCTTCCTCTTCAATGTCTTCAATGTCTTGAACTTCTTCTTCGAAAATGGATAATTGCATGGTGAGAGTATCGTCGAGATCCAATGCTTTTAACCTCTCACTAATTTCAACCATTTTCAAATCCACAAATTCCTTCTTCAATTGTTTCTTCAATTGAATGTCTTGTGGTGAATTGATCAAAGCATTGATAAACACAATAAGTGACACTTTTAACATGACATTTTCTTCAGTAACTTCAACCTTCTTCTTTAAGAGACGAACAATGGTTTGAAATCTTGCACGTTCCTTTCTATTCAACTTGTACTTGTTCATGGAATCGAGAGCAATCCAAAAACCATCTTCAAATCTACATATAGTTGCCAACAAGAAGAAAATTTGTGTTTTGGTTTTGGTATTTCGAGAGTCGAGAATTTTTGTAATGGCCAACACTGATTTATCCTTACTCGAAAGGAACGCGTTGAGACCAGCGTTGGTATTCATGAGTGTACGCAATGCCTTGACACATTCTGCCTGTAACACATCATAGGGATCTTCTTTTTCATTCTTCTTTGCTGGAATGATGGCTTTAATTTTCTTGGAAGTATCCACTTGTGGTGTGGTTGGTTCTTGTTGAGGAGTGGAAGTGGCAGCTTCATCATCTTCGATCAATTCTTCGTCTTCATCGTCTTCTTCTTCTTCTTCTTTGGCGTCTTCATCGTCGGAGAATTCTTCACGTAAAGCTCCACCTCTGTGTGTGACACATTGTTATAGAGTGAATGTGTGATTCGTCACATTTTTCACAATTGGTGATTCATGATGAACATAATGAAATCAAATTTCAAAAATGCATTCCATCCATAAAAAGATATATAAACAAATTCATCCATAGAGATATACATGTTCAAATCATCATGATTCGCACACGCTCATTCACACGCACACACTCACACACTACTTACTGCTCTTGAATTTGTTGATCACAACTATCAATCAATATTTGAAATAAACAATCCAATCCTTGCAATTCCAAAAACTTTTTAATCCAATCCTCAGATTTTGCGCTCTTTAACAAACCAATCAATTCTGACACAGTTCCAACCGTTGGTTCTTCTTTCAATCTGTGTGTAATATACTCTGGTGTGTCCTTGACAGTGTGTAATTTCTCAGCTTCTTTCTTTGTTTGTTCCATAATTTTAATCAATTTCCATTTTTCTTCCAATGGTTTCATCATCATGACTTTGTGTCGTTTATCTGTTGGTGCAATTCCGTGGTATTTTAACAATTTCTCAAAAAGTACCATAATTTCTTCTGGTGTTGGCATCTTTTCTTGATTCTTCTTGCCAGAATTATTACTATATTTAGAAAGAACAGCCATCGCAGCTACAGAAGATTGAGTGGCAGAGGAAGATTCATCCAACGATGATCCCGTATGTGATTTATCATAGGACGAAATATCTCCCTGCAATTTGGACATGTCCTGTGAACTCTTGTTGGCACCAATGGTTTTTCGGTTTTCACTTCTCGCATTTTCAAAGTCCTTTGCAGAATTGTTTCGTTTAAAGAGATTAAAGACGGGCATTTGTGAGGTCAATATTTAGAGTGGTTGTTTAGCTATATGGGAGAGTGTTCAAGTGTGATTGTAAAATGATGGAGTCGTAATAGTCGTAGTGGTTGATAATAATAATGTTGTTCTTGTTGTTGACTCTGTCAATCAATAGAACGAGACAAAGTGTGCTATGATGATGATGATCAAAGAGATTTTGATTGTTATTGGTGTTTGTATAAACAAACCCCGAAGAAGATTTTTGTGGTCATTCATTGATTATGATAATGTGGGTGATAACGATAAATTACGGGCATGTCACCACCGAGGGAGATACGAATCATCATGATGAACACACAATATTATGACACCCAAATTGTTGGTTGTTGTGGACATGGCAGTCAATTTAAATTTCGTTATGAGACAGTTATATATATGAATGACACACTGTTACGTGGGAGCATGACAAATACTTACACAGTCAAAAACAACAAGGTTGTATTTTTTTGATTGATGTTTTTTTTCAAAACAACCAGTGAAAAGTGACAGACAGGTTGTAAATAGCAAATCTAACGATCCAACAAAGAAATTTTCGTTATTGCCTTCTCTCTGCTCTCAACTTGTTTAAAATCTTTTCAGCTTCCTCTGTCACTACTTGAGGCACTCCAGCCAATTTTGCAACTTGAATGGCATACGAAGAATGTGTTGAGGCAGCGCTTTGCCATCCACAATCTTATCGGGAACGATTCGGTAGGTGAACTCAATTTCATTTCTTGAATTCACTTTTACCTCCAACTTGTAAGGTTTCATACTTTTCAATTCTTTTGCCTTCTCAATTAATTCATGAAAATGAGTGGCAAAAAGAGTTCGACATTGAATCTTGTTATGGAGATGTTGAATCACTGCGGTGGCAATACTTAGGCCTTCGAGTACAGATGTTCCACGACCCAATTCATCCATAATGACAAAACTCTTATTCGTAGCTTGATTGAGAATGTTGGCAGTTTCAACCATTTCTACCATGAAGGTGCTTTGATCATTGGCCAAATTGTCAGAAGCACCCACACGACTGAATATCTTATCAACAACCATAAATTCAGCTTTTTCAGCTGGCACAAAGGAGCCCATTTGAGCCAAAATGATAATAAGGGCATTTTGACGAAGGTAGGTACCTGCATTATTGGATTAATGTTGGGGTTGTGTGTGAAGAAAAAGGATATGATGAAGAGTGAGTCGTCGTTTCACAACACATACGGTCAGAATGCAAAAAGTTGAAATGACACAAATTTTCAAAGATACTTACTCTTTCCAGCCATGTTTGCTCCTGTTAACAACATGAGTCGATTTTCATTGTTATACATGAAACAATCGTTGGAAACAAAGGTAATTCCAAGTGCATTCTGGTTGGATGGATTCTTGGCAGTGCTTGTTTGTTGGGCATATTCCACAATGGGATGACGACCTTTCTCAATATGAAACATGGGCATTGTTGAGTAGTTGAGTTGCAACTGTGGATGAGCATTATTTGTGGTCGTGTCATCATTCAGATCAGAAAATGGCAACACTCGAGGTCTCTTGTAATTTCGTTCTCGGGCAAGTAAGGCCAAGGAAGAATACACATCAACAGATGATATTGCTTGTCCAGAGAGTAGAAGCGACTTGGCAAGAGATAGAACTTTCTTTTGGAGCTGAAAGAAAATTTTGAGTTCCATATCAATGGCTTCTTGTTGGGCCTTTCCTAATTTCTCTTGCAACTCCTCGAGGCGTGATGTTTTGAAACGAACTGCAGTGGTCATGGTTTGTTTGTGAGTGAATTCTTTGAATTGTAGCAGCTTTTCCTTATAGGACGAAGAACATTCAATAAAGTAACCCATGATATTGTTGTTCTTAATTTTCAAGCTTGATATACCAGTCAAATCTCTGTATTGCTTTTGAAGATCCTGTATAAGAGATTCACTGTGCTGACTCAGATGAATCCACTCGTCCAACTCTTTCGAATAACCAAGCTTAATGAAGCCTCCGTCATTGACCGAGTTGGGAAGATCGTCGTATTCTTTAAGGGCTGAAAGAACCTCTTCCATAATGCCGAGTTGTTCCAATGTATTCAATTCCTCAATGATCTGTTGAAGAAGCTTTGGAGGTTGCAGTGCACGCTTTGTCTGATTACTCTGCAACAACTCTTTCAAGTTCTTACATTGCAAAATGGTGGCAGCTACTGAATACAAATCCTTTGGACTGCCTCTGCTGAGACTGAGTCGTTGAATGGATCTCTCCATGTCATAACAATTTTTCAAAAAGTCTCTAATTTGATGAATCAAGTGAAGATCATCAATCATGTACTCGACACAATCTAATCGATCCTCAATTTCTGATGGAACAGCGAGTGGAGAGGCCAATCGATAGGAGAGCAATCTGGCTCCAGAGGCTGTTACACACTTGTCAAGAATTGAAAGCAAGCTTCCCTTTCTTGAGCCAGATAAGGTTCGTGTGAGTTCCAAGCTTTTACGAGTGGCCAAATCAATCGATAAATTAAGTTCCATTTTAAATTTTCCAGGAATGTTTAGAGTTGGCATTTGACCTTTCTGTGTTTCTTTCACATAATCTAAAATCAATCCACATGTCAAAATGTCAAGCTACAAATATAATTGTCACGGCCATACGATGATTCGGTTATTTAGAAGAATGACAAAAAAAATAACGAATAATACACATAATCAATGTAGATGAAATTAGACGCAAGCATGATTATGATACTTGTTAAAAAAATGGTAGAATATACATACCCCACTATAGTTCGAGAGATTGTCCAATTTGAAATGTTTTTGAATCATTTCAGAGCAATGATGAAAAGAACTTTGTTTCCTTAATGACACATGGTAGTCTTGAATTCTATTCTTAAGGATTGCTTCGAATTGTTTTGGCACGATGATTTCACTTGGACTCAATCTCAGCAATTCCGATTGCAAATTCCCAACTAGTTGTTATTAATAAAGTATGTACATGTTCATTTTGAAGTTAATCAAGCCAATACTTACATGCACAATTTACATAATTGAATTCTCCTGTTGAGAGTTCAACCCATGCTAAAGTGACCTGTTGTTCCTTGTGACCTTCATCGTTGAGAGAGAACTTTTCTGGTAAACCAATGGCAGCGAGATAGTTGTTTTCGCTGGCCTCCAGAAATCGATCTTCCACCAGAGTTCCGGGTGTGACTCTGTGGGATTGAATGAAGGCAAACCAAATTATAAGGCATTTTCACATGTGAATAATGAAATCATTATAACATTATTCACATCAAAATAGTAAAATATAAAATGGTGTTAAGCTCCAACAACATAAAACTCATCATAAAAAACATACAACCTAGTAATTTGTCTCTCAACAATTTTCTTATTTTTCTTTGCCTCAGCAGGATCCTCCACTTGGTCACAAATTGCAACAACAACTCCATTCTTGATGAGTTTTTGTAGATATGCATCAAGTGCATGATGTGGAATTCCGGCCATAGGAATATCTTCTCCCAAATGCTTTCCTCGTTTTGTTAACTGAACCATTCATTGAAAATATTAAATTCTCTCTTATTGCAATAATGTCAACACCTACTGTAATGTGAAGTACTTGTGACGCTCGTACAGCATCATCAAAGAACATTTCATAAAAGTCGCCCATTCTAAACAACAGTAAATAATCAGAATGTTTTTCCTTAATTTTGAAATATTGAGCCATCATGGGTGTGAGTTTTTCTTTCTTGGGGGATGCTTGCTCTGAATAAGTAATTTTTTTGTCATCCTCTGTTGTTATATCCTCTTCATAATTTCCAGAATAAATATCATCGATAGATTCATCAAAATGAATATTCTGTTGTTGTGATGATGAAATGTCTTGATTCTTGTTTGAAGACGACGCGTGATCATTTGATACTTGTTGATCATTAGTTAAATGTTTTCTCTCCAAAATTGCATGTTCTGATTCGTTTTGCAAAGTCTTTTCTCGAATATTACTTCTATTGCCCATTGTGTTATGGGATTCTATGTTCAATTTCTTGGTGGAATCAACATTGCTCGATTTGGCATCTTGAGTGGTTGTTGGTGAAGAATTAGTAGCAGCAGCAGATTCAATATTCTTCTTTGGTGTAATGGTCTTGGTTTTAGTAACACCATAGCAATGAATGTAACATGTAGAATAGTTTCGAAATTGTGTTGATTTCTCTACGGATAATCTATTTTTCTTGTTCATATCGGAAATGTGAAATGTGTTCATGGTGATGGAGCTGTGATGATCCGAGCATCCATTGGTTACTAAATAATCAATTCCGAACTCTCTTAAATTGTTTTTCCGAACATTACAACCTTTTGAAAGATTGATCTTGGCAAGATGAGCTTCGCAGAACCGTTTAATCATTTTTTTGTAATTATTGTACTTGTTTCCTTTAATTGCGTTCTATTCTCGCAATTCAACGTAATTCATGGGTCATTGATGCAGTCTGTGAGCAGTTGTTGTTGGGATAGAAATCTTGGCTTTAGTTCCATTTAAAAATTCCCTCCAAGCAAATTCATCAGCCGTTATCAAAAAACCGTTTCTTTTGAAAAAAAATCAAGTCCAGCTAACAAAAAAATACAGCAAGATTCGGTTCGTCCCCAAAGCCTATAACTCTCCTCTGCCATAAAACGGTTTGTGAGAGTAAAACCACATATTTCTGTTATTGCTGTTTGTTGTACTTGTCAAGCAAAAGACAATTGAGAATCATATACTTGTATTTTTAACGGTTTTTTGAAGAGATTCATCTTGTTGATCCATCAAAACAATTCATAACCGTTATCACACCATCACGGGAAGAACAATCAATCGGGACCTCATCCTCTCTGCACTAGCAACATTATCAATAACAACAAAACACATATTCCTGTTTTAATATGTCTACCACGAATAATACCAAAAACTCGGTGTTCATCACCTCCTCACCAAACAAGCCAACACAAAAAAGTAATTTTCTTTTTCAATTTATGATAGTGCTAACCCACATACTGTATGATGGTTATTATTATTATTTTGATATTATTCAATACACGTATGCAAATATGTCAAATCACTTTTGTTGCAAATGTACCAACAATAGAACGGAAAGGAAATGAAAATGAAACTACTAATGATCAATCATCATCACAAGGCACCACTACAACTGCCAAACCACCTTCTCCACTTTCCCTTCGTAAACTCTCATATTCTGATTCTACATCAACAACATCCAATGAAGATGAGCTCTTTTCACCACGTCGTTTCTCCCTGAGCGATTCTGATACTGATATCACACTTGGCGTCAATTATGACGAGCAAGCCATGCAAAAAGAAGAGGATTACGAAGAAGACATTTATGACTTTTCATATTCTCAACTTTTGGATATTGAATACGAAGATGATGATGAATTTAATCCGTAAGTATCTCATGAAAACATTTGCAACAACGAATTGCTTAATTCATGAATTTTCATTATTGTGACTCGATTCTTTCTATTACAACATGAATTACCTTAACTTGCGTGATCGGACGTTTTGAACAATGACTTCACGATTGACAACTCGGAACAGGTTCGATTTCATTGCCCACCTTCCTCCAAAACCTAAGATTTATCCAATTCAATATTGCCTTCCACCAAAGGAGCAAGGTACTCCCGAAATTACTCTAGTTCTTGATCTTGATGAAACACTTGTTCATTGCAGCACTGAACCCATTCCAGACTCTGATTTCACATTCACAGTGTTGTTCCATGGGGTTGAATATACAGTCTATGTACGAAAAAGACCATACTTTGTCGAGTTTTTGGAAACTGTATCCAAGATTTTCGAAGTGGTTGTTTTCACTGCATCACAAAGTGTGTATGCTGACAAATTACTCTCAATCCTCGATCCTGAAAGAAAGTTTATCAAGTATCGTGTATTCAGAAATTCGTGTATCGATGTCGAACGAAACTACTTGAAAGATTTGGAAGTCTTGGGACGTGATCTTTCCAAGACAGTCATTGTGGACAACTCTCCTCAAGCATACGGCTATCAGATTGATAACGGTATACCGATTCTTAGTTGGTTTGACGATAAGGAAGACCGTGAACTCATGAAGCTTATTCCATTCTTGAAACAACTTCAAAAGCATGACGATGTAAGGACAATCATTCGTAAGAAATTTCACCTTAGAGAAATTTTAGACAATTACAAAAAGCATTAGATTTTTGTGTTCATTACACACTCACTCTAGATTTGTGACATGACCATTTCACTCTCTGTGACATTTCATCATCAGGTGTATGATCATTTGATCATTACTATTCGTCGTACGTACACACATAATAAATTGAAAATTATTTGAATGATTGTTAGAAATGATTTAACAAACAACAACACAAATCGCGCGAGTACAGTTCTTGGATTCAGTAGGTTATCTTGTTCGGTCTGGTAAAATAAGACGCGAATCAGTATTATTGTGAGGGCCCTTTCAAACCTGAATTTCGGCAGCAAGGACTATCCTGGCTGAATGGCTGTTTGCTGCGGCTGCAGGTTTGAAAGGGCCTCGTTGTTGTAGTTGCCATTGTCTTGTTGATTTGCTGCTACTATGTAGTTCAAGCAGAACCAAGGCCAGATCCCTTGCGGTTGATAGCAAATTGAAGGGTCTTGTTGTTAAAGCAATGGCCCAAGCTAGACTTGTTCGTAGTGAAGAAGACGAACTCAGCCTTTAGAATGACAGATAAGAATGGAGATGGATTTATTTCGTCCACAGAATTGGCAAACATGGAAACACGCCTAGGGAAAAACTTTCTCAAGAAGAAGTTGATGAAATGATAAGAGAAGCAGATCTTGATGGTGATGGATTAGTCAATCTAGATGAGTTTTTTAGAAAGATGCTTGCATATTAGATGTCCCTTAATAAACCATGTGACATTATTTAACTCCGGTTTGTTGTTTGAGTGTCTGTTTCTTGTAACATTCCTTCAATATTTCATCGTGTTCAACATTCTTTATCACGTTTTCGGGAAAAAGTTTATCCATTCCCTGCAATAATTCCTCCCATGTTGGAAATGGGAGTGAATCCCCAGGAGAGTCTAGAAATTCGTCCGAGTCTGATTCATTATCCATGTCTGATGCGAAGGAGACTGCTAAGCCCTGTTCCGTGCCACTGACGCAAAGTCTAATAAATATCAAATTTTTTTGGTTGCTGTTGCTGCTATTTTTATTTTCTGTGTCATGGTCCAGCAGTTGCAAGACAAAAAAAATGAAAAACTCAGCCAAGCTCACCATCAAGCGCAGAGTGTCCAGGAACACACCTCCCAACCACACCGGTGAATCATCATCGGATGATGTTGTTGAAATTTCACCTTCATTGTCGGGAAACGAAACTTTACATTTTCCGATTCGTACAATGGTCAAGATTCATCGGAATGTCGTTTTACAAATTTGCATGTTTGATAAATTGAAAGAAAAATCTACACTAAAGACCTCATTGGCCTCTAATTGGTTTAAAAAGGAACATTTAAACGAGTTTTATGAATATTTAAAACCATTTTTGAAAAATCAAATTTATGAAACTCTGCAAACCTCGTCAGTGAATGGGAAAATGTTTACGATCACAGAATTAAAACAAGAAATGCCCTCTGAGAGAACTTTACAAGTAGTCAAGTGTCGAACGATACAATTTACTTTTGAATTTAGAAAAAGTTATTCAAATTTCTTTTTATTGAGGAGAAATGACACGAATGAGGAATGGGAACGAGAAAAAAAGAGAATGCATGATCATGAACAAATGCTCATGACAAGTACAACAAAAAACAAAAGGAATTCTGATCCAATTATCATTGACGACGATGAGGAAGAAGAGAAACCAGTGATACATCACCTCGATTTGGATGACGAAATGTTAAAAACTCCTCCCTCTAAGCGCCCAGTTCATAATTTAGACCTTGAACCAACCATGGAGGATGATGACGACAACAATCATGACGAAAGCGTCATTGAAGAAGAGCCGGCTCCTTCAGACGATGGTCACAAATCAAAACAGAACGTAGAAAACAAGATTGATGAGATTATCATGTATCCTCCCTATAAGAAAATTAAGGAAAGTCTTGTGTCCTGGAAGTACAGTCTAATTGTGTATTTTGAACCAAAAGAGAAGGATATTCTGGAACTCATGACCACGGGAGCTAAAAGCAAGTACTTTTAATCATACCTTGTTTGGGATGAGATTTACTTGAAACCATTATTGAAGAAGACTAACAACTGTTCGAACGCGTCACAATTTCACAAATTGCTTCGAGGAGAAAATGGAGTTGATTGATAATAATTTATTGAGGCGCGAAATTTTTGAGATTTTCACACACCCTTTAAAGATTCAAAACACGCAACTTCTCAGCCTTTGGAACAGTGTGCATGAGTACACGACCGTCATATGATACAGAACCAAATGTCCAACTATTGGTATTACTCCAACAAAGAGAATACACACTTTCTTCGTGTTCATCATAGCTATGTACGAGAGAGTCAAATAATTCTTCCTTCTTTTTTGTAGATGACTTTTCTTCTTGTTGCAACTCTTCATCCAATTCTTGCTCTTTTGCTTTGGAAGAAATTGAGGCAATAGACCATAAATTGACCTTATTATCAGTTCCACCAGTCAAAACCAATTGATCATATTGTGGATTAAATCTAATTTTTGAAATCCAGTGAGAATGACCTGCCAAAACAAGTAATGGCTCTTTTGTTGAACGTACATCCCAAAACTTGATTAAACAATCATCACCACACGATGCCAATCGATAGGGTTGATAGGGATTATATTGAACATCACGAACCATTTGATCGTGAGCCATAAATTCCAAATTCTTCTTGTTATTCTTTTCTCTCAAATCTACTTGAATAATTTTGGTTTGTGCTGCCAATGCAACAATTTCCGGATGATGAGGATCCCATGCACCAGTTCGCAATCTTCTAGCTCCCATATCATACTTGTTTAGGAATTTACATGTTTTTTCAAATCTAAATTCTCGGAGTGATTTATCATCAATGGTCAAAAACCGATCATTGGTTCCATTCAAATCCCACAATACTTCATGAACTCTCTCATTATCAAATTGTTTTGCTTCCAATTTTGAAATCATTTCCAAATGATTACTTTCATCATCATCATTGGAAGACCCATCATCGGAATAACACGACATGGCATGTAGAGCTGCTTCAAATCCAAACTTGACTGTATTGTAAATAGTAAAGAAATATTTAGGCTTGCTCGGATGTGGACTGATGGACCAAATTTCATTCAAATGAGAGTACACTTGCCGACAATAGATATCATTTTCATCTTCGTTGAATTCAATGAGATGGACTTCATTGTTGGAATTGAGTGAACAAGTACCCACAAGAAATCTATTATTTCGAGTATCACCCTTGACTGGAGCCATACATCGGCTCTTGTTGAGACGTTGTCCATACACGGCCGAGCTGTACATGGCGTGTTGAGAGGTGTTGTGATGAGGATCGGAAGATGAAATACTATGGGAGGAGGATGAAGTGGATGATAGGTTCAATTCATTGTTGGTCGTGTGATGTGTAATTCCACTCGATGTTCTCACGTGTTGAGGAGGACGTGTCAAACGAGTGGTGGTGCCTCCGCTACTACTACTCACAGTGTTGGGCGTCAGGGATTTGTTCATTTTTTTGTGGGTTTTTGAAAAAAAAAGGAAACTTTACAAAGATTATAAACCATTTATTATACACTCAGTTTTCTTAATGTTTAATAGAGACGCCGTGAAAAAAGTTTGTTCACCGACTTACAATGTTGATCGTGAAATTGTTCTCATGATTTTGTTTAATTATTCCTTCTTTTTCTTTGTTGGAGGTTCTGTAGATTCGTCTTCATCCTGTGTCCTTTGGCTCGTTTCATTGTTTGTATCTTCGTGATCACTGCTTAAAAGGGATGGTTCTACATTAAACTGTTGATGGTTTTGCAAAAAGTCACAAATTCTTATTTCCTTTCTTATTTTCTTTGGAACAACAGGTTTAGTGGTAAGGTAAATAATGACATCCTTTTGGTCTAAACCAACAGGTGCAGTTTCACGAGTCGAGCAGTATCTATAATAAGATCTTACCATATATTCTTCACCTGTGGTTGTCTTCATTCGTTTCTTAATTGCATCCTTGCTTCTAGTAGATTACGCTTTAAACCTTTACAGTGCTTGGTATAGGTCATGTGAGAGACTTTTATAAATATATGATATTCGTCAAGGGTGTATATATAGAAATCAATCAACTGGTGATCATCGTGGCATACTAAAAGTGTACCTGGCAGGATTTTTGTTGTAGAGTATTTACCATTATGCGGTCGAGGTTGATGAACAATTCTGCATACTCCTATGTCTGGAATAGGTGTCACCGTTCACAGCTTTAAGTTTCAAAATGATTGGTCTGATTGGAGTTGCATCGATGAATGGTTTTGCAAATAGTAGTTGTAGAGCCTTCCCTTTAGTCTGCTTATCCTGAATCAAAATTCTGATTATATCAAAGGATGTGGGACGTAATTGCTGGTATATTGCACTTCTTGCCCATGAAGAATCAAATTCCATAAAGTCATTTCCTTCCCCTTCATCACTTTCTTCACTTTCTTCATTAGTAAATATTTTGACAAGTAGCCCTAATTCAACCCATGAAGATACATCTACGTCTGTGCAAATAATTCTTTTGTACAAGAAAACGCTCGCACCAATGTCTTGATACGACAGCAACTATGATCCTGAGTCTGTTATGTTGGCATTGGTCCATTCTATAAGCTTTCTCATTCTTTGACCATAGTAATCTGTAACCTTCTCTCGAAAGCCCTTTGGACCTTCAACAAGCATCCAATAAAGCAATCGTAGAATACCTCCTGTTCGATATTGATAATCTTCCATATCGTGTACAGAGGGTTTCTTTTTCAGGTTCCGTTGAAATTAGCCAAGTCAATATAACCAAGTAACTCCTTATGTGAAAACGGCTTAATCCGGGAAAACATCCATAGGCAGTGAAAAGAATGATTGTGAGGATAGTGCTCCTATGAATAGTTAAAGTCCATGTTGACTTAAACATGTCTTTCGCAAGTTTCAGAACGTTCACATCGCATAACTAGCTGTTCATGAAAGTGCAAGTTATGCTTTGATTTCATAATGAAAATCTGCAACAAGTCTAAACTTCAGTGATGTAATGAATACCTACATGATAATCTCAGCAGCATGATTCGTTTCTGCAAAGAGACAATCGTATCGTCTATCGACTATCAATAGCATCAATTATAGTGAACTAATACAGTCATCTCTCAGACTATCGACTGATAACAGGTTACGGAATGTGCAAGTGTAGTCAAGATATGTGTTTCGCTTCTCGGGTACAAGGTCATTCAAACCAATTGTGCTCTTGATCGTGGATGCGTTGAATTGGCAAGTGTTGAATTGAGACATTTTTTAACCCTTAACTACACTTGCAAAACCTCTTTTATTTGTTGTTGGGTAAGATGAGACGATCGAAGAACTAATTCAAACCACGAAAGAGAACATGTCCCTTCTTTTGCTGTTGTTGTTGATGTTTTCTAGGACATGCATATTTTGTAATAATCTTGAAATTATAGATGTATTGCTCTTTCAAAAACTTTTTCGATTTTCCAATGAAATGACCATCGAAATGAACATTTTCATCACACACCATAAATAATTGAGCTCCATTCATGCCACCATTGGAACCTGGAAATAAATCAAAATCCACAACCAATCCATGTTCAATATTATTGGGATCAAAGAGAGAAATCTTTGGTCCGGCCTTTCCCACAGCAATGCATCTATGGAAATAATTGTCAGTGTAGAAAATTTGAGCAGCACCAGCATTGAATGCACAAAAGGTGTTGTTGGTGGGAATTGCTGGATTACAAGGATTCACGTTGTAAAATGATCCCGGAATGTAGTCTTGAATGATCCATCCAAAAGTACCATTGTCTGCTTTGGATAAGTCAATAATCATTCCGTTCTTTTCGATGGAACAAGAGGATGGATTTTGTGAAAGGACTGTTTGCAAGAGAGTGGTTGACAATAACAAACAGCAGAACAAGAGGGATTTCAAGCAAGAAACCATTTTTTTAACAACAGGCAGCTTCCAGTTTGAAAAGCTCCAATCGATTGGTGATATTCCGACTTTCCAAATAAATCGTTACTGTTCTGTATCAGGGGTTTTCTGCATTCTTTCATTGTGGGAAAGGATTTTTGGTAACAAGATAAATACGCTGATCCCTTATTCCATCTCACAAAAGTTTTAAAGTTCCCAGTACTAGTCACGAATTGAAGTGTTGTTGGTGTGAATGTTCTTCTCTTTTTTCGAAGATCCAAAGAATAATTACGTTCAAAACGAAAACACTGTACAATAACGCATGCACCTCCATTTTTATGTTTTCATTGTTCCATATCGTAGCAATCCAAACCACGAGCAGTACAACGTGAACAAGGTCTCAAATTGTCACACCTCAAGTGGGATCGTCTGCAGTGATAGCATGCTCGTTTGGCATTACTTCTACGTTTCTTTTTCAGTTTGGCTTTCTTTGAAATTCCTCCATTTAGCGAAGGCATATAATCATCATCCTCTTGAGAATCACTGCTACTACCTGTTCTGTCGCTATCTTTAGAGGAAGAAGAAGAAATAGTTGAGGAAGGCTTCTTTTTCTTCTTCTTTTTGGTTAATTCTCCAATGATGGAGGGAGAAAAAGATGAATCTGTCATTAGCGTGCCATGTTTAGACATTCCACCCATTTCAAAACATGCATGTTCATTAACTCCAACAGTTGAAATAGGAGAGGAATTATTGGTTGGCTGATAATATATTTCTGGAATGTAGTTTTGATAGCAATTATTGTAGTAGCGTAAACGAGGTGTTCTGTCGTCCTCAGATTCCGACAGAATGTATATGCTACAGTCAGAGTCGTCCTCGCTCTCGTCCTCACTTTCCTGTTCCAATTTACGTTTTTGTTCTAATGATTGCATGTTAATGCTGAGAGGAGTATAATCATGCTCTTCCTCAACTCCATACTTGTTGAAAAATTGTTCTGTTGATTCTTTGAGTCTGGTAATAGATTTCTCGGGTATGAAATTCTCAGAAATACAGCTCGTATTGTCAAACAGTAAGGCGTTGTACTTTTGAAGCAACGAATTCGTAATAGAAGTTTCATTATTACTTGTCTCACATATCAGGCCACAATTTATCATGGATGTGATTATACCTAGAGCGTCTCTTTTTCTTCCACTAAATACGTTGGTGAACGCAAATGGTCAATCATTATATTAATGAATCATGTCATTATACTTACACATGAAGATACAACATAAATTGAACCTCATCAAATTCTAACAGAACTTTTTGTAAATCGCAATTTCTATCTTTGCTAGATTGATCTTCCCGTACACCAAATAGTTTACAATTAAATTCAATTAATCGAGGATCATAATATGGGAAATGGTTCAATAGATAAACTCTTGCTCTTTTCAGCTCATAATCGTGCACATAGTCGTAAAACACGCTCCTCTTGAACCTAATTGTTGACAAGTTATGGAAATTAAAATAAGGAAGGAATTCGTGATGGTTATGGCTTGGTCAATCATTTGGCATGTGTGTGTTGAAAACTTACTCTTCCACTTTCCAAACATAAGGAAAACTTTCTTGAGCAAATTTGCGCGTATTATCATTGTTGGAGGGTTGATCTTTTGGTGATGATAATTCGGAAAGATGGCCCATTATTGGACGACTTTGTTCATTATCTACCGAATAGTCCACTGTAGATGTACTTGGGCTATCTCGTTGCATTTGTGTTGCGAGGTTGCTGACGCTGCTATGAGCATTACTGGCATGCTGATATATCGACGAGGTTGCTGTGGAGTTTGCACCAGTTCCACCACTATACAAAGGAGATGTATTCATACCGTACACAAGTTTTTGGTGTTCACTGATATTGTCTAGTTGTGTGCTATCGGAAGTGTGGTGACCTCTTGGAGTCATGCCAACCGATGTTACACTATTGTTTGAAGGAGAGAGAGCCATCATGGCATTGTTGGAAAATGTTGCTACTGATCCTTGTTGATTGCTGTTGTTAATTTGATGATAATGAGATGATTGGTGAGAGTTGGAGGAGGACGGAACAAGTGATGACGGAGCCGACGTTATTGTATTTTGTTGCTGATTAGGGGTTTGATTGGCACCAACAGTATTCGGAAATGCAGGTGATGATGGCATTTGATGGTGTAGGGTGTGCAATGGAGATGATGTACTCATCATCGGGTTGATACCACTTCCACTAAACGGAAATGTGCTAGCACCATGATTCAATATTGAATGATGAGACACTGATGCTGAGGAGAGGGAATGTTGTTCCGAGTGGCCTAGGTTGGGAAGGTTTTGGTTGGATAACACGTTGGGATGAGAGGGGCTACTACTGCTGCTACCATTCACTAGCATTGGGTGGTGGTGTTGAGAATTTGGAGCAGAGTGATACGGAGAAGAATGCCCACCTCCACTGACCATCATGGTGTTATTGCTGGCATTATTCGGATTGTTCATTAAAAGATGATGATGGGGAGGAGAGGAAGGGTGGTTGGTTCCGAACGGATTGCCCATGGAGTTGTAATTACTTGGCAGGCTATTGTTCGTTGACAACAATTGGTGGTTATTATGATTCAATGAATAGTTGGACCCCGTGATCACTCCATTATTGCTGGTATTATTATTGCAAGAAATTGCTGGACCACCGTTCTGAACATGACTTGTATTATTGAGTGGAATGGAGGGTGAGTTCATACTATTGGGAGACGGATGACTCAATCCCGATGATGCAACTTGGGGTGGTGGTGAGGAGATTCTCGGATTTGAAGCTGGATTCAAACAGTGATGATAAACGTTACTCGTGTTCATCAGCGTGTTATTATTCGTAAAACCATTATTGTTGCTTGTTACCGATGAATTTGATTTGCCCGTTACCGATCCGTTACTATTATTGTTGCTATTTAGATGATAATTAGGATGGTTCGTATTTGGCGTGCCGTTAGGAGGTGCTAATACAGAACTCAAAGGAACGGAATTGCTCCCGTTGTTGTTATTGTGCATTGTTGCTGATTGGGACAAGTTATTAGTGCCTCCTATCGAAGATGACAACGATGATGAAGCTCCGATGATGTTTGTGGCTGTCGTTGTTGCTGCAGTCGCTACCATATTGCTGTGATGAACAAGACTGGAAGTTTGAGACATTTTTTTTGTGAACGCAAACCAATGAAAATTGTTGTTTGTAAACCGTTACAAAATTGCAAAGCCTGACACTTGAGGTTGTGTGCAGATCGGGAATCACTGAAATATCTTTCAAAATCTTGTTTTTTCCAAACACTGCAGAAGAAAATTGCGGAAATTTCATCTGGTTGTCTCATTAGTGAACTTTTTAAAACTAAAAAATATGAGCCAAATGGGTGTACGTGCAAAACCCTCTATGGTTTTGATATTCTCTCAACACGCTCGCGTAATTGTTGTAACGCCTCTCCCAATACTTGCAAGGTAGAACGTATTTGTGAAAGGTCATTTCTCTCTGTCATTTCTTCGATGGGATCAACTTTGTGTTGCACGTGATGGAAACTTGTTGTTTGGCCCTGCGAAGAACATTCGGCTTCCTCAACGGGTTGCGTCGCCAGTAGTGTAAAATCCAATGTATTACTTTGCGAACACTGCAAAGAGGAAGTGGATGCTCCATGATTCGTGATTGCCGATTTGGTTGACGTTCCATTCTCATGAACCACCAAGTCACAAAGATAATCCTTTGGTTTCTTAAATTTCAATTCAAATTTCAAAGAGCCATCCATCAGTAAGTCACTGGTATCTGTAAGTTGTAAAATAGAATATCCAAAACCGCTTAAACCTTTCTCATGGTTTTGTGTGTGTTCAATAATTTCATTTAAATAACCTTTCATGACAAGACACACAATGAGGTATTCGGTTGAATAGTGGTCCAAATGAGAACCTTGCCCAATTTCTCTACTCGCAATTTCATTTCTCTTTTTATCATTCCCCGTCCAAAGTTGAAGAACAGCTCGTCGTGACATTCGACTTTTCATGCTTACATCTTTCACTAATTTCAAGAGAGAAACCGCTTCTTTTGTAAAATCTTTGGTAATTAATGGCTCCATAGTATTGTCACAATTGTCACAACAACAGTTGATTACACTGTGTCTGATTGCATCGCAATACTGTTGGAATCCTAAAATATCACATAATAATTTTCTTCTGCATTCTCTTGTATTGAGCGAGTATGGAATAATGGGATTTAAGGTTTGGAGAGAAAAATCAGTATTCTTTGTTGTTGCCATGTGTGAATTTTAGATATCAGCCCATCCTCATGAACCTACCTTTTTCAAATGCTTAACCCAATCTGAATAGCAAAAATAGGTCGTGCAATGACTTGCTTGGCCATCTCTTCCGACAAGCGAACATACTCGATAATATTCTTGAATGGTGCTTGGAATTGCATACAGTATCACAAATCGAATGTTGGATTTGTGCAAACTAAATCCGATCGAATAGGTTGTAATTAAAATAACGTTAGAACTTTCCATCCATTCATTGAATTGCAAATCTCGTTCAGTTTGATCTTGTTTCGATGTGCATATTTTCAAACGAGAAGAGTCAATGTCTAATTTGGCCAAATGGCTCTCCATTGCTTGACAATCGTGCCCATTGTCACAAAAAATAATTCCAGATTGATTTGCATACATGTTGACAATGATATGAGCAATATCTTTCGCTACGTGTTGTAAAATTTTCTCAGGTGGTTTTAACTTCACTTCAAAGTACACATTTGGTCGAATTATTGTACTTGCTTCACTGTTCAACAGCAATTGAGGATTTCTTATATTCAGTTCTTTTAAAAGTCTTGTATGTACAGTGGAGGAGCAAAGAGATGTCAGGGCCATTACCGTAACGTTTTGAAAGTAGCCCAGTAATCGTTTCAGTGCCTTATAGGGCTGTGAAATGTGATAATCGTCTTGATTGACAGCCAAATGACTCTCATCAATAACTAGTCTCGAAATCCTACCTGAATTCTTGAGATTGAGAAAAATTTTCCCAAAATTCTTATTCCACACCACTTTGTCTGTGATAAATAAAAGTTTAAAATTTAAATCCTCAGGATGTTGTAAGGCATTCCAAACAGTTTCTGAATCAGTCTCTTGGTTGCGACGATCTGAACTGATATAAGTAGCAGAAATTCCAATTTTTGATAAATACGATATTCGGTCATATATTAGAGACAACTGTGGTTGTACCACAATTGTCAACTTGTTTTCTATCATACATGGCAATTGATAGCACAAACTTTTCCCTGATCCTGGAGGAGAGGCCAACAATACATTTCTATTAGATAAAGTTGCGTTGATGGCATCTAATTGAAGCGGTAAAAAGCTGGAGTGACCGAACACGTCTTTTAAAACTCTACGAGCAGTTAAGCTCCAAGAAAAATGTTCTTTTAAGAAATCTGTGTTGGTTGTCGGATCCAGTGTTTGTGAGAGTTGCCGAAAATGATTGCTAGAACTAGGATGTCCTAAAATTGGTGTTGTCGTGTCAGAAGATGGTATTGAGTTGTTTGTATTAATCATTGCTGGTTTTGTTTTCTTGGGAGGTACAAAAACTGATCTCTTGATATGAGCCTCGTGCTGGCTTCGTTTTTTAGACCCATTGATTTTAGCAACAATTTCTGCTTGTGTTATGAAAATTTTGTTATTCAAAACAACATCTTCATCGGAATCATCCTCATGAATTTCAGTTTGACATGTACTAGAAAATTCCTCACCACTATCATTTGAAATAATACTGCTAATTGGGTCACTGGATGACGAAGAAGAGTGGTCTCCACTCTGCGAGAACAATCTTTGTTTTTCGGAATGTAAATAATTTTTAGTTTTCATCTTTGGACATTTTTTTATGGAAATTCAAAAAAAAGCAAAGAATTGTAAGAATTCGAAGTGAGCTCATCTATTTTCTTGTTATCTTTTAGTAAAATGTTGTATCTTCATATCCCATCTGTTTAATTTTCTCTCTGTATTGAAGTGATTCATAGTGGTTATACCTAAAATAATGAGAGCCAGCTGCTGATGGTACATGAGAAAGTTCCATCGTATGTGAAACAAATGTTACATTAGGCACAATTTCAACAACCACCTTACGGATAATATTCTGGACTTTTGGTATATTACAAGTACCTCCTGTAAAGACGGCAAATTCAATGTTTGGAACTCGCCGGTATTCTTTTGTTTTGGGAGGCTCCAAGGACTGTAAAATGTAATTTTTCAATGAAGCCTCAAATTGCTCAAGAATTGGAGCACAAGCTTCTTCAAATTCTTCTCTAGTTATTGTCATCGTATTACTATGGCTTAGCTCAATGATTGTCGAATTATGTTTAGAAAGGTCAATCTTGGCTTTTTCACACTTTTTGGTGATGTGTTCTGAAATTTCCCAATTACACTTGTTCGTCACATATTTGGATAACATTTCAGTTAAATCGTCTGCACTACAACATTCCAAAATCGTTTCGGCACAAATAGGATCGACAAAATGTCCATACTTTGAGCATTCATGATTCACCACTTGAACTGGAGTGGTGGTTAAAGGGCTTGGAAACCAACTCTGTTCAAATGCTTGTCGCCAGTTCAGTTGTTTAACCATTTTGGCTGTCTTGATTTCATTTTCCTCATCACAGACCTCATACAAGTCACAAGGCTCAAAATTTTCAACATACGGTACATTCTCGTCAAATTTTGCATCCATTTCAATGAATTGAGAAAAGTGAGGAGAAATTCTGTTGTCCTTATCGTACGGGAAAAAGTAATTGATCCAACCCGAGATGTAATCAACACCACTACCTGAATCAAAAACAGCAATACCATTCCAAAATAATTTCAATTCTTCAGTCAATGTTTCTTCTTGAGCTGTTTTGATAATCTTGTCAATTATGAGTGTCAAGACTTTTCGCCACCATTTCATGTCGTATTCATCAAGTACTTGAATCTTTTCTCTCATACCTATCCAATCCTCCATAGTACCCAAAATAGTCACACTCGGCAATCCACACAAGAAATCATTCTGGTATGTGTAGTAATCTTTAAAAGCTTCCATCATTAAGATTTTGGAAGCAACTTTTTCAACTCGAGTCGAAGTTGAGAAATTGTGATCCAAAAAGTCCAATAACTGTTGTTTCTTTGCATCAGCATTTTGAGACACATCATTAATAATTGCTTGTTGAATCTCGTCAACTACTCCTTCCCAATTAATTTCCATGCTTGTTGGATCAGTAATATATTTAGGCATTTGAACAGCAATATCCATCTTTTTCACTGGCTTTTGATCATTTTCGGATGATCTCAGTAATTCTGGTCGTACTGCCAAATGTTTGACCAATCCTTGTGTAATCATCATCCATATATGGTCAGGACTGACAATCAGTGGATAATGTTCGCTGTAGGCCGTACAATAACACGCAACCACTGGATGAGGCCTCACTCGTAAATTCTTTAAAGTACAAATGCCATTGGGAGTATGTAATACACTGTATTGAGATCGGATTAAATCCTGATCCACAGGTTCACCCTTTTTAATGGTATTACTGAGAAAGTCTTTTAATTCTACTCGTTCGGAAGGCTGATTATACACATTTCCGATTTGGTATTCGTTGGGTTGTTCTTTGGTTCCTTCTGCTTGTTCTCCATGATGATGATTACCCCATGATCCATGTTCCTTGTAGAAGGGAGTAAAATCTCTCTTACACAATACCTTCATTTTTTGGTAATCGATTTTTGTTTTCCACGAACTTCCTAGTGATTTCGTTATGAAAGCTTTTCGAATCATCTTTTGATTACCTTAATTGAGATTTGATTTTCAAAGTCAGAGTCACCGTGCGCTAATTTTGAAAATTGCTATCGAGACACGTGGTTCTCCTTCAAACTGCATTTAGTAACTTTCCTTAATGAATTATTGTGTATTCACTTTTTAAAAAAACCATACCACCATCATGTCAGACTGGACCGATCCATTACACTACTCCTCCGAAGAAAGAGATGAAGATGTTCGAAAGGGACGAGATCTCGATCAACATCCTTTCAAAGTGAAGGGAATGACTGATGCTTCAAAATTTGTCGACCAACTCGACACTACCAATACAGCAAAACACGGAAATCGAGCAGATTATATTTATGGTGGAGGAAAGGAGAACTATACAAGCCCGGAGGGTGATCATGATATTAAGGAACGTCTCCGAACTCATGTCTATCGCAGCGTGGGTGATGTTGGTGAAGTGAGTGACAAGCCAAGACTTTCAACAACGTCGTCGAAGGTGAATAGTCATGAAAATCAAAATAAATGAGAAACTGTCATGCTCTGATGTGATTCAAAGAATAAAATTTCGTTATGAGCCTGTTGAAAACATTTGTAAGAATTTTAAACGACACTGGGTAAAGGGGCCTTCTTTTCTGCTGGCTTTCCGTATAAAAAAAATAATTACCTTAACGCTGATGGTGTTGTTGGTTTTTCGAACCTGTTATATGTTTGACCTGTTAGGTCCGGTAAACACGTTTCAATTTTTAACAAGCAATAATTACTCGTTGAGATGGCAACTTGAGATCTTTGTGTCCACCTGATGTCTTTCAATTTAAAAAATATGCCTCTCGCACTCTCCTTGAACTCGAGTTGCACATGCTTTACCGTGACCGATGAGAGCACAATTTTTGATTTTCAACCTCTTTCGACATTGTCAACCACAACCACCACTCCCATCTCTGCACATACTACTTCTTCTACGACCGTATCATCATCCAATCCATCGTCATCATCAGGAGCATCCTCTCCGCTCCTCCTAGCCTCCTCATCATCATCTGACATTTTAAATTATTATGACATTCTTCAAGTACTTCCTTCCATCTCATCGAGTCGAACGTTATTCAAAGAAATTCAACATGTGGCCAATTCGGTGGGAGAATTGGCTTGTTTTCCCTATGTTCAAAAACAACAACAAATGGTGATGCAATCGATATCAGCAGCCAGTGGTGGCTCATCGGAAATGTCTCCAACAACACCTCATTCCTCAACACCTACCTCCCTCTTTACGTCATTGTTTAATAGTACATCAGAGAGTTCAAGTTTTAGTAATAGTGAAATGATTAGTGGCAAGACAGGTCAGCAATTCATGTCAGCGGTGTATAAAAAGTATCGAGTGGAGACCAATGCCATGCTTGTGAAAGATAGAGTGTCTAATGAATTACTTGTCATGAAACCAATCTTGTTTTTGAATGAAGAAGATTTTGAGAGAAAAAGTAAAATGGTAAGTCATGAAATTTGGAGTGATATTTTTATTATTGGATGAAATGTTACATTAACACAAATCAATTCTCTCCTCGTTATGTTAAAATTAACCGGTGATGTCATTTCGCTACACAACTCCTCCTCATCATCCTGAAATATTTCACACAAGTTCGAAAAATTGAAAGCAATTGCATTGACATCCTACAATGTCGTAACTCCTCACCGATTTTTCAGATATCTCAACTCACCCATGTCGACCGATGAAGATTTCTCGTTGCTCATTCCACAAGCATTGAACTCTTCGAGCGGATCCGAATACTTGTCACCAAGTGCATTTCTTTCACAGCAACGAAAAAAGCGAGTCGGTTCTCTTGCATTCATGACCACGGAATATGTCAAGAATGGAGACTTGTTCCAACTCTTGTGGAAATACAAAAATTGTGGAAAGAAATTTTCAGTGATGGATATTTTCAATTTCATCATTCAAGTGTGTTCGACTCTGAGTTGCATGAAGGTGAAACAAACATTATCAAGCATGCCCAAAGATGCTGCTGTTCGCTCCAATGAGAGAATTTCTGTAGCCAGTAGCTCCGATATTGAAGGATATGTGGATGAAATTTTATCGGTACATGGTAAATTAACTGGTCACAACATTCTTGTGGATTTTGAACCGACTGGACTTTACAAATTTTGTCTTCACAATTTTTCCTTCATGAGAAATACACTATTGAATAAGCAAAAACATGCACTTCCAATCATTGATGATAATAAGGAGAATGATCAATTATTACTGGGATCTCAAAATGAATTACTACTCTTTCCTTCACCTCCAGAATTAATGGATAATCCTGAAGAGAATTATTTGAGGGACTATGACGATTGTTGGTGTTTGGGAGTTTTAATGTATCAACTTGTCACTGGAAAACCCATTTGCTTTGATGAGCAAGAGCAACGAGAAATTTTAAAAGCTAAAGCTGTGCGCACACTCAACATGTCCATTGTCAACGACGAGTTGGAGAATTATCTGAAAGAGGGACTTTTTGCAGTGGAGCACGAATCGACCAGTTCCACTCCAACACCACTCTCAAAAAAGAGAAAGAAACAACTCGAAGAAGAATTGTATGCTGATGCCAAAGTATTGGTAGATTTAACACTAGGTTTACTCTCGTATTTACCTGAGGAGAGATTAACACCTCTTCAAATTTTACAACATGAGACCACAATGAAGTACATGAAGATGATTCATAGTGTTCAAGAAGAAAAAGGAACGGAATTTTGTGAACAAGTAGGTCACGATATTTCCACCATTGAAACACAAAAACAAAATTCTCAAAACTCCGCTCTCTATCCCTTCCTAAGTCAAAAAGATTACATTTCTCTTCAGTTTTTCCATGCCTATCATAAGGAAAAAGGCATTGAAGAGAAATGGGATACATCCTTCTTTCGGCAAGAACGTATTGGCCAAGAAGATAATATCATTCAATTATTGGAATTATCATTCAACAATTCGATACGAACATTTATATTTGCCTTCATACGTAATTTACATTTGAATGTATTACAAGATTTTAGGAGGGAGGTCAATCTCCCAACCGATTACAAAATGTTAAAAATTATATTCTTGAACATGCTTTCACTTCAAGCAAAGAAGAAATCCAACATCGCTTTCAAGCATGTACGATCATTTATTGGCCAGGCATTACCATTGATACCTGAGATGCTTCTCTTGATTGTTCTTTTGGAATCAATCGAGTTACTATTAGAAAATGATTATGAATACTATAGTACTCACATGTTCGAGTACAATAAGGTCCAACTTTTCAATCAAATTCAAAAAATTGAAACAGAAATTACCTCTCTCATATCCAAGCATGAAATTGACAGCTCACAATTCCGAATTGCCACTCGTTTATCGAAAAAGGAGACGGAGGTCAGATATTTCATTGAACGTTACACACTTCCACTGGCACAAAAGTTAGTGGATGGCCTGAAAAAAGCAGATCCTCAAACTAGTGGTTCCAAGGGAAATATTGTACTTTCATTGTTGAGATACATTGTTTGTAATTGTTTCCAGAAGGAGCATAAATGGGTGCTCGTTGGCAATGAAGGAAAAATGGAAGGTAAACTCTTTGGATTTGAAGACATCTTTTCCAACAAGAAGAAGCGAAGCAGATGTTCCTTGAATTTTACCTATACACGTGATTATGTGAATGCAGAAGGAAATATTCAGCTGCAACTTGCCTTTTCTAAACATGGCGATAAGGAAGTACTCTTTGCAGATCGTCTCGAAAAGGTGAATGACAAGTGTAAAATTCAGAAACGTATTTTTGTGGTGAGTGACTTGGCCGTGTACAACATTGATCCATCCAACTTTAAGATTAAGAGACGAGTAGAAATTTCTGAAATTGAAAGTATTTATGTGAGCACGTATACTGATGGCTATTTTGTGCTCAAAGTTCCAAATTCATATGATTTTCTGTATAGTGCATGGCGGAGAACTGAGCTCATCATGGCCATTCAAAAAGTGAGCAACATTCCAGTCCATGTTTCCAATCGATTTCCTTTCAATCCAGCAAAGGGAGATAATCGACAGGTGGTGTTTGTTGAAGATTCTAAAACACCAAAATCCAATGTCAAACTTGTGAAAAAAGAATATATTGTAACAGTGAGACCTCCAGAAACTGATCCTATTAATATTGAATCCGTTCATGCGTTAGTGACCATGGGAAAATCAAGCGAGCAAAGAGAAATTGTGTTAGATCCCTATGATGTGACTACTCTGAAACTACCTCCAACGGCCTCCTACAAAATTCGTTTCAAATTCTATGTGAACACTAATTTGAATTGTTTCTTAGACGAGTTCATTAAGGCAGACAATGAAACAGTATTTCAATTGGTACTGGGACAATTTGAAAAGAGTGAAGACCCCATTGTACTCATGACTGACAAACGAACTGTGTGTGATTATTTTGCACTGAAAACAAAAAAGACTCAAGTCACTATGAAAATTATGGATACCGAACGACAGGCCATTCATTCTCAACAATTTCAAATTGAATATGACATGCAATAATAGACAATACAAACGAATGTACTTTAACGAAAAGCACAATATTTTCAGAGGGTTGGTCCTTGGTAGTGTGTTATCAACACTTTTGAAAATACGTAGTTAACTCTACAAACAATAACATTCCTCAAAGTAAACGACAGAAAGCAAACAAACACCAAAAAGGTTTGTTCTTTGCCTGTTTTGATATCAAAAAATATTTGTGTGTTGTTGGCTCCGACAAACACTCTTGTTACCAGTCTTTCTCTTCATTAAAGCTTGTTGTGGATTGTTGAGCTCTGTTTCAAATCATTATCATCATCATCAAGTAGTGGACTGCTCGTTAGGAGATCACGAGCAGCAACATTTATGTGGTTTTAAATTTTGTGAGAGAGGTTGAGATCGGATTCATCATCATCATATTTCAATTTCACCAATCATCACACAAAGAATCATCATCATTCCGTTTTCTTCCTTGTACCATATACAAAATAATAGTATAATAACAATAATTCCATAACAACCACTCGCATCCACAACAAAACAATGAGCGCTGATGAAATAATTTCACCCTCCCAACATTCTCATCCTTCGGGTTTCATACCACCCCCTCCACTCCCAATTCAAGCAGTAACGGTTTCTTCTAGAAGTTTTTCTGTGAAGAGTCTACAGGACTTTCTCAAAACGGAGGGAAAAGAAATTGAAGAAGAAACGCATCGAGATGTGGAAGCTTTAACCGAGCTAAAGAAAAAGTTGGTTCTTGAGGCTAAACAAAATTGGGTGATTGAACAACAAGTCGAAATTCTCGGGAATAAGATTAGACTTTTAATTAAGAACCATGTACAAGCGGAGGACATGAAAAATCTCTTGGACTCATCCTTTGAAAAGGTAAAGATGAAAACCCGAGAGGATACTCAAACATTTAGGGACGAGGCCGTTCAAATTTATCAAAAGATGTTTTATATATTCCGAAAGGACCCAAAATACCTCGCAGTTTTGACTCGTTTGGTGCGAGGAAAGGAAGTTGATACATTTCTACAGACTGTTGTTTTTACTTTATTCGGAGATCAATTTGATGAACGAGAAGAACATTTACTTTTAATTCTTTTTGAGAGAGTTCTCGCTAAAGAGTATCAAACGTGTCCCTATATTGGCGAATTTATGAGATCAAATACTGCCTTTACGAAAATGTTGGGAACCATGCTCCGCAGAACCATGTATCACAAATTTCTAGTGAAGGTCCTGAAAGAACCAATAGAAACAGTCATTAATGATAAGACGCTCAACTTGGAGATTAACTCTCACAAGATTTATCATCATTTGTTGCAGAAAGCAAAACAAGAAGGAAAATCATGGGATGGTCCCATGAATGCCACGGAAGAAGAGGCAGAGAATGATCCAAGAGTCATCGAGGTCATTAAGCCCCGAGTTCAGAAAATTATTGATGCAGTAGAATCGTTTTTGACCCGCATATTTGCATCCGTGGATGAAACTCCCTATGGTGTTCGATTCATGTGTAAAAGAATTCTTCAATTTGGAAAAGAGACCTACAAGAATGCATCCGAGACAGAAATTTATTCACTGGTTGGAGGTTTAATATTTTTGAGATGGGTGAATCCAGCCATTACAACTTGTGACAACAATCAGACCAATATAATTGAAGACAAGTTAACCACAAACCAAAGAAAGAGTCTCACCATGATTTGTAAAGTTATTCAAAATCTAAGTAATGGTGTTCCTTTTGGAGCAAAGGAAAAGTACATGATACCTCTCAATGTAATTATAGAAAAATATACAGCTCAAATGCATCAATATATGAAGAAGTTATGCGAAATTGACGAGATTGCTGACAAATTAGAAATTGGAGAAATTTTTGAACTATCAGGAGATGTTGGCTCGATCAACATTTCTCACAACGAAGTTGCATTGATTCATCGTCTGTGCTATGAAAATATTGATACATTAACCGCTCCAGTCTACAATAGCTGTGGCGCTGGTAGTAATGGTGGTAGTGCCAATCAAGAAAAGAAAGCAGTTGCTTCTGTTGGTGCAAACAGTTCTTCAGCTAGCTCCTCCGATGCATCCAACTCCACTCGCATTAGCACGAGCGAGGGCCCTCCTCGGACTGAATTCGATGAGTTACTGTACAAGTTTTTGCAACAATTGAATAAGTTTGGTCCTCCTCCAGATTTTCTTTCACCCAAGGCCAATTACTACTTTAACCTGAAGCTTAAAAATCCATCACAAATCATTGAAAAAGAAGAAGGCCTAGTACCAAGCACTGTCAAGAAGCAAGTGAAAGATTTACTGAGTACGATTCTGAGAGATCTTCCATCACTGCCTCAAGATGAAATTCAATATACAATCAATGATGTACTAGTAGCAGGAGAGACACTTTGTAATGAACGGCAAAATTGGGAATTTGCAAAAAGGATTAGGACAGCCTTAGAACAGCTTGACACTTTACAGCAACAAATTACAGATGAAGAACGAAAAGAATTTGATACCATTCTAATTCGAGAAATATATGAGGTATGTATGAAATGAGTCAAGATGGTTTTTTAATGACAAACATGTGAATGATGATAATTTCGGGGTAATGACAATTTTAATGGAATTTTTATTGTTTTGGCCTTGTTCATGCTATTGTCATATCCCACAACAAGGAATTGGACACTAAACGACTAATGCGAAAAACCTTGAAGAAAAAGCTTCAAGTACTTACCTCTGTACTTGGTGATGTGAACGAGAAAAGAGAAGCCCTCAAAAATCAACTCAACATGTACAATACCTACTTTACAAACACTCTCTCAAAGACTTTCAAACCAAGTGACCCTTCAACAAGTGACGGTAGACAGGTTGGACCTTTTACCTTCAAATTCAGTGAGCTTGAGAAGAAGGGAGTTATTGCCAATAGCACTCTAGCATCGCCCATCAAAAAGCTGGTCAAAATTCAAATTTCTTCTACCAAGCCAGGTATATTTGTGGTTGTGGTAAATGCTACAGGTGCTGTGGCTATTAAATCAGAGCTTGATCTTAATGAGCTGCTTGAAAAACAAGCCAATGAAGATAACTTCCTTGACTTTGATAGCGTCACCCTGAACATTCCAATGTTGATTCATTTGTTGAACAAGTTGTTCGTTTTGGGAGATTCCAAACAAAAGGCAAAACTACGAAAACCAAGACCAAACTCCACACCTGCATCACCTTCTTCGTCCACATTGTCACCATCCAATAGTTTTGAAGCCGGTAGTTCAGTGGGTGACTCCAAAAGTAAATAAACTCTTACTCTTTAACATAAACAAATTTTGCAACGTTATTGGTTTTATTTGAGTGTCGACACTCGTCAATAAATAAAAAACTAGTTAGTGAACTGAGCTTGGTGATGAAGTATTGTTGTCTCCTGCGTCAATCACTTCGTCATCCGCTGGGTTTGTTTTCGCTTTCTTGGGCCTGAACAATAGGAGTAAAGCAACATAACAAATTGAAGCAATCACACAAACAATAAAAATAAAATAAAATATTGAGGTAGGGCCAATATACTCAAAGCTCAATGTCATGCCCACAGGTACAACTAATTCACCAACACAACCTCCAAATACCTTCATGACAAGTTTATAGACCATCCACGTAAATATAAAAAATCACCAATACTTACCATAATCGAGGTCATAAAACCAGAGACTTCAAACTTCATTGTGCTACTTGGTAAGCTTATAGTAATTGGATACATGCTTGCAAATCCAAATCCCAAAATAATAGCACACACCCATAAGCAAGCCATGCTGTAAGGAAATATTAACAAGGGAATAATTCCTAAAAAACATGCAACAATGTCCACGATGAGGAGAGTGGTATCTGTGAAAACAGCCGAAAGTAAAACTCCTGCAAATCTCGTTATGGTAAATGAGAGCCAAAAACCAGAGTTCAATAAAAATGCTTCTGAAGGTGTGGCTATGTTGGACTTGACAATATAACTCACCACTGCGTCAATAGAAGTTACATTTCATCCAATAGAAAGTTACATTTACAATAGTTAAAAAGGTTGTTGTTTCGTTACAGTCATCAAAACACCTACCAAGAGAACCAAATCCAATTTCAGCACCGACATAATTCAGTAAAGCAAATCCAGTTAATGCGCACACTACAATCTTCTGCCATAAGGTAGGTTTTGTCAATTGTTCTTTTGCTTCTTCTTCTTCTTCATCTTCGTCTTCAAAGGATGTCAAAGGTGAAGCTTGAGCTTGATGATGTGTCGCATCATTTGAAATATTTTGGTCATTCATTTTGGGACTTTCTTCCAACTCGATGTCATGAAAGACGTCACCAATATTTGAAACTCTTTCTTCATCAAAGCTTTTAGCAACTTCTTCAACAACTTGATTGTTTGCTGTTTCTTGATCGACTGGTTGCTGAGGTGGATGTTTTAAAGCCAAATAGCAAAAGATTGCAATCGGTATGACACCACTCAATGTAACAGCTGCTCCAATGAAGTGAGAGAGGGCAAGTGGATTGTTGATGGGATGTTCTGCACCACCTTCTGGTTGTGCACTGGGATAGCTATCAAAGACTATTTTCACAATGATAGGGCACTGAATGTTGTCATAGCCGAAAAATTAGAGTATTACCACACAAATTCAATCATGAGTTCAAATGCAACAACATTGTGAAAATTATTTTGCAAGTTATTTCATAAAAAATCAAAAATCGTCAACCTACAATAAATGCTCCAATTCCAAAACATGCATGTAAAAATTGTAAAAAAGTCGAAACCAATCGATGATTACCCCAAATCCAAATGATCAGCACGTTTGAGGTGAGGTCGACACATCCAAGTCCAAGGCCCACCACAAAGTATGTCAACACTACAAAGGTAAACGATGTAAGAAACGGTATGGCTGCAAACGCTCCTGACACTAATATCAAGCCTATTAACAGTATAATTTGGTTCAATATTGTTTTCACAGTTCCAGATTGAACCTTGCTTTTTAAATAATCCAAAACCCAACCACCAATTAAACTTGATAAAATATATCCAACTCCTCCTATTCGATTGGAATTGTCATCAAACACCACACACAGTCATAAACATGCATAACAGGTTATATATATACGTATTTCCAATTTTACAAAATCATTGCATATTTCAAAAATCAGAATTGATTGATTTTCAAAAATTATTAATACAAAATTATGAATTGACAACAGACACATATAATCACATACGCAATGTAAATAATAAACCCATTGTTCCTTCGGATTTTTTCAATTTCTGCTTTAAGGATGGTAGTGTTGGTCCTAGCATGGCTAAACCCAGTCCCAACGGTATAAATCCATAACAAATCAACACACTCTCCCAAAATTTCCTCGATTTTAACAAGTTCAGCAATGCTCTTCCTCTCCGTTTCCATGTATCCTTTCTTAAATTAGTTTTTAATTGTTCCTTTCGTTGTGTCTTCCATTCGTTGAGAGAAAATTTCAAATTAAGGCTTGTTTGGGAGAAGGCTTTCTGAAGAGGTGAGGGTGGTACAGGTGATGCCAGAGGTTTTCTAAATTCTGCTGCAACTGGATGAATTTCAAGAGGAATGGTATCATATTCGGAATCTCTGCTGGGATTATGATTAGGAGGAATGCTCGTATGAGAGTGATGATCATCGGAGGCAGCAATTGCTGAATTCATTTTCTATGATGATTGAATTCAATATTTACAAACGGTACTACTCTATTGCAATAAATTAGAAATTATTGTTGATAATAGGATCAATGATGATGTGGTCTTTTTTTTAATAATAACTGTTCGTGCGTGCTTTTGAATTGTTTTTAAAGAAAACAAAAAACATTGAAGTTGTTCGGAGTTGAAATTCACTCCACGTGTTCGTCAACATGCATTTGCAAAAAACTATTGAATCAATCCGCCCTCAATGAATGATTGTACAGTGTCAATGATGGTCTTGTCGGCGGAAATAAATTCATTATATTGGTTGGAAAATGCTCGCAAAAACTTTTCATTGGAAAAGTTCAACATCTTGTAGAGACCTTCTTCTTCATCCATTTCATCCTTAATAATGAGTGGAGGTTTCACTGCAAGATTTGGAAAATGTTCACAAATAATTCTACTCATTCGAATCCATTGACATTTTTCACTCACCAAAATAAAGCGATGACCATTGACATGGGGTTGAGTGAGGGCAAGACAATGCGCTCGAGCGACGTCTCTCACATCGACAATGCTCATTCCGTCGGCTTTGGTTGTTGTTCCAAGTGAATGGTCGTGAGGATACATTTTAGATTTCATGATGAGGTTGTAGAGAAGTTTACAACTAAAATTTAAATTCACTTGTGCATTGTACTCCTGAAAAGAGGGTAGTGTTTCACTCTCAGTGCTATTCAAGTTGTCATTTTGATGCATGGCATTTGGGTAGTTATTGAGATATTTCAAATGAAGTGGAGGTCCCAATATTAACACTGGATTTAAGCTCACCAATTCCACTGTACATTTTTCGCGTTTGTTGATATTCAATTCATCATTATCTTGAGTTTTTACAAGTTCTTGATGCCATTTCCAAGCTTCTCTTTCAGCCATTGTTTTACTGAATGCAAATGGATTATTGGTGATTGTCGATTTTTCATTCCAATCCATCTCAGTATAGACTTGTCCGAACACTCTTTCTGCAAAACCAATCAATGCTCCTGTACTCGAAGTAACCACCACACGCTTGATGTGTTGGCCATACTTTTTCACAGAATTTAAAACATTTCTTGTACCACTCACAGCTGGAATGAATAATTTTTCTTCAGCATCTTGAGCCGATTCAAGAGTGGGTGTCAAATAAAACGGACAAGCTGTATGAATCACGTACTGTGATTGAGAAATGGCTTCATCAAAAGATCCCTCTTCTAAAAGATCGGCTTTGAATAATTTCAAATTTTCTCGAGTGGCATTTGGTAATTGAAACAAGTGATGAAACTTTTGCGTGATGGTCGGATTTGTAGATTCGGGATCGTGTCGTATGGTTCCAATCACTCGGAATTGATTTGTTTCAAGTAATTCTCGTACAATATGAGAGCCTAGATATCCGTTGGCACCCGTTACACAAACACATTCTTTGATTGTGTTATCAGCAATCATTGTACTCTGTTTTGAATATGTCAGTAACAATTATTGTTGAATCATGATTGATAAACCACGCTGGTAATTTCGTACAGAATTTTTTTTAGTTTACAACAACGGATTCCTTCCGAACACTTCTTTTACGAATTGACAGTCGTGCTGGAAAACGAATGCAACGTAACCTTCATTTTGAATGAGCTGGAAAGATTCGTTCTGTTGCATTCGCTCACTCTTTCATTCCCGAAATTGAATAATCTTGTTTGAAAACGAATTTAAATTGAAACATTCGAACTTTGGCGTTTTCTTCAGCACCTTCAAAAAAATTATTCAAAAATGATCTCTCCTTCTCCGACTCGAAATGATGATGAATCTTCCAACAATCAAACGAGTGGTAGTAGTAGTAGCACTGTTGAACCGACCAACAACAAGTTCTTGAAACATATTGGTATCCTCTATCATTCGGAAAAGATTAAACAAATTGCATCCCAAATGTTTAAGAGATTGCGAGAATTAGATCTCTCTCAAGTCTATGCAAGCAATATTGGTAATGGTTCCGCAGTGATGGAAGCTCAACATGAAGAAGAATTGAGCAGAATGCTAGGTGCTCTGTATGGTCTTTCTTGGGGTGATGTTGCTGGTTGCCCTGTTGAGGGTTGGCACTCTCAGCAAGAAATTGAGAGCCTCTTTGGAGATGATCAAGTATTGAATTTATTTGATTTTGGAAAATTAGTGGAACGAGATGAGAATGGTCAATATCGATTGCAAAATGTATTTGAGGAAGGTTGTGACTCGTATAAATTTCCAAGTGATGAGTTGATTCAAATCAAATCTCAAGAGTTGGACCATGAATCCAATGTTAAAAAGTATAAGAGAAAAAAGTCACCTTTTGAAATGTTTTTGGGGAAATGCAGATTTCCTGGTATTCATAGCGATGATACTCAACAAGGAATGGCTCTCATCAATTCCATGATTCAATACACTGAGTTGAATGAAAATGGTGAGAAATACTTTGGAGATTTTTGGAGTGAATGGCTTGTCAAAGCATTTGAATGCACTACTTGCAAGTATCCCATCACCTCTAAAGAGGAACGAGAAATTATTGGCCAAGGAGTTCAAGCTTTTCGTGATTATGGTGCAAATAGCTCGAGAGCTTTCAACAACATGAAGAAAAAAGTCCCATTCAATGAAGCAGGAAGCAATTCAAGCGGAATTGGTGGAATCATGAGAGGAGGAGTTGCCACTGCATGTTTTGCACTTTTTTCACACTTGAATGACGATGCTCTCGTTCTGAAAAAGCTTGAAAAGTTTGCATGTGAACAAAATTTCACCACCCACGCCACCATTGAAGCCGCAGCCACATGTTTTGCCACTTCATTATGTGCTTACAAATTTATGCAACTAGGTCCGGAGAGAGCAATTGAATGGTTACTGCAACATTTGGTTGAAAAAGTCAAACAGGTTGAAGACACATGGTGGAACGAACGTGGTGAAATTTCATACGAGAAATCAGAAGAAGAGGATGAAAACACAGATGAGAATGCGTCAGCCGTGGAAGGGAGCTCAGAAAGTACCTCCTCCAACACTCAATCAAAGAAATCAAAGAAGGATGCCGCATCTAAGAAAACCAAGAAATCACGTCCAGGCACGGCTTCAAGATTACCAGAAAATCAACTGAAATGGAAAATCTACAAAAGTCTTCCTTCACACAATGCTGCGTCCGAGTGCTTGGAAGTATTGTTGTGTATTATCAAGAGTTTGAGAGGAACCGAGAAGGAAGCTAGCATGCTTTTCGAGTTGCGAGAAAAGATTAGTGAACTCGCAAGAAAATACAAACCAGAAAAGAAGCACATGCGAGCTCATGTGAATCAAGGTTTCTGTTTACTTGCTGGTATGCATGCTATTTGTTGTAGCTTGATTCCTGAGAACCCTGAAATTATTTACCATTGTCACAAGAAGAATCCACAAACAGATCCCTCTCCTCAAATTGACAACTCACAGAACGATGTCATGAAACAATTCCCTAATCTTGTGTTGAGATCCATCATCACTCTAGGTTACGACACAGATACTATTGGAGCCATTGCTGGATATTTATTAGGAGCAAGATTTGGAATGAAATGGATTCCAGTACAACTCTTGTTCGATTATGAACGAATTCGAGATGAATATGCATCGAGATTGGTGAAAATTTACAAAATGAAGAGAAATTTGCTCTTGACAGAGAATGAAGATGCAACAAGAATAACGGTTGAACCTTTGGAAGATTATCTTGCACATGAACAATTCAACACCTTAATTGGTGAGTTCTATCAACATGGTATTGTTGATCGTTCCATTCCTTTTGTTGTCACTGATCAAAACAAACACATTTACGGAAATAGCACGAGCAGAGTTTCTCTTCATTCATTGGAAAATAAGAAGTAATGACATTCATCAATAAACACCAAACATATAAAGCAGTTAAACAATATGGATTTTTCTGTCTTCTTCAAACCAAGTTGCAAATTTAAATCAAAACACGATGCCAGTTGTAAAAGAAAGAGGGTAACAAGAGAGAACATCAACTGTCAACTGTCAGGTACTGTTTGGTTCTGTAACAGCCCAAAAAAAATTGCGTGCTGGTTGCTGTTGTGATTACCTGATCAATTTCAGCCCGATCTACATTTACCAGCTCGTGTTCATTCACGATATATACAACAATAACAACAACATCATATTATCCCATTACTCAACCCTTCCTTCTTGTACCATATTACTCCATTTAAACAGACTCAAAATTGAGCCATTTTCATTATAATTAAATCAATATCATCAACACCATCAATATCATCATTCGATCATTCTCATCATCATCATTTTCACTACAACATGTCATCCAAAGACGAAGAACGAAAACGTAAAGAAGAAGAAAAAGAACGACAAAAACGCGAAAAGGAAGAAGAACGTAAACGAAAGGATGAAGAAAAAAGAAAACGAGAAGAAGAAAAAGAAGAAGAAAAACGTCTCAAACGAGAAGAAAAGAAAAAATTAGAAGAACAAAAGAAACTCGAAAAGGAACAAAAGAAGAAACGGAAGGATCTTCATTCGAGTTCGGCCACGTCTTTGGATCCATCATCGTCATCGAATAAGAATGCTTCTTCTCCCTCTTCGTCACTCACTCCTGGAACGCAAAGTGACTCGACTGAAAATCTTGGAGGACTCTCTGAATCTGAATTGAATGAAAATATTGAGAAAATGTTGTCATCCATTGGTGCCAAAGATGATGTGAAAATGGCAGTTCGTTCACATCCGCTTACCACGAAATATGTCATGTGGAAAAGTTGGAAAGAAAATGAAGCTGCTCAATCTGGAGAAGGTGCCATTGCAGATATTGAAAAGATTTTAGAAAGATTGAGAAGTCGAGGAGATCGTGAAACTTTGCAAGACATTTTGGTGAAATTGCGTAACTCATCATTGGCTTGGGTGAATAGTTTTATTGATTGTGGAGGAATTAAGATTATTAATGATACATTGGCATCCACAAATTTGTTAAAGAAGACCAAAAATATGGATGATAATACTGTTCAATGGTTGTGTTTGAATTGTTTGAGAGCAATTTTGAATACTGAAAAGGGTTTATCTTCTGTGACACATGACAAGTCGATTTTCTATAACATGGCTCTCTTGTTAGATTCTGATCGAATTGATGTTCGAATTCAAACATTGTTTATTTTTGCAAGTTTGTGTTCGGATGAAAGTGTCTCGGAAGGATACAGAATCATCTTGTCCTCTTTGGAACATTTCAAATTCATTCGAAGAGAGAAACAAATGTTTGAATTTCTTGTCAACAGTATTCAGAACGAAGCTTTCCTTGATGTGGAATATTTAACACATATCATGTTCTTGTTTAATGCCTTGTTGACATCAGCCGACCCCACAGATACCATCACATTGGCCAATCAATTGAATAGTCTCAAATCCATTGACATTATTCGACAACAAACACAGGGACGTCAAATCGATGATGAAGGTTTTCAAGTTCAATATGCCATGTTTGTCGAAGAAATGGAAAATGCTCTTAAAAAGAATATTGTTCAAATCGACACCAATGATCCATTCCAAATTACAGAAAGATTGAAAATGAAAATTCAAGGAACACAATCCATGGAGAGTTTCCTTCGAGTATTGCGACATTTACTCATTTTCACAGACGTCTATTCGGATAAATTCACACTCGAAGAAATTATTGAATTGTGGAAACAAGTCGAGCTTGCTGTGGAAAGATTGGTTCATGAGAGACAATCTATAGTCGATGGAAACAGCAGCAGTATTGAGGACAAACACTCTTCAACACCTGTCTCGAGTCAACCTCATTTATTGAGTCCATTATTGAAAAAGATGAAACATGGAAAAACAATGAATACATCGTTAAATACTTCTGCCGATGTGGAATCGCAAGATGAAAGTTCCGTCATGTCCTCCTCAGTTGCAGAGGAAGTACTTTTAAAAAAGTTACAAACTCAAGAAGAAACCATTCAAAAATTACAAGCCGAATTGAAAGACAAGTTGGAAAAAGAATCAATCATGTTGAACTCTGTGAATACTCTTCAAATTGGTTCACAACAACACGAACAACACGAACAACACACCAACGATGTAGTTTCCATTCAATTAGAAAAGGAAAAATCTGAAAAGGAAATTGAACGTCTTGTTGCCAAAATCAAGACCATCGAATCTGAAAATCAAACCTATCAACGCATGATTTCAGTCTTGGAAGAATCCAAAAAAAAGCTTAAAGAAAAACTCAAAAAACTCGAACAACAAACAAATAGTCCTGTCACAAACTTTTCCACCGATGAATTCTTAAAATTGAAAGAAAAGGCACAACAATTAGAACAATCCATTTCACAATTGACCAAAGAAAATGAAACTCTCAAGAAACAACTTTCACAACAACCCACAACATCCACCACCACGGGTCATCAAGTTTCCAACATTCCACCTCCTCCAGGAATGGGCAATACTGGATTCGTTCCTCCTCCACCTCCTCTTGGCACTAGTGAGAATGACATTCCTCCTCCTCCTGGAATGACTGGATTTGTCCCTCCTCCTCCACCTGGATCAGGTATTCCTCCTCCACCTCCTGGATCAGGTGGTGTCCCTCCACCTCCACCTCCTGGTAGTAGTTCGAGTAGTGAGAATAATATTCCTCCTCCACCTCCTGGATCAGGTGTTCCTCCACCTCCACCTGGCATGGGATCAGGTGTTCCTCCACCTCCACCTGGCATGGGAACTCCTCCACCACCACCTGGAATGACTGGTATGCCACCTCCTCCAGGTGCTTTCATGAATGCTGTCTCGACGTCGACACAACTTCCAAAACTTCCAGAATTTAAAGCAAAATCAAAACTTCGTGCCTTCCATTTTGAAGCTGTTCCCAATAAGAATGTCTCAGAAACATTGTTTTGTAAATTACAACTCATTGATCAAACACATACTATTTTGAGAGATTTAGATACGAGTGAATTTGAAGATGCTTTTGGAATCAAAACGAGTGGTAGTAGTAATGGTAGTTCTACAGGAGCAATGACTGAAACTAAAAAGGAAAAGATTACACTCATTGATCCCAAGAGATCTCACAATATTAGTTTACAATTAGGTTCTCTTCGTGGAATTCCATATCCTAAATTGAAACAAGCCATTATTGAAATGGATGAAAAAGTAGTGACACCAAGTAATATTGGAACGATCAAACAAATTGTTCCAACCGAAGAAGAATCACAAACATGTGTCGATTATGAAGGAGAACGAGATGAATTACAAGTGACTGATTTATTCTTTATTGAAATGCATGGCGTTCCAAGAATGGTTGAACGATGTGAATCATGGGAATTTAAGATGAAATATGATGAAATTATTGGTGGTGTGGAACCAACCATTAAAACCGTTCGAAAAGCATGTAAAGAATTACAAGATTGTGACAAGTTCCACAAAGTTCTTGCCATCATTCTCACTCTAGGAAATTATTTGAATTCGAGCAACAAGAAAGTTTCATATGCTTTCAAGATGAAATCACTTGCTAAATTGAGTGATACCAAAGCTGCTAATGGAAAATCTTCGTTATTGACCTATCTTGTGAAATTTATTCAAGAAAAATATCCAGAATTGGAAACATTTAGTGAAGGACTTTGCAATGTGAATGCTGCAACACGTGTCGTGATTGGATCCATTCAAGATGATATCAAACAAACGAATCAATCCATTGAAAAATTGAAAACTCAAGTGGAAAAAAGTTTGGCTGACACAGTGCCAGGTGATCGATTTTCACACGTGATGGGACAATTTTTAAATTATGCCGCTGAAAAAATCAGAAAGATTGAAACTGAATACAATGAAATGATGAATGATTTGAAGAGTACTGGAGTGTTATTCAATGAGGCAGAGAGTGACATGCAGAAAGAACCTGACAAGTTTTTCCAACAAATTGATCAATTTGTCAAGTCCTTCAATGACACCAAAGAAAAGCTCAGAAAAGAAAGAGAAGCAGAAGAAAAGAAGAAGAAACTTGCTGCTTCCAAGCAACAATCAGCAACGATCAATACCAATGTCAACAAACCACCAGGTTTGGGACGATCACCTTCTTCGAAAACTCCTGTTTCACCAGGTGGTGGCGCCTCTTCACCAAGTGATGACGGTGGTGGTCGTGGTGGATTCGATAAGAAGGGAGCTCTATTCTTGAAAAATGCAGAACTCTTGAGAAAACGAAGGAATACCAAACTTTCGATGGGAGGTGAATTTGATCCATTGGCAAATAGTCCTCAATCTTCTTCCTCACCCAATGACAACAAGTAATAATAATTAAACAATTAGAATTTTCTTATCAAAAAAGTTTAAATCATTGATAAATATATCAGTCCAAGATGATGCTATCGAGTCGTAAAATATTCACTACAACATTAATTGCAGAGAGGACAATGTGTCTTTTCACATCCCATGATTCGAGAGGGATGTTTGAACTAAATTGTTCCTTTTCCTCTTCGCATATGTCGACAGGAGTATCTTGAGAACTCTCACGAAACATGTTCAAAAATGTTTTGGGAATTTCCTTGATAGGTGTTGAATGATTGCCAGGAATTTGAATATACTTCATGGATCCAGCAGTCATCAAATCTTGCATGAGCATGTGAATATGCTGTTGTGCAAAGGTGTCATGCCCTTGATTCTGTTGTTGAGATGAAATAATCATATTATACAGTAACTGTTTGGGTATTCTTAATAATGCTTGAGAAAATAACTTTAACGTTTCGGAAGGTTCGTAACATTTGTTTAACCATTCATCATTGCTTTCAACATTCCCATTTGAATTTTCCAAATCTTGACGATATTGTTGTAAGAATTTTGAAAATTGTGTTTCAAAACATCCTCCTCCAATGACACATGTTAAAAGTTCAATACTTGTGGATGATGACGAATGAGGTGGTTGATTTTTGATGATTGAAATTAAATGCTTCACACACTTGTGAATCTGATATTCTAATTGATCTAACAATTCGTGGTTTAAAGACTTGACAATCATGGTAAAATACGAGATATTGTTGTTGTTATGTAAATTAGAATCATTGAGCTCTACAGTAGATTCCTGAGAATCATTGAATTCAATAATTAAATCACAATGTTGGCCTCCTCTTTTAAAATTCATTTTCACATGACGAATATTTGAACCACAGGAATAGTTCGTGTTAAACTCTTCATCTTGTAGATTTGTAACAATTCCACTCAAGTCTGCCAAATCGATCAAATGATACAGAAGAGTGAGTGACGTATGGTCTCCTTGATTCGACTGCGTGTTCAAATTGCTGGATGAAATATCGTCAATATTGTATTGAAATACTAGAATATTTTTCTGATTGAGCATTTGAATAAATCTTCGCAAATGAGGATAATGAGATAGATCGATAGGTGTCGATTTTCTGTTGTTATTACTTTGTACAACCAATAACAGTATGTGACAATCCAACTTGGAAATGTATGTATTCATGTCATGAGCGATTTGAGACGGCAAGCTATCTTCCCAACAAGCTAAGCTCATAATACAAAACTTGCTCACCATTGATAAATTTGGCTTGGTCTTAAACGAAACGTTTAAATTAAACAAGTTCTCTAAAATGATGGTATTGCTCAATAACCGACTCTCTTCTAATTTTCCAATGTGTTTCATAATTCTCAAATTATATTCTGAAAGTGTTTCAAATTGAGTAAAATTTCGAGATGCCAAACTGAGCCAATTTAATACTAGATTGCTCACAATAGCGTTGTTATATATTTGATTAGCGATTAAGCTTTTGAAAATACTTGGCAATAATTCCATTTGATTTTTTTGATGTAGAGAGATGATGATAGGAATGCACAATTCTCTGTGCACTCGATCATTAGTATGAATATCAAAGATACGAGTATTATTTAACATGTATTCTCCAAAACTGTACAGATCCGAGCACAATTGATGAACATTATGAAATTTCGAAAAATATTCATTCATGATCAAATCCAACAATTCATAGGACAAGATGATGCATGATATTGTTCCATCCATGTATTCACTACAAGCATTGCGGAATAAGGAAACTAAATATTTCATAACGGGGTTATTAATTTTCATAAATTCCAACAATTGATTTCCGTTTTTTGTTATGAGTTGATTCTGATTAGGATCTACAATTAATTTGTATTGACCGCAAGGTCCCAAACACGAGGCTACCATATTCTGTAATTTATATAATTCGGAATGAATAACTTTCCAACATGGATTTGTTTCTTGATGAAATGAAGCTGATGAGAAGAAGGGCGGTGGAGATGCAACAACCATTGCTTCCGATGAGAGAAATTTCAACCCACGACGAAACTGGGAGGAAGCAGAACTTTGAGGTTTCATTTTTTTTATTTACAGTTTTACAAAATTATTTAAAACAGAAATTATTAGTACAATTATTAATATTTCTTCTTACATGACAAGTTCCATATTTTCCAAACGTTTTCGAGCCATTTCAAATCCTAGCTTGGCTGCTTTTTCATAATAATTAAACGCTTGTGAATGATCCACTCCTACAAGATGTCCCTTTTCATGAATTTTTCCCAATAAATACAATGCAAGAGGTGACGACGATGATGATTGATCTCCTCTTTTTTTCATTAATTCATTCAACTTGGAATAGGCATCTTGTAAATATTTAAGTCGTCCAGCAATTTTCACAACCTTATAACAAGCTTCCAAGAATTCGTCGTTACTACTCGAACATGCACGTAAATACCAATCGAGTGCTGTGAAATCCAACGTTGATTCAGGTTGCTCTTCCGTAACGAGAAGACGTCTCTCATACAATTTTCCAATTTCATACATCGATACGGTGTGATTGGGATTGAGAGAAATGGCGTGTGTGAAATGTTGAAGAGCTTTCTGTGGATTGTTTTCAACATTCGAGTTTCCTTTCACATAGAGTGTTCCCATCGTAAATGCTGCATCTGCATTTCCTTTTTCTGCTGATAATTTCAAATAGTTCATGGCTCGTTCCAAATCCACTGGCACACCTCTTCCATACAGATACACAAGTCCTAAATTTTTCATGTCTCCATGGTGAGCAGCTTTGGAATACCATTGAATGGCTTTTTCAGCGCTTTTCTCAACTCCACACGTACCCATGTCATAGATGAAACCTAATTTACATTGTGCAAGGACATTCTCTTTTGAGGCAGCCATTTCAAAATATTGTAATGCTTGCTCGGGGTCAGCTGCTTTCACATCTAATAAACCTTGTTCATAGACAGTTCCGAGTTCGTACAGAGCCATCACGTGATTGTTGAGAGCTGCTTTCTTCAAGTGTTCCAGACCAGTTTGGGCTGGCGTTTGTCCATGATGCAATGCAAGTCGTCCCAATGCATAATCAGCTTCAATATTTCCCAAATTTGCACTTTTCTGATAATAATATGCAGCAGAGAAGAGATTCATTGGTGTACCTTTTCCCATTTCATACATGTGTCCAATTTTGAATTGAATTTCTGCATTGAAACTACTTGCTCTTTTGTAAAACTCCAATGCTACGGTTTCATCGATGGAAATACCAATTTCTTCAAGTCCAAATTCATAGACCCGTCCTATGAACTCGGCTGCATCCGAGCAAGTGTGAGAACATAATTCATAATGTTCAACAGCTTTTTTCAAGTCTCTCGGTGTGCCAACACCATGTTCATACATTTTGGCCACTCGTAGATGAAGATTTGGACGGTTCAAGGTTTTGGCTCCACTTGAATAACATTCAAACGCTCGTGTGTTGTCTTTTTGAACACCCTTTCCAGTCTCATACATGTATCCAACGTATTCGAGTGATTTGTGATCACCACTATTGGCAGCCATAGAATAATATTTGAAGGCCTTTTCATAATCTTTTTTCAAGTAATCTGCTCCGTCATAAAATATCAATGCCACTGTTCGAAGGTCATGACCTGTACCTTTGGATAAATTTTTTGCCAAATAGGTCAATTGTGTATTCCGTCTTTCTATGGCATCTGTGTATTTATGGACTGATTTGTACTTGTGGTTCATGTTAAAATGTTCAACATGTGAAAGCTTGTTGAGTAATCGAAATAATTTCGGGTCTGTAGAGACTATTGGTCTTTGCTCTGTAAAATCAAAATATTTCAATTTTGGAAAACATTCATTCATTTCACACAGCCATTCTACTTGTTGCGACGAGTATCCACAAATGATCAATGCCAACTGTTGCAATGCTTCAAACTTTCCAGTACACAATTGTTGAACGAATGATCGATTGGTTTGACCTCCAATGATTGTCAATGATGTGATACCACAATGAAAGGTTGATAATAATTTTTCATATCGACACGCAATCAAGGTGATGGATTTCCAAAGAAGACTCAATCCATATTTCATTTCATTCTCACTTAGAATTTCATCAAATAAAAATAAATCTCTCTTGGGAGCTTGTAATCCGACTGCAAATCTCCAACATTGACAAGTACAAGCCACTTGTAATAAATCTACATCCTTCAAATAACTCAAAATGTGAGTTTCAACGACATCCATTGAAAGTAAACAATTGTTAATAAATATTCCGTAGTGATGATCATGGTCTATGGGTTCATGTTGATGCTTGGGTATTTGTGATCGTTCGTCCTGTGATTCAAGTTTTCTCTTTTTATTTTCGTTCATTTTTTTGATTGGATTTTTGATTCAAAATAGTGTACATACATTATTCTTCTTGTCCTGAATCAAGAAGTGAATAATACCAAATGGTGACAATGCAATCAACCTGGTATTTTGTTACATCTTGTGGATGCGCTGCTTGACTTTTCATAGGGAGTCTCAAATCCAATTACTCGTTGGCAGTCCTTGCCATTCATCTCATGGCCAAAATAATAGACTCAGCTCAATGCACTCGAGTGTAGACGCGTCCAACAACACTTACATAAAGGTTGATATAAATCTGGTGAACAATGTTTTTGCTGCATCTACTCGAAAACCACTAAAATCCCGAACAACATCATCCGGTTTCTCACATCATCGAATGATGTGATTTGAATTCCAGTTGGCCACTGCCTCAATCAAGCCATAGTTTAAGTCAAAGTCCCATGAAATAATTGTTCATTCACAATGAAAATCCATGACCTCTGGAACATCGTTATAAGGAGGAATTGGTATTTGACTTTGCGATTCCTTAATATAGTGAGTTGCCCATTCCAGTTAGCTCCCCATGTGACCCACAAATTACCGTTGTGTTGATATGGATTTTGATAATCATGCCGCTTCCTGCCTTGTGATGAACGACATGACAACTCCCAAACGACGACAATCTTCGAGAGTATTCATTCGAGAATGATGCTTGATTTAATAACATACCTTTTTGATGGGTGATTTTAAGTAAGGTGTTTCATGCAATTATTGGTTGTCAAAAACGGGCAATAGAGAGAGCACAACATCTTTGTAACTCAACTATTTACAATTTATTTACCATTATTGGAAGGAGTAACATATGTTGCCCCAGTGATAAAATCCGAAAAAGAAGATGGACAAGAGGATATTTTGACCGTCATCAAAAAACTGCTTCCATCTCTGGTCTGGTTCATTGAACCTTTTTAAGTTGAGGAAGAACAATATCGCACTTATCAACATGTAACTCCCGTGAAGAGCGACGTAGACTGATTTTGGCAGATGTACTTGGCCATACTAGACCCCACATAAACGATAATATTTCAGTGCAAGTAATATCCTGGCCAACTAAATAAAACTCTAAAAAACAACTACTCTTACCTGTGCCATCTCTTTTTCATGCCTTTCTTTCTTTCTTTGCTCTTCGTTTTGCTTTCTTTGCTCTTCGTTTTGATGTGCTATTTGCCTTCTTTGCTCTTCGTTTTGATGATATTTCATTTCTAGATACTTCTGCTGCAACTCCAGTTCTCTCATCTTTTTCGCATGTTTTTCTTGCTCCGAAAGGCTTTCGTTTCCCCGGGACAAGATGTGTGAGCCTTGATTTTCGTGTTCGCTAACCTCAAACTGAATACTCTCGGGATCAAGTATTTCGTTTAAGATCATAGTTGTGTTTTTTTGTTTTATATGGTTTTGAATAGGTGCTGCGTTCTTTAAAGGTTTTTCTGTCATTTTTTGTTAAGGCTCACCTTGTAGTTGCATTGGTTGTTGAGGGCGGGAACATTGTGCAAAAGCCTTTGTGGAAGAAAGTACACCATTAGAGGTCAAGATTCAACCTAACGTTTAAGGACAAAGAACCAGTATGAAACGAATAGGGATGGAGATTACATTCACCCTCACTCAGATTTCATGATGGATATTCACACAACAGTGCTGAACTCGCATCCATCCTTACTTCTATTCATCTTCTACCGAACCGCTCCAAAGCAACCATCCATACAGACAGTCAAGTTGCAATCCAAGCTTTGAAAAAGAACTGTCAAGGACGATTCCACCTCTTCTATCGAGAATTTCAGAAAATAATTAGAGCTAGAAGTCTTCAAATTTCTCTAAAGAAAGTAAAGGGACATAAGGACCCTGAGAATATCAAGGTGGACGCTTTAGCCTGACAAAATCTCTCACAACCCACAATTTTCGACATCAGACCACTCTTTGGCAAACAACGACTCCTTACCAAGACAGGTATCATCATTTTCAATCAAAGAGAAATGACACGGACCTTTCACAACAAGAAAAAGACAACAAAATTAGATGACAATCCCAACCTCATTGATCATGTTCATCGAAAATCCCTCAATATTAGATTCTTGAAAGCGAAAATCTCACCCAATTACAAGTATGCAGTCTGGAGAAATATTACCGACTCTCATTTAAGACACTTCACAGGCTCCTATTGCCCTGACTGTGAAGTCGAGTCCAATCTCCACCACTACATACATGAATGTCCGAAGCTTGACCCTGCGAGATACTTCTGTGAAATGAAGATCTCTTCTTTGATTTCCCAACCATGTACAATCATTGACTCGAATTCGTGGTTTAATCCACGTCGTCCCATTTTCTACGTCCATCACTCCGGTTTCCTACCTCCAGATAGTGATGCGATAAGGCACGTCCCAGCTATTGAAAGGAAATGGCCTGAAATCCAAGTACTGTTAGCCCTCTTCGTTGGCAGATGCCACAAACAATATTACTTAGACGAAAAAGGGCCTTCGGCCCCTAGTTAGAATCCCACAAATACTACTATTCTGACAAGATTGAAGACTAAGGACCTTGTTCTTAGTTGGAATCGGTGTACAAACACCTCAATAAATTTTTTGATGTGTGTTCATCGGAGAGAGACTTTAATTACTCACTCCGAACCTCAGTATTCATGAGTGTAGTGTAAGCACTACTTGTAAACTTACCGCCAACCCAAATAACCGTTACTAAGGAAAAAATTCTTTACTTCACCCTTAAAAAAATGTCCATTTCCAGATCCTCAACGGAACCTGCTTTGCAACCTTCCACACCTTTTGGATGGTTTATAAAAAATAACTTCCACCATGAGATATTCTGCGAAACCGACAACCGCTTCACTGTGAAAGAAATTCTAACACAGCAGGAGAAAACACGAGGAAAAAGAGTGGTTGTGGAAACTACTCTCATTACTGATATAGACAAGAAAAGAAGAAAGGTTCCTGGTTGTGATAAGGAGTGTAACGAATTAGCATTGATGTACCAAAAGGAGCTTTTTGAAACGAAAGTAGTTGATGTTCAGGGCATTTCTGAGAAGGCTGATGATTGTTTTCGTTTCCATCTGGAACAGATGAAAAAGGAGATGGATGAGAAGATCACTAATAATAAGAAAGAGTATGAGATCCAGATTAGTGCTGTTGAGCAAGAGTGTGAAGAGAAGATCAGGAGTATAAAGAAAGAGTGTGAGATCAAGATTAGTGCTATTGAGCAAGAGTGTGAAGAGAAGATCAGGAGTATGAAGAAAGAGTGTGAGGATGTGATCAGGACTAACAACCAAGAGTGTGCTGAGAACTTCAGGGGTGTAAAGACAGAGTGTGAGATCCAGATTAGTACTATGGAGGACTTGCAACAAAACCATGCCAATGAAATCCAAGAACTGAAGTCAGATCTGGGGGTATGAAAGAGGAATTACACACTATGGACTAAATTTCGTTAAGACTGTTTGGTCGGTATTAATGGCTAATTTAGCTCTCTTCTGAACATTCTCTGAAGTCTGAACCTCCACAGCAGCATTCAGGAAAATTACCTTCAATTATGGCACCAAAGTAAAATCCTAAACTAAAACGTTGGTTAAGCTGTAATAACTGTTGATAAACTGTTCGTCGGTCACCCATTCTCGTTCGATCATTTCATCTCGGATGATGACCACATTCACAACACATCCACTGTAAATTAATTAAGCCACAACAATAATAGAATGATGTCATGATGATCCATTCGGTCCATACATTGATCTTTCTCACTTGATTGGTTGGTGAAGCATCAGAGGAGCCATTTTGATAGAGAACATGTGAAATTGTCGGTGGTACTAAGCTTGTTGTATTTCATGGTAGATCCTGTTGGAATACTCTCTACACTCAATGAGCTTGTCATAAATTGACTGCCAATATCACAAAATACGCCACTCCAAAGAACAGATCCTATTGCTAATAACACAGGTAGAAGCCAGTTTCTTCTGTACAACATTGACATGATGGCAACTATTGTCAAAATGATATACGGAAACAATTCGTTTGATTCTCCTTTGGCATCATGGTTCTTCTTTTTTCTTGTCTGGACTTTCGAGAAGAAAATCTTGCTACTGAAGAACAAATGCAATACCGCTGCTTTTTGTGCATGATCGAACTACAGAGGAGCTGTCTTGCTGTCGTAATCATACATAAACAGTCCCTTGGCAAGATACAAAATAAATCCAGGTATCGAGAAGATAACATTCCTCCAGTCATTCCATATTTTGGTATTGCATGAACGGTTCATGCATTTTCGTAGCATGTTGAATTTTCAGATTCAGATTCTTTGTGACGGTTTAGCTCCACTTCTTAAAAGTCCCCCTCACGTTTGTAATGATCTGTGATTGATAAGGATTTCGACCCCAGGAACCTTGATAGAAGCGCTGCTTCCTACGACACCAAGAGAGGAACATCTAGGTTGTGATTCTACTTGCAGAGTTAACCCAATTGGATCCGGATCTTGGAAGTGTATAAACAGGCCTCGTAATAAATTTTTTTGATTGTATTTGAAGCATAATCTATTGAACTGCAACAGTAATGAATAATTGTCAAAAAAACTTAATTTTATGACTTTAAGGGGAAAAAAGTGAGAGAAAGTTAGCCGTAATACTATACAATAATACATTAGAGGTAGTGCTCAGAAATGTTGAGGGTGGTTGTGACAGTATTTACACAGAGTGAGGTTGTTATAATACGATACAGAAATAATGAGACTCTCATAATTTACATGAACGGGGAAGTGGTGGAATTAGAGCAGTTGCTGGTACTGCTTGATGGTCTGAGTAGGATTGAATCATCAAGTATGACTGACGACACCAGAGTTGGAGTACAATCTGAATCAATGTCTGTAATTGTGACGGTGGCTGTGGTGCTACTCGGCTTCCCAATAACTTGAACTGCAGGCGAGGTGGGAGTGAGAGGACGAAGTGGGCTCGTCACATTGAAAGGTGTACTTGGTAATCGGCCTTCGTCGTTGAGTTTTTTAAATGCTGCCACCAGAGCTGACTTTGGGAATGCCTTATTCTGATTTTGAATGATACCAATAATGTTTTGCAATTCTTCTTTTGCCTTCTCTTCTGGAGATGAAAAATCGAGAGGAGGCAGGGTTGCAGCATTGGACGATGCGTCATTGATGGCATTTTGGACAACTCCCTCAAAAGCATGATCAAGTTCGTCATCATTGTGATATCGGTTGGTAGAAGGAAGGCGTTGATACTCATTTGAAGCTCTGGCAGAACGAGAAGTGTACGAGTCATCATCAAAAAAGTTATAGTCAATGGAAGAGCTTATACCTCCTGATTTGAGAGAGGAAGAGAATGGACTGTGATGGGATTCTGAAAGTGCTGAAGTATTTGTGTTACTAACAGTCGAGATATGGATGCTACTTGAGACCTCTGCACTTGTTTCAGTGTGAACATCTTCACTGAAATAATTTTCTTTCACAAATGATGACAAGGAAGATGACAAGGAATGAGTACTGGATTGAAGTGCATGACTTGAGTGGTGATGGTGGTATGAAGAATGATGATGATTCTGGTAGTGGTCGTTATTTACACTGTGATGAGAATGCTTGTTGTTTTCAGAATGAGCATTATGATGGTGGTGGTTCGCCTGTGTGACACGGATGGGAGTTGGTTTTGAAGGTGCCCTCCTGTTGCCATTGTCATCCACACATTTCAACCTATTCACCAAATGCTTGTGATACTCTTGCAAATGCGATACAGAAATACCAAGACTTGATGCGAGTTGTTGAAGAGTATTCCTTCCATTATGCACTGCTTTAAGAAGGTCATTATCGGTCAAACCTCTACTCGACAGTGTTCTTGATATCAGCTCCAAGTTGATGGGCTCTTCCTCCGTGGTTGGAGACAAAGCAGTACTATGAGGAGCCTTTGCAACATTGTTGTTATTCGAGCAATAAGGAAAGAATGTCGTAATGAACAATCTCTTCATGCTGCTCGCTCTCTTAATTGTATGCAAGAGGAGTGTGTTGTCGCTGTTGTTGTCTTGCAAGAAAGGTCTAACGATGAATTTGTCCCAAGAATCAAACGTCGGTTTAAAGTCTTTTTTTAAATCTGTGTTAGTTCTGTGTGTGTCTTGTATGATGATGTTGGCCCGATGCAGTGATGAGATTGGGGAGATACGAGAGAACAACAAGAATAAATTTAGGCAAAACAACGTTGCAGAAGAGAGAGGGCAATCAAAATTCCAAGCTTTTCTTCGTTGGATACGAGTTTGTGGAGATTTTCAGAGACTCGGGCTTTGATTTGTTGTTCAAGTGATGAGAATCCTTGAATTGAATCAATCATCAAGCCTTTGACGACTGGTTTCCACTCCAAGAAATCTCAATGCTGCAGCTCTCCGAGTGATGCACCAAGAAGAAACTTCTTTCACTAGTGAACAACACCTTGTATGGCCGTTATTGGATTAAGAGGTCAATCCGAATGGGGGCTTGTTGCAACAAGAACAACCAACCAACCAATAACTATTGTTGTTTTTTCTATGGTTGAATGTCCAATGGCAAACGGTTTTTGGCGCCAGAAATATGGTTGATTTGAATTTCCAAATTAATCGAATGTCTTTTATTATCGTCAGTCATGATAAACGCCATGAATACGTCACACTCACCAGTGCTAAGTGTGTGAGAAGTGAAATTGTGAAATTTACAAATGTTGATTCCAATTGAATGCAAGATTGTAAATGCATTGTTGTAAAAACCCTTCTTACAATTCCTTACTGTTGATTCTTCGAACAAAGAAGAAGAACCCGATGAGCTCGATACTTCTTTCATGTACATACTTCCTTAGACGACTAAATGTAATAAACATACATTCCTTTGGAACACCAGAATGCACGTATTGGAAACCACAAGTCAATTAAAGACACAAGATGCAATTTCCAACTTTCAAAAAATGATTCAACAACAACAACCTCAAGATTCACTCTCCCAAAATGAACATCCTTCTCTGGTCTTGATGAAACAATGCCAACTCGGAGTGGAAGATATTATTGAAGAATTTGATCACCTTTTAGAAAATGATCGGATTTTAAATGTTTATATTTACGGGAGTAGACTCTATGGAAAAACTCCAACTAAGAATTCTCATCATGCTGGAAAATCCAAGAGAGCCAATTCATCAAAGAACAAGAGTAATGAACCATCAGATTTCATCTCCTCAGTAGAATCCTCTCCAAATGAAATACAACCGTATTATACAATCACACCTGACACCGATTTTGATATCATGATGATTTATGATTATGAAGAGGACAAGACGCCGTCCAAACTCACCTTTCTGTCCAATCAGAAAGAAAATAAGAATAGTGAATTCTTTCAACTATTACTTCCGAAATATAAACAACAATATGGACATTTACCATTTACTGAGATGATGAAAAAAGATCATACGATTTATTACAAATTTACACAAAAACGATTTGGATTGGACATGTGTCTGTATTCAAAAGAACAATTTATGAATCAAGTGAAAAAACATCAATTTTCAGAGCTCATAGGTCTGTTTCTAGAGAAGAGTTCTGAAGATTATCAACAATTTATTTTGAGAAGGAAATTTAATGTACTGGAAGAATTTACAAAACAACAGGGAACTATTAATTTATCAGTATTACGAAGTTCATTAAGTCAATCGGCAAGCATGTGCTGGAAATGTTGCAAATCCATGTACGAACATCGATTAGAATTAGATCCTCCCGAAATTGAAATTTTCAAAGCGAAAAAAACAGTCATTCACACCTTGAGAGTGTATCATTATGGAGTTCAAATCGCTCAAAATAATGGTATTACGGATTGGCATGCTTGTGATAAATACTATGACGATCTTTTAGGTACCAAAGACAAGTATCAAACATGGAGAGAAATGTCCAAAGTTTATGGACCTATTCGTCTTCAACTTCATGAACAATTTAGAGCTTGCTGTCCCAAAGAAGATGAAGAAACAAACTCTAATCAAGATGATGCAATTGTTTAACAGATACGAAAGAGTTTTACCTAAATTCTTGAATTGACAAAAAGAAAGACGGGCTGTTGAAGTTCACACACAACATCTCAAATTGTACAACTCTTGTCGCATGTCATAACACGCCCCAAAAAAAATGTTCTTCAAACGCTTGCATTCCAAAGCGAACAGTGCCAAACACCAACCACTCCAAGACGACGAAGAAGCCTCTTCCTCCCCCTCTTCATCATCGTTATCCAATCCATCTCGCCAACAAGTTTCCAACAATGAAAATCATTTATACAAGGACCAATCCGAAGAGTTTTCAGATGAATTGTTAACAGTATCTTCTCCTTCATCATTATCCAATCGAATGCAATCCGCTCTCAAAGTACGTTCTTCTTCGGAAGATGGTAGCAATGGTAATGGAACTACAAAAGAAAAACGAAAGGCAGTTTCGTTTCGAGATTTGAAAACATCTCATAGATCTGTCCATGGTGAAGAAGAGGAATCGTCATCGAATGGTATGAACAGTTCTCGAACGGAAATGATGAAAAGTATCGATGACCAAGAACAGGTCATTATTGTTCATGATGACCATACTCATGATGACTTTGACACTTCTCCAAATACGGTAAATTCACTTCAAAGTGAATATTACATGACACACAGTGGAAATCAACGTTCCGCTCGTGATCGTCACTCCATCGATGAAATTGCCATGCAACCAAAAATCATCATGTCTCGTCAAAGTATTCGTTTTTTGAAAAGTGTCATTCCCAAAAAACGAGAAGAACGAACTTGGAGACATAAATTATATCTCGTGATGAATCAACCTCAATCGTCACGATTAGCAACGATTGTAACCATATTTGTGAGCATTGTAGTGCTCATGTCAGTCATTGTATTGATTTTGGAATCGTATGCCACGTTGTATCAATATGAATTGATGTGGTGGATTGTTGAGTAAGTTATGAGAGATGTGGTTTTTTTTGATTGGATCATTCATTGAAATGTTCAATCATTCATGATTTATGATGATGATGTCATCCATTTGAAATTATGAACAAATTTATTTACATTAATTTATTTTACATTTTCAAAATAATTTATATATCTACTCAACTCTCATGTTCACACACATTCATTTTAATTTTGAATGAAATACATCCTGAAACACTTGATAGAGGAATTTTAGCCTTCTTCTTCTCTATTGAATACATTTTAAGAATGATTGGAACCATTTACACATGGCGAGATTTTCGAGACTTCTTTTTACGAATCATGAACATTGTGGACTTGTTGAGTTTCATGCCCTTCTATGTGGAAGTTGTGTTGTATTATATTTTCAAATTTACACTTGGAGAAAGTCATTCCATTACTCTCATGGTCATGAATTTACAAATTCTTGGCGTGTTCCGAGTATTGAGATTGTTAAAATTATTCACACTTTCGAAACATTCCATTAAGGTGAAATTATTATTGACAGCCATGAGAAAGTCTCTCGATTTACTCTTTTCTGTCATTTTCTTCATTTTGAGTGCTGTATTTATATCAGGAACAATGATTTATTATTGTGAACGAGGAGTGTATGATCACACACGGAAAGAATTTGTTCACATTTCTTCAGATGGTAAAACGACAGAAATTTCACCATTTTCCAATGTCTTGATTGGAATGTGGTATTCCATTGTGACCATTACAACAACTGGATATGGAGATTATGTACCAAAGAGTACATTGGGACAATTCGTTGCAGGTTGTACCATTGTGTCGGGTTTGTTATTTGTGGCATTGCCATCTTTGATTATTGGTCGAACGTATAGTGAAGTGTTGCATCAATATGAATTGCAAAAAGCTCAAATTGATTCTCAAATGGAGTATACGATGGAGGATGGGTCAAGTATGAATGATCTCTCATCTTCATTATTCGATCAACAAGAGACTCATGAATTCGATCATGAGGAGACTTGGGCAAGTGTGATTGGTTCTGGTATTGATGAATATGCCAATGATCATAAGGGTACGCAGGGCGATGCGAGAACATCTCTCGATAGTGTACGATCCGTGTCGTCGTCATCAGCATCAACAACGTCGAGAGAGGCAGCAGTGAAACGTTCAACCTTGGTCGACTTGTCCTCTGCAGAATTGACCAATGAGGAGTATTCGCAGTTGGATCAAGCTTCCGTTTTCAAATTGTTGGACGAGCAAGATAAATTGTTGCAAGAAACTGTGAGACGTATTGAAAAAACAAGGCGTTTGATTGCATTGGCGAAACGAAAAGCTTCCATTGTGGATGACTGAAGAATTTCAAATAGTTTTACAACAATAACCAAACGTTTTTCACTGTGTAGAAAAATTTATTTATCGCTCAAAAGGTGAACCTAGATGTAATAATTGAATGTAAATAATAGCAGTCATAAAAGCTCAATATGTCTTATTATTCAACAAAGCTTTCAAGTTTTTGAATAATTTTTTGAAGTGTAGCTTTCTTCTTCTTGATGGTTTCCATAATTGCTTCGGTATCTATTTGGCTTAATCCTTCAGAAAGTTTCTTATTTAATTCTTCAATTTGCTTTGATTCTCTTTCTGCAACGGTCTCTACTTGTTCCTCATCATTGATATTTCTGATATCTTCATCGGAAAGGAATGTTGTTTCGGCAAGTATTTTGGCAATTTCTTCTGAAAGTTTAGGTGTTGTTGAAGCTTCTGCTTGTTGTGCAGGAACTTCTACAGGAGGTTGTTGTTGATTTTTTGGCTTTCTCTGTTTGAGTTTCAATCAAATCGTAAATGTGGTTGTGTAATTATTGTCACAATTTCATTTTTGAATTTTCAATCATCAAATTTCACAAGTAACCTGTAATAAATACTTACACCTCGTTTCTTTTTAGCCGGTGTTCCATTAAGAGTTGTTGAAGTAACAACGCTTGTGGCCTTTGTTGGAGTATTAGGTTGAGTAGGAAGTGAAGAAACAGCTGCTGCATTAGAAGAGCTTGCATCCAAATTATATAATGTGGATGATTTTGATGGGGAGTGAGAGAGTGTCTCCGATATCATGGTACCAGATGATCTCTTTCTTCCACGGCCTCGGCCTCTTCCTCTTCCAGAGCTAGCTCTTCTTGGTGTTGTTGCCGGTGTTGGTTGTGAAATTGGTTGTTGTGGTATTGATGTAGAACGCTTCACACGATAATGAGCTTCATTGTCATTGTCACTCTCAGTATCACTTGCCACAAGAGAAAAGTCGAATCGATTATTTTTATCCTCAGACTCTCGATCAATTCTGTGTGTATCCATTTTTCCAAAATAGTGTACGAATAATTTAATATAATTGGCCAGCATTGATCAACCGAGATTGTTTAAATGAATATTGATGCCAATATTTGAGATGATTACAAGGAGTCAACACAGTGTTCAAGAATATCAGTTCAGTTCATAACAAGCAAATCCATATGAGATTGAAAATAACAATTTCACATATTGTACATACATGCCGTATACGCCCGATTGAGCAACTTGTTGAATTTTAACATCAGCCTCACAACGAAGTAATTCCATCGAGTGTCTATTCGTAGAAATGTGTAACATTTGTTGAAGTTGTGTAAGGACTTTAAGTTTTTCCCAATTCATTTCTCCTTGTGCACGAAAAGCACTCACAACACTACCATAAGCATTAATTTCTGTTTGTGTTGTCGTGTGTGTGTGATCATACACGTACAACAATATTGTCATACAAGTTGTTGTTGTTGTTGATGTGGGGTAATCCAATTTAATCATCATCATCATCGAACAATTATATAATTACCTACCATAGTGCCTCAACCTTTTTACTAGCTGCTTCTCAGAAAACTTAATTGGTTCATCAATCAACATTTGATCTCCCTGTTGTTGTTGTTGTTGATCTTGGCTTACATTGGACGATCCCAAAAAACCAGTTGATGGTGCTGTGGTTTGATCAATTGTGCCTGCTGTCGTTGGTGTTACTCCTTGGTTGTCAGAAGAAGAGGAGCCTCCCACCTGCGTAGGTTCAAGGCTTGTTGATAGCAACGTATCCAAGTCATCATGACCCTCAGGAACATGATGATTGTTGTTGGTTGATGATGCGGCAGCGAGTGTGCCAGGCTCGAGTGAAGTCATTTTTTTGATTTGTTTTCGAAAAAAAAACGTTTGTTTTGTAAATCCTTTGAATAATCTCTGTGGGGCTTATTTCGAAGCGTGCGTTGCTTTAATTCTTTCAATAATCTCAACACTTGTTTGAATGGTTGGCTAAACGTGTGGGCAGTTTGAAGGTTTTGTTTTCTAGAACGGATTTCATGTGTTGAACGTTGAACGCCGGATACACAAGTATGGGTTGAGTTGAATTATAACCCTTCTTGAATATAGTTGAGTAAGAAAGAATTGATGATTGAAGAGTTCTTCTTGACTATTTTCCACTCTCTTTGTGTACAAAAATAGTCAATAATATTTTTAAATAGTATTAAATCTCGTTGTAAAGTATTTAAATATCACTACATGCACCGACAATTAAAGAATTATTGCACGCACATCGCACCGCTACCACCTATTAAGACTAGCAAACCTCAAATGCTGAAAACAGTATTCAAAACCTCACATGGTTACATGCAATCTCATCTCCAATATATCAACACGACAAAATCATTAATAATATTAACGATGAATTCAAATAACACAAAGGAATCCTTTCGAAATCATCCAAACATCCAATGATCGAGGCAAGAAAAAAAGAGGAAGACCAGAAGAAGAAGATGTATCCGTATGTGTGAGCATGTTCATTCTCCTTCTAGGCTCCCTCTCTTTTTCTTGGCTCTTGTTCTCTCAATCCTTTTCACATATTGTTGAATTGAAACACACACACATGAATATTGTGTATATCTATTCGGTAGTAATAGTTGTCATAGTCATTTTGAAAATAGTTCATCATCAAGATGATGTTCGACGCTGTCATCAATCAATAGGAAACACACATGTGAAGATAGTGAAGAATCATCAAATGGATTGCTCCTGCGCACATGCAGGAATAGTGTCAGTAACAATTCGTGTGTGCAACAACATATATTTCGATATTTCGTCATGAACCCAATGACCCTTCCATCACTCGTCCGTGTTGGTTGGCATGTGACGTTGTCGTGTTGCTAGCTCATGCAAACACCTCTCTCAAAACAACATTCAAAACAAGCTTACCTTTCATTTCATCATTGCAATTTTTTCAAACTCACGGACGGGAAGACAAGTGCGTGTTTTGGAGAGAATCATGAATTGCGCGTCTTCTAGCATTTGGTACAGTTCATCCTATCGATTTTGAAATGTAGTAAATTCGAATGATGTAGAAAGAATCATTGGGTCTAGGAGTCGAGCTCGGTACCGCGAAAGATGGTGTGTGAAGGCTCTATCGTGAAAGTGACTGACAACGGTTAAATGCAAAGCATCTCCAAAATTGGAATTTCATGAAATTATTCACACAGAAGGTTTTTCCAATTCTTGAATTCACATGAGCATTTTCGATTACGATGGTGTGTTCAAGTTTGTCGTTATCATGTTTGCAAAGGACTTGAGAATTCTTCATTGCTAGCATGTCGAGTCATGTCTTGTGTGTGAGTGAAATTGCCACTCTGATGCTCCTCGTATCTCTCTCCAAGAATTCAAAGTGCGTGTCTCGAGAAGAATCAAGTTTGTGTTTTTTTAGATTTTTGCAGTTGGAAGTTGTCGTTGTAGGCTGATTGAGTGAATAACAAAATTTTGCATTTTGTTAACGACACAATACTGTGTGTCCGCAGCACGTGACACCAGTGGGTTTAGCGGTGGTGTTTGTGAATCTTGAGAAGGTGTTAGATTCGCGCGTAATCTGTTGTTGTTGTTATTGCAATCTAAAATCCTTATTGACATGCACTTACCATCTTGACACCAATGTGTGAGGAAAAACATTATCTATGAGGGTGTTCAGTTGACCAAATTTCGATTAGGCAAGTGCTCATATTAATAATTAATGTCATATGAGAATCATGTGTCTACAAGTTGTAGTGTGGTTACAAACGTAGACGCTGACACTCTAGACGTGTGTGTTTGTTTTTTTTGGAGGTGTTGGAAAGTTAACAAGAGACATGAAATTGTGGCAAGTGCTTTCAAATTTGAAAGTGACAAGTGTCGAGTGATAGGTTGCTAAAAAGGGACATTGCTCCCTTCATTTTGTGTGTGTCATGCACAATGATCCTTTCGAGTGTGTACCGTTTAATCATCTACAGCTTTATTTCAACCAGTTTGAAGAGTGGAGCGTCGTTGCTTGATTATTTCAAGTTGACACTAAGGAGAATTATATGATTTGCTACTGTATTGAGGATTTGCAAATTATCTCTCCATGTACCTCTAGGAGTCAATGTTGATTCATGCATTGACATATCTCAGCAGTCTTTTTCGTTTCAACACGCCATTTTGAATAATTGTCAAGTGTTACGATTGAAATGGAACAAAACGACAGAAATGATACCGAGATTCCTTACCCTTGTTGAAGTATTCGCTCACTTTGCTACCGGAGATGTTTTCATCATCAAACATCTGTAGTCATCTCCCATCGCATGACGAAACATCAACGCACTTATTCATCAAAGCTGGGGATTCATGTGGCACCACCTAAGAATTCTAATAAGGTTGTAGAAAAAAAATTATTTACAAAATTAAGGTTTTTAATGACACACATCATTGTGTGACGTCAAATGTGCTGCATTTACAAGCATTGATACGTCCATATTATACCTGCTCATACATTCCCTTCTTCTTTTGTGGAACAATTTCATCTTCATCGAAAAATTGATTTTCATCAAAATTGTCTTCGAGTCCACTGATTTGGAAGGTTGGATCAATTTCACCACTAAAACCAGTTTCCACTTGTGCAGCTCGAGCTTGAGGTAATTGTTGTTGGGAGGAAGCTTGAGAAGGAACAAATATTGGTTGTTGTGGTGGTGGAACAACGGTTTGAGCATAGTTTTGAATTGGTACCTGTGTGGTTGGTTGTGTAGCAGTCGTGGTGGCACTGGCAGTCGTGTCATTATTAGCCTCTGGTTGCTTCTTATTAAATCTAAATGTTAAGGCCTTCCAAATAGCAAAGTGAGCCAACAAAATCACAGTCCAAGCACCAATCACAATCAGGAACCATGGGAAGTCATGAATGGTGTAGCAATAAGTGACAAAAATCACAAAATTAATCACCGAGTAGAATAAAAGATGAATATAAAAGTGGTTGAGGTATTGTCTAAACTTGACCACCATTCCGTGAAGTAAAAAAGCAAGTAACAATACAGCCACTGGATAAATGGACCATGGGAAGCTTGATGGGGTATGTTCATTCATGATGACTAATTTCACTGATGTTGTCACAAAGAAGAGAGTATGAAATGAGAAGGGTTTGTCCGAATAATTTGGAGAGCCTTGAATTAATAAAATTCCAATGATCAATGCAGAGGCCCAAACAATATGAATGAACCATGGATATCCTGTGGGTGTAGTGAGAATCCATATACAAAAGCATAGAACTGACAATAAAACCATAATGATGGAAATTCTCATAAAGAGTTTTGGATGTTTGTGTCCCTGTAATGCGTCATACTTGCTAATCACACTATCCTCGATGGCTGTAATTCTTCTGGAAGCACGATCAACAATGAGTCTACTCTTGTCATTCATGGAAGAGCCCAATCCTGTGGTAGTTGCCATTCCAGCGGTGGTGGTTGTGTTTGATGTATCCATGATGGAGGTTGAATTGAGAGAAGCTCCGACGTTGTTGTTCGGATTATTCATCATCATGTTTGGAGTACCCATGATGGGAGTGGGCTCTGATTGCATCATTTTCGGGAAGTTGTACTGGTTGGTGATGATGATGAGAAATTTGAATCTAGTTTTTTGATTTTTATATGGTTGTTGTTGCTGTGTTATAACTTGTTGACCACGCTCCTGATTTGTCCAAAAAATTAGGATGAGTTATTTGTTGGTAATGATGAACAATTCAACGTTGAAAAAAAACAAAATCCGTTGATATAAATCTTCAGCGGTCCAAAGAGGATTGGCTTAAATATTTTTGATTTTTTTCGTTTATGTTGTTGTTGCGAATTGGAATGTGTTGGAGTTGAATTGGAACAAAAACACTTCAAAAGCAGCAGATGCAACAACAACAAAAACATGAATCGTTTTGGACTTGCTCCTCAGATCGAACACATACAACAGAATCGTGTTGGATGGCAGGTCGAACAGAATTCCTTTTTTATCCGCTCATATTAATCACATTGTGTTCTTACCTTTCTCAATTTCAGAAATTGAAGTTTCACGCATTGATGCCAAATAGCAAGAGAAATATTCATAAACCACAAAACCTTTGGGTGCAGCATGACACGTAAGAATCCAATAAATCTATCACAGGTCCTCAAAGATGTTTCACTCAACAAACCAGAACTCAAGAATCGTCCTGATTTCTTGCACCTCACTGTTCATACAACCAAAGGTTGTAGCGGGAGAGTCGTCATATTCCTGACAGGCATCCCGTCCAAAATTATATAAAGAGAATGAATGAAACATTGTGGAATGCATGACTGGCTGACAACTCACTTTCACGATTGGAAAATTTGCATTCTGCACAATTAAATTGTCAAGAAAGTCTTGTCTGACGCCCTTTTGTAGATTTTAATTGGCATACACTGAGGATTTTTAATCTCAGACCCACACACCCAGCAAAAATGAACCTGGGATTGGGTGAGTTGGGTGTGAGGACGGCGTTTAATCTCAAACACAACACAAATCCAAATCAATCTTCAAAAAAAAATATTTCTGCAACAAATATGATGATCATCAGCGTTTTATTATTGAAATTTGAACAAAGTGTTTGGCATGGTTTTAACCAACGGATTGCTTTTCAAAATAGCGTTCGAACATAGAACAGCTACCATTGCAACATATGGAAGCAAAGATTTTCTTTGTCTCCATCTTGTTGCCGTTGCTGATAATCGTTTTACATATCCGAAGGTCATTTCTACAATCATTCTCTCAGATTTGTGTTGCACAAAGAGATCAGGCTTACTTCTGATGATGGTTGATGTTGGAAGTACCAATTCAACTCCATGTTTGAATGTTTTTGCTTGATATCCACCATCAGCAAGGACCATCACACCCTGTAAGTATTTTTGGATATTACTGAAGAATAATACATCTTTGTCGTTCTTGCTTCCAGGAAAACCAACCGTAAAATGTAAAAATCTGCCTTGAAGATCAACTAACGCTTGTCCGATGAAAGAATGGATACATTTGTCACCACGATAATAGATAGCCTGATCTACACTTGGCTTGGAGATTCTGAAATGCGTTGCATCAAGCGCGCCTATTACTAGTCTATCAATGTTAGAGCTTCCTTGTAATACAGTCAAATGTCCTGGCATAACAACCTCGTTCATATAGGCCGATAATAATATGGGAATAATATGTTTGATTTCCATGCAAACATATCCTTTGGAAACTCCAAACATTTCTGACAGCAGAGCAAATTTGGAATATGATCCCATCCAAACACAGATTAGCAGTAATGTGTTTTTTGGAGTAAGTTTTGAGTATCTGTATTCACGTTTAGTATTGATATTTCTTCTCAAGTCATAATATCTTCTTGGCTTTAACAGTTCTAATTTGATCCTAGAATACATTTCTTCAAACTCAGCACGAGTTAAATGAGTGAAATCCATCAACTTATCGTCATCCCATTTTCCATAATTGTCAACTCCTTCCACCTTACTTTTTGGTTTTCGGTATTGACTTCGTCCTTGCCCACAAAATGGAGTTTTAGTTCTAAATTTTTTGGAAGTATAATATGGCTCTTCTGGTGGCAAAGGCATTACTGGAGGGATTAATGAGCAAGCAAGTAATTGAAGTCTTTTCAAATACTTTTCATCCCATGAGCATGCTTTATACATCAACAATTCTTGTTGTAGGTTATTTAATTTTGATATGAAACTATTGACATTGATATGACTATTTACACCTGGGTAATCAATCAACTCAGGATGAGTAATGATGACAGTTGCTGCCATCATTAAATAAGTGATGACGACATGTAATGTATTAGGCAGCATTTTTTTTCAGTTTGCATTGTAATATTACAATATTACATATTTTCTCAAACTATTGTAAATTTACAACAATTAACCGTTACAACCGTTACAACCGTTACATAATTCACCAACCCTATTTAACGTAGTTGACTAGTATTGTTTTGAAGAATCATCCATTAAAAAAAACAATGGCCAATACTCAACCCAAGAAGAAGCAAAAACCAACCAACACTCAACCTAACTCAAGTCAAGCATCAAGTAGCAATCAATCACAGGACCAATCCAGCACGGGAAAACGATGGACAGACTCTGAAGTCCTTGCTGCATTACAACTTTACAAACAAGACAAGGATTGGGAAAAGGTTGCGAGAAAAATTAAGGAATTATTTGACAACAAAGAATGGAATTGGCATGTGCGTGGTGACAAGAGTTGTGCTGAAAAGTATCGCAGATTGAAGGAGGAATTGAAAAAGGAAATTATTGAATATAGATCAAAACTCTCAGAGAAATTTAATAATCACACTCTGAAAATTAATCAAGATGTCGAATTATGTATTGACGAGGTAGTTATTGGTAAAGGTACCATCTTGAGTGCAAATCCATCTAATAACGAAGATTTATTCCATTGCCACGGTAAAACATATCCATACAACCAATTTGCTAAAATTACAATCAAGTCCCACGATGCAAGTAAGAAAAATTTACTCTTACCATCATCAGTCGTGACATCTGAATTTAAGACAGTTGGTGATTTGCAACAAGGTTCCATCATTGCTTTTCCTTTAACAAATTTATTGATTTTGAGAACTTTTGATTTATTTGAACCAAGTAATCCCATTTTGAAAGAAGTGTGGGATATTGAACGTGATAATCAACAATTTTTATTGACCACCGGAGAACTTAATTCTAATCCAGAAGACAATGTAATTGATCTTGTTGAACGTGATATTCAAGACACCGATCGTAGAAGAAATGCTATCCAAGAAAGAACAGATATTCAGCGCATGCATACCATTCAACATATGACATTCTATAGAAACAGTGAGAAGTGGGCCGAAGTATTGGATAAATTAACGGAGACATTCGAACTGGCCAACACTCTTATGAAGTCACATCAGGGCAAAGATAAGGTTGTTGTGTTGTCTTATAATGGAAAAAGAAAGAAGGTAGTTGTTTCTGACATCAAAGTATTGATTTACTTGTCTGGTGATTTTCTTTCATTCCTTCAGGAAAGAGTAACTTTAGGGGTGTGTACTTTTACTGATTTATTGAACAGAATAGTTCTTACAACCTCCGAAGGATTTATTGTCAATGACACGTATTCATTTGAAGCTCTTTCTTCAACAGAAACCACTGAACTCTCCATCAGTGTCATTGATAGAATGCACGATGATGAATAATAAATTTATTGATATTTCTTTATTCAAAAATTTTTTGAGTGTGAAATGGGTGGGTGGGTGTGAGGTACGGCGTTTAATCTCAACTCACCCAACCTGTGTGGGTGTGAGATTAAAAATCCCCACTGAGGATTTTTAATCGCAGACCCACACACCCAGCAAAAATGAACCCGGGATTGGGTGAGTTGGGCGTGAGGACGGCGTTTAATCTCAAACACAACACAGGTCCAAAACCTGTTCGTCAACCTTTCATAAAAAATATCACGATGTGATCATCTTTGTTTAATTCAAATTTAAACAAAGAGTTTATCACTGTTTTTAACTTGATATTCATTAATTCAAAAATTTTTTGGGTGTGAAATGAGCGGGTGGGTGTGAGGTACGGCGTTTAATCTCAACTCACCCAACCTGTGTGGGTGTGAGATTAAAAATCCCCACTGAGATGACATTTCAAGTAACCGATTCATAAACTATGCCAGAATCAATCAATTCTGAAATTTTAGTTGTAGTAAGGGATTGTCCTGAAAGAAAAAACGATGAACGAGCAGACTTTAAATGTAATAGGACCAAAATAAAGCAAGTGGTTTAGAACAAGATCAATCGAATAACCTCGATCATTAAAGTATGTTTTGTTATCAATATTCATCCAGATTGTCTGTCACACCATTCACTGAAATGATCTATACGGCTACAATCCTCAGTGTCTAGACACTCCCTATGGCATATGGAGATGTAATCTGCCAAGTGAGACAAGAGAACAGGATCATTTGCCAACAGAAGATGTTCTCTTTCTTCCTTTGATGAAGAAGGTAGCAACAAATAAAACAAAAAAGTCTAAATAGTCATCAACAACTGAGCATAGTCTTTTCATTTAGTAATTGGGTAGTGGTGTTCAATCTTTTCCGTGTTTATCGATAAAATCATTGATGATTGCTCCCTCTCGGAACACGGCCCACATCACGTTACAACCAAATTCCGAGAGCACGATAAATACTCGGTAATCTGTTCCGAATTCCACAGCAGCAACAAACCTCTGCGAAAAAAAATACTCAACACCCATACAACACCCAATCATGTCCACTGAAACTTTCAAATTCCAAGCTGAAATCAATCAATTGATGAGTTTAATCATCAATACTTTCTACAGTAACAAGGAAATCTTCTTGAGAGAATTGATTTCAAATTCTTCTGATGCTTTGGATAAAATTCGTCATTTAAGTTTGACTGAGCCTTCCGTTTTGGACACTGAAAGAGAATTATATATTAGAATCATCCCAGATAAGGCTAACAAGACACTCACTATCCAAGATTCAGGTGTGGGTATGACTAAGGCTGATTTAATTAATTGTTTGGGTACTATCGCAAGATCTGGTACTAAACAATTCATGGAAATGCTCCAAGCAGGTGCTGATATTAGCTTGATCGGTCAATTTGGTGTCGGTTTTTACAGTGCTTATTTGGTTGCTGATCGAGTGGTGGTCGTTACCAAACACAATGATGACGAACAATACATTTGGGAATCTGCTGCAGGTGGTAGCTTTACCATTACTTTGGACGAGACTGGTGAAAGAATCACTCGTGGTACTAAAATCATCTTGCACATGAAGGAGGATCAATTGGAATTTTTGGAAGAGAGAAGATTGAAGGATCTCGTCAAGAAGCACTCTGAATTTATTGGTTATCCAATTTCATTATATGTCGAAAAGACTAGTGAAAAGGAGGTTGAAGAGGAGGAGGAAGAATCCAAGGAAGAATCCAAGTCTGAAGAACCAAAGATTGAAGAGGTTGAGGAAGACAAGGAGAAGAAGACCAAAAAGGTCAAGGAAGTCACTCATGAATGGGAATTGCTCAACAAGACAAAGCCTCTCTGGACTCGTGACCCCAAGTCTGTCACCAAGGAAGAATATGCAAGCTTTTATAAGGCCTTGACCAACGATTGGGAGGAACATTTGGCAGTCAAGCACTTTTCTGTGGAAGGTCAACTCGAATTCAAGGCCATCTTGTTCGCTCCAAAACGTGCTCCATTCGACTTGTTCGAACCAAAGAAAAAGTTGAACAATATCAAACTCTATGTGAGAAGAGTCTTCATTATGGACAATTGTGAAGAATTAATTCCAGAATACTTGAACTTTATCAAGGGTATTGTAGACAGTGAGGACTTGCCATTGAACATTTCTCGTGAACACTTGCAACAAAACAAGATCATGAAGGTCATCCGAAAGAACTTGGTCAAGAAGTGTATTGAAATGTTCTCTGAAATTGCTGAAAACAAGGAAGATTTCAAGGCCTTTTATGAAGCATTCGGAAAGAACTTGAAGTTGGGTATCCATGAAGATTCTCAAAACAGACAAAAGTTGGCTGAATTGTTAAGATTCCACTCGACCACTTCTGGTGACGATTGGACCAGTTTCAAGGAATATGTGGAAAGAATGAAGGAAGGTCAAGAAGATATTTACTACATTACTGGTGAAAGCAAGAAGGCTGTTTCCAAATCTCCATTCATTGAAAAGTGTACCAAGAAGGGCTTTGAAGTCTTGTACATGACCGACCCAATCGATGAATACATGGTTCAACAATTGAAGGAATTTGATGGTAAAAAGCTTGTTTGCGTCACCAAGGAAGGACTCAAGTTGCCAGAAACTGAAGAGGAAAAGAAGAAGAAGGAAGAATTGAAGGCCTCTTTTGAATCTTTGTGCAAGTTGATGAAGGATATTTTGGGTGACAAGGTTGAAAAGGTGGTTGTTTCTGACCGACTTGGTGACTCTCCTTGTTGTTTGGTCACTGGTGAATATGGATGGAGTGCCAACATGGAAAGAATCATGAAGGCTCAAGCATTGAAGGATAACTCGATGGCTGCTTACATGGTTTCCAAGAAGACTATGGAAATTAACCCAGAAAACTCGATTGTCAATGAATTGAGAAAGAAGGCTGAAGCTAACAAGGCTGACAAGACCTTGAGAGATTTGGTCTGGCTCTTGTTCGATACTTCATTGTTGACCTCTGGATTCTCATTGGAAGAACCAAGTATTTATGCATCGAGAATTCACAGAATGATCAAGCTCGGTTTGAGCATTGATGAAGATGAAACTACTTCAGCCTCCTCTTCTGAGGAGAAGAAGGAAGAAGTTGCAGAGGAACCTGCTGCTGAATCCTTGATGGAAGATGTTGATTAATCTCAAAAATAAAATATATTCTGTTGACTTTTTAGTGATTCTTTTGCTGCTTGTTCAAAGATTTTTATTGAGTGGTCCAACTATGATACAGTGCCTTTTAACGATTTAAATCATTTATTGATTGAAAAAGATCAGCTTTGAGGCTCTAACTGTGAAATCTCTGCTTCCGTGAATTCGGTTGTTTCGAAGAGTTCTTGTTGTGTCTTGAAAAATCGTTCAGTGCCAAACAACTTCAACACCAAAGATATGAACCATGTCTGTACAGAAATGATAAGCAATCTAAATTCAAAATACATTTCACTTCGCCATCTTCTAAATCTTTGAGTCCATGAATGCAAATTCTCACTAGTTTTCATGGAGGCTCCCTGATGAGTCAGTCCATGTGAAAAATTTTTAGTGAATACGATTCAAATTGAATTTTAACAAAGTGGTGTTCACCAATTAAATGATCATAAATATTCCATTATTGAAAGAATGAATAAAATGTATGAACATGATGACATCATGAAAAACACTTACCTTAGCTGCAATTCTTGCCATGATCGAGAATCGATTCACTTTTGCTCCCAATTCTCGATTCAGAGATCGAAGAATATTATCAGTCCTAGAAATTAAAAGCATTTCTTTTGGCATGTGTCTATAAATATTCATAAATTCACTTCGTTTGGATTGAAATTGTTCGCTGAACTTGGCAAAGTCTTCCTCCGTCATTTGCTTCTCAGACCAAGTCGATAATTCTCCATTGCTATCCAGACCTTGCATCATGATCATGGAAGCATACAACTTGTAATCCTTAATTCCAAGAGAACGACAATATTCTTGCATTCCTTTCTTGTCGTTTAACACAATAGAGACCCAAAATTGAGCATACTTTTGACGGAAATCATCTCCCAAATGCTTGTACAGACCATGATCTAGAATTACTATTTGCGGCTCTGATGGCTTTTCAGGATTCTGTCTCACAAACACATTCGATTGATGACAATCTCCATGCAAATGGCCATGAATAAATAATTGCTCAGCAAATGTGGAAATAATTCGGGCAGCAATATCAGTTTCGTTAAAGCCCATTTGTCGAATTCTGTTGACATCATTGGCATTGCAAGCATTTTCAATAAATTCCATGGTTAATACTCGTGAGCTTGTTAAATGATCATAGACTTTTGGAATGTAGACATCGGGACGAGATCCTTTAAAATTAGCAGCAGCTAGTTTTGCATTCTCAGCTTCATGGATAAAATTCAATTCTGAATTCAAACTATCCTTAATTTCATTGTTAAATTGGTCGTTCACTTCCAATAATTCATCAATATTTTTTGGATCCTCTTGCATGTAATAGAGACGAATACTCAATTTTGTAGCAGCCTCTCGTGTATACATGTCACCGGCAAAATAAAATCGCACAAAGTGATATTGAACTTTTACGGCCACTGTCTTTCCATCTTTTGTTTTGGCTCTATGAACCTATAAATGATTAATAATAAATTTATCAAAAGAATGACATACCTGCGCAATCGATCCTGAGGCTAATGGATTTGGATCAAAATATTCAAATAATTCTTCAACAGTTCTTCCAAAATCTTGATAAATAATTTTTTTAACATTGTCGAAGGAGATGGTGGGAGCGCGATCTCGCATCACTGATAGTACTTGAATGTATTCGTCTAGAGTTATAGCGTTACACCAAATGTCAGTTCACAATTTAACCAAGTTGACACAGCTCAAGATATTCCTAAGAGACACTTACCTGGTAGGAAACCGCCTAGAGAAGCGATATGCTGCCCCAACTTGATGTAAACTCCCTTATTTTCTGAAAAGAGAGCAAGTAGGCGATGTGCAGACTTGGTGTGTAATTGCTTCTTTTTTGAAATGAATTCTGGAGAGGTCTTGTCTGGTTTCTCAGTGAACCAATAATGAGGATTAATATTGGAAGTTGTCAATAACCAAAAATATTCCAAGCCAATAATTAAGATGGTTGACATTGTTTTAAGATATCTGAATTGTGGTAGAAGTCAAAATTGTTTGTCATTTGCAAATTGAGATGAATAAGAATGCATTCACAAGAAATGAATGTCCAATAATTCCATAATCTACGTACCTATCTATTCCTTCAAATAGCTGAATGATAGGTGTCAATAGCTCCAATAATTGCTTGTTATACAGCTGACTATATGGATTTTCAATATCTGAGAAATGAAACAACCAAATGCAAAATTTCATGGCTCCATATAAAAACGCAGCTAATCCAATCAGACCCAATTCCAACATGACTAATAATTTAAGTATTTTTAAAACCCTTCTAAAAAGTGTTGAATGTGATTGTTGTTGCTGTTCTTGTTGTGTCGTGTTGTATTGACTCTCAACATGATCTTTGGATGAAATTTGAGTAGAATTTGTATTTACATTCGTAGTGGTTGTGCAATGTGTTTGTAAATTTCGTAAAGTCCTTCCAAAATTCCGAATTTGCTGTTCTTGTTGGGAACACATGATATTAAAATTACTCTTCATCGTGGTGTTTTTACCACTCACAGCCATGATGACAGATGAGCATTCAGGTAATCCTGTCTTGAACCCATGATGAATCATCATGTTATTGAATTTATAATGATCATGAACATTTCGGGACGAAACAGATAATAATCCTCCCTTTTTCATCCTCCATAAATTATTTGATCCGACCGATAGTAACCATGAAGATTTGAAAGGAGCATGCTCGTGATGATGATGATGGGACAGAGAGAAGGAACGCATTTTTTTTTTCCAGTTCAAGTGTGTAAGCTTCAATGATCATTCTGACATCCAAGAGAGGGGAATTGAGTTGTTTCATCTTCTGGGCAGATGTGGTGGAATCAACTCAAACGAAGAATGTGAACATCAACCCCAAGTTGTTGGCTGCATTAATTTTTCAACCTTCAGGTTTCAACACAGTCATGATCAACTTTTTTCCAAGCACTGTTAAAAGTTGTGTTTTGCAATTCTTCCTCTCTTCCACCAATCACTTGTGTGCCTTTGAAATGTGGAAAGTTCATTTCTCAAAATAAAGTACTGGTGTTTATCTGTTTGTTGAATCCTGGAGTCTTTGAACACAAACCACATTCGTCCATCCAGAGTCAATGCTGAGAAGGCTCCAAAACATCTGATTGAAGTCAATGAAAAAAAGATTTTCAGCTTTTCCCAAAATGTTCATAATTTTTACATTTTAAAAAAAATGCAAAGATTATCAAACACTTTGGAAACCACAAAGAAGAAGAAATCATCTTCGGATCCGTATGAAGTATTACTTCGGAAAAGTACCTTTCCGATACAAGCATTTGCAAATGGAAATGGTTTACAATGGGCGGGTGGGTTTATAGTGATGAGATTTGATCATTTTGAATTTTATGATGATGATGCTTGAAATGTAATGATTGATTCAAACTTTTGAATTCACTATAAATTTTTCATCCAATCCATTTGATTTGGTAGATTATGAAAAAGCATTAGGATGGTGTAAATATTACGATGAAGAAAAAAGAAATTCCTCTGATTCTAGTAGCGACTCGTTACTCGATGACGAGTACCGAAATTTATTGAGCCATTTATTGAAAAATTATGAAATTGCATCTTGTACAAGTCGCGAGCAATCATCATCTAGTACGAGCATGAGTAATAACGTATCAATGACAGAGTTGTTTCTTACAAGTTGTTTATTTCATTCGACTTTTTCCATTCCATTTCTAAAAAGTACGCATGACGGTACCATGAATGGAAAGAAGCTAGAGTTTTATGGAAGAGTGTTAAATGATTGGTTTCAATATAAAATGACTCAATCGAAAGAACAGGAGGAAGTGACTGCAAAAACAGCATTTGATTTTTTATTAAACGACGATCATGATGAGGAAATGATAGATTCGAATATGGAGGATGATGTTAATTTTGATTTTAAAGAAAATACTTCCAAACAAGATGCATCCAATATCATGTTTGAAAATCCCATTATCACCATGATTGAACACCTTTCGAGGGTATGTCGAGTAATTATGATTGTACTCTTGAATGTTGATCTTGATATTTGAACATGTTTCATTTATGAAATTATATTATTATAATTAATTATGTAATTGATGGTATTAGCTTGTTGAGAACGGTGCACTTTTATCACAATTCACAACCATAGTATTTTCACAAGACATTGACGAGAAATCTTTAGAAGAATACTCTCTCAACAAGTTATTGACTTGCTTTTCAAGCCCTATTGAATTTTGTACCAAAACAAAACGTGTCTCGTATCCATATGCCTATTTCGTTTCGCATCAGCTTTCCATGGTGGCGAATCAACTTCCAGACGCCTCCCAATCCTCTATTATTATCATTGAATACTGTCAACGGTTAGTGGTGAAATTGAGTAGAGAAGTAGTAGGACTGGAAACCTTAATCATATCACTAGGCATTCTCAAAAGTAGGAATGAATCTCATTTCCATTTCTTTTCAAAAATAATGTTTGATATTTGGAGTAGCAAAATCATGTGTCAATTCAACAGACAGTCAAAATATCTGATGAGTCTGGTGACGGAGAGTTATGAAATTTCATTACTCGATGTTGGATTGTGTCCATATGTGATCTTGCAGGTGGCAGATTTTTCTAACGATTGGAGGAATCATGTTGTGACTGAAATTACCAAAAAAATATTGGCTTTCAAACACACCTCTTCAGACGAAACACGAAATGGTTGTAGCGAACTTTGTACTGATCCTTATCTGAATTACTTGATCAGTATCATGTCTGACTATGGATCACTTGAACTTTCAAATTTTATGAAACAATGGAAGAAGTGTGTGACACAACAATTTAGTTGTTCCTCTTGGATTTGAAGAATGTATTGGATGCCTTGATGGTTGTTCAAAGTTGTTCATTCAGTTAGCATCCAATACATTCTTCGCTCTTTACATTTCCGTGAATAAGAAAATCAACAATGGTTTTTATTTGATGAAGACAAATCTTTCGTGACCAAGATTAAGGTGAATGAAAAAAACAATTTTAGTACGTGTACATTTCTTCAATCTCTTTCGCAATCTCTTCCAAATCCAAAATCTTGATTTTTGGAATGGGACCTAACTTTCTTGCAGATTTGACTTCTCCTTCTGCCGCATTGCCGTTGTTGGTTGTGTTATCTGTGTTTGATTCATCTTCGTTGTTTTCGTCAACTGTCATGAGTGTCGATTTTGAATGAGCTGATTTCTGGGAGATTGACCTTCTTTGAGCACTTCCCTTGGGTGGAGCTAAGGTTAATATTTTCATTCCTGTTAATCGTTTGACTGAAGATGACGATGTAGCGCTTAATTGTTCCAACAGTAGATCTGCCGCGTTCTTTCCACCAACCCTCTTTTTTGGAGTCTCATCAATGATATCAAGAGGAAGAGATCTCGAAAGTATCGTCTCTACTTGCTGACCAATGGCTCTAAAATCAAAATATTTACCCAATGCTTCATCTTCTTTGGCTTTCATGCCTTCGAGTTTGAACGTCTTGCTTGTTTTGAGAATGGTTTTCAATTCCTTCTCATCAATATTTTCACATTGGACACACGTTATTTGTTTCACACCAATACAAGAAACATGAAAAGCGTGCCCACATGGAAAGATGCGAGACATGTTCAATTCTTCGGTTGTCTTACGTAAAGGATTACCACATAAAAAACAGGTGCGATTGAAAGGTTTCAAGGCCTTATTCGAATTCCTATGAAAATGACAACCAATGTTAAATAGATCGCAGGATATTAATTCGTTAGATTGTTTAAGGAGTCCGCTTTCATAGCTGTAGCAATCTAATAATCTCATGATGGTAACTTTCACGTCACAAAATACGTCATTTCCATGCTCGTTCACAATTTCATTAAGAATCGAAGGAATGTCAACATAACGCATCATGTCACTGAGAATGAGTCTAATGTACATGGCATTACATCGTTGAAGCCATAAATTTGCCAGTTTTTGAATGTTGTGAGGAGCCCGTGGATCATTATTTCGCTCTTCTTCAAGCAGCCTTTCTAACTTTTCTTTTTCCTCAAGCTCCTTCAATTGTAGTTGCAGGTTATGAACATGATCTTTCTTCTTCTTGAGCTTTGCCTGTAAACGTTCTATCTTTTCCTCATCTGGATCCTGTAGTTCTCGCTCACTATTGAGATCCTTTTCAATTTTGGAGATTTCAGTGTTGGTATCTACAATTTCTTCCTTAATAATATCAAATTCATCCATTTCTGTTCCTTCTCCGCTAAAATCAAACTCATCAAAGTGATCTGATTTTTTTGAAGAATCTGTTTCTTCTTTGGAAACTTTGAGTGGTTTGCCTTCCAGGAAACCAAACCGCAGTTGTCTTTGGAGCAGCATAAACGTGTTCAATAGTTTGAACCATAGCTGTCTTACTTCAGAATCGTCAAGGGTTTTCCTTTCGCTATTCTCGCTGCATAAATTAATGGCAGTTTTCAATTCCTTTACCAGATTTTTTGACTCTTCACAAATCAAAACGTCACAAAGCTCTGCATTTTCTTTGTATCCTTGAGATTTGGTGACCTTTGGAAGGCGTTTCTTTGGTTTTTTTGCGAGTAATTTCTTTTGATCTTCAATGGGCTCGTTGGGAGAGAATACTGGTGGATCATCCGTGATTAGATTAAAATCTTTGGATATTGATTCGAAATGTTGCTCAAAGACAGAATTTCCCTTTCGTTTGACCTCGTCAATTAGTTTCAATTTGAGCATGTTCATTGTGCTCTCTAACTCTCTGAGTATTTCATTTAAGGCATGTCTGACCTCGCCGGTTCTTTCAAGCAAGAAAGATTTCGCCTCGGGTATGTCTTTGCAAATCTTCATACATCGTTCAAGGTCTAGTCCAGTACCCTGCTGTTTGAGGAATTCTTTTACCCTCTTGTTGTCTTCAAATTCGCAAAGCATTTCAAGATAGGTATAGGTTAATTCATCTACTGATATGCCTCGTTTTCCAATCTCATTCATACTGAGTGATCCATTTTCTGTTAATGGGTCCAGCATTAGCGAGGTTATGTAGCAATAAAAGAAGAAGCGGTACACTTTCTGTCTTTCCTTGTTTTGCTCTTCTTCAATTGCCTTTTGTACAACGGCAAAGGTATACTGATGACAGACGTTGGAAAATGAAAAATCCACAACCAATGCATCTGATATCTCTGGAATTTCTGACCAATTTACATCAAAAATCTTTTTCATAATTACCTCAATATACCACTGATATTTTTGAGTGGTAGTCATGAAAAATTTGGCCAATGTAAACAAGTCAAATCTTTTCGCAAGATCCATAAATTTTGTCTTGTCGTAATATGTTTGCCTCTTTTCTAATATTTCAATAAAACGCTCCTCTCGGTATTGCCTAAGGGTTTTGATACGTTGCTTTTCTGTTTCATCTGCAGTATTTTTAAGCCTTTTTAAGCTGTCTTCCGCAAGATATGTAAAAATTACCAGCAATATATTGTAATCATCTGCTTTTAAGATTCCTTTCGCAAGTAACTTGGAATAGAATGAGAAGAAGGCAATTCTACCGTCATAATATGAAGAATGCTTCATGAATTGATTTGGTTTTTGGAGCCTTAATATAAACTCTACTAAATTTTCCTGATTGAAATCTTCATCCCAAGGGTTTGTGTTCGAGTCGTCATTCATTGCAATTTCAAGTACCTCAAAAAATTTGTCAGGGTAGTGCTTTGCTAGGGCGTGGAAAACTGCTGTTGAATCTCGCGAGCTATTATTCTCATCCTCTTCATCAAATATAAAATCCACAACATCTTTCTTGACATCAATAATAACAGAGTCAGCTTCAGGAATGTTTCCTATAAGGTACTGTTCTAGGAAGTGAAGTATTACTTCGGCGACTTGTTTTTCTTTACTCTCGCCCTAACATTTGTTTAACAGTTACATTGTTGTAGATTAGATCAAGTTCAAATACGTCACCAATAAAATAACCTTCATCACATTTTACCACTACTTACGTGTAAATCAACCAAAGTTTCTAGCGGTTCAATGTATTCTCTTTTGTAAATGGTGGTGATATAAACAAACGATTTAAGTAGGTTATATTCTTGGCAGTACTGTGTCAGAATTTCGTACTGGTCATAACTTAGTAAGTCCAATTTCATAATAATTGAATCTAGCCTTTCTCTTTCTTGTGGTCCATACGTCGTAACATAGCATTCAAAAACATGCCATGGAACAGACTTCAATGTCCCTCCAATGATATATGGCTCTACTAACTCCAAGAATAGTTGTGTTTTTTCGTATTTTGCAAAAGCGTTGAAAATTGTGTTAAACAACACGTCAAACTTGGCCACTCGAACACAGCTCTCAATACAAGCGCCTCCAACATGCTGATAAATGTAATCCTCATAATTTGATCCATTCAAGCTCAGAGTGAGGTACTCGTTCACTAACTCGACGATTTTACTGGTCAGAGTATCGTGAGCTGACTCTGGATTAAGCCCAATAACACACTTTGCCTTTCCTGAATAGAAATCGTGAGCAATTTCTAGCGATTCTTTCCATAAGCCTGCAGTAGAGAGTTGTGATATTCGTTCATACCAAGGCTTTACACTAATTCTAAGAAGATCGTGCTCTCCCAACATGACAAACCCTAATTGATTAATGTCTGTCATGAAATGTTTAGAGCCTGACACGTTACTACAGTTTCCCATCAAGTTGATGAAACTAATGTTTTCACTCTCTATCATGGCTGAGTCATCAATTCTAATGTCAAATAAATGGACTACTTTGTCAGTAGTCATTACTATTAAACATTTGTCGTCAAACCAGCCAAGTCCACAAACATCATGCTCGAATTGGGTGCTAAATATCTCTTCTTTCATGGATGAACCGTTCCTGTCAATACCCAGGACCATCATATCTTTTCCATATGTATAGGCAATAATTTTTGATTTTGAGGTGTTAGCCCATGCAATGTAAGGCAAGTGTCCTCGTGCACCTAAATGAGCGTAACCTCTCGGTAATGCGTCACTGATTGGTGTCAAGATTTTGTCAATGTAATAGAGATGTAATCCACCACTTCGTGTAGCAACTGCCAAGCAACATTTGCTTGATCCCAGAGATAACGTTGACATTGTAATAATTGCGTCGTCACCAACCGAATATTGAAACATTAAACTATAACTATATCGAAAGAGTACCTTAGACAAGGCAAAGCATTTGAACGTACTCTGTTGTTTGTGATAGTACATTAATTTGTGTAAAGGTCGTTTGTTGGTTCGCTCGCTCACAAAACTCCACAAAAAAATTACACTTACCGAATGCATTTCAGAGGCAACAATCGAGTACATGTCTGTCACAAAAGCAACACAAACTACCGGTGAAGTAAATCCGTCGTCGATTCTCTTAATAATACTAGCCTTAGAAACGTCCCAAACAATGACAGTACCCTTCTCATAGCCTGCTACGATCCAATCTTCATTAAACGAAAAACACATGGATGTAACTTTTCCGGTTGAAGTGTTGCTGTCCTCATTGGTTGTGCTTCCCAGTATGCAACGCAGCTCTTGCTCATCGGAAAATACATTGAATATTAGAATTATTCCTCGATCTGTTCCAAAAGCAGCATACTTTCGAGAGAGCCTCAATAAAATTATTCTGCCCACTTTAGATGTCACAGATGGTTTTTTGATTTCGGTGCCAATCTTTTTCATTCTCTCGCTTTTCATAATACTTTTTGTTGGATCTTTCTCTAAAGTGGCAACGGGTAAAGAGTGGTGTACGGATTCATCCTCCTTTAAGAAATACATGCATACATGTATTTAAAAAGAAAAGTATGTCATACATAGCACGAACAAAATCAAAGATAGAACCTACATTCAATGACGGTACAACCTCCGTTATCTCGTCATGAAACGCAGAGCCTCGAGTAATGTCCTCCAAAAATTGCTCGAGATCCCTACCCAGATCAGTGTCATCAGTTAAAATTGGCTCGTTGAGAATTTTCATTAAATTCTGATTAATCTTCATCTCATCCTTCTCGTTGACTTTCATCAAGGCTATTTCTCTCTCCAAATCTTCAATTTGTAACGAGTTTGAAACATGGTCATGACTATTCTGTTTATGATTATTAATAAGGCTTGATGAGGAATGTGTGGTTGGTGTTACTGATGCGGAAGTGATCCTTTGCATGGTGTTGTGCGTTGTCGAGTCCAAACGGTTGTTACTGCCTGTAGCCTCAATACTACTCTGTATCATAAAATCCTCATCTAAGGCTTCTTCATCCAAATCATCCACACCATCGATCATCCCCTCCACAATATCGGATTCATCAAGGCTTAATTCATCGTATTCGTCCGACGACGGTATCATTTTTTTTCCTCCTCGTTCAGCCACCAAGTTTCATGAATACCAAGTTTTCAAATTGTCCAATGATCATCCTGTGTGCTCTTGTGTTGTCAGTAACGTGAAATGGAACAAATTGTAAATGATGGTTTTTCACCTCTGCATAGGAATAAAAATTGTTATATTCATTGTGACTCGACCTACACATGTTGACGGGAAATACGTGTCAATGAAACATTTTTTTGGTTTTGGCTAGAGAGCGAACAATTTCATGTTTTAATGCTTGGTCATTTGCTGTTCACAAATTTAAAAGATGAATGGAACCAAAACCTTTCTATTCTTTGGATACAATTCTCTGCCATCCTTTCCATCGAACAATTTCTTCAAACCAACATGCTTCTTGATGGCCCAAGGCAACATTTGACCAGCACCGCTCAACGTGTACAACAAACATGGAATCGATTGAATCATGAATGAGAAGAAGAACCATTCCATAATTTCAAAAGTATAGTTTGGACAAGTAACATATTCAAAGAGGAAGCCTCTTGGGATTTTACGCTCCTTGCTTCCAGGTTGACGCAAATTCTTCAAAATAATGTGACAATAAAAGTTGCCGAGCATGGAGAGAACAGTACCAGCTGCACCAAGATAAACTTGCCATTCTGCTGGTGATTGATACTTTGGATGAATGGTAAAGTAGGCAACAAGGAAAGCATAACCCCAATAATAAATACTATTCTTGAAGAGATTGAACAATGGCATGGTGTCATTTCCGAAAACGTGAACGAATATTGTTTCAAGCTCTCTCTTCACAAAGTGAACAATGAAGAGAATAGTTGCAATGCTGTTATTCGGATCCAATCACAGTGTGAAAATGTAAAACGGTAAATGATGAGAGTTCAAAAGTTGTTGGGAAATTCAAATTCACACATTAACAGTCCGACCGGACAATTCATCATGATGATTCCAATTTTTCATGTGATTAATTATCACACCATCACCATAATATTATTTGAATCATCAAAGATTACAAGTCAAATCATGAGTGGTTCAAAACAAAGAACACCTACATTTGTGTTTGATTCAATTGTACTTGTTCTCCATGAATATACGGACTCAAATAATAAGCCAATGGGAACGCAAAAATAGGTCCGAAATACTCAGTCAAGAACACAGTTCTCCATGCTACTTGTGGACCCAAATCTTTGAACATCAATTCGCTTCCATCCCTCAAATCAGCAATAGGTTCCTTTCCGGCTGGAATCACCTTTCCTCTTTTTCCATTCTCAACTGCATAGAAGGCTTGTCTAGTCGTATCCACTCTCTTCTTCTCTTGGTATTGTTTCTTGATTTGATCGAGTGTAGGAGCAGAGGAAAATTCCAACACGGCCAATTCTCTGGAGCGAGCGTCAAGGATCTTGATTTTCATTTTTTTTTCAATTTCAACTTTTCTTCGATCCAAAGTTCTCCAATTTCAAAAATTTACATACACTGTGTTTGATGATTTCATATCAATTTATCGAAGGATGCCTGCATTAAACAGACATAGGCGCCACCATGGAAAGATGTTGAGAAACGAAAGAAAGCGTAACGTATTCAAAACCGAGTTTTTTTCAAATGATGTGACATTCTGGTTTGTAGCGACCTTTGTTCATTTTCCAAAGAGGAATGGCTATCTTGAATTGCTTCATGATATTTTCCTAATATAAGCTAATCCTTGGTTCATTAATATCTCTTTCTAAAAAGCAGCAAATTTAAATTGGAAAAGTGAAATGCATATATTCTGTGACACATTCAGACCGTGAGATACCTTTTTGATGAATTTTGCAAGTTCATCCACCAGTTTACAAAACATAGGTGGTACGGCTGAGATTAATGAAAGCCTTTGTTTTCGAAAAGTCTTTCGTGCTTTGAATTTCACCTTTTCTCTTCCCATTTCTAATTTCATAAATTCTGTATGTACATACATATGGTTAGCGAGATAGTCACTCTCTGTCGTTTTCAGTTTGTTCACACATTGCCCTCACTCAGAATTTGCCAATTAGTATTCATCAAAATTAGGCCATAGAGCCAATAACTCGTTCCTCATAAAAGGAGCGATTTCAAGGACTTGATCAAAATCTTGCTTTGCCTTATCCAATTCTTGTAAGTGATAATAAGCTTCTCCTCTGTTATACAAGGCAGCATAAAAGTTTGGTTCAATTTCCAACGATGAATTGCAATCTTGAATTGTTTCATGATATTTTCCTAATTTAAGCTTGGCATCTGCTCGATTGGCATATATCATGGACAACTGTTCTTGTAAATGTAACTCATCAATATATATGTTTAACAGTTTGAGAGCGTTTTCATAGTCTTCCTCAAGAACGCATAACATATCCAAACAGTGTAATGCACGTCCTATGGGATGAGTGAAGTTAGAATTATTACAAAACGCTTCCTTAATTAAAAATGCCAATCTTTCAAGAGATTTTCCGCGCATAATCAAGTCAAACCGAAATGAAGGTGCTTGGTGTGGTGACACTTTTTGATTGTTTCCGTCCACATGAGATTCATGCACACTACCGTCACTGCTAACCTCATGATTTGTATAAATTTCAACAAGTGCATTCACTGCTCGAATCATGTAATCGCATGCCTTATCAATTTCATTCATTTTCACATGTAACATGGCCAACTCAGTATTGGTCACATAGATTTGGTAATTTTGAATTTCATGTTGAGTCTTGTCATGCGTGCTCTTATTCGACGAGTCGACAACAAGCGCTTTCATAAAATCCTTGTATGCCAAATCATACTTTTTGAAATGTTGCGCTAATACTAATCCTCGATTCACATATGCTTGATGTCGATAGATTGAATTCACTCCTTCCTGATGCTCCATCTCGTGAATAAATTTGATTGCTTTTGTATAATAATTGAGTGCATGTTGATATTGATCCATCGCTCCATACATGCTTGCAATATGTAAGCACATTACAATTCTATGATCTTGTTCACGAATGTTCAATGAATCACGACTTGCATGAGGGGTGAGAGTAGTAGTAGATGTCATTTCAACACCATTACTACCACCACTATGATCACTAACATCTGTACCTCCTTGAAGATCATATCGAGAGTCATCTGAATTGCCAATTGGTTGTGTTTCACTCTGAGCCATTCGATTGGAAATGATTTCTATAGCCTCTTTATAGAGTTGAATACTCTTTTCAAGATGAGTGTGCCAGTTGTGCTTGCTACTATTACTACTCGCCGATTTATACGCCATGTTCCAATACAAAACAGCTAATCGGTCCAGTAACTGTGGATCTTGACCAAGTTGTTGTGGTTTCAATGATAAGGCTTTCTCAAAATCCTCAATCGCCTTTTCCGTATTTGATTCTTGTTCATATATATTGGCTCTTGTCAGATATGCTTCAGTACAATATGGATGCAATGAAAGACATGTATGAATGTCTTGCAGTGCCATATCCGTTTGTTTGAGGGTGTAAAAGTAGACACGAGCTCTCAAGTAATATCCATTATACAAAAGAGGATTGAGTTCAATGGATTTACTTAAATCTTCGATGGAATCATGAAGCCAACCTCGAACTCGATAGGCAAACGTGAGAGTATCCATGTCTTGAGCTGAAAGAGATGAGTGAGCGAGTTGATTCTGTTCAGAAGAATTATTCATCATGTCTAGTTGTTGAATCAATGTTGAAGCAAGAGTTGCAGCGAGAGTG